AAAAAGTGTATTGTGACCTATTATCAGAAAGTTGAGCCCTTTTTTACATTTGGTTGATATTTCTTTAACTGCATTCCCTCCATCATGTTTTTTATTGTTCTCCAAATATCAGGGTGACCTTACATCCTCTTTTAACCGGACATGTCCTCTTTTTGGGGGGCTGTCCAAGTTTGTCCGACGTTGTCCGGGGAATTTTATAAAATCCTTCAAATGTCCGCAGTTTTGTGAAAGAGTTTCGATTCTGTGTCACATGGACTTATTGAGTTGGAAGCACGTAAAAGACACTCGATCCGACCTGAAAGACTCTCAAAATTAACTTTGTGCGACTCTGTGACTCCACCCTCGCTCTTTGCCTCCTCTTTTTGGGAGGTCAGAATATGGTCACCCTACAAATATATTAATAATATTTGATGGATTTGAAGTAGCCTTCAAAATGGGACAGCCTTGGATGTGCTACCGACTTATCAATTCAGTCTTTTCCATAAGTAGTCAAATTCTTACCAATACCTGTTCAATTTCATTGGGTTGTCAACAACTGCAGGATAGGTAGGAGTTCGCTCCAGTAGAACAAAGTAACCATGGGTTAATAACATGCTTATTTATTATATAATACATGAAAAGGTAATGGAATTGTAGCATTTTTGAAACTGACCACAATATGCTAAAAATAATCCCTCATGAGGTGTCTTCAATGTGGTTCAAAATGAATTCTGACAATGTAAATCTCATTATGCATTTCTCTTTGAATTTTCTCGATAAGCCAACAGAGAAGCAGTATTTCAAGTCGTCTTTTTAACCTCTAAAACTTCCACCTTGTCAAAGTCACTCGTGGACAGAATGAGCAGATGCATTACTTAAGTACTGCTCCAAATGTGGGGGGTGGGGTAGCTGAGCATGAGTGACTTAATGTGGCATAGTCCATTTTTCATCATTACCCTTTTGGAGCTAAGCTACTGTAACCTGCTGCAGACCTCCCCAGTTTTCTTCAAAAAGATCACAAAGGCAATGTATTTTCATCATGTGCCTCGCAGTCCCAGCCAATTCAAAGATCACCAGCTTAGTGTCTGCATTTCACAGACACAGTCATCAATCTCTGCTGCTCCACAACCTCGTCTCAGGCCACGTTTGAGTTATAGATGAAACACACAGGAGGAGGAAGGGTGGCTTTTTAGAGGTATTACTGTGTGAGTTTTATCCATTTATCTGCTTCCCTGCAGCCTGAGCTACCCTCTCTCTCTTATGGCAGACTTGATTACCCAAATTCCAGCTCCCTAAATCCTTCAACTCTGCAAAGCAGCCTGTCTGTCTGCAATCATGCATGTGAATTATCACCTGTCAGAAGAGTGACCCATTATTTCAGAGCAATGATGAAATGTGATTTTTTTCTCTTTTTTTTTGACAAATTAATCAACACTTCCATCTTGTCTCTTTTTTTTTGTGTGTGACTTTGACTAAAGGCCTCAGGCTAATGTTCCTGTATGACAGTCCTTTGTTCATTATCTATTTCCAGCTCACACATGTGCAGGTTTGTGTTCTTGGGTGTGATTTAATTGGGATACAGCAGGCAATCTGAGGTGGCCTACTTAAAATAAGAGGAACTTAGTAAAAATTAAAAATTAAAAGTTACACGCTGAAGCCGTTATCTAGAAATATCATCACATGACCCATGTTAAAAACAAAAATCGAGAACAACAAGAAGATTATCTTATTAGTTTAAATACTTTGAAATTCTGTAATGGAGGTATTTCGGGAGAAATTCTGAACCAGCAATAATTAGGAGTGGGAGAAAAAATGGATTCACATAAGTATCGCAATTTTTTGTTTTACAATTTTTGTAGAATCACAATTTAAATCGAATCGGCATCCAAAAATCGTAGAACAATCGAATCGGAAAAAAAGCATATTGTCCCAGCCCTAGCAATAATCATCTCATCTGATTTAGGTCAAACACCAAGGTCTGAAACGTCACCCTGGCGTCAAATATGCAACATCGATTAAGATTTGAAAACGGAAAATCTTAAAATACACTCAAAGTTCTCCAGATGGAATACAATTCAAATAAAATATTAATACTAAAAGACTGAGCGTACACTGCTGAATTACAAACACTTGAGGCAAAATCCTTTTTTTTTTTTACAAAGTACTTGAATAAATGTAGTCATTAATTCTCAAGTGATTTACTTTCTGTTATGAAATGACAGTATTTATTTAAAGAATGACTAAAACCAAGGTTATCTGAAACGTTTTATTCAAATAAACATTTTTTAACACTAGTGGTAAATGTGTTGTGCTTTTAAAGCCTCTTTATGAAACTGTTAAGCACTCATACTGCTTTCTGCTGCAGCCACATTCACCTGCTCACCCACACACATTCTTACTCAGATGACTGAGGCTGCAAACCTGCCCATCAGTATCTTATGCTTTTGGCAAACACACTCATAAACTAATGGCTTTACCAAACAATACTTTACTACGCCAACTGGAGAAGCCAAAGATCACACAACGCTCTATCACATTGGTTACAATCACCTAAAAGCCAAGATGTTCAATGACGGGGAACTCTTTCTTAAAATTTTGCGAATTTCAGTGTTTGGCGTCACTGAAAGTTTCTTAGGAGGCTAACAATGGCAAAGGTTGAGTTCTACTAAGGTTTATTGGTTGTCAGCTGTTAAGGTGGGACTTTAACATTACATTGGACACAACCATAGTGAATTTGCATGTTGGTTTATGATACTGCATGACATAATGAGCACGATGCGATACAATACGATACAATATGATATGATACAATACAATACGATATGATAAAATACGATACAAAATGATACGATACAATATGACACAATACGATACGATATGACACGATATGATATGATGCGATATGATATGATATGATACAATACGATATAAGATATTAAAGAATTCAATACGATAAGAATTGATATGATACAATACGAAGAAATATGATACACTATTGCCTTCATATGAAAATCTGTCAGGGACTCAAATGCTGCACATGCTCACTTGCATCCACATCTGTTTCAAAACTTTAAGTTTAACAATGTAATTTTACAGTTATCGGTTATGCCTCTGTCTTAACTGATATTCACCATGGTAACGACTTGTCAATCAAAAGATAGATGCAGCCGTAAAAAATTGTGACTTTATCTTTTATTTATCTTGGGATGGTTTTAAGCCAAAATTACAACCCTGTGCTTTATTGCGATCTAAACTAGGATTAGGAGGTGTGAAGTGATAAGATAGGGCGTTTCTAATTAATTTCAATATGATTAAACTCATTTCAGAATCAGAGTCAGCTTTATAGGCCAAATATGTGAACACATACAAGAAATTTGACCCAAGGAAACTTTGCCCTCTATGTACAAACATTAAACATGAAATGTTACAAAGCACCAGTTTAGTTGTACTCAGTTGGGCATTAGGAAGAATACAGGGGTTTAAGTATGCCTATATTGGCTTCACCTTTCATATGAACAGACAATATCCAGTTCTTTGTCTATTGTACAGCCAACATCACCCTGCAACTGGATCACTTGAGTAGACTTCAACAGTTGTATTATTTACACATACACTTCAGCATCTCTTTGCAAACCATTTTAGGCATTCATCCAGAAGGAGGTCAGCACACAGCATCACACAGAAAGCTAGCATCACCTCTTAGCCAGAACAAAGACAAACACGCTCGAGTTACAGGCGATTTGAAATCTCACAGGCCTGACTTTTAATCCTGTTCTAGATGTGTTTGTGTTGCGGCCCTTTCAACTCACCTCATTTAGATTAAAGCTTTAAATTTCCAACAGCGTCAGAGTGTCATTCTACATTTAGTTGATTTTTTTTTTTTTTTTAAAGGAAAGGACTGTCACATCAAACCTCCAGTAATTACAGTCGACTAACTGCCTACAATCCTATAAAGGAGATAACAAAGACTGGAGTGACCCAAATATGTCTGCAGATATCAAAAGAGAGGCCTTAAAGGTGATACAGATTACTGGGCCAGAGGCTGAGCCCTTTCACTCAAAACTCCAGCGCACAACGAGAGTACTCTCTGTTATATCTGACATAGTTTTTAAAAGTTCTTTATATTGACCAGAACAACCTTGGACAGGAGTCAGTAAAAACATTTTTGAGTAGTTCAGGGGGTGAGTCAGAGGATTGGGACTAGACTGAAGTAAATTAGCACTTCTCAGGGGATATTAGTGGTCAGAAGGTATGGAAAGGTTGAGGATTTGCCCTGTTAGTTTGTTTTTAAGGTTAGGATCATGGCTTTGTGGAATACCAAAAAAGAGGTCACTGATGCTAAGAGGTATAGCCCCATCTACTGTCAGTGAAAACCCTACTTTGATGAGCTCAATCAATGTCAAGTTTCCTCAAATTCAATCAAAAGTGAGTCCAAATATTGATCAAATGGCTCAAACTGCTCTTTTTAATTCATGTTTTTTTCACACTAAATTATAAAACAAACGAAGGGAAATTTGAAATACACCTGTGCGAATGGACACTCACTTCAGATAAGTGATATGCGGTGGGTTTGGGCTTCTGGGAAGCAACTGCCTTGCTCTTTTCTAGTGATTGATTACATTTCTAACTTTGAAAGAAGCTCATGCTTCAGTGATGATGACTGTTATAGAGAAAAACCCAGACTGGATCAATACAAATAAGTTTACAGGAGGGATCAGCTGCTATACAGTATGTATTACATAGAGATGCACTTCAGTCAGGCTATCCTTCTGCAAGGGTCATTTCCTGTGTACACATCAGCATCCTCCCCCCTACAACAGTGTATTCTAAGAAGTATCGAAGTGAAGTGCTGTGTAAATCTAACGTTGATATTTGATTGTGGTGATTTCAAACCTGAAAATCACAGTATTCCACTTGTATTCACAATAATTTTTCAAATAAAAGACACGTATTTGCAATGTCTGCTTAATAAATATAGTAATTGAAACAATTAATGAACATTTGGTTTTACTGTCACCCTGTGGAATATCAAAACTAACATAGTCCTCGCTAATTGATGTGTTTTGACTGATGCAAATGAATAGATTCTTTTCCAAATAATGAGTGAATAATTAGTCATAATTAAGTATGCTAACAAGCACTGATTTATTAACTGATTTCTCCAGACCAGCTTCTTCAGTGTTCACTGCATGCCAGGCTTTCTTTTAATGAGGCTGTCTGTCCCAATCAGTGTCAAACCATTCCTGTGGAGAGAAAAAAAGTCAATTATGAAACTTTCACTGTGTCATGCTCTGTTGATGCTGTTGCTGCTGTACAATGCTCTGCATTGAAAGTAATAATGCAGCAGTGATACAGAGAGGGCATTCTTTAATGCGATTCTAGGTACAAGGGTGATACAGCAATAAGAATTAGTTACAGCTGAAGTACTACTTTAGCACTTCAAGTGCACTTCATGGTGAGAGTTTCATGAGCTTATTATAAGTTTCATGCATGCAAAGAAAGATTTTATATAAGAAACACAAGAGGTGAAATATCACTATGGTTACATAAAGAAATATGGAGAATAATCAAGATAGCATCAATCCACATATTTGTACTGACAGTATGTCCTGCACACCTTTGAAAAGGTCCCTTCTCTTTCAGAAGAAAAGTAATTAGACATGGACACAGGACACCCCTGAACTCTTTGTTGTCATGTTTTAGCAGCAACACAATACTGTAAATATGTGGTGCTTCAAGAGAAGCTCATCATACATTATAAGCTATCTCAGTTTAAATCTGGCAGGGCTGACACCATTTGTCTGCAGTGACATCCTATTGAAAATCCATTTGCAGCTGACCAGTCCCTGTGTTAGATATCTTCACACCAGCTGTATTTGGCCTAAAGATTCTGTTGTTTGATACCACCAGCAAGTGGGAAAGGTGGCATTCTCAATTCATTAAAGTGCTCTACTACGATTTGGCCTCCTTAGTATTGTAACCTACTGTTATGGCATTTGATTTTCCTGTAATTCATTCCCATTAGTTATTCCAAACATATTTTGAGAGAGGAGAAGCTTAGCTTTTGCTACAGTATCAAAAGAGCCTTTCTAGAATAATGACGGTGAGTCTGAACACGAGAAATCCAGCACAATGAAAATGGGGACGATGATTTGAAAGTGTGTGGTGGCGTTTGTTCAGGAACAATAACACTCACTGCATTTGCAGGTGTGACTAGGCAGATTTATTTTTCTGGTGCCTTTTGTACTACATCCATAAATAACTGAGACCGTTGCATGTTTGAAGTCAGAAACATGCAAAACATGTTAATAAGCTTTAAGCCATACAGTCATACTTCCGGATCTGGTCTCCCTCAGTAGCTAATTAAAAGACATCTTTTTGATCTCATAATAGCGCTGCTGCCAGCATAAACAAAGCAAGTGACAATGACACAATAAGGGATAGATTTTTTTATTTATTTCAAGAGAATATTAGACTTGAATAAAGACCTATTTTTAACTGTTGTGTTTAGCAGCATCTTTATGATGTTTATTGAAATGTCCTGTCCCACTCTGTATGAACCCTAGTAAGTGATTGTTTGGTATTACCAATGTTGTTTTGCTCCCTTTGAGTCTAGCTCTGAGAGAACAAAAAACACATTTGCCATCAAACTCGGTCATCGAACCTACAGGCAAAAAAATCCACAACACTGTCAACATTAAATGTAAATGGTCTCTGATAATACAAGGTGAAATAAGTGTCCTACTGTAGTGCTTTAAGTTATAAATAGGATTTGTGCACCATTAGTGTACAGACCAGTGCTAGCAGTTGATCTGAATGGTGTACACCTGGAGGCGCTATACAAGACTAAGAAATTAAATTCAGTTATGGTTTAATTGAAGTAACACTACAAAATGACACAAAACGGCATATAACTGTATTGAACAACATCATCCAAATACTAACACTAGGGAATTTATTAAGGCAGGAACACAAGCTTTTGTCTACTGTAACAGTGACCTTTTCAAGATGTATCTGATCATAAGTAATTCACTTGAAAGTAAGAGATGTAACGACCAACCCCGGTCTCCCCTAGCAAGTAGCAGTTAACCTGTAGCCTAGTCTCCTCGTTGTTGCCTTCTGTGCTTTAACGCACACAGAAGTGGCCTAAATAAATTCACATGCAAATTAGATTACATTTGAAACGTTCACTCATAAAAAGTGTTTGTTTTACCTTCGTATTTGAAGCCCACAGACGTACATCAGGTAGGTTACCATGGCGTCTGAAGTCGGGTGGACGGTTGCTGTTGTAACCATGGTAACCTCCGTAAACGAAAACGGTGTCCGACAACTTCAGTTTAAAGGACAAATAACTCAACTATATAGGCTTCTTCTTCTTTAAAGTTGTTTTTTTTACAGATATTTTAATGACTTGACGCCCTTCTATTCGAACAATATACACGGAGACGGCAAATAATTTGACGTTACGTCGGACTAACGTAAAATGTTCAAGAATAATTACCAGGTAAGCTCACCTAGCGATGCAGTCCGACGCTTAAAAATGCTTGCGATACATGTTAAAGCCTTTTTTTAAGCTACTGTAAGTCCGGTGAAACCATGCAGGCTAATACAGAGAACTATAACGGTGTGTCTGGTAGGATGGAAGAGCTGTGGAAATCTTCAGTGCACAGGGAAAAGACCCTGTAGCTAAATGGAAACTTAGCGGAGGACCTTCAGTCATACATAAGGTGAGTCTTTAGAGAGTTAAGCTTATTTTTGAGGTGATAAAACAAGTAGTCTACAAACAAAGTCAAAATGACCTAATCTTTCTGTAAAACTATCACACTACTGCATAATTTATCTGTCATATTCTTATATTTATAGTCTGTTTATAGCCTTCATATTTATAACCATATGTATAATCTGTTCATAGCCTGTACATACTTATTCACATATTCATAACAATGTTATATACCCGTGATATACTCATGTATATATCTCCTTCATAACCTGTACATTTGTAAATATATTTATACTTGTTAAGCACTTCTGGATGGATGCAAACTGCATTTCGTTGCTCTGTACTTGTGACATGTGCAATGACAATAAAGTTGAATTCTATTCTATTCTATTCTATTCTATTCTATCACAGGGCATGTATCAATAGACAGCTATACCTGCCTATCATAACAATAAACTATGCACTCTCATGTTCATTAGCTATTACACAGATGTTTTACGTGCACAAACTTATTTAATCTTTGGATTGCATTACCTGAGAATTCTTGCTTTAACATGTTGACTTTACATTTCAAATTTTAACACATTAAAAACATTTGCATCCATCAAAAGCAGTGGCACCGAAGAAACAGGCAGCACATTATGATGGTCCTACCTATAAGGACTCTTTTTGTATTATGTCTTTCTTTAGGAGTATGACAAAGAAGGCAAGGGATTTGTGTACTGCCTGGAGGGAAGCAGCCAGACAGTCAAGATGCAAATGCCAGAAAATGGGAAAACGTCTCGTAAGTCATGAACGTATTCTCAACTATTTGTTATTTCCACATGTTCAGAGTAATTTACTGTTTTGTTTTTATCTTCACAGTGGGACTTCTCCAGAGATTCTTGGTCCTTCAAGTGAATATTCCTCGCCTGAAAGACTTCTCAATAGAGCTTGCGTAAGTTTCGGAGCAAGGATTCTTAATACACTCATTATAATTTAGACAGTGCACGGCCACTTACTTGCTTACTAGCATTTGAGAGTGTGCTCTGTTGTAGATCACAATAAATCCGCACTTATTCAAGAGCATTTATAACAGTTTTGTCATGGTACGGTATGGTAACCGTTATCATATTTAGTAGAGTCAATTAACAGTCATGTTTAGAGTTAACATCATAATGAAGAGTAGGAACATAATTACTGATTTAAGGAGAATCCCCCTCAGACCGCTGGAAAAATAGCAAAAAAACAGCTTGTTTACATCCAGGAGAGGAGCCCCCTGAGCCACCTGAAAAAAAAATGCTTCATATATGCAAGAACTGCTTAAATAGCTATTAAGATGGAGATAATATTGAACTGTTCGCTGCAAAGATGGCTTTTATCTTGCCAGTTGAGGTAAATTGGACAAGGTTGTTTGCTAAAAAGGATAAAACTTTCGAGAAACATCACAATTTATGATGAACGAGTGAGTAGTCATTGTTTTTATGATTAATAAACACAATTTATGCAATCAAAATCTTTAAAACTCTCTCACTCTACTCTCCTTACAAATAAGATTAACTCAGTTATTCATTAAAAGGTGCCACCATCTGGATTATGAGAACCCATTGGGGAATTGGTAAAACATTCAAGCAATAATCCATTTTGTATGACAATTTTTCCTTTGACTAGCACAACATCGTTTCAAGAGTCAAGAGAAATTTCAATGCCATTGCTCTTCTGCCTCATATTAAAAATTGAATGAAATCACCTTTTATAAAAACCATACATCTCTGGCCTTGACTTCTCACTGACACTACTTACATTTTGACTTCATGTTCTGTTTCTGCTCCACTCAGTATAACGGATTCACAGCACCTGAAAAGGAGACTCCACTTGTCAACCGTGCACAAAGAGTTATATGCCACACCACTGCATGCAAGGATACCTCTTAAAGGATTAGAGCGCAATATTGTGAGTACTCAACTCATATCTGGCGTATTCTTTTGGTATATGTGCGTCAGTTGTGTGCTTCTTTTTATCGATGTCAATGCCTTATTGAGGGTACGTTTGAAATAATCCTTTTGCTTTTATTTCAGTGGTCTTCTTTGTGCATCGACCTTGTTTCATTCTCCGATGAACTGTTCAAAGGTTTTCTGTCTTTGGATGGCATTACTTTGTATGCAACCTGTAAAGTCCGCAGGATCCTCACAATTAAACCAGAGCCCTCAGAAATTTCACATGACGGTAATGAGATTCTTCACACCTAAAAGAAATATTTTGAAACATAGATTTTACTAGCTTGCCTGTAATTCTGTCAATGACTTGTAATTCAGGACATTTCACAGCAGATCGGCTTATGTGTATGGACAAGAATTTGGCTGCATTTTATGATATTTAGTTTTTGTTGCAGTACTCACTACTACTGTCAAAACTGGCTCCCCGGTGCACATCTTATCTACTTGCCAGGAAAAAGCTCTGAATTTTTAGATTTTGTATTTAATCGAAATGTATTCTTTCCCATTTGATCTCATAGCCTGATATCAATATGTTTTCAATTATGCTTTTACTCTAGGTACATTCCTCAGTGAAGCCAGTTATATGGACTTGATCACTCGTAGTTGCCACTTCCTACCAGGTGTCTGCCATGTAATTCAGGTGCTGAACATGCAGAGTTTACAGAAGGCAGATGTGAAACCTGAACTGTTGACCTCTGACTCTGGTAGGTAAGAGCAAATTAGAGTACATTTTTTCTTGTACAGAATTAGAAAAAAAGTTATGAGAGCTTAACAAAGTTAGTACTTTACATAACTTTCCTAACGTCTCATCGCGTCTTTGCATTGACTTAACATGTAAGTAATTCGCACGAATGATTTTACTGGCGCTTGGTGTGTGGAGACAGTTCGACTTTCCCTGGCCTTTGGGGTCTGTCTTAAACTGGTTCAATAATCCATTCCTCTGAAGACTGTTACAACCTGTTTTTTTATCTTATTTTTTATTTAGTATTTTAAATGGATGCTTAGTCAGCAGAAATGGTGTAACATCCTGCTGCTTTACCAGCCAGATCACTGGTCGCAAATACCTCAAGTGCAACATGTCAGCGCACTATCCATAATTATATAGAATTGATGAGTTGAACACAGACTCACTGCCTGACTCACTGATGCACTTGTGGCTGAGTAGGAGAAACTCTGGCTGTAACAGCATCATTATATCCGTGGTTTTTTTTTTGATAAGATGCTAAAAGACCAAATGTGACTGCAGTGCTCAATTAGCCTCATATTTTTGTCCATTGACAGGCTGTCTCTCAAAAGGCAAACACTCTCTCTGAAGAATTTGTCCAGAGTCTCGGGGGGGCTAATGAAAAAAAAAATCCAAGACAAAATATCAGTCATAATCCACTGATTAAATGTTCATTATACCAAGAGAAGCATCAAAATGGTGTCACAAAGAGGAATTGCTTTATACCAAGAGACAGGGTTGATAATCGATTTGTTTTCCCCCGTATGATATTCCTGTGGTTCTCATTTTTGTGTTCATTTGCACCTCACCTGTTCTCAGTGAGCTGCAATTATCTTCTCATATAAAAAGACATGCATCAGTAATCCAGTTCCGCCGCCTCTGTGGCCTTTTTTATCAGCGCTTATTTATTTGTTCTGACAGCTGTCGAAGTCATGTCGAGTCAACCAGCAATGCCCAAAAGAAGAGAGCAGCAACCACACACAAGAAATGGCTTTTCATAATTAGCATCTGCATTATTAGCATAACATTCCTAATCATAATTAAAACGATTGCTATTAAAGTAGGCATACAATTTCACTGTGACAAAGTTTCTCGGTGACTGTTGTGGCTCCAGTGCCCAATCTGTCAGAATCTGTTAAAAGTGAGACAGTAGTTTTTGTCACGCAACAACAAACAAACCTTCATTATCTATTACACCAAAGATGCTTTGTTTTTCTTAAGGTCAAAACATTTTCACATGTCAAAGTCACTTCTCAAATCACGCTTTTAGACGATCAACTATCATTTGAGTGTTGTATGTTCCCTTTTACATCCCCCATTATTTTGTATGTACTTTTTCCTGGGCCATACTCTGTGCTGTGTCTTGATAAATCGGAAGTGGAGCATGCTTCTCTTCTCTTCTCTTCTCTTCTCTTCTCTTCTCTTCTCTTCTCTTCTCTTCTCTTCTCTTCTCTTCTCTTCTCTTCTCTTCTCTTCTCTTCTATCATTGTAATAGTCCTATGTGCTTTTTGAAACGGAAGTGCCTGCTCTGCTCTTTGCTCCGATGAGGATAAGGCAGAAAGTGTGTTTTGCTTTTAACATCAAGGTTTGGTTGTCACAGGTTGTGGGCTCATCCCTGCACCAACAACAGCCCCTATGCATACTGATGTGAAACAGGAAGTTAGAAATATTGATAGATATCACTCACTCTGGCACAGTCTAATTGCAACCAAACATTTTCCTTTTTACACTTTCATCCACTGGACTCAGGCAACTTAAAAGTTTACAAGTGTCTGTGATTTGTTTACTGAGACAATTTAAGACCATTTCTAAGACAAGATTAGAGTCCTAAGGAAAGTAAAATCTCACCAAGGGATTTCTTTTTTCACATCCAGATAAATCTGCAACGACCAAAGCACCCAATACTCGAAGAACCAGGCCCCAGGGTGTCTCCAACTCAGCATCAGCCTCCAGGGTTTCAGGGTCACCCTCACACTCTGGAAGAAAAAGCACTGCGACTTCAGACAGAACGGAAAAAAGTTTACACCCTATCTCAATCGCGGTACACACACATGAATCCTGTCAGATCTCTCCAGCTTGATTTGTACCATAAGGTGGAGTTATAATGTTATACAACATTAGAAAATGTTTCTGTTTCTCTGTGCCTCACAGGGATCCTCCGTCAGTAGAGTGAAGCAGAAAGTTTCAGCGGAAAGCCAAAGCACAGCCGACCTGAGTGAGAATTTATCACACAGAGAACCAAGTTCACACATCCTGCCCGAGGGTAAATTTCAGTAAAAGTTCATGGTGCAGTTTAATCAAGTCTGCCTGGTTCCTCTACATAAACATGCCCTGGTTACTCAGATATTAGATCAGTAAATAGCTTTTTATCACTTTTTGTATTATTCTTTTCTTTTTGTTTTTGAAGCTGGTTCTATAGTGTGCATCTAGCATGAGGTGCACAAAATTGCTCCTTGTAGTAAATGGGTTTGCCTTGGCGACTGTGTACTTGTTGAAAAAAAGTGGAAGTAGCAGAAAAAAAGAGTCATGGGTGAAGAACTATAAAAGGAATGGCTACATTTACAGTACAGTGACGGCGAACAGGTGCAGAAGTAGAGCAGTTATTGGGGAAAAATGCAGCGTTTTTGTAAATACAGTCAGCTGAAGGGAAGCAAACAATAAGGACTAAGAATAGAGTCCAGCAGAAAGGCAACTGCCGGTCAAATATTTCTTTTCACAGGAAAGAAATGTGAAATTTTTGGATGTGCACAAATGCTGCAAAAAGTAGTAGTTAAAAACTTTGCATTTGGTGAGATCAGTGCTGTGCAATCAGATTTAATTTCTAAGCAAATTCAGTTGAAATCCACCAAGTTTTGACATGTCTTGAATTTGGATTGATTTACTTAAGTACTATTGTTCACTCACAATGGACAGCAAGAGTTATCTGTAGAGTGAGTGTTCCCCTTATAATAAAGGCCACTCACAACCATATTGCTGGAGGTGCTATGGAAGATTGGAGGATTCAGTTATTAACTGTAACTAAGTGGCTCAAAAGTTATTCAGCAGATGAGGAGGAGCTATGATGTCAATTTGAAGATTATGGTCCTCTCTGCAGCAGAGTCATTAAACGACTCTAAAGCAGCCAAGAATTATGGCGCACAGAGTGTCTAAAAATGACCTGCTCCACACCCATGTGAATATGTTACTAAAAAGCAGAAAGAAAGGATGCCCATTACCAGACTGTTCATCCGTTGAATAGTTTCTAGGGTTATTTTGAAATTTTGTAGTTTTTAGATGCTGATGCTGTGAACAGTTCTTGAATTTGAATGCGCTCACATCATTTTGAAAAGAATTCAGAATACAATTTTACACAAAAGGTGTCAAAAACAAAATTTTACTTGCTTGTGTCTAATGGGTTATCATTATTTGAAATTACAATTATTGTCTTAAAAACAGAACAAGATTTGGTCTTTAAAAAATCTCTAAAAAGGCTTAAAAAGGGTGGAGGTGAGATTTTAACCCTCCTCCTGTCTTAGCTTTTACTACGCATCAGTTTGACCCGTGTCTTAAAGCAGCTGTAAATTACACTGAAAACAATTCTCTATCATCCAATTTGGTTCTCATCTCTAGGTTACCTTGTTAGGCTTCATTATCCATGAAAATATTGCTTGTATTATTTTTTGTTGTGGTCCTCTGGGCCTTTCTTTGTCAGTATACCCCTCATACAGAAATCTTGACTGAACTGATCTCACATGTCTGGACATGCCTGATGTTGTTTTTTGTGCAGGGAAAAACATGGCAAAATGAGAATTTCCTAAATCTCACATGATTGAAAGAGGATCTGACTGTCAGTGTGGTGCCTGACAGTACCCCTATGATTACAGTTTTTGCTCTGATTATTAGATATTAGTCTAACCAGGTCAACAGCAACCCTAACATGACAAGTGCCATAATTTTAATAAGAGCATTTAATAATTTAGTCAACTAGTTTTTTTTTTATTTTGTCGAAATAGAGGTTCCTAACAAAGTCAAAAAGATGCAAAAATACAAATTTAAGTGGTTCTTTTCAGCATTTAAAATAAAAAATGGGCGGTGCAAAAAAGGGGTCATTTCATATCCAGGCCAATTGAGTATATAATGGCAGATCAGTGTTGTTTTATGACCTGCATTATTTGGCTTGCTGGTTAGGCATGTGTCAGGATTTAAAAAAACGTGCCTGTGCAGGTGTTTCACTTTAAGCCTTCGTAGGTTTTGATATAAAGTTAATTAGCACAGAAATGGAAGGTCAAGAAGGAGGAAAAAATGACATTAAGGAGGACGAGGAGGAACGAGGAGCTACAAAAGCTATTAAGTCTAGTTGATTTTGACTTCCTCCCTGTAATCCCCTTGATGACAGTGAACAATATCTGCTCAGTACGTCTTCATTCAATATATATACCATAAAGATCAGTCTCATCAGTGTGAGACTCAAGTGTACTTCTTACTCTCGATGTACACTCCTTCCATTACAGCTCTTTTTAGCTCTATAGTGCGCACAATTATCCTTCTGAGAGCTGTCCATCTGTGAAAGCATTACATGAATGAACAAACCTACAAAAAAAGAGCTCTTATAGTCTCTCAAGCACCTAATAGCAGCTTTTATACCACTGGTAATACACCGCCCTTTGAGCGTGACTGAATGCAAAAAGGGATGATTAAAAATTCCTTAATTTAGCTGAAAATAATGTCGCTGGATGTGTTTTCCCTGCGCTAAATAAATGTGAGAATCTCAGCTTGTTAAATGCTTTCATTAATAGGGATCTTTGCGGTGCATAATCAGTAAGCTAATACGCTTCTGGCAATCTTGAATAACTTTGTTGTTTAACTGTTTTGTGGCATAAAGATTTTTTTTACTACTTTGCGCAGGAACACCTGGCAGTCTGCAGCCACATCCACCAAAAGATAAAGTGTCTGACAAGATGGGATCCAAAAAGCTATTAGTCAACAGTTCTGGAAAAGAGAAGCCAGCAAAATCGAGTAAAGTGGACACACTGCGAGATAAACTCTGAGATTACAGCTTTGTGTTTGATTTAATGTGGTAAACGGTTTAATTTTACCTCAAGATGCCGTCGTACCAGGTGGCTGCAGAAAGAGAAGCAAAACAAGAGAGCTTTACCTCCCCCAAGAAAGCAGGCGGCAACCTCTGACCCCAACAGAAAAGCCGGATGACCCCCCAGCAGGTGAGACTGAGCAGGACAGCAGGAAGAAGCAGCAGGTAGATGTGAGCGCTTTCTGACTGAGCAAGGGAATAAAAGGTCCAAAAAGACAGGAAGCATTTGGCGAAAAAGAAATAATGAGTCTGATGAGTGTTGTTGATGTCTACTCTCTGCATGCTTTGATTTTTAACAAGTAGCTATTTCATACTTGTGAAAAACACCTATTCTTAATTCATAAATCATATCACTTCAAAAATAGACCATGAATTTTAATGAGCCTCATTCTATGCAGCAAACGCCATGGCTTTTGTTCTCCTTTTAAATTCTGCATAACCCACACCAAGGCCATTTTGCAGGATTTTTGTAGAAGAGAATCCTTACTCAAAAGCAAAAAATCTTCCACAGACACACACCTACAGCTGCGCCGTCCCCACAAAAATGAGAGCTCGTGCTTTGAAAGCTCATTTATGATGTTTCTCCATAGCAATAAGTCCCTTTGCTGCAGTCCTGGCCACAGACGGAAAGTAGTCAGTTCATTAATGGTAATGTGGCACATTAAATAAAAGTCAGAGGGACATCAGAGGGGCCCGGGGTCTGCCACACAGTGGGCAATTAGAGGAAGTGATTATACTGTCGAGAGGTTCAAATGTGCTCGCTCATTCAGATAGAGGTGCAGCTTTCTTTGAGCTCAGACCTATCGGAGAGTTTAAGGTTTCAGTCTTTTCCTTCAAGCACACATGAATGGATTCAACTTTTCATTCAAGATGGAAAAGAATCTGCCCACTGTGCTTTACCACATGACAGAGGACAGGTAGCACCACTTTAGGATCTTCTCTTCCAGCACAAGACCAAATGACTGATGCGATGTGAAGGTATATTTGCTCGGAAAATAGGGTTTCCAAACCAGTTATCTCCTTTTATGCCCCTGAGCCTGTGATAGCCGTGGCTGGAGGCATTATGTTTGCATTTTGTCCATCTGCCTGTTTATCCGTCCGTCTGTCCATCCGTCTGTTCTATTCTTGTCAACATGATTTCTCTGGCACACCTTGAGAGAACTTATTGGACTCAGAGATAAACAGATTAGAAGTTTCAAATCAAATGTTGAGATTCCTATGATGGCCTTTAAAAAAGTTTAGGATCACAAATGAAGAACTTTTATGTTTATTTCCGTTAAATAGGCCAAATTAGGAGGGTAAAGTTTCAGAAAAAACACTTTTGATTCACCTTTCTTTTATGCCATAAATCAGTAAAAAAGGTGAGATTAGGACCATATTAGGACACTTTAATAAATGCTGTTTGACTTGAAGCCTTGTGATTTTACAGATTCTCTTTGTTACACAATTTTAGGTATTATGGACCATCCACATAGTAAAGTTTGTTACAAAATCCATATTCAAAACATCATGTTGTGCCACGGCATCATCTTCTGGGTTTTTATTCCTCTTAATGAAGTTACACATCTGCAACTAGACAGGCTGGAGGAGTCATATAACCCCAGGGCGGCAATTCTTGTTGATGGAGATCTTCCATTTCGCGAGTGATGATCTTGCAGTAAACTGCTGTTGTTGCTTTTGATGATGCTGTTTATGTTGTAATGTTTTCATAAAGGTGTCTTCATAAAAGGTGTTAGCAAAGCAGAGCTATTACCAAAACCCACAAAAATGTCAGTGCAGGAGGAATTAATGGGGATGTTTGGCAAGCTTTGGAACTAATTAGGAATTTGCATATTGTTATTATGAATAAGGTTTATGGGCTTATAATCAACTAAACCTGAATGACATCAGCCGCATAGTCTCCAAGTTAAAAAAGGCTTTATCTAGTTTCATAATGGCATGCTATAAAAGAGGATTAGGGCCACAAGAAGAGGAAAAAATTACAAGAGGGAGATTTTTTAAATTTTCATTTCAAGATTAAAGTCAAAATTTCAAGATTAAAGTTGAAATTTAAAATAGTCAAAATTTACAAAATCGTAATTTCAACACCAGAATCGTAATTTCAAGATTCAAAAAATCTAAATTGAGTGAATAAAGTCGAAATTTTGACTTTAATCTTAAAATTTAAATTTTCTTAACCTCGAAATTTCGACATTATTCACGACATTTTGACATTTTGTAGTCTTGAAATTTCGACTTGTATCTGAAAATTTCAATTTTAATCTCAAAATCCCACTTTTATCTCAAAATTTTAATTTTTTAATCTCAAAATTTCAACATTATTTACGACAGTTGGACTATTTGTAATCTGGAAATTTCAATTTTAATCTTGGAATTTCAATTTTTGATCTTGAAATTTCGAATTTAATCTCAAAATTTTAGTTTTTTAATCTGGAAATTTCAACATCATTTATGACATTTCGACAATTTGTAATCTGGAAATTTCGACTTTAATCTAGAAATTTCAATTTTTGATCTCAAAATTACAATTTTATCGACATAATTCCAATTTTAACCATGAAAATTTGACTTTTATCTCGAAATTTCAATCTTTAATCTCAAAATTACGACTTTATCGACATAATTCTGATTTTTTAGTGACTTTAATTCTGAAATTTCCACTTTCATCTCCTTCCTGTAATTCCCTATTTTTCTCTTCATGTGACCCTAATCCTCTTTCGTAGGATGCCCATCATTGCTCTGGGTTTACAGCACTCTGAGCCTTAAATTTTATCCTAAAAAATATTCATCTGTGTGTGTTCCACATAAAGATCTTAGGTTAACGCTGGTTTCTTTGTTTTTTGCTTTTAATGTAGATGAGGGTTGCAACAGTTCAGACAAGGAAAGTTTAGAAGCTGCTCCCACACCTGCAGAATCTGTCTCCTGTACGGACCGGACCACTTTATGTGCTGACCTGCAGGTCTGCAGCAGCTGGGAGAGTCATGAGGAGTCTGAGCCTGAGCTCACTCTGCAAGAGGTGTTCACTTTCCAATCGCAGCCACACTCACCCAGACGAGGGCGAGGCCAAGGTGAGCAGGAGAAGCGGGAGATGGGGGAGAAGCAGGTTCAAAGTGGCAGGAGGAGGCGACATGAAGCCCTACCTGAGGATGACTTCATTGGGAGTGAAAGTGAAGAGGTACGCCTGCTTTTAGAAACACTTGCAAACTGTAATCCATCCCAAGATTTATTTCTAGGGCGTGATGAGCCAGCTGTTGTAGTATAACATGTTCTCTATCACGCTTACAGAAACAGGTTTTAAAAGGATGCTTCGGCACATTTAAAGGATATCTTACACTCTGTCTTATCTTATTCAAACAGTTCACTTCCATTGCCCCCATGGTTTGATTTAATTCAGGCAGTTTGAAGCTCGGTTTGTGTTGATTTAATATTTTAGCTTTAGAGCGCAGTACTTCTTACCATACATTCCTCTCTACTCAGTATATTTAAACTGTAAAGGTCACAGGGCTTGTTATCGTCGGTTAATTTCATAAGGGCTCTGAAGCTTTTAACAAAGAATGGAATCTTTTCTTTTTGCTGAGCAGGGAAATAAGCTTTTGAACCACAAGAAAAATATTACCATCTTCAAAGAAATGCTAATTACTTTTACTTATTCAAAACTTCATAATAAGACTCATAATTCAGACCTAAGAACTCATTTTTATTGTGCAACTGATTAGTTAAGCTTTAATATTTTCTTTTGGTATCACAGTAATGTATTCAGCGCACCGTGTTGAAGACAAAATCCTCTTTGTAAGAAAGAAACGAAGAAAAACATTTGCTGGTGCCGTATCTTAAGTGCATGTGGCAGACCGTGTATATTTTCCTTTTGTTGATATCTTCCTGTGTGATGTGGGTGGGGTATCGAAGAGAATGTCAGACCGTTTTTGTGAATTTCTACATTGTATGAACAAGTCAAGCAGGAGACAAACTGCCCTGAAACCGTAAATGTCAGGTTTTGGTATCAGCCTGTCTCAATGCTGACTATTTTCCATCAACAATGGCTGCATGTTGCCATGTCCATGTAGAGAAATATAAATCAAACCAGGATAATCTGTTTTGAAAAACTGCATATGAATCAGCCTCTGTCTGAAAGAAAGTGATTTTTCTATTTGTGACCTTTGTAAACTGCAGGAATAATCTGTCTTTCTTATCCAGGGTCCTTTTTATCATCTTTAGATGATGATTACATTCTGTTTTTAGAGATCTGTATTATCCGCTGCTGAATGTGAAAGTCATTTTCAATTTCCATGGCTTTCATTTTCATTGTTTACAAGCCAAACATAGTTTATAAGGAAAGCACTGCAGGACATTTGACAAGCAGAGTTCAATGTACAGCCTTGACCCTGGCTGAAAAACCACAGGCGTGCTTCGGACATTCAGTGAGGTTGCTAGTGATGTTACTTTTTACAGTTTGTACCTTTAAGAGTCAACAGTCACATTATTAGCCCACTGAGCAATAGACGGCTATTAGACGTCTAGTTTTTTTTAAACCTAATTTCAAACATCCAGATTCTGTATATTTTTAGGCGGAATTTAGACATTGCACTTTAACCCATTATTTGCAAAAACTGATCTCCAAGTACTTAACCAAAATAATTAGAAGAAGAAGAAGAAGAAATTTATTGATCCCCGAAGGGAAATTCAATTGTCTGTTGTCTCACATATGTCTATAAAAGTTATCTATTATTTACATAAGAGTTATAAAGTCTAAAGGCTGTTGGTACAAAAGATCTTCTAAATCTTTCTGTCCTGCAGCGAAGAGAGAGGAGCCGTCCACCACCATTTGCCCTTTGGTCTATCAAGGTGTTGTGAAGTGGGTGATCCATGTTCTTGAGAATAGTCTCCACCTTCCTCAGTGTAGATCTCTCCATTACGATAGCCGTTGAGCAATATACAGTGTAGTAAAGATATAGCCAAGATTTAGTCTTGGTTTAAACTTGGTCTTAAATTAGACGTCTAAAAAACCTTTAGTTTTAGACCTGTGGTAGCCTGATTTTAGACCAGTCGTCTAGGCTACATTTAGTATTAAACCTCTTTTAGACCAAAAAACGCTCAGTGGGAGGTTATCCATCCGGAACAAAAAATATCCCATAGCACTTACATTAAAAAGCTGTGATTGGAAGGAAATGCATCCATAAAAAAAATAATTCATAGTCTCTCAAGATGAAATATCACTTGAAATGTGTCTGACGGGGTGTTTGAAAGATCACCTCTTCAAATTAACACATGAAAATCAGATACCACTACCACCTGGTATGAAATTGGTTTGAAAACACATATGTACTTTGGTTCTGCAGTGCCATACACTCAATGTAATTCAACAATCAGCACACAGGAACATATCTGTGTTTTGTGGCTTTCATCCCTTAATGTTTTTTGTGAGGCAGTTGTTCAAGAAATCGTTTTTCTTCAGAGAAGTGAATGAGAGAGCCAAATCTGTAATCAAAAAACAACATAAGAACAAAATCACTGCTCCCTTAGATATCCATTAGATCAGAAATTGAATAAGCAGAGCCAGTAGGAAATGAGATAAGAGAAAATAAGAAGAACTTTATTAATCCTCGAGGCACAGACTTTGGCAACACAGAAAATTGTCTTAAATGTCCTGGTTACATACTGTGGGATTCCTGGAGTTGCTGACGTGTATTGAAAGGGTTCATGTTGACACACATCAGTAAAAGACAGTGATTTAGCTATTCTCTGTTGAGATTTTTCTCTCCAGAAGTGCTGTGCAGCCTTTTCAGAGGGTGGCTGTGAGTTTTTTTTCCAGCAGTCAAACATGGAAACAAATGCAAACGCCATACATTTTCCTCTCATTGGTTTAAATTCACTGAGCCTTGATCTGAAGTAACACTCCTGAAAAGGCTCAGGAAGACTCACAGACACTCATAAGTAGGTTTAAGAAAGGGCTTTTCATTCGGTTTTATGAATAAAAACACATTCACTTTTTTGAAACACAAGGATAAAGTGTTTTTTTTTTTGGAAAGCAACACTCCTTTTGAACACTACTTTATAATTTGACAAGCAAACTTGACGGTACAGCTTCAACTTTTTTTGCTATTTTTCCACAAATGTTTGTCGGGCTGTTTGCCCAAGTTTATTTGAAAGTGAGAACTAAATTTTATCCAAGTGAGAGAGAGTTCTATGTCTTTCAGCCATGATTTGACAGGTGGAGATTGTTTTTTGTTGTTGTTGTTGTTTTTAACTTTTCTTTGCCGTGATAAGAGTGTAAGATACTCATCCCTGTTGGCATTTGTTAGGCTGAGAAAGAGACTCTAAACAGCACTTTGGGGTTGCTCAGGTTTTGATATTGTATGCAAAATTTCTAGAAGTATTCAGCGTGTACTTTTCCATAGTGGGGAAAGCTCAGGACAATGACATATAAAAGCTTCTTCATTCTGAAATTTGTCAGAGGGAGGAGATACTAAAGAAAAAAATGCTCAGTTTTGTTTTAGTGTAATAAAGTCTGTAAATAATCTTGAATTGAGGGGGGTCCCTATTGGTTAAGTGTTCTATATATTCTTAAGAGACCTCTAGCTCTGCCCCAAAGTGAAGGCTACTGAATATGATAGCAGTTAAAACATGTTGACCGGTAACTTTAATTCCTTTTTCAATTCCAAATAAAACTCGGGGAGCAGTGTCGCACCCCTACGTCTGTGGACCGCCTCCCCAGCGCACTGCCTCCATTTCTCACCGCCTGCCATCCCCAGTGCAATGCTCTAAACTTTATGATGGTTGGTACTCGTGACCGCCTTTGAGTGTTGTAAGTCATTTAGTGTAAAAAGACATGGCCACACCCTTTGACCTAAACACGTGATTTTTTATTATGGTTTTTCTCTCAAAGTGTATCTAACAGACTGGAAAAGAAATAACAACAAAACTGTTAATGGTTTGTTTTGGAGGAGGCCACTTGTGGGCACTTTCAAAAAGCCCTGTTTGTCTTTGACGCTTGAGGGGGCGCTGTTGCTAGACTAAGCCTCATCGTGAAAAGTTGTACATTATTCTTAAAGTGGAGTATTGTGGGTACCTCTGGTTGCAGTTTCAGCTCTCTATTCATAAATCCCTGGGAGGAAATACCTTTTGAAAAGAGCTTTATCTCAAAATCTCAAAATGCAATGTTCCAAACGATACCGCCAACTTCTGGTTCGGCATGGCCTATGGGTCCAGGAGGCTTAATCACTTCCTTTTTTTGTGTGATATAAAAATATGTAGTGAAAAGAATCACTTGGGCAAAGCAAAGAAAGATTTAGTCTAGGGCACCATGTGTAAATACAAACAGGAGGGTCATCTGCATATTATGACGCAAAGAAAGCATGTTAGTATGTGACTCTACATGTTATGGTGTTGCATAATGAAAATCTGCTGCTACTTGAGTGTCACTTCTGTCAGTTCAGTGATTCACTTCACCTCAGTTAAGACTGAAATCTGCTAAGTGTCAATTAACATTATAAAATACATGTCGGCGGAAAACGGCATCATTAAATAATTTTTCCAGGAAAGGGAAGAGCTTTGATTATTCGATCATGAGGGACAAAGGTTTCCCCTTTCAAGAAGAGGCTCAGGAGTTTTCAGAAGTTTTTAATGTTTTTCAAAAAACGGCTCCTAATAAGAGTGAGCCACAGAAAGAAAATTTAGCACTTCCAATTCCCAGGGGAGAAAAAGAAGCGTTTTTAAAGACTGTTTGGCAAGGTCTCAAAACAGCAGGTAGATGAAGCAAAGTGCTTTAATGAATCCTCCAAAGCTCAGTATTGATAGCATTGACTTTTGACTGTCTAGCCAAATGGTTTCTGTCTGGTTGCAGCATTTTCACATATTTTTCAAAGGGGGATAAAAGTATCAGTCAGAAATGTTATGACTACGAAACTTCATGATGCAGAATTAGTTTGTTTCTCACCGGTGTTAATTAAGATGCAGTAATAGTAACTGTATCTGTTTATTACAGAGAGTGTTAGTTAAGCCTCAAAATAAATCAGGATCTTTTAAAGAGAAAAACGTCTGTGCTCAACTTTCCTGCTCTGACTTCTGACTGTGACACCTGGGCTGTTTTCTAAGATTTTTGATTAGTCCAGGTGCAAGTGCCCATTTTGTCAAATCTATTAAAGAAACCTTGCAAGTTCCGTGAAAGCGAGCGATATCTACATGATTGAAACTAGTTTTAGATAGAGCAGCCACATCCTCACCTTTCAGTCAAGTTTAGGAACATTTATAAAATGAAAGACTGAATGGGCTGGCTCGAGGAGACATGGTGCACAGTCATTATTATTATTATCCAGGTTTCCACTGAAAGCATGACCAGAAACTTCTTGGTAAGAGATAAAATATTCAGTAGAGCTACCGGTGTAACGCTGACTGGTTGACCCTAACTAAACATCGCAAAGAGCTCCTCACAGATTAACATGATTTGATGACAGAGCAGAGGTCGTCTGTCTTTTTCTATGGCCTTCAAAATACACGAATTCAGAGATCTACTGGCACACGGTGAAGTCAAAGCCTGTAAAAATGGGTGAGGCGGGGGTAGAGAGGTCATTGAACTTGAGTAGTGTGGAGGAGGGGGGATGAGGAAAAACTGAACAGGGTTTAGGAAGGTGAAGAAAGTGAGTTCTCCAGGAAGCAGTTGGCATGTGGGTGGACACTGATTCCTCCTGTCATTGGCAGAGGGAGCAGATGGGGGACTCAGGGAGTAAAACAGATTAGAGATGAACAGTTTGAGGCAAGTTCCATCTGGTCTATAGAGATGTATTTGGCCCCATAAAAAAGTTTAAATTATCAGTATGGTACATTTAGGGAGGGTGTATGCATCTCATAACGCAGGGCTCTGGAATCTGGCTGTCATTCACATCTTTATCTTCCAGGGAAAGTGATTCATCTTAGACTTTGTGAGTCCCAGAGATGACTCCTACTTTGACAGAAAGCAAGTTTTCTTATTTCTTCAAGTCTTAGTGATGGTTAAATGTTTTGAGCCCATGGGAAAGAGGTGTAACTGCAACACTGTTAACCTTCATTTTAACCTCCTTCTGCTGAAACTAAGACTTGAGCACAGAAGTTCCCTGGAAAAATGTATAAGAAAGAGGATGGAAAGTCACACAGATAATCAAGCCAGTCTGGGTCAATACAGTATAGCAGCACAGCAAATAGCTTGAGTGGTACATATATAGTATATAAGGCATGCGTAACGTAATCAGTGACTCGGAAAAGGAAATTGAATGGCCAGTCTTGGTGGTGCACAAAGTTTTCAAAGACTTCAACTCACCATATTCTTGTCTTTACTTGACGTAGGGACAAATTACACCAGTATTTACAATCCAGAAAACTCAAGTCTGAATAATCAGTAGCTACTGTCTATGTTTTCTGTACAAGGGATTCTTTCTCCCAAGGCGTGACTGTAATAATCTATACCCATTGAGTCTGATGGTTTGTCTTATGTAGATTAGTTGGAGGCTATTTGACATAATATATGATATAAAGTAGTAAGTAATGACTCCTTTGAGTTTTTTTAAATTGCAATGGCATTATTGAATTTTGAAAGCAAGTTGATAGTAAAATCGACCAGTAGTTTACATATAGTTATGAGCTACTTAATAATGTGTTACAACCATAGACTGTATATACTATAGGGAAACTTGGTTCTGCCAGTATACCGATTTGAGGCCAAAAAGCTCTTGGTATATATTTTCTCCACTTCCTGAAACCAACATTGCACAGTAGTGTTGTGCGTATTTGGTGGGAGAGTCACCAAGAGTCGCTGTGATGATGCTCGGCTCGAACAGCGTATTCCCTGGGTGAGCTACGCAATCTTCGTACACCCATAAGCTATAGCAATTGTCAACCATAGAAAACATGAACCCCCTAATAACTTTTTAAAATGGAGCTGCACAGAAAAAAGAGGACTTGAGTACAAACCAGTCTTACGGTAACTACATGTCAACATCGCAACCAGGGGGGAGAAAATTTTTATTTTGTGTGATACATTTCTAAAGTTTGTCCACAGCTCCATAGGGATTGCTGGAGGAGGTGGGATTTATGACCTATACTGCAGCCCGTCACTAGAGGGTGCTGTTCTCGGGGTGGCGTCACCCAGTGAGGAGGCAGACTCTGTCCATTCTATATACAGGCTGTGGTTACAACCCTGGTCCCCATATAAACAGGGACCTTTGTTCATACTGTCTAAAAAAAAAATATGTGATTTAATCTGAGCATAGAGTAAGCAGCACAGGATCGACAGTGTTAAAAGTGAGTAAAATAAATGTCTTGTGATGACAGACAGAAAACATTTTTTTTTCTAAATATTAGCCTTTTTTAACCATTTAAGTTATATGCTGTAATTACGAAGATGTCTTTTACAATACAACACAAGAATTTTATTGATCCCTAAAGGGAAACTCATGAACATTTGCTTGACAAAGAGGCATTGTAACTAGATTTGTGAATTGTGAATGATAAATGTTCAAATCAATGAGTCTTTATTCCTGTCAGACTTAAGCTGCTATTAGATTTAAGCCTCTTCTTCTAGTCGTACAGTGTGTACAACCATGATTTTAATACTTCATTGAGGTTCACTGATGCTCCTGGCTTTATCTGACTATCTGCCGTAGATTACCACCCTGTTTTATTTTCATATTGATATCTTGCCCTCTGATACAAGTTGGTCTGATTTCAATTTATTTATTTCATTTATTGCTCATTTCTTAACACAGACCAACGTCATCTTTCAAGGTGTTGCATCAGGTCCATGCAATTCTTTGAGCTAACATTTGTTCTCCAACCCTGAGAAATATTAAAGCCAAACAAAACAGTGTGATTTTCAGTAGATGAAGTATTTAGAAATATTGAAGAAACAATTGTTTTGCTATTGTGGTGACTGAAAGTACGCAGTGTTGTGATAAAATCTCAGGATTTAATGCTGCAAAATCAGTGGATTGCTGCTTGCCCTTAGCACTCAGTTGGCACAGTGGCTGATACACACACAGCAAAGCCTCATTCTGACAGCCACACAGATATAAATCCTTTCAATAATACATGTAAGTTATTGTTGATTCACTTGCACTCACTAAAATGATAACCCTCTGGAAGAAAGGAGAAAACAAATAACATATGGAGCAGATGAGCTTGAGACCCTGAGGGGCTTATGATGACCTTTCACCCTTAAAACAGCTCAGAGATGAAAGGAAACACCTCAAAAAAAGACACAACAGACACAAAAGAAAAAAACAGTCTTTGGTTCAAAGAGAAGATACAATAATTGTACTCATGAGAAACAATATCTCCTTTTTGGACGTTAAAAATGTAGTTTTCCATTATTTGCATTTCACGGTTGTGATCTTGGGTTTTTATGAGATTAATGGAAAGACTATAGGCAGTGCAGTATCTTAACATACATGAGCATGACACCAGTTTTCAACACATTTTTAGCTTTTTGTTATCTAATGCAAAATATTTAACTTTTGCATTAGATACTTTAGCAATGAGACACTTTTAGCTCACTATAATTCTTAGAAGTAAGCAATTTATTGACGGCTCTGCTATTTTTAACCAATATTTCTGCGTCATGCCGTCCATTATCTAGGGATGGGAATCGAAAACCGTTTTTTGTTGAGAACCAGTTCCCAATGATTAATTCCATCGATATCGTTTACATTTTATCTTAATGATTTCCTTAACGATTCCTTTCTTCAGGGTGACTTCTTCACGAGAGCGAGAACAGAGACTTTGAGGAATAAAACATGGCGGATGGTACGAAAAGTAGGCAGAAACGATCTAAAGCGTGGTTTCAATTTACTAATAAAGACGACAACAGTGTGACGTTCAACATTTGTCGAGTCGTATTATGTATTTGACTTAATACCAACCGAAGTAAATGCTGTACAAATAGTTTGCCGTTTAATTATTTTTAGACTCACTGAAGGTTCCATACATCTTTCTCTGTTATCAGAGACTCATAATCAAAATTTGAGTTAATAGTGAAAACCTGTAGTCTACTTTTTTTTTAAATCAAAGAAAGGCATTGGTAAGGGAATCGCTAAAGAATTGAATCAATAAGAAGAATCGATAATGGCATCGATATCGATAAAATCTTATCAATTCCCCTATTATTATCTGTTCATTTGCTCATAATTTAAGTCAAAGCAGCTGGCATGTTAATGCAAAGAGATGCCATGTTAACACTGTTATTATTTAGGATCTAAAATGGTGACACAATAACACAAGATGGTGAAAGCTTCTCTTCATAATACGCCGCAGTCTATCATCATGACAGCACTCGAGCTTCTTACCCTGAAGCCCGACGTCAGAGGAAAACGGCCGCTGAGTGAATAAAGCAAATTACTTTCAACTGTGACCCAGTCTGGCTTCATAAAGATAATTCACTAAGTGCATAACACTGTCAAATGTTCCGTCAGCATCATTGTGCCGTGTCCACACACTCAATTTACTCAAACAACTTCAAGCCCTCCCCAGTTTTCCTGATTGTCTAACTTGTGTTTCTCCACCAGCCTGGGTTTATGTATGTACATACTCTACTTGGTCATTTGGTTTAGCTGTTTTTGGAGACAGAAGTGTTTTTTGCTGCAGGATCTTTTTTGAAAAGTTTCCACGCTTGTTTTTTTCTTTTTTCTTCCCTCTGAAACTGGGTCACAATTTGAATCTACTGTTGTGAATCCAGCTGCCGTCCTCAGCGAAGGAGCCAGTTACAAACTTTTTCAGAATCACGTATCTTTCAAGCCTACAGGGATGAGTGTTTGATATTCAAAACTTTGGTTTTCAGCTGAGTATTCCTTTAATGTTGAAAAGAAGCATGCACTGTGTCTCTGTTCACTGTGTGTTATATAACCTGATTGGTAGGCGACAACTTTTGAACCACATCACTGGGTGTTAACTTAAAAATCTAAAGGTGAGAAACATTGGCAGACTGAAAGTGGATGCTTTTAGTCTTTTTTGATATGAGGTTAATTTGAAGCTAAACCAGCCGTGCCTATTCAATCCCTCTGACTGTTTGCCATCTCATTATCGCGGTGTGTTTAACAGACATCTATCAAAAGGGTAGACATGCAACATCAAAGTTGTCAAGCTAACGTTGGAAACACTAAATGTAGGTCATGACTAATAATCCATTTTGTGGTGTTTACTATAATAAATTCAATAGATGTTTTTTTTTTTTTTTTTAAGGATAACACCTACACAACATACCATCTTCAAAGAACTGCCGCTGAGTCCGGCCCCTCTACTCCCAGAACCTCGGATGCGCAACTTGAAGTCCATTCTGAATCACATAACACGGACCAAGAACCACAAAAAGAGCTCAGTTCACCTGCTACCAGGACACAGTCTGCGCTCCGAGGGAGAGCTGAACCTGCTGGGATGGTGCCCACACGGTGCCTTTCACCCAGCAGACAGGAACAGAAGTGTCACCCACAGGGATCAGAGGTAGTGAGCCAGGTTTTGGTTGGTAACAGCAGTGTATCGCTTTCACAGAGACCTCTGCAGGAAGTCAAACTGGAGGACTCTACACAGCCAAAGGTAATTATAAACCTACAATTTTAACAAAAAAAAACCCTGCTCTTATCCAGGTATTAATGTAACTTTAACACAAGTGTAATAATGACTTTTTATCCTGAAGTTCCACCTCATTATTGTCTGAATAGCTGCTTTATTAGCCATCACCCCTAATTACCTCCACTGTGAGATGCCCATGTTTGATGTCATGAAAGAAATTGCCAATTTGGATAACCTCTCACTGTGTCAACATTCACAGAGCAAACAAGCTCATTATTTATCACACAGTTAAACTCATCTACAAAAAAATAAGCCTGACATACCAATGGAAACCTCCTATGTTTGCAATGGCAAACTGGATTTATTGATTTACATCTTTTTGATTTAAACATAATCATCATTTAAAAGAAGCATGTCAAGAAATGTTTTTTTAAAGACCCACTCCGATGAAAATCATGTTGTTCTTGTTTTTTAAATGTTCATATGGCATTTTTTCTGATGCTACAGGACATATCATGAGAAAACTAAGTGGGAAATTGCTTTTCTGAGTATTTCTTCATTCAAATCTCCGGCAGACACAAACAGCAGTTCCAGAAACAGAGAGAGTTCATACATAACTAATCCAAGCTCCGCCTCCAGACCCTCGCTTTGCAGGCCACACTCTGAGGAGAAATACAGAGGAATTTTGCGAAAAAGTGTGTGCATTAGCGGATTGCAATGCTCGTAAGAAAGCTAATTATGATTTTAGCTTTCATCGTGTCCTAAAAGACATTTGTGTCCGAGAGCTGAATAGCTCCTATGTTACCCGCCACTTCTGCTGCACAGGCAGTGTTACCAGCAATTTCCACCTCATCCAGAACGGCTACGAAAGACTGTATCCGCCAATCATAGCTGATCGTAACCATTCAAGTTAATGTCAGGAGATGGTAATAAGGAGATGCTGATTTTAGAAGTCTAGAAGTAGATTTCCTCCTCTGGAAGGACACACTCTACTGCTTATAAGGTTAGCCTTTGTGGCTAAAGACAACTTGTTATCGCGTGATTGCACGTGAATCCGCGAGTTCTTGTGAGTTCTTGCGATTCCTGCTATTTGTAATCCAACACGAAATTTGCCTCACAAACGGTTCCAGTAGGAATTGACGCCATTCCGGATCGGAGCCTTTCCGGATGCGGTGGAAATCCCAGGTGAGGCTACAAGCTGAAATGATGACGATTGTGCTGAGCAGCGCTGTCCCCGCCCACAACTCAGAGGCGAATTGCTAATGATGTATTGGAGCTCTGCAGAAGGAAAGCCCTTGAAAAGGACACAGGTAACATGATTTTTGGTAAAAAATTTCATAATCACAATTGAAAGACCACTGAGAACACTTTCAGTAGTAAAAATAAAATGATCGGAGTGGGACTTTAAAGATGCAAAGCTCACAAGAACTTTATTTCCTTTGAGTTCTGTAAGTTTCAAATCCTTGTGAAAAGAGATCCCAACTAAAGCATGGAGGACATTATCATTAATTAATCAAATAACTGTGTAGAATGAAAGAAGATGCTTGAAGTCTCAAAATCAAGGAGAATTGACTTTGCTGCTCTCTCTGCACAGATTTTATTTAAGCAAATGCTTTCCTTTTATATCCTCAAAATGTGATTCATAGTCTGAGCCTTAGCCTTTCAAAGATCCCCGTGGACAACTGTTTCCATCAAAAATGCTTTGATACATCCACTTTACACTGCCTGCCCAGCGTGAAGCATCATACAGACAATATTATCATGAGGCTACAGAGAAAAGCTGCAAATTCATAGTAGTAACCAACACCAAAGATTTTGATATTTTCTTGACAGGAGTTACTGGAGATCACAGAAAAGTTAAAAAAGTAAGTTCTTGTGAATTTCTCCCTCCAGAGCTGATTAATGCTTCTTGGTTGAATGGGCATAAATTTGATTAAATTTCACAAGAAACTGTTTACAGTCACTGTCGTTGCCAGAGTCTTCAGTCGATTGGCTCGGCTCAGTGATTCATAGTCACTTTTATTTCCTCTTTTAGCTGAGGGTGTCCAGGGTGGATTTAGATGGCTTTGTCGCTTATTAAAAGCTCTGACTGTATTCTGTCTGAATAATTCCGTTTTCCCAATAGTCAAGTGTGGTCACTGCTGAACGTTTATGGTGCTGTGCTGAAAACAGATCAAACTACGGGTCTGCTACAAATTGAGGTAGGACCGCTGCTCCAGTTGAAAAGATCCAGGATCAGAGAATAGTCAAACTGGAGCGATCACAAGGCCCTGAAGGGAGATCTGTCACTTGGCTGTTGCTTTTCTGCATTTACACCACTCGCTGCTGGGACGTATCCCAGCATCCTTGATCAGTGTAGCTCTAGACTGCTGATTTGTGCCAACTCCAGAAGGCGGCATGCAGTGAAGGCTTTGACTGAAAGGTTGTCAGAGGAATATGACAAGGAGTTTGTTTCGCTCCCTGCAGTCCTGGTTTATTGACTGCCATTGATCCAACACCAGGGCAACACCAGGCTTGTCACAAATCAAGTTGGCATGGTACTCTGTTGGATTAATAGATGCGCTTTTAAAAGACATTTCCTCAGAGTGTCAAAACATTGATTTAAGTCCAGCACCTCCTTGGGCATTGTCTTGGACTACTTGTCTTCTGTTTTAGCGCAAAGTTTGTCCAAAAACCAACCCACATTATTAGGTGCTTTGGTTTGTGTGCTTTGGACTTGTTTCCAAAAATATCTCCTCTTTTATTGTCAAAGGAAGAAGAAGAAGAAGACCACACAATGAACTGTGTTAATCCCAGCAATCACAGCCTGCACCTATTTAGCAGTTTGCAGGTTCACGGGGAAGACGACGATGAGGAGCTCCGAATGCTGGCGAGTCTGAAAAGGCAGCAGGAGGAAGATGAATTCAGAGCCTCGGGCCTCAGCGCAACTCAGATCCACCGATGCAATGTCAGCATCAGCATGAGCAGTGACAACACTTCAACCTGGACTCACATCTCCACGGTGTGCACTATCACACTCTGCTGCTCTTGATCTTGATCTTTTTATTCTTTGCCAAAAAAAGCAACACTCGTGTGCAGCTCATCCACTATTTGCAATCATTAGCAGGTTGTCCTCTTTCAATCTCCCTCCTGGAATAATGTTTTTGACCCTGGCTGATCCTCACGCTTGCTAATTTCCATTTCAAGCCCCCGATGTATGCCACCATAAAGTGCTAATGCACCTCTTTCTGCTGTATGTTTTCTGCATTAAAAAAGATTATGGAGATGGAAACACATTAATTGGCCTCTTACAGCTTTTAAAAGTACACTGGAATAATATCTCCAGTGACTTCCACCAGTGACTGAAATTATTTAGGTCATCTCAAGTTATCCCCACAAGTCTTTTAAGAATTCAAAGATGGTGTAGTTTGCTCTGGGCTATTGAAGGTCACTTAGATCTTTGGTCCATTAGCATAAGCACATTGCACTTAGGAAGAGGGAACACTGCTCTTACTGGCCCTACTGGGTCCACTGTAGGATCCCTTGAGAATACAATCATTACTGATGGTCCAGATCTGGGCCTGTTAGCATTTCTGTGCACCCAGGTAGCCATTAATATATGGAGACTCAAGCAGAACACGTTGAAAGAGGCATTACCATGGGGATTATCATCGCATGGTTCCCTTTTTTGAGGACACGGGGATGAGTCCACTAATAAAAACATGTAGCTTTAGACCTTGCAGTAGGTACAGTTTTCCCACAGGGACAGGATGAGATTTACATCTGACTTGATCTAACCCTGAAGTGATGTTTTCAGATTCAGCTGCAGTGCTTTACAAGTCTAAATACATATGGCAACAGCACCACCATCAGCATATTAAGAAATGCTTACAGATGAAGACAGGAAGGCCGATAAAGAAAGTCACAGCAAACCACGCCACACATTTCCAATTTTAGCGTTTATATCTGATGTTAGAAGAGGCACCGATGAGCGTCTGGGAAAGATAAAAGAAGAGAGGGTTTGGGGATCTAGAAGTAGTCACTGTCTGGGGCTGGGACTCCTCCACTAGAACAGACAAACCCTGTCTTTTCCCTGGATGCTGTGAGTCACGTGGCCCTGCTGTTGCCTTCCGTGCTGCGTCTGCTTCTGTCTGTGCCGCTGCAGCAGCTGTACCAGCCCAGACATAACTTCCATCCCCAGACGATTGTGCGCTATGCTTGGGTTATTAAGCTTGAACACAAAAGAATCACCTTGCAGTTTGTAAGATTGCGTGAATCAAGATTTAAGACACCTCAATATGTGGTTTTGAAGGAAGTTACTGCTCTGTCTTTGGGCGTACAGCTGTAATCTGAACTGTCATGTCAGAGTGTTATTTTTCCTGTCCAACATGATGTCTGAGCACAGCTACAGATGACAAAGAGATGAAATAAAACACCCAAAAATGAAAACTCCAACCAAAACTGGGTAAAAAAAAAATGCTCATCCTTTTTTTGCCCTGAAAAAGATTTTTTGATCCATTAAAGTGACTTGTGTTGGTTAGAGCAGCTGCAATTATAATGTTTTAACAGTACTGAATGTTAGTCAGATTTTATTTGAATTTTTTTTTTTAATGATTAATATTTTATTGGATTTTTTAATATCGTACATCGCAGGTATATATGTGGCAAATGTTGTACATATTGTAAACATTGACTTGTAGACAGAAAGTAAACAAATAACTATATTATAAAATGCTTTCAATCCAGGAAAAAGAGAAAGAAAAATACCCACGTGATAGCAGGGATGACAAAAAAGAAAAAAGAAAAGGGTAATACAAAAACAATCTAACAAAAGATAAAATAGAACAGCACGACTGTAAAATACATAGACTGTTTATACTATGGATAACTTGGTTCCGTCTCCTGCCAGTATATGAATTTGAAGCCAAAAAGCGCTTAAGTATATCCGCGATTTTTCTTCATATAACTACATGCCAACATCACAACCAGGGGGGAGAAAAACTTATGTTCTGTGTAATAAATTTCTAAAGTTTGTCTAAAGCCCCATAAGCTTTGCTGGGGGAGGCGGGATTTATGACCTACACTGCAGCCCGGCACCAGAGGGTGCTGTTCTCGGGGTGGCTTCACCCAGCAAGGAGGCAGATGCTGTCCATTTGATATATACAGTCTATGGTAAATTACAAAAAAAAAAAACAAAAAAAAAAAACATGTAATTTAAATATGTATATTTTTTTAAAAGGAAAGAAAATAAAGAAAAACAAAAACAAACAAAAATAACATAGCATGTTATACGCTCAGCGATGCTGGGTGGGCTGTCGTGTTCTGATTGGTTGTCATATCTCCAATACAGGTTCTTTCATACTAAACAGGTATCGTTCCCATTTCAAATTAAAGCTCTCCACCTGAAATTTATAACTGACACTATCTGTGTGACAGACTAAATAAACTGGAAAGCTTAATAATGTTTCAGTTAAACACCATGATTTGAAACGTTCCTTCTAACTAAGAGGGTACTTTGATGGAATATTTGGCTTATGATATAAAGATAGTCTGACAGTTTCTCTGCTGTTTGAAAATCTGTCTCAAGTGAGCGCACCAGAAGCTTGTATTGTAGATAATAATACACTCCAATCGGCTATAACATTAAAGCCACCGGCCTATTATGTGTCCACTTCCCTCTCGTCAGGTCAGGGCTAGTTTTGTGTGTACGTGTGTGTTTGTGTGTGTGTGTGTGTAAGAGGGGGTGTTAAAGCTCAAATCGCTCACTGACCTTCGTGCTGGTTCACCACTTTCCCGTCCTCCAGCCACTTTTGTTAGATACTGACCGCCACAAACCAGGGACACCTCACGAAATTTTTGGGAGGGAAGCTCTGACCCAGTATTTTAGCCACAATATGGCCCTTGTCAAAACAATCACATCCTTACACTTGCCCATTTTTACTGCTTCCAACACATCAGTTTCCAGGACAACATGCAGCTGCACACTGCTGGTGCCATTGTAACTAACAATGTTAGACACATCACCTGTTATAATGTTGTAGCTGTTTGGTTTCCAGTACTTTTGTTTCACATGGTGAGGGTAATTTTATCTGTAAAAGCACAGAGTTCATCATTCATTTGTGGTGAATGTGGTATTTCCTCTTTGTTTTTAGGGGGTGACCATTTCACACTCAAAGACTACAAAATTCAGTTTAGCATGAGTATTCTCCCTCCTGTACATTTTAGAGAAACAAAATCACTGTCTTTCGATTTTGTTATTTCTACATCAGTACATAAAGAAAGCCCACATTGTCTTCTCGCATATCCTGAACAATTCATGTCAGTCAGCAATGATGTCTTGATTTTTTTCTGGCAACATAAAGAGCATGTAGCTACGGAGGTAGAAGCTGAAGAAAAAAATCCATTGGTATGAGCTGATCGACCAGCTATCACCTGGGAATGCCTGGATGAATAAGACAGAACGATGGGTGTTAAAAAGTAATAATCTGGCAGAAGTTCTGCTTTGTTGAACATCACTGCCAAACAGGTCTGTGCAGCCCAGAAACACTGTAAAGCATAGTGTTGCAGCCAAATGATTTGAACTGAAGAGGTTTTTTGTCTTCATAACAGAGGAGCAGGCTAAGGGCCAGAAATGATAGATACATGTAGGAGGTTTGAGGTTTTTTGATGGCTGTAGTATCATAATAAGATGATGAGCAGTTGGTTTGGCATGAGTAAACTTCAGTTGCAGCTAAATGTCTTAGCGTGTTTTAAAGAGATTTGTACGGTGGCCGAGAACTGCCATTGCTGCAAATAAAAATAAAATTTAAAAAAAAGAAGTCACAACAGAAGATACCGATGCAAAAAAAGAAACCAAAGCCTGCTGCAAATAAAAAAGAAACAGAGCAGATTTGAAAAAAGCCACAACGGAAGTTAAAGATGAAAAAAAAAAATGGCGATGGAGAAAAAAAAAAGTTACTGTGAAAATAAAAGGATGTAAATAAAAAAAGCCACAACGGAAGTGAGCTGCCGGGGACCAATAATGATAATGCACCGGTGTTTTGGCCTGAGTCGATATGAAGTTGAACTGGAGGATGTCAGTGTGGTGTTACCTTCAGTTCAACTTCATATCCACTCAGGTGCAACATGGTCTAACCAAATGACACATTGAAAAGCACAGGTAGCGAAATTAAACAATAACCTTTCCACTAATTTCTTTGCTCTTCTTCTCGCCAACTTCTTCTGTGCCTAGATCGTAAAACACCAGTGCATTATTATTAATTTTACATTATCATTGTTTGTCCCCAGCAGCTCACTTCCACTGTGGCTTTTTTTATTTACATTCTTTTATTTTCGCAGTAAGTAACATATATATATATATATTTTTTTTGTTGTTGTTGTTTTTGCATCGGCACGTTTTTTTGCATCGTTAACTTCCATTGTGTTTTTTTTTTTTTTTTTGCATTCTTTTTTATCTGCTGCAGTGGCGGTTCTCGGCCACCGTAGCTTTGTACTTCTTTTACATCCTAGCACTCTCTTTGATTCATCGATGTTTAAGCATCCACTAGGATTAATATTACAGGTACAATGCAGAGATTTTTCAGCTTCTTCTCACAGGTTACTCATTAGCTGCAGCACGTGTTACCTGTAGAATTCCTCAGGGTACAATTTTAGGTCCCTGCTTTTTTTATGCAAGGCACTGGAGCACATAGATAACTAATATTTGCTTAAGTAATGCACGGATTTAGCTTTCCACATGTATGCATTTTCATCAGTGTCAAGCGGCGTAATAGCCTTTAAGCAGGCTCTCGACTTAAATAGCCTCCTGAGACCCGAATGTGGTCTTTAGCTGTGACAAGATGGAGAGGGTAACATACTTGTGTGTCTCGCTGCTGAGTACTTATACATATTGAAAGTGAAGCCATTCTGATCTCTCAGCTGAAAGTCTCATACTCAAAGACCATGAAGAATTTAACTACAAGTTTAAAAAAAAAAAAAAGCAATACCACATTTAAATCCAAGCCCCGAGCTTTTGTAACCTCAAACCGTAGAAGTACATCTAAATTTCTGATGGATTTCTCTTGATATGTTAACCCCTTTGTTGCTCACCCAGATTTCTCGCGCTTTTGTGTTTTCCTCTCGTTTTTACCAGATAGGCAGAGATCTTTTTGTTCTGACCTTATCAACATAAGTATTTCCATTTTCATAGATAGAAGCCTTAAGGACCTTTTGCGGTTGTGTTGAATTTTTTTTTTTTATGAACGTTCCTAGTCCAACTCAAGCTTTCTGAGCGAAGCTGTTGATTTTCAATGAGGCTTTGTATGTCAAGTTGATGTTCTGATTGTTGCCTCTGTGTGAAAGAAATGTTGCTCTCCAACCAGAGCAAATCTTGAAGGGAGGACATCAATCAATTAACTGTATTATGATTAGTTGACTTTCCTGTTGACATTCATCCATTCAAAGATAAACACACATATAATAGGATTAAAAATGCTCATTATATGGCTAAATTGGTCAAAACCCTGTTGCCATGGTTATCAATTCTCAACAGCCAAAGCTATACAAAAACAAGCTTCTCATCATGTCAAATCAATCCATGTTAAGTTCTGGCACATTTTACCGAACCTCATCGCTCCTCGCAGTTTTACTTGTCCATGCAGGAGTGGAGGAGAGAGAGAAGACAATATCCGTCAATCCCATTCAGAGCCTGCAGGTGGTCGCTGGGTCGGTGGAAAGCCTTCAAAATTGAGCACAGCACTTAAGCATGGCAGCAGTGAATCACAAAGCAGAGGCAGGAACTGGAAATCTTGAGATTTGGAGGAAATGTTTGTTATGTGATTGTTACAGTGAGTGTGAAATCGGCGAAGCTTGAATTGCCTGACCGAGCTAGCTCACAGCCTGCCCTCCATTCTCCATCTCAGGCTGACCATAAGAGTTGAGAAATAATGTCAGCTACCTGGAGCCGTCTGAGGAGCATCTGGGCTCCAACCATCTCTGATAGGGAAAGAAAGAGGAGCAGAATCCTGTGCTGTGATTTAGGCAATGCTTACTTTAACAGAAGGTGGCAGAGATAGTGGCAGCACTCTTAGAAATTGAGACATTTTCCTCATCTATGATTACAGGTGTACTAATTGCAAAGCTCTGAGAAGAAAGAGAACTGAATGTACAAAGATTATATCCTGCTGGAGTCTTGTTCACTCTGTCTACTTTTACCTTTCATTTTCTTGCTCACCCCCAGCCAGGGGTCTGACCGGCACTATTTCTCTTCCTCTATACATATTATAACCCATATAAGTCCATTTGTCCCAGTTAGTACCCTATGTTACAATAGCAATTACATCCAACTTGCAAAAACTGCCCCTTGACGCAAAATGTGCCATTTTCACAATCGTGGCAAAATGGTCTGTGACAGTTTATCCGTCGAGACATTCACATTTCCTGTTGAAAGACAACCATCATTTGTCAAGCAATGGAGCTTAAAAACAGCGTGATAGAGAGCACAATGCCCTTCATTACACAGCTACTTTGAATGAAATGAGTCATTTTAAATTTAGAGACTACTAATATACTTCAGACTGAAGGAACAGTTAATGTATATTTTATTCTTCTACATAACTAAGTGGTCTGAAAAATGTAAATAACTAATACTTGAGTTATAAGTATGCTATCATTTTGACACAGTTTTTTTCTTTTTTTCCCCTTATAGCCGGCTAATCAGGGTCACCATTATCAGAAGGAGATGAACCCTCTCCTGCAGTCAAACCCCAGGTAAGCAGGCATTATCACCGATAATTATAAGCATATTCTGACATTGAAAAATAACATACAGATCAAGGAAAGGTTGAGATGCTACACATTTAGCAGAAAGGTCAGATCTTTTTATGGCCAGAGAAACTTACAAATGCGAACTCATCTTAATAACATTTTTCAGGGGTCTCATCAGCAGGCAGGGGAAAAAAAACATAGACTGTATATACTATGGACGACTTGGTTCCACCTTCCGCCAGTATACGGATTTGAAGCTGAAAAGCTCTTGGTATTTCCGTTTTTTTTTCTAAACTTCCCGAAACCAACATTGCGCAATAGCATTGTACGCATTTGGCAGGAGAGTCGCAGAGAGTTGCTGTGATAATGCCCAGCTCAAACAGCGTAGCCCCGGAATGACCTACGCAATCTTCGTACGCCCATAGGCTGTAGCAAGTGTCAATTTTAGAAAACACGAAGCCCCTAATAACTTTTAAAAATGGAGCTGTACAGAAAAAAGATGACTTGAGCTCAAACCAGTCTTACAGAAACAACATGTCAACATCGCAACCAAGGTGTATTTTGTGTAATAAATTTCTAAAGTTTGTCCACAGCTCCATAGGGATGGTTGGAGGAGGTAAGATTTATGACCTATACTGCAGCCCGTCACCAGAGGGTGCTGTTCTAGGGGTGGCTTCACCTATTCCATATACAGTCTATGGAAAAAAACTCCACTGGATTCAACAACCAACTAGGGTTGTTGCTCGCTACCTTGCTTAGGTTGCTAGGCTAGGTAGCTTGTCCAAATTTCCAATTCACAGTGATTAGCTTAAAAAAAAAAACACTTTTAGTCCCTGACATTAACTCATGTAAACCTTGTCTCACAATAACCAGCTTGCTCTACTTGAAGTAAAAGGTTGGAATTAGTCTGATCAAGCATGTCTCACGTACGTCTCAAAGAAAAGAGGGACCAGGCTCACACACCAAGAGCAAATAAAACATGAGCGCGCAGATGTATCAGGTTCACAGGCTGTGAGCACAGGGGTTAGATAACACGCTGTCTCTAACACCGTCTTTCTTCCAGGTCTTGACAAGTCGAAGTGATAATGATTCGGACAAAATGAAAGGCACTTGTTTTTTTTTTTTTTTCCAGTGGATTTCTTGACAGAAAATGTCCTTATGTGGCCCACATCAAAATTTGGCAGCTGGTACATGAAAGTCACCCTGAAATTCATAATCAGATGGTAACGAGTGGCTGCAGAATTAAGGCTAAATGTCAACTGTCAGATAGATATGCAGAAGGAGGCTTATCTCGCTCACTGATGAGTAAAAATAAATTGAGAGTCTGCCAGGTACTGTAGCTTTCTCCTCCCTTAACTGCTGTTGTCATTTTCACGAGCACGGATTATTTTTCACCTTTTATTGTGCTTGTTGGACAACTTTGTATACAACAGATAGTTCATATTTTTTATTAAAAATCTGAAGTATGGCTCAGGCTCGCCATTTATCCCTGACTTTCAGCTGCCATACAAGGTGAAATCCATCATTGATGAAGCGAGGGCTGACTTCTGCTCGGTCAGAGTCTCAGTGGTTCATAGTGCAGAGCAGCTATGAGATATATTCCACCTTGTTTCACATGCCTACAGGTTAAAACCAGAGTGAAGTTCAAGTTCTCACCTTCAAAAAAAAAACACTGATGACTGGACTTTTATAACAGAAGGAGGCAGAAAAACGTACAACTGTTTTTTATTATCTGTCAGTGGGTGTATCTAATATCAACTTGAGGCGCAAACAATGCTAAGGTTGAACATCGTAGGTTACGCAGCCCTGAAAACACAAGAACTAACAAATGGATCATATTGACAACGTGGAATAAAAGAAAGTGGATTCATCAAAATAACAAAACACCAAAATCTCCTCCAAATGAGAAGAGATGTTGAAGCCTTTCCAGCATGAAGTCAGGTCGAGTTTTTGAAGTTATCTGGAGGGAAAAGTAGCCAAAACATTATAAATAGAACCATGTTATGGAATAAAATTTCATCTTGAGGGGTTACAAACTTGGCTTACAGGCGCTCTGTATCCATATCAAGACCCGACCGTTGCAGCGTATGAATGGTTCCCCCTCGAAGGCTTGCAGAGCCCCTTTAATGCCCAACCGCTCACTAATGCAGCGCTCTGTCTCTGCACATCTCCATCTCTATTGTGGGTGTACACAACCGCACGGCATGTTACAAAACAAGACAAAGGGATTGCATCAGAGTTCTGCTGTTCAAAATTATGCAACCGCCCTCTCAAACACGTCTGATTTATTGATGAAAAGCAAAGTATCCTGCTGTTAAACACGAGTTGACTCCTGTTCATTAAAATATTTTTCTTGTTTCATTGTCTTAAAGGGATTATAATGTACATCAGATCGGCGGTAAAGGAGGAGACTCGCTTTTTTATTTTGGTCACATTTTGGTGACTCTAGGCTGTTTGAGTATCGACTGAGATAATGCTATTTGATTGAAGGTTCTCTGAAATGAATATTAGAAGTGACAGTCACCTCAAACAAACTCCGTGCCTTGTCTCACACAGCTCTACAGCATCCACAGCTGTACTACTGAAATTAGACTTCCAAGCAGGCCCTGATTTACATATTGAAGAGCAGCTGCACAGGATTTTGTCGTTGTTTTCACTCCTTTTCTTCCAGGCGTTGCATTCTGAGACACCCATACAGTGAATTCTATCATGCTACTTCTTTTTTCCACAGTCCAGGCGTTGCTGCAAGGCTTCTTCGCTGTTGAGAGCTACAGTTTTTTTGACAGCTAAAATGCTCTTGTTGCAGTGTGTAATGTTGCCGGGGCTTTCTTCGTACATTTTTTAACATGTTCCTTTGCGTGTGTGATACTTTTGTCTGCTTTTGGCGGGCAACAAGAGATTGTGAAACCACAAATCAGGCTGTCAGAGAAACCCAGAGTAGCAATTCAATTGTTTTGCAATAAAGACAACTACAAAATTTACCAGAGTTGCAGCGGTGTCAGGCAAAAAGAGTCGCTTTAATGCTGTTTCATTGGAAAGCTCAATTTCATTATATTCCTAGGCTGTGTAAAAACATTGTACTGCTCAAATTAAATCAAACTAATGCATTCTTTTCATCACAGGTTTGTGTGTATCTATATTATAATGATTCGGGAACATAATCACTCTCACCAAGTCCCACTTAACAACTTGGAGTCCAATTTGCAGCTCTGTAGCAGAGGCCTTTGTCCTCCGAAATTGCTCCTATTAACTTCTGTATTGCGCTCCTGACTATCACGTAAATGCCTTTGTTAGAAAGAAAAATCTGAGCCTTTGAAGAGATAATGGCATAAGGTTATGGAAATGAATAAACTTCTAATTAACACTTAAATGCATGGAAAGATTTGATAAAAATGGTTCACTTCATTTAGAATTGTAGAGTTTTGCTTTTTTTTTTTTGTCTGTTTTTAAGAGAATGGAGTTCATCAACAGCAGTGCTTTAAAAAGAGAGAGTTTGTCTTTTCTTTAAGCTGGGGTTGTGTGAGGTACTTCCAAAAAGTAAGTGAAGTGAGGTACCCACAGGGGATCACAGCCTCTTTATTGAGAGACCAGGAAGAAAACCATGAAGGAAGCTCAGCTGAAATTCACGGCTGAACTTCCTTCATTGTCAGACAAGAGGACAGTAAACCAAGACCCCCCAATTGAGACTGTGTCTTATACACCAGTGCAACTTATGGATTAGATCTTCTTGCTGATGGCATTGTTTGTTTTTATTTGGAATTCATTTTTTTATGTATTAATTTACCATCATCGAGCCAGTAAACAAAAAGCATTGATCTGTTTTCACGAGTGAAGAAAGTGAGGAGCCAAATTTTTTTTGTCAACTTTGGTGCCCTCTGTGGACAAAGCTGTACGCGTTAATGCTTTGCTTAACTTCGTAGTGACAAGTCGTATACATTTTACTTTGTTATAATGTGTTTTATTCTCTTACCACAGTTTTGTATTGTTTATCACTTCTATTAAGCTGAGATTAACAATTATAAACATAAACTATAAGAAAAAAACTCAGTAATGCTTTCTTTTATGGTACACTTATTAACAGGTAATTAGCTAGTAACAACATAAAATTATCTGGTAATTACATGATAACTACTAAGTCAATACTGTCTAATTTTTTTTTTTTTTTTTGTCTGTGCAGCTCCATTTTCAAAAGCTATTTGGGGTTCTTATTTTCTATGATTGACACTTGATACAGCCTATGGGCGTGCGAAGATTGTGTAGCGATACGTTGTTTGAGCCGAGCATTATCACTGCGACTCACCCGCCGAATGTGTACAATGCTACTGCGCAAGTGGTGGTTCCAGGAAGCGGAGAAAATCCCGGAAATACCAGAGCAATTCGGCTTCAAATTTGTATGATGATGGAAGGTTACCTACCTGGTAGCTAGACAGTATTGACTCAGTAGTTATCATGTAATCACCAGATAATTTCATGTTATTACTAAGTAATTACCTGTTAATTACCTGGTAATAAGTGTACCATAAAAGAAAGCGTTACCCAAAACTCTAATCGTAAATGAAAGCATAGTCAAAAACTGTTTGCTTAGTTTACGATAAACACTCAACTTAAACACTTGTTGTGAGACTCAGTTGCCACCGAAATCACTCTTGGCTGCCCCCTAGTGACTTGGAGGAGCATTACCCTTCAACTCAAGCTATTGCTCTTACACCGTCGTTCATTATGCTGTATCGTAACAGTCAAACACAACACTTGCTGTGCTCTAATTTTCTTTTTTATAGGTCTCAGTATTGTTTCCGAACCAGCTTAGTCCTCAGACTGGAGCTCTGAGAAAGCTCTATAATGGCTCGTGAATGCGTCTCATTTTTAAAGATTTACTGACATTATCAGTCATTGCAGATCTTGACGTTTGGATGGATAAGGCTTTAATGAATGTTTAAATCATTGCCTGTCTGCTGAATAATGTACAGAAGGAGATTAGAGTTCTTCATTAGATATGCTATGATGTGCGCTTACGAGACATTATGTCCAAAGGCAAAAGATGTAAATGGATAATTGCAACCATGCAACTGATGTATTGCCTGAAATGAATTCTGCTTAACAAATTAATCTTTCAGTGATCCAAAAAAAAAAATTCATCTTCATCATTTTCATTTCTCTCTGTCTAATATGCGGCTCTATACTTAAAGAGCAGTGTTTGACTCTCCCAGAGAGTGATTGATGCTTTTCTGTAGCCTGTGCGCTCTTCTCTGGCTGCAAAGATAAACTCATTTAAGAGTGAAAGGAAGTCCTGCTCTCACAGGTGCCGACAAGGTCAAGACCTCTACTCAGGGTCCAGAGCGTGGACACTCCGAAGTCACAGCTTGAGTCAGAATCTAATAAATGATCCTTCAGGTAGAACGGTGAGGCAGAGAGGCTAAGTGTGCGTACCGTAGAAGTGCCTCAAGGACGGCAGAAGGGAAGCTCAGATGGGCTCCCGAAAGCACATGATGATGGGACTTTCATTGTTAAAATGTCATATAGAGGCAATTTGATGTGCGGGGCTGCAGTAGTGGGATGCAGGGTGTAATGGCATGTGTTGTCATGACCGTGTGCCTTTATGGTCTTCGCCCCAGGGAATGGATGGATGTGCTCAGCCCACCTATTATGCCTCACAGCCAGCAGAGAAGGTCAGGCAGCTTGTGGAACAATCCAGGAAACTTAATCGCAGGTATGGTAACCTCAGTTTTAGTGTTTTGTTTTTTTTTTCCCTCCCCAGAAAAACAACACAATGCTTCAACACCGACCACACTAATTGTGTGAAAGCAGAGCACCAAAGGAAACATTCGCTGGTGTCAAGGCTTACATTCTTCATCTCCACTCAGCGTGGAGGGAAAAGCATGAGAAACTGTATCTAATTAAGAGTAAAAACCCAGGAGAGTGGAGCTCTCTGTCCTCCACCTAACTCCATAGGTCAAAAGAGACAGGCTCATTACAGGTCTGTACCCCCCAGACACATCGACGAGGTTAATTGACGAAACCTTTGCAGTTTACAACATCATTTTTTAAACCTCTCGCACAATGTGTCTTATAATTAGTTTTCATTATCGTCGCCAAAGTTCTGATAAGATAAAATGTTCCTCCTGGAGCATCCAGTAACCTTTTGAGCATTTAACTGCCTGTCAATTTAACAGCTAAATTCTTGTGCTTTAAAGTAGCAGGGATTACAGGGAATCTCTTTACAGCTTCATAATGTGGTACCGGGCTCTGGGTGTCTCAGGTCTTGATTGATGAGAGAAAAAAATGGCAGTGGCAGAAAACTTTTAAAACCCACCGGAGTCTGAAGGTTACCTTGCCATCCAGGCTTTTGATTTTATTCCAGCAGTTGAGAGTGGGCCCTTCTTCACGGCTACCCTGAGTTTACCACTGAGTATTCTAAAAGTAACATATATACATGTATGTACAGTAAAAATATACATATACCGCACATATGTATAGTTTGCAGAATTGGGAATATCGGCAACAACTACAACAGATTTTAGACTGACACATTCTCCTGCTTACACTGCAAAAAAGGAATTTCAAGAAAGGAAAACAGCCTTGTATTAAGGAAATAAGTCTTATTTTTTGTACTAAAAGAATATTTATCTTGTCAAGCATGTTTGGTATTAGAAAAATTATCTCATTTTAAGAGAAAATGGCTAACTTTTTCTTGATAAGATTTTCCAGCTAATTTTGAGATAGAGTGAACCGGAAATAGAGTACAAAAATAAAATAATACAATAAAATCCAGCAGAGCAATTCATCTCATTCTAAGAGTAAAGGTCCTTACACAACGGGAACAACGCAAACATACGACGCAAAATTACAAAATATTCAGAGGCAAATTTTGACGCGCCTGAATATACATATAAAGTGCGATGCGATTTTGCGACTTTCCGGGGGGAAAAAAGACACATCCCGGGTGGAAGCGAGAAGACTGACACAACACCAGACTGAGTGTTTTTCAGACACTAGTGTTGAGATGTCATGAAAGACATAATTTTAAGAAATTATGTCTTATTTGAACTACTTTCATGCTCATTAATAATCCTAGATTAAGGTGTATTTTCTTGAAGTTCATTTATTCAAGAGACTAAAACTCTAATTATAAGTAACTTTATCTTCGTTTTTCATTTTTCAGAAAAAATTAGATTAATATAAGATTTTCTGTCTAGTTTGAAGTTTCATTTGAGTCTGTCAGGGCCAAGAAATTTGTTCTTATTTTGAGAATTCTTGTCAAGCAAAAACAGCTTACCCCATTGGCAGATTTTTTTGCTTGATACAAGATTTTTTGAGTAATTGTAAGAATATTTTGGGCTGTTTTTGCAGTGTACTTTCCTATCAGTTGGTGATAGTGACCTTGTAAGACAAGAAGATACGGCTGTGCATGCGACACGTGAACTATCTTTACCGTAAAAAACATCAAAACAAACATCTTCATTTTTTTTTCTTTGTCTTTATTAATCAGTGCTTTATGCAGCCACTCAGGAACACATATGTTACTTGTTTGTTCATTCAGTGCTATGATATAAACATGTCAGCCTCCATGGAAGGGATTCTGCTTCTGTGATGAAAGAAAAAGCTCAATCTAAGTTATACAATAATTAAAATATTCTTACAAATGTCATATTTTACTCTTACCTAGATTTATTTATTTTTTTACTGTATTCTACTACAAACTACACCGCCCCTTTAACAGATTTTTCTAATTGTTTCTGCGCTTTTCTTGCGTTATTACAGGAGGGGAAGAGTTGCTGAATGACGAGGAGAACGAGGAAGAGTATTTGAATCTTCTCTATGATCCCTGCTTGAACTGCTATTTCGATCCAAAAACAGGGAAGTACTACGAGCTAGCTTGACTCAAAGCTCAAGAGGATCCAAATAACTAAATCAGAAGTCATTTATAGTAGATGAATGTCTTTAGGATCTTTTCTTCAGGCCTTGCATATTGATCAGAGATGAATAATCCATTCACAGAAACCCTTCCATGATGTGGCTTTTGTTTGAGATAGACTATGGGGACTTTGTTTATCTACTTCCACTTCCAAGTAAAGTCGTGATATTGGTAAAAGAGTAGGCTTCTGTAAATGAGAAAGAAAGTGAGTTGCTGCCCATTCAGTGGCGCAGCTGATGGTAGAGAAAGTCTTTTCAGTAGTGTTGGCGAGCAAACTCATGTGTAAGCCCCTTGAAAGAGCATCCTGGGGTTTTTATTTAACAGGAAAGATTTCTGACTTTGAGATGTAGACCAGATTAGCATCACTGTATAGGTGATTTTTGGTCTTTGTCATTATTTTTGTTGTTAAAGCGTGTAAATGTGTTTATATTGTTTAAATTACATTTTAAATAAAACGTGCATTGATTTCATTTATGGATTTTTAATGAAAGAATCTTGTGTATCATGTTATCCACAGATAAACCAATGCATTTTTATTTATGTTTTCCAGCCTGTGAGTGTAACCAGTAGTATCAACAGACAAGCGGCTCACAGGAATGACAGCTCCTTTCATCAGTCTTGCCAAAACACTGATGATCACACCTGATGAGCAGCTGATGCCAGATTGATTCATCAATTTCAGTGTGAGATGAATTGTTGCTTCACGCTGATGGGGGGAAAAAAATGAAACAAAAGAAGGGAAAAACTAATATCCATTTATCACATTGGAATTCACAGCAGTTTTTAATCAAACATTTCCCATCAGTCACTGAGCAGTTAGTAGACGCAGCCAGCATACTTAGCCCGGGTCAATTCAGGTTAATCTTTTTGTCAAGTGATGTATGATACACACAGTGTGAAAACGGAGCATCACATACAGCTTGGATGTAGTGTTTAACGAACACAAGTAGTTTTCAATAAAAGATACTGTGTCCTATAATCCATTTTTGACGTTTACTTAAAATATACATAATCACATCTGGTGATGTGTGACTGGCTCTAATCTAGGTTGTTGCCAAATGAGCATTTTTGGCTAATTTTTTGGCCATTAAAAAGGTTATCCCACTCATATTTTGATTTTTCGAGTTCGGGTTTCTACACTTAAGGGTTAAAAATGAAGACTTTCGCACATTAATTCAGCTTGGTAACTGGCATATTCTGAAAAAATACACTTCAAAGATAAAAAAAACAGGTGGTATATAAAAAAAAAGGTGGGGTGTGCATGGACCCCCTTTTCCATTTAGACTAGTAGGTAGTGATGTGAAGCATAGTTGCCAAATGAACATTTTTGACAAATTTTTTGGCCATAAATAAAAACAGAATCAAGCTGTTGTCAAATATTAAAAATAAATATTTTATTGAATTACTTGTGTCAAAATTGTATGGGAAAATGTGTTAATTTTGTTATCCCACTTATATATAGATTTTTTTAGTTCAGGTTAATACACTAAAGGGTTAAAAATGAAGCCTTTTGGACATTAATTCAGCTTGGTACCTGGCATAAACTGAAAATACACTTCAAGGATTAAAAAAAACAGGTGGCATAAAAAAGGCAAGGGGTGTGCGTGGACCCCCTTTTCCATCTTGACTATCAGAGCCGACCCAAGGCATAAGCAAACTAAGCGCCTGCTTAGGGCCCCGTGGCCTATAGGGGGCCCCCAAGAGCATAAAAAAAACTATATTTTTAAAATTTTCTGCTTGCATGAGTGATGCTTTCTGTATGATTAAATATATATTATTAAAAAATAAATTAAAATGAAACAATTTTAGTGCTGCTGCTGATGCTGCCTATGATTCTTACAGACGATATGTCAAAGCTCCACTATCATTATATGCCTTTCGCTGTACAATGTGCACTGTGAAGGTGTGTGAATGATCAACAATCAATTTTATTGGTAGAAATAAAGGGTCCCAAAATCCAGCTTTGCTTAGGGCCCCATTGAGGCTTGGGCCGGCTCTGTAGACTATAGTTAATTTTGGCCGGAGTCTACAATAAAAAAAATTACTCAAATAGCCAAATTAATAGTTTTATTTTCGCGGTAAATTGAGAAAATTGTCGTTTCTAGACTAAAATCCGCCATTTTAAAAACTCGTGAATGAGTCATAAGGGGACCGTTTTGCCTGAAACCAAACGTCACGTGACGTCTCTCCAAAGGGGGCGTGGTGACGCTTACTTGTCTCGACAGGTAAGAGGAACCAGGATACAAAAAGCCATGGTGTTCCGCTCAACCTACTGACAGGCAAACAAATAGCTGTAATAAGACAGTTTGTCCCTACTAATTCAGGGTTTAACTTATTATCGATAAAAACAAAATGTACCAATCTTGACTGTTCCTGAAAATGAAAGTACGCTAACCAGGCTCGGATACAAGGATGTCAACACAACAGGTAAATATGAACCAGCTGTTTCAGGAAGTTAAAACGTAGACAATATAAAGACCTTATTTTTATGCTTGTACGCTCTTCTTTGAGAATTCCTCGGTTATATCTTTTCCTTTCGTACATATAAATCAAACGCAGATGTGAAAATGTGTTGACGTCCTCCTCTTCAGGTGTGTGGAAGTAAACGGGCTGACATGTTTTCGTTATTTTCTTCTCGGATGATGAACTCAGGGTTACATCACACTGTGGGCTTGTTGAGATTGACTACTATCACTTAACCTTCAAAGCATCACATCTACTTCAGAGGGGAGAAATGTTCAAACACTTTCACATAAAATACACTTGATGTTAGGACGCTCCGATCATGTTTCTATTGCACAGTGCTAACAATCCTACTGATCAAACTTGAATCAAAAAGATTTACAAATTCACTTTCACTCCCAAAACTTTGTGGAGTTAAAGATTTATGTTTGCAGGTATGGGCTAAAGCTGAATTTGGCTTTACATTTTAGTGCATTGGTTGTTTTTTCCTGCATTTTTTCTAGTAGGGGAGAGTGGGGTAAGATGAGCCATTTTTGATATTAAGGATCACTACATCAAGGTAATCATAGTTTTGTCTCCAACCAGTGTATCTGCATATATTTCAAAATGTTGTGCATCCCTGCAAACCAACAGAATGAGTGTAAACATAACTGTCTTGATAATATAGCATGCCAAAAAAAGTGGTCTCCTATGGTCAACTTACCCTACCCCTATCGCTCCCACTCTCCTCCCCAGACCTCCCTCACCTTCTCTCTCCCTAACCCTCCTCCTGTGTTAGGGTCTGAACCACTTAAAATGAGCTTTTTTTGCATCAAGACTTTTTGACTTTGTCAGGAACCTCTATTTCAACAAAATGAAATTAAAAAATTAAATTGACTAAATTATAAAATGCTCTTATTAAAATTACAGCACTTGTCATGTTGGGGTCGCTGTTGACCCGGTTAGATCAATATCTAATAATCAGAGCAAAAACTTTAATCACAAGTGTCCTGTCAGGCACCACACTGACAGTCAGATCCTCTTCCAATCATGTGAGATTTCATTCTCATTTTGCCATGTTTTTCCCTGCACAAAAAACAACGTCGGACATGTGAGTATATTCAGTATAGATGTCTGTGTGAGGGGTATACTGACAAAGAAACACCCAGAGGACCACAACAAAAACTATTATAAGCAATATTTTCATGAATAATGAAGCCTAACGATTTAACCTAGAGATGAGAACCAAACTGGATGATAGAGAATTGTTTTTAGTGTAATTCACAGCTGATTTAAGACACAGGTCAAAACCGACCATTAACATGGTGGGTGCGTAGTGAAAGCTAACACAGGAGGAAGGCTAGATAACAGTCACTTCTTCACATTAATGCGTATTTTTATCATTTATTATACACTATTCAACTGGTACAATAATTCTTTTTATTATTGTATATAACTGCTAAAAAGCGGTTTTGCTCATAGATACAATTGATGTATAAAACAAATTTAAAATGATCTTTTTGGTCTGAATACAATTCTAATAAAACTTATGACAGACTAAATTCCCTTTTAAGAGTGAAATCTTTTTTTTTTTTTGTAAATAAATGTCTAACCCCTTCACCCATGTACTTGTAACCTTCACAGACTCCATGAATTGATGCCCATCTTCTAAATATTTGGTCACATGATCAATTTCTTTTACCATTTCCAAGCAACAGGGGGTGGCTCAACTTACCCCACTCTCCCCTAAGTAAAACGTCTTGCACTGATTTCTTTTTTCTTCAACAAAATGGTTGTAATTATCAGGAGTAAAAAAATAACTACTGGGTGACCTGTTGAAGAAAAAACAATGTCAAATGCTCAGAGTGAGGTGATAACACCTGTGTCACTTCAATCACATCTCATCGCTGTTTTCATATGTAACACCTCCTCAACGGTGTGATGAATCGTCCCTGTTGGATTTTTTACTTTCTAGCCTCCCTCCATGTGCATCCTTATTATCACTTCAAACACTCTCCTCCTAACATTACCTGTGATCTTATGCACAGCTCTGACTTTAAAGATATAGCCCAGTGATCTGTCATTGTCAGAAATGCTTTCGTTTCCCTGCTTTGGCCGGTTGATTCACACCCCCGCTGTTAAGCTTTTGGGGTCGTACACCAACATGATCCATAACACACCGCTGTTCAGTTGTCATATCTGCTGCCCGTATTTCCTTTTTATCTGAGCCACACATCATGAACCGAGCTGTTAGCTTTATGGGCTCTTTAACTACCCCACTGTTAGATCTTATTGGATTCATTTGTCTTTTTAGGCCGGGTTAAGGCTTCACCCTGGGATTATTGCATCTGTGGTCTTTGTCTCTGTGGCGGCGATCGTTGCTGCCGTATTGATCATCCGAAAATACTGCTTTCCAGTCAAGTAAGCAAACAATATTAATGAGTCTTAATGAGTTGATTGAAAATTCACAGTGCTGTAAAACGCTTTCCACCACCCAGCCTGTCACGTCTCTTTATTTTCAGCGAGGCAACATACAGATACTCGGTGCTGAGGCGGCTGGAGGAGCAGGGTTCAGCGGTGACAGAAGACGACAGGGGGCCAGACACAGTAGGGGAAGAGTCAGACGAGGTCAGCCCATCATGGCTTCCTTGATTGTAGCTTTTCACTGTCATCCATCCTACAGTACACGTTGACACAGCTGTAACCTTCCTCGTCACATCACATGTCATTTGTAACTTCCTGTTTTTGCTTTGTGACAGGATCTGCTGGAATAAATCGAAGACTGGGATGCTGCCGGAGGGACCGAAAAAAAAAGGATGGATTGTTTCCTCAGGCTGCAAGCAGTTACTTGATTCATCTTCAGAATGGTATTTTGATTAACCTGTCAATCATTTGATCCACAACATACACAGTATACATAAATACCTCAAACTTACTGCTACTCTTGGTACTCAAACCAATTAATTGCCAGATTTAAATGACCAGTCGTCGAAGTATTATGGGTTAAAGGGATATTCCGGTGTGAAATCAATTTAGGGCAAACACACCGTAACACTGAGTTAGACACCCCCTCGAAAGATCAATATTGCCGACCGCTTGCTTCTCTAGTTATACCAACTTTAGTAACGACCGCAGGATATGCAATCAATGCATATGCAATCAGTCTGAGATGCTAAGGGAGAAGAACTACTGCTTCTGCATTAATATGGTGATTATTACCTCAAGGAAATGATAAAGAAATGATCATAAATGTTCTTCCTTGAGCTGCGTCACCCCACTGCAGTCGATGGACTGGCCTGAGGTGTCACTACAAACAAGTGGCTGCTGGAAGAGAGTAGGTGAGTTGTGTTTAGTCTCTTTGCTAAAGAAATCCAGCAAAGCTAAAAAGATGTTTGATGGCTAGTGCTGTGGCTGGGACTCTATGTGTACTGTTAATGAAGTTAGGTGCTGTTCTGAGCGTAATTTGTGGCTATAGAGTGGCGTTTTGGTTGAGGTTTGTTTATGGCTGTGTATTGCTATCGTGCGGTCGTTACTAAAATTGGTTTAACTAGAGAAGCAAGCGGTCGGCAACATTCATCTCCCGACGGGAGTGTCTAACTCGGTGTTACAGTGTGTTTGACCCTGAATTGATTTTACGTCGGAACATCCCTTTAAGTTTTATGTGATGTGTGAAGTTTGATTTATTCAGTAACAAGCAGCCATAGTATAACCTGACCCCTCACAGCAGTACTTTCTCACATTAAGCTCATACAGCCTGTGACAACAGTTGTGTAATTTCATGAGGCAACAGAGGAGCTTCTAATGTCTAACAATATAACCCTGACACAGCCCTGATCTAGACCACTGAAATCTTTCTAAAAAGACTCCTCTTAGCGAGGAGCTCAGAAAATATCAGATGTGAGAAAAGAGGAATTGATTAAGATGTTGAACTGTTGCTCTCACAGAAATCATTGCACTGGGTTTCGCTTCATACATGTCTCTCCCTGAACACTTTGATATGTGGAGGCTGTGCCTGCAGGCAGTACTCAGGGCTAAGGATTAGTGTTTACTCCCTTTGCAGAAAAAAAAATCCATATTTTTCTTTTCACTCTGTAAACTTTCAAAATGATGCCACAATTCAACATCAAAAATATGTTAAATAACAGAGCCGGTCAGTGCATTTGTATTTGAAGGTTCACAAACAACCTTTTTATACCATGAAGTAACAAACCAATGTAGTATTTTAAAGAGAAGTTAGTTTATTTACGCAAAATCACAGCTGCTTATTCTACTTTTGTACTCTGCTACTTTTTTATTTAGAAAGTATATAAAAAGTATTAGTCAAGTTTTGGTTTGACTTTTGGTCAAGCTGAAAATGCTGCCGGTCCCACTAAGAATCAACTCTCCCCCACTGTCTGTTAAATTTATTTAGAAAAATTAAAGTCAAATAAGTCATGATGAAAGATTTAAAGAAGTTCATTCAAGTTTTAAAAAAGTACTAATGAAAACATGCCATAAATAGATGTGGAGAACAAGAGCTGAGAAAAACTAGAGTAAAGCAGCAGCAGCAAAACATTGTACCTTAACCCTTGTGTAACGCTGTGGCTGAAATCAGCCACTAGGGGCAAAATTTAGCCACTAATTTCCACGTTCCTTTTTTTTTTTACTGTAGCAAATGGGATGATTTTTTGTGCAGATGCTTATATTGATGGACACTTTGAGAATATGACTTCAAAATTTTCACCAGGTCAAAAATACGCGCTGCGCAAATTTTTATCCGTTGTCAACGCTCAGTGGCTAAAAAAAAAAGCCACTAACTTTGACTGCTGTAAAAACATATTGGTTTAATATTTTTTTCCAAATTCTTTTCATATATCTCTTAAATAACTCCTGCTTTGATCAAAACTAGTAAATGTTTCATCTAAAAACATTTTTTTTAACCCTTTGAGGGTCCATTCAAAACATAATGTCACTGACATGGTAGAAAATAAATCTAATAAAAATCAGTCATTTTCCTCCCATTTTTTTCCCAGTATTAGTGACTTTATGTTTTAAATGGGTCCTTAAAGGGTTAAAATTTGGATTCTTAATGAAACATTTACTAGTTTTGAATAGAGCAGAAGTTAATTAACAGATATATAAAAAATCCGGAAAAAATATGAATCCAATATGTTTTTACAGCAGTCAATCTCAGTGGCTTTTTTTGGCCACTGAGCCTTACACAAGGGTTAAACTTACTCATCCATGGACTCTTTTTAGTCGAAAATCTGCAGCAACATAATTAACGCAGTTGTTGCACTACATATGTACCTTTGAGTTTGTTCATGTCTCAGAGAGCTCACTTTCATTATCCTACAGTTATGAAATAAGCTGTTTGCTACAAGGCAAAGATATTAGTCATTTCAGATGTTTCAAACACTGTAATAGATGTGCGACTAAAAATAGTCACACACCAAGACTGCAATTTTCAACGGATCGACCGGCTCCCTTTGGAATATACATTCCCCCTTTTTTCATGCTTATATTACCCTCTTCAAAGTGATTGTGCTTCTAAGTCCAGTCACTCTTTAATAGACTTCATGATGTCTCATTTTCAAACCTAGAGTTGTTACAAAGAAAAAGCAGAGCTGCGACTTCACCTGCATGTGAACATTGTTAAGTAAACACAACTGCTGACAGCATCAGCTCATGTTAAATGTCATAGTGGTTTTACTTTGTGAACGATGGTTCCTCAGTCTTCAACTCAAAAGTCAAAGAATCAACCTTTGGTAAACAGCTTCTATATTTTTTTTAAATTTGAAGTTCAAGTTTGGTGGACCAGCTCTGGCTCTAAAGTTACATATGATGATGCAGTGGGTGTTTTTAATAGTCTTATTGTAAATTCTGATGCGTGTGTGCAGGAGTATGTGCATATCCTGTATGTGGACTGAAGCGCTGACAAGTTCTGGTGAACTCACTGTGCCTGAATCCTCAATTGAGAGCTGCCTTTCCAAATAAATGTTTTTTCCTTATCTAAAATTGATTGTGTTTGGTAATCTATTTATAAGGATACTTCTATGTAATCCCTTCAACGTTATCAAGCCCTTTGTTTTCATAAACCTACTGTGTGTCCTCTGATCAGTCAAAAATGGAACACACAGACCCTCTGCTGGTTCTCTCAGGTACTACACTTTATCAAGAACTCAGGCTGTAGGTTAAAAAGTGGTAAAAACTCTTACAGAGTGCACTGTTAGCCTTTGATGCTTTTTAATGGAAAATATATGTATTAATTCAACCAAACGAGACACTTTTCATGAGATATGGACAGTTCCAGAACTAGATTTATGTACGGGTGACTAAACATGGTAAAAATAAGGGTCCGTTATCTCCACTTATCACATCTACTTTAAATTCTGAGGCAACTGAATAAAAAAATGTGCGACATTTTTTGTGTATGATTTTTAAAAGGTGCAGCAACATTTAAATCTGCTGCATTAGACATTTAAAAGACTCAAGGAGGACATGTTTAACCAGACTCAGAAGGGGTTTTATTGCCATTGTCAATGAACAGGATTCACAGACTAGGAATTTTTTACGGCGTGATGGTGCAACAATAAACTGAGAATAATACACTCACCGGCCACTTTATTAGGTACACCTGTCCAACTGCTCGTTAACACTTAATTTCTAATCAGCCAATCACACGGCGGCAACTTAGTGCATTTAGGCATGTAGACATGGTCAAGACAATCTCCTGCAGTTCAAACCGAGCATCAGTATGGGGAAGAAAGGTGATTTGAGTGACTTTGAACGTGGCATGGTTGTTGGTGCCAGAAGGGCTGGTCTGAGTATTTCAGAAACTGCTGATCTACTGGGATTTTCACGCACAACCATCTCTAGGGTTTACAGAGAATGGTCCGAAAAAGAAAAAATATCCAGTGAGCGGCAGTTCTGTGGGCGGAAATGCCTTGTTGATGCCAGAGGTCAGAGGAGAATGGCCAGACTGGTTCGAGCTGATAGAAAGGCAACAGTGACTCAAATAACCACCCGTTACAACCAAGGTAGGCAGAAGAGCATCTCTGAACGCACAGTACGTCGAACTTTGAGGCAGATGGGCTACAGCAGCAGAAGACCACACCGGGTGCCACTCCTTTCAGCTAAGAACAGGAAACTGAGGCTACAATTTGCACAAGCTCATCGAAATTGGACAATAGAAGATTGGAAAAATGTTGCCTGGTCTGATGAGTCTCGATTTCTGCTGCGACATTCGGATGGTAGGGTCAGAATTTGGCGTCAACAACATGAAAGCATGGATCCATCCTGCCTTGTATCAACGGTTCAGGCTGGTGGTGGTGGTGTCATGGTGTGGGGAATATTTTCTTGGCACTCTTTGGGCCCCTTGGTACCAATTGAGCATCGTTGCAACGCCACAGCCTACCTGAGTATTGTTGCTGACCATGTCCATCCCTTTATGACCACAATGTACCCAAGTTCTGATGGCTACTTTCAGCAGGATAATGCGCCATGTCATAAAGCTGGAATCATCTCAGACTGGTTTCTTGAACATGACAATGAGTTCACTGTACTCAAATGGCCTCCACAGTCACCAGATCTCAATCCAATAGAGCATCTTTGGGATGTGGTGGAACGGGAGATTCGCATCATGGATGTGCAGCCGACAAATCTGCGGCAACTGTGATGCCATCATGTCAATATGGACCAAGCTCTCTGAGGAATGCTTCCAGCACCTTGTTGAATCTATGCCACGAAGAATTGAGGCAGTTCTGAAGGCAAAAGGGGGTCCAACCCGTTACTAGCATGGTGTACCTAATAAAGTGGCCGGTGAGTGTATATAAAATACTAGAATAGAAAATAATAAGAGCATGCAGGACATATAAAAGTATAAAAGGCTATGTACAGTAAGTATAACAGGCCAGAGCCACCATTGAACATACAAATCAAAGAAAATGAAAAGCAAAGTAAAATAATAAGCAGCATGTTGAAACGCAATTTAAAAATCTGATTTTAGTGAAATTGGCATCTCTGACGAGGCTAATAGTCATGGTTTGGTCTCTTAGCTCTGCCTCTGCCCACAGCAACAAACCAGCAAGATGATGGCTGACAGAAACATAAAGTCAAGTCTGATGAAAGATTGAAAAAAACAAAAAACAAAACAAAACAAAAGTCTCCTTGACTGGATTTACAAATGCAGAGTTAAGGGTTAATCTATAGGAAGTTCTTCATGACACTTGACTCTGTGTAAGCAACATCTCATGAGAGCGCACACTCCTTCTGTAAATATTGACGGTTGAATGACCTTCTCATCACTGAAATGATCTCAGTGTGGTTATTTGTCGACTATCAGAGTCCAAGCTGGATGACCAGGTATGCTGACCCAGATAGATGTCCTTAAGATCCCAGATATTCGATAACTGGTTAATTGTAGTTCAATTTTTATCTCAGACTATTTTTTCTTACCCTCTTGTCCAGAGATGTTAAATAAATAATCATCTTGACCTTTCTAAATCATCATGACGCATTTTCTGAGATCAAATTGCATCAATTCAGCTTCGTGTAATGTCACATTTTGGCTATTTAAAGAAAACTAGGGTAACTGTTGATATAAAGGAGAGGGAAAAAAAAATCTCTGGATGTTTCCAATCAGAGCACTGACTGGTCTGAAGATGAAACACACACTACACTACAGCTTGTGCAGTCCCTAGATCAAAACCGAGCCGCACACACACAGGAAACAATGGAGCAACTTATTAGGCAACATTCTCCTGCACCATTATCAATACATCAAATAAGGGAACATCTTCTGTAGGAATGGTGTTCACCCCAGAGGTAGGGTTCAGACTAGAACTTATATGTCAACGGCACTGAGGCTGTTGTGGATGTTTATCTAATGGCAGGTCTCTCTTGTTTTTCCTGTAAATGTCCCTCATCTGTAAGATTGCGGTTAATTTCTCCTCACATGCTCCTCACTCTGCTACTCAGCTGTTTTCTTGATGGATAAATTACGACCTCATTATGATTGGGGCCGTGTGACTTTGATAACAGTCATAACTCATTACTGCCTGCAGGGAAATGCTATTTTTGTTTGGACAGGCAGGTGAAATCTGGAGCTCGGCTACTGTTCAGGGATCAGCAGGGCTGATGCTCACCGACATGAAGGCTTAGCTCTGCTGTAAAACAGGATTGCCATGCCTTTCACCATTTAAACATCTCCAATGACTATTTCTTATAATGGCCTGGTCTTTATTGTAATAGTCTGATTATTACCTACAAATCTGAAGTTTTATCAGCATGAAAAGGTTTTGTATTCTGGTTTTCCATTTCAGTCTGATTAGTGTGTAGTTTCTTGTTCATATGGAAGTCATGCCTTTTTACATAATTATCAATCAACCACTTTTTTATATATGTAGAATAGGGTGACCATATTTTGAGTACTGAAAAACAGGACACTCATCCCAGCAATGAGATACCCAAATGATACTCAAGGGTTACTTAAAGATACCTTGTAATTTCAATACATTTATAGTCTAGACAAGTTTCAAAAATAAAGAATGAAATTATGATAGAAATAATTTCTCTTCTGTAATAAATAAATAAATACATCTGCTTTATTAGCAATCCAACTTTAACAAAAATAGCCCTCCAAAACTTACAAAAACTAACTAACAAAAAATATTGGTTACACTTTATTTGACAGCTATCCCTATAAGGCATTATAAATAGATGTATAATGCATTATAATCACGTTATAACACTGTAATAACTATAGTTATAAACACTCGTAAATGATCATAATGCTTTATAGCAATAATCTTAACACATTATAAAGTATTTTATCATAACTTGCAAGGTCAGGTATTATAATGTGTTATAACTGTTAATAACTCACTGATAATGCCCACATAGATAATGCAATGCAGCTGTTGTTAACAGTTATAACACATTATAATACCTGACCTTGTAAGTCATGATTAAATGCTTTATAATGTGATATGATTGTTGCTATAAAGCATTATGATCGTTTATGAGTGTTTATAACTATAGTTATACAGTGCTATAACGTGATTATAACACATTATACATTTATTTATAATGCATTCAAACAAAAGGCATCAAATAAAGTGTTACCAAAATATCTACTGTATATCTTTAGTTTTCTACTTCATCCTATTGGCTCAGTGAAAAACCAAGAAAATCCGGACATTTTCATCACTGTAGAAAAAAACAACCAGTCCAGCCAGAACAGGACGTGAAAACAGGACATGTCTTAGAAAAAAAACAATACGTTTGGTCATCCTAATGTCGAATCAAATGTCAAAGTTTTTCTCATAAAAAGAGAACTTCTAGACGTTTTTCTTCAATTTTATTTACATCAATCCAGCTCTAGGCGAGCGATTGACAGCAGGGAGGAGAAACTTCCTTTCAACAGGCAGAAACCTCGAGCAGAACTGGACTCATCTGTCAACAGCCATCTACCCAACAGGATACATTCAGTATTTGCTTTAAGCTTTGAAGTGATTTTTTTTTTAAACTTCTTTTATACAGTTAGTAGATTTATCTTTTTAACCACCAGTTTTCTGCAGAGAACTCATCAACACACATCAGATTAGATTTAATGAATTAAACACAAGTAGAAATCATAGAAACTCTGGATGTTTTCCCTAAAGATTTACCTGCTCATCTTGAAATGTGACACTCATTGCCCTTCTTGGCCCTCTCTTTGTGTATTGTTCCCTCTCCATGTTCCACATGTGTGTTTGCACACCAGCTGAACACACTATTCTTTTGGAGAAACACATTGTTCTCTACGGATAGTATCAATTACTAGTGGCCACATCCCACATTTGGCATTGTCAGAGAGAGTAATCTGATCATGGAATTTGCTGTGCTTGTGGGTGTGTGTGTGTGTCTAATGCCACATCCTGGTTAAAAGTAGCACAAGGAGGAGGAGGAGGACTGACATGTTTTCTTTGCATATGCAACACCTGCTCCCTCAAGACACGGTTGTAGGGATGATCAGGGAGCGGGCTCACAGATGATACGACACCAAAGCTTGGCAGTATCTACAATATTTCATGTTGACGAGGAAATACTTGCAGAGCATTTCAAAGGCCTTCAGCAGCAGGGAGCCCTCTGATCCACAGCAGATATGAGATGTCGAGGTGAGACTTGGAATTTAGAAAATAGAGGTAGATTTGGTCGTGACTTCTAGATTTGCATGTGTCTGTGCTTTTGGTGGTTGGCAGGTATTCTGGAGATTTTCGCTGTCCTTGCTGGCCTCTTGATACTACTATGGGGACTCGCCATTACATTTGACATCAAGAATAACCCACTACAAATTGTTGGTATGCCATTTTCTGCTTATTATACCCTGAATTGCTGAGTTACTACAGCACATTGATATAGTGTTCATATAATGTGTATTTTTCTCAATCTCAGGGTTCCATTATGGTGAACAAGTCACAGACTTATCAGGGGACAGTAAGTTCAAACTGGTATGACCTGTTTTTCCTCACCTTGACTGCATGCATGACTGCACCTCAAAGCACATTTTGATTTGAATTTTTTAGAGTCCAAAAGATGTAGTTTGCCAGAACCCTGTCCACCCGAATCTTTTCCTTTCCATATCTGGAGTGGAGCAGCTAATGTTGTGGGACCAAAGATCTGCTTTGATGGTAAAGTGTAAGTGTCTAGCAGTCCTTGCATTATCCAAGAGTAACTGTCTTTTTGTCTTGTTTTTCAAAGTTGGATTGAATGGAGTACTTATCAATTATTATATTGTTAAGCAAATGACCGGATGACACAGAATCTGAGCTGAGTACAGCTTCAGACAAGGACATGAGAGACACATTTGGTGTCTTAGTATTAAATGGGACACCTTTTTAAAAAAAAAAAAAGGCTCAAGTGTACTTTTTGGTTTTGAGTGATTTTAGCCCTTGATTTTGACCTCAGCAGCCCTTTGCTTTGATACAGTAGCTGCGTTTGCATGAGTACAATAATCGTAATAAATGCCCGATCTGAATAAAAATGCATCATGTAAACATGTCGATCAGAAGATTCTGATCCAGTTCAGCTCAATCAGAAAGAAATTGTATTCCGATCAAGAGGGGTGGTTTATGCAGATCGTTATTCCGAAACGCGTCCATGTAAACTTTTACTCCGATTGTGACTCTCTTACCTGACTCGATCTTCACTCTTTAGCCTTTGGCTTATTTGTTGATCCCAGTACAGGACGTTTCATTAGCTGCCGTGTCTGCGCCTCCTCAACTTAATCGGATCAAGAAATTTTGCACATGTAGACATCGCTCATGTTTCCAATAGTGTTCAAACGAATACCAGGAGGTACGCTTCTGTCTCTTGGGCCGATGTCTGTTGAATTAAATCTCATCTCACTTCTCTTTACATACCAGTTTTACCAGTTCCTTCTTTGTGGAAGGAAGCCAAAAAACTGTACCTTTGATTAGTAATGACTGGCCCTGATAGTATGCTAACTTGCTCCACCCTCGACTTGACAAATAAATGAACAGCCACAACATTTGTCCTGTAAAAGCCCTAAGTCTCTGTCCTTAGATTTATAAAAGTGTCCTTTTGTTCCATGGAGAATGCCATTTTATGTTTTCCACAACACATATTCTATTTTTTTTTTGTGTCTATTTTGCAAATCATGGCAAAGCCAAAAAGCTGATCTGATACTGTACATGTGTAAGAAAACAGGGCTGTTGTGTAAAGTATTAAAAATACAAAAATATAGTACCAAAGGAAAGAGCTTTTCATATCAAACTGAAGCAACAAAGCTGCCTTTTCCAACTGTAGGACTCTTAAGTGGCTCAGATACATACTTCTGACTCTTATAGCTTAGCTTCAAAACCAGGTCTGTTGCTTCAAACCAGAATTTGACAGACTGACTGTCATAAACTCGTACATTTACGATTGATAAGTACCTCATCCGACCCAACTGCAGCATGTAAAAAAGTCACTCTGCACTGAATCAACCTTGTTGGTATCTCAACAGCATTATGAGTCATGTGTTGAATAATGTTGGCTCAGGAATCAACATCGTGGTGATAGATGGTGAGTAAGAACTTCAAATTCTTATTCTGTACGTCTATTTAAGGGATTATGTGTACTGAATGGGCTGTTACACCTCATACCACATTCTGTTAAGTACTTTCTTCATGCATCATCTCCAGTTTCGATTTTTGTGTTGTCATATTATCTTAACTTAAGACAGGTATGTCATCATTTATAAGTCCTTGTATTGTCCTTTCAAGGAGATAAATAGTTTCTCTAGGTTTTAATTAACTCTCTGTCTTAGAAACAGTAGCAAATATTCTTTTTTTTTCCCAATATCATGATAACATTAGGACTTAAATAAGTTTACACTCAGTACATTAACATGCAGTTAAAAAATGTATCTATTGCGTTGTACCTGGACCTTTAAAAAACATGCAAACACATAGTCTCATAGTCGGACTAATATACATAGATAATGTGGTTGAGGGTTGATTTCTTTTATCATGTATTCAACTAAATCAAACTGAGACGAGCCGAAGCGTTCTGCACATGCTCCAGTGTTCACACGCCGGGCTCTGAGCCAGAAGCTGAAAAGCAAGATATGTTGCTAGGAAGCCAGGTAGAAAACAAAGCCTTAAAGAATTCAAAGAATAGACGTAACTAACAAGTGGCACAGATCAGGAAAAGGACAGTATTTTCATCATTGGAATACATCTCATTGGCCTCTTGCCTATGTGTTTTGCCAACTGTTATGATATGTCAACAGAGAGATGACCTCATCGGAACAAGCAGGAAGGAGGCGTGTCACCACCTACTGTAGCAGAGGTGGACATGCTTGTGTCAATGATTTGATTCTTGCCCAGTGCATTTAACTGGGACAAGTTTGCTGTGCATGTAAACGTGCTGACTGATAAATAGGAGCAGACTGGCCAACCTTAATTTTTGATAATCTCCTCCATCCAGCTCTTCCATCTTGTGTTTAACCATATTTGTCTTTTCTTTGATACTGGGCAGTAGCAGTAGGATTTCAGTTTTGAGACATTAGCTTTACTCTTCCTGTTCTGGCACGCAGCAACTCATCAGGCCTTTGACGACTCCTGTGCTGCCTATAGACGGGTTTCTGTGCAATGTCATCGCAGGTATGCGCGCGCAGCCTTGAAGCAGAAAGCGGGACATTTCTTATTTGTTTACTAGCGGAGTCAACCGAGGAAAAGGAAATGACAAGGAGCTGTTGTGCTGTAAACTGCACGAATTGGCAAAACAAACAATCGGCAAACATTACGACCCTGCTCCTGATATTAAAAACATCTAAAACAACGTCACAACCTGGTAAATTGGGTGAAATTTAGTGTTTTTCTGATTTTGGTGCAATGAAAGACTACGACAGAGCATTAGGGCCACATTAAGAAAAGAAAAATTTTAGACCTCGAAATTACTTACGAGAATAAAGTCATAATAAAGTCATTTCTTACGAGAACAAAGTCTTACGAGAATGCTCCCTCGTAGTCTTTCAGTGCATCAAAATCAGAAAAACACTTGCTGAAATATACATAAATTTCACTCAGTTTACCAGGTTGTGACGTTGTTTTAGATGTTTCTAATATCAGGAGCAGGGTTGTAACATTTGTTGATCTTTGTTTTGCCGATTCGTGCAGTTTACAGCACATCGGCTCCTTGTCATTTTCTTCAAATTTCAAATTTATTTATTTCACTTACACGTGCACACCCACCCACCCACAAACATACACACACAGGACAGTGCTTGGTTGTTTTGCATTTCGTCATGGCTTTGTACCGAAGGTCCCAGTGAGGTAGAACGCATGAGGAGACACTGGAGCTAGGAACTAAAAGATTAAAACACATAAAATAATGTTTCTTTCTTCGTTGACTCCGCTAGTAAACAAATAAGAAATGTCCCGCTTTCTGCCCCAAGGCTGTGCGCGCATACCTGGGATGATGTTGCACAGAACTTGTCAATATGACCATTGCATTATACTGGTATCTATAATAAGAGACTTTTCAAACACTACTGATATTGTGTACAAGTACTAGTACTGGTCCTTAAGCTGGACCACATGTATAACAATAGAGGATGAACAAAGAAGAGAAAGCGGACTGTTTTATAACTTCAACTAAAATCACTTTTTTGTGATTTATTTATTCAGGTTTATTTTTTTACTCTTACTAATTTCAGGTGAAAGCGGTGCTGTGGAAAAATTTGGCTTTCTTAATATGGAGCATGGAGGTAAGAGTTTTTCACAAATATTCGAATCTAGTTTTTGGTTTCAGTTTACAAACACCTTCAATATGTTGCTTTTCCTTTCTTTTCTTTTTCTTTTTTTTTCCCAACTTGAACCAAAGACCAGAACCATATCGTGCAGTACTTGAAGGCCATAAAACCTGGTAGTATTGTTTTGGTGGGCTCTTTCATAGATTTGGCGCCTCGGTAAGTGCAGATCTCAATGATGCAACTATCTCAAGAGCTGCAACAATTTCATGTCATATCTAAGGTTTTCTTCTACTTCTACGACAGACTGACAGATGAAGTAAAAGAGATATTTGAAGGAATGGGAAGTGGTATGATCAAGACTATAAAAAGCAAAGACGGCTGGGTGTTTGCTGGAAAGGCGGGGGCAGGAGAAAAAAGCCTCTTTGAGAAAGTAAGGGAGAATTTATCTGCAGTTTTATTTGCCATCTGTTCTTAAAATCATAAAGTATGGGGAAAAAAAGTGTAGATGATTGGTTTTTAAACAAGAGTCTCTTTTTCTGTTTATTTCAGGTGTCTGTGAATGATAAAGAAACCAACATCTATGATGAATGGCCGCGTGCAGTGGAGATTGGCGGCTGTTTCCCTAAGACCTTACCCACTGAAGACGATCCAAAAACTTCCGGAGAGAAAGAGAAAATCTGATCGCAACACTCAACCTGTGGAAACGATCTTACTTCAGAAAACTCTTTTTGAAACTGGTTATGAGCACCACAAAGCAATGCACCTTAAACACACTGATTTGCTGATGTGTGGAAAGATTGTAGCTTTAATTTGAAAGTAGAGACCTCCTTGTGTTTCAGAGTATCTTGTACCCAAACCTGTGTTAAGCGTTGTGGTTTAAAAAAAAAAAAAAAAAAAAATACAGTCCTAAACTAGCACCAGGGCCACTCTGGTGGAGAAGGGGTGCCGAAGATGGGCATTTGTTTCATGGTGTTAGCATGCTAGCCAACAGGGAAAAACCATAGACAATGTATATACAATGGACAACTTGGTTCTGCCTTCCACCAGTAAACGGATTTGAGGCCGAAAAGCTCTCGGTAATTCCGCGTTTTTTCTCCATTTCCTGAAACCAACATTGTGCAGTACCGTTGTACGCACAATGTTGCACAGTAGCGTTGTGCGCATTCAGCAGGAGAGTCGCTGTGATGATGTTCGGCTCAAACAGCGTATCCCCCGGGTGAGCTACGCAATCGCCGTACACCCATAGGCTGTATCAGGTGTCAATCATAGAAAACAAGAACCCCCTAATAACTTTTAAAAGTGGAGCTGTACAGAAAAAAAGAGGACTTGAGCACAAACCAGTCTTACAGTAACTACACGTCAACATCGCAACTTTTTTAGTGTAATACATTTCTAAAGTTTGTCCACAGTTCCATAAGCTTTGGCGGAGGCGGGTGTGCTGTTCTCGGAGTGGCTTCACCCAGCGAGGAGGCAGACGGCATCCATTTTATTTTAGTCTATTTTAGTCTCTTACCAACCTTGGAAAAAGTCTTGTGTTTAAGTCGGACCTTGGCTGCTCGCTGACTGCTACATTTTACTGTCCTGTCTTACTAATGACCTTAGCCTACCAACCAAAACTTACAGCTAGCTTTACACGAGCACATGCGCAAGTCCACAAGCTTAAACAAATTACTTCAAGTTAGCAAACTTGCAAAACTATCCGCAGTAATAAAATTATTGAATGGTGTTTACTTTGGACCCCCCAGCAATCTGGTTTGGTTACTTGCATTTTCACTCTCATCATCCTACTTTCTGGCACCCCTCTTTTGGGGTACCACGCATATCTATCCACCCCACAGGAGTGATGCTGGACACACAGTGGGCTAACCTGTTGATTAGAAGAAAGGAAGAAGAGGCAGAGGGATCATCCTGGATTATGTCTTTTTTAAAGATTGTTTTTTTTTTATGTCTATCGGGGATTGCTTTCAGGGGTGGTATTGGGCTGTGTCCTGTTAGGAAAATGTAAGTTTAAGAGTGGGTGAGAGGAGAATTGAGATGAACGCAGTGGAGAGAAAAACCACAGAAGAGGAAGTTTTGCCAGTAACAGGATGCAAATTATCACCATAGCTTAGATCTTGTGATCGAATAGCTGTGCAAGTTACTTGTTTTACTAAATAACTAGCACTGGGCAAAAATCGAATTATTAAGAGAAGTGTATCAGCCTATGCTAGGTGGTGACACGCCCCTTTCAGCCTGTTACTATCAGATCATCTCCAGGTTGATGTGTTACATTTCACTTCACAAAATGAACCACAATCCTGAGCTGACAGAGATTAACTATAGCTTTTAACTGCGGGTACAGTTGATTGTGGGGCGGCAAGCAAGATCAGGGTTTACAAAAATCAAAAAGGTTGGTTGGTCTTGCTCTAAAGGTAACCACTTCTTCTCTCCTGTAATCAGAGCTGTCAGTAATATTGTCTGTTTATATGTATTTATAGGTTGGTTGTTGTATTTTGTTCCGTTGGATGGCTATTTTAGTGGGGTACAACTAAGGGTATGTGTTTCACTTTTGTAATGATTGAATGTTATTGTCATTTTGACCATTTTAAGTAAAACTAACTTTTAATGGATCGGTTTGAGAAATACAGAAAAAGGGAGAAAAAGAAAATATTTTGAACAACTGTACTTCTGAGCAAATATCTGTAGTTGTCTTGTTTTTTTTGTTTTATTTTTATGGAGTTGTTTTTTTACTCCTTTGCCAAATAAACAATGTTTGTTTTAATTCCTGATTAATCATTTGGATGTCAATAGAGAGCAGACATGTTGAGCTCTTTTTCAAATATAGTGCTCTTGTTGAATCTTCCTAGCACTTTGTCAACCTTCTCTTATTTTCACCTCACAGAGATTTGAACTGTTTTTCAAATGAAACTAATTTGTGGGCGATTTTTTAGAGGGAAGTTTCACCTCTTCAGCAAAACTGGTACAATAACAAACCAAGCTTATACAATATTTACCAAGACAAATACAGTATATGAAGTCACCGATGACTACTGCTCAACTAAAGCACACTATATCCATCCTGAATTTGGAGAAATTGAGGTATTTAGTAACAAAAGAGGACCTGAACAGCTTCTACTGCAGGTTTTCACACCCTTCACCAGCCCCATTTAAGCCACTCAGCAACTCTAGTTCAAGCCTACTTACTACTGTGACCCCCTACCAGTAAAGCTCGGTGAAGAGAAGGTGTGTCTGCTTTTTTAGAGGCAGATGATCAGGAAGGCTCCAGGATTTGGTGGTGTACCCCCCTCCTACCTGAGAGTCTGTGCTTGCCCCCATCTACGTACACCCAAATATTTACCAGACCCCTATAGTTGTGTGAAGCCTCCTTCTCCTTCATCCTGGCCCCCAAGAAACCCTCAGTCCCAGGGTTTAATGTCTACAGGCCCCCTGCAGTTTGCTTATTATGCAAACAGGTCAGTGGATGATGCAGTAAACATGGAACTGAACATTGCAGGGACGTATGCGTGGATCCTGTTTGTGGATTTAACCCCATAACACTATCACCGTGTGATTTTCACCCAACCAAACATGTTTACCTGATTTTCATGTGTCTGAGTATCATGGGTCCCTGGGTAGCTTCAGCATTGCCTTTGACATCTTTAAAGGCATATTTGTTTCCCTGATTCAAAACCTGCTTTTTCCTACAGGCACGTGTTCACAGGGTGATTTTCACTCTGCAATAATGATAGAGGGTAAAGTAGGTCTGGGTGGATTTGATAGCTGCATGTATGAAAATGAGTTCAGTAAGAGTGGTCCTAGAATTTGCATGCTATCTTTATTTAGCACAGTGGTTATGAATAACTCTCACAAAGTAGTGATTTTAAGGGAACTCATATGGTGATAAGAAATATTTTAGTCAGCTGGTCATTTTTACTCACTCAAAATCTGCCATATTTTGGTTCTTTCTCCTGCAGCTGTTATTGTGCCAAGGACCCTGAGTCTTCACCAGGGAAGACTCAGATGCCTCAGGAATGGGTAGAAAAGAAACTAAGTTTACAGTTTATATATATATTTTAGGATTTTTTTCATAAATGAATGCCTTATTTCAGTTTTGTTGCATTTTTATGGTCCCCTCATGGCACTTATTTTCCCTCCCTTTAGACATTGCACAGTTCAAACTAAAAGAAAACTACTTTAATTTGTCATGTTTTGACCTATTTTGATATACTTTGATGGACAAAGTACAAAGTAGTTTTTCTCGGGTATATTATTTTGGGTAAAAATCACTCAGCGATAGTGATGGTGTTACTAATTTTAGCGATAGTGTTTTAGGGTTAAGCTTGGTGCTCAACACCATCATTCTTGAGCTCCTCCACCTCAAACAGATCCAGTTTATTTTGCCAGCCCCAAACCTCTCAGTGGATCACCAGTATCTTGACCAACAGGAGGCAGCAGATGAGGCTAGGGGGAACGTCATATCCAGAACCTGGACCATCAGCACTGGTGCCCCCCCAGAGGTGTGTTCTCAGGGGATCCGTCAGTCAGACTCATGAAGTTTGCAGATGACACCACAGTTACCAGTCGAATGCAAAATCCTTGTATGTGCACACATACTTGGCCGACAAAGCTGATTCTGATTCTAATTCATCAACTGTGTCTACAAGTTTTCTGCTTGACTGGTAAATACACCACCAGCTCTTTTGGCTTCCTCTCCAGCCCTGGGATTTGTCTTCCACTCGATCGCTGCCCCTCTCTGAGCATCACCATTGGTCCAAACACTGAACTGTTTCCCCTCTTTGCCATTCTTGGCTGCCGGACAAAAAAGTGAGAGAGTTAGGAGGAGAGAGTAAACTCAAATTATTGTTGAAACTCGGTGCACTGTGAGCCGGGGAAGTGTTGGTTATAGCAGCCTGAGGACATGGGAGTCTCCCATGGCAAGAAGGTAAGTTAGCTGATTTTTATTATTACTTTGGCTTTTTCTCCATGAGACACACGGATGTTGTTGTAGAACAATCTGGAAAAAACGTCCATGTGGTAAAATATTCTCTTGGCATGCATTGATCGTTTGATAAAGGTTAAAAAGCCTGGAAGACAATCAGTGTTTCATAATGTTTTGTGTGTCATTGCAAATTAATTACGCTAATTGTGTGTTCCTAACGATCGTAGTTGTGCAGAACTTTTTACACTCAGTTACATATTTCCTGAGGACAGTAAGGGCTTAAACCAAACACATCTTTAACCAACAAAATAAGAGCCTTTCCATCCCTGAAGTGTGGGCCTCAGAGAGTGTTTATCCCGTCACGTCCTATTAATTCTTCTCCACACATATCCACCGTTGAAGATTTAGCCAAACAGCACGACTCTCCCCTCATCAGGCAAACAGCAGCCAGCAGCAGAGTTGTCATTAAAATGCCTCATTTAGATTCTACTTTTTCCCTCATTCTGACAACTTACTGTCATCTTGTTTAAACTTTACTTTTTTTGCTGCTTTGTAAACACATGACTATGCTTTTTTTTTTTTTTTAATCCAAATTGCAACCAACACCGAGGCTACAACAAACATTATGTAACATACATTAGAGTGAATATGTTCCAACAGATCAAGCAAAATCAGAGCAAAATGCAAAGCTGCTGTATTTTCCACACTTAAATAACTATTTGATATTTAATTAAACAACAATATCTGAAACAGTAATTTGATTTACCAGGTCAGAGTAAATCCCACAGGGGAAATAATCCTTTGCTTGGCTATTAATTCTGCTCAAACTCCAGTAAATGAGGAGCTCAAAGGGGATCAAACTGTGTTTTGTTTGATGCTGTCATTAATGAGGTGGCAGCCCTCCACCTCGCCCGTCAGCCCGCTCGCTCGCTTCACTGGACATGTGGAACTGGACACTTCATTTGTCTGTCAGCATCATAATGCGGCTTTTGTGGAGCCTCTGAAATCACCTCCACTTACAGTTGACTGTTTGAAACTGGGCTGTTGACCTGACTGTGAAACTTTTATGTGTTACCTTTCTCATCGTGGACTTTAATTTTGAAAGAAAAGAAACGATCTTTTGATAAGCAGATAAGTACATTGTGTTTGACATATAATTGGCTTTTCTTGTTTGACAGAAAGATCTCCAACACTCGCCACACAGAAGCAAGACACACCTGAGCAAGTCTGGTGAGAAATCTTTATAATCAATACGATGCTGTGGGGTGTTGCTCCGTTTTTGATCTTTTCCTTTCATCGAGGACTACAGTAGACGTAGTTTTTTTTTTTTTTCCATTGATGCAGTAAATCTTACATAGAAAGATTTTAAAGTGTTTTTTTTTTTGTAAAGTAAGTTTCTGTATGTTGTTTATTTTATACCTGGGCAAGTTCTGGGCAGATCAATACACCAACTGTATTTTCCTTAAAGGTTCATTTCAAGTATCATCGACTTGACTTTAAAAAGCTACATGTCCACAAAGGAGGGATTATTTTTGTTTACTGGAGGTGCATTTTGTTGCAGTTGTGGGCAGCAAAACTCAATGATTTTTCCTCTGCTACTTCATAAATCCATTCTGTTTTCTTTTGGTAGAAAGCATAACATTTTAGATCGGTACACTTTTACTTTTTTAAAGCTCCTGTGAGAAACTCTCAGTTTGTGTGTATTTTGGCTCAGACAAAGCACTTTTTGCTTTTGTCGTCCCAGATATGCTATAATATCATTCTTCTGATGGTTAAATCTATAATTTATTGTGAATATGTAATGTGAAGAAAGCTGCTTAGCTGACACCTACCCCCATTAAACATTACAGCATGAAAATCGTCCTTTTTATTTGCCCCTGATGGTCTTGTTTTTGTACAGTACCATCTCGATATCATTAAGTCTATTTCATAAAGGTAAAAAAACTCCTGACAGGAGCTTTAATTGATAAGGTGATACCTATAGCGTTTAGCACAAAGTGAAGTGGTATTCCCTGCTAAAAGTATTTAACTGCACATGTTTTCTTTCCAATGAAATTCAGTATTCTGAATTTAACAATTTTAGGTTTTTGCGGCCTTGTTTGTTGTTGTTGATTTACTCTGCAAGTTTTGGTTTGTATAAACTTTACTGCACAAAACCAAGTATTTTTAAGTAAGTAAGTTCCCAATTCTCCTCTCACCACTTTGAAACTTTTATTAAATAAAATTGATATTAGATATCAAATAAATGTTTTTTTCTCTCTGTTTGTTGTCAGAGAAAAACTTTGAGGAGGTTACAGTGAAACAGGATGATCTTTAGGATGCGGTTTACTGTCTTAATTTGCAGAAGTGTTTTATTGGTTGTTACTGTCATAAAAGAGTTAAAGGGATGATCCAGAATCTAGGTCAATAAACATTTATTATATTTGCTTAGTATTTACCCATGTTACCTCAGTAAAATCCACACATTTTAGCTTAAACATATTCAAACATTTGAGTCTGATCTTTTATCACTTTAGCAGATTAAAAACCATTATCTCCCTTTTATCAAGAAGTGGATTTAAAACCCTCAGACACGAACCACACTTTGTTCTGAACAAACTCAGTAGTTATGTTGTTCTACTATTTGTTAATGTTATTACACTTTTACATTAGCACGCTGCTCATTGTGTAGCTAACAGAGACATGGCATTGACTTTGTGACCTCTTCCTCTTTTTTTTTATTGGTAGTCTTTGTTTCAACATTGTCCGAGGCAGCTCCTGTAGACAGAGTTGATGCTGCTTAGCAACAGTGAATGGACCAGCTTTAAAAGTCTGGCCAAGTTTTTATATCTCTGACCTTAAACACGGTGAGCTAAGTTATACAACATTGTATAATCCAACATTTACTGAAGCCAATTTTTCTCTTCCTCAGTGTCAGTGGAAAGCCAAAATGTTGTTTTCATATCACTGTTTTCCTATAGAGTGACCATATGTCCTCTTTTACCCGGACATGTCCTCTTCTGGGGCTATCTGGCCTGTCCAGGGGAGTTTATAACATCCTTAAAATGTCCAGGGTTTTGTATGAAAGTTTTGAGTTTGTGTAGTGTGGACTAACCGAGTTAGAAGCGTGTAAAAATCACTCAACCTGACCCGAAAAACCCTCAAAATTTTGCACGCGACTCCATCGCTTGCTTCTCTTTTTGGGGAATTAGCATACGGTCACCCTAGTTTTCCAGAATTGCAATTTGTTTTAGGAATCTGACCCCTGTGACCATAGTTAACATCCTCAATGACTTGACTTGAAAATACAACAGATGAGGAAAATCTGAAGGGACATCAGGCTGTTTCTCAAGGAAATACAAAGTTTTCATGAGCCAATAGCTACCATCAGACATCAGTGAAAGTTAGCATGAGGTAACTTCCTAGCTAAGATTACACTTAGATGTACACTTCTTGTGAAAGGTGTAAAATTATGCTAACAGTGAAGCAACTAAGAAATATATACTTAGATTTTAGCGGGCTAACCCATTAGCATAGCCTACCTGGCCAGCAAAACTTAAAAGCTGATCTAATGGTAATGTTCACGAGGAGTTAAACCCTTTCTTGTTGTCAAATGGTATATTATACAACTGTTGTGTTAGTGAGTGAAAATATTTAAACATTTTCTTGTGCGTTAGGCGTTAATTTATGCTAACAGTGAAGTAACTAAGAAATTTACAGGCCTACTGTGACTATTACCTTGGTCTTCAGCAGGCTAACTCATGAGCATAGCCTACCAGTTGAACAAAACTTACAAGCTGATCTAATGTTAATGTTTGCAAGGAGTTTAACCCTTTCTTGATGTCAAAATGATATTTTATACAACTGTTGTGTTAGTGAGTGAAAATATTTAAACATTTTCTTGTGCAAAGGCATTAATTTATGCTAACAGTGAAGTAACTAAGAAATTTATACAATACCTATTATCTTGGTCTTTAGTGGGCTAACTCATTAGCATAACCTTCCTGGTCAACAAAACTTAGGAGCTGATCTAATGGTTATATTTGCCTGGAGTTGAACCCTTTCTTGTTGTCAAATGGTATTTTATACGACTATTGTGTTAGTGAGTGAAACTTTTTAGTAACTTTTTAGCTGTTGTCTAAAAGAGTTTTTGACTTGTAACCTGTAACAACACAGTGTAAAACAGGCTCACAGCATTCAAGCCTGAGAGTAAGGTCAGACGACATTGTATGTAACCACTATGTATGGTTATGGGGTTATGTATGTACATGTACATTTATATATATATGGCTCAGAGATATCATGTGAATCAAGATTTTGTCTCTTTGCACTGTCAGAAATGCAGACACATCAAACTGAACAGCAGGATCTGTACTCAGAGTTTCGGGCTCCTCTGCTGCACAGTGAAGACGAGAGCTGTGATCTCATCAAACCTCAAAAACCTCACAACCCTGTAACAGCCTCCAAGAGCCACCAGGAGCTCCACAGGGAACTGCGACTGACCCACAACAGGTTGAAGTGACTCCCAGACAGTCATTAACGCTTCCTCTCGAGTTTCGTAGTTCATTCACAGATTATGAAGTCTATTATTTCTCTGTCAGGAGAGTTCTGCACGAAGGAAAGGGTGAACTCCAAAGGGCTCTAGAAAAAAGAAAATGGGAACAAAGGATGAAGGCGAGCAGGGATGAGGATGAGGCACAGAGGAGCAGCTCATCACTTCAACAAGAACTGTTGAGGAGACAGCAGAGGCTTGAAAAGGTTTGCATTAAACACACTTTAGAAATCTTTGGATCTTATTTAAGAAGCTGACATTTAATCAAAGCATCTGTCCTGAGAGCATTATAGATTGTGTTTGATAAAACAACTGTGTTTCTCCCAAGATGTAAAGCCATTTAGAGCATGAACATGTTCTGCAGTCAGCCAGTAGAGGGCATTGTCGCCATTTTGTCACACATACTGCAGGTCTGTCTCAGCTCCCACTGAAGAACCACTGACAGACACTTTCAGTACGCTGTCCGTGTCCTTGCTGCAAGATCAGACAGAAAACTGGATTGAATCTGTTAACCCTCTAATCTAAAAGCTTTTATTCTAAACCTGAAAAGTTTCTTTTGACTGTGGCTCTGAATAATAAGCTCCAAACATGACTTTGTATTTATTCCCTTCACAGCAAGAGAGAGACAAAGAGCAACAGCGAGAGGGACCAGAGTTCCTCCAGGTCAAAGAGAAACTGAGAAGAACGGCTGTGCTGAATGCAGGACAAAAAGAAGTGTGACAATTATGCTGATAAATTCTATTTGTTTGTTTTCTGTCAGCAAAATGGATGGACTGTTGGAGACTTGGTTTGACCAAGACTGATAACCTCTGTTGTAGCTTAGGTGTGTTTTTTTACTGCAGCATCAACAGAGGAGAACAAAATCTGTCATGAATACTGTAGTTATTTATGAATCTCTCACTGAAAATGGAATTTTACATACTATTGAGTGAGTGTTTGCTCTACTCTTTGTCATGCCATGTATTTAGTGCATACTGGTATACTTGATAGGGTGTTTCTTTTCACTACTGTGCTGACTTCATCACTGCAGTTTATACTTATCCAATCTACAGTTTATAGAGTTGTAGATTTGAACGATATATCTTATAAGCAGTATTCACACACAGCAGGAGAATCATTCTCATGAAATCTATCAACTTCTTTTCTGTATCATTGAGCTGTAGGTGTAATTCATCTCAATCTCAATCTCAATATAACTTTATTGTCCCTGCAGGGAAATTTGTCGTGGACAGTCACTACTGCTGAAAAACAACTGCATTGCATAATGCGCGAACCAGAAACACATACTGACATACAGACAGTCGACAGTTCTGCATTAACAGACATATCACATCATCTTCTCATTTCACACGAGTGGGTACATTTTCAGAGCCAGACCACAGATATTGCACAACCCTAGTTGCAGAGAAGAAACAAGTTTCGATGGTACTTAGAAAGGCCTACCAAAAGTGGCAGATAAACGAGTACTGATAAGGAATATTTATAAAGTGCAGAGTGATATTTAAGGTTCTAAGAACCAAGATAAGTAATTAAAAACAATAAAAGAATATGAAGAATACTAAAGAGATAGAGAATAATATCTCAGCAAATTAAGAACCTTTTAAGATATCGCAGGTAGTTTGTTCAAGAGGTGGATGGATGTTGGAAGGAAAGATTAGCGATTGCTTTTGTATCTGCTTGCTCTGTATCTTCTCCTCGAGGGCAATAATTCCTATTCTGTATACAGAATATGTGAAGGATCATTTAAAATGCTATTTGCCAGATTTACTACTGTACCTTCGAAAATTGACTTGAGGGTCGGGTAATCCTTGATGCCGATTATTTTCAATAGCCATTTTTACCTGCTTTTCTAACCTCGACTTGCACCGGACTGTGAGAGAACCAAACCAGGCTGCCATTCCATATCTGATCAAACTTCCCAAAACAGCGTTATAGAAAATGATCATGAGCCTGGTACTCACACCAAACAGCCTTAATCGGTGAAGAAAGTGCAGTCTCTGGGCTAGTTTAGTGCATAAAACATCAATGTGCACATGCCATTTAAGTAGGTTATCAATATGTATGCCCAAGTACTTATAAGATCCCACCTGCTCAATTTCACAGCCGTTAATAGTCACATAGTCATGCTCGCTCACCTCTCTAGGATCAAAAATCATCTCTTTAGTTTTAGTGGTATTGAGGATGAGGTGATGCATCTAACACCAGTCTTGTGTCATTGTGGTTATATCTGTTTTTTTAAACTGTATTTTTGAAACATCAGTATTTGGGATATTTCTCACTCAGTATGACGACAAAAATCAAAGGTGAAGAAAATAAAAGTATAAAACTCACATTAACTAATGCACACCATGTTTCGTACGGGTCACCATCATTCCATATTTGTTTGCACTTGTGGGATTTTAAAGACACTATCAGACAACAGAACACACAATGCATAGACAAGGAAGTTTTATTTCATTTCCTGCAGTCTTATCTCTGTGGGTACAAATCATTGTATTTTCTTACGTCTTGTTCAATAACCCATGATGCATTGCATCCATACTTTTGTAGCTCACAACAGCTTTTACAAAAAAGGATATACAATATATACTTATATTTATATATATAATATACATGTGTTTTCTTTTATGCATTGGATGTGTTTTGATGGGTAGAACGAGCTTTTAAAAAGTAAAACAAACACAGCTAAGTGGAAACAGATCCCAGTTCAGCGTAAGTACCAAACGAATAATAGCCATTTTCATAACAAAGTCATCATCATTGGCTATCTTACAGGTAACATGAAGCCCTTCACACACAGTTTGCATATTTTCCACAATTACCGACATGTAAATCCAGAGTGGTTTCTTTCCTTTACTATGAACCCGCAAATATCAGTGGCAGATCGGGAGAAGTGTTTTTAAATGGGCAACAGCGTTTCGATGAGCTGGTTTGCCTTCTCTACAGCTAACAGATGATATGGTTTAACGTCATAACATACCTGAAATTAACAATGCTGTGATTTAGGTTTTCAGCGAGTTGTTGCAGGGAGAATTGTGCCTCTTTATCTCGTCTACGATAAATATGTTGCTGAAACATCGCCATCCTTCATCTGAGTCGTAAATTCATGAGATTACAACACATCTGAGTTGAACACCCCCCACTTCTCTTTATGGCTTTAGTTCATCTACTCCCAAAGAGGACAAATCCACACTGAAGGCTACTCCCATGGCTGACAGGTAATGTTTCCAGCACCATTTTTATGCTTCATACTGTGGCTGGCACCTTTTAGGATATGTGTATTTTTTTTTCTGCTTGTGCCAAGGTAACAAACAGTGAAAAAAAAGAAAGAAACAAATAAAGTTCAAGCAAGCAACAGCAAGAAAACAGACTGGAAAAATATCAGGGTTTCAAAGTCAGAGGAGAAAAGTCTCTCAGGCAGAGACTTGAGCATCTGAGTCGATGCAAATGATAAGTCCACTGTGCTGTGTTGTACTTTGTCAACAACATTACTTCTGGTGTTACTCACTTCACATTATATAGCTCAAAATTACAGTATTACAACTTTTTTTTTTTCTTGATACAACAGAGTAATAATAATCATGTGTTTATACTAATTGATCATCATTCATGTAAACATATTTAACCAGGTCATGCAAACAGTAGACCAAAACTTCTTCCACTAGAGGTGCACAGCACAGAGCAGGCGGAGCGCCCGAACTGAGATCCCTGTATGATCCAGAGACTGAAAGCATGCAGGACTCAGACATTTGTCAGGGACAGAGCAGCAGGAATAACCATGATATGGATATGTTGTTTTTTGTTTTTTTTCTCTCTCTCTGCATAATTGCACCTCCATCTTCGCGGTCACGTTCCTGTGATTTCACAGGCTGATGCGGGGATCTCAGTTTGAGCCTCTGATAACAGAACAGCCATAAAACTTAAAAAATAAAAGTCTCCTCTTTATATTCATACAATTTGATGCCCGCCCCCCCTCCCCAAAAAGAAAACAAAACAAAAAAGAAAAAGCATGCAGACACTTCAGGTCAGAACCACCCTTCACAAACCCAGTCTGAGCCAGAATATAGAGTCCAAACCCCTCCAGAACCACCATCCTTTTTTACAAAATAGGCCTTAAAATAAAGATGTAAATGCTAACACGAAACAGCAGAGGTGGGGATTCCTTTATTTTTAAATCTGGGTCCTTCGTTTCCATGACAATGATGTTCAAATTATCGTGAAATTGTTCCAGCGGAATACATCAGCTTCAACAAGACCGTTGTAACTTCCATGTATTCCTTTAGGACAATTACAAGCAAGTCACTTTGGACTATCAAAAGTGCTTGCTTTGCCACTTACAGTCTTAAACTTTGAATGTAAACAAATAAAACAAAACTGCAGCTGAAAAATATGAAAATTTCCACCTAAATGTAAGGAAACAGACAGAGTGACTGAGCGGGACAAACAGGCAGGTGGCGCTGCCTTTAAACACGTGCCTCACGATGAACTCAACTTAGCAGCTACTTCATCAGTGGCTGGACTGAGCCGCACTGATGGATATTAAGACATGCAGGAGTAGCTTTCAGCACTGTTTCCCTCTTTGTGCCCTGTCTGGCAAGAAGCTGCCATCAATGTAGAGGGTGTGGACCGTCAAAAGTTGCAGTTAGAGGTAGATGTGACAGATTATGTGAGAAAGAAAATAAAGGAGAAGACTGCCGAAAGGTCATCGTCTAGTCTACAAATGAGATTCTGCAGCCTTGATGCTTTCTGACGAAAATTTCCAAACCCACCTGTAGAATTGTGCAGGGGTGGATCCAGAGGGGGTGGCCAGGGGGGGGCATGGGCCCCATTTCAAGACTTGATAGCTAATTCTACTATTCTTATGGGGTGCTCACACCAAGCGCGAGTAAAAACATCTACTCGCTTAATTCGCGTGAATCTAGACGCGCGAATGAATAGTATTTACCTGCTTCATTTGCGTGTCAGCGGTAATTTCAACGATAATCCCTGCCAACTCAACAGACAGGATCAAGTGATAGACAAAGGTTTTTTTTTACAATTTACCAGGTAATCTGACCTCCTCACTCACTTGCCTCCAGGCGAGCGCCTTTTCATTCCGGTTTCGGTAATTGAAAGAAAAGGTATCGTATAATAACACGATCAGTTTGTCCTCCATTTTAGATAACAGTGAACAACCGTCCGTTTTCATACGTCACCTGGCAACCTTCGTGCTGAGTAGCTATCGCGACGCAAATATCTGCTCGAGTTGAGATTTGTGCAAGAGTCGTAGGAGTGTCTAATCGTGTCTTTGCATTGACTTAACATGTAATTCATTCGCGTGAATGATTTTATGCTTGGTGTGTGGAGACAGTAAGAATGCAAGCAGCTTTTGGTGTGTCAGTGGTGGGCATTATCTTAGGAAGTTCTTCAAAAAGTATCTTCATTTTGAGTCCTAAAGGAATTATGTGCTGCCACTTGTGTACATTTTCAAGGTGTACAATTGAACATTGACATCTGTATGGTATGTAAATATTTGTAATGAAAGCTGATATAATGGGAGAGGATGGAAGTGATAAATTTTGGTCACTTGTGGAAACAAATATAAACCTTCCCTAATGCCTGATTTGGCCACCCCAGTCAAACACATCTGGATCCACCCCTCGTCATTTGCACCCTGCCTGCTACAAAGTGAAGCCAAAATAAAACGTGGTTGTGAGCTAACATCCTGTATTGGCACTGACTGTGAAAACCAAGGCATGCTCAGAGGGTTGGTGGATCTGTTCACACAGTGAAGGCAGGTTTATGGCCTACACTGCAGCTAGCCACAAGGGGGAGCTCTAAATATTTTGGCTTCACTTTTCGGGAGCTGTCACTGGACTGTCTTTTTATACAGTGCTCTGATGTGGAGTGACTCGGGGGTTTTGTTTCAGACCCTCTTTTTATAATCTGCCATGCATTCTGTTCTGCAGCAAAGTTGGAATCTGACTCATGAGTCTTGCGCCGAGATGTGTTGATGTGTGTTTTTTTTTTTGTTTTTTTTAAAGACAAAAACTGGTGGCATGTTTCTCCACACTGTGACAGTGACCTGCTTGCTGTGGACCCTGCCAGATAACTACTCTGCATTCCTGGCCAGACTGGGCGGGGCAGGCTCTGGGCTCTCCAGGGATACAATGTCACCATGACGACAGGAGGTTGTGCTCAGACGCGACTGGCCGGCCTGCAGCAGTAGGTGCAGCTTCTCAGGCTGTCCCGATCTGCGCTACCCTCGGTGCTCCCACGGCGACCGTCTTCATAGTGGGACACTGAGAAAGAGAGTAAAACAAACAACAGGTCAAGTTAGAGGAAGTTTATTCTATTAAACATGGCTAATCCCTTCAACAGTCATAGTTATCCTGCCTTGTAACCACATATTGTGAGGCATTATGCTTTCAAGTAAACCGTGGACTTACAGCTCTCTTCCTCCCCGTTCCCCAGCTCATCGTCCTCCTCCTCCTCCTCTTCCTCTGGGAGCAGAAGTCCATGGCAGGGGCTGGTGGGAGTGATCTGGCTGGGCCCCTCGAGACTCGTGCCAAGCTGCAACCTCCGCATGTGGCGCACCACCGCTGTGGCATTAAATGCTTGCTGCACGGAGAGATGATGACAGAAAGAGAAGCGAGAGAGAGAGGGGGAAGGAGAGGAGGGGTGAGAAAGCAAGAGACCTTTCATGTCTGACAACTAGCAAGGGGGGAAAAACAGCACCAGCATACGAGAGTGCAGTAACGCCTGCCAATCTTCAGACTGCTCTATCAGCAGGTTTCTTCTTCTTTCACTGACCTTCCATTTACTTTTAGCGAAGTTCTTCTTGATCTGAGCGCTGACAGATTCATGGATATTCTTGTCCAGAGCCGTGTCTCCACAGATCCTGCAAAGTCAACAAGAATGAAGACAGTTTACATGCAGCTGATGCACCCGCAGAGAAAGGAAACTGAATATCCTGGAGTGCGCTGTGAGTCAGTTATAATACCCACGTTTACATGTGCAAAATTCCTTGATCTGATTAAAAATTTGAGGGATCGGATAATCTGAATCCACTGTTTATATGGATGCAAAATCAAATAATCCGATCATGACGTGCGTATCCATGCACCAAGCTTTATTCAGATTAGAAGCGTTTGAACATGCGCAGAGTTGTCTGATTTCGCTAAAACAACTGCAGAAGAAGAGTTGTATTTACGCCTGAGCTGTCAACAAACAAACAAACGAACAAACGCGGTAGTGTCTCACTTTATCCAGTTCAGAGGTTTTCCCCTGTTAAATGTTGTCACTAGATGGCGCCCTTGCGTACTTGTTTTACTGTTCTGTCAAAGTATGCACTGTATGTGCAGATATGACATCATTACGCTGTATGTACGCCATGTTATGTTACCGGAGGAGCAGACACGACATGACCTGCGGTTGTGTTTTATGCCAGAGCGTTAATAATGGACTGGCCTCAGTAAATAAACCAATGGCTAAAGAGTTTCAAAATAACGATTGGTATAAACCACCCCTCTTGATCGGAATACAATTTCTTTTCCATTGAGCTGAATTGGATCAGAATCTTCCGATCGACATGTTTACATGACACATTTTTATTCCGATCGGGCGTTTATTCCGATTATTTGTGCCCATGTAAACGCAGCTAGTGTTACATTTGGCTGTTCAAATTAAAACGTGCCAGTTTTTGTACTTATTCCTCATTTGTACTTGGACTCTCTTACCATGGATGCTGCAGGGCCTGCTCACACGTGTACCTCTTCATAGGCTCCTTCTCCATCAGATGACAGATGAAGTCTTTGGCTGCAGACAGATATTGAGCTGTTGTCATTCCAGTAAACTCTGTTTTCACTCATATTTATACTTTCTGTTATCGTTTGTACCTGAATCTGAAATATCATCCCAGTACGGAGAGTCAAATTCATACTCTGCTTTCAGAATCTGCTCGAATAACTTGGCATCATTTTCATCATAAAATGGAGGATATCCACATAACCTAAAGAAGATAGATAGATAGATAGATAGATACTTTATTAATCTCAGGGGGATAAAGAATGAATAAAAACAGTCTATAAACATGACCATAAGGCGGTAGTGCAGCGTTATGAAGGCATAGTAAACAGTGCAAATGGAAAAAAAATGCAGATCGGTAGAAAGCACCAACTTACAGAATATAAGAAATAACTCCTATGGACCAGCAGTCGACTGCTTTGCTATACGGCTTCTGAGCGAGCACCTCTGGAGCTGTGAGACACACAAACACACAGCAGTCATTGACAGAATGAGCTGGAAATACAACACAGAGCAGCAGTGAGGGTGCATTCAAGTAATCTTAACCTTCCAGTCATACCATGTGATCTGTCAGGCCACGTTAAACAGGTAAAGAGCTCTTCTGAAAGACTTACAATTGTCTGAGTAGTGGATGAAAGAGCCTCTCATAGCGCCGTGAATAAAGAGGGGGTATCAGCTCAAACAGAAGTGCTGAGCTTACATGAAAGAGAGGAGCAGAGGGAGAGGGGACGCTGAAGTGAGTCTGACTCACCAACGTATCCTGGAGTACCACAGGCTGTGGACATGACACTGCCCGCTCCCTCGATCTTTGACAGTCCAAAGTCACTGATCATGATTTTGGAGTCCTCATCCATACTGTAGTACAGCAGATTCTCTGGCTGCAAAGAGAAGACACATGATTGTAGAGGAGGGTTTAAAAGTGGAAGACAACGGTTAACAACGAGCAGCTTTTGGAGTCCTTTACCTTTAAGTCTCTGTGGACGATCCCCATGTCATGGAGGTATTTGACAGCATCTAAAATCTGGTGAATCAGCTGACTGGCATCTCTCTCAGTGTAGAAACCTTTCTCTACAATCCTGTCGAACAACTCACCTCCAGATACCCTGCCAGGCAAAAATCAGGGGGAAAATCTTGTTTCAATACATAAATTAATCAATTTCTTACCAGTGGGTTGGAGTTTTTAGTTTGAGTTATTGAATTAAAGGCTAATTTAGGTGTTTATAACGCTCTTTACAAGTCATGAATACAAGGTTCTGTGATATAAAAAGGCCGTTTTGAGTTTTAGATCCTAACATTTGAACCCAAACAGGCTTCTTCTCTGGTTCAGTGTGATCTTTTTTCTCACATCTATTTTCAGACACTTTCTCTATTCTCCCTCTTTTCCCCTCTTGTTAACAGGGAAGTTGGGATAGGAATAGATCCCTGCCAGACTAACCTGGCAGGGGGTTGAGCTCTAGTCCAAACAGGCCTCTCATCCTGGCTCTGTCTTTTTTCTGACATCTCCCTAAAGACATCTCTCTTGAAGTGCTTTGGCTCTTGTTGCCCATCCATCCCCATTTATCTTTATAGTTGAATGATGGGGGACTTTAGGGGTGCTTGCTTGTGTTACTTCATAATAGAGAGTAAATATTAGGATGAGGATGTAATAGTTTCATTTTTTTCTTTTCTTTTTTTTTTTTGCCGAGGGTTTTGAGCTCAAGTATCTCGTGTTTATTCTAAAAGAGACAAATGCATGGATCAAAATAAAATGTGAAATAATGCTCTTAAACATTAAACTGTCTCTATGGATAATAGAAAAGTAAAATTGCATTTTGAGATTGTTTAAAAATTAAAGCTCTTGTAAGAAACTTTTGGTTTGTGTCAATTTTGGCGCCCCTTGTGGACAAAGTTGGCTCTACTCATATTGCCCTGTTCTTTGACAAAAATAACACATCCTGCTGGCTTTAACAGTCAGATAAATAATTTATTGTGGGAAATGTGAAAACAGGGTGGTTTCTCAGACTGCTTGGCTCATACCTACCCCCTTGCAGCGGTTTCATGCATTAAAATTTACAGTGTAGAAATCACCCAACTGATCACCGATGGTCTTGTTTGCTTTTGTTTATCATAAAAAGGCATTAAAATGAATTTCAGTCCATTTCATTCATGTCAAACCATTCCCCAATGATCTTTAAAGTGTATCCATCACAAGTTCCTAACAGGGTTCCTACACAAGTATGGAAATTTCTAGGTCTTAATAAACTATCTATTTGCCATTTATAAATTATGGTTATTGTAAAGTGTTACCACAATTCTAAAAAGTAGGGTATGGAAAAGTATGGAAATTCCAACTGTGCAGGAACCCTACCCTAATTAAGTGTCTTAAATGCCACAATTTGAAATTCAAATATCTGGTTTTGTATGACAAACAGTCCTAAAATCAAACACTTTAAGTTTAAAATGATTTCATTTCAGTGAACAGTAACATTTCTGAAGTAAAACAAAAGACTGTCTTGCTATTGTTGCTTCGTGACTATCAGGAATTTGATCTAAATCATCATATTGACTGATAAATAGCTGTCATTGCTGTTTCTGATTGCTAAAAATACTGGTTTCTCTCATACGACAACGCTTTGTGTAACATGAGGAGAGAGTGCACTTACAGCTGCATGACGAGATATAGATGGGATGTACTTTCAAAGATGTCCTCCAGTGAAACAATATTGGGGTGCTGGATTCTGAGTAAGATAAAACGGGAAGAAGAAAAAAACATTAGATAACAGATGTTGCATTTTTAATTGAGCCACTTTCCTCTAATGCTTACTGTCAGTTGGACACCAGATGGCATTCTTGCTGCATAATTCAGGTTCAGAGCGCTCGGTTCTCTCTCTTCTCCAGGAAAGCCCCACTACAGTAAATGTGGATCACACATATGAGTTCCCCCTGATCGCTAAAAAAACTCCTCTCAGATCAAACACAGAGGAGATTTAGGTACAGTAAGTACCTCCTGGTGTGGGTTGACAATGACCGGTGTGTGCAGCAGCTGGAAGCTTTCACAAAGAGCAGCTTTGGAGATTAGAGCCATAGGGCCTTACAGAATGAATGTAACAAACATCAGACTCACACTCATTGAAGAGGAGCCCGATCGTTTATTGCTATGAATCATCCGACAGACTGTGGAGCAACTCTCCTGGTTCACAAGTCTGAGAGCTTTTGAACACACCATCAGCAGCTGGGAGAGGCTGATGCAACTTTTAGTAGAAACAGAGAATCCGTTTATCGGGTTATCTGTTTTACTTTCTCTCACTCGTTCTTATTTTTACCTTGACTTTAAAAAATTTGCCAAACTCCACTCCTCTCCTTCTTCCATATCCTTCTCCTCTTTTGTACCCCTCTCCTCCTCCTCCTCCTCTTTCTCCTCCTCCTCCACATTTCCACCCTCTATGTCTCTTTCTCTTTCTTCAATACACTGCTGCGGGGAACTCCAACACCATCTCCGCCTCTGTGTGCTGTTACCCTGGCAACAGGGACACTAAAAATAGGTCTATCTTCTTTTACTCCTGACATTTCCGGTGCACAATCTAACTGTTTCTACTGACACCATGCATTTAGCTACTCATTCAATTGACCCCCTTGCATATACATATATATATACTGCATCCGTTCACACATGGAGCAGCTTTATTCCGCCTGCTGGACATGTGGTGACGCAACTCAGGCGACCTCACCTGTGTAGTACGGCGATTTCATTCTCAATGTTGTTCTCTTTGCCTTCCAGCGCTTTCTTGGGGATGCACTTGATGGCCACCAGCCTCTGGGTTCCCCTTTCCTCTGCTAGAACCACCTCAGAGAAAGCTCCCCTAAAACAGAGACAAAAATTAGAGACAAGAGAGAAGATGTGTGGGAGTGTGAGGTGAAATGGACAAAGTAGGATCTATTTTCTAAGGCTGCAGGCCGTGATGAATTTTAAAGAGAGGAAAGGAGCCACTAAAACGGTAAAATTCACCTTGATAGCCTTTTCAAAAGTCAATTTTATGACATTTTTGCAAGCCTCCTAAAATACGTCTCTCAGCTACCCACAACAACAAAGCTTTTATAAAGATCTCAAAATAGTCCCTTTTCAGCTGTCTGTGTGTGTTTGTGTATGTATCACATGATGTGAGTTTGCGTGTGAGTGGTGTTTGGATAAATAATTCAAAATGGTGGTATTACATCGAGGTTTGAGAAAAAGCTCAGAAGGTGAAGCAACAGTCACATCCAGACATTTATAGTAATATCAGTTGCTTTATAGAAAAAAAAATCAACTATTTTTAAACTTCTGAATAATAGATACAGTAAATGTAGTTTCTGAGAGAGACGAGACTGCATTATGGATTACGGTGATGGTGAAAGGGAGAATAGTGTGTATTTACACAGTCTCCCTACAGGAGCGTGGGAGGGAGCTCAGGAGGAGGCCTGGACACACTTGAACACATGTGCACACACGCACATTGTTAGCAGCTGCAGGGCTCCTTTACATGCGAGCGAAACAGCGTTGTCATGCGATGTGTAGCGGAGGGTCAATGTTTATGTTCAGTCAGATGTTTCCTCCTTGTTCTGTCTTAAGAGAGGGAGAGGGCGTCACATGTTAAATCTGCGCTGTGAAATAAAAAAAAGAGGGGGATGCAGAGTGCTGTTGTCATAGGAAATGCTCAGTGTGGATCCGTGGTAATCCTCGTTATGTCTTTGAACCGTGGCCATTTTGTGCTCAACGAACCAGCGCGGCAGAAACACAGTGAAACCCATGCACACAGAGAGAGGCAATTCCCACTCACCTCTCTGGTTTCATTCTGTAAAAAAAAAAGTTCTTAAAATAATCTAAAAGCCAAATTGCATAGAGCTCCGACTCACATCGACCCTTAAAAGCATTTTAATGTGTTTAAATCTGCTGCATTTACGGACAGCGTTCCCTTAGAGGGTCAAAGCACCAAACTTCCATTATCAGAGGGGGAAAAAATCTATAGAGTCTTACTGGATTTAGGAATCAGAGAAGGGCTTTGCTTTTTGCTTCTTGTCAAACCTCAGGACCACTCGATGGTGAAATGATTGTTGGTTGTTGTTTGTAAACAAAACAGTCACAAGTGGCTCCTCCCTCTGGACTAATTGACAATATTAGTCTCTTTAATTAATACCACAGACCACAGAAAAGAACATGTGTAACATGATGGTTCCCCAAAAGTGAAGCCAAGTAATTTAGTCCCCTCCATGGACTGTATATACTTTGGACAGCTTGGTTCTGTCTTCCACCAGTATACGGATTTGAAGCTAAAAAGCTCTTGGTAATTCTGGGTTTTTTCCAGAATTCGCTTCATCCAGCGAAGAGGCAGACACTGTCCAGTCTATGGTCCCCTCCCTCATGGATAGAGGTCATAAACCTACGTTTTGTTGGCTTGAGATCTGATGTCTGTGGAGGGAGGCCACTGAAGTACAGGGAACTTACTGTCATGTTCAAGACACCAGTTTGAGATAGTCTGAGCTTTATGCGACAGTGCATTATCCTGCTGGAAGTAGAGATGGGTATATAGACAGGCTGTAGCCCATCTGCTTCAAAGTTGGACATGTTGTGCGTTCAGAGATGATATTCTGCAAACTTTGGTTGTAACAAGCAGTTATTTTACTCACTGTTGCCTTTCTTTCACCTCAAACCAGTCTGCCCATCCTCCTCCGACCTCTAACATCGATAACGCATTTTCCTCCACACAATTGCTGCACACTGGATATTTTCTCTTTTTTTTTTCAGACCATTCTCTGTAAACTCTTGAGATGGTTGTGAGTGAAAATCCCAGTAGATCAGCAGTTTTTGAAACACTCAGACCAGCCCGCCTGTCACAGACAACGATGCGACGTTCAAAGTCACTTCAATCCCCTTTCTTCCACATTCTGCTGCTCTGTTTGAACTTAAGCAAGTTGGCCGGACCACTAATATACGACCAAATGTATTGAATTGCTGCCATTTTATTGTCTAATTAGCTAGGGTGACCATATTCCGAATCCCCAAAAAGAGGACACGACTACAAGGGGGCGGGGTCACAAAGTCACGCGTAGTAAATTTCAAGAATTTCTCGGGTTGAGTGTTTTTATGTACTTCTAACTCAGGAAGTCCACAGGACACAAACTCAAAACTTCCATACGAAACCCCAGACATTTTAAGGATTTTATAAACTCTCCCGGACAAAAAGGAGAACATGTCCGGGTAGACAGGGACATATGGTCACCCTAAATTAGCTATCCATTTAGCCATTAGCAAAGGTTGTTATGTCCGAAACACAGCAATGTAAGAAAATGCAGTCTGAGAGAAGACTTACGTCTAGCATAAACGATGCCACACACTCTCAGCCGGTCTAATTTATAGAAGTTTGTATCAGGAAACCTTTTCAAATTCTTTAAAAAAATGATTTATTTTAAGCTTCCCACCAAACACCCGACGTCATTTAGACGACTTTTTACAGGCTAGATCACGTTGGCCCATCATGGCTGTAATTTAGCTTTTAAAAAAATTGAAAATTGGGCTTCATTTAGACGGACCGAATCTAGACGTTGTTTAGATGTATGGTGAAGACGTCTTTTCAACGTCTTTTCAACCACTTTTTGCTGGGTAGGTTAACCTCCTAAGGTTCAGCTGGTTGAGCAATGATCGGATCTGTAACCAAAAAAATGCAGTTTTGTAAATAGAAGCAGAGTTATCATGAAGATCAAGCCAAGCAAAGCTTGTATTTTTGTGTCCAAGACGTAACAGGTCTTCACCCACACAGTTTCTGCAAATATTGCTATTTCCAGGTTCAAATTCAGAACCAAGAGTGGGAAAGTCAGGACAAAAACTTGATTACTAGTTACAAAATTTGACCCAAGTTTACCCCTGCCGTGATCGCATCCACACTTTAATTATTCTCCCAAATAAAGTTAAAAAATGCTTGCATACAAGGTTTGCTGCTGTTGCTGTGAGACACATTGTAATTAGCCATCCAGTTGCTAATTTCTACCAGACACAGTGGGGGGTTTACTCTCGGGGGGTTTCATGAAAGACACAGTCGACAAAAGAGGAGAGGAAGCTGCTGTGGCTGTGCTGAAGTGATGATATAAACGCAGGGCTCTCAAGTCTCACGCATTCAGCGTGAGACACACGCATTCCCACCTGTTCACACGCTCACACGCCACACATTGTATTTCTCACGCATTTAAATGAACATGGTGATGTCCACCAAGTTGCACCTCTTTAACTATGGAACAGGGGGAAATCAACGGAGTTTCTCCGAGAGTTCAGAAGCTGCGTGCCACGCGCAAGCCAATCAAATAAAGTATATCTACTGAACAGCCAATCAAAAAGCAGCATTGCTGTATCCGGATAGATTTTGATATCTTGCGGTTTGACTACAGAAGAAGACAGACACTTGCTGAAATAGAGCAGGTTTTTATAAGGACGAGAAAGACCCGATGATTACAGTAAGTCAGTAACCGACACATGCAGAGACCTCAACACCTCATGGCAGATAAACTCATATGATAAACTAAAGCCCTATGCTATTGCTGTTAACAGCTGCATTGATGAATTTAGCCTCTGTACAGCCATTTCCCCTCCACAAAAGCAGCATTTCTCATATATTCTTTTTAAAGTTCCGATACTCGTGACAGTGTAATGCTGATATACCAAAGGATTAAGTATCTCCATGTCTGTGAAACCTATACTAAAGTACAATTCATCTAAATGCTCCTCAGTGCTGATTTTAACAACTCTCCTAAATAATAACTTTAATCTCAAAGATTTAAAAATGTTTTTTTCTTTCTTAATGTGGCCCTCATACTCCATTGTATTTATTAGATTATTATACTACCCCCCCCCCCCCCCCAAGGAAATCTCACTCTAAGCTTAGTTCAAAACTTGAGAGCCCTGTAAACGTGTAAGTCTTATATGGGAATACAAAGCCGTAGCAAGATTTATGATATTCTATAGACTTCAGACACATATAGACTTAAATTATTTTACTTCTCTTACAGCTGGAATTTAGTTAATTAGTTCATCTAATTGTATAACTCTGCTGTCACACTTCGTTCTGATCAATTGAAACCTTATTAATTCTTAAAAAGTAAAGGCAATATTACGGACAAAACGATCTCACACGTCACCGGTTTCATCAGGCGTTGGTGGTATAGTGGTTAGCATAGCTGCCTTCCAAGCAGTTGACCCGGGTTCGATTCCCGGCCAACGCAGTCGTTTTAATTTCCCAGTTGGGGATCAATAAAGTATCTATCGAGGTCTTATCTCCCTCTGTCGAGACTTAACACCAGCTAACTGTTCCTTTTCCCTCACCAAACACCAGTTAATAACCCTGGCATGCACATTAAATCGCCGCTAACAAATTGAAATAGATTTACATGAGTCACAAGTCTCAAGACTCATCGCTGACGCTCAGTTTGTTGTTATATGCATGAGCTACACTGAATATTTTTAGACGTTTCAGAAAGACAGACAGGCTGACAAGCAGACAGACAAACAAACACGTAGACAGACAGGCAGAAAGATGATGCATTACATAACAGCCTGTGTCTGTTTATGATGCATCTGTAACAGTGTGATGGTGTCTGCCCCAAAGCCATCAGCACAACATGGACACAACAGCATGGTTCTCTGCACACATAACACACACACACAAACACACACAAGTTGTTGGAGACAGTGAAATCCCAGCTGTCCTTATGGGAAAATATTGATTCACACGTTCTCATATCGTTGTCAGAGTCTCTCTGCGCTTTCACTTTGATAAGCATGCACTTATTTTCATCTACCATGTCTTAGAGGCATCACTTCGTGTTATTTTGTTATGAATTTTAACATGATGGGATGTTAGTCAAAAGGGCTTCCTGGGGAAAAAGAGCTGTAAAATGGACTGACAACACACTCCAAGGCTCCGTATTGACCAGCTAGACCTACAGTATTGTAGATAAACTATGTTTGCTTCTTCAGAATTCCTGAGTAGCAGTTTACACATCAGATTTTTAAAAGTGTCCAAGTCAGGAGCTGCTGCTACTTCTTTCCCCTTGGTTTATGTCATGTGGCAACCAGTCCATAGGAAAACTTTAAGTACTCTCAGTTCTGTTATTCTTACTTTTAGCACATTGCCACTATCATTTTTTGTTTTATCAAAAAGGCAGTTGCTGACCATACCAGTATATTGGGACTGTAGCTAGCTATTACTAGCTACTAGCAATCTGAATCCACTGTTTATATGGGTGCAAAATCAAATAATCCGATCATGATGTGCGTTATGCGCTAAGTGTTATTCACATTAGAAGCATTTGGACATGCGCAGTTGTCTGATTTCGCTAAAACAACCGCAGAAGAAGAGTTGTACTTACGCCTGTGCTGTCAACAAACCAACAAACGCGGTAGCGGCTCACTCCATCCAGTTTAGGAGGTTTTTTCCCTGTTAAATGTTGTCACTAGATGGCGCCCTTGCGTGTTTATTTTACTGTTCTGTCAAAGGTTGCACTGTGCGTGCAGATGTGACATCATTACGCTGTATGTACGTCTCGTTATGTTACCGGAAGAGCAAACACGGCACCTGCGGTTGTGTTTTATGCCAGAGTGTGTCAATAATTGAACCTCCTGTACTGGGATCAATAAAAAAGCTAAAGGCTAAAGAGTGAAGATTGAATCAGGTAAGAGAGTCACAATAAGAATAAGTGTTTACATGGACGCATTTAACGATAACGATCAGCATAAACCAAACCTCTTGATCGGAATACAATTTCTTTCTGATTGAGCTGAATTGGATCAGAATCTTCCGATCGACATGTTTACATGACGCATCCGATCGGGCATCTATTCCGATTATTTGTGCCCATTTAACGCAGCTTGCACCAAACTCTGTGTGAAGTCTTTCCTGAATGATTGCTAATGTGTCTCAAATCAGCAAGTTATTAAATTCATCTGCACTGGTCAGATGTTAGAGGCATACCCATCGACACTAAACATCACTTACTGATATTTGTACCCAGGTAGAGACACTTCTGGCTGCATTCAATCATAAAGTATTTGACAAAACAAAAAAAAAAAAAGCTGAAGAGATTCTCCAAGCGCATTGCAGACTTGCCAACTTAGGTAAAAGTGCATTTCTTCAAGATCAGCTCATGCCTATTTCTACAGTGACAGTATGTGTCCATGTCATCAAGTGGATGGATTGAATGGTGTATGAATGAAGCCCTGAAACATGCTCAATTTTTCATATAATTGTGATTCATTGTGTTCAATTTTGTAATAACTGACTGCAGTATCAGTCAAACAAAGTCAGGCCTGGAGACAGCTTCAATCTTCTGTCAGTCCATCGATCACATCTGATGCAAGCACTCTCTCTGAGCCAAACATGCAGCCAAGTCTCAAAAAAGCTTTCTTTTTTTAGACTAATCCATTTCCTATGTGTGCTTTTGTTTGTGTTTGTGAGAGAGGCAAAGTAAGCAGAGAGGGGAGATGAGTGGACATACACCACTACAGTACAACACTCCAAATATTCTCTGGATTCATTCTTAAAATAGGTTCATTATGAAAAATAGACTGAAAAGCCAGGAACCGGACCATTCACTGAAATAAAGTAAAAATGAATTGTTTCCATTTTCTCCTCTAAAATCCCGTATGATGAGCCAAACCTCTGAACTCACAAGCTCTTTACAATAAACACACAACCAGCACAAGTGCTTTCTAACAGTGTTTGGAGCTGCAGAGCCTCAATGTTTATGCACATTATACACACAGAACAGACAGTGACTCTTAAAACTGGCCTCCCTTCCTTTTCCCTTGAATTTCTAGCTCCGCTGAGGAGGAGGAGGAGGTGTTTTTGTGCCACTTCACTGTACGGCAGGAGGGTTATGGAAAAAACTGCTGGCCTGATTTTCATAAAACTTGGTGGAAACGTGTGACAGAAGCCAAAGAACAACCTAGTACATTTTAGACTAGATCCAGATCCGACTGATTAGTGAGGAGAGCAAATATTTTAGTGGAAGTGAGCATGGAAATAAAAATAACAACCACCTTAAATACAACACAAATGCAAGGATGAGATGTTGATGCTTCAGGTATAGATATTATTTGTATTATTGAAAGTATGTCCCTACCTATACAGTTATCAACTGTGTGATATATAGTTAGTAGTTACATCATTAAGAGACTTGAAAGAAGGATTTAACACCAGCAATGTTTTAAGGAGACATGTGTTGTGGTCCAAAAATGCTAAAAATGTTTTGCCAGCAGGTCTGTGCTCTTTATTTATGTCATACAGAGCTGCCAGCACAGGTGTACATGTTCATGAGACTGAAATGTAATGTTTTGTCGAGACTCCTGTTTCAGTTTAATATCGTTCAAGAACATCACGTCAGCTGCAAAAGTCACAAAGTGCTCTCAGGGGAATTTTAAAAAGTACCTCAAGGTTGTGAATGACAATGAAGATTTCTGAAAAAGCTAACCCTGCTAGTGCATACAGTATACACTCAAAAAAATAAATCACGACGTAGTTTATTTCCAAGCATGTACAACAGTTTGATTTTATTTTAATTATTGCCTTTTTTTTAGAATTTATTTATCATCTATTTTCTAATTTTACATCGATGATACATTATTGCAATTTCTCAACTTGTCTGGTTTGCGTTCATAAAAGCCAAACTAAGACAGTCTAAAAATTGTCACGTGGCAGCAAAAGCCATTCGGTGATTACTTATACAATTTAGACAGGTAGACGAAAAATCCCTCGCAATTTTTGCTGTACATCATGGAGCATCGTCTGCTTGTTTTTATGTTGGTGCTGATCTGGATTGCGCATCAGCAGACTTTAACAAACCGTGCATATGAAAGGCTGGGAAGACTGCGGCAATTAAAGAATGTATTAGTACACGCACGTCCCAGGAGATGCTGTGCAATCGGTCATATCACAGAGGACGACAGGCAGTAATTAGTGGCTTCACGTTTGTTCCCTACCAGACATTAGCCACACTTTGATAACGTTGCCTCTGACCAAAACATGACATGTAAAATGGGGTTCACACCAGAAGTAAACCGCTTGAGAGTTCACTTGATAGCAGTCCAAGAACACTCCTACCAGGCAGACCCGAGAGTGGTTGACTGGTCCGCACCAGAGTTCGAGGCCGGCGTTCACACCGACCAGAACGAACCGCACCAAGGAGGTAAACACTCCAGGGTTCAGTTCAACTGGACTAAACAAGGCTGGTGTGAACACGACCTTAGTTGCTCAAAAGCAGTGTGAGTGTTTCTAGTTACCTAGCCCTGTGATGAGCTGGGTTTAAGCTCAAACCTACCTGCAGCTCTGAACAGGATAAGTGAGTTCATAATGGATGGACAGACATCAGTCACCCCCAATAATCGGTCATTGTTGAGCGTCACTTGCTTATATCTTTGAGTTAAGATGGGATTCATATCACAGTAGGGAAATCCTGAGAGAGGAAAGCTTGTTTCATCTGTTTGTAGGGTTGTACCTTCATTTGTCAACTAGAGCAACAGATGTATGTCTACATATCGACTCTGGTGACTCTACTTTAAAACTAAATCACAACACTAAAAGGCCTCATAAAGAAAACAAATTAAAAGAGCTGTAAACACTATTTGATTTCTTTTAATTTTGTAAAAAAAAAATAAAAAGAAACATATGGCCTCAGGGTCAGACATGGCGGCTTTAGAGTCGGGGATTCTTTTCATCTGCTCAGGCCTCCTAAAGGACGGCTCGTCCTGGAGTGGACTCCAAACAGAAGTAGAACTGCGAGGATTAGCTGGATCTGAATATAATATTCCAACATTAATCAATTAACTTCACACGCTGAATTCCTGGATAAAGCTCCTCTGTAATCTTCTCTCCCAGCATAAGGAGCTTTCCGTCAACACATTAATTCTGCCCTCTGCCAGGTCCAGCTATAGTGACAGGAGGGAAAGAATATTACTACAGATTTATTTTCCCCCTTTATTTTTTTCCTCCAGAATATGGGAACATGCAATCCTGGCAATACACTCTGTCAATCCTTGTTACATAACCCTTAATATCATATTTCAAATTACAATCGCTGTTTTAAGTTCCTGTGAGTCTTAGCAAAATCAAAACAGAAGTTATCAGGGTTTCACAGCAGATATGAATCCTCAGATATACAGACACCGGCTGGTGGAGACTTATTCAATGTCCTTCTTTTGCACTCAACAGAACCAGACAGCCTAGTCATCTACCCACTGCTGTTCCACTTTTTTGGATGGGAACCAGAGTAGCACAGTCATTAAAAATCTGATTCTGGGCAGCCTCTCTGGGGAAGCAGGTGTGATTTAGGGAAGAAAGGGAACAACCACACTCCATATGGCGCACTCATGTCATCACAGGTGGACTTGAGCGAGGTCACTTGTACTCAGATTGGGGGTGGTTGGAGGGGTGCCGCCCAGCCATCTGGACTCAGTCCTGTCCCCCCCTGGAGAGTGTAGTCACAGGTCAGTGTGAGACCAGCCCTCAACATTACCGACTGCATGGCAACATTTACCCCTCTGGATGAGGAAGTATGCTCCATTATCAATCGCCCTCGGTCTTGCTTGGTGCCAGAATTTCTAATCTTCAGACAGATATTTTAGTTTTTATCAGCCCAAAAATAAGCGCATAGCCACTGCCATAACGCTATATATACTGTAGATCTGTGTCAGATAGAAAATCAGAAGTAGATGTTACTTATACCAGAAAAATTATCTTCGCAAAAACTACAAAAAACATGATAAATCAAATCACAAATGAACGTGACATTTAAGGAAGTCCCACTAATTGGCAAGCAGCTGTTCAGCCTTTAATCCATCAAACTTATTCAGTGTTAGCATATGAATAATTCTGAAATATTTACACCTCTTTATACTGTAATTAAATTCTTTGGGTACCCCACCACCACACCTTGGGTTATAACTAGGAGACTGGGGATTCTTGTCAATAGTAGCTCCTTCTGTCTTCTGTCTCCCTCCTTCTCAAGACAAGGCTGAGTTTCCCTGAGTGACCAGACTTCCTTTTTTTTTTTTTTTTTTTAGCTCTTTGTAATAAAGAGCATATTTTAAAACATCCATATTTGAACTCAGGCCCTGAATTCTATAATGCTCTACTACCTGGATGTAAACAAACACAGATGACAGGCAGCATCTTATGCGGTCACACTGGCAAATCCTACTTGACCTAAGCAGAGCAGAACCAGCACAGACATGTGAATGTTAACCTGCAAGGAGGATTGAAGGCTGGTGGTGCTAACTCTGCTAACATTAGTCATACTCAGCTTCCCCTAGAGTCTGAAATAGTGTTAGTCAGGAATATTAGTTGGAATGTGTTTACCTTCAGACTTTGCATTACCTGGCTGTGTAAACACTTGATTCGAATTGGTTAAAACCTCTTGACTGCTATGAATTCTGAGTAGCTATCAAAAATACGCTTTTTGCCAATTCACTTTTAACAGCTGGGCACTATACAGGAGTTTGCTTCCAGTTTTTGAGGGACTGATTCTCTCCTCAGCACAGTCTCATAGATTAGATGTATAAGGTATGTCTCTACAATATTAAGTACCAAAGAAAATACAATAGAAACAACTAGGTCACTCCAAATTGTTGATTTTGATACTAGTCACACCTCAAACAAGGGAAATACCCAATCAAAGTTGAGTAGTTTTTGGAAGCACCTGTAAAATCCAGTCAAATTTCAATGGGGACTGTTGCCACTCATGGACACATCCCTGTTTAGCACATCCTGACTCTGGATTAAGATTAATTTTGCCGCTCATTGCACAAGCAAGGTGTTTCAAATACAGCGAACATGGTTGATGTAATGCTGCATTCTAGTTACCTCGGAAGTCAGAAGTCCGAGCGGGGAATGCTTCCAGCTCAGTAATCTGACTTCCGAGGTAACTCAAACGCAGCATAAGAGCAATGTAAGGGAATTTAACAGTTTCCAACATTTGAGATTGAAACAGTTTTTGTATAAATCTGAGACAACAGCTGCAGGAACAAGTACACTCAGACCATATTTTATTGTAGTTGACATGAAAGACAATAACGCTTCTATCTATCTATCTTATGTAATCTGTCCTTAGTCCTGAGCATAAGCTTGCTCTGCCTCCACTTACTCTCACATCTCTTGAATCTTTCATGAGTGGAAGAATGTGCAGCTGATTCTGACACATTTGGTTAAAGACGTATTATGTTCAAAAATTACAGGTTTCATTGTGCTTCCCAGTGTTGTTTGTAAATGTGTAACTTGTGGGCGGTAAGAAAGGAGCACTGAATTTAGTCTCAGAGAAAGTGGCAGGATGAAACAAAAGCTTGAAAACAAGTGTCTGTGCACCGGCAAAAAGCTTTGCATCCATTCATGACTCTGCTAACCCTCCACATGAAACAAATATGAAGGCTACACTTTCTACTCACTTTAGCTGTTATATGAGTCATGTGAATACAACGTAATGCACATTTCTTTATAACACAGCAGGGCAGGAAGAACAACTTAAGCGACAACAGTGCTGAGTCGAGTCAAACCCCAAAACCACTGAGAAACCATTTTAAGCACGAGCAAACAGAACACAACCTTGTTGAAAAGAAGACACAATGCAGGTCTGGTGCTGACAGGCCTGTCTCTCTTTACGACTCTGCTGTCCACTTTTGACCGGAAGACATAAATCTGTGACCCAGTTAAACTGATTTTTCGAATTTCTAACAATGAGGTCACATTGACCGGGGAAATATTCCATTTTGGATACTGCGAAGGCAAGTGGGATATAGTTGAGTCAGCATCCAACAAAAGCCAAGAATAAAACACATGAGTCAAAAACATGACAGACACATCCAAAATGTGACTCATGTTTCTTGAGAGTCCGGACTCAAATACTGCAGCGATGAAAGCATGGACAGACGGGGAAAGGATGAGTAGTTTTTAAACCCTTCGTAACCTTACTCTGTAACTAGTTTATTGATGTTTCTACAAAGCCACACAAGGGGGCTTTATGAGATTTTGTCTCGTGTCCCTAAGCTCATGCAATTCAAATGAAAACATACTTTTTTGGGTTTATAGTTATTATGCAGATGAGCTTTGAGACACAGTCTATTTCAAGGCCATCCAAGCATAACAGATGAATCAAAGAGAAGTAACAAGAAGGGGCAAAAATGAAACCAAAATGTTCCTGCATTCACTTTTTTTGCAGTTCAGAGGGCCTTGCACTCAAACGAAAAAGATGCCTTGTCACTTTATGCACAGTCAGGCTATACCAGGGGCAACCGTTTCACTCGCATTTGCAACTAAAAATAGATGTGTGCGAATTGTTAAATGTATTAAAGGGCACATGTATGCATGAAAAAAGTCAGGCAAGGAAGGCAACAAATATGTTTTCGTGTAAACGCCGCAGTGAAGTTAGTTTTAGGTTGGACATCGATGAACATTCACTGCAGATCTACTGGTGTCTTCTCACTCACCACAACCAGGAATAACAACAGCAGCGCGGTTAAATCTACTCTTCACCCTTGCTGTCAACATTGGGTGTTGAATAAGGGACCATCAATAAATTACCGGTTGATGTTCTCAAAAAAAGGCTGTTTTCCTTCAATAGCTTCCATGTCATGAGACCAACTGACCTAAAATTGATTTCAAATAATCATACAAAGGTCAGACAATAAGACACACCTCTTTATTTCCCTAATTTGTCCTCTAAAAACTTTTGTGTTAAATTTAAAGGCAAATTTTGAACATTTCCTTCAATAGCTTCCATGTCACGTGACCAAAAGACCTAAAATTGATTTCAAATATTAGTACATATGTCAACCAATAAGACACACATTATTTGATCAATTTTCATTGTGCCCCTAAAGTTCTTTGTGTGCTCCTTACTTTTTCAACTTCTGAGCACATTTGCTCCATGTGAAAAAAGTTAGTGTCAAGCCCTGTATACTGTTCAGGACTCTTGAGGAACTTTGACCTCTGGTGCAGTTGCCCCACTTTACCCCCTCAGGTAATTTTAACTTTAAAAAGCCATTTCTGAGTGCAACTTACGTCCCCAGCACTTCTTTGAAGTCATAATGTTCTTTGATGTCTGATGTCTTCTTTTTCCACCCGTTTCCATCCTCTCCAAGAGGCATCCTACAATGCAGATCGGATTTGCCACACTACAGCTGCAGGGCGAAAAGAGCAGAATTAATAGAGACTCCCGAAACAAGCCTAGACCTGCTGCACTTTGTGATTAACTGAAGATCTTCAATCAGAGGAAATGTACTTAATTTACTCAAAAATCAATGGGATCATTGGCCTTTAATGCAAATATGTGGTTCTGCGCTGGGTTATAGGAGGGGGTTTAACTACTTTCTGATGCTCTCTCAAAGAAAGAGCATCATTCCAGCACAGCGAGGGAAACAATAGATAAGACTAGACTTGAAATATTACACAACAGTTAATGTGCACTCATGCTAGGCTTGATGCAATTAATTAAATGACTGAGAGTGGGATTCTGCCTCAGTAATAGCTCAATATGTCCATTACAGTTTGGCTGACTGATGTGATTGTTACATAAAACCTTCAGCTATTAAATTAACCATTGATTTTCTTCTCTTATGAAGTGTTCTGCCATGCAGCTCTTGCTTGCATTTTTAAGACCATGAAGTTCGATTGGACAGAGGGAGAAGTAGGCGCTTGAGTTTTTATATGAAAGAGGACTGATAGGTAACGCATAAACTGAAGCTGCAGTCTGTTCTCAAAACGAAACATTTGCTCTTGCACGCTGCTTATTTTCATCAGACAGGTTTACGATCTATCTTGTCAAATAGAGCACAAACTTCTTTTTTAGTCATGACCACAGCCATCATTTAGTTAAAAATACACTCGCACAATTACAGAAAACATGACCGCTGTCACAGCCACAACTACAACACCCGGGCCTCTCTCCTTAACCATTCAGGAAATAATAAATAGAAACGAATAACAGCTTTAAAGAAGAGCAAACAGTGCAGCATGTATAAAACCATCTCATGAAACATATGCATGGTTAGTAGATGCAGAAACCAGCTGAGAGACCTGTTCCATATTTAACATATGAGGCTTTTAACAATTAGATTTTTTAATTAAATAGAGGACAAAATCTACCAGTAAAACAGCTGTAACTAAAGGGAACTGAAGCAATTCCTGTGAGAAACCTTTGCAGCTCTGCCCTGCATGAAAGCTGCAGGGCGTGAATGACAAGCAGGAGGCTGAGTGTGATTTAAGAATTGTTGTTGCGATATGTCTGCAACTCTGAGTTCGATTTTCGTGTTGGTGATCATGCAAATAGAGAAAGGCTACAGAAAGGAGAAGGGGGTGAAGGCAGTGTGGGTGTGCGAGCCGTGCTGCAGCGCTCAAGGGTACGACAGTCAAAAGGGATGGCAGCATCTTTGGGGGTTGAAAGCGGGGAGGCTGCAGACATGCGACCCTGAGCCCGCTCTGCACAAGTTTGATCACCAAAAACAGAAGATTGATCATGCATTAGAGTGAGGGGGATAGAAAGATAATAAAAAAACGTACCTGAAGGACGACGTGTGGCTGTGATGTGTTCTCCTTCCCGCTGGGAGCGATGTGGTTGCTGTGCTCTGTGCGCTCAGACTTCTCCTGACGTCAAGCAGCAGACGTCTCTGGACGTAGTGCAGCAGAAAATCTCTCACTGTTCTCCTAACGACGTGATCCGTGGCTCTCCTTATGCGAACGGAGCCACTTTCTGCCAGAAGTGCACGCTATTTCGTGTCAGTTCCCGCAGCACAGTTTGCATTGATTTCAAAGGTGGTCACTCAACATCTCATTGAGACTCATTGATCATACAGTGCAGAAATGAAGTGGGTGTGTTATGGACGAATAGTGTTGACTTGCAGAGCGCTCCAGTCTTTAGAACAAGGCGACGCCCTGATCCTCTCTGTTACAGCATCACTGCCACACTCATGGGACACTTCCCAAAGTGACTAAGCCCGCCAGAAAAATAACATCCTATTCTGAGTTAATGAGTTATAGCTACAGCCAAGAAACAGATCTACCAGAGAGTCTTTTTTACAACTTAGCCCTGTCCAAAATAATCAGTTTGACGAAGGTGCAGGGCAAACAAGAGAGCAAAATAAGTTACTTGAACTACTCCTTTTTGAATAAGCCACTCAGAGAACCCCAAAGACCCATCTCAGGAGTACTTCGACACATATTAACCTTGCGATCTTAAACTTTGCTCATGTGTAGTAGGGCAGAGTGGGGTAAGTTAAGCCACCCCCTGTTGCTTGGAAATGGTAAAAGAAATTGATCATATGACCAAATATTTAGGAGATGGGGATCAATTTAGGGAGTCTATGAAAGTTAGAACCACATGGGTGAAGGGGTAAGACCAGTGATTCTCAACTGGTCTCACTCAGGGACCCACATTTTCCCATGGTCCTTAAGTCACGACCCAATTTTATAGAACTCTAACCAAGCAAATTTATTTTTTATGAAAAAAAAAAAAAACTTTAAAGACTCAAATCTTTAACATAAATCCACATGTTTTTTGAGTAAAGTGTACAAAAACATCAAATGCCCAATGAATATCGCATTAAATATTTACTTTTTTGACCAGCTGTTCGTGACCCATCCAGAACGTGTCGGCGACCCACTTTTGGGTCGGGACCCACCAGTTGAGAACTAGCCTGTCTGGGCCATCCTGTTGCGTGAATCACTTGCCGTTCCTTCCCACAACAGTCAGGACTTCTGCCCATTGGGAGCGTGCATTCCCGGTCAGAAAATAACCGGGCCAATCAGAGACCGTGTTTCCACTGTTACCCGGACAACAGGGAAAGGCAACCCCATGATTGGTCCATGTGTAGACGGTGACGTCTAACACATGCTCTGCGGGACAAAGCGCCGTTCATTCAGAACGCCATTAATTCTGCAGTTGACTTTGCAAAGTCGTCTGAAATCGTTTATATCCGACATCTTCTGCGGATCTAAACAATTTACCCCACTCCTTTGGCCAACTTACCCCATACACGGGGTAAGTTGACCATAGGAGACCACTTTTTTTGGCATGCTGTATTATCAAGACAGTTCTGTTTACACTCATTCTGTTGGTTTGCAGGGATGCACAACATTGTGAAATATATGCAGATACACTAGTTAGAGACTAAACTATGATTGCCTTGATGTAGTGATCCGAAATATGAAAAATGACTAATCTTACCCCACTCTCCCCTACTAGCCTTCAACATTTCAACTTAGCATTTCAAAATATAGAGTAATACTAATGAGCATTTTAACAAGTTAACATGCAAAGCAGTTAACCTGAGCACATCACATGACAGAAGACCATGATAATATGCTGTGGGGAAAAAAACCTGCAACCATAATTGCCTCGATTCCATCAGCATAAACCATCCCATTTACCTCACAAACCAACCAGATGACCTCAATGCACGAATGAGGGCAGATGTGCATGCAGCAAAACACATGGTTACATCACGTTACCATGGCCTCTAGCCTGCCTGTGTAGCAAGTGGTTTAAATGTCTTTAACCATCAGTTACAGGACTTTTTCTGTAGAGCCCTCTTTGGTAGATGACAATGTTTTGAAGACCCACTACCCCTCAGCAAAAACCCACTTGCAGACATAACCTTTGCTGACAAATTTCTGCCCTCTTAGTTTTCTGTTAAGTAATTTTTGTGTCATTTGCCTTCATTAAGAAGGGAGAAAAAATGCTGGGAGGAAAGAGTGGGAAATGACAATGCTGCAACAGGACCAAGGTTTGAATGAAACTAATGACCACTGCAAGCAAGGACTGTAGTCATGTTTTATGAGTTTACACTTTAACTGTAGAATTGACTTGATACACTGTCAAAAATGCAGAATTGTTGAAGCGTTGGTTCAGCTCATACACGCCACGTCATGCAAAAGTTGCATTTCTGTCAGTTGCATTTATAATTTCAGTGTAAAACATAACTGATTTATAAGCTCAACCTAAACCTCCAGTCCTTTGACTATATACCAACACTCCAAGTGAGGCCTGCATTTGCATGTATTAACTGCTTGTCACATAAACTCTAATACTCAAATGAAAGGGCATCTCCAGCTCCTGCTCATTATTTTTGCACCAGGATCAATCATGTTTGATTAATCTTACCAAAATAGTTATGTCATCAGTGAGGAACAACATATGAGCCCTGACCCTGACTAGAGGACATTTCTTTTATTAATCTGGCCAATGCAGAGCAGATTTGTTATGTAGTTTGACTGCTTGTTCTGAGGCCTTTAAAGACCTTGCCTAATCCCAGATTGTTGTTTTCTTTCTCATTACACTCATGATACCAGCCTGAGGTCATCTGACCACTGGTTGTTGTCTGTCTCTTTAGGCCTGGAGATGGTGCAGTACATCATTAGCCAGCAGCTACAAAGCTCTGTAACAGCTCTCATTTTACAGTCAGAGAACAGTCCTCTTTCAAAACTCGACTCAAAAGCATTCCTTTGTATTTGGACTCAAAATTGATTATCTTAATATTGATTCTAATTATACAATGTAACACAGTCACTGTCTATAAAGTTATCATGTCACGATGAATAACTAATTCTCAACACTGTGTTTAATCAAGCTCAACATAATCCACAGGTATGTTTTGATTATATATTCACATTAGAACTGCCAGCATCTGAAGCTCTAAGTGGACATACAACCATACATTTTCTTTACCTTTTTTGAGGTCCAGCCAAAAGTCAGAGGACCAAAATTGTTCTCAGGAAACAGACCTAACTTATGTGAATAATGTGGGCAATGATAACATGGTGTGTAGTGGACTGACTATAACAGAGACTACCTTTATTTGAGAGGAAAGTACAGTGAATAGTAAAGGATATATAGGGAAAGAGAATGAGAAATAACATATGGAGAAAGAGCCTCAGGCTGGAACTGAACCAGGGCTGTCCATTTCCTCTGTATATGGGACACACGCTTAAACCGCTGAGCCAGCAGTGCGCAAGACCAATCTTTTGTTTTGTTTTCGAAGATTACTGGAAATCATCATCATCCTCATACCTGCAAAAGAATCTTTAAATACTAAGATAATGAGATAGATAAATAATAATCAGGAACATTAGGCTCTCAATCAAATATTTTATTGGTTTTAGCCTAATACTGTCTATCTTATTTCGGCTTTACTGTCTTTCTAATATTATTATTATTATTATTATTATTATTATTATTATTATTATTATTATTATTATTATTATTATTATTTTTATTATTATAGGAAGTAGTAGTATTTTATGTCTTAAACAGCCACATCGAGGTGTCGTAAGGTGTTGTTGCAGTACCACTCCTATACTAAAGGGGCAGCACTGTCCGAGGTGGCGCTTTCCATCCTCACACACAAACAGAATAGAAGATCAACTTCCGGACAGGAGTTTTCAAACAACAGTAGCTAGCCAGCTAGCTGATAAATATTTTTGCTCAGGGAAACGGCAAACTTTGCTGAGTTTCAGGTAAGCTTTGCTGTTGGAGGTATTTTATGTGTTCATGCCATCTTGTGTGTGTTTTATTGAGATTTTATTCATGAATTTATTGGCTATATTCTAAGGAAAGCGACTCTTTGGCTAGGATAGCGTCTGTTTGCTTTGTTTCATACATGCATCGAAGCGGCGCTAATGCTAAGAGGGTTAAGCTCACCTGCTACAGTTGTAACCGTTTCAACGGTCAGATCAACAACCAACGTTTCTTATGGAATAAGCCTCTTGCTGATAAGGCGGGACAAAAATCACAATAAATCTTCGTTTTATCGTAAAGCTAGCGGGCTAGCTAGCCTGTCGTTGACCCAGAGCCAGCGATGTCAGCGACCTCTAAGAGGAGGAGAGCCACCTCACCCTCCAGCAGCATCAGCGGCGGAGGAGACCTCGACGATGCCTCCTCTACACCTGGAAGTGGCAGGAAAAGACGAAGAATCTTAAATGTTCCTCCTGTAGATACGGTAAGAGCACAGTTTTGATTTATTGACCCTGTGGTTTAGTAGTTGGACGCATATTACACGTGAGTAGAAGACATATGGCATTTAAGACTTGTTTTGATTTATTTCCACTAGATTGCTGTTTGTCATGAGCTGTTTAACGCCGTAAGGGACCACAAGGATGAGCAGGGAAGACAACCAAGTGAATATTTCATAAGGGTACCAAAGAGAAGGTAATGCAGCTTTGATAAACATGTACACCAACCATCACCAACGACTTTGAAGTTGGCACCTTACTCACGATTCAGCTGTTATCAGCAAGGTAATAGAAACTCTAACCTGATCCAGAATACACAGTTAAAGGGATATTCCAGCCTAAATTCAATTTATGGTCAAACAAACCGTAACACAGAGTTAGACACCCCCTCGAGAAATGAATGTTGCAGACTACTTGCTTCTTTAGTTACACCAACTTTAGTAACAACCGCATGATAGCAATAAACAGCGGTCCATGAAACCACATACATACCTCAACCAAAACACCACTCTATAGCCACTAATAATGCTCAGAACAGCACTTAACTTCATCAACAGTACATATAAAGTGTAGCAGCACTGATGTCAGCACGGGGGGCGAGGTTTTAAAAATCAACTATTTATTAGCCGACTACACAATAACAGAGAACGGACCAGAGAGAGCAAAACTTGGACTCAGCATACCAAAGAGGGACAAGCTGAACATTGAAGAAAGAGAGCGTTACCAAAGCAAAACTGCGGACATTGCTGGACTAGACCCATATGAACACACTGTATGGTCAGAAGATGATTTCAAGATAACACCACCACTTAACCGAGTGCATTTAATGCAGTACCTCAGTACATAATAATTTGTTCAGGGGTGTGTGTGTGTGTGTGTGTGAGAGAGAGAGAGGGGGAGAGAAAGGCAGACGTGTTTGTGTGTGATCACCTACCACTGTGCGAACAACCGTTTTGTTGTTGACTCTGTGCATCTGCAGTTTGTGTACCCACCCAGATGTGAAAAAACGTGGGCCAAGAAAGACTTTTCATTATGGAAGGAATTAAATGTATAATGGCTTGCTCCTTCAATGAGGTACTGCATCAAATGCACTCATTTAAGTTGTGATGTCATCTTGGAATCATCTTCTGACCATACAGTGTGTTCATATGGGTCGAGTCCAGCAATGTCAGCAATTTTGCTTTGGTAACGCTCTCTTTCTTCATTGTTCAGCTTGTCCCTGAACGTATGTTGAGTCCAAATTTTGCTCTCTCCATTCCATTCTCCGTTACTGTGTAGTCAGTACACAATAACATCCTAATTTCATTCATTCCAATGCGCTTAGTGTTGTTATGTCTGTCAAAATGGCCGCGCTGGCATGTCACGCATCGAGCCCCCCGTGCTGACATCAGCGCTGCTACACTTTATAGGGTCCCGGCCATAGCTCTAGCCACCAAACATCTTTTTAACTTAGCCTAATTTCTTAAGCAAAAAGACTTAACACAACTGACCTACTCTCTTCCAGCAGCTGCTTGTTTGTAGCGAGACCTTGGGCCAGTCCATTACGGACTGCAGTTGCTATAGAGTGGCGTTTTGGTTGAGCGTGTGGCTCTCTGTATTGCTATCCTGCGGTCTAAAGTTGGTATAACTAGAGGAGCAAGCGGTCGGCAACATTCATCCCTCGATGGGGTGTCTAACTCGGTGTTACGGTGTATTTGACCCTCACTTAATTTTACGCTGGAATATCCCTTTAAGGCCACTTTTGACCCATCCAAACCCCCAATACTCGGCTTTGTTAGATTTGGTCCAGTTTATTCTCAGTACTCTACAGACTTGAGCCAAGTCTAGTGGTTTTGGAGCTGGACCTTGTTTTCTATAATCTTCCTCATAACAGAGATGGTGAAGGCTGTGAATGAGCGCCAACTTCATTGTCATTCACTGTAAACTGTTCTCTTGTAATAATCAAGTGTATGTCGGTGAGTCTAGTTGGACGGATTATTTAGACATTTGTTGTTGTTGTTTCCAGGAATGTGCCTGACTATTATGAAGTGGTGTCCCAGCCAATTGATATGTCAAAAATTCAGTATAAACTGAAGTCAGAAGATTATAATGATGTGGAGCAGCTCACTTCAGACTTCCAGCTCATGTTCAACAACGCCAAATCCTTTTACAAGGTAGGTAGAGTACAACGCACGGATGTATCTCTGTCACTGATTGGATGGTCTTTTTCAAAATTCATTATCTGTTTGAAGAAGAAGAATTTAATTCATCCCCAAAGGATTGAATTTTAGGGATATTGAATTTCCCATTGGGGAGAAATAAAGTTCTTCTTTGTAGAGCTCTGTGTCCCCCATGCTAATTCTATATTTCCTTTACATGTCCATTTATTCAGAGTGACAGCGAGGAGTACCAAGCTGCGTGTAAGCTTTGGGAGGTGTATTTGCAAACAAGGACTGAGTTTGTTCAACCTGGGGATGGAGATGAAGATGATGAAGATGGTGATGACATGATGGATAATCCAGGCATGTCAACCGAAGATGAGGTAATTTTATCTTTCAAATACACAATGGCTACGTTCATACTGCAGGTTATGATGCACAATTCAGATCTTTTTGTGCGGTCGTTCACATTACAACAACGAATGCAGCATCTGATGTGAAAGGAATGCGTCCGTGAAGTGACCCGCATGCGCACAAAGCACAAATTGCTTTCCGCGCCCGTTTGTGTTGTTGAACAATGGTGACGTTTGTCGCATATTGATGACATATAGGTCGGATGAACGCGACCTGAGCGTCCACACTGCAGTCACATTGGATACATATCTGATTTATATCCGCATACAAAAGAGGCCTGAGTCGGATTTGAAAAAATCAGAATTGCACTGTTGACACTTACATGGAAAAATCAGATATGTGTCACATATGGTTAAAAAATCGTAATTGACCTGCAGTGTGAACATAGCCATTGAGTCACCATTCCTGGGTTTATAATTCTGTGATAAACAACGTGCTGTGGAATGACACACGAGTTTTCATGTTTCTGTGCATGGCATATGTTTTCATACATAATAGATACATGGATTCGTTTTTGTAGCGCAAACAGAAGAACTTATTTCTGCACATTGCTGTTTTAGACCTCAAGTGGCAGTTTGAAGGAGGTGTTGGAGCAGCTCTTGGAGGCTGTGGTGTCACACGCTGATCCCTCAGGGCGTCTGGTCAGTGAACTGTTCCAGAAATTGCCTTCCAAAGTGGTGAGTATTTAAAGAGTATGAACGTTCAATGGTTTTCCTTGAATTAAAAAACATGTTTGACATTTACTCTCCCTTCTGTCTTCCCAGCATTACCCAGACTACTATGCCATTATAAAGGAGCCAATAGATCTGAGGACTATTGCTCAGAGGATACAGGTATTAAAAATAACCAACATGTTGCGTGATTGTGCATTATTCCACCAGAAAACAAGAGGTCCCACACTGTGATAATGTTTTCATTCAATTAACACTAATTTGTTCAATTTTACAGATTGGGTACTACAAGAGTGTCAATGCCATGGCTAAGGATGTCGACTTGATGGCCAAAAATGCCAAAACATACAATGAACCAGGATCTCAGGTTTTTAAGGTAAACTGCCTTTCATTTCTTTTTGTGTTTTGTGGGTGTGAAATGTAACATCCTGAATCTTAACAGCTGTTTTGTTGTTGTTGTTGTTTAGGATGCTAACACCATAAAGAAAGTCTTCATTCAGCGGAAGACTGAACTTGAACATGCTGAACCAACTAAGTCTAGTCTTCGGATCAGGTATTGGCAGACTCAAAGCAATGGGTGTCTACAAAAATAACGTTTGGGAAAAGAAAACAGCTCCTGTAGTTGTTGAAAAATGAGTAATTATTCTATAACAGTATCAAATATTTATTTGAGGCCTACATCACGAATCTTTAAACTGTTACTATTCAGGAATCGCAGGTCAGGCCAAGGGGATCGACTCTCAGGAGTCAGCGTGGCTCTTCACTACGGCTCAGAGAGCGAGGATGACCCCGTGCTATCTGGTTCGTACAAACTCTTAATCCTGCAGATATTTACTTCAAACATGTAATTTTTTGTTGAAACGTTAACCACCCAAAACGCTCGCAGGCTCGGTGTGCTATGACGAAGGGGAGTCTGAAGCTGAGAGTCAGAGTTCCAGTATGGAGATGAGTAACCCCATCTTCCAGCTGTATGAAGCTGTTAGGGGGGCCAGGAACAACCAGGGTCAGGTCTTCTCTGAACCGTTCCAGCAGCTGCCCTCCCGCAGAGAATACCCTGACTATTATCAGCAGATCAAACAGCCCATCTCCTTGCAGCAGATCAGGTAAGGAAGGAGCACTTAAAGGATTTTTGTGTTTTGATTCACCTTTTGTACGCAACAAATTCCAAGCCCTTGAGTGTATTTTTTTCAGGGCTAAGATGAAAAACGGCGAGTATGAAAGTGTGGAGCAGATGGATGCGGACCTCAATTTAATGTTTGAGAATGCAAAGCGCTACAACATGCCTAACTCAAGTATCTACAAGCGGGCTTTCAGGCTTCAGCAGATCATGCAGGTACAGACATCAGCGCTTTACGTTTGTAAAGTGTTTTTACTCTCACAGAAAGAGTCCAGTGAAGAAGATCCACTCCTGATGTTTTTTTTTTCTGTCTGTACAGGCAAAAAAGAGGGAACTTCTGAGGAGGGATGATGAGGATGGAGACAGCATTCTGTCATCTGACACAGGAAGCATTAAAAAGAAAAGGTAAACAGGTTTTCTCCACTTCTCCCTCTGATAAACAAGAAAAACACACAAATTTCCTTCTTACACCATAATTAGACACTCATTTACGTTGAACCTTTGCATCAATGCTTTTTTCCCCCACCTGGTTATTTTTAGCCACAAAAAAAATGTGAAAAAGAACAGAATGAAGGCCTTATATGCTGCAGTGATTGAGGCTAGAGAGGCAGGCACCACTCGCCGTCTGTGTGATCTGTTCATGGTCAAACCGTCCAAAAAAGACTACCCCGACTACTACAAAGTCATCCTCGAGCCAATGGACCTGAAGACTATCGAGCACAACATCCGCAACGAGCGCTACACCACAGAAGAAGCCCTGATGGAGGACATGAAGCTGATGTTCCGTAATGCACGGCATTACAACGAGGAAGGATCTCAGGTAAGCAGAGCAGAAACAACAACACATCTAAGGCATATATGCTGTTACTGAGCACAAAAATTTTTGATGAGCTTTATTTTGCTGATGATTCTGGCGGTTTACTCTAGGTGTACAATGATGCCGATATTCTGGAGAAGGTACTGAAAGATAAGCGCAAAGAGCTCGGACCTCCGCCTGAAGAAGAAGACGTGGGATCTCCCAAACTGAAGCTGAGTGAGTGTGATCCACTCTAGTGGATGTACTTCAAATCAGATACACTTTGCATTAGGGGTGTCCCGGTAAAACTTTTTTACCTCTGATATGATAAAGATATTATAGCCTTCAATATTGGCTGATACCGATATTGATCCGATATTGGCACAAACTTGTGCATGACCAGTTTTGCACTCAGCTGCAACGTCTTTTTCGGACCTAAATGAAAAATACTGCCACATGGCCGACATCACTCTTATTCTTTGCTACTTTGTTAGTATCTTAGTACACACTGATGTTGTGATCATGTGGGCTCTGCATGCTGGATGTGGGCGCTGCTAGATAGAGGGTCTGGAGCGGAGTCTGGAATGGACTGCTTGTATCAGAGTGCTGATATCGCAGATTTTAGATGCAGGCCGATATAATCCGATATTCGATTTTTCGCTGATATCGGACCGATATCTATATCCTATCGGGACACCCCTACTTTGCATTACTGCATAAAATCATACCATTTTTGACAGGTGCTATTGGAGTTAAGTATGGAGTTCACATTATCTGCAGAGGCCTCAAATGACCTAATAATAGACTATAACACAGGGTTAATACGCAAGTATGGAAATAAATTTGATCAATTTCAGGGTCTTAAAAAGTATGAAAGGTGAAAAATAAAGTATGGAAAATAATTATGTTTCTGGAACTATTACCACAGTTCTAAAATACTGTTTTCTAAGATATAAAGGAGGTATTTCTAAAAATAATTCTAAAAAGTTGGGTATGGAAAAGTATGTAAATTCCAACTGAGTAGGAACCCTGATGACAGCAAGGGGCATAATTGGTAATGATAAGACTTTTGTAACCCAGCTCATTGAATGAGTAAATCTTCCCTCACAAAAGCTGTTTTTACAGCTACAATATTGTTCCCAAGAAAGAAAAATAAACTCTTATTTTTGCCACGTCAACCTTTCAGGGTCTCAGTAATCTCTACTTTCACACTGACCTTCAGCCCTGCACAAAGAAATTAGAAGTAAAACGGTTAGATAAGACTCTTAAGACTCTTGGTTTTTAAACTCGATTGTTACTATCTTGATGTTATTTTTCTCATTTAGGGAAAAGCGGTGTTTCTCCAAAGAAGTCCAAATACCTCACCCCTCTCCAGCAGAGGTTAAACGAGCTCTACGATGCTGTGCGAAACTTCACTGACCGCCGAGGTCGAAAACTCAGCACAATCTTCCTCCGGCTGCCGTCTCGCGCCGAGCTGCCAGACTACTACGCTACCATCAAGAAACCCATCGATATGGAGCGCATTCGAAGCCATATGGCGGCCAGCCGCTACCAAGACGTGGAGGCCCTGGTGGAGGACTTTGCTCTCATGTTCAACAACGCCTGCATGTACAACGAGCCGGAGTCTCTCATCTACAGGGACGCTCTTGTGCTGCACCGAGTGCTGCTGGAAACTCGTAAGCAGCAGGAGGGAGGAGAGGACTCCGGGCCCCCCAGTGTCGGACCTCTGGTGCGAGAGCTGATCAGGAACCTGTTTGTGTCCGTGCTGGGTCACCAGGATGAAGAGGGACGATGTTACAGCGACTCGCTGGCTGAGATTCCCGCTGTCGATCCAGCCGCCCCTGAGAAACCTCCTCTGAACTTTGATGTTGTCCGGGTGAACGTGGATCGTGGTCGTTACAGGAGACTGGACGTCTTCCAGGAACACATGTTTGAAGTGCTGGAGAAAGCCCGGAGACTGCACAGGTACAGACACGTATTTAGTCTCGTTCACTCCTTATTACAAAATGATTTCTACAAGAACAAGATTGATGTTGATTGTAATTGATTTTACTCTACATTACGCTACATTAACAAAAAAAAAAAAAAAAACACTGAGATGTCTAGTTGATGGGTTGAATAATTTTGTAATTTACATCAAACAGCTGTAATGAAGCTTTATTATTTTTTTTCAGTGGTTAGTAACTGTTTTAGTTTTTGCAGGACTGACTCTGAGATATTCGAGGACGCCGTAGAGCTTCAACAGTTTTTCATTAAGATCAGGGATGAGCTATGCAAGAACGGAGAGATACTGCTCTCCTCTGCACTCAACTACACATTAAAACACCTGCACAGCGACGTGGACCAGGAGAAGAGGGAGAAAATCCCAAAGGAGATCGAGGAAGACAGGAAGAAAGAAGAAGAGGAGGAGGAGGAGGAAGAGGGAGGCAAAGGTTTGTGTTTGTGAAATATTAGATGTGAATAAAAAACTCCCAATGATTTGGAATTAATTCAAGATAAATGTTTATTTTGAAGAGGGTAAGAAAGCAGCAGATCAACCCGGAGAAGTATGGCAGCCAGAGTCGGAGGCGCAGCGTGTGTACAGTCAGGACTGCAGCTTTGACAACATCACCTACTATGTGGGCGAGTTTGTCTATGTGGAGCCATCAGAGCCCAACCTGAAGCCACACATCGTCTGTATCGAGCGTCTATGGGAGGATGAAGCAGGTGACGCCCAATATTCCGAAAAATATCTGTTGGTTTCCAGCAGTTTATGTCAGTTTACGTAGTTTTATTAATAACATGTTCCTGTATTAAACATATCTTTGTATGTGCTTTGCTTTGCTTGTGTGTGAAGGTGAGAAGTGGCTCTACGGCTGTTGGTTCTACAGACCAAGTGAAACTTTCCACCTGGCAACACGCAAGTTTCTGGAGAAGGAGGTCTTCAAGAGCGACTACTACAACAGGGTGTCAATCAGTAAAGTTCTAGGGAAATGTATGGTCATGTTTGTGAAGGTAAGACCCCCCCCCCACAGAGCTGAAACCTCACAGAAATATCAGCGTCACTTCATTTGTCACCTTGACCTGCTCACCTAATCGTGGCTCTGTCTCACTGCCGATCGTAGGATTACTTCAAGATGCAACCTGAAGGCTTCAGAGCTGAGGACGTGTACATCTGCGAATCTCGCTACACCGCCAAGGCCAAGTCCTTCAAGAAGATAAAAATCTGGGCGATGCCCGCTAGCTCTGTAAAACTGGTCCCCCGGGATGTGCCGCTGCCTGTTGTCCGAGTTGCTTCCATGTTTGCCAGGCCTGACCTGGACAAAACGACATTTTCATACACAGGGGGTGGCAGCTTTGTGGACAAGGTGAGCTGATTTGATTTCAGTGTTAGAGTGTTGCCCTGAATGACAATTTCCTAAAGATCTCTGAAGTTTTAGCGTAATTATTTGGCCCAGACTTCAGGGAGTTCATTTACTTTACAGAGCGGTAGCATGCGTGTCCTTACAAGGAGTCAGAGGAGTACATGGTAGTACTGCTGTGGTATTTACAAACACTGGAGTCCTTTTCGTGTGTGTTTTTGTTTGTTTAGGAGAGAGAGGATGTCCCTATGGAAATGAGCGGAGCTGAGCCCGACTGTCAACACTACGAACAGTTAAGCTTCAACAACATGTGGTTCAAAGTAGGAGACTGTGTTTACATCCAGTCACACGGTCTGTCAAAGCCAAGGGTCGCCAGGTGGGTCATTTTTAATGTCTGTCACTAAAACGTGATCCATTTCAATATCAGCGCACTATAGTTACCAACCACTCTGTATCATGGCTGTTTTTTTAACTGGGCTGCAGGATCGAGAAGCTGTGGATGCAGAATGGAGCTACTTTCTTCTTTGGACCCGTCTTCATTCATCCAGAGGAAACGGAGCACGAACCTACAAAGATGTTCTACAAGAGAGAAGTGTTTCTGAGCCATCTAGAGGAGACTTTACCCATGACGTGTGTCATAGGTATGACTTTGAAAACTACCCAGAACAAAGAGACGGATTGGATTTATAGAAAATTAGCTTATTAGATTAGATGAGTGAATTTAGACCATTCTTCTTTTTTTCTTCTTAAGTATTTTTTGGGGGCTTTTTTGCCTTTTATTGATAGGATAGGGTGAAATGTGGAGAGACAGAGAGAGAGGGTGGAGGACATGCAGCACATGGTCGGGGCCGGACTCAAGCCTGCGACCGCTGCGGGGAGGGTGGTCCTCATACATGGGGCGCGCTAACCCGCTCAGCTATCTGCAGGCCTCAAATTTAGATAATTCTTTTACGTATTTTTTTGGTGACTTTTAGCCTTTATTGACAGGACAGGGTGAAATGTGTGGAGACAGAGAGAGAGGGTGGAGGACATGCAGCACATGTTCGGGGCCGCACTCGAACCCGCGACTGCTGCGCACCCCATTTAGACCATTCTTGCTTTTCCATTAAGCTGGAACATTAATGACAAACTGTGAAAACAGACCATTGTTAAAAGTACAGTTATGATGTGAGGTTTTGCGATCTGGTTCAGTCACTTAAACTGGTATAATTTCATTCTTCTGTTCTATAAAATCAACTCTATAATTCTTCCTTTCTGCTCTCCAGGCAAATGTATGGTGTCATCCTTTAAGGACTTCCTGTCATGCAGACCCACTGAGGTTTCTGAAGATGACATCCTGCTGTGCGAGAGCCGCTACATCGACACTGAGAAGCAGATGAAAAAGTTTAAGGGTCTGAAACGCTTTTCTTACTCGCCCAAAGTGGTGGAGGATGAAATCTTCTACTTCAGGTTTGCCAGCTGATCGGAGCAATCGTTACAACTCAGAGCTACACTTTTCTATTTTTTCCCTGTTTTGGTTTTTGGTTATCTAATACCTGCTTTATCTTGGTGCAGAAAACTGATGGTGCCACAGAAGGAGGCGTCACCATTTTTGGACAAGAAGATAGATGAGCTGGAATTAAAACTGGCAGATCTGGAGGATGCAGAGGATGATATGGAAGATATGGACGACGAGGAGGAGGCACCAGCAACGCCTTCTATGCCTCAGATGCAAACCCCACACACCAATGAGGACAGCATGCCATACACGCCTTCCCAGGTAATCCAAAAACCTTTACCTGAAGACTTGTACCCCCCTTCTATTAAGATCAAAACAACGCATAACATATTATGAATGTGTCCTTCTGTAGTCTACTCCTAAGGTGAAGGGCTTATCGAAAAAAGAAGGAGCCAAGAGGAAGATGAACATGAGCGGCTACATCTTGTTCAGCAGTGAAATGCGAGCTGTCATCAAAGCGCGACACCCAGACTACTCTTTCGGGGAGCTGAGTCGACTCGTGGGCACCGAGTGGAGGAACTTGGAGGGTTCCAAGAAAGCGGAGTATGAAGGTGAGTCAAGGCCAATTGAAATGAGAATAGATGAGGCTGTCTTGGTATCCAGAGGGGAAATATGGTTGTTTCAGCAACACAGATATAATCAGCAAGTAAGAGCAGAGAAGATTTGAATGCAACAATAATAAATAACAATAAAAGATGGAAAACACATAGAATAAGGAGTAAATGGGATAAATTGACATGGCATGGTACTAAAAATATGAAATGACTTGGTATGATGATAAATAAATACACCCCAGGGTGATGTAAAAACTTTGATATGATGTTAGTGTGTGTCTCTGAGGTAAAGACAGAACCTTCATTTGTTTTTTTGTTTGTTTTCAGAGCGCGCAGCCAAAATCGTGGAGCAACAAGATCGAGAGAGACCACCCCAGAAGCAAGCGTCCCCTAGAGCAGGTACCCCGATAGGGGCACTGATGGGGGTGGTGCCTTCGCCTAGCACTATGGGAATGATAAACCAGACCATGACACCTGTGTCAGGTAACCCCTCTCAGAGGCAGCACGAGTGTTTGACAGCAAGGCAGCAGGGAATTCAGGCTGGACTGTTAAAAAACCGTAATCCTCTTAATTTCCTAACCATGTTCGGAGCTACATTCCTGAAGCAAGATTTTTTTTTCTTCTTTTGCTGCTGTTTCATGTTATTTTATGTTTTAATATTTATTTTTTATCATTAGCTCATATCTGGAATTGCATGAATGTAGCTGCATGATTTATTTTCAACCATGAATAACCTTTATCATTTCATGTTTCTGTTTGCTTATTATGCCTGCTAACATAACAGACCATTTATATTGTCAGCCCCTTTCACACATTGAGCTTTTAACATCTCAAGTTTCCACCACTTCAAATTAAACTCAAGTCTTCTTTCTTATTTTGTGATCCTTTTCCCAACTTTCCTTTTTCAGCTCTGCTCAAAAATGAAAGTTTGAAAAGTGCACCACAGGTGATAATATTTGTTAAAAAAAAACAAAAAGCTTCAAGATCAATTTCGATGATTAAGCATCATACAACTTAAAAATAAATTAAACTATGAGCTTGATGGTCATGTTAAAATTAAAAGTTGATAAAGACGGCAAACCTTGCCAGAGCTCTCCTGGCTGAAGGTGCACGTGTGAAAGGGGCTACTGTGTGCAGCAGTAGTGCACGTTACTGTAGAGTCAGCTGCATGTCACTTATGCATGGATGTGTTGTTGTCCTCTCCTCGCCCTCTCCCCCAAGGCATGATGGGAGCTTACGGCCCACCTTACATGCCCATGCAGGGCCCCCATGAGGGCTTGTTGAGTGTGGCCCCGATGCCACCTCACCCTGCAGGGGGGCTCCACCTGCCTCCTCACCATCTCCAGCAAGGTATGCCCGGGTACCCTGGCATGCCTCATCAGGGTAAGGGCCACTGTCCCAGCCACACCTGCTCAGTCACACCCAGTCGTGTCTCTCCTGCCGGAGGGGTTTACCTGGTCCACAGGCTGTGCAGCCTGATTTATTCACTGAGCAGTCAGAGCTCCTCTTTTCTAAGTGTACTCACATGTCACACCTCCAACATACTGCATCCATATACACGGTCATAGATATAGTGCATGTCAAAACAAAACAAACTAACTAACATTCAACTGATATACAAGAGCTAACAATTTCTCAAGTCATGATATAAAATTTTTGTACTTATTTTTAAATGAACAACTGAATTTGGAAGTACAATGAAAGAAACAAAATAATGCCATTTAACAGGTATGATGGGTCCTGGGATGAATGGCATGGCAGGAAGTCCTGCACAAGGAAACTACATGCAGCAGGTGAGAACTGTCCCAGAAATTCTACCATAACTTGATTTATTTCAACTTGTAGGCCACTATGTTGCAGGATAATTTCTAGTACACACAACATCCTTTATTACCATACATTACATTTTATTGATCTTATTTAACACTGTATGTTGGTCACCCTCTGAAATACAGTATGTGTTGTTATCTTAAATTTTAGCCTGGGATGTTCAGCCCAGGACCACATGCTCCTCCACCGTATCCAGGACAGGGCCAGCCCTCACACCTGCAGCCGACTACTCCCATGTTTGTTGCACCACCACCAAAGACCCAGAGGGTGCTCCACTCCGAGGCCTACCTGAAGTACATTGAGGGCTTAAATTCAGAGTCCTGCACCATCAGCAAATGGGACCAAACTCTCAGAGGTGGGGGCGGGGTCATTAAATGGTATTTTCATTTTCTGCATGTGTTGAAGAAAACCACTGATACCCCACATATGAACTGATTAGATTGCAAGTGTGCCTCATAAATTTCTCTTCAAAAATTCACAGTTAATAAAAATAAACATCCTTTTTATTCCATAACAGCTCAAAGGCGTGACGCTCACCTGACCAAAGAGCAGGAGAGCCGGCTGCCAGCTCATTGGCTGAAAAGTAAAGGAGCCCACACCACTATGGCTGACGCGCTATGGCGCCTGCGTGACCTGATGTTGAGGGACTCTCTGAACATCTGTCAGGCACACAACCTGTGACTTATCGGACACTTACCACAATAACCAGCTCACTCACTGCTCTTATCCTCAAGCTACAGAGCTTTAGGGAGAATTCTAGACCATAGAAGCAATATTTTATAGTGAATCATGATTAATTTTATATTTATTAGCCTGAAATAATGAGCTTGATAGTTAATGTGTGCGCATTTCATTTTTTTTACAGACTTCATCAATTGTGCTGCAAAAACTGTGATTTTTGGCTTACAGATACTACAAAATAAAATTCGGAACACAATGTTCTGACTGTGTTTGTTTTTTTTTCTCTTAACATTTGAAAATATTTTATTTTATTTTTGTGCTCTTTTTTTTTATTGAGTGATGCAAAACAGACCGTGTGACAGTGTGAGAAACAGTGTGTGTGAGAGAGAGAGTGTGTATGTATGCCTATGTATGAGTGCTTGTTTTGGGTAGTTGTATAAAACATATCATTTGAAAATGATAATCTAACTAATAGGGCTGGGAGATATGGGAAAAAATTAATCACGATATATTTTTTTGTTATTAGTTGATATTGATATATATACTGAAAAAATAAAAAAATTCAACAGTGCTTATTGGCAGCATGTCTTGCAATACAATAAGATACTGCATCTGTGAGGTCTTTGTGTCTCTTTGACGTTTTGTCATAAAGCGTTGCGCTAGAGAAAGCGGACTGAATGTTTGGCTGTTTCGGCTGCACAGGCGCCATGGTCTTCTTGCTCCGCTCGGGGTTTGTAACCTTTTGTATTGTGCATGCTCTGTTTCAGGTGTGGAAAAAGATTTGAGGTTTTTCCCAACTTTGCAAAAACATGTACTAGACATTTGCAGCGCACATTACGTTTTCGTGCCAGTGTTGTTGACAATGTTGTCATCTGTTTAGCCTTCATCTGCATTTCTGCCGGGGGGTTGCACTAATTTTCTTTTTTTCTCACCAACAGTGCTGTCGGCCTCAAGTGTTAAAGTGCGATGGTTATATGTAGCTGCAGCCTGCTACTACACAGTTCTTTGCTACTTGGTTCTAATTCTGCACGATTGGTTCAGCGCGAAGCTGACCTGGAGCAACTCCCCTTTTCATTGGCTATTCAAATAGTCTACCAAAACATTGCGGAATGCCAACTATCGAAAAGCATATTGACCATGTTTTATATTGATATTGAGGGAAATTAAATTTCGATACATATCAATATCGTCTTATCATAGTGTTGTGTCGTTCGCGAACGATTCGTTCAAAAGAACCGAATCTTTTAAGTGAACATACTGAACCAAATCACTTCTTTTGGTGATTCGTTCGTTTCTCTCTTCAGTTGAGCTGAAGTGAGAAACAGCATTGCCAGGCCAGCAGCCGGCGAATGAGAGACCACATGCACTGATGCCTGAATCACTTGGTGAACGAATCACACATTGAACTACACTCTCTGGAATAAGTTTTGTCGGACAAAACTACCCTGTTTTTAACTGTTAAACTGCCACCACAACAACTTTCATACAATAGGACACAGCATGTAAAAAGTAGTGTATTAAACCTGCAGCATCCTATCATTGCAGCGGTTTGCGAGAGAACGTCGCATGTTCAGTTTGAATTCTTCTAAACGTGTAGTGAACGAATCACTCAGACCTGATAAATAACATACCATAGGACAGTAAACTTAAAACATCATGACTTATAAACAAGTTCATTTTTAAAAACCTGTTTGCCAAAGCAACACAGCCAAACACTCTTGTCTCCCGGTCCCAGAAGCTATGAATTGAACTGAATCCTGAACCATTCAGCTGTGTATCAGTTCAGGAGGTCAGAGTCGCAGGCTTCTCCTGCTAATTGATTCGGTGACTTGGTGAACGAATCTTTTGAGTAAACTGATTCTAGTGATTCAGTACATCTAAAAGAACTGCCAGCCCTACTAACTAATAAAAGTAAAAAGAATAATGCAACAGTTAAGGATTCTAGACCATAGAAGATTTTTTTTTTATAGTGAATCATGATAAATCTGATATTTATTAGCCTGGAATAATGAGCTTGATAGTTAATAAGTGTGCATTTCATTTCATTTTTTTTTTTTTTTACAGACTGCATCAATTGTGCTGCAAAAACTGTGATTTTTGGCTTACAGATACTACAAAATAAAATTCGGAACACGATGTTCCTATGGTTTTTGGTTATTTTTTCTCCCTACATTTTTATAATCTTTTTCTCAAACACACTTTCTCCTTCGTCCGTGTATGTTTGGCTGATATACCTCAATAAAAACAGCGTAATTGTCCTTACATTATCCGCTGTCCTGCATTATTTTGGAGGGGCTTCCCCTCCGTGACGCCATTTCCGGGGGAGACTCTCCAGAAAGGGCCATTCTCTTTAGTGTTTGCCCTGTTTTCCCAATGTCCAAATCCTCACAGCCCGCATTTTGATACAAAAAATAACACCAACCGGCTCTTAAAATTGGCTCTAAACTAAGGCTGAAGAAAGTAAATGCACCTGTATTATGAAGTAACCAAAAGCTGAACAAAAGGGAACGACGAGGTGAGGTTTATTTTGCGGTTTGTGCGGTGACTTGTTAGGGGAGGGAGGAAGGGGTCGGGGCGAGTTAGCTAGCAAATTCACCGGCTTCTCCCAGACAGTAACTACGACACATTGAATGTGCGTATAAAAGTAGTGTCATGTACTTTTAATAATGCGTTTTCTTAAAGACAGCCTTTGTATTGCATTTGGACTTTTTCAGAGAGAGGTTGTCCGGTTCTGTTCGGTCTATCCCTGCCCTGGTAGCGGACAAGCTAACGAGGTGTTCTGGTGAAAAAGGGCTTCAAGCTAACCGGCGACTCGGTTTCTTGTAGGTAGAGATTGATGTTATCTTCGTGACAGTCTTCTTATACAGTCAGTCTAAGGTTTGGGAGATGTGAGTCTAGTTTTGGGGGAGGTGGGGGATGTCTAAACCATTAGTGTTGCATCTTTTGCATTTGTAAAACGAGCTTACCGGTTAATCTCTGTCAAAACTACCAAAGGATCCGGTTGACATTTTTTTAAACAAAGGAGTCTAGAATTTAGCAAACACTGGTTTAAGTTTATTTAGTTGTTTTACATCTAAGTGAAAAGGGGGGCTTCATGGGCCCCGAAGAAGCCAGACACCTCCCATCGAGAACAATGATAACCAAGGTTCCATATCAGCAGCATCCCTGAGTGAAAGACAATTTTTCATTGTTTAACAGCGAAAACAAAGGATTAAAATATGCCTCAGTCATCTGGTTTGTTATTGTCTTGCACAGGCTTGTTTGCTGTTACAGGATAATTGAAGCTGCCTCTGTTATATTGACAAGTTGTGTCTAAAAACCCTCAGCCGATCACTACCTGTGATGTGGATTGGACTGAGACACTACACAATGTGTCTGTCTCCAGGGTTGTGATCTTCACTCTCATTGCAACCAAATCTGCTTGTGTATAAATGAAGTGTTTCGACTAGTAACTTCATAAGTTTATCACTTAAAGCATGAACAATTTTTGCACTAAAACAGTATTGGAATTCTGCAGCTGTGATTGTGATAACAGAATTCTTGTTGATGTTAGTCATGCACACCTGAGGTACCACAGTTTCAAAGGGATATTCTGGCGTAAGTTGGGATCAAACACACCATAACACAGAGTTAGACACCCCATCGAGAGATGAATGTTTACGACTGCTTGCTTCTAGTTATACCAACTTTAGTTATGACCGCAGAATAGCAATACAGAGAGCCACACGCTCAACCAAAACGCCACTCAGTAGCCACAAATAATGCTCAGAACTGCACCTAACTCAACAGTTCATATAGGGTCCTAGCCACAGCACCAGCCACCAAACATCCTTTTAGCTTTGCCTGATTGCCGTAGCAAAGAGACTAAACACAACTCACCTACTCTCTTCCAGCAGCCGCTTGTTTGTAGTGTGACCTCAGGCCAGTCCATTACAGACCACAGTGGAGTTTCGCAGCTCAAGGAAGAACATTTATGATCATTTTCTCAGGGAAATGCAATCAGATCGAGACGCTAAGGCAGAAGAACTACCGTGTCTGCAGTGCAAAATGACTATGATGATTATAACTTAAAAGGAAATGATAAAGTAATAATCATAAAGCTTTTTTGTTGAGCGCGTTGTTACTAAAATTAGTAGAACTAGAGAAGCAAGCAGTCGGCAACATTTATCTCTTGACAGGGTGTTTAACTGAGATGTTTGACCCTAACTTAATTTTATGCCAGAATATCCCTTTAATATTCAACCTATGCAAGAATATCACATTGGGCTGCACCAATTCACAAAAATTGAAGGGGTCCTGCTATTTAAAGGCCCCCAAAACCTTTTTCTAAAAATCTGATTGTTCTTTAATTCTCTACTAACATAAAATGTTCAAACTTGTATTCGAATTAACTATTGCAAGTATTTGATTTTTTTCACCCCTCTTACAAATTTGATTTAAAGATGTAAATTTATCAACCGCCTGATTTAAAATTTCAGTATGAGGGTGAAAAATGTTTGTCTGAATGAAGGTGCTTGTTACCAACCACATCCCACATATTTGGGCCTCTGGTTGTTGTTTTTTCTGTTCTGCTGATGTGGATTTAGATGTGGTTGTTTAATCAGGTCTGTGGTTGGCAACTTGTGTAGGTAAACTGAAATCTCTGCTGAAGGTTTCTGGCTGTGATATTTTGTTTTCCAGTTGAAAAAATATGTTACTCTCTTTCATATTTAGAAAATAACATGTCTAAGTTACATATTAATTATCTTCATTTACAGGAAAGCTTACCTTAAAACCTCCTCAATAAGCAGTTCCTACATCTCTGGCATTCACCATTGTTGCACTACAAAGATCTTATCTTGACCTGAGCCTACGATTGACTGAACCACACCTACAAGGATGTCCCAGATACAGTTTCAGTGTACTGCTAGCGCCATGCCTGCTGCCCCTGCCCCACTGCAGATGGGGCAGCCACAGCCCGGCTACAGCATCCCCTGCGCCTCGGGCACCCTACCTTCAGAGAGTGCTAGCCAGCCAGTGAGGAGTTCGGCCCTCCCTGCTGGCTCAGCCACTCCTTACAGTACCACCACAGGTTTGTTGAATTATACTTTTCATTGTTGCATAGGTTAAGTCCTTAAACCCTTCCATCATGTTCTTTTTATGGAGATCTCTTTGTTTATCACTGTCACTGTTTTGATATATGTTGGATCCTTTGCCTGTTATCGAATCCCTGCAGGTCTTTGTGGAACGGAACAATTTTTTAGATTATTTTTTCTTCATGTATGTGCGTTTGCTTACCTGTTTGTGTTTTTCCACCATTTTTTTCTGGCGCAGTATCTAACATGGCAAACCCTAAAGAGAAGACCCCCATGTGTTTGGTGAATGAGTTAGCCCGTTTCAACAAGATCCAACCTGAGTATAAGCTGCTGTGTGAGCAAGGACCAGCTCACTCCAAGGTACTGTAAGAGTCAACACAGCAGACAAAACCAATCACTGTGTCGGTGTGACAGGGGATCAGATGTAACTCCACGGTATCCTGGTTCTGTCAGATTTTCTCAGTCAGGCTCACACTGGGAGATCAGCACTGGGAGGCGGAGGGGACCAGCATCAAGAAAGCCCAGCATTCCGCTGCTGCATCAGCCCTGGCTGAGACTACACTACCCAAACCCACAGCGAGAACGCCTCGAAACCCAGGCAAGCACCCAGGTGGGCTCCTCTCACAGGTTCTGAAGGAGTAAAGTAGTGTTGGGCGGTATGAACGAAATCTTATATTGGTGTGAGTAATTTCATATCATGGTAACTTTATGTATCACGGTATGTTTTTTCCCTCCTCTAAATTCAAGTAATGGCTTAAAAATAACCATACTGTTGCATTTGTTCATTTTACTTCTGTTTTTAAACTCTGATTTGTATACAATTACAAACAAAATGCCAGACCAGTCTGGCAATTTTTTATCTTATCCCGTACATTTGGGGAAAGACTCTGCCAACCTTTTTGTATGAGAGGAGCTGCTGTGACTTTTGCTCCAGGCATCTTTTGGCTCTCATAGTAGAGCGAGGCATGTTTCATCTTTAGGTGGTGGAAGAGTTTGCTGGTGTTTCCTCCTCCAGCAACAACAGCCACACGACACTCTTTGCATAGTTTTGTTTTTTGATCATTGTCGGATTTTCTAAATCCAAAGAATCTCCAGACAACCGATGTCGCGACTTGCACTCTTTTTCGGAAGTAGTTTCTCCTCCTCTTCCTTGTGTTTGGTGGGCTGGGCTGCCTCCATTTGCGCGGTACTGCCACTAATCTCCGTGTCCGCCATGACCACCACCAGTGAAGCTGTTTCACTTTCGTGAAAACTATGCCAAGCAGTCTGCTGGACACGCTGGTGATTGTAGAGAGCGCACCCAAACCTGAACAATTAAACGCTGCGAACAAACTCCACATGACACACTGGTGAATATATGGAAATGCGAACAGATGTGCTCCGGCTTTCCTGTTAGCAAGCGCAGACAATTGCACACTGACTCAGAGAGATGCAGCAGACTTCTGCTCTCTCTCCAGTATAAACGGTATAACAAAATTTTTACTGGCAGACGCTTTTATACCCCAACACTAGAGTGAAGTCTTGACAGAGAAGCATTCACTCATATCGAGTATTGTCTTTATTTTGTTGGTTTTCTTTGTAGTTGATGGCATTACACACACCATGGAGTTAAATGCACTATGTATGAAGCTTGGTAAAAAGCCTATGTATAAACTCATCGACCCATACCCGGGGATGAGACCACCAAACTTCAACTACAATGTCCGGCCTCCAGGACCCTACCAGCGCTCTATGCAACAGTGAGTCTCCTCCACGTGAATTTGAATTAAACTGAGAAAGCTGTTTTTTTAAGATGGAAGATAAGGTTGCACATCTTCTTCTTTCTCCATTCTGTGTCCAGGTACTACTACCCTTTTCCTCCAGTGGGACCAATGATTTACCACATGGAGCTTTCCATCGGAGGCCAGCAATTTATTGGAAAGGGACGCACACGGCAGTTGGCCAAGCATGAAGCCGCTGCCAAGGCCCTGAAAGTGCTGCACAAGGAGCCAATATTACAACAGATGCCAGAGGTGAGAGCAGAATCACACCCTCAGCATGAAAAAATACTGAAAAGCCTTTTTTTCTGCTATTTTCAGGCATATTGCTTTTCTTTAATATGTTTTCTGTTTGGCTGCTGACAGGTGAACGGAGAGCAAGAGGAGGAGAACCTCAACAAATCAGAAATCAGTCAAGTGTTTGAAATCGCTCTTAAACGTAACCTACCTGTAAACTTTGAGGTGATTTATACATTTCATGAATACATCAGTTCAATTCTCTGCTTACAAAACGATTTTCTGTCTGATTTATATGAAGTAATGTTCCTTAACGTTCTGATTTGTTGCTGCTGTTCCCCAGGTTTTAAAGGAAGAAGGCCCTCCTCACATGAAGAGTTTTGTAGTTTGTGTTACAGTCGGGGAATTTACTGGACAGGGTGAAGGAAAGAGTAAAAAAATTGCCAAGAAGCTGGCAGCAGCAGCGGTGCTGGGAGAGTTAAAGAAGCTGCCCCATATACCCAGTGTGGAAAAGACGCTGCCACGCATCAAAAAGAAAACCAAATCCATCATTAAGGTAATGCAGGCAGTCAGCTGGGATGACGGTCTGTACAGATTTGAAGACTCGTTATAAAGTCATGATCCACTTGTCACATCAACAGCTCCAGACCAGTCCAGAGTATGGCCAGGGGATGAATCCCATCAGCCGCCTCGCTCAGATTCAGCAGGCCAAGAAAGAGAAGGAACCAGAGTACAATATGGTGACAGAGAGAGGTCTGCCTCGACGTAGGGAGTTTGTCATGCAGGTGATTTAACAGCTGAGGCGTGCCAGTGCTCGTTCTTGAACATCTGTTTCAGTTTTCCTCCGCTCTTCTAGTTTCGGTTCGCCCCGTTTAGCTCTTAACCACATCTGCCTCACGTCTCTCGGCACAGGTGACAGTGTGCGGCCAGTCTGCAGAGGGGATGGGGCCCAGTAAGAAGGTGGCCAAGAGGAATGCAGCAGAGAAAATGCTGGACCTCTTGGGATATAAAGTGCCTCAGCCTCAGCCCCCCAAACCGGCGCTCAAGACGGATGAAAAGGTATTTCTTCACCTGTAGTAAGCAAATCCTGAAAACCCAGAGGAAGGGACATTTGTTTTGAAAAATCTAGTTTCTTTGTGTGAAGCTGTTGTTTTTTTTTTATTCAGACCCCAGTCAAGAAACCTGGTGATGGACGCAAAGTGACCTTTTTTGAGCCTGGCTCAGCAGAGGAGGTGGCCTTGGGTAAAGAGGTTTCAAATGTCTTGCAGCAACTGTTTGGAAAAAAATATGAACCTTTATCTTCCCTGCTGGTGAAGCTTTAACAACTTTACCTGTCCTTCGAAGGCTCCAAAGAGGAAGACTACCGTCTGCCTTACCTGAGTCACCAGCAGCTGCCTGCAGGTATCCTGCCCATGGTCCCTGAGGTGGCTCAAGCAGTTGGAGCCTGTCAAGGAGCCCACGTTAAGGACTACAGCCGAGCTATGCCCAACCCAGGCAAGGCCACAGTTACTGCCATGATTGCCAATGAGCTACTTTACGCGGGGACGTCCATGACTGCGGAGAGTATCCTGAAGAACAAAAACAGCATGAACCAGCTGCCCCACGGACCTCTCACCAGGCCCTCAGAGCAGCTCGGCTTTCTCGCATCAGTGCAAGGCTTACAGGTAACCGACGGCCCCCTTCTGCTTTGGAGAACTCGCGTGGCTGTATGCATTCATTTGATGTTGACCAAAGAAATATGGGTTACGAATGATCAAAATGTTTCTTGTGTTTGCAGGTGGAATACAAAGATTTTCCCAAAAACAATAAGAATGAATTTGTGTCACTGATAAACTGTTCCTCTCAGCCGCCACTGATCAGTCACGGGATTGGAAAAGATGTGGAATCCTGTCGTGACATGGTGAGCTAAACCAAAATAATGTTCTTGAGTGTTAATATGTTTGAGAGGACCTTTACACAAAACAAAGTTTACACCTCTATGACTGGTTGTCTTTTAAAAATTCTTTTAAAGCTCAATAAAATGCAATAACATCCAATTTCAGTGTTGGGAGTAAAGTGATGTTATGAAGTTTGCTACAGATGCAGTATCCCTTTACCTTACAGGGTTATACTCTTCTGAATAGTCAATGCTGTAACATGTACTCTTCCTCACCCCCCGCAGGCTGCACTGAATATATTAAAGTTGCTCTCAGAGTTGGACCAGCAGTCAAATGAAAGGACAGGAAATGGACCAGCCTCTCGGTAAGCTTCGACTAACACTTCATCTACAACCCCAAATCTAGAACCAGCTCGGACCCTGTGTGAAATGTTACTTCAGACAGATTCTCATGTCTCACAAATAATTTCGACCCTGTTTCAATTGAAAATAAACCACTTCAACGATTTTAGAATAATATTCCTTAGCATAGATTTGCAAAGAATCGGGGGATTTCATTATCTGCAGTAGATGATGTAATTGCTTCAGTAAAACAGCTGTGGCATTCAGGGACAAGACGCTCCTGTAATGCATGACAAGCATGATGATCCAGTTAATATAACTTCTCTAGCACTCTATTGTATGTGTTCATTAGTGGTGAGTTTCGTCTTCTCTGTGCTGCTATAGAAACATCCCTGGAAATGATTTACTCCGTAATAGATAGAAAAGGCCACGTCTGAGCAACCAGAACAAAGCGGTTTTTATTCACAGCTGATTATGCACCAATTTAAACACAATTAAGAATATTAGATACAAAGTCTGTGCTGCAAAATACACACTGTACCTTCACATGTAGGTTTTAAAACCATGAGATTGTGATTTTGTCAACGTAGGACTGGGTGATGTGGCAGAAAAAAAGATCACAATATATTTTGTCATATTGTCCGATCTCGATTAATATCACAATTTTTTTGAACGATTTTTTAAAACTGCCAGTTTTAAAGCATCTGTATTAAAAACTAGAGAAATTACAGATTAGTTCAACATTTTTTTAACATGCAAAGTAAATAAAACAAATTGAATAAGATAAACTTAGAAAAATATATAAACCATTGTAACTCAACAATACAACAAATGTATGTAAATACTAAAAAGCTATGCTACAGTGAACTAGTTTCCAGTCCTCTGTGTTTTTGCAGGACCCAAAATAAACAAATCGCCCCCTCAGGGTTAATAAAGACGCCTCAAAATGTAACATTAGATGATGTAAACGTAGATGATACGATTGATTGCTGCTTTGGTCTGGTGGCTGCACCGCTAGTTGTAGCCAAACTGCTAATCCTACTTGTGCTCGTGATCGAACTGAAATTTATCACGATCATATAATCACCCAGTCTTTTGTCGATGTTTTACACAGCGTCCATGATTGGGTTTGGGATTGTATCTGCTCACTGATTGCTGTTAGACCTTTCATACTTGTCATCATCTTCATTGCTCATAATAAGAATTAGGGATGTTCCCAGCAGTTAATTTCACTGACGTTTAAACGACCATTTTGAAACCGAATATTCGAATACACGAAAATTAATTAACTCCCATAAAATAGCCCAAATTTAGCACATGTCGATCTATATGGGCGGATATCATCTGGAATAAATATTAAGAGTACATGAAAGCCATACTTATAATATTAAAATATGTTACAGAATCTTATTTTAGCGCTGGAGAATGACGTAAAGTACGTGAAAGATCAAAGCAGCACTTTTCTTTTTTTTATATTATAGAATAAATGAATATTATTTACTAAACGGATAGTAAGGACAGACCCGTTTACACGAATATCCGAATAACCGTGCACATCCCTAATAAGAATACCTCGAGATGATGTCGAAGTCTGAGTCGGCTTAATATTTGTCTCATTTCTTGTCTGCTTCTTAATTATTTAATCAATTTACAACACTATACAGCTTTAAAAACCTCAGGAATATTTTAGGGTTGCATTTTAAGAATTAACTCTACACATGACTTTTTTTGCCCTCAGGTGCGGAAAGCAGGAAGCGGAAGGTGACTTGCACCTCAAACAGGCTAACTCAAGCACATTGGCACAGACCCTGGACGGCACTGTTTAAGATGATCAGGTGTGGTTGTCTGTAAAAGCACTAGAGAAAACTCCGACACTGTGTTCTTAGTCAGCTTTGCTAGGCTGCAGGAAGCTTTGAGCACCGTAGGCTCTAAACACTCACTGTTCATAATCATTGTTCCCAAATGTTCACAGTTAAACAAGATTGATAGGAAAACTAGTGGCTTCCCCTTGATGTTGTTTAATTGTACACCTTATTTATTTTGTTGCGTTGTAGTAAAAGTAGCTGCATCCTAGTCAATAAGTTGGAGGTTTTAACTGGTGAAAATAATGAAGCGAATAACTGTGAACCTGTTTTTGTTTTCTTAACTTCTCTGCTCTGTGTTCGACCTTCCAGCAGTTGTTTTTAAGTCTTTTATCGCCTCGCTGAGGTAGATCATTAAACAGCATCTCAAAAAAGGTTTGGACCTCATCTTTGTCTAGGGTGCAGCTGGAGGACCTCTGTTGATTTTCCTAGAGTGCTTTTGATCAACAACCAGTGTTAACTACATCGTAGGGCCAGGAAGACTTTCTGACTTAATGTAGCGTGTGATGTAATGTGATGTTGTCTCCGCCGTGTGTGGCGGGAACATTTCCCTGTTGCGTCAATTTCCCTTCAAACTCCCACATCCTCCCCCTCAACGTCCAATCTCTCGTTCTCCCTGGTAATTAAACTTCTGTGCTTCCTTGCACAAAACAAACGCCTCTGTTATCTTGTCTTTTTCTGAACATATTGGGAGGATCTAGTCGACTTATCGGTCGATTGGTGCTGGGCCGACCAAAATTCTGATGGCCTACTCGATTTTTTTCCGCGTCAATTTACAGTCTACGGTTAATTTCATCAGGAGGAACGTACCAAGTGCTAATGGGGGTGTTTTCAGAGCATGCGCCATTCCATAGGCAACAGCTTTTCTCAGAGCACCTCCCTTGTTTTCACCATTTTGGATTCGCCCAACCCACTGGAGACCAGCTGGAGACAGGAAGACTGAAGAGCGTCCACGGTGGGCGATATTTTTTTTCGTAGGATGGTAGGGGAAGGTCCCGCCTCCTTCGCCTCTGGGAACGTCATCTAGAGCTCAAGCCAAATGTGGGCTGTCGGCTTTGTACATCGAACAGAACATTATCGCACTTCTGAATCTCCTAACCCTAACCCGACAGACGGTGTTTCACAGCCATAAGGATTAACCAATAGGAGCCCAGCACTTCTAGCCAATCAGATGCGAAGGAGGGCAACCGAGTCAACCGAGAATTTCTTCGGTTGATTACAGCCCTACCAAAAAGGTTCCCTATATTTTACTGCATCGATCTTTTTGGAGACATTTTAAACTAAAACCAGATGCTGAAGATCATGTCTCATATTAAGATGATATATACTATAGTTTCTGTCCAGAGCAAATATCCTACAACTTTTAACTTAGTTATCAAAACTTTGTAAACGTGTGTATCTGTGGAGAAAAGGGGTCTGAAGGCTCCTCAATAAGAACCAGTCATCTTAAAGATATGGTATTGTTTAGTTTGTTCAAGATTAGGTTTAGATCTGTTGCTGCTAGATTGATTACACTGTTGCATTTACCAGTCTTATCTAACCTAACTGGCTTTTCATGTCAATAAAATCACAACACAGCCCAAAAACCAGTCAGTCAGTTTTTCAGTCGTTTTATTCCATGTAAACATAACACATCACAATACATACATCTAGAAATAAAGACCCATTTCCCCTTAAGGCCCGTCCAGGATTCAGTTGCTGTGAAGTGCTATTAAATTTTATCTGACAATCTGAAGAAGATGAAAACCATTTTAGGAGACTTTGGAGTTCATCTGAAGTTACAGAAATGTTTTCACAGTGCTGATAACCACTTGGCTGAGTGGTCATTGAGTACATAATTCTGTATGATCAGACTCGAAGTCTAAAGCCTCCTCTGTTTGGACATTCTTTGCCTTTATTATTCAGTTAAAGGTCGAACCCTGGAGGGATGCTTTTTTATTTTGCATCATATGTTGTTTCTCAAACCCTTTAAATGATGTTTCAGTTTGAGGATTGTGACCCTCATGTCGTCTCAGTTGATTATGACACCATGATGGCGCTGTCGGACAGTTGTTTCTTCTTGGAGTCAATGAAGGGGTACATGCACTTGTCAGACCCCATAAATCTGTACGTCACCACATTGGATTCCCACGGTAACAACCTGAAAGCGGATGGGATAGGCAGAATCAAATCGCAGATACATGAAGAAGTGCTATGAGAACAGGTTTATTCATGGTTGTCTGTTAGTTCTTACGCTCTGCTGAGGAAAGGCAGGTATGTGAGGCGGGGGATGCACACTAACGGTTGGTCTATCAGGATGGCGTTCATGGCCTGCTCCACACAGTACTGGGGCTCCAGGGGGTGGAGGAGCAGTTCCACTTCATCCCTGTTGGTGGCACCAAAGGACAGAATGGTGGTTGTTTGAGTTTTCTATGCAGAGCTGGTCATTGTCATTGAATAGCCTTATTATAATCAATAACTGCTTTATTTTTCACTTTTTAACAGCTAACAATGTTCCTTTATTGTCGTGTATTAGCATCTTAAAGTTTCATATGTGGCTTGCCAACCGAAAATCAATGCTTATGAATAAAATGTGTCAGCATAATAGGAAATGGTTGAATCAAGCAAAAGCAAAGAATGACAGTTTGCAAACATTTCGATGACGTACCGAATCTTGCAGCCTTCAAACATGCCTGTGTCCACGATGTAGGGACACACAAGCGTGGTCTTCACTCCATCATACTCCTCAGCCAGCAGCTCGTGCGCCATGGACTCATGGAAGCCCACTGCAGCAAACTTACTGGCGCAGTAATCCTGTCTCCAAAATTAGAAAGAATTGTTTAGTGTGTCCCAAAATGTTTGATATTTGGAAAATGACTTTTGACTGTTAGAAAAACCCATGACTGTTAATATCAATTAATACACTCTTACTTGTTTGCTGACATGACCCTGTGAGATACTGAGTAATAATGCTTTGTATGCATTTGCCCTTTCTTCATATTTTGGTTATAGCTGTTATGAAAATGCATGCTCAAATGCTCAAAAGGTGTTTTAAGATAATCCTTATCCCTTTAATGCCTTTTGTTTCATATTTGATACATACTGTTATATACTTCTATCAAATCAATATGATCAAAAAATTAATTTAAAAAAAACCTGAATACAGTCTGATAAATGATAAAAATGTCTACTTGTGGTTTATCAGTTTCCAAAAACATCTAATGTATCAAATGAGATAAATGTATATATTTGTTAAATTTTAAGGACATTTTGATTTTTTGGGTTTTCAGTAGTTAGAGAAATGAACATTTAAGCAAAAAAAAAAAAAAATTCTGGCTATAATTTGTGGTTTCAGGCATTAAAGGGTTAAATTGTTATTTTGATTTTTTTTTTTTTAAATACAATATTTATCAACTGGTAATTAAGAAAGAGGATTAGGGCCACAAGAAGAGAAAAAAAATACAGGAGGGAGGTTTTTTAATTTCCATTTCGAGATTAAAGTCAAAATTTTGAGATTTAAGTAGAAATTTCAAAATTAAAGAAATCAAAATTATGTGAATAAAGTCGAAGACATTATTTATGACATTTTGCAATCTTGAAATTTTGACTTTAATCTTGAAATATCAATTATTGTTCCCAAAAATTAGACTTTAATCTCCTTCCTGTACTTATTTTTTTCTTTTCATGTGGGCTTAATCCTCTTTCGTAGTGATTGCAGTGAGAGCACAACTGCATTCAATCTAAGTTATCAGTAAAGCCTGGGACTTGTTTGTTTCCCAACACATCGCAGCTGTCTCAAACTCTTTCAGCAAAGAAAACATCTGAACTTTTGTGTTTTGCTGCCTCAAATGAGGACAGCAGGTCTAAATCAAGCAGAGTGAGGTCGAAGGTGGAAAAAACTGTGTGTAGCTGCCATATTTTAGTGTTTCAGTTGCATTTCTCCCTCCTTGGTTCACCTCCACACAAGCGGTGCTGAAGAGGCCGAGGACGCTGGCGATGGTCACAACGTGTCCATGATTCTTGGCCTTCATCTGAGGGAGGAAGGCCTTCACTGTCTGAGGTACACACACATACACACAAACACTTACATACATGAATACACATGTCTTGTTCTGTTGAAGCAGATTACTATGAGGCAACAAAAAATGCCATGTTCATGTGACTCGTAGTGACTTAAATGTTGCTCAATGTGTGGAAAGCTTATGCTGCACGAGTGGCTTCATATTAAGAGGATTCATAAGGGAATCTTTCAGCCCATAGTGTGAAGGGGATAAAGCTATGAATACTTTGTATTTAACATGTCATGTGTGCACAATAACATGCTCTGTACATGCTCAAAGATTATACATGGTGAAATGCTAAGGTGCATTTACAGCTAATTCCAGTCACTGCTGAATCATTGCTCACGATGAACTTAAAAAAAAGTGGGCCATCAGGGGAAATTAGTGCAGATTAGATTTTTTTAAAATGCACAACATGAAAAATGTGGATCAAAATAAAGCAGATGTCTGCAAATTTAGAATTTACTATAATCTTTTTAAAAAAGTGCTCTAACAAGCACTATCAATGTGTTACCAGCCGGGAGCCCACTGAGCAGTTTTTTATCTAAAAGAGGTCTAATAGACGTCTAAATGTAACCTAGACGACTGGTCTAAAATCAGGCTACCACAGGTCTAAAAATGAAAGTTTTTTTTTAATACGTCTAAACTTAGACCAAGTTCAGACTAGCCAGCTAACAGAGGTCTAACTGTATATTGCTCAATGGCTGTCATAATTATTTTGGTTAAGCGCTTGGAGATCAGTTATGCAACTCACATTCGCTGTTTGAAATTAATAGTTATGGAATAATGGGTTAAAGTGCAAAATCTGAATTATGTCAAAAAATTTACAGAATCTAGACGATTGAAATTAGGTCTAAAAAATAACTACACACCTAGTAGCCGTCTTTTGCTCAGTGGGAGTGAATTGGAAGTCAAAGATTGCAAAACTCTTGTGTACGTTTTTATCTATCTCATAAAGCTGAAATAATAGGTCACAGCTGATCATAGCTACTTTAGAAATTAAAGTTGGTATCTGAACATTTTGAGTTGCCAGAAAGAGGTTTTACTCTAAGAACCTGTTGTAACTCAACACCAGAAACCAAACATACATGCAGTATATTAGTGATAACACTCATCTTAACCATTTCCCACCTGCCTTTAAGGTAACAGGAAATGCAGTTTTATTAATCAGTGCAGGGCAGCTGGACTTCCTGTACAGCTTTTAGATGTTTAAACACTTTTCATGTCGGTCATCAGGTTCTCACCCAGAAGAGGGCGTGGCAGTTAACCTTCATGGTCCTCTCCATCAGCTCATCCGGACAGTCTAACATGCGCTTCCCGGCCACCACTCCAGCATTGTTCACCAGTATGGTGACATCTCTGCCCAGGTCCTTTCTCACCAGGTCTGCATTCTGATACACGTCCTCTCGGTTGGTCACATCCACCGTGTAGGTGTACGCTTTACCCCCCATCTCTTGCACCAGCTTGGCTGTCTGCTCATTGGAGCTGCTGTTGACGTCCCACAGCACCACCTCTGCCCCATGTTTGACGAACTCCTGAGCGAAGAGGCGACCCAGACCGCCACCTGCCCCAGTGATCAGCACCAGCTCACCATCGATGGGTTTGGTGCGGGGGCGCAGGACGACACGCACAGAGTTACGCAGGATGAAGTAGATCACATCCAGCAGCATCATCTGCAGGTCCATTAGAAAAATCATGGTGACCTGTTGTACTGCTGATGGGCTCAATACTCAGAATAAATAACTCTTCGCCTACTAGGACTGTGACCTCACACCTGCTACCTGTGCAGGTCTGTTTACTACCGACTAAGAGAGGGTGAGGATGCAGACAGCCAAGCTGGTGTTTCCCTCCTCCTTCTGTGACTCTCGGCTTCCATCCCTGGTTTATTTAAACTCTTTCCTCCAGGATTAGAGGAAAAATACCTTGAGCCCCTCATAAACCCACTTCTGTTTGAACTGTGAATGTATGCACTTTCACCATTACTGTGAAAAATAACATGTGCCATACAGCATTACACCGGGCTTAAGTTTTTACGTGAGTCATGGTCTGGTTGGGACATATTTAAAGTTCAAGGTCTGAGCATACTGTACACGTGACTGGCGTGAGTAGCAACACTTTATCCTGTAATGAATTTGTATGTGTGAATGTCTCTTGTCCCTTAAGCGTATACTAATCAGAGTGCCAACAAAAGAGTGTTAAGAAAAAAACCATTACAGCTACATAAAAATACAGGGTAACACTTTACTTGATGCCTATCTCTATAACGTGTTATAAATATATTTATAATCATTATAATCACGTTATAGCACTGTGTAACTATAGTTAGAGACACTCATAAATGATCATAATGCTTTATAGCAACAATCATAACACATTATAAAGCATCTTATCATGACTTACAAGGTCAGGTATTATAATGTGTTATAACTGTTAACAACTCACTGACAGTGCCCACTTAGATAATACAATGCAACCGTTGTTAACAGTTATAACACAATATAATACCTGACCTTGTAAGTCATGATAAAATGCTTTATAATGTGTTATGACTATAGCTATAAAGCATTATGACCATTTATGGGTGTTTATAACTATACTTATACTGTGATATAATGTGATTAGAATGCACCATAAATATATTTATAATGGGTTATAGAGATAGGCGTCAAGTAAAGTGTTACCAAATACAGTATAGTGCTGTGAAAGTGTTCACTGAGATGTAGAGATTGGTGGTCATCATTGCTGTCTTGACATATGACAAAGTTGGGACTTTAAAAAAACAAAAACATTTTGTCACTTTTTGGCTCTGTAACAATATATCCAGCTGTCCAAATCTTCTGTTTATTTCTCATTTTATTGATATAGGATATAAAGGGTCTTCTACTGTAATGTTTACTGAAGTCCAGATTCATGTAAAACCTTATTGAACTCAAGGCATGCTGCATACACACTAAATTAGGCCAGTATTGTGACCCTGTAGTGTAGTTTTAACTGATCAGTTAGGTAAGGTCATTATATGCTCAGTGGGACACTGTTGCAGCACAAGTTGAGGTCCTTGGTGCACCATGTTTGACAGTCACAATCATATGAATCAAGACGGTAAGGAGATTATGTTTTGTGAACAGTAAATCTCTGCATTGTTACCTATTTTGCAAGATGGGTTCTTTCATGTTTGACGGCTCTGTTTGAACACTACTAGACTTGTTTTTCTCCCTACATTAGAATATAAGTCATGAGGAGTTTGCGTGTTTAAACCCATTTATAGTCGACGGGATGAGATAAATTCTTTGTTTATCTGTTGACAAACCACGTGGAGGTGAATATTTCTTTACCCATAATAACAAATACATTTATGGGTCATGGCATTAAAAAAATGAGGTAAGGTTAAATGCAGTAAAGTTGTTTTTACAACTGCAAAGTGTTGAGTAACACTTGGAAACAATGGTAGAGATTGTGATCAAAGTGTGCGCTCTAAATCTTGCAGTAATGCCTGAACACAGAGGCTCATTCAAGAGCTGCGTTTGACTGTATGCTGTTTAGCTTCTCTGTTCCTGTTTATGTAGGTTACTTTGTTGAGTGTATGTAAGTTTTGGGGCACAATCTGTCACACAGACTTCATACTGGTGCCTTTTGCTTTTGCACCTCTACACAATTCTGTTTCTCATGGTCTTTTAAAGTTATGAAATCAGAAGTTCAGCCGTTCATGTTGTCCCCCCACACACGCACACACACACAATAGAGGGCCATAGACTTGGTTTGAGTAGAAGCCTGCACTGTCCACACTGTTGTTGTTCTTTTTGCATGAATAACCCCAACCACAGGAGTTTCATTAATCCACTCTATTCACATGTTGAGGCACACATGGGCCTGGGAAGCTGCGTGCTCCATCAACAGATCCAGAGGGAGGCAGTGAAAGAATTAAATAGCCTGTGAGGGCAGATCTTTGACATGTTTTTCTTATGTTTTTTCCGTACATTACATTGATGATATTATTGAAAACATAAGAAGCCATGCAAATGCTTCATAGCAGGGGTAAAAAAAAGGGGGTATTGTATCCACTCCACTAAGCTGTTGTAGTAATCAGTGTTAGTGCTGTCTTTTTTTTTTTGCAACACTTTGTGATTAAATACTGTGAGACAGGCTACAGCCAAATATATCTTGGCAAAGAGTATATACTCTGAGAAAACAGAATATCTTTTATTTTGATTTTCTCACATAAATCTTGAATTTAAACAGAAGTGAGGTCAAAATTAACTGTAAAAGTCTGCAAAGACTTTTATTTTGATTTTTTCACATGAAGCTTAAATTTGATAAGGGGTGAGGTCAAAATTAACTATGAAAGTCTGCAAAAATTAGTTCAAAACTAAGTTCATCATTGTTCATCAGCTAAACCTTAATCATCTGCTCCAGTAATATTATATGGTGGCCGAGAACCGCCACTGCTGCAAATAAAAAAAAAATGCAAAAAAAAGAAAGAAGTTACAACAGAAGTTACTGATGCAAAAAAAAAAAAAAAGAAATCGAAACCCACTGCAGATAAAAATAAGAAATGGTGGAGATTTAAAAAAAAAAAGCCACAACGGAAGTTAGCAGTGCAAAAAAAAAGTGGCAAAAATAAAAGGATGAAAAAAAAAAAAAAGCCACATTAATGCACCAATGTTTTACGGTCTCGGCACAGAAGACGACGGCGAGAAGACGAGCAAAGAAATAAGTGTAAAGGTTATTGTTTAATTTCGCTTCGTAAACTTCTCAATGTGTCATTTGGTTAGGCCGTGTTGCGCCTGAGTCGATATGAAGTTGAACTGGAGGACGCCGGCGTAGTGTTAGCTTCAGTTCAACTTCATATTGACTCAGGCGCAACATGGCCTAACCAAATGACACATTGAGAAGTTTCCTCTGTGCCTATATCGTAAAACATTGGTGTCTCATTATGGCTTTTTTTTTTCATCCTTTTATTTTTGAAGTAATTTTTATTTTTATTTTTTTATTTTGCTGTTGTGTGTGTTTTTTTTAATCTGCATTGTTTCTTTTTTTATTTATTTATTTGCAACAGTGGCGGTTCTCGGCCCCCGTAATTTAAAAGTAGAGGAATCTAATGTTGATTGTATGGTCCTTTAGTTATTTACATTAGTGAACTGTTCCTTTAAGAGCTGCAGAGTTGACACATGGATAACTTCCGACCCAACGAGCATTTGACCTCTCTGACCACAAACAGGAGTTCATGGGGACTTCATTGTTGAACTCTCTGACTGAGGTTAGTGTTTTCTGATTTACACTCATAAATGAAACTCTCCGTTCATGCTCACCCGTGGACCCTCGTGATGTTAGTTCACGGGAGCAGCAGCAGCAGCTCCGCCACTTTGCTGTTTCTCGGTGTTTTTCTATCCCTGCCGGCTCCGGGTCTGTCGGGTTGTCGGGATGCGGGTTTATGCTGCACCGGCCGGGACCCTTCGTGTATCAGCAGAGGATGGAGATCTGACCGCTCCTATGGCACCTGTTACTGCGACCAGGCCTGCGTGTCCACCCTGGACTGCTGCCACGACTATGAGACGGTCTGTCCAGGTGAGCCACAGCTGAGAAAAACACTTCATTCAGTCATGTTGTGTTTCAGTAAGACTGATAATAGTAAACTCTGTGGTTGTTTTAGTTGTTGGATCTGTTTTTTTGTTCAAAGAGTTGGAAACACTTCACAATAACCATAATTCATAAATGGTAACTAGATTGTTTATTGATGTTTAATCATCATTTAAAAACAGCATATAGACTAATTATAAATGACAATAGATAGTTTATTAATGTAAGTTAACAGTTACTTTTCCATTGACAAGAAATGGAGTTATGATTAATAATTTTCATTAATGATTAATGGACTATTTATTAAAGGTTTATATAGGGTTTAAATATTGGTTGTAAAACATCTAGATTAAAATGTGTGTGAATAGCACTTTGTAAATGGTTAATATTTGGTTTTTAAACCATCTGTAAACAACACTGGTTATTGTAAAGTTGCAAATGATGTTTGTAATACTTTGTAAATGAAAACTCTAAAGGCATTTTTTTTTCTAAAGTTCAAGGCTGAAACATTTTAAAAATGTAAAATCATTATCATTAGAGACAGACTGAATAATGAGGCCAATTATCAGCAATTTGCCTACATATCAAATTAATCTTTTTTTTTTTTTTTTGCCCAAAAGTGTTTCATAACTAAATCAGTCATTCGATAATAATTTAAAGTGAGTTCGGTTACAAAAAAAACCCCTTCTTTCTTCTACATAGAATTATCAATCTGTACATCACTTTTTAAAATCCTATCCCTACTTTTTTAATTTATATAACATATCTCTCACAAAATATTCAGATTACTGGACAGAAAGTCTTTTTGTGGAAATGCCAAATATTTTTCTGTCTGCATGTATTTGATAAAATATTCAGTTAAGTACAGTTATTTAGTTTCTCATTGGTTAGTGTCATTAAAGCTCCTGTGAGGAACTTTTGGTTTGTGTTAGTTTTGGCGCCCCTTGTGGACAAAGCAGTTATTGTTAATCTTGTCATCTATATGCTTGATCAGGGATTTTTGACAAAATAATAATTATTATTATTATTTTTATTATTATCACATGCAGACTTCTGACAAAGATCATTTATATTTTGTATTATATATGGAACAGGGCTTTTCCTGCTGACATCTACCCCCTCATTTTACATATTAAAAATTAGGATATAAATATCTCCAAACTTGTTGCTGATGAGGTTGTTTGCTTTAGACATCATGAAAAGACATGTTTGAATTTCAGTCTATTTTATAAACATAAAAACCTCCTTATAGTGGCTTTAAACTTGTTTTTTTGTCAAATGCAGAAAGGGAAAAAGAGCATGATGTCAGCCTCATATAATAGAGAGCAGGTCAGCCTATGGACAAAGGCTGACCTGCTCTCTCATAATTAGTTCTGGCATCAGCCATTAGAAAATGTAATCAGCCAGCTACTAATTATAATGAGGATATGCTAACTATGGGAGGCCCCAGTATTTAATTCTTGTCCTGGATTTACCTCACATAACAAGCCGATGAGGCCTGTTCAACTTTATATGTGATGCATCAACTTTCCTGTGCCTACATTTAATCTGACTTCTTTCAATCAAAATCTCATCTTGATCTGCCAGTCTTTATCTTCCCTTACAGAAATAATCTTATGATACAATTTCCCCCCCCTTGTTGCTTGTGCTCTATTTCTGTCTACCAGCCGTGTCCTGCGTGGTGAGCGAATGGACTCAGTGGTCAGGCTGTGCCGAGATGTGCAAGGCCACAGTCCGCAGGAGGAGCAGGGAGATTCTACAGGAGCCGCACAATGCTGGCAAACCGTGTCCCCACCTGGAGGAGCATGCTGGCTGTGCAGAGTACTGGACGCATGAGGGGCACTGTCACAATTCTTTAGGTAAGACAAATCTACCTGGATCTTTGCAGGCTGACATCCTTGAAAAATCAAGTTAGTGAGATAAGTTCTGAGCTGAATACAAAAAATTAGAAAGTGATATTGCCTTCAGGTAATCCTAAATACATGCATCGCAGTAATCCCTCACATGCACATATCTGATAGGATACCACCTAGTTTTACTCTGTTACCATAATGGTTTGTGGCTCATTTAAAGAACATTTTAAATGAAGTTAAAGCCTTTTTTTTTTACTATCTGGATCAAGTTACACAAAAGGAAATCCTCAGATTCCCTCCAGCACACATCTATTTCCAAGGGTATAAGGCCCCTTATCTTATAACATGCAGCATATGGTCACATGTAATGCTCTTATCACGGTTGTTCCCTCTGCAGTCCCAGCTCTTATTATCAGCGGTGGCTATGGCAACGCCAGGAAGAAAAGAGACATTCCTGACAGCGGTGACATTATTGGGTAACACATTCAGAGAGTGCAGAAAAATGTCAAATGGCACTCTATTTTACCTTTCACATCAAATATTCAGTTTGTGAATGTGTGACCATGAGATTCTCTCCATTTATGCAAAACAGGTATTGTGTCCAGTTTCAGTTGACCTCTCTGACTAAAGGGTGCCAGCAGAGCTCAGACCCACACACACAGTGGATGCAGAACCTGAGGGAGGGCTACCGCGTGTGTGTGGAGTGTCAGCCGCCTGCGCTGGCTGCTGGACAGACTCACTGCGCCGGAGACGGAGAGGAAGATGACGAGGACAGGTAGAGGAAGATTTGACCCATCACAGCTCACTCATGTTTGAAGGGTTGGCGGGTGTTGACTTGAAAAATGTGTCAAAGATTTCATCTTGTTTGGGCTGAAAAAAAAAAAAAAATTAAACTATGACATTAGCTTGAGGTTTGTTATGCTCAGTAAAGAGGCTCAGCATGGGAGATAACGTCATCTCACTCAGTACTGAATAAACTGGCTCCAGATCCTCTGGCAGAGTTCATCAGCCAAAGAAACAGCCTTGAGCGTGTCACTCGACGCTCTGCCAGAGGTGACTGTTACATTCCTCTGTATTGTATAGTGAGTGTTTTATTTTGTATTATAGTGTACATGTATTGTGTTGTATTTTTTTTTTTCTCTTTTCCTTTCTTCTCTTCTTTTTTAAATTGTAATTTTACTGCCTTTTTCACATCATGGCCAGGGGACTACAGATGAAAACTAGCCTTATGGCTAATTCTGGCTTTTTTTGACCATGTGTTATCATGTGTTTTATGAAATTGCGCTGTCCCCTTTTAAATAAACTAATCTAATCTAATCTAATCTAATTAAGGCAATCCTGAAGTCATCCAGTTCTTTGTAATTACCTGGTGAAACAGTAAAAATGAGTGAAATAGATCATAAGTAAGGAATCTTTGGCTTATTTTGATACATTCCTTGATATTGTAGAAAGTATGGAGCCCCGGAGGGGACATTAATTTTTTTTTTCTTCGCATGTATGTTTGTTGGCTAGCGCTGTGGCTGGGACCCTATATGGACTGTTGATGAAGTTAGGTGCTGTTCTGAGCATTATTTGTGGCTATAGAGCGGCGTTTCGGTTGAGGTTTGTTTATGGCTCCTCAGACCGCTGTGTATTGCTATTCTGTGGTCGTTACTAAAGTTGGTTTAACTAGAGAAGCAAGCAGTCTGCAACATTCACCTCTCGAGGGGGTGTCTAACTCAGTGTTACAGTCACTCAGTGACCCTCAATTAATTTTACACCAGAATATCCCTTTAAAGTAAACATCAGTGTTTTCTAGCTGGTGCGTTGTTGGACAAACACATTATCACATTACTGAGATATTTCCATGACTCTCTCAAAGGAGTCAGTTTTTGCAGGCCATCTGTTAGATGTGAACAATAACTGCAAGGACTACCACTAGATGGTGACACTGATCATCACTGGGATTTAGAGAGCTCTATACTTGGCACTAACTGATTCCTCCCTCCCTCCATTCTGCAGGAGACGGTCTCTTCAGTGGCAGGCGGTGGGAAATCCTCGTTGCAGGGGAGCATGGAGGCGTGTGGGGAGGCTGGAGGCGTGCTCCTGCCCGACAGCCCACAGCTTCCTCTTCATCTAACCTCCTCCTTCCTTCTGTAAGCCTCCCTCCTGTACATATTGACTTAGACACGTGTACAAAGAACAATATGTAGGCATGGTTTTATACCAGGCAGAATCGTGGACACTTAAAGTTCAGCAGTGGTGAATGTATGTGAGAGAAAACACTGTTTTATAATCAGGATATAACCCTTTTCTTATTTTACAAAACCCCCCTATAATGCATTAAAAGCCCTGCTGTAATAAGGTAATATGCTCCCTACTTATAACACTTTATAAACATCGCTATAAGCAGTTATGGATGTTTATACATCTCACAAGGGTTGTTATAAAACCTGTAAAAGCATCTATAAGGTTTTATAAATGTGCATATAATACATAACAAGAGGCGGGTTCACATGAAGTGTCATTCATGCTTTGGTTTGCATAAAAACTGCAGCCGAACGATCAAACAGTAAAATGAAAGGCAGAAATTCCCGATTAAAATGTAAAGTGATCTGATTTATTTAATTTGAGTCATCCAAGGGAAATTTTGCTTTCATAAGAAATAGAAATATCTTGGGACATTGAGACACTTTTCTTTTTTCTTTTTACATGACAAGAACTGGCTCTACTGGTGTGAATCACGACCAGTCACAATGCCAAAGTTACAACATGCACTGAACAACAGAACATTGATACAGAAACAACAGCATAGAAAGTCAACAGGTAAAAATTTTGTTTTTTTTTCTTTTTTATACAAAACAGACAGCCTCGGGACCTACAAACAACATTGTATAAGAGCTGGCTAAGGTCATTCAAATATCTTTTTTTCAATTCCCTGGAAACTGTATACTTTACAAAGACTGATGGCTTAGGCAAGGTTGGGGTCGATTCCACTGAGAGCTTAAAGGTAGAAAAAATAGAATTTGTTTTGAATGGGTGCTATTAGGTTTTAATTCATCTCATGCTGTAATACTTCTTCCTTTCATAGTGTATGGTGATGTGATTTTACTCCATCAAGGCATCCCGAATGGACCCCAACCCTGTAATACAATAAAAGAGTCAGAGAACTTGAAAGGACTGCGCACTCAAGCAGTGCTGCTCACTGGGGTTTGGGCACTAACTTAAAGAGGGTCCTGTGAGGTTAGAGCAAAAATAAAAAGACCTCAACCTCTTCAAAGGTAAATTTAGCAGCTAGCACGGCAACTAAATTCTATTTTAGGTTTCAGCTAAATGCGTTAACTGTACATTTGGGGGTCTCGTCAAATAAAGATTTCAGAATCTGTGCTCGTTATTGGATTAATAAAGAGGGAGTGAAAGAAACCACTGTTCCTCTTCTCAGTAAAATAAATTAAATATTTTTTTTTCTATTTAATGTTGTTAATTTAAATGGCTCACTTTGAAATGAAGGTGAAAAATGTGCCAAGATGACATAAAAATAAGGAAAACTTGTAAGAATATTCAATATTTTTGAGTTATGGTGGGATCACGTCACAGTATCAGTCTAGGTATCAAATCCCAAATCCATGCTTCATGTTCCTTTGAAATATATTGTCCTTTAGTTTAAGAGTATCATTACTGATATAGAGATTTTAATACTTGTATTTTTATGCTGTATCTGCCCAGTAGTAAATCTCGGTTTTCCACAGTAGCGCCTGCTGCCTTTTCATGGAATATTGATTGTCATTGTTGCTGAGAGATATTTCAGTGAAAAGTGGTCCCTGACTACCATGATATATATAAAACCTAAATTATAAGGAGTTGTGTCAATGGAAAATAAAACTTAATCACATTTTTTTCAAATCAATCCATGCTAGTCTGTATTATAAGAAGTTTTTTTAGAGCTTCAAAAAGTCTCAGAGGACATAAAAAGTACTTAAAGGCACTGTGAGGAGATTTCAGCTGGTTTTGAAATTGTCACACTCTTGTACTGATAGTTTCAAATTTTAGAGCCTGTGTTTGAGTTGCTTTTTCCATGAAAACAAGTGAAGTCCATATTCAGCACTCACCTGGAAGGGTCTATGTTTAGGACTCCACTTGTAAAGTTTGGCAGTGAGGAGTAAGTTGGCAGCAGCAGGGGGATTGTTTGTTTTTTTTCCATCAGATAACTTTTTTTTATGTAAGGTTTTGTACTCATGGCTGCTGCTTGGCCAGGGTTAGTAAAAAGACATATGTCTCCTATTGTGTTGTTGTGTGAGAGAAACTCTACAAACAGGGCGAGTGAGAGGTGGAACAGAAAAGTGGCTACAACCAAGATTTACTGCTTCACCACCTTTTGGGGGTAAAAGAGCAAAACCATGTGCATGTTTTAATGATTTGGACATTTATTGGGTCACAGGCTGTGATGGGGAACATTATATTGGTATGGCGCATAAAAAAATTGGCAGAGTCAACAAATGTTTTTTCATGTAAATACCGCAGTGAAGTTAGTTTCAGGTTGGATATCTGACGGACGTTGACTGCAGATCTACTGGTGTCTTCTCACTCTCCATAACCGGGAATAGCAACAGCAGTGCGGTAAAATCTACTCTGCACCCTCGCTGTCAACGTCGGGTGTTTAATAAGGGACTATCAATAAATTACCAGTTGATGTTAATCAGAAAAGACTGTTTTCCTTCAATAGCTTCCATGTCCTGTGACCATTTGACCTAAAATTGATTTCAAATAATAGTACTAAGGTCGGACAATAAGGCAAACATTATTTGATCAATTTTCATTGTGCCCCTAAAGTTCTTTGTGTGCTCCTTACTTTTTCAACTCAGGAGCACATGTGACCCTCGTGAAAAAAGTTAGTGTCAAGCCCTGACAGTTTTCTCATCGTCAGTTTAAAGTTAATGACAGCCTCATCACTTTTCATCCTGCAAAAGTGGTCTTGATCAAAGATAATTATGCTGCCTTCGAGTTACCTCCGAAGTTAAATGTTGGAGCTGGGAATGACGTCAAACCCGAGTTACAAGCATTTTAGTGACCAAGTCAGAAAAAAGCGAAATTGGAGGCGGAAACAAGATGGCTACATCTACAAAAGTTATTTGTCATTTTAGTGCTTGCCTTGTCCTTGTTGTATTAAGTGCTAAAATAACTTTGGTAGATGTAGCCATCTTGTTTCCGCCTCCGATTTCACTTTTTTCCGACTTGGTAACTCGGGTGTGACGTCATTCCCAGCTCCAACGTCTGACTTCCAAGGTAACTCGAACGCAGCAAAAGTATTCCATTAGTTTGTTTACACACATTTCGGCAAGAGCTACTCTATGACAGTGGGTGACAGTGCTCATGGGAAACGCGGTCTCCATCTAGAAGAAACTGCTACTCATACCATCCAAAACAGTATCAACAAAACATTAAAGTTCCTCACAGTGCCTTTGAGGGAAAAGATTTTGAAATGTTTGTCATTGCTGATAAAGATAAATGTGCAATTCAAAGTTAATCAAGATCCAACACCATACTGGTTGCCTAGGAACCAGATGTTTTTTCCTCTAGGGAATGATGTTGTCCAGGCAAAAACACAAAAAGATAAATTCTAATGGACCATGCTGTCTCTTCTTTGTATAGCTTTCTTTGTATGAACTAATCTGTGTCATTTTCCCCTTGTATTGACATGGAGGTTTGTACAATTTGATTGTGGAAAAGACAAATTCAAGTAGCAATTCACAAACTGGGACACAATGTTTCTGGTAGTGTGTTTTCCTCTACATCCACATATGTTTATGAATTGATGTGGATAGTGAGGGGAAGGGGAGCCGTCCCTCCATGATGATGCCCTGTTTATGCCTCAAATCTGTTTTACTGTGCTTTTTTTCCCCCTGCTGTACATGTGCAACAGAGGTAAATGATAAGAAATGACACATGAATGCAGAATACAAAAGATAATGTATTTAGGAGCAGAGATTATGATGCTGCATAAAATTAGTCACCAGCTCCATCCACCCGTCCGTGTCTAATTATGCGTGCTGAAAAACATACAGAAAACACTTCTTCCATCCCTCGCCTCACAGCTTTCAAAAAAGCTGCAAATTCAAATATTTAACGTGTGCAAAAGTGTTGTTTTCTTGTACGATTAGAGCCCCCATCGATGTTATGGGCTGTATTACTGCTTCATATCAAACTCAGAACAGCAGATAGAATATGGAACAAACAAAAGCAGGAATCCCCCCGACATGCATACATTCATATCTGAAACTGTTCATTTTTTCTCCATTTAGCGGCAGTCACACTGCTCTAATGCCCTGGATTTACAGCACACACACATACACACACACGTACAGTTACACGCACAGCTCTCTCTGCCTCTCAGTCATTGCTATTCCTTTCACACCTCTGCTGCTCTCACTATGGAGGAGCAATATGAAAAGCTTCAACTCTCTGATTAAAAACAGGAAATGAAATAAGGGTTTGTGTGACTCTCAAACACTAAAATATGTATGCCGATCACCTCTTTTTTGCTCTTGAATCTTACAGAATGCATACTTTATCATCAGAGGATTTTGCAATTTGGCCAATTTTCTTGAACAATTTGTTTACTTGCAATGGCGAGGATGTTTCTCTTTGTTACTCTTCAATTTTAAAACAGACAGATTGAACCTTTAGATGTTTTAGGTTTATATTAAGGTTCTACAGAAGGAACAGTAAATAGTATGTTAAGTCCTCTTACAAATGTATGTTTTTTTCTTATTATAGGGTTATACTTTTTCAAGGTTGGGTTTATCATAAAGAGCTGTTCTTTTATGCTTCCCCAGGTGATGCAACACTTCTGTCTCTCTTCTATATTCTGTGTGAAGCATCTGGTCAGTCTTGTAATATGTTCTTTTAATACTGAAGCTAATTTGTTATGCAAGACTGTTTCATCTGCTAAGTGCTTATGTAAACAGATAATAGTGAATGCATGATGAGAATTGCGGAATAGTGTTTATGAAATGCTACAGAAAGTTTAGACAGAAACGTAATGTACAAGGTCTTTACATCATCATATTGTTGCTTTTACACAGTATTCATAAATATGCACAGTGAGAAGTGGCTCTGCTAACATGTGACTATTGTGCATACCTGTCACTGTATGGGTACATGCTAGTGTATGTGTCTGTGTGTTCTTGTATATGTGTTTAACTTACATACAACCAGACCTTTACGCCCAAATCAACAAATGGTTGCTTAGCTGCTGCCAGCCCTTGAGAAAAGCTGCAGTCTCCATGGAAACTAAGTGTATATGTAGCCTGAAGATAGTCTTCCCTTACCTGCGTGTATCTTAAGTGAGTGCGTATGTGTGCTCATGCATGGTTTCAATTTAGGCATGTACAACTTAATTGTGGTAGATGAGTGAATTCAGTGCTGTTGTAACGTAAAAGGAGCAAAGAAGAGATGAGAAACTACCCTGCTTTCAATACCAAATACATGCATATTCCACTATCGAGAGTGAGGTCTCTTTGGCTGCTCTCATATTAGTTTAATGATGACAGATGAATACTGAGCTAAAATGTAAAAACTATTTATTTATGCAGTATCTCACAGTAGACATAAAAGTTATAAGAGAGAATATTTAAATATTCTCTTTTTAGAGTTACATGTTTTTGTATGTTGACAGGTTGGTTGCATGCACGCCTCATTATTTTCACTTTATGCAGCAATCCAGCTTGTTGGTTGCTGTGTTAGCCTGTATCAAAAGTTCTTGGTCCCCCTGTGGTCTTCATTGAATGGTAATGCTGTGTTTAAACAATATTCAAAATGATTTGAAGTATCATTCGTTTTCACCTTAACATGATAACACAGGGAATAGCAAAATACCTTTAAAGATGAAGGATTATCTTCAACAAATAAGTACTCGGATCCCCAGTCTAATTGCAGCCACCGTGCCAAGACATTGAACCCTTTTGATGCAATTACACTTTATATGAGATTATGAGAAGCCGGCTAGCAAATCAAACTTTAAGGGACCTCCCTCTTCTTATCTCTATAAAAATAAATCAAGCGAGACCATCTCAATAATGTGCGCACATAAATCCACATTTGGTCATCCACCAACATTCACACTGACTCACACACATGCACACACACGCACTTAAATGCAGACATGCACACTCCTACAAATGTAAATGACTAAGGCCAGTTTAGGGAAATGGGGGGCACAAGTAAGTAGCTTATAGGCTTCTGGGTCCTCTCCTGTGTCTCCCAAGACTACAAAATGAACTGGGATTCTGTGATAAAATAGCGGGCAGCTGGGATCATTTTCCTGGGGGATATAGGGATAACCATCCACTGCTAAATCCATCATTAACTTTTCCTGCACCTTTTCTAACCACAACTCAGTTTCATGGGTAACTCTACTTCCATCGGGATCTCTAAGCTGACCAGCTGGCTACCTGGGAGTGCTGCCTTCTTTTGTGGCCGTGCAGTACCGCTAGTAGGAATGAGTTGAAGGAGGGGCAGTGACATTCTCCGATTTAGAAGTTTTTTTCTCCCAGAGTATTCACCAGGCATGTTTCTCTTGAGCGTAGTGCTCAATGGCATGCTCAGGTAAGTTGTAACTTGAAGTGTTTCCTGGAGACCCTTTGTCCGTCTCCCAGTCTTTGGCTGTGGTCGAGTGTGTACAGTCTGTTCAGTATCTCCATTACACACTCTGGCCCCAGCTTCCTGCTTATTTCTGCACGTCTTGAACCTCAGAGGCCTTTATCCAAAGTGTTCTGACGTCCTCTCTCAACCTTTGACCTACGTCCCAACTCGGGTCCAACGTGATTCTCATGGGCCATCCCACGAATACCTTCGATAGGGAACAGGCAATTCTGGCCCAGCATTTTTTGGGCTGCCTCTAAATGGTTGATTCCTTTCTGGTAATTGGTATTAATGCTCCGTTTTGGGCTTGAACCAGTTAAAAGGCGCTCTGAAGGACTTGTATCAGAGACATCACGCAGGTGCTCATCATCGTCTGTATCTGCATCTATGTATTTACTGATGGAGGAGTCGTGGAAGGTGAAGACCGTTGGTGCAAGGGAAGTGCTTTCTGGAGACTTTGGTGGGGTTCTGCTGCTGGCAGTGGTGTAGACAGAAACTTCAGGGCTTAAGAGAGAGTTGTCAGACAAGACTGAGCTGTCCGAGAGTGGTGACAAGCCCGACTCCCCCTCGCTGCGATAGCTAACTTTGGGGGTAAGGGTTTTTGAGGAGTTGCCAGAAAAGAAGAACTTCCGTGCGTTTTCAGAGTATGAGGGCTTTGTAGCAGACACAGGATTCAGCATGGGCTCATTTTCCCTAGAAGTTTGCTGTCCAGTTTTTGTGCTGCCATGCAGGGACAAACCTGAAGCCGGACTGTGGGAGAACCGGTTGCTTTCCTGAGGACCAAGATCCATTGCTGGACCATGAGTGAAGCGTGGGTTCTCCTGGAAGTCTGTGGCACAACTGATGTAGCTGTCAATGCTTGACAAACTTTTCATGTCCCCTACTCCCTCTCTGGTTCCTAGCACAGGTGGCCCATGATCTTGTATGGCCCCAAGCTCGATTTCATCTCTGTGTTTGCCAACTCTGGAGCCCCTCTCTTTAGCATTGAGGTTAGGTTGGGACTGTGTCTTGGCCATCTGGTTGTACATCTCCTCTAGCTTCTGAACATTTAGCCTCTGAGGACTGGTGGCTCTAGCCTTGCTGGGAGAGCCTAACTCCTGGGCATTGAAGGATCGGTTTGAGCTCGTCTCTGATGCAGCCCTCTTGGGGGTCCATTTCCAGCGACTTGGAGACAAGTGGTTATCATGTGGCCTGTCACTCTTTTCTACCACCACATCCATCAGTTCTGCACTACGAGCAAATGCCTCTTTCAAGTTCATGGACACAATGCTACCATTTCTCTTTGCCCTCTCCAGGGCCTCCCTCCGCTTAAGTGCTTTTTCCTGCCTCTTCTGCTCCTTGTAGAATTCAGAAAAGTTATTTACAATAATGGGAATAGGTAGGGCAATCACCAGTACTCCAGCTATGCAGCACAGCCCCCCTACTATCTTTCCCAAGAGAGTTTTTGGGTAGATATCTCCATAGCCTACTGTGGTCATTGTAATTGTAGCCCACCAGAAAGAAGCTGGGATACTTTTAAACTTTGTGTCCTCCTCGTCTTTCTCAGCAAAAAACACCAGACTGGAGAAGATCATGATGCCCATGGCCAGGAAAAGGATAAGCAGGCCCAACTCATTGTAACTCCTCCTGAGAGTGAAGCCCAAAGACTGAAGTCCTGTGGAGTGACGGGCCAGCTTCAGGATACGAAGGATACGCATGATCCGAAAAATCTGGACCACTCGACGGACGTTTTGGAATTGAAGTACACTCTTGTTAGATTCTGTCAAGAAGATTGTGACATAGTATGGCAGGATGGCCAACAGGTCGATGACATTCAGCGGACCCTTGAAGAACTTCCACTTGTTAGGTGAAGAGAGGAAACGTAGTAGGTACTCCATGGTGAACCAGGCGATACATACAGCTTCCACATGGGCTAGCTGGGGGTTGTCTGTGGACTGACCAAACTCATCTGTGTCCTGGAGCTCTGGGAGGGTGTTCAGGGACAAGGCAATGGTAGATAGCACAATGAAGAGGATGGAGATGATGGCCAGGATCTGAAAGACAAATGTTCAAAAGCAAGGTAAGTTAAGACAGCAGAATTTCATGGTGAAAAGACTGTATTTGATGCAAACGTTGGTATTAACTAATCCCATTCACTTGCATGGCTGCTGGGGGCAACTATGGGGTCAAATGTTTTGACACTTTGACATGTGGAAAGCAGGACCTGGGATTGAACCCTCAACCCTACAATAGAGAGATTACCAATTCTATTACTGAGCCACAACCACCCAATAAGATGCTGAAACTCAAATATAAGTCCACGGTTCTGAGCAGACAATACTCTACAGTAGACAGAATAAATGCATGTTAATGGGAAAGACTTTTGATGACAGTATGAAAGTGATGACCATAAGTAAATAGCAATATACTTAAAGTCTAATCAAACCTCTGATAAATGCCTGACTAAGTGTGTGATTGCTTAGAGCTAATGGATTGAATTGACTTGGACTGCTTATTTATTCATGACCCACTTATCAGGCTTATCCACATGAGTGAGTTCGCTTGAGTGGAAGCTAATGTTCAGTAACCAGTAAAGAAAAGCAGAGGTGCCACAGAATACAGTCGGCTACTTGTTATGAAATTTCGGGAAGATAAATGTAAAAAAAATTCTCCCTTTTGAGTGGTGAAGCTTTTTCAAATGTCATGTTTGAGGACCTGGGCATGATCCAGTTTTGACTCGGTGTGTTTGTGTGTGAAAAATGTCTATAGCCAGGTCAGTGGGTAGAGTGGACCACCCTCCAAGTAGAGGGTCAGTGGTTTGATCCTCAGCTTCTCCTGGCAGCACGTGGAAGAATTCTTGAGCATTGGTTAGAGAGGTACGAGTCCTTCTTCTGCTTGCCACTCTTCGTCTACAATGACGTCTCCATGCACTTTGTCACGTGATGCATTCATCTGATTGGGTGTAGGTTCTATAATTGCTTTCAAAGAAGCACTGTTGCTGATGCCCCTAGAATAATAGACTGATGCCAGGCTATAGGACCCCCAAATTCCTCCCCAAATTGCATTTATTCAGCTAACATAGGTGTGTATATGCACACAAAAACAGTTTTCAAACATTACTGTAAAGCAGGTATACTATTTTAAAACACTTGAAGAAAAAGCTATTCAAAAAAACTATTGAAATTGGCTCCATCAAGAAGACTTTTGATGTCAGTAGTATCACAGGTAGATCAGCAAATAACCACAAACACTGATAATGCACTGAGAAATCTGAATTTTTCTGAGTTTGATACCGTTGCTTGCTGAAAAATCTTCTTTATTCAAGAAGTAAATAAAGATAACCAGAGTTCTCACAAAAATCATGTCCAATCATGTTTATAAAGAAGAAAGCAGTGGTAGATTACACCTTTTTCAGTGTCATGTGACAGCTCCCAGCACTTACACTGTAAACAGAGACATCGCTGAAGCTGCTTTGAAGTACACTATTTTTTAAGCTCAGGCTGCTGTTTCATCTGAATAAGTGGCTGCTCCTATACGGCAGTGAGAACCTGTGAGAGGAAACGCTGCTTTCCTAAACAGCCAGTAATATGCCATTATCCCCATTTACAGCCCACATATCAGGTACATGAAAGAGCAACCTGAATGATTTAATGATTCAGGGAATATCATATAATTGAAGACATAACAATACTATTTGCTCTTTTAAAATTTTAAACTCTTGAGAGAAGATTCTTGTACTGAATAAATAATAAATATACATGTAATAGTGTTTTAATAATGATAATAATAACATAGAATCACATCAGTGCTGTCTTTCTTTTGTATTTTTTTTCATACATTATGGGAAGAAACATTTTTAATTGACCAAACTTAGTAGAAAAACAACCAGAATTCTTTAAATGTAACAGTGAGCCAGTATAATCATCACACCTGGAACAGTTTAATGTGACTACATTAATTCAAAGACATGCAATTATCAATAAATGGGGTTTATTCGATAGGTCATGTAAGGTGTAAATCCACGTCAGACATTTGGTAGCCCTGTTTGCATAAAACTGACTGAGGTGGTCAAAAGTGTTATTTCTTAATCAGGATAGATTAATAAAACTTAGAAAATAAAACATTTCTCCTCCCCGCTCTCTCTGAGTTCAATCAAAACCCCATTCATGAACTGAATTTATACACAATTGTGTGTGTAAACAAACAGACCAAAGGCCAGTGCAGAGCAAATTATGCAGGGTTTCCCTCCGCACTGTCTAGAGGAAATTAAAGCTTAGCAGCAGCAGAAATAGGACATTAGCCATGGTTGTTAGGTGGTGATTGACGGCAGGAGCCTTGGCAATGGCCTGATAACTTGGAGTCCACTCCCAGGAGTAAAGGTGATGGTAAAGAGGCAACCCTATCTACCACCAATCAGAGCAGGAGGACACTGTTGCCATAGCGTCACGGCAGATGGGAATAATGACCCTATCTGTTTATTTTCTTTCCTGTGTGTTGCCCTCGCCTGGTCTGAAGAAAATCTATTTGAATCGAACACTTCAGGAGCAGAGAAAGGTGTGAGGACAGAGGGTAAAAGTGCAGCTGACAAGTGCTTCACAAAACTGGACTGATGGAGAAAGTAAAGCACTGTGTGAAAAAATAAAAAAAGATTATAATTGGAGAAAATAACACTTCTATTGGAGACAGCTGGCTGCTCTGCCCATGTGAGGCTCTAAAAGTAACACTCCAGGTTCTACTGATCAGGGCCAGAAATAAAAGGTTTGGATATAGTCACACAGTAGGCTTCTTTCTCCTCAAACTCTGGTAAGCATGACACGTAAGTGCTGGGTATCTTAGAGCTGGGATTTAATGGCTTGTAAATAAATGTTTAAATGGAAAAACAGATGATAGTGTTGATTTATTAGGTAATCAGGCAATATTTTATAACGATAGAGCCATAGAGCACTCTGATAGCTGGTAAATAGATTCTGGCTTACATTAAATTACCGTTGTTATGCTTTTCTATCCTGCAAAACTACAAACCTATTGCCTGCCATGGGTCAAATAAATTAAGCCATAAACCACTTTCTTGCTATAATTTAAACATCAGTGAAAGCATTAACAGCTAGAATCGACCCTTTACTTATCAATTGTGTAACGCTGTCTATCAAAGCTGTAATTTCACCAGGTAATATTTCTAGCCAACATAGCATTGGTTAAACTGACAGAGACATTCCCTTGCCTTTTATGTTAGCCTACTGGTCATTTCATAGTTCAGCAGAAACCCAGAATTTATACAACAACACAGAACCCATTAGTACGGCACTAAAACAGCTCAGAAGAAAAAGGAAAGCTTTGTTGATATTGTTATTTTCAATGAGTCATAAAAAAGACACCAAGTACACTAAAAAAATCATCTAAAAGCTGTAGGCGGTTGTGACTGCAGAAAATGGGACTAAAAGGGGCAGCTGTAATAGGATTGAAAAGCAATAAAAAGGTCCCTAATGAAGGCACCCCGCTGTTGCTTTGTAACATTATAATTATGGGGTCAAGTTCCACTAAGATACCCTGAGCATTTCTTCCATGCCCTGCATAACCCTGTTTCCCCAGCGCCTTCACTCTCTGCACTTATTTATCCTTCCTCGGTTCTCTTTATCTCTGTATTTTTTTATTCTTTTTAGTGTCACAGGAGCTAATTTCATCAAACTATCTAAGATAAACCTTTCAGTGCATATAAAGGAGACCAAAAATAAACACGTCTAGAAAAGGTTGAGTGAAGCCCCAGACATAATTGCAGTGGCATCAATGCAATTACAAACTATTTATAGACTCCTAAGTGGACACAAAGGCGCACCAAACAAAAAAAAGATGTTAATAGCCGCCACACCCTAAATGATGTCCTTTATGTCACGCATGTTATCTGTGATGAATAGGCTATTACTGTAACTAGATTACATCTACAGAATTGAGAGTGAATGCTTCACAGTGGCCTACTAAAGGGAGGACAAGAAGAAGAAGAGAGGGATATTTATATCTAGGGGAGAGGACAAGTCAACACGTGCGCAAGAGTAGAGAGAGTGAGAGCGGACTGACAGGAAATCCCACTGTGTCTCTAAACAAAGCTAGATCACACTGGCTTGTGTCTTTCATGGCACATTGTCGTTTTGCTCCCAGGATACAATAATCCACATACAGCCCCATATTCCACAAGACAAGGTGACACCAGGCCTTATTAGGATGTTTCAAAAGATATCTGGGGCACCATTGGTGTGAATGGGGCTGCTATAAACCAATGAACACACATATGTTTTTGCATGAATGGTTAGGGGGATAAGCTACGCAGAGACAATACACACCCTTAGTGAGCCTGCTCTCCAAAGGATTGCACTCTTGGGGCTTAGAAATAAGAAAACTCTTCAACGTTGGGTTTTGTGGCTGTACTATTTTTCTCTATCCCAGTGGGAGTGATTTATAGGCTGAAATCATATAGGCGCTGTCAGGGTAAGGTCTGTTCATCCATGAACCTACCACTTGTACAACAAGGTCAGCACCTTGACCTTTGTACTTTTAATATACACTTGAGCTTATCTGATGTTAAGCATTAAATCCCTGATGTGAATTCAGGAGCAGTGCTGTGGGGAAAAAAAGTGGTCACTGGGGCATCAGCTTAAATACATTAAAACTATGATTACATGTAAGGTAATTTAAAGGAGTATTAAAACAAGTTTCTTTTCACTAATGGGAGAGTAAAAGTGATTAAAGACTCATCAAAATGTGGGGAATCTGCTGCATGTTGATGTCCTTTCCAACAGCGTACTGATTATTTTTATGTTTAAGAAAGTCTAAAGGAAATATGCAGAAGCTGCAGTTTCTTCAAATTGATGAGAATTACTTTTCCGTAAATACAGCTGGAAATTTTAGTGGTGAGTCATTTAACCGTAACAATAATAAGAAAGATGCCTCAGTCCCTTACAAAACTTCAAAGTCAGATGGCCACAGCTATCGTTGATTCATCGGGTGTATGAAAATATTGAAAAGCACCATAAATAATGCCGGTAGTAGTGTTGGGCACAGCAGTTCTTTTAGATGTACTGAATCACTAGAATCAGTTCACTTAAAAGATTCGTTCAAAAGATTCGTTCACCGAATCATTTCAGCACTTGGCAGGAGGGGCCTGCAACTTCCTGAACTGATACACAGCAGAACGGTTCAGGATTCAGTTCAGATCATAACTTCTGGGACTTGAATATGAGAGTGTTGTGGCTGTTGCTTTGACAACCAAGTTTATAAAAATGAACTTGTTTAAAAATCATGATATTTTAAGTGTATTGTCCAATGGTATGCTATTTATCTGATCTACTCTGTAAATTTGGCTCAGTGAGTGATTCGTTCGCTGAACGTTTACCCCACACGCTGTGTCCTACTGTACGCAAGTTGTTGTGGTGGCAAATTAGCAGAGTTAAAAAAAAACATTTGTTTTCTCCGAGGTACACTTGAACACAACACACCCCTATCTCCCTCCTTCGCCATTCAAGTGTATCCCTCAGACAAAAATGATTCCAGAGAGTGTAGCTCACTGCGTGATTCGTTCACCAAGTGATTCAGGCGTCAGCGTGTGCCGTCCCTCGCTCGCCCAGCAATGCTGAGTGCTATGGCAGCTGCATTGCTGAGAGCTCAACTGAAGTGAGAAATGAATGAATCCCTTAAGGAAGTGATTCGGTTCAGTACGTTCACTTAAAAGATTCGGTTCTTTTGAATGAATCATTCACGAACAGCACAACACTAGCAGGTAGAAACACACCAACAAATGTGACTTTGTTGAAACATAATTTTCAAATATGGACTGACAGAAGAGACACAAAGTCTCTGCAGTTGTCAATTACACAGAAATATCCACCTTAAGTTTGCTTTGGTGACTGTCAGCTGTCTTTATCCACTGGTTTGGAGAGTATCTTTAAGTTAGAAGCAGCGAATCCCCTCACAAGTTGCATTTGTTTGAAGTTGCTGTTCATTTAGTTGTTGATGAGACTGGGTGCAGCTCAGGTTTCTGTCCTCACACTGCATGAAGTTTGGTGGCATCCCAAGTGACAGGTGAGGAAGTCCCAGACTCCCAGACTCCCAGCGCTCCAGCTGGCACCTTTCTCATTAGCAGCAACAGGAGCAACAGACTTACCGCTGTGCTGCAGCAGTGGAATCTCCTATGTTCCTGTGAGTTTTAACACCGTTACCTGTTAGTACTGCTAGCGCTCACCCGGGGAAACACATCGCACACACTCACAGTCTCAGGCAATAATCAGCTCTTGCCTTGTACTGACTCTAAAAGATTCAGTGACGATATTTATCTTCAGGTGAGTACATTCAGGTTGTTTCTGATCATCCTGACTTTCTTCCCAATTATCCCTTTAGCCACATCTGAGGCCACAGGGATACCATGCAACGCTCCTCCAGCCTCGACTGCCTGCCACTGTCACCATGACAACCCCCTTGAAGCTCGACAGGAGGTGGCTCCGTGGACCTGCTTGTGAAAAGCAAGTCTGACATAGTCTTCTTCGCTCGCTCCCTCCCTCTCTGCTTCCTTCCATCCCTGATTTGTACCTTTTTCAAAGCTCACCCAGCTTTGAACCATCTGTACTGCTCCAGCCTCTGTGCTATCCTCAGTGCAGTGCTGTGTGCAGTTCCTACTTTACATGCTTCATATAAGTAGCATGAGTTCATTCCCACATCTTAAAAAGACTATACGCACTCAATCGCTGCACTGGCAGACACCATCTTCAGGTGTCAGCATTTCTGATGGGATAAACAGATATCGCTGATCTGATCCCCATTGGGGTGTTGCTGTCAATGATTGATCGCATGAGAGTTGATAATACGGGCATTAAATAACATGGAGTCATTCACACCCCTGATTGTGAATGTAGACGGGTTGTGCCTATCTGCCTGTGAACAAGATGGGGTTTCCATGGAGACGGGAGGAGACTGTGTCTTCCACATTTCCCCAAGCATGGTAGCCTGAAACACACATTCACACATACACACACGCGCGTACACTTGCAGTGGCTCAGCTGTTGTCTCCCCACCCTTTATCACTTGTGTTTGTAACTTTGAGCGGCAGTGCCTCATTAATCTTAATCTCTCACCACTCGCTAAGATGAATAAGTTGTATCTTGTGGCTCCTCGGGGGAGGTTCTGCAAGTTCAGCTATCTACAAAACTGAAGCGGCTGGATAACCAGTGACCTCTGGTTATGACCTCACGTCTTTTACATTAAAGCTGCTGCATGCGTCTTATCGACAGGCAGCTACTCCCCCAGAAGCCTTTTGTTTAATATCTTTGCATGTTGAGTAGCTTTTGTGTAAATAATCAGCTTAGGTAAGGAAAAAAATGTCTCAAAACCACAAAGTGGGTCTGTGTCTTCCAAGCGACTGGATTTGATAAAATTAATGTTACTTTAAAGGTCATTTACTTTATCTTAAACTCTGAGTCTTCTCTTTATTTGCAAAAAAAATTCTTGAATAGCATATCCAGCCTTTTTTCACTTGGGTCGCTGAACTTGGGGACTAACTTATGCCAGGGTGGCACCAAGTATATACGCACACACACATACAAACACACTTATACACACAGTTTAAAAGCATTTACCACGTCTCCAGGGATCACAGCTACTTCAGCTACTAATATTAAAGTATAACAGAGTTGTATCATTCTTTTGAATTGTGTTTCTGCTAGAGAAAGTAAGATCACAAAGTGTCAACATAGAAATACTCAGAGCCTTATTACCGAGGGCCTGCATCCACTTACAAGCTTCTTGTAGAAGCTGTTTTTTAGTTTTGTCAAAATCTTAATATTTAAGCAAACAAAAGTCTCAGTTAATATAATTAATTGTAAGGACCAAAAATATATGATTTAAAAGTAATTAAAATGGTTGTTTGCTTTGATTAGTAGATTCAGATGCACCTGTCTACAGGATGTTATGGGTGGAGTTGCAGTCCCTTCAGGAAAGCTGGTACAGGTGTGCTGGACAGTCTTTTGTTTGATTCAGATTGAGATGAGCAGCACAAAAATGTTTTTTGACTTTGAAATTGGAGCTCTTTTTGATTTTGTACAATTTCTGAAGTTGTGAGCTGTATGGAACCCGCAATCAGCCAAATAAACGGAAAAACCAGACCTGTGAGGAATGGAGTCATTTTATGAATGAAGTTAGACACGCGTCAGTACAATTGGGGTGCTCATCAGAGGAATCTGGCACTACACGTCTTTTTTTTTTTTTTTTTTGCATTTGTACCCCCCAAAGCTTTGATTTACTTACTGTTAAAGTTATCTTAAAGTCCCACTCCGATCTTTTTATTTTTACTACTTAAAGCATTCTTAGTGGTCTTTAAATTGTGATTATAGTTTTTAGCCAGAATTGCGTTACCTATGTCACTTTGGGGGGCTTTTTTTCTGCAGAGCTCCAGCAGATCATTAGGAATTCACCTCTGAGTCGTAGGCAGTGACAGCGCTGTTCTGCAAACTGCTCTTCTCACTAACATTGTAGCAGAAGAAGCAGGTAAGACAGAAGCTGTTCAGCTCTCAGACACTTATGTTTTTAGGGGCATTAAGAAAGCTAATATCATAATTAGCTTTCTTAAGAGCGTTGCAATACGCACACACTTGTTTCGTGATTGTCCTCTCTATTCCTTAGAGTCTCGCCTGGGGCTCAGGGGGCGGAGCTTGTAATTGTGACATACGAAATCCCTCTGTGTTTGAGCCTGTCGTTTGGGTCTGCCAGAGATTCACAGTGATTTGAGAGCAGAAATACTTGGAAATGCCATTTTGCACTTAGTTTCCTGATGATATGTCCTGTGGCATCAGAAAAATGCCACACGAACATGTAGACAACAAGAAGAACATGATTTTCATCAGAGTGGGTCTTTAAGGCAGCCCTCTTTCTTAGGTCTGTTCCTTTTTATGTTTAGTATTTGTTTTTGTTCAAAGAATAGCCTATAAAAAATTACTGGTCCTGGCATTAACAACATTTCTAAGTTTAGAGACCTTACCCTGGAATGAGTCCAGGTGCAAAGTAAGAACTCTGCAGAGAAAATCCTGGTAAATATCACATGATTTCTGCCAAGGCTTATTTCAGACACAACAGAGCCCAAAAGAGATTCAGGATCAGCCTTTGCAGCTGCACATGCAGACAAGTTTTATGAGGACCATCAACAATCCACTGACAAGTAAATTGAAATGTTTCAGCTGAGAGCATTATGAGTACCACAACCAAACGGAAACAGCTGACACTATCTTTGTGCTGAAAGCTGAAAAAAAAATAGTAACACGTAAAAAGCCACAGTTAAAAAACAAAATAAAAGGAAATGTGCTGCGTTAAAACAGGGAGACAAAGCTATGAGCAGCTCATAACCTCCAAAAAGATAAACAATAAGAGTTTGAGATAGTTGATCTCAGATTTCAAGGGCTAACACTCTGGACTCACCCTTGTATATGAGTTTTGGCTTTCAGATGACCTATGGCACTTAAGAATATGCCAGCTCTTTTTAGTAACTATCATTTATTCATTTGAATCTTTTTCCTTTTTTAGACCCTTGGAACATCATGTTCCTCTAAAAGCTAGTTTAGGGGTAAACTTTTCACCATCTCCTCCGGTCTCTGCATGTACAAAGTGCACCACAACCCCATTCAGTAAACTCCTAATGTAGGGGAGAAATCTATGCCCAGACCATCCATCTCCTGAATGAATCCCACCTCATCTCCTCTCCCTCTCAATTATTCATGCATTTCAGATGAAGAAGAGAATCCAGACTCAGCATCTATATTTAAACCTCGGCTGGGCTGTGGTAGCTGTATAAATAGAAACAGTATAGGGTCTGGTCTGGCAAACCAAAGGAGGCTGTTATCATCATGAGTTTTGACCCGAGTTCGCTGCATGTAAAAGGGTTGAGGGAGAATAAGACAGCTTATGCCAGCAGGATTTGATGATTTATAGTGGTGAGGATTACTGCCGTCCATTAAATATTGATAAAACTATCACATTCATTGTTCGAGGATGTGCTTGGATGTTTTTCAACAATTGATGCACAATGCAGTTCACGCAGTTATGCAGGCCACACTGGCTTATTTGTTGCAGACTCACTTTACACTCTGCAGATATCAGCACAAGACGGAAATATAAACACGAGAGAGGCACTGATTTGAAAACGTGAGGACAAATGAAGACGGACAAAGACTACATACACACACACGCAGACAAACACAATCAACAGTGATGCCCGCTAGAAGGCAGCTGTAAGTCTCTGCATCACAGAAAATGACAGTTGCCATGGTGATGGTGACAGTGAACTTTTAAACGTTTTAGTGACGGTGGTGAGAGGGAAATAAAAAGGAGTGCACAAAAACATTCAAAGCAAAGGAACAAAGACTTTAGAGGCCTTGACTAAAAAAATGTACGTGCAACACAACGTGTCTGCAGAGTAAGAGCAATACAAAGCAAGATTATAATAAATCCTTAAAAACTGGCCATAGAGTGTCAGTGCTGTTAATCCTCTCAAGAGTTTTACTCAAATTCACATGAAAGAGTGTTTATTTTATTAAGCTTAACTGGTCTTTAAAAAAAAAAGTTCTATAGTGAACAGTGAATGATTTGATTTGATTTGATTGATTTGGGATCCCCATTAGCCTTGGCCGAGCCTCAGCTATTCTTCCTGGGGTCCTTAAACCAACTCACGATAAATCAATGCAAATTTCTGAATGCACTGCAGCTTTAAAATGGGTGAGCAGAATAAACATTAACACTGAAATTTAATCAGTGCAGCGTGTGCTGTTCCAATGTAAATTAATGTGCAAGAAGAAAACGAATCAATAGATAAGTCCGACCACTTAGTTACCGTTGTCAAGGTGTCCACTGACTGTATGTAAGGGTAGACGGTGCATCTCCACCTTCTCCAATTGCACGAAAGTAAAGCCAAATTTAAAAACAGATGGACAGCGTGCCAGCACTCCAAAAGTGAAGCTGAAACTGATGCTGCTTTCCAGTTACCTCAGAAGTCAGATGTCAGAGCTGGGAATGACGCTACACCCGAGTTGACGGCGTTCAAGTTAACAAGTCAGAAAACCAAGATGGCTTCCTGGTAGATGTTGTTAGCTGTTGTTTACAATTGTCAGCTGTTGTCCGCTGTTGTCAGTTGTTGTTAGCGGTTGTCAGCTGTGGATTTCAATTTCAATTTCAATGAGCTTTATTAGCATGACCGTCAACAACACTGCCAAAGCGTCCTAACACAAAAATAATAACAACAATAACAGCAACAATAATAGCAAAAATAATAACAAGAAGAATACAATAATAATAACAACAATAATAACAAAATAATACTAATAATGAAACAACTACTACTACTACTACTACTACTACTACTAACAATAATAATAATATTTTTAATTATATTGTTAGCCGTTGTTAGTTGTTGTCAGCGATACCAGTAGGAAACAACGCATAACACAGTATTTTACTCTTACAAACACCATAGCACTCAAACACTCAGATGTTTGGCAGTAAAACATGTACTCTTTACTGTTGATGCACTGTGCTGCCATCTTTGATTATGACATTGTCGTCAAGTCAAGGTTGGTACTAAGGATCGTCCGACTTTCGACATTGGAAATCTGACTTCAGGGGGGCGTCTCGGAGCTCCGAAATTCCAACTTCTCAGTACAACTGGAAAGCAGCATAAGCAGCAGCTCCAGTGTGATGCAGCAAATTGAAACAAATGTGGTAGTACAAAAAAACTCATCAGAGCTGCAAAGGCCTCCATGACACTGGCTGAAAAAGTCAAAGAATTCCTGATGGACCTCAGGTTGAAAAAAAAAACAATGCTTTTTTCACCCACAGAAAAATTGGTTGATTGCTTCCACTCATGAAACAATCAGTTGGTTGTTTGAAAGAAAAAAAAGGATGTTTGCTCAACATTAGTCTAATCAGTGACAGAGCATGCTGGCTGAAAATGAGCTTTATGGAGCATAATTAATCATTTTTTACCTCATTTTGTGGTACCGAAATAACAACTGACTCAGAGCTGACCAGTGTGCACCATTTACATACAGCTAATGTGAGAGTGTGGGTCTGTGAAAGTGCTCATCAAGGTGAAAGGCTTCCTGCTCCACAAGTCAAGAGCTCTTTCGCCCCTCACTCAGAATTAGCTATTGGCTTGATGAAGATTTCTCCTTCACCTTGACGGCTTCTATTTCGGCTTCAGGTCTTCACACTTCCTCAAAGTCACTTGTTCACCTTGATACACAACCTGCTCAGAGATGAAAGATCCACACTCAAGGAACACTGCAGGGAGAACAGCAGCTTCTGATGCCGAGGAATGGATTTATAGATTCTGTTGTTCTGCGTACACACAAAGATGTCGAGGAATGGATGTGGTGTGCAAAACTGTGCAGAAGAAATGGTAAACCAAAGATTTTTTTTTTATTACAGCGATTGTTTTACATGTTATATCAATTAAGGCTTTTATTAAAGCACTTAGTAGCCATGTTTACGTGGCCAAAATTTCTTGATCCGATTAAAAATTTGAGAGATCGGATTATCTGAATCCACTGTTTATATGGGTGCAAAATTAAATAATCAGATCATGACGTGTGTAAACATGCAGATCAGATTAGAAGCATTTGGACATGTGCAGAGTTGTCTAATTTCGAAGAGTTGTATTTACATCTGTGCTGTCAACAAACGAACAAACAGGGTAGTGGCTCACTCCTTCAGGATTTTCCCCTGTTAAATAGTGTCACTAGATGGCGCCCTTGTTTACTTATTTTACTGTTTTGTCAAAGGTTGCGCTGTGTGTGCAGATGTGACATGCTGTATGTACGCCTTGTTATGTTACCGGAGGCAATATTTTTTTTTGTAGGATGGTAGGAGAAAGTCCCGCCTCCTTCACCTCTGATTGGCCAGAAAAGCTGGAAACGTCGTCACGCACTTTAGCCAAACGTGGGCTGTTGGCTCTGTACATCGAACTGAACATTACAGAACATTATCGCACTTCTGAATCTCCTAACCATAACCCGACAGACGATAATGTTTCACAGCCATAAGGAATAACTAATCTGCGCCCAGCACTTCTAGCCAATAAGAGAAGGGCAGGACCTTCTCCTAACATCCTACAAAAAAAAATTGCTTACTGGAGGAGCAGACACGGAACCTGCAGTTGTGTTTTATGCCTGAGTGTTAATAATGAAACCTCCTGGACTGGCCTCAATAAATAATCCAAAGGCTAAAGAGTGAAGATCGAGTCAGGTAAGAGAGTCACGATTGGAATACGTGTTTACATGGACGTGTTTCGAAATAACGATCGGCACAAACCACCCCTCTCAAACTGGAAAATTATTTTATTTTTAATTATTGATTATTTGTGCCCATGTAAACGCAGCTATTTTCAGCAAATGAAAGTAAAACTGCAGAAGAACATTCACGCAATCATCTCAAGCTGAGCTGTTTTGCTGCAACGTACAGTATATCCTCTTCTGACTTATCCAGGGTCTACCCCCCGCTCTGCACCAGATGCACCCTTATTTGCAACATCTGCTGTAACAATGATGCAAAGACTCGCCCCTGCAGCTGCTGCTGCGGCTGATATAGCGTCACATCAACCCTATCTCCACCTGTCTGATTTTTAAAGTCTCTCTGGAGGGGAGTTTTATCAGTGACCCTCCTCAACATCTGCTGCAGAGTCTGATAAAGGTCTGTGATAGCAGAGGCCTCAGCCTGGATGTCTACTCAGAAAACACTCCCTGTATTCACATGAACTAATGGAGTCCACTCGGTTAAACTGACTGTAGTGGTTATTTTCCACTTCATTGGGTGGTGTGCAACAGCAGAATGAGGGTTAACATGATAAAGGTCTCAAGATGGATGTGGGTCCATTATGGTGGGTTTCTCTACCACTGTATGCAAGGCTGTTAGTGTGAAGTTATTATTTACTTGAAACTCATCAGTTGTGATGAAGATTTTATCTGTTATCGCTGAAAATTGAGATGTTTTTCCATCTTTTGCCTTTACTTTGTTCAAAGAGATGATAGCGCTGCTTTAATATCACTCATGGGCTTTTTCTTTTGTATGATTCATTCACAAACATGATTACCTAGCAAAATGCCAAACACCCTCTTCAGATAGGATGTGTCGTCACCTGTACTCTACAGTGATGGAATTAGACAAGACACCATGAAAACAGTGTCAACATTTAATACTTCAGGAGACTTTTTTACACACTTTTTTACGTTTGCATATTTTCTCAACGTTCCCAAGTGATCGGCGGAGCGAGGTAAAAAGTCACTCAGTCTCCAATCATCAACATCAGCATTTTATATCATACTGCGCCACAGCCAGCGCGTTATTCATCAGCGGCTGTCACAGCATTAATGAGGACTTTCCTTGAGGGTTTGTAGTGATTCAGGGAAACTGACACAGTTTCAGTTTTAATCTCTCCCTGGTGCTGATTTCAGGGTTTACTTGAAGGTTGATGAGTGAGACTGTGTTTCAGTGGAGGACGCAGCTTCTGTGTTACTATCAACAACTGCGAGACCAAACTGCCACATCTGAGATAACATAAACTGAATATATAAGCTAAGCTGTTTTCATATAGAGGACTAGACCTGAAACATGTATGTATACACATAGGTGCACCTAGGGCTGGGCGATATGGGAAAAAAAAGTTTATCACGATATATATTTTTCATATCAGTGTTTTATATCACGATTTAAAAAATTAAATTTAACAGTGCTTATTGGTAGCATGTCTTTTGCAATACAATAAACTACTGCATCTGTGAGGTCTTTGTGTCTCTTTGACATTTTGTTGTAAGGCACTGCGCTAGAGAAAGCGAACTGAATGGTTGGCTGTTTTGGCTACGCAGGCGCCATGGGCTCCTTGCTCCTCTCGGGGTTTGTAACCTTTTGCATTGTACATGCTCTGCCATGTGGCGCTGCTTTAGGTGGTGAAAAAGATTTGAGGTATTCCCCGACATGTACTCGACTTAATTTGCAGTGCAAATTACTCTGCTTCATGTCTGACCTCAAAAAACCAAAGTACCTCCATACCACCGACGTTTTCATGCCAGTGTTGTTGATGATGTCGTCATCTGTTGAGCCTTCATCTGCATTTCCCCTTTTTTTTTTTTTTCTCACCAACAGTGCTGTCAGCTTGATGTGTTAAAGTGCTATGGTTGTGTGTAGCTGCAGAATGCTACTACGCAGTTGTTTGCTACTTGGTTCTAACTCAGCACATGATTGGTTCAGCTGGAAGCGGACCTGGAGCAACTCCCCTTTTCATTGGCTATTCATATAGTCGACCAAAATATGTCAGAATGCCGACAATCGAAAAGCATATTGCCCATGTTTTTTATTTATATTGAAGGAAATTAATTTTCAATATATATCGTTATCGTTTTATCGCCCAGCCCTATCAAGGCCTAGATCTAAAACATATATGTGTACAGATGTGCACCACAGAAAAAGAGCTACAATATTAAAAGGTGCTTGTCCATTTTCCTTTTCTTCTTCACCAGGTTCAATATTTCATGATTACGTTAACTATACATGCACCTACTCTGCAGCCTAACACGTGCCTCATCATGAGACAACTCCAGAAAAAAGAATTCATGCGGAAGATTTTTGACTTTGAAGCTGAACTTTTGTTTTCTGTTCCTCATCGCAGGAACAAAAACACCAACCGCGCTCCTTTGTTCTGTCAGCCTCTGGGGTTGTGTATGATTGTCCTGAGTACGAGCCTCTTCTTTAGAACTAAATCAGGTCCAAAGGCGACTACAGCTCAAACAGCTGTCCATGAGAGTGATCAGTGCAGTCTTTACATTATTCATGTTTAACACAAAATAAGATTAAGCCTCAAATCGTACACTTTTGCTCTGCTATGTGATATTTTGAAGTCAACAAACAAATTCTAGATTTTAACAGCTTGTTGTTAAATTTAAATAGATACAATTAGTAGAAACAGGGTGTTTATTAATAAGTATTTGTCAAATTATTTTATTATTTAGTTCTGTGCTTGCCATACTTGGTGCCACCCCTACAAAAGCTGAGATATACCCTTTCTCAGAAGTGTCCTGGTTTGTGTCTGTACTCATATTTTCTCCAGCATCGCAGCTTTTATTGGATGGTGCAGGAGAAAAAGTCTGTGTGTGTGGGGAGATTCTTGGCTGGTTTTTGCTGGTTTGGTGCTGTTTTTAATGCTGGTCTTTGCAGGTCTAAAGCTGAGTGTCAGTCCAGATCTTCATGCATATTCTATGCCGGTCTTTGCTGATCAATCCAGCTGAAGTCAGCTTGTTCCATCTTCAAGTGTAATCTACGCTGGTCTGATTCCGGTTTGTTTATCAACTGGGGAATTCGTTTTAACCCGGGGTGGAGAAAAATATAAAAAATTTACTGTTTGTGTTGCTGTCATGTGAGTCAAGCGCACGTAATCCTGCGATGTTCATTGATTCTCTGAAGAAGCTTAAGAAATATCACAATGCAACATGCTGAAGGCTAAAAAAGAATATTTAATTCCCATCATGGGCCAGAATCAAGCAGGAACCTCTGGTCTTGAAAAGTGAAACCAGTGCTGAAGTGCTAAAAACTGCTGGGTCCAATCGAGGCTGCAAAACCGCCATGAGCCACACACATCTGTCCTATGAAGGCCATCCTAGCAGCGGAAAGAATTGTGTTAACAGCCTGATTTTGATCTGATTAGCTCATTTCTCTATCCACACAGACTTCAGGGAGTGACTCTTTCATAACTCATTAGTTTTGAAGATATTTGGGTTATGATGAGTTTGGCAAATTGGAGGCACTGTTAGTTACTGTGAGTGAGTAGGCTACAGGCCTGAGGGCACCTTTTTTCCTCATAGCAGGTTGATCGGAAGTGAAGTTGAGTCAGCGTTACCAACGTGGCAACCAAACAGAGAGGGACACCACTGAAACTACATCCTGGTTTATGTAGACCAGACTCTGTTTCCTTCAGTCATACCCATAAAGCTCTACCCTTTTGGAATTTTCTGACCTTATTGATCTTTACTTCCCAGATCTCTTTATCCCTTTATGTATTTGTAATATTTCTTTTTCTGTTGACCTCTTGACTCCATTTTAGTTAAACACTGATGTTGTCTAGCAGCTGCAAATCACTTAAGCTAGGACTGGGCGATATGGCAAAAAAAAAAAAATGATCACAATATATTTCGTCATATCATCTGCTCTCGATTATTATCACGATTTTTTGGTATTTTTTTAAACTGCCAGTTTCAAAGCATTGGTACCAAAAACTAATGAAACTAGAGATGAGTTCAACATTTCATTAACATGTTCTTATTCCCAAATAATCAAATCGCCCCCTCAGGGATAATGAAGAGGCCTTAAAATGTATACATTAGATGATGTAAATGTAGATGATAAGACTAATTGCTGCTTTGGTCTGGTGGCTGCACCGCTAGTTGTAGCTAAACTGCTAATGCTATTTGTGCCGTCAACAGTGGCAGGCTGTGCAGACTCGGCTCGCATTTTCATACTTTCCGCATAATCACTCAGGGAGTACTTCTTCAAATTAGTAAACAGATTTGTTGTGTTGCCGGTTTTTGAGGGCACCTACTGCCGACACACCTTGCACATCGGCGTAATTGCTCAACATCACTTTGGAGATACCCGAACCACCAACACACAACCGACGTTGAATAACTTTTCTTCTTAACAATGGCATCTCATTTTGTTAACTTCTCCTGTTTACTTCTCCCGCAACTTCCAGAAGTGAGCAGGAAAAGCTCGACTCTGATTGGCTGCTGTCACATACATTTCCAATATGTTTGATCGAGTAAATATGCTCACAGCTGATCACCGTGATCGAAATGAAATTTATGACGATCATTAATCACGATCCTATAATCGCCCAGTCCTAACTTGAGCTCTTTAATTGGAACAGATATGGGCTTAAACTTTTCATGACCTTGAGGAATGAGTCGGTGGTGACCAGAGTTAAGTAATTCATAGCACACTTGTAGATTTTTGTCATCAAATATATCCTCGGCAATAATTTAATCAGCGGTGAAGATAGTATAAAGGACCAGTTCACCCCATAAACCTTTTCTGCAGCAGTGAAACAACCCCACAGTGCCCCTTTACCAGCTTAAGAACCTGAGATGACACTACAAATCCTGAACTATCCACTACAAAATTTATGACGAGACTTGTAAAAATGCTCACAAACACAACCCAACCACTATAAAATCAGACCTCATCGCATTAACAGTGAATGAGTGTTAAAATATGCAGCACCGTGCCAAAGCAGATACTAAATAGTTGCTCCAAAACTCCAGTCGAATGTTAAACAATTCATCACATTTTATGCCAGTTAAATTAACATTTTAGAACTAATTATCATATTTCTGATCACATCACATGAAAATTATATAATCACCTTTGTTTTCCAGTTTTGGTTTGAACTGCAGGTCCTCATAAGATAAAGAAACCTGCTTCGGAAGACCCTAAACCCCCAGTATACTTTTCCAAGCGTTGTTTTGTGCTGTTGTGGGTAATTCTGTTTTATGATGATCACCCCCCCCCCCCCCGTTAGGTAGAAAAATCCCTCTCATCACACAAAGTCGAACTAATGAGTGTGTCTTCTAACCCGAAGCGAAATGTTTGTGATGCTGCCAACTAAACAGAAAACCCGCTGATACTGAGAACCCCATCACCTTTCCCTCTCTGTTACCATCAGGACAAACTTCTGCTACTCTTGTGTAATCCACGCAGCAGACTGCAGACTGTGACAGTACAAGCTAAGTGGGGGGATTAGAGGGTTTTAGTGGACATCTGCACTCTACTGAGTAATTCCACTCAAAGATGCTTTAACAATATTTATAAAGGTGGACTCACGAGTTAATCTGGGGTTCTTGAAATAACTATGAGACTGAAATAGACAGGCTTGCTACACAGGCTGTTACATATACATGATTTGGGTTGTTAAAGTAAAGAACCCTAACATTTCTACAGATCCAAAGTACAGCAGATTGAAAAACTAATAAGAATAATCAGTATTAACATTGTAATGGATACAAAAACAGTCATCTTAAAAAGTTGCACTTGGTTTTGTGCCAACAGGCTGTTTTTGCATCTGTAAGCACTTTTCCTGTCTATCGTTTCCTGGTTATCAGGCAGATTAAGTAGTTTAGCTGTCAAGAATAAAGAGGCAAAACAAAACAAAAGATTTAGACGCCTTAGCTGGAAGAGGGGTGTGAAAAAGGGTTTATGTGTTTATAATACCACTGTAACTATACACTAATGTTCCTGTATACCCACAATAAGTGTGATGGGTGTAAGAATTGTAAAGTAACTCGTGATATGTTATATTATGTTACCATACAAAACATTATGATGCAATATGATATGATACAGTACAACGTGAAGCTATACAAGAGGATACGATAGTTTTCAAGACAAAATGATCTGATAGAGTAGGATGTGGGGCGATACTATACAGAATGGTAGAGTATGATTTGATAAAATACAAGGCAATACAACTAGATACAATACAAATAATTATGATACAATATGATATGGCACGGTTTGTCCATTATTGCTGCTTTCCAGTTGTAATCGGAAGTCAGCTCCAAGTTGTAAATTCATCTAGAATGCCCCCCTGAGGTCAGATTTCTGACTCGGAAAGTCGGTCGATGCTCACCAATCCCGACTTGACGACAACGTCATAATCCAAGATGGCAGCGCAGTGCATTGACAGTAAAGAGTAACCGTGAAAGCTCTCGTAATGTATTGTTTATTAGCACTTCTGTTTCGTTTTTGTGAAATTAAATAAGTGGTACATGTTGTAGTGCCCAATGTCTAACTGTGAACATGTTGTTTTTAAGAGTAAAATACTGTGTTATGCGGTATTGACAGCTGGTATAGCTAACAACTAACAACAACCAACAACAGCTGACAACAGCTAACAAAAACTGACAACGGCTAATGATGGCTGACAATTCTTAACAACAGCTAACAATGGCTAACAGTAGGTGTCCATCTTGGTTTTCCGACTTGCCGTCAACTCTGGTGTAATGTCATTCCCAGCTCTGACATCTGACTTCCGAGGTAACAGGAAGGCAGCATATATGCAGTATGGTTTTATACATCACAATATAATATGATATTGTACAATAAGATATGATTTGATATGATATGGGTTACACTGCAAGTTACACATGATGACCACAACTGTATCAAAATACAGTGGTTCTGTAATAATTCACATAACAAAAGACACTTACATGATGATCTGTAATGATACATGATAAAGACAGGATCAGGATCAATATGATCAGCTCCACCACTAGGGTTCATGGGGAGTCATTTGGAAGGGGGCTCTGTTTTGAGCACATTATCATTTTCAAACACACATACCAACCAGATGTGATATTTGTATTTTGAGTCAGACAATGATGTGATGCTGTATTGATGCTTTGTCCCACCTGTATGTTTAAGAGTGTTTGTGAACATGTTAGCAAGATCAACTTTGTAGGATGACAATATTGTAGTCGCCTACCATATGTTTTGAGCTTGTTTTGTGCACCGTAAGTAATTTAAATGTTGTTTAAATATATATATGTCACCAGTTGTTCAATGTTATTTTTGTACATTTGCATAAACAAACTTCTTCTTTCAGAAAGTCGATCCAATCCTTACCAATACATAAGGGGTAGCATTTTTTTTGGCTGCCTTTATTTTGGCAAATAAACATAATTTTGCTGCTCAAAACTGCTTGGCTGTGATTTGCAAACGAATTAGCAACTAGGATGCAGGACGGGAAGGCAGCCATCTCCCTGTATTAAAAGATCATGATCATAATTGCTCAGCAGATACACAAATCCTCTATGTGCCGCTATCCATCTGGCCAAAAGTTAGGTCTTGTTCTGGCTCACAACTTTCTTGGACACATTGGAAATAACAAATTAGTTTCATAGATCAGAACAAGTCCAAAAAATGTGATCTTGTTAATGTCAGCTGGCAAAATCACCCGCCAGGAGTCGAAGTCATGCAAGTTCATGTTATGAGCCTTAACAACAGCTCGTCTCTCACTGTTTCAAGATACCTCACTCTCACAAGTCTTTTACATTTTTGACACCTATAGTGGAAATGTGTAACACCCTTAATTACATTAAATTTGAAGAGTGTCAGCCCTAATCTCTCGAGGTTTCCTGTCTAAGTCGGCTTGCGTGTGTGTATGAAGAGCAAGGCCTGAGAAAATGAAAGAGATATTTTATTTAAACAAGGCGTTAAAATTTCATTAAAAAAAAAACATCAGGTGTGTGTGTGTTTGAGCGAAAGTGTGTTTGTGAGTGTGTGTGTTTTCTGTTCATAATGAGGACAAAATAGGACAGAGGTGAGAGCTGTTAATCAATACCCTTTGCTCTTCCTTGTCGATAAATCTATATGCTAAGCACTGCAGAGAAAACGAAAAATTGACTGCACAAGCTTTCAGATTTGTGCTTATTATGACCCCAGAGTGGAGAGGTTGCACAAGAAGGTTTTTTTTTGAGTGAGTGAGTGAGTGGGATCTGTTATCCGGGCAGGTGAGAGGAGGCATTTAGAGGCTCTGCTATACTGACTGACAAGGAGACATAGTGACAGGCAAAGAGAGCAGAGAGCGTGGAAGAAATCATTGAGGCACTCAAGCTCTGGGAACACATGATCCCCGCTTACACTGTATCTCCGTGCCTTACAAACCCAGACATGAGGAACAAGTAACCTGGAAGAGACAGATATATTCTCTTAATCCCGTATCAAGTGTAGATTTTGACCCCAGTATCACACGTCACTACAGCGGGAGAGTTACATGAGGTTACATGTGGTGGTTGTAAAGTAAAGGGTTAAAAGACAGACATGCATATGCAAGAATGCACTTCCTAAATACATTTAATTTAATCTCTGTCTTCAGATAACATCTAGTAACCAGTGCCAGGAGTCGCATTCAATTTTTGCATATGGCACTAAAAGTATTTAATGAATCACTGCACTTCAAATCTGCGCTGGAGTGATTGTGTTTTTGTTTCTCTCTATGTCAATTGTAGCGGTCACATTTTCTTCATCCTCACTGATGTTCTTCAGTTCTGTTGCTCATTGTCTGTAAAAATATTCCTGTGTCTGTTTTTGCCTATTTGAAGCACTCCGAGTTGCCTCCAAGTTCAAAATGTGCTATAAATAAAGCAGCCGTGCCTTGCCCTTTCTTCCAGCCCAGACAACAATGACACAGTAGAGTAGGTTAAAGGTATAAAAAGCATGTGAAAAATAGACTCCCTTGGCAATAACATGCTTCTCAACAGTGCATACATACTGCATGTATGCACGGGTTATATATGCATGTGCTGTGGATATTACGCTCACAATCAAAGAGCAGCAGCTGTAGCAATGCTAGCAGAGCACAGACTTCACCAAGTTAAATGTTGGATGATAACAAGAAATATGACTAAGGGTTTGAATTATTCATCAGTGTGCCCTGGAACTGTTAAGAGGACTCAAGAAAGTATGAATGTACTCTGCATATGGACAACAATGCCTGTGTTTCTATCTCTCCTTTTTTATGACCATACTTCTATGAATCCTATGTAAGGTAATGTCTCATGTCTGATATATTATTTATGACATGCAATGTATATTTATTATCCCAGTTATGCAACAAAGAGGTGTCTCATATTCTTTGTCTTTTTTAATTAGTTTTTAAATGATACAACTTTTTCTTCTCTTCATCAATTATGTTTTCTAAATGCAAATGTTTTTACAACTGTTTTTGTAAAATGAGTCATCGTGATAGCTTTACTACAAAGACAGCAATGAAAAGTCTACAGTCTGATTTCTTTGACAAGAAAACACAAAAGCACGCAAAGGTGACGCTGCCAAATGAAAGTGACAAGGTTTGTATAAAACTATACAAATGATACAAATTCTGATGTGTGCAAATTGTGGAATAACTGGTGGGATTACAAAGAGATTGCTGCCTGAAGCAAAGTAGCTCATCACCTCTGATTTCCTGTTGAGATTCATAAACCAATATGAAGAGCGATAGATTCATAACAATTGACTTCATGTTCTTATACTCACCATATGTAAAAGACAGATTCTCATAAAAATCCAAGACACACAGATGCTCTCCAGAGGATGAACACCCTTTCTGCACACTCACTGATCATCCCCTTATCCCCTTATTAAAAAGCTGATTGCAGTAATAACCATAGACTGTATAGACAACTTGGTTCCGCCTTCCGCCTAACTCTTGGTAATTCTGCGTTTTTTCTCTACTTCCTGAAACCAACATTGCCCAGTAGCGTTGTACGCACTCCACCACTTGCGCAGTAGCATTGTACATTGGACTCTGCAGATGCATTTAATATGACTGCTCATATTGCAGTAAGAACAAAACTAAGATCGATTGCGTACAAACTCAAAGATTAGGAAAATACTTTGTGCCAACATGACAGTTTTGTATCTGACTGATGAGCTGAAAACAATAATGGACTGAGGATAGAGCCTTGGGGAACACTGCAATAAAATAGCCCTCACAGTTATAAGAATAGTCTGTGGAAACAGAGCCAGAGTAGTATGTAACACACTTTGGCTACATCCTTGAGATTTACTGAAGTTTTATTTAATAGGAAATAAATATGAATTGATGAATCTGTCAAAAGCGGCACTAAAATCTGGTCTACTCCAGTAAAAAAAGGTCAAATTGTGACCTTGATACGATCTGTTTCATTGCGGTGATACACTGACTCAACATCTCTGAAATAAATCAGATCAAGAGCTTCACATTTACAACCTGCTCTTCTCTTCTAAATGAGACTGTCTAGGCTTCTATACGAACCATGAGAGTTGACACAGAGCGCCTAAATGCTTCAACCTCAGCAGAATGATTAATGGGCTATATGTAGTCAAAATATGTGGAAACACAGGTGTGTTTATGACATGCTAAAAAAAGGACCGGGATCATTTGTCATCCTGGAGATACATTCAGCCTATAAATGCAGACTTTAGTCGACTGAACACAGAAATGAGACACTAGATTCTGACTGGTTCTATCACAACCTCCTCTTTATCAATGTTCACATGACTGTCAGTAACCTAAACAGCTGTCACAGACGGCGATCAATTCTCGTCTCGTGTTGCTTCATGTTTTTAATTCACATTTCTGACTGATTTATGAGTTCGACGGTAGCCAAACTGCATTCATATGTCATCTTAAGTGTGGCATGATGGGAGAATAATCAGAATTTGTTGGCTGCCATCTGAAGCACAATACCACTGACAGAGGAGGAATCGGTAAATCTCTGTTTGTGCATGCAGGGAGGACAGAAATGACAGCAACCTCTTAGGCTTTGATTTCCTTTTAAAGTGGTTTTAAAGACAAACCCGTGTTATCACCGGATTCCATTTTTATGATGGCAATCAAGCATGGTTTAACAATGTAGTTGAAAAGTATTTCAGTTATGATCATTTACAGTCGTGTTTAGTGCCTCAATACACCCCCAGAAGTGTTTATGTTATATGACAGTGTTTTAGTTATTATTCTTCAGATATCATCACTGCTTCTTTTGAATTTATCAATTGTTGGTAAGCAACCTGATGATAAAATTACCTCTGAAAAAGACAGACTTTTCAGGTATCCTTGCAGCCAATGATTACAGAGCTGCCAAGGCTCACGCTTTGAGTGTGACAGTAACGCAGTTGGGCCCATTCTCACACCACACGCCACACTTTACATTTCTCTTGCTTATATTTCCCCATTCAATACTCTGTATTTATCTTTTTCATGATAATAAACTTGGCTTGCTGTAGTTAGAGTAACTCTGATTGACTGAATATATAAACCAATCAGAAGCAGTGTAAGGCAGATCTTGGCGTCTCTGTCCTTCACGCACAACTGCGCCGACATTTAAAACCCACTTTCTAATTTCTACTTTCTGGTTAATTGAGACTAGCATTAGGAGGCCACAGTGCAGGGAGAGCAGCTGGCATGGAGGTGAGGACATCAGTCTAAAGGTACAAATCAACGTTAAAAAAGGCCAAATTTTTTTTTGCCGCCGACCACAGGTCAGAATCCAAACACATCATAGCGCTAAAGTCTCACTCTTGTCATTTTCTGAAACTTGGTAGCTCTGGATTATTAACAGCTTCCAGCCAGTTAAGACTTTTTTTTAAGACTAAGCACAATTGGATCCTCTTTACGTCTGCATAAAGCACATCAGCTTTTTTTTTTGGCATGTTACATCAGCAGAAAAGCGCCCATACATCTGCGTCAAGTGGTTCTCAGTTTCACAGTAAATAGTAAGTTACACTAAAGCTTTACCCTGGCTAACTTCAATGGTATGTGTCTGATCTACTTGCAGTTATAGGGTCTTGAGTTTGCTGAAATAACACCATCGTAATGCATTTTTTTTACTTAAAATATAAGCTTTGTGGGGAGAAGAAAACCATTTGTTTGTTTGTTGAACAGAAATCTGGTTGATCATGTCTGATACATTCCTTGAAATGCTATAATTGGTGTCCATTAAACAGAGTCTCCATACAGAGCTGTTTTATCTACATACACGAAAGCCTCCTGACATGTGATTGGCAAGTACTGCATGTTAGTACTACAAACATACTGCAAACAGGAGCCAGAGTACTTACCCTACATACATACAGCCCCCTGGATGCAGATTACACTTATAACATCTGTTTATGTACAATCTGTGAACAGAGATTGGTTGGTAGGCGACAACACAGAGCAGACTCTTGATTTGTTAGGTGACATGGTTAAGATCTAAATCCAGTGTTTATAGCTGCAGTAATACGCTTTGGTATTTTCTGATGATATGAATGGCTTAAACCAGGCAAGTCCAGGATGCTGTTACATAAATTTTACTGCAGGTTTAAAAAAAAGGCTTTTCTCTCGGCGCCAATTTGACTGCAAAGAGCTGCTTTGCCAGTGGTCAGACACAATCTTATTTTATGGTGACTCAAATCTGATTTGAGCGAGACACAGACAATGCCATGGCTGACAAAGAAGGTAAATACAAAGAGGGAAGCTTCAAATTGGGCCTGGAGTCTCCTGGAAAATAATTAATGTGACATTTCCCTGACATTTAGTCGGAGGTATCGTGAAGGGGCCTGAAGACGGGGAGGAAGGAAGCAGAGATATGAAACAGTCAGGGAAAGAAAGAACGACAGGAAGGACAGCAGAAAGAACACAGGCAACAACTCCGGGCTTCCCCCCTGAACATCCAAGCAAATATTACATTTATGACTAGTTCTCCCTTGTGCTTCTCTGTGCAGACATTAGAATACAGTTACAAAGCAGAAGTGCCAACACAACCTTGCACACACTGCAAACAAATAGACTCCAATGTTCAGTACCCGCTACTTCAGAGATGACCAAATTACACTTTTGTTGCTTAGTTACCATTTGTTTTGTGCTCATCTCAACCGTTCGCCATCTGTTTATGGCCTGTTACACATACAACTCCAGTTTTGACCTGGGATAGAGGCGCACACAGCTGATGTGCTCAGACTGCGGTTAAAGCTGGACACCTCGACAAGCCCACACTGTGCTCAAGCCTATTAAAAAAGGCTAAGATGATACATCAGTCTCTATCAAAGCTATTAGTTGTTTGGTCTGTGGTTTCACATTGCCCTTTTGAGCTAATTAGCCGCTGATAAACTTGGCGTCTTGCTGTGTCAAGGTTGCTTTTATTTGTGGTACACCACTGTATCTCGCCTTATAATGATGCCAGATCACAAGACCTGAACCTTTATTTTTTAGTGGCGGTCTCTGCATCCACTTATGCCTCATATGAGCTGCAGTATATATTTCCAGACGCGGTACGCACACACACACACACACACACACACACACACACACACACACACACACACACACACACACACACACACACACACACACACACACACACACACACACACACACACACACACACACACACCGTGCTGTGTCATTTCTCAAAGCAAAGAGATCCTATCTGGGTTAAAAGCACTTGAAAACTGTGCTGCAGAGATCTGTTGATAAATTGAAGACATCAGGGCGTGTTAATGGAGAAAGGAGCGTATGGTCGACTCGGCTCTGAGTGGTCAGCTCCTTTTTGTAGGCTACAGCACTTTCTTAGCTCTAACACAATAAACATTGATTTTACATCCCTTTGATTCTCATGAAGAAGACATTTCACTGACAGACTCCCAGCTCTCATCTTTGTCCGTTTGAGAGGAGGCGCTGACAGTTCTCACAAATCCTCACTGCAAAGCTTCACACAGCAGAAACTACTAATAGTTTCATTTCAGTTTCTTATACAATTTCCAAACAAAGCATTCAGTGTCTCTTAAAACATTACTTGAAAAAAAAAAAAAGCATCCTCTTTAATCCAGTGAAGGAGGTTGTGATCAAAGGCTGAAAGTGCTTAACACTGCTGTGGTCGACCAGGTTGCGGTTGCAGGTGTGGCTCTCTGAAAGGCCCGCTGAGGACCAACTCTGTATGCATACCTGATCTAAGTCAGCACTCTCAGGCACAGCTTTCCAATGGGGAAATAGCACAATGTGGAGTCAGGCTCTCACTCTGAGCTGAAAACACAGATTTTGACACAAATGAATGTGATATGTATTCATATAATTGATTTTATCCAGTTATGTAACCCTGATCATCTTTTTAAAACATTATTTAACCATAAACTCATCAAGGATACATATTTTGATTGACAACCATATAAGGACAAAATCTGTAAATTTGAGACTCTGCATCTGGTCCCCCCTGGTTTTGCACATGCAGAGATATGTGGCCATTTTTTGGTTTTGCAGATTTGCCACTTCCAAACTGAAGTACAGAAATACAACAAAGCTCTGTGGGGTTTTTGAGGTATATTTTTGCTTGAATAAGTTTCTCTTTTTATGCACTTTAGTCGATTTCTTCGGTTTATCTACATTAACTTATGTTATATTACCTATAAGCAAACTTTTTGTTGCTCATGAGTTCAGTTTTCATTATTTGTCTTGGTGGACTTTTTTTTAATAGCACTTGTAAGTGAACCTAAAAGTCCCACTCCAATAGTTTTTTTTAACTTACTACTTAAAGTGTTCTCAGTGGTCTTAAGCTTTTAGCCAAAATCACGTTACCTGTGTTATTTTCAAGGGCTTCTCTTCTGCAGAGCTCCAGTAGATTGTGAACAATTCATCTCTAAGTCGTGTGCAAAGACAGCGCTGCTCTGCACACTCCTCTTCAAGCTCGCTTGCAGCCTAACATTGTCAATGTAGTAAAAGTTGCAAGTAACATAGGACTTATTCGGCTAAGTAATCTAATGTCTTTGGGGACACAATGAAAGCTAGTATCATAATTAGTTTTAATACGAGCATTGCAATCCGCTAAAGCATGTTTGTTCCATAATTGTCCTCTCTACTTCTCTGAGTCTGGCCTGCGGGGGCGGAGCTTGGAGTTGTGATGTAGGAAATCTCACTTTTTTGAGCCTGCTGCTTGGGTCTGCCAGAGATTCACAGCAATTTGAATGCAGAAATACTCAGAAATGCAACTTGGCATGTATTTTTTTCATGATATGTCCTGTTGCATCAGAAAAATGCTGTATGAACATGTAGACAACAAAAAAAAACATGATTTTTATGGGAGTGTGTCTTTAAAGACAGCAGGTTTACCAACACTAACAGTTTAATGGTTGTTAGTTTCACATATCTCTGCCATTATACAGAAATCTTTGCTGGTACTAAGCTTTTTAATCTGGTCAGCGTTAGACAAACTTTGACAAGTTGAATTGAGGCAAAAGAGCAAAAAGGGTCACACTACTCAATCTCTCTGTCAGTCAAATCTGTCACTGTCACATTAAACGATCACAGAACAATGATAAAATCATGCTGTGCTTTCACTAACAGGCATCAGGATACACGATGGTCCCTCACAACCAACAAGCGGATGTTGGAGGGAAGTGGGATAGAGCAAGAGGACACCCAAAAATGCTAAAAGCAGTCACTCACTGAGTGGCTGTAGTGAATCTTTATTAAAATAATTAGTGCATAAAACTAACAAACAACAACATGGGCCTTAACTTTAGCTGCAGTGGGGCTGTCACTTCTCCTTTACTTTGCTTGGGTTTGGCCTGCCTGCTTTCCTTTCTCTCAGGTGCTCTATTTGTTTATCAGAATCATCAGTGCAATGACAAGTCACAAACGTCTTCATGGTATCCCCCTTAGCATCAATGCATCCAAATGATTTGAACAATCTGTAACAATTTCTGACTTGTTTATGTAAACTAAGATATGATGCAATATCTCAGCAGAACCCTCCAGCAGAATACCTCATATTCACTTGGATGTCGCAGGGTGGGGCTGTCACAAACACTAAGGTAAGATGCATAAAGACTGGGATGAATGGAATAACTTGAAGGGTCAGATGCTTGTTTGTTTGAGATACTGAATTTTAGGTATTATAATCATCCAAATGACAAGAAATAAACACTTGAAATATACCGGTCAGTGTGTGATGAATCCATATAAAATATGAGTTTCACTTTTTTGATTGAAAAACGAAAAGAAATCAACTTTTTGAAGATAGTCTAATTTATTGAGATGCACCTGTATCTGTGTTTTGACGCTGGTGTGTGTGTGAGTGTGTGTGTTCGAATGACAGCGTGCTAGTAACAGACATATTTTGAAACATGATTTAATAATTAAACAATGGACTTTTGTTTCAAGTTGCATGAAAAACGCATTAGTGGAGAGCTGCAAATAATGAGCCTTGTGTCATATTTTAAAAACGGTCGATTGTGCATGAAGAGAACCGCTTTCACTGTTACCAAACTCATCTGTGAGCAAAGACATGCTTTCAACAACAGTAATGGCAGATAATAACTCACACATCCCACACAGACAAATCACATTCTCTGGCCTTTTCTGCTATTTTCACTCTTTACTTTTGTGTTCCAACCTTGGAGCGATCAAAACAAAAGCAAACACCGAAGCCCAACACATGGAGGCGTCCTGAGTGACCCACTTTGTGCAACTGGAAATGTCTTAAAAATGTGTTAGTAGGTCTAAAAGTCCATGGTGCATTACCACATGAGCACTGCTTTTGTTAACCTCTTTAATGATGTTCAATATTCATGTTTAGTTGTTCATGTTATTTACACAGAGATCATAGCAGTCCTCAAAACATTTTTTTTTAGCCGAACTTTTGACAGATTTTTTAAAACCTACTTATCTTGCTTTTACTCTTTGAATGAGATGTTTCTCCTGTTTTTAACCAGTAACCTATTTCTATATACCTTTACTGAGACATTTCGATGCTTTAACGTGTTGCCCTTTGAGGTCTCTGGATGTAAAGGGCACTACAAATAAAATCCATCCATTTTCTACCACTTATTCCCATTCCCGGGGTCGCGGGGGGGCTGGAGCATATCCCAGCATCTTCGAAGGCAGGGGACACCCTGGACAAGTCGCCAGTTCATCGCAGGGCTGACATATAGAGACAAACAACCATTCACACTCACATTCACACCTATGGGCAATTTGGAAGTGGCCTATTAACCTAACCCCGCTTAGGCATGTTTTTGGGATGTGGGAGGAAACCGGAGTACCCGGAGTAAACCCACGCAGACACAAAGAGAACATGCGAACTCCACACAGAAATGCCCTAACCCGGATTCGAACCTAGGACCCTCTTGCTGTGAGGCAGTGCTAACCACTACACCACTGTGCTGCCCCTACAAATAAAATTAATAATAATAATAATAATAATAATGATAATAATAATAATAATCTTCTGTCATCAAGTCTTTTCCTAGTGGTCAGCTGATAAGCTTTCTTTTTTTGGCTTATAAAAAGAGGCTCTTTTTTAAATCTATTTATCTATTTTTCAAAAGAATGCTCCATGGGTTGGTCACATACCACAACAAAGCTTTCCAGAAGCGAATCATAAACCCAACAAAAGGTGAAAACAAAGTTTTTCGACTCGAAAAGTGATGGAGGGAAAGCTTTGCATGCAGCAACCGAGTGTGAGCTGCAGCAAGGATCAGCGAGAGAGAAGACATGTTTGAATAGACCGTCATGCTGCCAGTATGGGCTGCGGTTGGTTTGTACGTGATTGGAAACAATGATTCAATCAGCAGCCTGTCCGCTAATCACAGCTGAGGCGTATGGCTTTAACGGTGTGTCCGATATAAGCTAATGTAAAGCTACATTTATGTCGCCCCTTCAGACAGTCCTCTTCTTTTCACTTATCCTCATTATTCTCCATTTGTTGCAACACAATGTTTCAGCCATGGTGGCATTCACAGTACTGGAATAAGCCATCTGTGATCACAGCCACTGACATCATACACTATCACTTGCCGAGAAGCACAAGCCTGGTGTATTCCACTTTGACACTTATTTACAGGAAAACTAGAAACTGCAGGATAAACATATGATTATTCTCTTCTGCGCATTCAATTGCACTCACAAAACACATGTACACAAATCCCACAACAACGCAGCAATGATCAACGGTCAAGTTGCAGGAGTGTTATTACATAAATGAAACTATGACTGTTTCTTATATAGATAATACAGTAAATGCCATATAGATGTCGTCTCATACAGCTGAGTTTTTCACTCCATTAATAGTTTCATCAGAAAATGAACAGAAGGCTCATCCCTTATCAGGGGTGGCTTAAGACCTTGTGAGTTCTCTTTCTGACCGTTGTTAAGCCGAGGATAACAGGAGGACTTTAATTTGTTTTGCTTGTGGCTGAAAATCAAAGTACTGAAGATTCAGAACTGACCTGAGGGCAGCACTGGTGGAGATGTTTGAGTATCACTGTGATTTAATAAAATGGAAGAATCACCAGAGCCATTATACTTTGTCCTTTAGAACCACGATTGTAGGAACGCATGAAGACGTACGTATGTGAATTTCAAAGTTAAGATTTTCAGTCTAGAATTGACTGACTGACTCAGTGCGTTTACATGCACAGCTTAACCATACTCAGCTCATAATTCGTTCTTTTCACCGAACTGGACTTCTCTCCTTGTCTGCGTATACATGAAGCTGAGAAAATCGAATTATTGACATGAATATGTCCTCCTCACCAAAACTAGGGAACGATATGGGTCTTTTCAGCGGCGCTGTTTCTGTTTGACCCCATACAACTGTCAACAACAACAGCAGATCCGTGCCAGACGTCAGAAGTGGCTACAACTGCTGCTGGGCTTTTTCGAGCAAGAAGATGGAGTATTGTACAGCGTTGTTTTTGTCGTATATGATGTACGCGCTACTTTTTCTGCAGATGAGGTGCACGCTACTCCTTGTGCCACCTCTTCTCTGGTGATTTTGTTCTGGGGTTACGGGGACGTGGCGCACATGCATTGTCCAATCATACTCCGATTACGCTGGTTCCATGGTAGAGAAAACTGAATTCCGATCTGGGTGTCTTATCGGAGTTCTCCGACTCCAATCGGTGTTCTCAAACTCTGATTATAGTTGGACTAAGGTGTTTACATGCACTTCAGTTGTCCGGTCTTAATCGTAGTGAGGCAAAATTTTGGTTTTCTCGAGTGTCATGTAAACGTACTGACTGACTGGGTGGCACTGATGTCTGTAGATACATGTTTAAATTTTATATGTAACATTTTTAATATTCTACTGATTATTCTAAGAGTTGGTCTGGACAAGACACCATCTTGCAAGTGAAGGATTCTCCCAACCAATAACCCACCAATATGTTAGCCTACAAAAAACAGCCAATCAATTACCTTTGCTGCAACAGATGAGCTCGGCTTTTCCAGGAGATCCCAGAGCTTCTTCCGTTTCTCTGCACAGCAAGTATTGTCGAATTCTTCTCCCTCTCTATCTTTCAAATTGTCAGCCTCTCTTTTGAGCTCCTCGTTCATCTGCTCCTTTTTCTGGTGGTACCTCGCCTGACAGCAAGACTCCAGGTAGATCTCGTCAATGCCCCAGTAGTCCAGCTCTTGACTGAACGAGAGAGCGCACATTTCCTCCATCATGTGCAGCTTACCCGTGCGGTAGAAGTTCAGGATCGACGTGAACGCCCCTGGATGTCTGTCGAAAAAATACTCGTTCTCCTCCAGGTTGTAGTCATCGCACACCTCCATCAGAGACTCATGGGTGTTGCAATCTCTTAACTTTCCCAGACGTGTTCGTGGAAGCCTGTCTAACGTTCGCCACAGGACTTCATGGGGGAGACCCCCCACATTCAGCCGGACTCTGCGAAAACATGACTTGCTTCGCAGGATGTCCACCGGTTCAGGCGGCAGTGAGGATGTGGAACGGGAGGCAGTTTTGTTCAGTTCAGCCAAGGATTTCTCCATGGTGACTTTAGGTTCGAGGAGCAATGAGGCAAACATTTTGGCTATGGAGTGCAGCAGATCCTCTTACTTGACGTTAGAATATCTGTAGGATCAGAAGAAAGCATATAAGTCTTTGTAGTATCTACCACTGATGTCAAAGCCTATACATCACGCATTAGATACGATACATGGAGATCTGGGCCAAAAGGAACCAAAGGGTCTTTAACCCTGTTTCCATATCCTGTTATTTGTTTTGACCACAAAAGGTTTTTAAAATAACCCTGATATGCCTGAAATTTGGGAGCCTTTTAAGAACTGTGAAAAAGATATCCAGCCAAAAGTTTGGAAAAATATGCAAACCAGCAGGCAGCTGAAGACCAGCATTCAGACACACTTGCTAGAAAAGTCCCAGAGTAGAGAAATACCAAACAGATTAACCCCACTCTGGTTTGGACATTTCTCTCTCAATTTCTTGTATTACAGAATCTAATGATCTGATGAATTCTTATTTTAACTCTTTTAAAAATAGAAAATAAACCCACCCATGGATGGGGGATCTTGCAGTGACTCACTCATGCAGTATAGAGATTTTACAAAGGGTAAATAATAGAATCCAGACTTAATAATACATTGTCACCAACGGAAGCACGTTGTTCAGCTTCACTGAATAGAGTTTCCCACGCTTCTCATCAAAAATCTGTTCAAACTTGATCAGACTGAAGACCAAGAATGGATCTGTATGGTCCTCAAGACAAGAACTGAACACAGCTAGTTTAAAGGTTTTGTAGGTCCTGAATTTTGGGTCATATAAATCTTACTTACTGGTGTTATCACATACTTTACTGTGTCATCTTCTTTAAGATAGCTTTTAATACTTCTAAACAAAACCTCACATTGTGGGTTTTGGAGATGACTCATACCTCAGAGTCCCCAGAATCATACATTTCTGTTCAGGGTTAAACAGAAAAATTATTTCGATAAGTGATTGATATATTGATAATCTCGCTCTGCCGCTGACTAATGAAAAAGCGATTACATCAAAACTCTACACAAAACTGGTACCATCTTTTCCTTCTTGAGACATGTCCGCTGCAGTGACTGGTTTAAATTTACTGTGAAGAGCAGATTGGAAGAAAGTCAAAATAGTGATGGAAGAATTAATTTCTTATTACTGAGAAAATATCTCTTCCTGAATGCCTCATATGGTCCAGAGCACCTTAAAGGGATATCCCGGTGTAAAATTAATTTAGGGTCAAACACACCGTAACACCTTAAGTTAGACACCCCCTCCAGAGATTAATGTTGCTGACCACTTGCTTCTCTAGTCATACCAACCTTAGTAACGACCGCACGATAGCAATACACAGCCGTCTGAGGAGCCATAAACAAACCTCAAACAAAACGCCACTCTATAGCCACAAATAATGCTCAGAACAGCACCTAACTTAATCAACAGGACATACAGGGTCCCAGCCATAGTACTAGCCACCAAACATCTTTTTAACTTTGCCTAATTTCTTTAGCAAAGAGACTAAACACAACTCACCTACTCTCTTCCAGCAGCCGCTCGTGAAATGCAGCGGGGTTACGCAGCTCAAGGAAGAACATTTATGATCTTGACTTTATCATTTCCTTGAAGTAATAATCATCATATTAATCATTTTGCACTGCAGATGCGGTAGTTCTTCTGCCTTAGCATCTCGGTCTGATTGCATTTCTTTGAAGAAATTATCATAAATGTTCTTCCTTGAGCTGTGTCACCCCGCAGCAGTCCGTAATGGACTGAACCGAGGGCTCATTACAAACAAGCGGCTGCGTTTTGGTTGAGGTTTGTTTATGGCTCCTCAGACCGCTGCGTATTGCTATCGTGCGGTCGTTACTAAAGTTGTTATAACTAGAGAAGCAAGTGGACGGCAACATTCATCTCTCAAGGGGGTGTCTAACTCGGTGTTATGACGTGTTTAACCCTAAATTAATTTTACGCTGGAATATCCCTTTAAAGAGTTGGTGTTAGGAGTATTTTCTTTAGCCAGTCATGTCATCCTCTAGGGTGGTGGAGCGGTGTCACTCAAATACCCTGAATACTTTGGTGTTAGATTCCTGGAGCCTCCGACAACCATCCTTAGCATGGACCTTGTCGACATCACTTGGTCTCCCAAAATATGTTGCGATCCCCTATATGGTCTCTCTTTATCAACTAATGCTCCTTAAAATATGCTCTCTTTTATTCTTACCCTACATGGACTCTCCTTCAGATCAACAAGATGCCAGAAGAATGTTTGGAAACATGGACGGCTATATACACTTAAACAGTCTCAGACCAATCTTTGTTACACTTATGGCATGCTGAAGCTGTAACCCAGATCTGCAACCATTCTTTCAAGCGTGAACATGGGCTAGGCATGATGTGATCATCTTCTAAACTGATTTCTTTCCTCTCTCTGAACACAGACCAACTTGGTTTATCAATGCTCATGTGACCCTCATTAATTGCTAAGGGTACAGTGGGTGGACAGCCAGAACACCATCGCTGTAATAATTGTGGTCCAATGTGAATGCTGTCCACTCTAATGGTGCTGAAACACCAGGAAGTGCTGCTCACTCCCTGAGCTCCCCTAGGGAGAAAGGCTGAAAATAAATAACCCACATCTTCCCCTCAAGAGGGTCGAACAGTTTTGATCCATTTGTGGCTGCAGACATGGCAGGAGCTGCATGTTTCTTTTTTTCTTAATTTTCTTGGTCTTTCATTTTGTTTACTTTGCGGAAGCCAAAAAAAACACCCCAGGCCTGCAGTTATAATCATTGATCAATGTCACACAAAGTTTCAGATACTTCACAAACACACCTCAGGCCCATTCTGTACCTGAGTATGCAAAACAAAGCACTTGCAAAAAGAAGAATGGACAAAGAACGTGGTACAAGTGAATCAGATTGTGCTATGTCGTTTCTTGCACATGCAGTAACTGGCTGCAGGAAGGCAGAAAATATAAATGTTAATTTGAGGAAGCCTCCACCCTCTTCCTATACTAAAGTCAATGTTTGCAACAAAAAGATAAGATAAAAAGAGCACGTCTACCTGTGCAAACACTGTGCTTCATGATGATAATGGTACAAGCTCAGTGAGGTTCAGTCATCTGCAACAGCACTGTTGTGGATGCAAATCCTCCATCGTTAGGCATTTCTCTGTTTTCAGAGGCTGCCTGGCCCATAATGGTTCGGATTCAAGGCACAGTAAAGCTGCACAACACTGACTATCATTTACAGTAGGTATAGTTACACATGATCAAGAGAGTAGAGGCTAAAATAAGCTTTGAAATATACCGTAGAGAGTTGTTGTCATTATCAAATCAGCACGTACCGCTCTGTGAACGATCAATCCGCAGGCAGGCACACACGGAGATGAAGCATCAAAAAGGAAAAAAACAAAAAAACAAAAAAGCAGGCTCTGTTATTGGTTTACAATTGCCAGGGTCTAACCCAATCCATGTCCCCTTCTTCTGCCTCCGACATGGCAGAGACACCGTCAACATCTACTGCCCACCAGCCGGCTTCCTGCTCCGCATTTCGCTCTGCTGGTTCGCCCAGAAGATCAACAAGTACGCCGGACGGACTACCTGTGCTCCCCCCCGGTCAGCTGTGTGAGGAGGCGCCGCATCTCTCTGAAGGTGGATCCATGGCAGCTTCAGCAGGCTCTCCTCCACAGCTCATTAACTCTTTCAGCGCCGAGACTACACGCCTGGCTCCATCACTTCAGTCGACTCAACCAGCAGCAGCAGTGCCTCAGTGTTCAGGCAGGGCTGTGTATATTCAGCATGATGTAATGTGAGTGCTCACGAAAAGATGGGTAAATGTACTGTAGCTGTAAAACCTCCTGAGGATATATCTTCGTTATGTGATCTGAGGCTCTGGGCCAACAGCATGGGTGAATAGATATGGTTGTAGCTTTTATACCGAGCAAAATGTTTCACAATCTTTTCGTTCATTTTTAAATTGTTTTTTTTTTTCTGTTAGACTTGCACAGTTTGCATGTCTAACATAAAACTATACAGTACACTCTAAAAAAACCCTGGGTTAAAACGAATCCAACTTGGGTTGTTTTTGACCCAACACCAGGGTTGAAAAGGGACCACTATTCATTGGGTTATTTTGACCCAGAATATTGGGTTATCCAAATTAACCCAAATTTTGGGTTGACTCAATAACCCCTTTCAATGGTCAAGTTAAAAATAAGAACAAGAAGGATTGTATTAATCCCAGAAGGGAAATTCAATTGTCTGTTGTCTCACATAATATATCTCTAGGAGTTATCTAGGTAACGCTTTCTTTCTTCTTATTACCAGGTAATTAACAGGTAATTACCTAGTAACAACATGAAATCATCTGGTAATTACATGGTAACTACTAAGTCAATACTGTCTAGCTACCAGGTAGGTAACCTCCCATCATCATACAAATTTGAAGCCGAATTGCTCTGGTATTTCCAGGATTTTCTCAGCTTCCTGGAACCACCACTTGCGCAGTAGCATTGTACGCATTCGGCGGGTGAGTCGCAGTGATAATGCTCGGCTCAAACAGCGTATCGCTACGCAATCTTCGCACGCCCATAGGCTGTATCAAGTGTCAATCATAGAAAATAAGAACCTCAAATAGCTTTTGAAAATGGAGCTGCACAGAAAAAAAGAAAAACTAGACAGTATTGACTTAGTATTTATCATGTAATTACCAGATAATTTCATGTTGTTACTAGGTAATTACCTGTTAATTACCCAGTAATAAGTGTACTGTGAAAGAAAGGGTTACTGTTATCTACTATTTACACAAGAGTTATAAAGTCTGATGGTTGTTGGTACAAAAAATCTTCTGAATCTTTCTCTCCTGTAGTGAAGAGAGAAAGAGGAGCCGTCCACCACCTTTGGTCCATCAAAGTGTTGTGAAGTGGGTGATCCATGTTCTTGAGAATAGTCTCCACCTTCCTCAGTGTAGATCTCTCCACCAAATCCTCCACTGAGTCCAGCCACAGAGCCGACCTTTTTCACCAGTTTGTTAAGATGTATTTGTGTTTGATGCTTCCTCTCCAGCAGACTGCAGTGTAGAACAAATCCAAATTAATCCAATCTTTGAGTTAATTTGACTCATGATCTTGGGTTAAACTGACATATGCTTTTTTTGGGAGCTTTGCTTTTATAACCTGTACCCTATGTCTGAGCCGGTTTGGGTTTCAGTGGTAACACACTCGTGTTTATGAGCACTAAGGGTCTTCCCTGAGGACCCATACAGGTAGATGTAGTTCGCTCCTTACAGATGTGTCTCATGCAGGATTCGGCCCCGACCCCCCGGTTGGGAGCTGTATGCTCTACCCGCTGAGCTACCCCAGCCACCCAATATATATTGGGTTAGCTACCCCAATATAGAAACCAGAGTAGAGTCATAGTGTCATAGAGTCGTAGAGTCAATCGAACCCAATGTTCTGACCCAATTATTGGGTTACTCTCTGAAAAATAACCCATTCAAAAAACCCTCAAACTGGGTTACAATAGAAACCATATGACCCAAGAAATGGGTATGGATCTGAAAAATAACCCAGAAATTTAATTTAACACGTATCACCCAGGAATTGGGTGGAAGAAATAACCCAAGAGTTTTTAGAGTGTATGTAGCCCTTTAAACATATTAAAATGGAAGGTTTTTTCTCTTGCTGTTTCTTTGCCCATAAACACCTTTGCAAAGCTGTATTTACTGTTTTACTTTTGCAAGAAATCACACATTTAAAAAAATACTCAATTTGATATGCTTCTTTTTCCTTCACTCATATTAATTGTAATTTTTAGAATGACATCTTGTTATTTCTTCACATTAAAAAATTCAAGTTATGAACATCCAGAACATGATGTCCAGACAAATGCCTCCATTATTGAACACAAGATGTCTCCATTCTGACCTACTCTTTAAACATTTCTCTCTTTTTGTAATTGCTGGTGATGTTAAGTTTTAATATCACATTTCTGTTTATTACAAATCAGACTATGAGTCCCCCAAACTATAGGTGGGAATAGATTTGTCCTCCTGGAACAGATGGATGTGAAAACAGCCCTCTAGTGTTAAACTCAGCACATACATCATTCTGCACAGTGAAAGTAAAAAAACAACTTGTGAAGTAAGAAGAAAAAAAGCTGTTTTTACAGGATGTTTAAGCTCCGAAACGAGCAAAATGTAAGTCTGCTTTTGTCATATTTATTGAAAACTTTAAAAACATAACAAAATTAAATATAAACATCTACAGACCAGATAAAAAATAGAATAAATAGTGCTACATTATTTACAACAAGGTTTGTGGATGGACATTTTGGATTGATTTAATCACATTTCATGCTGTGTCCTCTTCAGTCTGTACCGGATCTGCAGGTCTCCATCCGGCTGCAGCATCCCAAAGCCATAGCGGCTTGTGTTCACTGGAGGCAGTTTAGCCTCTGGGTCACACAACTCCAGATCAAGATGAGTCAGGAACAAGAACACAAATCTGCAGACACAAGAGGGGGGAATAAGAAGCTTGGTTCATCAAACAACATTAATACGAGAAAAAAAATCAGCAATAATCTGAGAGAAAATCGACTCAAGCTAATCTAACATCCAGAAATAACAGCTGTATATTTGAGCATAAGTAGCTCTCCATGTGGCTCCAGTCTACACATCAATATTACACAACCTTTCCCCCCCTTTACGGATAACACGGATTGACCTTTAACCTCTGTAACTGGATATGATGTATGACAAAAGACACTTCCTCCCAATTGACTCTCCTCTGCTGCCCTCAGCCTCTCTGCTCATTACAGAGTGTAAGCATTACTACATTACAGCTTGTTCTAAGTGATGAAAAGAGACATGAAAGCAGGACTCTAATGATAATAGTGCTTATATTATGTGGAGAAGGATTTCTACAGTCTCTACTCTGGTAATTGGGATGAAATTGCAAGAAATGCTTTGATCGCGAATGTAGTGTTTTACAAAACCACGATACAACATGGAAAGATATACATCTAAAAAGGGAAATATAAAAACGGTGGTTCTTTTATTCACTTACTGTTTAATGGCTGAAACGGCAAAGTCTTTACCAACGCAGATGTTTCTTCCTGCACCCCAGGGCACGGTGTGATACTTCAGCCGTTTACCGTCCTTGTAGAACTTGTCCCTCACTGTCATGTCCTCATTTAGGAAGCGATCGTACTTGAAACTCTGGTTCAGATAAGACAATAAAAGAAGTTTAAAACCTTGGTTAGATTTTTGCATTAAAAAGTAAAACAAACAGGTTTGATCTTGTGCCTCCAGCACTATATATCTGTTTAAAATGTCTTGTATCTGTCACCGCTAAGGATTGGGGAAGACAAATGAATCATCTCTGGGACCTGGTTTTAAGTAAGTTGCAGGGGTTAAGAGGCTTAAGGATGTAAAACCTCCACATTAGCCTCAACAAGAACTCAAAGTATGTGCACCTGCATCATCTGACTAAGCTCAAAATTAAAAAAAAACTATATTTCTATGTTTCTTTGGTCACTGCTTTGATTGTGGTCCGTGTACCTCTGGTTGCTGGTGTATCAGTGGGTCGTTCTGAGGGCTCAGGAAGGGGAACAGACAAACTCTGTCCCCCCGCCTGAGGTGGTACTCCTGTCCGCTCGCCATACGGAGGATCTTGTCCTGCACCACCTCTCTGCTGATCATCACGGCTGCTGTAAGCCGTAGGGTCTCACTCAGGACGCTATCTGCAAAAATGGAAAGGACAAGCTGAGTGGATGATGTCAGAGGGCTGTCAGCGCGAATTAAATCAGTCGTGCCCTCTGGCTTCATTTGGACAGGTACAATCATTCGCACAGATATGGTTATATGAAAAAGGCAATCATATTTTAATTAAATCAAAGGTCAAAAACTTCATGTCACTGCCGTACCTCCGCCGTACAGCACTTTTCTTGTCTTCTCCAACAAGCTAAAACAAAATCTGGAGGAGCTCAGTTGAATTAGTAAAGAGGGAGAAGCAGCTGCTACCTACCAAACACAGGTGTGTTGTGTGCTTTCAGCGGGTCAGTGTGGGGGTTCTGGAGGTTAAGGCCCCTGATTTCTGTTTTAACAGCCTCCATCGCCTCAGGGTGAGTGAGCAAGAAGCCAAGGAGCCAAAAGGCAGAAGGTCCAGCATTGCACTTAAAGAACAAAAAAACAAACATCAGAAACACGTACCATTAAATCTGTGCAAACTTCAGTCTAAACTTGTGGTCAATACAGTGCAAATAACACAAAATAAGTCTGATTCTTTGTTCAAGTTTTAGAATATTCAACCGACATTCCCTCACTGCTCTTTGTGAAAATGAATATAACCAGTATATGAGGAGCCAGTTGGAGATACTGCAGTCTGTCAGCTCATCAGGAAGAGACACCTGAACCTGTCAGACGGTAATTGCTATGTGTTAGGGGAGCTGTTCTTCTTACCTCTGCACCTCTCAGGTCAGATCTCTATTGACAGTCAGGGCAAACGCACAAAAAGTGCGACCAAAAATGTTTTAAATTGCGTTTCTACTTCTCAGGTCTATCAGCAGCAGGGTGAGGGCTTCATCAAGGAAAAGTTGGGGAGATAGTTTTAGATTGATACCATTAGCATGTCCGTAGGCTTCATATTTGGTAGGGGGAGCATATTCTGAATCCCAAATAAGAGGACACTACTACGTGGGCGGAGTTGTGTGCATGGGCACAAAGAATTTTGAGGGTTTTATGGGTCGGGTCAAGTTTTTTTCACATGCTTCTAACTTACATTCTGAATTCCCAAAAATTAAAAATTAAAAAAAGACGACATTTTATCTCATCATCTTTTTTTTTCACTGGTGGAAACAGGCTTTCCTATAACATCGGGTAAAAAGAGGACGTATGGTCACCCCTTATTTGGCAAATTTTGGTAACCTTTGGACACAGGTTTCACCCTGCTGCATTTTGGTAGTAAAATTATAGGATTGGCATAAGTGTGGTTTACTCTTGATGAAGGTGAATTCCCAGACTATTGTTTTTGGTTATAAATGTATCAGCCATTAGGTTATAAATGAGGTGTGAATGGGTTAATGTCGCATGAGGTGCAAAAGTGCTTTAAGAGGTCAGAAGACAAGGGAGGGTGCTATCAAAGGTGCAGCTCATTTGTTTACAAATGTAGTGAGAACAGCAGCCACCGGTGTTTGCAGAATTAACACATGTATTCACCAATCCTGGCACCTCTCACCAGTCTCACATCTAATCCCTGATTTCTCTGCAGTGCTGCTCCAGTTTCATTCCCAGACTGTGTGTTCCAATGTCCCAGCTGACAGGATAATACAATACAAAACATTAAAACATGCTGAAGGAAAGATGGTCTCTCCAAAACCAACGGGGGCACCTGAAGGGCTCACCATATGAGATCTGGCAAAGCTGGTTAAAGTATTGAACCCTACATCAGCAGTACAGCAGCAGGAGAGGGGACAGAAGACAACCAAACAGTCATCTTGCTCCCCCTCCTGGTGGTGCAAAGCAATGCCAGTATATTGCTCTGAACTTGTCTGAGGGGAGGGAAAACACAAACTTACATCTACACCTACATTAATATAGATAATAATTGAGTCCATGTGCTCCGTATACTTTTCGATAACCAAGAGGATCTATTCGCTGATTATGTTAAGCGCCACAGAGAAGTGAGTGGTGAAGTTGAGCCTGACAATATTAAGTTTTGTATCCGTCCGCACAGACTTAACTGCATCACAAGAGGACCTGCAGTGTAATCACCAGTGCAACACAGTGCAATATCCGCTTGTTATTGCATTAAACTATTGCATTAAACTATGTACAGAAAGAAAAGGGGAAGCAACTCCAGCTGACTAATACAATTTTTAGAAAGCACTGTACTCGAATGTCGTTACGAAACCACAACTAAGAAAGCATGTCATGGGAAACTGATTCACATGATCAGAAATGGCAAAAATTCTCTCTGAGATACAGGTTGGGGCAGGCAGTTGTGAGTAACTGGCAGAGAGGAATCCACAGCTTTTAACTGCCTCATTGTTGGCAGGCTGAGCACCTTGAAGTGGAATTCAAGTATGCAGCCTGGGTGTGGATAGCGAGTGTGTTTTGGTATCAATGTGTGGCCTTGTTTGTGTGTTTGAAGGGAGAAGGAAGGAGACAGATGATAAAAAAGAAAGTTGTTCTCACTTGTGTGGTCCACAGCTGCAGAAGGAACGCTCTTTTCTGCATTTCTGCATCTGCTCCCTCCTGCTGCAGAAAGTGATGGTAGCTTTGTTGCCAGGACTTTGATTCTGACTCGCTGTTCAGACAGTTTGGTGAGAGAAGCTCCCACAGTCGTTCACGGGACAGGGTGGCTATTTGACTTTCCCCTTTTGGACAAAAATCATTAATTACTCAGCTGAATAGATAATAATACTGAAACATTTACGTGTACTTTACCACATTATACAGTGTTATGGCTGAAAATAAGAAACTTTTCAGTGTTTGGGTTTCTTTAATGATAATAAACAAGAGTTATCCAGTAATCAGACATGTGTTGAATGTGGGGTTTACAGCAAATCACTCAAAACTTTTCATGTTTGTGAATTGCACACTTTGAGTACAATGTCTCATACAGTTTGCAATCATAAGTTGACAAATAAAGGGAAAAGAAATGAGGGTTACATTACCTCGTTTAAGTGAGCAGCGAGCCAGTTTGGTGAGAAGATGATCGAACTTGCGAAACTCTTCGTAGACCACAGACGCATTTTCTTGTTTCTCAAACAGTGTCAAATATCCAGCCCTGAACACAGAAATAGAGTAAAAAATCTGCCTGTCTGCCACTCCTGGTAGTGTAAACACGAATATTAGATGAATCACAGTGAATCTGAGCTGCAAAGTTATGTGATACCTGAAAAGTAGACTGTAGCAAAGGCTGAACAGTCCATCCTTTGTCCACTGTGAAGGGCTGCAGCATTTTTGGTCACTCAGCAGCAGATTCTGGAGGTGAACGCTCATAGAGCTGTTGAGCTTGGAGAGATTCAGACCTCGAAAATGCCTGAGGGGTGAAAGAGACATCCTTTAAGATTTGCAGCACACATTTCAGACAAAACTTCCCCCGCTCACTCCCGAAGCATGATGTCTGCATTCAAAGAGATATGTCTTACTGTTCCATCCATTTCCTCTCTGCTGTAGGTTTGATGCTCGGCAGCTGCAGGCAGAAGATCTTTTCTAACAGCTGCTTTTTGCTGCGGGAAAAGTCCAAGCAGATGGTGTCGTTAAGCACCCCGTCGAAAGAGTTTGGGTCTAAGAGCACCGTCACGTAATGACCAGCAACACAGACCTGTGAGGGGACAATGTAGTTTCTTCAAAACTAGTTGTTTTCAAATGCAACTTTTTTCTCCTGTTCTTGCTCTTTGTAGTCGATCAAACTTAGTCTTAATTTGAAGCTATCTCCTAAGTTCTGTTATTAAAACCAGGTTAAACAAACAGTGTCTTTTTGGAGTAAATATTTTGATATTCATGAGCAGAAACCTCCATTGCATTACAGAATTTTCCTCTGGATATCAAACCAGAGCGCAGACTTCCTGCTCTTGTGTGCAAGAACATCTAATCATCAGGTAGTAATTTTAACGACTCATGATGACACGTTACTCAGTCTTAAAAAGGGGCCTCTCATGTCCTCATACATTAAAGATTATAGAGCTAAAGGTTCTGCATTACAGGGTATATCTCAGGACTTACAGTGAAGATGTCTCCATGTTTGTCTTTCATCCGAGCCAAAAACTTTGCAGCATCTTTTCCAAACTCCAGAGCGTGGCCCAGCCATGGAATTAAACCTTTGTCCAGCGGGGGCTCATTTTTCTGTCTGTCACATACATGAAAACTCATTAAAACTGCAACAGTGTGACAGAATGGGTCCACTGCTGTCTATTCATTCTTAAAATCTCAACTAACAGGTTTGCAGGAAGTATGAAGTGAAGTAACATCTTTTTTGTTTGGCAAAAGTCATGCAGCACATAGGTCATCCTATTTACAATGAAAATAATTAAGTACTACTATCTGGTATCAAGGACACAACTTAAGATACACATAGAAACACAGAAATAGTATCAATTTATTTAAATCAATCATATAATTGAAGATACTAACAATATTAACTTGTACAAAGTTAACCTTTGATTTAATAAAATATAAAAATGACAAATGTTCTTTTAAGTATCAGCATAAAAGAAAGAGTATCAGGATTACTGTGCAGACATCCTGTCTCCATCTCTAAAAATCAAGGAAATACATTAGTAAGTGGCTTTACCTTGTGCGGCTGGAGTAGATAAGAACCAATATCAGCAATCCATTGAGAAGTAAGAAAATTGTCCATAGCATGTTTCTGTAAGGTCTGATACTTGTTCTGTCCCGCAGAGGATTTACTCCATAGCTGCTGGCGACTCACTTATATGTTTAAGCCTGGCTTGACTGTAACTTCTCTTTGTTAGGGGGTGTGGAAAGGTGTGGCTGCGTCACAATGTATTACACAATCCACGAGAGTAAGGCATGTCAGACGCCACAAAACCCCTGAGTCCTCAGTAAGAAAGAGAAACATTACTCTGAAATTTTATGAGCTATATCTACCCTTTTGAGCTTGAAGTTATCTTAATGTAAATAATGTGCACATAATCTGTTTTTTGTGTGTGCTTCAAACAGAGCAAATACAGCCTCTTACCACAGCATTTCACAGCGGTGATATCATCAAGGTGAAGGGACTGCTGTGTCTCTCAGTTAGCAGTGACTTCAGGGTGCAACACACGTCTTTGCGAGTGACATACCCAGAGTTTCATAAAGTTCGCTGATGTTAAGTTTTTCTGTGACAACATTGAATTTCCAGTAAACATTATGAAATGTCTATTTTTACCTTTGTTTTCGATGACATGCAAAACAGTCACAGTCACATGTACTTACTCATGATACTGTAGTCCACGCTGAAACCAATGATTAATTTACTAAAGACTGACGCAGAGAATGGTAACAGCTATGACTAGTTAATGTCAACAGTGTAGCCTATTATGGCTTTGCCACTAATATTCTGGCCTGAGTAACTCATTTTTTTCTTTATTAGGAAACAATTATACACCTGGTTGAATTCATGTGAATTAAAGTAAATGTTTAACATAGGGGAGAGTGGGGTAAATTGAACCAAAGGGTAAATTAAGCCAGCCTCTGTAGCTTGGAAATGGTAAAAGAAATTGATCATGTGACCAAATACTTAGAAGATGGGCATGAATTCATGGAGTCTGTGAAGGTTAAGAAGCACATTGGGTGAAGGGGTTCACTCTTGAAAGTGAATTTAGTCTGTCAAGGGTTTTATCAGAATTGTGTTCAGACCAAAAAAAGATCATTTTAAATTTGTTTTATTCATCAATTGTTGTATCTATGAGCTACAACATGAGGTCAAAAACCGAGCATAAAAGTCCACCATTTTAGATTAGAAGACTGATAAAGTCATAACAGTAGTTCAGGGGTAAGCTAAGTCAGTGGCCTAACTGAGAAAGTAAAGAAGTCTGATGAGAGGATCAGAGTTTCAGTTCAGATTGTTGAAATGTTTTACTTTTTCTTTTTAAAAATACAGCTGTGAATGTTCTGAATCACTTAAAGACATTCTCATGTTAAAATGGCTTTTTACAAAACAGATTTTTACCAGTTATATGCAATAATAATGAAAATAATTATTGTACCAGTTGAATAGCGTATAATAGATAAAAATACACATGAATGTGAAGAAGTGACTGTTATTTAGGGAGAGAGAAGGTGAGGGAGGGCTGGGGTGGAGAGTGGGGATCAGCTTACCCCGCTCCTATGGTCAACTTGCCCCATACACAGGGTAAGTTGACCATAGGAGACAAGTTTTTTCGGCATGCTATATTATCAAGACAGTTGTGTTTACACTCATTCTGTTGGTTTGCAGGGATGCACAACATCTTGAAATATATGCAGATACACTAGTTAGAGACAAAACTATGATTGCATCAAGATGGAGTGATCCAAAATATAAAAAATGGCTCATCTTACCCCACTCTCCCCTTAGGTCTTTTGTTAGGGCTGTTGCTGAAGTGTCCTTGTTCACTGTTAGCTGGTGTACATTGAATGCAACAGCAGAGGGTAGTAAAGCACAGACTAATGGCTCCCCCCTCACTCTGCAGGAGAAAAGTTCAGAGGAGGACTCTGAGGTGAGGTGACTGTTAGAAAAAATGATAATTACAGAGCTCAGCAGCCTTTGAAAAGAAGGACTCCTCCCTCCTCCCCCCACACACAGCTGCTGGACTGAAATTTACATTGACGTGTATGAGCTTGGCAGGTAAAAAGCTGACATTTTAGTGACTAAGTGCGTACAATTTAACTTTTAAAGTACGTTCGCCCTGTATAACTTGGAGGTGAAACGGATAAACAGCATTTCATCTTTTACGTAACAGTAAACCGTGGTGACTCAGATATGGTTGTACAGTTATCAAAACAGCCTATTTGCATTATCTACACCGGCAGCTATGTTTGTTTAAAACATACACACGCCACCTCACGGTTATTAAGGAGCTTTAAATCAAATGGGAGCGTAAACAACAGCTAGCCGGTTGCTAGGACGTTGCTAACCACGTGTGCTCTTCTCTTTCAGCCGACTAGCAACAAGAACTTGCAGCTTCAGTTCCCACTAAAAACGTCAATTGAGGCACGACCTGACAAAAACAACATGCTATTGACTGTATTGTGTCATACGACCGATTTACAGACGAACGTTAACTACATGTACTTAAAACAGAGAATAGGATATATCTTGTCTTCACTGTTGCTTAGAAATATGGGGCAGGTGGTAGCTAGTATTAGCAGCAGGGTAAAACCACAAAAAATAACACAATAAAACTAACAGCAACAAAAAATGAGTTGGCCCTAGCAATATAAATATATATGGCACTGTTTTATATTATTTGTATTGCACTGATATATCTAAATGGTGATAACTACACAATTTACACAATAATAGGTTGAAAAAAAACAACAGAACTTATTAAGGGCAGTAAATCATATCGAATATCTCATGACTATAATATCAATACATACAAAACGTTACATTAGAACACTTGAAATACCCTCCCACAATAATCAATTTTACAAAATAGCACAAAAACATTCATAATTTGTCAGTTTTGTCTATTGTGATGCCCCTGTGGGTCATGCTGCTGTTGGAGACGTGTCACCAATCAGACACCAATCAGAGTAACTACGCACACCTGGGCCCTTGGTGCTGAGGTTATATAAGCTCCCACGGTTACTTGCAATTCCCTCTTTTTTCTCCTGGCCACCTTTGCAGGTACTTGGTTTGACTTGGTTTTGTTTGGTTTGCCCTGGTTTGGTGTGTTGTGCTGTGGTGTGGTTTGGCTTTGTTTGGTTTGGTTTGGTTTGGCTTGGTTTAGTTGTAGTTTATGTTTGCTCTGTACAACACCTTGCACATATAAACCTACCTTCCACTCATGCACACCTTACACACTACTGATTTTACTGATTTACACACCTCATGTCTTAAATTTTTTTTATTTAGCCTAATTGGATTAAAAAGATTTGTTTTGATACTTATACATGGTGTGTGTCTCCCCTTTCTTTGTTGTGACCACCTGAGCCAGGTCATGACACTATTTTGCCCCCTTAGTCTTTTAAGACTGCTGTTTTATTGTTGCTTGTGTCCAGTATTTGTTTTGATTTGACAGATTGACTATATTATCTATTAAATGAATTAACTGCATTGTTGTTCTTTACAGTTCATATTAGATGTCAACAGAAAGAAATAAAAGAAGCACATAATTGCATGATTTTGTAGAGAGAGGAAACCTCTGTTCTTCATCACAGCTTTTTATCAAGTACTCACAGCATTCTATCTGCTTTCTTTGGTTTCTGAACAAGATGTACAGATGAAAAATTCAGATTCTTTCAACACAACATCCCTGCAAAGCAAACCGGGTTGGGGGTTGGGCTTGGGCTACCATCCCAGAGTGGGGCCAACATCGCTTAAGTCACAATTGTCATAGTGAACATCAGACCCTACTTAGAGTAACTACAGAATGAAAACTTCTGTTTTTCTTGTTTTTACACCATGATGGATCTGAAGTAACTTTCATTTCTTTTCTAGGTGGACCATGTGATGATGATTACTCTTATAAAAGCAAGTGAGTGGATGGTGTTAAACTTTCCATTGCCTGGTTAGTCACAGCTTTTTCAAATTATTTCAAACCCTCCCCGACTTTTATCAGGCTTAGAGCAGCCAAGATTCAGTGAGTAACATTTGCTGAGGAAATTAAGAGTTTGAAGTAGAAAGTGCGTGGTGGTGGGAAGTGAATAGTTCCCCTGCAGATTTCTCCTGGGCTCTCTCCCAGCTCTGACAGTTCCCACAGGCTGACAGTAGCCCACAGATTTCCTGAAAATTGGGTGCAAAGGCAGACTGGGATCACTTGACACGGTTCAAATTGCAATCTTCTCCAGACAGGCTCAACAACCTCCTGTCCTTTACATCAGTTTTACTGCTTTGAGACAAGAGCACATTTTGGTAAGTTGAAGGATCAAAGTGGAGCTCACAGTTGCACTCCAAAAGTCACAAAAAATGTTGATGTATTTGTCAGAGAACTGCACTGAGGTGAAGAGCACTGAGAGGGAATAGGAACAGCAGAGTGACACATGCAGTAGCTCTGACTCTCTCTGCGGAGAGGATCCTTCATCTTTGTCAGACAAGGCCTGCAATGGTAACTCAGCACATCCATAATGCCTGTTTCTTCCACTAAGATATTAGTGTACGTGATGTAAACACACCTGAGAATAATCTACAAAAATGTTTCAATTAATTTCAACAACATTTAAAGACAAAGGAAATTTAGAGAACAATTTGTTTTCTGTTAGCCTCAAAATACTTTGATCTACCTTTTATAATCTGAAAATGTTGGTGTTTTTATGATGGTAACATTCATTTGACTGCCCTGCAGGCCGGCTATTAAAGCTCCTGTGTGGAGTTTTTTGAAATCTATAAAACAGACAGAGTCATATTTGTGCTTTTTTTTAAAAGATACCCTAAAGCAAATAAGACCAAAAGAGACATGATTTATGACTTTTAAATTGACGTCTGAAACCGCTGCAAGGGGTTAAGTGTTAGTCAAGCAGCTGGAAAGACCACTGAATGTTTCATTTGACCATCAAAGGTCAGCAGGATGAGCATGGAGGAGGGTGAGAAAGCAACCACTGTTTTGTCCAAAGGGGGCGTAAAAAATGGTCACAAACCAAAAGTTCCTCATAGAGACTTTAAAGGTACAGCAAGTAGAAATGGAACTCTGCTTCACCTCTGCTGTTGGTGAAATCCACTGTGGACAAGCTCCTGTGATGCAGGTAGAATCCTCCATTTGTCAAGTTCTCACCATTAAAAAGGCAATCAGTACAAATGCTTTTGTGCACAACAACCACTCTCTTCTTTGTTTTGCAACTGGTGCATTTCACACTCAGTTTAAAAACCCACATGTTTGGCTGTTCTGTGCCAAGGTAGAAAAATTGATGCAAGATGGTGGCTTCAGTGGAAAGGGACCTGCTCCTTTTGTTAGGCTCATGCTGAGTTAAAGGGATATTCCAGCGTAAAATTAATTTAGCGTCAAACACACCGTAACACCGAGTTAGACACCTCAACGAGAGATGAATGTTGCCGACCGCTTGCTTCTCTAGTTATACTAACCTTAGTAACAACCGTAGGATAGCAATACACAGTGGTCGGAGGAGCCATAAACAAACCTCAAACAAAACGCCACTCTATAGCCACAAATAATGCTCAGAACAGCACCTAACTTCATCAACAGTACATAGAGGGTCCTAGCCATAGTACTAGTCACCAAACATCTTTATAGCTTTGCCTAATTTCTTTAGCAAAGAGACGAAACACAACTCACCCACCCTCCTCCAGCAGCCGCTTGTTTGTAGCGAGACCTCAGGCCAGTCTATTACGGACTGAGAAATGATCATAAACGTTCTTCCTTGAGCTGTGTCACCCTGCAGCAGTCCATAATGGTCTGGCCTGAGGTCTTGCTACAAACAAGCGGCTGCTGGAAGAGAGTAGGTGAGTTGTGTTTGGTGGCTAGTACCATGGCTGGGACCCTATATGTACTGTTGATGAAGTTAGGTGCTGTTCTGAGCATTATTTGTGGCTATAGAGTTGCCTTTTGGTTGAGGTTTGTGTGTGAGTCCTCAAACCGCTGTGGACTGCTATCATGCAGATGTTACCAAAGCTGGTATAATTAGAGAAGCAAGCAGTCAGCAACATTCCTTTCTCGAAGGGGTGTCTAACTAGGTGTTAGTGTGTTTGACCCTAAATTAATTTTACGCTGGAATATCCCTTTAAACACACACTGACTTTGTTTTGATAGATGCCAACATATGCCACATAGTTAAAACTATTAGTCTTTTATTAAAGCATGAGCAAACCAACATCTGATTATGTTGCTGATTTATTAATCCACTGATCTTGAAAACCACCATAGTCTGTGTGCATATTTCCACCTGGAATGTAATCGACCTGCATGAGCTACAGGCAGCAGTTTCCATGTTGGTTTACTCAGATAAATCTGAAATGATACATGAGAAGAAAAAGTGGTGAAGCAAAAAAAAAAAAAAAAAAAAGGAGGGGGATGGGGGAGGAGTCTCACATTGACTTTCACGTCCATTCAGCCTTTTCTGCTGCAGCATTGAACTTGCAGAGAGAGAGAGAGAGAGAGAGAGAGAGAGAGAGAGAGAGAGACACTGGGCAGTGTTGTGCAGAGGAGACTCGATGTTATGAGGCTGCCATGAAATGAACATCAAACGTGAATTGTTTTCCGATCCACTGAAGAGCACCGCTGAAGAGGAGTGGTCAGGGAGGGAGAACATTATTATGCACTTTTAGATCGACGTCGCCTTGAACGCAGCACGGCCACCTCGCTGAGCCTCAAGTGCGTTTGATCCTCGGAGAAGAAGTTGTGTGTCCGGCGGGCGATGATTCGCATCTGATTGTTTGTGAACTCCTCCTGAGCGGACTGCAGACGGGCAAAATCGCTGCATTGTGGCAACTGAGGCGCTGATTCTTTGCCCGAGGATTGCACAATCCCTGCTCCCCCCAACATGTCATCTCAGGCGAAAGTCAAGAAGGACAAAGAGATTATTGCCGAATATGAAACCCAAGTGAAAGGTTGGTAACGTGCAGGCCTGATCATATTGTTATTCTGTGTGAGTGTGTGAAGGCACTATTGCATAACTTCAAGCTTTGTATGACTCTCAAGTGTGCAGTGCTGTTGGGTGGGACAGATTTGTAGAGTTACAGATGACAGCCATTTATTTTTAGCATCTGTTTGGGGAATATTACCTAATTTAATCGCATTACATGTAATTTTTGAAATCTGGTGACAATGATTCAAGTTGTCTGAACCATTTTTTTCCATGTACACAGTGTGACTAAGATCCATACCATGCCTTGCCTTATGTGTGGCCATGTAAAGCCAGTGGGGCTCGGTAACTGGTTTGAAAGTACATCTGCTATTTCTGTCAGATTGTCTTGATGCTGCACGCCCAAAAAGGGAATGCACCAATTCACCTTGGATAAGCTTTTCAACTGACTATAGGTCATGCACCTGAGATACTCATGCAGAATATTTGGAGACATCTGACCACACTTGGCAACTTCTTTCCATGAAGAAGGTCAATTTTTGGCAATCAACCCAGTTCTGAAGGACACTCTAAGGCAGGGGTGTCAAACTCAACCACAGCAAGGGCCATAATCTGGATTAAGGTCTAACCTGAGGGCCAAACAGGGTCAACATTTTACCAAAACTGTCAACCTCCTTTTCAAGAAATATGTAACAAAAATAGCAGTGATTATAAATCATTTGGAAATTCAAATATGATAAAAAGAAAAAAATATTTTTTTATTCTATTTTTATTTAGTAGTTCAAAAGATCAGAGTATGATATTAGAAATAGGAAAATAATGCATTTAAAGAGCAAATACACGAGCAGAACATTGAAATCAGGTTTAAAAGGTCAAAATATAATTTAAGATTTAAAATTGGAATCTAAAGTATAAAAATGAAACAAGTCTAAAAACTGAGTTAAACAAATCAAAGCATGAAATAAAAATTCCAATCATGCTTGGCTTGTAATCCTGAGATGCAAAATTGAAAGCATGAAATGAAACACCAAATATTTTTTCCCCCACATTCTTGACTTTTTATCAAATCTTCCTTACCATTTAATTTCCTAGATTTTCGTGGTTTGTTAAGGACATTTTAAATATTGGTGCTAAAGTTCACATGTTTATACTGGAGGAAATCTGCAGACTTCATACTGGTGGGCCAATAATAATACAAATAGGATATGATCTGCGGGCCAGATATAATTGTTCCACGGGTCAGATTTGGCCTTGAGTTTTAAACTTGTGCTGTAAGGGGAGCAACTATGAGTCTTTTCCTGACACTCTAGTGTAGGATCGAGGGGTGTGAGGAGATGCTGGAAAAGATCACACAGCAAACAGTTCAGAAAGTCCATACATAATGTATGCCGTCTGTATGAATTATGAAGCATGAAAGGATTTTACTGTCTGACGCTAAATATGTGACTGGATAAACCACATGGAGCAAGAAGCCAGTGAGGAACACTGACATAAGATTGAAACAGACAGCGCAGGATGTATATAGGTGGGTTCTCTCCTGAGCCTTTTAGAGATGGCTTCCAGCAGTGTCAAGTCCAACACGCTCTGCATCACCTTCTCACGGTTGTGGTTTTGCTCATGTATCAGGTTTTAAAGGAAAACTAAGTGCAGAATACGCTCTAGTATTCATTAGGCTTTGTCGGCGTATAGTATAACTCAGAATGCCCCACTACAATGTGGTCACGGCTTTTGCTTAGGCCCAGACTCTTTGGTTCAAAATCATCCAACAGGAGTAGGAAGTCAAAAGCACCCGTACAACAGAGCAGACCTTGGAAGAGAAAACACCAACCAAAGCTAGACTCAGGGTGGGTGTAAGGATCGGATATTGGAAGGATATTACAATCTCAAGATGTTCGCCAATGTGTTCTTGCAGCTGCTTTTTCTTCCTACGCTGTGGTGGGTTAATGAAGGCTGTTTAAAATGCATACATTAACTGTAGTGTTAGCTGAAGGTAAAATAATTTTAATATTTCTGGAATTTAAGAGAGAAATACCATTTAAATGCTCATCTTAAAGAATTATGTAGGCTAAATGTTGCACAGTAAAAGGAATGGTGAAACATTTTATGCTCATTAGCCATACAAAAAACGCTTGCTTCTTTATCACATATTTCATTATTCTATTAAACATTTAAAGTTAATATGTTTGAAATTAACTCCTCTGTCATACCTTTTCACTAAAAAAGTAGCTGTTTAACTGAAAGTTTGCTTAGCTAAGTTAGCTGAAAACATGAGAGACAATCCACCCTGTTTTTTGGCACACAACAGTTATTTCCTGAAGAACACTAATCCCCTGTGAGACTTGTCATTTTAACCTTTTATTTTCAGACCATACAAACACAATATGAAGGAAAAGTTACCCAGTTCAGGAGACACTGGTAAGCTGCTAACGCTTGTCAGTTGATTCCCCCAATTTCCTGTTCTTTATGCAAATCTAAGCTAGTCGGTTAACTGGTTGTGGCCTCACATTCAAACTTGCAGATATGACAGTGATATCTATCCCTATGTGGTTTCATTTTAGATTTGACATGATACATCTGTTTTCCTTGGTTTTTGATGTAGTTAAGCACATTAATGTAGCTTTGAGATGTGCTGTAAAAGCCAAATGGGGCTGGGAAAAGTACTGAATATTTTACTCAAGTAAAAATACAGTTTGATGCAATTTTGTCAGGTAGTAGTAAAATGACTAGTCTGTGAATTTACTCAAGTAAAAATGAAATTACTGTATTTAAAAGCCACTTACATTACAGAACTAGGGTTTTAAGTATAACCAACAGGAGACTATTATTGTGTGAGGGGATTTTGTTGACACACCATCCATCCAGGTTACAACCTTCTGTGAAACAGATTTTAGTGTAAGTTGTCTTGCTCACAGGATGCTATTACTGGTGAAAACAAGGTTGTGGTCAATGGTCTACCTTGCTATGGCTGAAGCAATGATGTGCTTATGAGCTACTGACAGAGGAAGCTGTTGATGCATAACCACTGAAACAGGATTTCCTATTCAGCACAAGCATGTGTATTATTCCTCTATTTCTTTATTCAGATCCTAATTAGCAGCAATTACTCCTCCACATCCAACGCTACTGCGCAAGTGGTGGTTCCAGGAAGTGGAGAAAAAGTGGGCTAAAAAATTTGTAATGATATGATGCGCTATTCTGGGGATAACGCTGAAAAATATTATAATTCCAATCTATATTTTTGACTCATTCTGTCTTGAGAACACCAGTTGGTATCAAATAAGATACTTAACCACAAGTTTGAGTGGTAGGTTGTGGAGAAAACCAATGGCATAGAACAAATTTCAAATGTGAAAACATTTTCAACATTTGTTGAAAACTCTTATTGCACAGAGTGAACAGCAGCAGATTCACTGTCTGATGTCAGGCATACCTGATTGCGCTCATTTAAACCCTAATCTTGAAGGAAATCCCTCATGTGGCGCCTCGATCAGTCACAAGCTGCTCAGAAACGTCTTCTTAGTTACCTTTGACCATGTTTGTTTGTTATTCTGCTCTGTGTGGGCTATGGCTGCGAGTCCATTGCCCGTGCTTACGTCATCAACTTGCATTTATCATATTTATAATGAGATGGCAAATATTTGTCACAGAGGATTTTTCTAATGATATATCGTAAACGATAATTTATCACCCATCCCTAACTGAGAACACTTCGGCTTCAAATTCGTACAATTACCGAAGGCAGAGCCGAGTTGTCCATAGTATATACATTGTATGTGTTATTCCCTCAAATCTTTTACATTTCTTAAACAAGCCTAAATGGAAGGCCTTAAATAAATTGAAAAGTCTTTCTTTGTATTTGCTTGTATTTCCAATTCAAAGCTTAGTTTAGAAGTTCAGTAGATTTGTATTAAACTGCCTGTTTACCGATCGACCTACCTTCTTGTATGAGCAGCATTTTCCACAAGCTAAACAAGCTAAAATAGCCCAGTAACAGCAGGGAAAAAATCTGGTTAAATGTGTTAATGGAGCTTCTCTCCTTGAGAGTGTTTTTTGGGCTCTAGCATCAGGAACATTTTCATGTTCTTGTGGGACTGGCTTTAACTGAATTTGTTGAGACTGTAGTTTACTGTCCAGGTTTAAGACTTTGGTGCACGTATTGCTGCTCCACACAGGACAGCCACCTACTAAAAACATGTTGATCTTAAAGAAATGAGTATGTCAGGCTGAAACTCGTATGTAGTCCAATTCCTCGGGTGCAGAAACTGGTAAAACAACATTGATGGCAATGACAGCTGTGTCATATTACCTAAGTCTTGGTCACATACACAAATAAGCAAATGCAAATATTTCATCAGAGTGAAGTTTTCCTGTCGGTTACTTGATTTTACTACACTACTGTTGTACTTGCACAAAGCGGTAATTATCAAAGTTAGCTAGCATTAGGCTGGTATGTCGAGTATGGTAAGTATGGTTAGCATATAGTTCACTGAGGTGTGGCTTACTTAGTCCCTGTCCTTGTCTTTGTCTGTCTGCTGACTTGACTCCTTCACTTTCACTCTTCTCTCTCTCGTTCGTAGTGTCCACATTGGCTTTGTGGCTGCTAGAGAGCCATCAGAGCTCTGTCTCCCGTCTCAGTTTCAGGAAAAGCTTTTAAGCTGACATCTAAAGCTCATTTGCAAACTGGGCTTAGATCAGTGCCGAGTTGTGGGAGCTTTACTCTGACACTGATACTGGCCTCCAATAAAGCTGAGTTGCTGACTGTAGAGCAGTTCAATCAGGCAAAAAGTTCCTGCTCATGTCACATGTTAGTGGCATCTTGGTCACATTTGAACAGCGATCCCTGGTGTGTTTAAGATTCCAGAGTCGGGGCCTGTATTTTCCATTGCATCCATGGTCTCATGGCAGCTCTGATTCATTGATGACTGATTAATCAATCACAAACGGGACTTACTGCCTTGTGAAATAACATTTACTCATCATTTCTACATGATCAGCAGAGAGAGTAGAGAGTGTAGTCAGCAAGCATGAAGTATCTGTTTGCTTCCTGCTGATCTTGAAGCCAAAACAGGAGGAAATGAGGGGATACCCTTCACAATGTGTTATGCTGTGCTCGTAGCTGGAGGCAACATTATCTTCAACGTCATGTGATCTGTTTGAAGTCCAGCTGTTTCAGTCGTCGGCAGAAACTGCTATAGTAGGGTATAGAGTGACTTTTTAGATGCGTGTTTACCGAAGAAGGAAACAGATGTGGGATTTTCTGTGTATGGATTGAAATCAGGTGTTCGCTGAACCAAACGCAAACAGAAAAGCCTATGATATTTGTGGCATTTCTAATAGTTTTGTTGGGAGATCAAATTTCTTCAGAATTTTTTAAAGGTTGATCTGATCGTCACAGATGAGCGTCTCCCTGTTGTTGTTACTACATTCATGCAGAAACACATTTCTCAATAAGCATTTAGACACACCCCTCTGTGTGGATTCATCATAAAGGAGGAATGTTCAGACTGATACCGTCTGAAATGTCGAAGTTGCGTGACAACATTTCAACAATATCCCTGTTTCCGTTGTCCTGGGCATACGTCGGAGTCATTGTTTGCCGTTGACAGGTAACAAACTCCAAGTTGACAGAGAAAAGATTTCAAGAGAAAACTACTTGGAATTAAGCACACACTGGATTTTCCTGTCCTGTGGCTGCACAAACAGTGATGCCTGTCCTTGTTAGAGATATTTGTATGGAGGAAGAAATGTGAACTCAAGTAAGTCGTCTGTAAAGGCATACCATAGCCATTACTGCATTCAGAAGACAAGCGTTCACAGAACACAGCCTTGATTTGTACCAAATTATGTCAACGTGTCATTCTGCGTTAGGCCACATGTGACTAGCCACGCATGGCTAACTGCAGACACCGCCCCAGAGACTGCTGCTGGCCACTGTAACAGCCATGCAAGGCTAATCTGAGCAGGCTACGGAGGTGACAGGGGATCCTCTCTATGTGATATTTGGAGCACTGTCTGCTGCAGTACAGACAGCACAGGAGCCTTACAGGAAGCCCTCCAAAGTCAAATTGACCGATAGTCTCTTCTGTCGTCTGCGTTTTGCGTCAGATACCCCAGCATGCAGCCATCACAGACGAGCTGTGTTTGAACTTGGTGGGTGGACATGGTTTGTTCTTTTGAATCTGCAGGGTAAAAGAGGAGGTCAAGGCCTTATAACAGCTGGTCTCGAGCTGCCTCTTCCAATCTCTGTGCAGAGAAAATTGTTATCACATGAAACAATGTAGAGGATCAGGTTTAGGGACATTCTGTACTTTTGTGGCTTGAAATTAGATTTATGGGGTAAAAACTCCAAGTTTAAAGTGGTTACAACTAAGTCTATGTTAATATTAGTTTCCAAAAGTGTAGCATAAAGATTAATCCATCTTGCTAAAGCAGTTCCTCCAATGGCCACTTGGGGCTGAATCCACTGGCAAGAAAACCTTGATCAGGCGACTTTTCAAAATGCTAAACTTAATAGCATGATTATTCATAAGAAATTATCTGTGCCTTTTTTTAAGTTTACCAGGATGTCAAGTGCGTAAGTGTTGGGGGGGGAAACAATAATGAATAATGAGGAAATAGATATTTGATTATCATAACAAGTCTTGCCTGAAAATGCGAAGTTAAACAGAAGATCACCGAATTCTTTTACACCTTTCAGGCTATTTTCATCAAATATTGTTGAGGTTGACTGCATTGCAAGGATTTATTGTCGTTTCACAACAAACAAGATAATCTGACCTCCTTATTGACCGTCCTCCAAACAAGCTCCTTTTTATCCCAATTCAATTAAAAAAAAAAGTTGTATCGTAAAGTTGAGGGTAGCCTATGCTGTCATTGTCAGTTTGTCCTCTGTTTCCCAAGTATGAACCTCCAGAAGTCCGAAGGGGTCTCTATTCTAATCGGCTTTGTGGTGCTAACAACTCCATGGAGCTCTGATTATTCAACTCTCATCAAATACATCGCCAATTTATGCACACAACTCACTCAGTTTGCACAATTCATGCCACACGTTGGCGTCATTTGCGTTGCCGGACAAGTACTTGTGTCTTTACATTGACTCAACATGTAGTTCAGTGGCTTAAATACTTTTATATGTACCAGGTGTGAACGCAGCTTAATGACACATGGTCACATATCGCTCAGTTGTAGTTCATCTTGGTGATCATAAGCTGCCCCCTTATGATAACCAAGAAGGTATTTAAGTTACGGTTAAAGTGGCAAAGATTCCCCGGGTCAGTACAGTCGGTGCAAATAATCACAAGCTTAGTAATATTGCAATATGAGCATAAAAAAAACACACTGCAAATATCTTAACGTATCACAATAATCAGGAAATTATCATATGTACACAATCCAGTGTACAGTTTTTTGATATGGTCTTCTTTTCACACCATTCTGATGAAACTTTAACCAGCTGTGAGCTGAAATACTCATAATGTAATGTAATGAAAAAAGCATTTTGGATACATCTTGGATTCATGAGAGGCAAATCACAAACAATGATAATGTGTTAATCTTGAAGAACAGCAGATAAACAATAGAAACGGAGTCATTTTAGCTAACGTATGCTTCTCAATATTATTTTATTTAAAACATGATTAAAACCACAATACTGAAAATTATCCAACATCCGTATTTTTATGTACTGCAGGCCCAGTGTTGGATTAGCTGGTAGAGAAGTAAATCAATATGGTCAAGAAAAGAGAAGTTTGGTTTTGTTAGACAAAAATAGTCTCAAATAAGATGAACACTTTGGCAAACATCAACATGGAAAATGACAGAAACTGTGTCTAATATGTTGTAATTCGGACTGATGTGACAGGAGGCCTTTATGACCCATACTGCTGCCAGCTGGGAAGGTGGGTGGGTGGGGGCTGTGTTCACTTTTGGGGAGTGGTTATTCCATCCATCTTTTTTATTACAGTCAGTGCTTCACTCTTGTTACAGAGATATTCACAAGCCTGACTCTGCAGAACATTTTATTCCTATTGGCTAATCCCTGTTCACAGGCAGAAAACCTGATCCAACGCGTGACTCTCTTTTGTCATCATTGAAGATTAAGAGACACCTCTCTCACTGTCTTTGAGGGTTACATCCCTGTATATTATTCACTTGAACTCCTTGCCTGCCTCCTCGTAATTATGCATTACTCTGCAAAAGCCTGAATCATTCATTGAATGCCGCACAGTGCAGCACAGTCCCTAGTAACAGTTTAGGATCTAAAAATAACTTGCTCACAGGAGAGCAAATGCAAATATTATGAGTCTATTTGAAGTCGCACTGATAGAATTATTCACTTAGATCAATTTAGATTTGCTCATTACTTTGTCTTGCAACTCTTTTGAACTGGCGCTGTGATTACAAATGATTAAAGTCAACATATGCTGTTTTTAATGGTCTTTAAAAGCACAAGAGCACATCACCATTATGTTTTTTTTTTTTTTTTTTTACTCGATTGCAACATCATTCGTCAGCACAGATTGTTTATTGAGTATTTCAGAGCACAGAAAAGTCTTCCTTGTCTCAGTGCCAAACAGACTAACTGCTGCAAGTCTGTGACTGTCAGAACAGGGAACTGGTCTGCTCTCATTGAGATGCCTCCAGAGGCATGTAACCAGGCAACCAGGCAACTATGGGGACCTGGAGGGGTACATTTCCAAACAGCAAGGGACTCAGTATTTACTCAGTCTCCCTCGTTAGTGCGCTTTCATTCACATTTTTTTTGCACACAGACGATGGGGAAGGCATTTTTGAAATCCTTTTTTTTCCTTCTAGATACAGAAACAGCATTTAGAAGAACACAAAAGGGCTTTTCTTCAGCTGGGGCATCTTTTCCATTGATGCATTTTTACAGAGTTTCTTTTGAGCGCACAAAAATCATATGCATGGTTGAAACAGTCTGTCATAATGGATTCTTTAGCCATCTCCATGCACAAGTGCTTTATATTGTCTTACAGAAGAGGAGGGGAATGCTTGGCTTATGCCCACTGTATGTGTGTATGTGTGTGTGTGAGTGTGTAAGGAAGTTTAACCCCCAGATATGTGGTCATACTGCTGTCAGTTAGATCTGCCATGGTCTAAAGGTTTAGATAAGGATGGTCAAATATTTAGTGTGTTTTTTTAACAAGAAGAACTTTATTTATCCCTGAGAGGAAATTGATTAATAAATGGATAAATGTTGTTAATGACTCTTAGCAAAATTGCGTGATAAAAACTAGGGCTGGGACGATATGCTTTTCTCCTGATTCGATTCTTCTACGATTTTTTTGGATACTGACTAGATTTAAATCGGGATTCTATGATATTGGCGATTTTTTTCGATTTGTAGTCTGTATTTTTAACACCAGTGAAAAAGTTGAATGATTTTGATTGTCTACTGATTATTTCAGGAACCATATTTCCCCTCAAAATAAACATCACCTCTAAGTCAGTTTTTAAGATTTAAGGTCCTTGTACACCGGGAACGACGCAAATATACGACGCAAAATTACAAAAATATTCTCTGTTCTCCGACACGTAAACGATCAGCGGGTCGGCCATGTTAGATATACCGGTGAATCTGACGTCACAACAACATGCAATCTGATTGGTCAGAAGGGGACACACAGTATGCGAAACTTTCGAAAAATTGACCGTGATGCGAAAAAATAAATGCCGCAATATCGCAGAATGGGAAAACGTCGATGATGTGAATGCTTGTATTGACGTCCGGCTTATTGTGACGTCCGAAATAATCACACGAAAAAAACGCCACTGGCGTGAAAGGACCCTTATTCTTAAATTAAAAAAAAAAAATTGAACAAAAAAAAAAAAAAATCAATTTTTGAACAAAAAAAATGATTTAATCTAATTGGTAAAAATAATTAAAAATTAGCAGTACTAGTGAATGAAGTTTGCCTGTTGTAAATATAAAGTATTTAATGTTATGTGTTGCAAAACTGTGGTTCATGATATTCCCTGAAGAACCTTTTCATTTAGTTTAGAGAGTTTTTCAAATTTCCCAATAGTGATGTTAAATATATGTCACAAATTTATATCCTGATGTGATCTATTCTTATTCAGGAGCCACTTAGCTGATAGATTTATGACGTCCTTTCAGTAAATAATATAAAGGAGAAGTAAAATGTTATTTATATTCCTTTTTCAGTGTTACTGTAAGGCTATAAAAAGGAGGCAATTGCTTTAGTGGACATTTTTATCACCTCATGTCCTCAGGGATTGCCAATTCAAGCCGCCCTGCTGGGAGCTCATGTGTGTGGATATTTATTACTGGATGTTTTGAAAGCTGTAAAAAATGAACAATTAATTGAACCCATTTTCAGCACCATTGAAAAAACATGTTTTAGCTTTACTGTAATAAAACAAACAAAAAAATTGAGTATGAGTTCCCCTTTACAAACATGCACAAACAAGAGCCTCTTTTAGCTCCAGGGCTGAAATAGTTCATTTTCTGTGGCCATTTTTTTTTGAACGATCTAAAGCAGTCAGTTTTGGGGAGTTTTTTAGCCTCTTTCAAAACACTGTATTTACCCGGTTTCAAAAGTTAACAGTAAAAGCTTATTTACCTCATTCTCAGACTATGAATAGGAGCAGTGGGTTTCCAAGCAGAAAACCACAGCAATCTTACAAAAAAAAAAAAAAGAAAAAAAAAAATGCCTGTGATTTTTTTTTTTTCTTCACAACAAACTTCTGTGAAGGCTCGCTCAGCACAATGCTTTTGGAGAAGCTGACCTATTTTACATTTTCCGTGCTGTCTGCTGCAATCATCAGACATGCATCTCATATGCACATGTGCAACTCCAGCATTTAGACACCCCCACACTCTCTCCCGCCCACTATACACACATGTGCACACGCATTCACTCACAGACAAATTCCTCTTGACATCCGGTTTTATCCAATTATGATGACTTTGTTATTTTAATAGTTCTTGTGCTTCTTGTTCTCGTGTGTGTGTGGGATAATTTTGGCCTGTAATACTGTCTGGCAGGCAGACGTTAAACGCAGCATGTCAGCCTTCTCCCCCTAGAGGGGTTCTATTTGTCCTGAAGGTGGTGTTTCTTTTTGATGCGCAGAGATCCGAAACCAGCTGGTGGAGCAGTTCCGATGTCTGGAGCAGCAATCTGAGTCGCGGCTGCAGCTGCTGCAGGACCTGCAGGAGTTCTTCCGTCGAAAGGCCGAGCTCCAGCTTGAGTACTCGAGAGGCCTGGACAAGCTGGCTGAGCGCTACTCCGCCAAGATCCGCACCTCCAGAGAGCACCAGCACTTCAAGTGAGTTTTTACCCCAAGCACTGGAATGTCAGTATTGAATGTGCTTTACTGGTAAATAACAGCAGCAGCATATTTCACACAGATGAAGGGAGGGAGAGGGGGCAACAATAGGAAAACAGAAGAGGGATGAGCTACAAAAAGGAGAGCAGGGATAAATGCAGAAGAAATGACCTGAAATGAAGCCAGGGCCAAGGAAGCTTGTGGCCTCAGGCTGCTGTGTTCCTCCCAACTAGGTCAGACAATCCCCCAACCTCCCCACCCCACCCCACAGTACGTGACTGTCATTTCATTTCTGTTCAACTCCACACTGATCCCCATCATACCAACCGATTCTCGATGGGTTCACAAAAATAAATCACAGCCTCATGTAGAGAGTGGAAACACAGAAAAAGACCGAGTTTTTTTTTTTTTTTTCCCTCCATTTACTTTGATTTTTTTTCTGTTGTTTGTGTAAGGGAGATCTGTGGTCATGAAACAAACATACCCCGCAGCATGTGGAGCGATTGCTGCTCGGCTGCTCAAACAAGCTTGCGGCTTATTGTGACTTTAATAATATTCAGTGTACATGGATGCGGTTTGTGCTTGATTGTAGCTGGTAGCGATAAATAAGTGGAGATGTAGAGATATTAGGTCACGCTCAGTTAAAACCTACTTGAGGAAAGTTTGCCCCTCACCTTAGATCTAGACTAATTAATGTGGTTAAAATCTCCTGTAACAGCTAATAGGTGGATGTAGAGATAAGTCTCTAAGCTACTTGAACTTCTTCTCCAGCCTCCTGTGTGGTTGTGTTTAACCAGCATGTCCAGGAAATGAAAGTTACCTTTCGAAGCGCTAGAGTACAGACTGTGTAATTGATTCATAGGCAGCAGCGTACCCGTTCATGTGACCTGGGTGTGGCAGTCATGCGTGAGAAACACGTTGGTTTATTCAGGAGAAGCTCTCCCATCTCTCTTTCAGTCTCTCCGGCCGATTGGACATACGGCGTAATCACAGCACAGAGCTCCTGTCTCTGGGACATTGATAAATGGAGCGTTCCCTCAAAGGGAGACCCCTGTAAGAGAGTCACATTGCATGACTTCTCCTTACACCCAGCCGCCCTAGATTTCCCCCTTAACGTCACATTAAATGGTCATCATTATGTCTCTCTGTCAAAGGCTAGATTCATATTCTTGGACCACAATAGACCGACTTAGGCTCTGTCATTAATAATCCCACGCTGTCTTCTCTTCTTCAGTTCAAGTTCTCGTCTTTTTTGTCTCATTTCCTGTTTTTTTTTAAACTCTTCTGGTGAGCAGAGCCTTTCTTTACTCTTCTATGAAATATTCAGGTTTTGATATTTCGCACCAGATCTGATAAAGAAACTGGCAGGAGAATATTTAAAAAAAACCTTCTGCAACAAAGTGGCAGTAAGAAAGATGTCATTATAAGAAGAAAGGACTCAGTGGACCTTTCTGAAAAGATTTTTTTTCCTTTTAAATGTTCCCGAGTATAATCCAGTGAGAGTGTGCGCGTATTGTCATTCACAGTAGTTCAGTTGTCTGCTGCTTTCTCCTTTTATAACGCAGAGCCCTCGCTGTTAAACGGGAATTGTTGCACTTTTTGTAGCCTGTCATGTAGAAAACCATCTTCTGTTACTGTACATGAACAGTTCTGCATCAGCTCCTTTGTGTCCTCTATAGTACAGTCTCATCCGTATTCAGGAGAATCCGACAGCCAGAGATTTACAGTCAGGTTCCTGGCATCGTGTAAGGGATCAAACACCTGCTCCGCTTGAAAGGACGGCCTGTAGGGAGAGCTTGTTCGTGTTTTTTTATCAAAGTGTTCACAGATGAAAGGAAAGACAGACAGAAGTTGCTGATGCCCAGCACTCTGGTTACCTTTGGCATCCGAGTGCAACTCTCTTAACTTACTGTGGATGCAGAACTTCTCCAATCTCTCCTCTGTCATGCTGAGTTTACGCCACTTTTTTACATGATATATCCAGACTGGAAGATCAAAATTAAACTACACAATCAAATCTTAGCATTAGAAAAAGGACAACGAGACCATTGCTTCTGTCTCTTACGATATTAAAGGTACAGTCTGTGAAAATACAAATGAAACTCAACTCTGGGTGGAGAAACTTGCATCTGCCAAAGACTGTTGCAAGCTTTAGCAGAACACAGTCGTAACAAACCTCAAAGCATGAACAAATCTGTCCAAGAATAAAATGATCAAAGCTCCGGAGCAGCTGATAGGAAACAAGTCAGGACTGCTCTTTCAATACCATCTTCAAAACTGAGGTGAGAGTCAAAAATAACTACTGCATTTCAGACGCAAGATACAGTCGATGATGATGATGATACTGTGGACGGCCTTTTCATTAGTGATTAACAGAAAGTCCAACATACTGGTTTGTAATGATCGAAAGTGTATGTCAGCAATTCTCATCTGGATTAATAATGTTACCATACCATACCACACATGCAGTGGTAAATATAGTATGTTTATATAGCGCTGTCTCTTGTTTTCACATCACATTCACCCATTCACACCAAAATCACACATATTAAGCCTTATTGATCGACCACAAATGTACTGTATCTGCAAAGATAATGTGGGACTTATACACCCTCAGCTTGTCTAAACTATGTGCAGTATTTTTTTCCTGTTAGTGAGTGACTTCACATATTCAGAGAGACCTGTGTTATCTCCAGCCGTTATTGAAAACAAGCCTAAAACGACTTGCTAGCTAAAAGAATTCATTTGCCTTCCAAAAAGTCCAGCCCATCAAAAAGTGTCGTACTGTTTACTAACCAAGAGGTTTGTAGGAGCTAAGTCGGTACTTTAAGATAATGAGATGCTTGACCCAAAGTAACCTGGTTGACGCGCCGCGCTTCAAGTTTTACCGTTAGTTTTGATGATCAGTGAAAGTGCGGACGCTGTTCCTCAGATGCAGCAAACAAAATTTATTACGATAAACATATTCAAAATCCATTTTGCAATTGATATCCACTGAACAAACAAGAAAACACCGGCATTTAGCACCACGACGGTCCACAACGTCTTCCCCTTCTACATCAAACACCTGCCCACAACATTGACATGGCTACCTTTATTCCTGAGCCCCAGATAAAAAGACAGTGACACCCAAGGCACACAAAGTGAACTGCAACTCATAATATGGTATCATATCAACATACTTGGCTCCAACTAGGGTCTTTTTTTTTAACCAATAGGTAGAAATAAAAAAATAGAGGACCTAGAATATTACCTTGAGGTTCTCCACTTTAAAACCTGACAGTTAAAAATGTACAGTTGGATTAACTGAAATATACCTGATAGAAAAAGGCTTAAAACTCTTAAAGTTTTAATGAAACAGACTGGAATTCAACTTGCAGTCTTTCTATGACATATGACAGTGACTAAGATTGTCAGTGACAAGGATGAGAACTTTTATGTACGCCTGAAAACCGGTGCAGGAGGATGGGTATCAGCAGAGCAGCTCCAGAGACAACCTTTTGCCATGTTTTCCACATTAGATGTTTATTATGGTACTTTAAGTGTTAAAGTTAGCTTACTATATGTTGTGTTACCAATAGCTAGTGAGGTTTAGTCAGCTACAAAGACATTTCAGAATCATTCCATATCTTAAAACTCATTCTTTCTCAAGTTTGACACTCTGGTCAAAGCTGCTTAAGCTTCATGCTGTGTAAAGAGACTGTTGCTCTTTCTGTAGCTGCTGGCTACAGGATGTTTTGATCTGATAGAAGCCTCTGTGGTTGGAAACATTCACTGATGGCTATAAAGTTTTTAACTTCCTTTTGATTGTACTCAACGCCATCAAAACAAATGTTCAAGGTGATAAATCATTCATCTGAATATCACTCATCTCCTTTCACCAGTCAGGAGTGGAGGAATAATACTGGAGTTGGACCAGATCCCAGTGTAGGTCAGCTTTCAGCCAACAGCACAAGGTGTTTTTACACACAGGCTGCTGTGTTAAAGAAGTAATGTGATGAAGTGTACTTAGGTCGTTGTCTCAAACGGTAAAATGCTCTCAAAAGACAAAAAGATGAAGACAAATTTTCTGGTGTGAGGATAATGGGACTCACATGCTCCCTTGAGCAAGGGGGCAAGCTCAGTCAGCATGTCCCGTGTGTGTGCATGTGTGCGCGCGTGTGTGTGTGTGTGTGTGTGTGTGTGTGTGTGTGTGTGTGTGTGTGTGTGTGTGTGTGCAGCTGCCCATTTCCCCATTTTTTTTTTGCTGATTCTGTAACAAATGTGCAGTGACCCCTTTATCTCTCCGATTAAAGCCCCAGAGCTTGTAACAATGGATGTAAGATCTGTGCAAAGTGTTGAACTCTCTTTACCCTCATTCATGTTTAAGTATCCATGTAGCACACCAGTAAAGCTTGAGTAGTGAGTTTTATTTGTTGTACTAATCAGGCAACAACTCATATAAAGCTGACTTGTTTTTACTTCTTATTGGAAACTTGATGTTTTTTCCTCACTGGTCTGCAATGTAATGTATGAAAATGAGACTACTGCATGTCTGTTAGCAAACACCTACAGCTCTGTGAGTATTAAGAATGAAAAAAAATGTTGTTTTCCACTCACTAAAATCTCTCCTTGGCTGTTTTAGAAAGGACCAGAATCTCCTGTCCACTGTCAACTGCTGGTATTTGGTCCTGGACCAGACCAGGCGCGAGAGCCGAGACCACGCCACTCTGAGCGATATCTACAACAACAACGTCATTGTGCGGCTTGCACATGTGGGCGAGGATGTCATCAGACTTTTCAAAAAGGTCAGAATATGAGTTGAATGGTTGAGGGCATGTTACTAACGCACGCAGTCACAGAAGTTGCTCACTTGATCTGAATGACCGAAGCCCACGGCTAGGAACTTGACGCCACTCCAACAAAAATATGTAAAAATATGCATAAATGAAACAGGACATGCAGATAGTGACAAGGGCTTTCATGTAACCAGGACCAAATGAAAGTCTTCTTTTATGAACAATGATGTTAAGTTATTATACAGATATTTGACTAGGTGACACCTATGTCAGAAGATTGGTGCCATTTTAAGTCAGTTTTGCCGCTTTACTGTCAACTCTACTGATTGTGAGAGAGCCAGGTGTCTCGACTGAAGCTCCACATTGTTTGAGAGAGGTTTTGTGTCTATTTTTAACCTCGCTTGTTCTCATGTGGTTTTGCTTTCGCATTATTGGGCTCAGTTTGCTCGCTATATTCAGATCACTGACCTTTTTATGACGCTCTTCACACAAAATCATTCATTTCATTTAACACCAAATCCACACCATCAAGGGTTCATTCAGTAACTTTGAGATAAAATAAGGAGTGACCGTTTTTTTATGATTATTTTATTGGGTTTTTGAATGTCGTACATTACAGGTACACATGTGGCAAATGTTGTACATGTTGTAAACATTGACTTGTATACAGAAAGTGAACAAATGACTATATTATACAATGCTCACACTCGAGGAAAGAGAGAAAGAAAAATAACCACATGGTAGCAACAACGACAAAAAAGAAAAAAGAAAAAGGGCAATAAAAAAACAATTTAACAAAAGATAAAACTGGACAGCATGACAGTAATCCATCCAATCCACGTAATTTTTAATTTTTAAGTTTGCCAAAGTGCTGCACAGTAAAATTTAGAAGAATAAACACTACAGAAAACATCAAGAGGAAATAAATAAAAGCAGGTAGAAAAAATGTTTAAAATGAAATAAAATAAAAGAAATAAAAGTGATAAAAGGACCATTAAAAGACATAAGAGAACAGAGATCACACAACTCTCATGCTGAGCTCAAAGCCAAGGAATAAAAATGAGTTTTAAGACGTGATTTAAAAGTATCGAGTGGCAATTTGTTCCACAATTTGGGAGCCACAGTCGAAAAAGCTCGGTCAACATGGGTTTTCAAACGAGTTTTAGGGACGACGAGTTGGAGCTGATCAGCGGACCTCAAGGAACGTGGGGGGAATAAACATTTAAGAGGTCAGAGATGTACTGCGGTGCTGATCCGTTTTAAAGATTTAAAAACCAACAATAACATTTTAAAATGAATTTCAAAATGAACGGGAAGCCAATGGAGGGACACCAGAATTGGGGTGATGTGATCATGTTTTTGTTTACCTGTTAAAAGATGAGCAGCGGCAGTAAAATACCAAAAAAACAAAACAAAAAACAAAAAAACTCATATATGAATATATATATAAAAATATGTATGTATATTTTTTTTAAAAAGGAAGAAAGAAAAACAAAAAAAACATAGCATTTTATATGCTCAGCGATGCTCAGTGATGTGTTCTGATTGGTTATCATGTCTCCTATACAGGTTTTCTTTTTAATTTAGTACATTTTCATGACTCTGGTTACTCTCACTGTTCAAAGGGCATATGCTCAATGTAAGGTACAGTATGTGTCAGAGTAACCTCAGTGTAGCCTGAGGTTACTCTGGGGTCTGTGATGAATAATCCACCCCCGGTATTGTAGATGAGTATCATTTGACATCAACAGGAGTATGAGGTAATTTATGCCCTCTAGGGGGGCTCTGCACTGTCACGATGGGAGCAGGGATGAGGATAGAATGGCTTGCGGCCAGTACAAACATGGAGACTAATAACCGCCTGCAGGAAAAAAAACTGTCCCCCTCTGCAAGAATTAAGTGACAAAATTCTCAAAACGGTAATCCTATTATGCTGTAGCATCTTGATTCAGCTGCTCTCTCACTAATAAACGACACACACGGGGGCTGCAAATGAGTCAACCCTGGCGTTTGCTAAGTCAAAGTTTAAATGTACCGAACGGGCTGAAGTTGAATTCCTGTCGTATGTGGAAAAAGCAAGGTTGCGTTTTTGACAAGCGGGCCCTGAGGGGTAGCAGAAAACCAGGATTGATTGGGCTCAGCGTCGCTCCATATCCCCTCAACAGGATTTCCAGAGTCACTCTCAGCTGGCCCTATTCCTCCTCTGGAGCTGTAGCCCCCCCTTTCATGGGACAAGTCCAATTCATCATAGGCTCTCAGCTCCTGTAACTGAGCTGAAACGGTGACACAACTCCGAGGGAAATGTTCTGCAGTTTCTGCACTGTTCTATTTTTGTCTCCGTGCGCTCGCTGGGCATTGTATTAGATCCTTTCTGGTGCAGATTAATGACAGCATTTTGAGGTCTGCTCACATCCCTCACTTGCGAAGTATCACTGACTCACAGCTGTGAAGTTATCCACATGCTGGAAAGCAACTCTAAAGAAGATATTACCCTCTGTTTTTTTTAATACCTTGGCCTCATTTTACCTTTCTATGTGCAATAATTTCCTAATTTTCTCTTTTTCAGAGTAAAGACATCGGGGTTCAGATGCATGAGGAGTTAGTGAAAGTCACCAATGAGCTCTACACGGTAAGTAAAACAAACACAGCCCTCTTTTCTTCTTGCCTGTCTGATTTACCTCTCCGATATGTTAGCTGTCTGCTGCTTGTCAATCCTTTCTTGAGTTTTTCTCCCCGCCTGTACCTGTAACGTGTGGAGCAGCTGGACTGACACTGCACACAGCAGATATGCCTTATCAGCAGTTCGCTCCCCAACAGGTCATTTCTTCCTTCACCTGAGGTGGTGAGAGGAGAAAATTAGCATTCCTCCTCCTTGTGTGAATCTGTTGAAGGGGAGAGTGTTCTTCCCCCTGGCTGTGCTTCAAGCAGACTCTGCAGTCTGTGCTGCAGTGCTTCACTATCCTCACAGCTAACATCAGCTACTGTAGGATTTCCAGCCAGTGAAACATGTACTTCCACACACTGTGTTGGTAACAGTTCCTCTTGTTTTTGAGTCAAACCGCTCTTGAAGAACACTCATTTGTTAATGCACGTGCACACTTGTCACTAAGCATGCAGGATTGGCTTTTGTGTGTAAAGGCAACAGGAAACAGCGGTGTTCAGTGCTGATGCCAATTGATGACAGTAGACTTGTTCAGTGATATCATCTGCTGTATGTGGGGCAGAGAGCGACACACACCTCAGACTGTTTACTTATAGATCTTATTGCTATATTATTGTTAGCTGCGGCTATTCTGCAAAAAGAAGAAGTCAATATAAGTAGAAAAGAGCAGCTGCTTACAACTTTAAAATCTTCATATAAGGTGCTGAATGTCTGAAACAAACAAAGTGAATGTTGTTGATCTTTCTTAAAATGGTAGCATAACATTTAGAAGCAAAAAAGCCAGATATTGAAGAAAGAGATCAAATATTTACCATCACTGATCTGTTTCTGAAGCAGAGTTTTGAAGCCAATTGGTGGTGGACACCATGTTGAAAATGCTGACTCATACTAACTTTAAGGAAACCTATCGGAGGCGGGTCTTTAGCCTCTTTGCAGAAGGTTACAGTGAGTCTGCCTGTCAGTCAACTCAGCCGTGCCACAAACGTGTTACAATAAAATCACTCCCCATACTGCTGGCCCTGAGCTACTCAGACCTAAACTGTAAACTTCTTCACTTTTGCTCTCAAAGTCACTTTTTTGGGGTTCAGTGTGAATGTAGTTTCTGGATCTTCTTCAGCCAGCCTCAAAAGGGGACTCTGGGAACTGTAGTTTTTAACACTTCTGCAATGCTTCATTTCTCTCAAGAGAGACGGTTGCTGCTTGGTTTTTACCTGTCGACCTAGCAAATATTGGACAATAGCCAATATCAGATACATATGTACATTGTTTATTGAAAACGTACTTTTTTAGTCTAAAATTTGATATCATTAACTTTAAGAGTTGTAGCATTTATCTCTTTCTGGTTTTAATGACAGTATTGTCTTTTATTGAGCTATTTTGGTGCTCTTATTTTAGTATCTGTTACTGTTGTTTTTATTTCATTCATTTATTATTTCTTCAATTTCATTCTATGTTATTTGGTTTTTAGATTTTAACCTAACCTCCAGTGTTTCCTTATCTTAAAATTTAAAATGGCGTTTCCTCAGTGCTCACATTCCTGTTTCCATGGAATCAAGCCCTTTTTAAGTTGATGCATTTTAATACTGTTTCTGTTACGTTTAGATCATGGTGTGGGAATGAGGGGTTGGGTTGGGGTAGATTTGGGTATTCTTTGTTTCTTTTATTCCGTTTTCTTTTTCTTTTTTTTTTTTTTAATCTTTTTATCTTATTTTTCTCCACCTTTGGCTGTTGCTGCACCTGTACTACCTCTATCAATCAATCAAAGATAATTAAAACCTTGGGCAGAGTCTGGACTCCTACCTGAGACACATTTATCACCAGCCTGGAAATGGGCTGGCTCTCTATACTAAAGTTAGGCTGCCTCAGTGATGCTGTCTAATGGAGTAAAAGAAGCTCTTATTTTATTCCGTTTAAAAAGAACAGGATGTGGAGACAATCACAAAGCTACTCAGCCGATTATCATTGCAAGATGCTGTGTGAATGATTTCGCCATCTTACTTGTTCAGAGGCTAGAGAAAAAGGATAATGGGGAGCTAACTGTTTAAGTGCAGTTCAAGAGATTATTCAGGAATACTTAGGATGTTAAAGGAGTGTGCAGAGAAACACAAATAGACCTGGAGTTGCAGAAAGAGTCACATGACAGAAACCACATGAGAAATATTCTCACATGTAACATTATCCAGCACTTTGCCAATATTGATTCCCCTCCCTCTCTTCTTCATGCATTATTAAATGCCCGTCTGCAGCTCCCACACTGCAAACTCACAGCAAATCATTTAGTTTAAATCAAAGTAAAGGAAATTATTATTTTTTTTGCTGTTTTATGTATTAAATCTAAATGAAGTTTATTTATATGCTATTGATCTGCTGCGGCCGGCTTTTTGAGGTAATCGAGTAGTTCATTATGTCGCAGCAGGGTGCAGGGAAGGTTGCAGCCCGTCACTTTGTAGCCTCCTTCCCTCCCCGCTGATCGATCTCGCTGTCCTCTGCACGTCCGCTTCAGTCTGGGTTGCTTGGAAACCAGAACTTGAGAGCAAGTGATGGAGGAGCAGATGTTGTTTAAATACACTGTTGATGCAGAGTTAAGCATTCACACATGATCTCTTTAAAAACACCGAACATTAACCTATTCAGATTCCCCTGATGGTGGGGGTGGATCTGGAGCAGCAGAATCCATCTTTTTATAAAAACACGCCAACACGCTTTTCATTTCCAGTTTATTTTTTTTATTTAACCCGCTCCAGTGCTTTGGCGTAGACAAACAAACAGACACATCAGACAGGCGCGCCCAGCACAACACCTCCAGCTCAGTTAGGAAATGCCGATCATAATGTGACGCTCCCATGAGCAGGATGAGTAAGCTACACTCCTTAATGTTTGGGAGTGTAATGAAAATGAATATATTCAAGGGTAACATAAGTTCATATGAGTTACACACTTGAGGCTGTGAGACATTTATGGCCTTCTGGATGGTCGTTTTGTGTTTCCAAAGATAAATGACCACTAGAAAGGTCTATACATTTCCTTGTTTCATACTCGTGTGTAATTGACAGTATTGTGTTCTGCTTACAGAGATCCATTTCCACATCTTAGTGCTGAACCAATCTTTAAACAGAATCAGAATCAGATATGTTTTTTTTATCCTGGAGGAAATTCCAACATCACAGTTGCTCTGGTTCACAAAATAGAAAAAGAAATATAGATTTAGGAATAAAGTAGTGAAATAAATAGGGGTGTCCTGGTACAACTTTTTTACTTCTGATATCATACCGATAAGAGGTGGGAGAAAATAAATCGATACAGCATAGTATCGCAATATTTTGTCTTGCTACTTTGTTAGTACCTTAGTACACACTGTTGTTGTGATCAGGTGGGCTCTGCATGCTGGATCCGGGCGCTGCTATCATAGAGGTGATGGAGCGGAGTCTGGAATGGACTGCTTGTATCAGAGTGCTGATATCAGAGATTTTAGATGAAGGCTGATATAATCCGATATTTGCTTTTTTGCTGATATCGGTCCCTATTTCTATGTCTCGATTTGATACTGATAAGAAACAGACAATGAGAAAGAAGTAATTAGACACATGCTGAGTATCTAGAAATAAAGCCATACATTAGTGGACAGATAATTTTATACGTATAACATCTCTAGAATGTTCTCTGTCTTAACTAAATCTTTCACTTACAACAATAATAGTACTATACTCATTTCTGATAATTTAATGAATATTTATGAGTTTTATTTAATATAACACTGAAATTTTGATTCAGATGTTGGTTTTGCAGCCCATGTCACATCACTTTAAATTAGGAAAATCAACATTTAAAGAATTAGAGTTTTGTCTTTTGCCTTTTCTAAGTACTTTTTCCTGATTTACCTCATTGTTCATTTCACATTTATTAATTCAAAGTTTGTATGAAATCACCTACATGGTCTGACTTTTTACTAAATATATTGTCATTACCATTGCTTGGTCTTCGTATATGAATTTGTACCAGTGCTGATTTCTGTCCTCTATCTGTGTACCCGTCTGTTCCCCGTCATGGTTTTTCATGTGCCAAACAAACAAGTCTCCTTCACCTTGAAGCCTGCGAGTGAATGAGTCAAGTTTTTGACATGACGCGTGTGTTATCGCAGGTGATGAAGACGTACCACATGTACCACACTGAGAGTCTGAGTGCTGAGAGCAAGCTGAAGGAAGCCGAGAAACAGGAGGAGAAGCACATCGGAAAATCCAACGATATCAGCTCTGGCCTTCTGCGGTATGGTCACGATGAACGCCCACAGCGACGGAGCTCCGTCAAAAAGATGGAGAAGTTGAAAGAGAAGGTTTGTTTGGGTTGACTGGTTTTATATGTGATACTACAAGTGCTGTATATCATTATTTTGACAGGCATGTGTTCAAAATCTGCAGGTGTTTTTAAATTTCACTAGTTGGCGCTTTCATAAACAACAACGGAAATGCATGTATTGAGAACGTTTATAGGATAAAAATCAAACTGCTGTAGTAATGCACACTGAGTACATTAGAATCCATTTGATATCCTGCACTGATGGGACTCTCTCTTCCTTTTTCTCCCCCAGAGACAAGCCAAGTACTCAGAAAACAAGCTGAAATGCACAAAAGCTCGCAACGACTATCTTCTCAATTTAGCAGCTACCAACGCCCTGGTAGCCAAGTACTACATCCATGATGTTTCCGATATGATAGATGTGAGTTATCGCAGTCAGAGCCAAAAATCAACCATACTTCTTTGCCAGGTTGTGTTTAATTACTAAGAGTTTTACTTCTTCACCCCCAGTGTTGTGACTTAGGTTATCATGCAAGCATGGCGCGCACCTTGAGAACCTATTTGTCTGCGGAGTACAGTCTAGAGACTTCTCGCCACGAGGGACTAGACTTACTGGAGGGAGCAGTTGATGCTATGGACATCAGAGGGGACAAGCTGAAGTTTATGGACATGCACAGCCAGATCTTCTGTCCTCCAGCACGCTTTGACTATCAGCCACACATGGGGGATGAGGTGAGTCATGAAAGACCTGAGCTGTAAGATTAATAGGCCTACAGGGTATGTTCTGTACAGAGTGGAGTTCGCTCTAAGTGTTACAGCCTCCCTTTCTTTGTTTCTTAATCTCAGGTGTGTCAGGTGAGCGCACAGCAGCCTGTCCAGACAGAGCTCCTAATGCGCCACCATCAGCTGCAGTCGCGCCTGGCCACGCTGAAGATAGAGAACGAAGAGGTGAGAGAGAGCACACGTGTTTCAGTCGCCAAATGAACTCTCTGCAGGTGAATCAGCGTTGAATCATTCTGCTGAGTCATTCGATTAAATATGGCTAAATATACTCTCATAAATGTATGACAAAGCAGTGAGACATTAGAGGGGGCGCTGTTAACTAACGCTGTGTTCCAGTTTCCTTGAAAGTTGGATGTCGGGGCTGGGAATGACGTTACACCCGAGTTGACAGCGTTCCAGTTGACAAGTCAGAAAACCAAGATGGACGCCTACTGTTAGCTGTTGTTTACAATTGTCAGCTGTTGTTAGTTGTTGTTAGCTATACCATTTGTAAACAACGCAGAACACAGTATTTTACTCTTACAAACACCATAGCACCGTGTTTACAGTTAGACGTTGGGCAGTAAAACATATGCCGCTTATTTAATTTCACAAAAACAAAACAGAAGTGCTAATAAATAATACATGACGAGAGCTTTTACTATTGTGCTGCCATCTTGGATTGTGGCGTTGTCGTCAAGTCAGGGTTGGTGAGCACTGTACGACTTTCCGAGTTGGAAATTTCGACTTCAGGGGGGTGTTCCAGATGAATTTCCAACTCAGAGCTTGGAAATTCCAACTTCCGAGTACAACTAAATACCAGTACAGGTGTGGCTTGGTATAGTCAAGTTTACATTACTGAAGGGATCATATAAGCAGATATTATGGTCTTTTACCATTATGTTTATCAATCTAAAGTGCTGATAGAAGCTGATGTTTCTGCCACAGTGGAGCTGAAATGTGTCCCTTTTGACCAATCAGAAGAAGTATCATACAGAGCCAGATAGTAGTTACATTTATTCATTTCTGTCATCAATCTACAGGTAAAATAACATACTAAAGAGGTTCATTCGGCCTGTCAGTGATAAATTTATAAGACGGTTCATCTATAAATGCCAAAAGGTAAAAAATAAATGTTTTGTACCTGACAAGTTTTGGCTACTTTGCCCCTGTAGCCTTCATCAGAGGTGTCATGTGATGTTGGTGTGACGTCGTCTGTGATGAGTTATATGGGTTTTGCCACCCCACCTGAGATGGAGGGATGGTGGTGTCCCCCCGGCATGGGCCGTGACACCTCTGATGAAGGCTGCAGAGGCAAAGTAGTTGAAACTTGTCTGGTACAAAACGTTTATTTTTTACCTTTCTGTCCTTTGTAGATGAGCCGTCTCATAAAGGTGAAATAATAGTCTGTCTACAAGTATTTGGTGGCTTGTGTGAAGGATTAATCATCCAAACAAAGACTATTTGCTATAACATTAAGTAGAAGATTTAGAACACATTATAAAGCCTCTTGTCCAATCAGATGACCTAGATGTGGAAAAAAAATGCAGTATAATATTTATTCAATACATCTACTATGTTTTTCATCATCTTTGGTCTTGTTTGTCAAGCATGAAAATCTTGAATGTTGGTGGAAAGACATGAAAATGTTTTTGGTCAAAAATCACATCATGTTGTGCTATGGCAGGAGACGAATTTGTCATGTTTGAATGATTGATTTTATGTGATCATAATCAAGAAAACAAGAAGATGTCTTTAAAAAAGCACATTTGCTGGTCTGTATGTGGGTTAGTTACACTTGGATAATTGCTCCCCAGCAGCTGCACGTAAAGCCTATTAAATATTCACCACATTATCTTGCACTTATTAAAGACAAATGAGATTGAGTAATGTCCATGCTTAAAGTTTTATTTTTCTTCATAGACAGACCAGACATGAAGCCACTTAGTAGGAAAGGCATCATCTCTGTAGCTCGCAGACATTTCTTACCATGTAAAAATATCAGCCCCACAGTTTATCACCTATTAAAGGCATGTTGGTCTCACTTATAGCACATGAGGCATTTAATTACCTCCTTTTGCGTAGTTATATTTTAAACAGGGGATTGGCAGCCAGCAAAATCATTTCTGTCACACTCGCACAGAACAACCAGCCTCACAACTGTCACCCTGCATCTGTACTCTTCTCCAGTCTGACACTGACCTGTGGGGTCATTTCTCATCCAGTCTACTGCCTCCACTGGGGGCCGTCGCTGCATGTAGAGTCACCGAGGCCGCTGTGACTCGCAGAGACCTGTTTAAAGGTCACCAGGGTGTGTGTGTGTGTGTGTCTGTCAGTGCCTGTCTGCCATGAATATAAATCCCCACGCTGCCTTTCCTGTCTGCCTCATATGGAAGGAACATAGTTAATCTTTCATGTCATGATGCTGCATGCTAGCAAGCTGATTACTCCTCTGTTTACGGTGTGTCAGTCAAAGAGCTGTGAAATTGGCCTGAAGAGGTTTAATCTTAGACTGTGTCGGCTTGTTTGTGACAGTCTAAAGATGAACACAGGGTAAAATCACAATGTACTCAGTTGTTTTTATGGGTCTGTCTTATCTACTTCATACAGATTTTATACATACAGAAAAACAAACTGTGATTATTCTAGGATTGAAATGAGATGTTTAACTCTAGTTTGTATACCATGTGCTAGGTGAGGAAGACTCTTGATGCAACCATGCAGACCCTTCAGGACATGCTCACAGTGGAAGACTTTGATGTGTCAGAAGCATTCCAGCACAGCCAATCCACGGAGTCGGTCAAATCAGCTTCTTCTGACTCCTACATGAGTAAGGCCAACATCAGTAAGAGACGATCCAATCAGCAGGAGACTGAGGGCTTCTACTTCACTGTGAGTTCGCAGACAAATGACAGCATTAAAGCACCGCAGCATCAAGCACATAAAAATACCATACTTAATTATAACACCAAAGCTTGAACTAATTATGTTTGGCTTTCTATCCGTTTTATCTGTAGAAATACAAGGAGTACTTGAACGGCAGCAACCTCATTGTCAAACTGCAGGCCAAGCATGATCTTCTGAAGCAGACACTAGGAGAAGGTAAGATTAATCGGGTGGAAAGAGGTTCTGGGAGCTGGTTTGCTTTCACATTGAATTTAAGATTGAAGGTCTAATTCACAGAAGGATTGCACGGTTTCTGCCAAAGAAGTACGAATGAGACAAAGAATACCCTCTAATTTACAGAGCACATGCAGGAGGTAAACGCTACACGAGCGGTGCTGCCCAACAAACATCACATCATGGTGCCAGTGCGATTTCTGTGCGTTTAAATCCATCATGCATTTACTAGTTAAAAAACTGGTCCCTTTCTATTCAAATGAATCTCACTGAAAAAGTCTGAATTGACTGCAGAGAGTTGTTAGTAACTGTTCTGCAGTTTTTATCAAGGCTGACAACAATTCCACCTATGAAAGACCTGAAATTTACACCTTTACACAAAATCTACTCATATTATTTTGACATCACTGATGTTATAATCAGGGGTTGAATTAGCTTAGAGTTGTCTAGGGCTCAACCTCGGCATGAATGGTTGCACTTTTCCACAGACTGGAGATGGTCAAAGGCTGTTAAGCACAATTTTCTAATCAAGAGAGCTGCTTTTGCTGGTTTGCCTCACTAAAGAGAGGCCGCAATCTTGTTAATAATGACATAAATTGACTTCGGCGAGGAGAATCTCTATTCGGCTCACCATCTACGCATATGTGGACAGCTCTGTCAGGATGAGAGGGTGCAGTGCAGTTCAGTGCAGCAGACAGTGGGGATTCAGACAGGTCATTCATTTGTCAGTTTGCTTTGTGAATTACACCTTGATATAAAGTAGATATCAGGGCAAATGATGCACAATTCTGGGAGCTTAAAGCAGCCACAAATGTTGATCAGTAAATTCCTCCCTCTGTGTTTTAAATGCTTATGCTAGCTCACAGATCAGTTCTATAGTGAGACTCTTATAGCTGCTTGGGCCTCATTGATGTGTGATTAATTACAGAAAGTCAATAAGTTATGTTTTTAACATAGATATTTGACAGGTTTGAAATGCTTCATGATTATTTGTTTAAATTTGACATGCCCTGGAGCATTTATCGTGTCACTGCACATATTTTCAATGAAAGACAGATTTATTTCCTTCATGTGAAAGTGTTTCCCATTTCAAAACCATGGTTAGTTCAATGGTTTTCAAATAGGTTGTGGATATACATGTAAATCAAATAAAGGCGAAAAAGGCTTTGCTTTTAGAAAAGGAGGCGAAAAGCTACACTAAACTAAAATCAAAAGTAGTCCAGCTATTTTGAGCTCAAGCTGCAACTGCAAGAGTTCACAGTTGTACCCAGCAAACCTGGATAATTAGCTTCTGCACGATTCTATATTTATTTTTGGCTGCATCTATGCTCATGGAAATAGAGCACTTAGTTTTGTTTAACTTGAGGTGCCATTCACTTGACAGATGAGATTCTATTTTGGAAGTAAAACTAACAGTAGTATTGTGCCTGAGGTGTATATCTTACCAGGAGCGTTCTTTATATATAATATTACATAATAGTCTCAGCCAAAAGGATGGATGATAATGTTTATGTCCCTTGTCTTGTGTTTCGAAAACAGACTCGCTGAAATGTCTGCTGCAGGGTTGAAATGATGTGCATCTAACACAAAGCAGGAACGTGCTGAAAGCTGCTTTACACATGACTTGATCCGCGAGCAAACATTTCTGATTGACTGATCAAAGTGAGGCCTTAATTTGTTCGCATACAGTGGGATGTGTGTGTGTGTGTCTGTGCGACTGCACTGCAGATATCACGAAATCATCACTCTGTACAAATCAGCTCCCACAACCTCCCGCTCTTGTTGCCCCTGGATACATTTTCACTCTGCAGAGAGAGCAGACAGGCCATCCCTTTCTGGGGCTCCAGTGCCGTTTCTAGGGCGACCGCTGAATGACCGCTGCCTGGCCGTGAGTCAAATGCAGCCATGGCGCTTACCCCATTGAGCCAGCCTGAATAGATGCCCGTTTTCTCATAACACCCCTTTCCGTCTCCATCTGCCAGCCATGTATAGTCGGCCAGCACTCAACCGTACAGCTAACTTCTGTCATTGTAAAACTGGTCTATACTAATTTAGTCTCTTTCTCTGCTGTGTTTTTTTTCTTTCAGGGGAGAGGGCTGAATATGGAACAACAAGGTAAGCTATCCAAGACATGAAGGTGAATAAAGTAGGCGATGAAGTGTTAAATCCTTCCTGTGTCCCTGGATGCGGCGGGAATGAGATCACAGTTTGGGAATAGTCTCAACTCCCCTCTTGTTTGTTGTTGAACAAAGGGGTTTGGAGGAACAGAGCAGTTCGATCCATAAGAATTATGTTTATATCGAGGAATGAAATGTCAGTGAAATGAATAATGTCTTGCTGTTGTTCTATTCATGAAAAAAAAAAATCCAGAAAATGAACATTTATCGACAAGACAGCATTATGACTGATTGCATGCAGCAGTTAGAGTTTTGCCCATTTTGATCTTTAGTACATTTCATATAATTCAGTGTGTGATAACTTCTGGGAGTCATTATAACTGATATTTTAATTTAGAGGTGCTGTCTGTGATTTAATTAGAGGTAATAATTTATCATTTAGAATAATGTGTTTTTCACTTTCAGGTGGGTAGATCAGAAGATCAATATCACTCTCATGACTGAAAATTAACTCTGCAGGCACCAGTACCTTAGAGTTAGCAGAAGTTGATAGCAGGAGGAAAAGGATGAGTGAAATAAGTTATAAAAACCACAATCTGTTCTTTTTTATTTCAAAGGAGTACTGAAAGCTTCTCCCTATTTTTAGTCTTTGTTTCATGATTCAATGCCGATTATAAAGTCACTTTCTTAGCTAGACGATTTAGGTGTGCGAGCTGACCAAGAAAGCTTAGTCAGCTAGTTAGCTTAGCAAGCTAGCCACCCAAAATGAGATACCCTCAAAGCTCACCTAGCTTAATAAATGAGCTAGCTAGCTTACTCAGTGAATTAGCACAAGATCAAATCAGAGGCAGGCAGCTAAATGTCTTTTTACCGTGAAGAAAAAGAAACTTGGTATTTTAGCAAAGGTAAAGTTTGCCTGAGCTATGCTATGTTAGCAGTGCGCTTACAGCCTTACATTTGCTCTGTGGTCATGACAGTGTTATTGATCTCACTGCTATTTTTAAAGGAGCAACAGTTTATTAGTAAGAAAATTAATTCTTTCAGTGTTGCCAACCTAGCGACTTTATGGCTAGATTTAGTGACTTTTTTAGACCCCCCTTGCGACTTTTTTTCAAAAAAGCGCCCAGTGACAAATCTAGCGACTTTTTCTGGGGTTTAGAGTCTCCAACATAAACGCAGGAATAGATGTTACTCTTCTCAACGAGTAGCCAGTGTGTATCAAAAACACAGACACTCAGACACCCCGTGGAAGACTCCTCCTCCTGGGGTTGGGGGGGTTGGCGGCAACAGTGGGTTTGACAGAGAAATTATGCAAATTTGGCGATGACGTCATCTAGCGACTTCTAGCGACTTTTACGACAGCCATTAGTGATTTTCCTCACTGAGGAGTTGGCAACACTGAATGCTGCATTTACAAAGTAGTCCTTAATTTTTTGGATTAAGTTTTAATGAAGGTGCAAATTATTGTGTTAAAACAGCAACAACCCTTTTCAGTGAAGTAACTTGTTCTGTGGTTAAACTAGTTGTTTTGTTGTTAATATGGAACATGTACCAACCATTCACCCTCCCCCCTACCATCTCCTCAGGCCCCCCACTCTTCCCCCTAAACCCCAGAGAATGCGGAAGTCTAGACCTCGCTCCGTTTTTAACCGTAAGCTGTTTAACGGCAATATGGAGGCCTTCATTCAGGTATTAGCCCATCTGCGCTCTTTGTCTCTCCATGAGCTCAGCTGTCTCGCTAGCGGTCCTTGGGGGGTTCTTTTGCCCCTGCCCACTCTTTTACCCAAATGTTGGCTCACTCACGCACTGACTTTCCTCTTGCTCACTGCCTTGTCTTCACAGTCTTGCAAATTTGGGAAAGACATGGTGAGGTGAAAACGCAATCAAACACATTTTGGGGATGGTTTGATTTAGCGAGCGGTGCACTGGCGCAGGGTTTTCCTTTTAACTTTCATTCTCTCCCGAGCCCTGGTCTCCAGACGCTGAATTAATTTGGTTTTGTGTGTGTCAGATGGACGTACACCAGACACGTTGGGCTATGCAGATAAACACATGGTCACATCCACTCTAACTCAGAAGTGTGCTTCAACGGCACCAGAGATAAAAATCGTGATTCATTTGAGCTCAAATTAGAAGTCGGCTGGTCAAAAGCCAACTTTTACTTTTTCAGGGTTTAACAAAATCAGACTTTTTTATTTGATTGCATTTTGGGGTGTCGAAAATAGTGGGCATCTGTAACTTTATTTCCTTGCGTGCTAAAAAGCCCTGCATTATGTGGAGCCCCTCACCCCCATCCTCTCTAGCACCCTCCCTCCCACATAACTCCCCGCCGAGCTGTGTCCACATGTCTCACACCCCACAAGGCACTGAAGCTTTGGCTCCTCTCTCAGTCCAGGCCTCCTCTTTTTCTCTCTGGGTATGATCTGTCTCTCTCCCACTAACCTGTTGTGGTTCTTGTTGCCTCTTTTTCTTCTGTCTCCGTGCCTTCCCGCTCTCTGCCCAGGGGAAGAAGGAATGTCCGAGCGAGGAGTCAGGTACTCTGTCTTTTAGCAGGATGGGATCAATGCAATGTGTTCAGTATGCTTACCATCATTACCTTTCCTCTGTCCTGTTGGCATTCCTGTGAAAATACTGCTGTAATAGTAATACATAATGGTGCAAACTTTAGCTGATCTGCTCATATTTGGACAATACACTTCACATGATTCTTTAAAAAAAACAATCAGTAGCCTAACTTTCTCATCACTCAGTGAAATTGTTTATTTGAGGGGCTTCGTCTGTAAGCCTCTGATGAAAAATTGCTTTCTGATCATTTTGTTTGCGTTTCTTTACTGATGGTTTGAATCTGTTGGGCAGGATTCGGGGCAGCCTATACCAGTGGTGGTTGAAAGCTGCGTTCGCTACATCAATCTGTATGGTAAGTCGCATTTGTGACTTAAAATTACTGATCACACATAAATCTTTGCTTCATCAAACTCTCAATCTACAAGATTACAGAAGTATATGTTATGAACAGTTCTTCATTAAAGTTTTAGTCTGTGAAATGTTTTTAAGGTTATCATTTTCCATTGTTAATAAAGTTAACTTATTGCTGATATAAATTGCCTGATCAATAAGTCAGCTTTTAGAGCCACTTCTATCAATGATAGGAGCCAAGGTTAGCAAAGGATAATTGTTGTGTTGTTTTAAGTGAATATTGAACAAGTTTAGCAACAGTGCACAACTGTTCATTAATCTTCACAATAACAATAAATCTCAATAGTTCCGCAGATCAGGTGGAAACTGTCAGAAAAGTGGAAAAAAAGAGGGTTTTGTTAGGGCTGGGCGATATGGCCTCAAATCAATATCACGATATATTGAGCAGTTCACTTCGATAATGATAATTTGACGATAATTACTCCACAAGCTGCTAACCCCCATCCACATTAACTTCATCTACTTGACCCGTTGCTCCAGCCGCTACAACTTTTGAACCGTCCTCCATCTCCTCACCTGTCTTTCCCTCTTTGTTACGGACTGGATGGGGTGGAGTCACATCTCTGACATAGGACAGCGTCTTAAAGGGACATGAGACCATAGCCTACCTACACACATCCAAAACCAACTTTTATTGATTTATGTTTTTGACACCAAATAAACCGATATGATCAAAAAGATGTCGGTTATTGTCGTAAATTTCAGTATAAGCACATTTTCGGTTTATCGCCCAGTCCTAGATTTGTACTCCTGATTTGTCTTGCTCTTCCAAAGTTTCATGTACTTTTTGGTCAAAAAAAGACACGTGATGTTTCTATAAAGAGAGCCTTAATGTTTTTGAGATAGACTGTAACAGCGGCCCACATTTAAACTAGACATTGTTTGTTTTTCTAATATTTTCCTCTCTGGCGATAAGATCTTGTATTTGTTTTTTCTCTCCTCAGGTCTGCAGCAGCAAGGTATATTCCGAGTTCCTGGTTCTCAAGTCGAAGTCAATGACATCAAGAATGCATTTGAAAGAGGTCAGTCTCAGGGTGATCGGCCCTTTTCTCCATATTGATTTTAAATCACATTTTGTCCACCTCAAAAGCCACAGTGTCTCCCACAGGCTTTTAAAGTGCAAATGCAGAGCCTGTGTGTGACATGTGACCGTGTAATGGACATGTAAACTGGTTTAGCTGCACAAAATGTAGAATCAGCATCTTGGAGGAATAATAAATGACAGAGATAGTTGTTCTTTCAGTGTTTATATCGAATTCTGATCTTAAAATATGCATAAAAATGCATTAGTGTCTTGTTACATCTGCAAAAACACTAGTAGGTAATGAATGAATGAATAAAATGTATGCTTTGTCTCCAGGAGAGGATCCACTGGTGGATGATCAGGCTGATCATGACATCAACTCTGTGGCAGGCGTTCTTAAGCTCTACTTCAGGGGGCTGGAAAACCCGCTTTTCCCCAAAGAGCGTTTCCTGGACCTCATATCCACAACAAGTGAGTCATCATCCTCCAGGAAAACCACAAAGAGATCAGAATTATGTTTCTATTGTTTTTTTTTTACTCACTGTCTTTCTGTATTTCAGAGCTTGACTCTGGTGCAGAGAGAGCTCATCACCTCCAGCAGATCATCGTGACTCTCCAGCGGCCTGTGATCATCGTCATGAGATACCTGTTTGCGTTTTTAAATCAGTGAGTCCTGTCACACACACAAACATTTTCTCGATATTTAAAACAAAATACTGATATCTCCTTTCTCTTCAGTCTGTCTCAGTACAGTGACGAGAACATGATGGACCCCTACAACCTGGCGATTTGCTTTGGCCCCACCTTGATGCCCATTCCAGATGATCAGGACCCTGTGGCCTGTCAGGCTCATGTTAATGAGGTCATTAAGACCGTTATCATCCACCATGAGCTCATCTTCCCGACGCAGAGAGAGCTGGAGGGACCTGTGTATGAAAAGTGCATGACTGGAGGAGAGGAGTACTGGTGAGTAGAGGAAAAGGTGTTGTTTACGTTAGCTAGTGGTCTCCAATTAAAACATGTGTTGTTTAACATCTTTATTTCCCCGACTTGAAATTAATCAGTCAATCCAAAAGTAACATTTTTGTCAGAAGGAGGTGGTGAAATTACAGTTTCCTGGATGTTCTGTTGCTCCTTTCCTTAAATTGACCTGATATGTGACACATATATGATCAGGTTTTACCCAGTGCTGCTTTTGCTTTTCAAAATAAGTTACTGTTGTCATGGCAATTTGATCAATCAAAACCAAAGTATTTAACACATCCAGGTGATTCATTTAAAAGCAGGAATAAAGGATTGTTTGCAGGGCTTGACACTAACTTTTTCATAAGGAGCACATGAGCTAAGTTTAAAAAGTAAGGAGCACACAAAGAACTTTAGGGGCACAATGAAAATCGATTAAAAATGTGTTTCTTGTTGGTCAACATAAGTACTATTATTTGTAATGAATTTTAGGTCAATTGGTCACATGACATGGAAGCTATTAAAGGGTTAAAACAGCCTTTTTTTGAGAACCTCAACCAGTAATTTGTTGATGGTCCCTTATTTAACACCTGACGTTAACAGCGAGGCTGCTGAGTAGATTTAACCACGCTACTGTTGCTATTCCCTGTTATGGAGAGCGTGAAGACACCGGTAGATCCGCAGTGGATGTCCGTTGAATATCCAACCTAAAACTAACTTCGCCGCGGTATTTACATGAAAAAACATTTATTGCCACGGCTGATTTTTTTATGCATACGTGCCCCTAAATACATTTTATGATTCGCAGACATCTATCCTGGGTTGTCTCTTTTGTGTGACTGACTGTTTTTCTATTCTTCTCTGTTAAGTGAAAGCCCCCACAGTGAACCAGGAGCTCTTGATGAGGTTGACAATGGTACAGGACCAAACACGAGTGATGAAGGTGAGTCACCGAACACAGACTTTAAGAGGCAGAATAATCAGAGCGCTTGTTATCAATCTTTCTGTGTACTCATAATTCTTGTTTTTGCAGAGCTGGAGCAGATAGAGGCCATCGCAAAGTTTGACTATGTCGGACGAAGTCCTCGAGAGCTGTCCTTCAAGAAGGGGGCCTCGCTGCTGCTCTACATGCGAGCCTCTGAGGACTGGTGGGAGGGTCGACACAATGGTGTGGATGGACTGATTCCACATCAGTACATTGTGGTGCAAGACATGTGAGTTAGACACACTTGGGTTGCAGAACACATTTGTTGTCAATTGATAATTTTGTCAGTAAAGTACAGCAGGTGCTTTAGATTTTGCTCTGCTTTGTGTGGCAGCATATCTGCCGAGAGCTCTTTTGATGTGCTTTGAGATTAAACTTTTACAAAGGTCATTCTCTCTGAGGAAAAGCCAATATTAGCATTTTCTGAGGACAAGTGCTGATTATCAGTCTCTCCTGTCTGTCTGTCTGTCTGTCTGTGTCAGGGATGATGCATTTTCAGATAGCACACAAAGGACTGATAGCTCAGCAGGCAGTGGACCACAACACGAGGAAAGAGCCGGGTCTAGAATTGAGCACCAGTCTCCCTGTGAGCACACACCGGAGCACCGCTTTGGAGCCGCATTAGGAAGGTGGCGTTAGTTTAAAATCGTAAAACTCTCATTTCAGTGTGTATTTTAGTCACAAATTGGCCTGTTTTTCATTTTAAATTCTCATTTGAGTACTCAGAGTCCACTGACATCACACTGTGACTTTTCCCAGAGTGAGAGTACGATCAGATGGAGCTGTAGGTCCTCGCCACAGGAACGGCGCAGACAGTCACAGCCCCAGCAGAGCCACAGACCAGCCCCCCAGGGTTATGCCACGGCCCTGCAGCCCACACAAAATAGCGGTTAGCAGGGGTCCAGCAGACAGCCCTGAGAAACGACGTCTCACCACATTTGGCAGCGCCGGCTGCATCAACCACCCGGACAGAAAGGCCTTCATTGAAAGCCACTCTCAACGATCTTCACCCAGCACTACACGCCATGCAAGTTTGGGGGATCACAAAACTCTGGAGGCCGAGGCCCTCGCTGAGGTGAATGTGAAATAGATTTTAAAATGTAGAAAAGCAGACAAAGCCAACAAGTCTTTAAGTCTTTGAGTTTTATTTCAAATAAAAAAGAACCTGCATCCAACTCTCTGTATTTATCGTTTTAATGGAGCAGCTTCTTGTCAGTTTTGTTCAGCTGTGTTGCAGGTTGGTAAGCCATAAAAATATTGTGATTCTGGCAAACTCAATCTTTATTGCCAAGTGAAAGACAAATAGTGGTAAACATCTGGAGGGACAATGGACCATCTCTTTTAGGATGACCATACGTCCTCTTTTACCCGGACATGTCCACTTTTTTGGTGGCTGTCCGGCTTTGTCCAGGGACGTTTATAAGGTCCTTCAAATGTCTGCAGTTTTGTACGCAAGTTTCGATTTTGTGTCACGTGGAATTAATGAGTTAGAAGTGCGTAAAAGACACTCGATCCGACCCAAAAAACTCTCAAAATTAACTTTGTGCAACTCCGTGACTCCGCCCCCGCATAGCCGCGTCCTCTTTCTAGGAAGTCAGAATATGGTTACCTTAATGTCCTAACTTCTAGCAACATCTTTAACAACTTAACTTGCTCCTGCTAGATAGAAGTGAATGTTAGCATTCAAGCTCCTCCAGGCTAACATTACTGTTTGTTTATGCGGCTTAGTCAGCAGGACAGAATCAAATTTTAGGCTGAGTTTAGTGAGTTAGCCTTAATGTAAGCAGGAATCAATTAAAGGCAAATGTTTTCTATTTTGACTTGGCATTCAACAGCTAATGGATTATATAATTATTTGTGACAACAGAGGAAAATCGCTCTTTTTTAGACATGGTAACACGTAACCCTTTAATGTCTTTTGTATCATATTTGACACAAACTTTGATACTTCTGTCAAATCAATATCAATCGATCAATGATCAACAAATTACTAAAAAAACACCTAACTACGGTCCAAAAAATGATAAAAATGTCCTTGTGGTTTATCAGTTTCCAAAAACATCTAATATTTCAAACCAGATAAATATATATTTGTTAAATTTTAAGGACATTATGATTTCTTTGGTTTTCAGTAGTAAGTGAAAAAAAACATTTCAGCTCCAGAAAAATTTGAATTTTCTGGCCATAATTTGTGGTTTCAGCTTTAAAAGGAGTTCTCTGTTGTAGAGATAACTGTCCAAAGTAAAACACTATATTTTTAGTACACTAACTCTACTAACCCCACAACAACAACAACAACAACAACACTGAATCTCTAGTCAAAATTCTATCTTTGGTTTTCCTGCACTTCTTCTTTGTTGTGAAGTTCTCTTAAGTTTTGCTCACGTATTTTTTCCTCCTGTCGTGTCTGCAGGATATTGAGAAAACAATGAACACAGCTCTTCATGAGTTGCGTGAGCTGGAGCGACAGAATGTAGCCAAACATGCCCCTGATGTTGTTTTGGACACACTGGAGCCCCTCAAACACCCCGGCGGAGGCCAAGATCCTCCTGGCAGCCCTCTGCATACCATGGTGATCAGAGATCCAGATGCAGCCCAGCGACGCAGCAGCAGCAGCTCCTCCTCCGAGACCATGACCACTTTTAAACCGGCTCTGTCGGCACGCAGGCCGAGCGCACCTCTACGACCCCCACCTGTCAGACCTGTCAGGCCTGCTCCTGTGATTGGACAGGGCCAGGGACCACACCGCTCCAGCAGTTCTAGTTCTTCTGGCCTCGGCAGCCCGGGCATCACACCCACTGATAGGATGTTTCCCAAACCTCCCTCCCCATCTCCATCCACCTCCTCCTCATCCTCAGACAAACAGGGTAACATGTAGCCCCAGTCAGTCACAAGTTAAGAGGTGGAAGAACTTTATAGACAATGAGTGACTGACACCTTGTCTGTATGCTGAATATTTACCATTAATCTTGTACAGTATAGGACTGCTACTGTGGGGAACTTGTAAGTGGACAAGTGGATGTGCTATGCTACAATGTTACACAGAAATGGGACTGCAATTTATGATAAAAATACATACAATGCCATCATGCTGAAAAGCCAGGCTGGAAAAAAAGGGATGCACTGAAAAGAAAAAAATCTTTTACTGATATTTCACATTTAAAATCTTATCTGTTTACAAATATGCTATTAGTTCAAACTTCAGATCTGGTTTCACAGTCCATAAAAAGGAGAAACTTAGGGGGATGAGTCTCAGCTGATTATGCAGATATCTAGTTTTGATGGTAGTTTATGTAGAGCTGAAACTACTACTCCCCAGCTGCCACTTATATTGCTTAAAAAGCCGGTCCTTCAGTGACAGCGCACTTTAACAAGAGTAAATTTTAGTAACCATGGCCGTGTGTAAATCACTCAGTATCTGAATTCTTGGTATGATATTTTCATCTTTTAAAATTTGTTCAAATAATCCAGAAATTAGACTCAATTTTTGTGCTATGCATGTTGACTCATTTCTGTCAATTATCCCACGTCGATGTTACATAACCTTTTAGCTGCACAAACAACAGATGTGTGAAGTCACACCTGTTCAAAGTAAACATACAGCTTATTTGAGAATGATAAAGTCCAATGGCCAAGTATGGTTTGCATTAAATCAAATTATTTTTTATTTTATTACAAAGAGATGTAAGCAGATGGCTGTAGATGCAGTTTCTCTTATGCCCACTAGGCGCCGCCTTCAAGGGAATGTCATCCGTATTTGAGCCACTACCTAAAAAATCCTGAGTTTGGCACCACAGGCTGTTTAAAACACACCCACACAGTTACACACCGTCCCACCCACACAATTACACAATTACACAATTCCATCCCATGATTACTGAGGATAAAGGGAGACAGGCAACACCTAGACAGCACTGACTTTCAGTGGGTTTAGCTTATTTTTTATTTGAGGAAACTAAAAGACATACTTTGAAAATGTCACAACTATTCTGAATTTACAAAATCATTTTACTATTAGAGACCAAGTATGTCCAAGGCAGTGGTTCCTGTAAAACTTAGCACAGTTGATTGTGTTTGTATTTTGGTTTGATTTTGTTTGGGTCAGCTTCTAAGCACAAATGCAGTCATACCATGAGGTGGCCCATTTGACCAATAGCAGACCCGTCGGTCTTTAGCCTGTTCTTGACCAGGTAAACTGGCAACAGTGCAGCAACAACAATCTTCAACTGAGCCTCTCTTTTTGCATTTCCTCAGCAGTGGACTGGGACTGTAACAAACCGACTGTGATTCTCATAATTGGTACATTCGAAATGTTTACTGCATGTTAGGACCGGCACACCTGAAAATGAAGCTCACTGAAAATGGACCACAGCCCAAACTTCTTTTTGCCTTCATTCATCAATCTCAGAATCGGTCTGTGGGTGTCAGTAGCAGACTGGGCTGCAGGGTAAAAGTGACACAGAGAAGATTGAATACTATTGTGGATGTCATGCACACATCACCCTATAACTAATACATAAAAATATGATGAAATTTAATCAAATGTTCCTATACTATAGTTATATCTCCAAATGAAAAGATAAGCTGTTACCTCAATAAAGAAGTAAAGTGTTCTCCTACAATTCAAGAGACTAATGCACTAAACTCTACAGGGAACTGTGCTGCATTTGTAGGTTCTGTGTTTTCATTTGGATGAAGTTGTACTAAAAACATGATATAGCACATCAGTATCATTGAAGCTTACATAATGTCTAGAATGCACACAGTCAGCCCAGGCTGTGTGGGTGTTTAGATGAACTTGTTTACTGTTGGTGGTGTTTGTCGTCTGTCTCATAAGGATGATCAATATATCTATAAAGTGTAATAGGTACATCAAATTGAATATATACATACCCTTAAAGGATACTTGTACAAATAACATTGTATGATAGGAACAGGATATATTATCATGTCTAGTCTGTAGATTTTTGTAACTCTTATCCTTGCACAAACATTAACAAAACAATAAATCAATGAAACCTCACAGAAACAGCTTCTGTTTTTGTCCTGTAGAGTTTGGCATGAATGTGGTGAATGATTGTGCCTGAAGATTGAATGCAGAGAGCAGACTGTCATCACACAGCACAGCTCTCAATGCATGTGCTAACTCAGGTAGCTTTGGAGCGCCATCTAGTGGTTAGAATAGATTTGAAATTAGTTTTTACAAAATGTGAGATTCCTTTGACATAGGATTTAAGCTTCTGCAAAAATCTCAGCGTTGTCACAGCATCCACTTGAATGACCTGTTGTAGGGAACAATTACTTCACTGTTAAGCTTTTTTACATTACTGTTGCATTTTAAAGAGAAATCTTGTGCTTATAACTTATTTGCATTTATCCTTTAGTGTTAAACCTTGTGAGTTTAAATCTTAAAAACATCAGCACACTATTGTTTTAAGATTTAACAATCCAACTGTAGAAAAAGTTAAAATCTACTTCACTACACCTATTGCTTTAGCACTGAAACACTGCTATCTCTTAATGCATTTATTATATATAAGTAGCATTATACATAAGCCAGCAGAGTTACCACTAATGCCCTGTGGATGGAGGCATTGCCATCCTGGAACACAGAGAGAGACATTAACCAAGTCTTACACATCTCAATCTGAGCTTTTTGTGCTTTTTGTGACATTTTCAGAACTATTAACAAAATTTCAAATCCACACATATTATTCATTTAATTTTTCAGAGTAGATTTTTGCTTGTATTGCAGTGGTGGTAGCAGATATGGAGTGCAAAACTTCTGCACACACAGAAATACATTTTCTAGCAACATTTTAGTTCTAAACTTTAGACATTGCTTATAAATCTGTTTTTTTTGTTGCAAGTTTGACGGTGTGTGGATGTTTTGCACTTTTAAATTGTCTCACTCCTCACCCACGCACCTGTCTTGCGGGATAGATGTGCAAAGATTTGTTCCTCTCTGGAGGAATCAAATGCCATGACACAGTGTAAAAACGCCAGAGTCAGAGTGCTTAATTCAAGCTCCATTCTTCATGCAAATGTTTTGCCTTGACCAGATTGTTTAATGAAACAGGCTTCTAAGTTACTTCTTGCTTATTCTTCCTGACATCTTCACTTCAGTGTCGAGGAAACACAGAATACACAACTTGTCAACAACACCCCAGCCATTGTTGTTTGTGGCTGTCTGTGTTTTCAGGAACTTGTGAGCAAATGTGCAGCTCTCACTCCTCACCCTCCCTCAAAGCTCAGCTGCACATATTTTGCTCATTTCAGCTGGATGACTTGCTGATGTGGAGGCTAATGCTTTGAAAGGAATTCTGAGCTGAATAAAGATAAGTTCAAGTTGGCCATTACAGATCACCTACATCTAAAATGAATGGTTTAGACATGAGAATACAAAGTCGTGAAGTCTTCTCTTTCTTTGTTTTTGTTTTCCATAACTTGATGCAATTCTTGTCGATTGTTCTCTGTCTTTAATAACCAGCACTCTGAGGCAGGTTTAATTCATTTAGGTGTGTTTATTGAGATTAAAGTGGGGATCTAATCAGATTATGTCCTTGCCCTGGGCCTGACTGGCTGCCAAGAGAGAAGGGACCACCCATGGGCTCACACCCAGCTTTCTCGCCTTTCACACTGCAGCTTCCCAGTTCAAAAGGCCTTTTTATTAATTCCTTGATATGATTAGAAAGGCCACCAAAGTTGCAGCTTACACAGGTCAGGGATTGTGTAAATCCTTTCAGTATTTCCAAATAAGACATCACTTAAATCTCAGGGTACTAGGCTGTGAGGGTTAGTGTAATACACACATGAGTAAATACAGGTTATGGACTTGTTTGATGTGAGACGGTGGAATATATGACATCTATGTGAACCCTCTGTAAGGCATTGTTGAGTCGTGCTATATGATAACGCTTCACTCAACATGCCTGATACAGGAATTTTTTTCAGATGCAGTGAGGGCTTTTAGCCACTGCTCTCATTTCAGTAATTTGTAGCCGCTCATTTTCTGACCTAGGATTTTATTTTCATTGGCATATTCCACATTAGGCTGCTTACCCTCTTTCCTCACTGTCTCAGTGGTGGAGGGATTTTCTTTTTCCTCACACCTCCTCATTTCTTCCTTCTCCCTCTGGTTTTCTCTTTGAATGCAGCAGTTAAAAATGTGGTTGTAGTCACCGGGTGGCTCCAGCAGGGGGAGCGTCTGGCTGTTGACTTGCATTTAGTGATGGGCACAGCAGTTCTTTCAGTTGTACTGAATCACTAGAATCAGTTCACTAAAAAGATTCGTCTAAAGATTTGTTCACCAATTCACTGAATCATTTAGTGCTTGGCAGGAGGAGCCTGCGACTCTGACCTCCTGAACTGATACACAGCTGAACGTTTCAAGATTCAGTTTAATTCAAAGCTTCTGGGACCGTGAAACAAAAGAGTTTGGCTGTGTTGCTTTGGCAAACAGGTTTGTAAAAATGAACTTGTTTATCAGTCATGATGTTTAAAGTGTACTGTCCCATGGTGTGCCATTTACCAGGTCTGCTCTGTAAATTGGGGTCAGTGAGTGATTCGTTCACTGAATGTTTAGTAGAATTCACACTGAACATGCACCGTTCCCTCGCAAACCGCTGCAACGATAAGGATGCTGCGGGTTTAATGCACTACTTGTTACATGCTGCGTCCTATTGTATACAAATTGCTGTGGTGGCAATTTAGCAGTAAAAAAAAAAAGTAGTCTTGTCTGACAAAAATGATTCCAGAGAGTGTTGTTCAATGCGTGATTCGTTCACCAAGTGATTCAGGCGTTTGTGCATGTGGTCCCACGTTCGCCAGCTGCTGGCCTTGCAATGCTGTTTTTCACCTCAGCTTAACTGAAGTGAGAAACGATCGAATCACTCGTGGAAGTGATTCGGTTCAGTACGTTCACTTAAAAGATTCGGTTCTTTTGAAGGAATCGTTTGCAAACGACACACACTACTTGCATTAACTAGGCCCCCTCCTCTTACCTTATGATACCTCACCTGAGCTAAGATAAAGTCCGTGTTTTCTTCACTTAAAACCACTCCTTCCAGGTATGTGTCCTTTACAATAAGCACTCCTCACTGGTTAATGTGATATTTAGCACTTTTAACTATCTGCAATGCAATAAACCACGTTTTTTTTGTGTGTGTGTGGGAACAGATTAGGGTTAAGCTAGCCGTGTTAGCTTAAACACGGGGTCCCACGTGGGTCAAATTCAACAAGATAATAGCACTGCTGTGGTCACTCTGTCAATTCAGTTTGGATTAATTATTGAGCAGAAACGTGGGTTTATTGGAAAGCAAGTGTGCAGGGTTTCAGTGGGATTGTTAAATGCTGTATAGCCACATTGCTTTACAAACTGTCCAGGCTTCATTTGATATTTTTGACCTAAGATGGGTGCCTATTTTGTGCAGAGTTGTGTTATAAGTCTTGACCTTCCACTGTCGCATGGGCTGCTTGGTAGTGAACAGACTTCCGCAGGTCATTATTTGTGAGGATAAAGTACTACTTACTTACGAAAATAAAGTTATTAATTTATGTAAAGTTACCTGATGTGGAGGAGAGTTGTTAAAATGGGGGCTGTGGAGCATATATGAATTGTACTTCGGTATAGGTTTCACAAACATGGAGATACTTAATTCTTTGGTACATCAGCATGACATTGTCATGAGTATCAGAACTTTAAAAAAAATAAATGAGAAATGCATCACAGGTGGACTTTGAAGGAATCGCTGCTTTTGTGGAGGGAAAATGGCTGGAAATGGCTGTACAGAGGCTAAATCTATCAGCTGTTAATAGCACAGGGCTTTAGTTTATCATATAAGTCTATATGCCATTAGGTGTTGTTACTGTCTTACAGTAATCATTGGGTCCGTCTTCTTTTTTAGTTTGACTAGATATCAAAAATCTACTGGATATACAGCAATGCTACTTTTTGATTGGCTTTTTGGTAGATTCGTTATTTGATTGGCCTGCGCATGGCATGCAGCTCCTGGACTCTTGCGGCAACTCACTTAATTCCTACCTGTTCCATTGTTAAAGAGGTGCAACTTGGTGGACGTCACCGTGGTCATTTAAATGCGTGAGAAATACAATGTGTGGTGTGTGAACGGGAGGGAATGTGAAAGACTTGAGAGCCCTGCTTCCGTGTCATTGAGTTGTAAGCAATCCAACCGAATAGTGATTTTACGTCTTTGGAGAGGTAGAGAAGTGATGTTTTTCTGTATTTAATGGAGAAAAATCTGGAAATCTGAATCCTTTTTAGAAACAGAATTAGGTTGGTTTTGTTTGGTTCAAGTATCACCCCACGATCCCCAGAGTGCATCTTGGAAACGACTGTCCTGATTAGTGATAAATCATTTAATGAACTGACTTGTACCTGAAGCACAAATTTATCGATAGAATTTGCTAATGCGTCCAATGTAGTAGACTCACATTTCAAATTTCTTACAAATCTCTTTACTGTTTGATCAGGTCTGTTTGTTTGGTAGTCAAGGGTAGGCGTATGTTTGTTGTAGCGCCGGTTTAACAAAGATAATTACATGCAGATTTCAGTGGTTGTGCACTTAATCCTATAGTCTGTGTTAAATCAAGCAGTAAAACTGTCTGGTACAATTCAAACCACTGTGTTCATGTAACATAAAACTTATTGATAAGACTCTTACCCAGAGTCAACACTGGGCCGAGACTGTAATGTGTACTGAACTGGCAAATAGTGTCACATTGCAATGAATCAATGAGTGGCAACGACAGAGGGAGAAGGGTGGAAGGCTCTCCATTACATGCGGAAAATGTGAGATATGCTATGTTGGGGATAAATGTTGGGGGTAAATTGGATAAATATTGTAATTTTTAACTTAGCCACATCTGATTGTGTGGTTAAAGTAATTCCTGAGCACTTCTGCTTTTTCTGTCGAACCAGCCATGTTACACTTATCCTAATTGGTTCATTTTCTTGTGCAAATACCCAAAAGTCATCTCTGTGTGATTAAGTCCATGTTTTTACTCTGATCAGTGCATTTGTAACAAGTTCAACCTGACAGGAAAAAGTGGTTCACACACAGCCATGAGTTAAAAACAGTGTAACGGTTAAGCTCCATTGAAAGTGAATTGCCTGAGAATAACTTTTTAAATATTTGTTTTCCAGTATTTATGGGCCTTGTGTTGTATTTAGAAATAAGTACACGTTTTAAGTATTTTGAACATTTTGAACAAGTTGAACTGCATCTCCTGCCGTATCTCCTCTCACTCAACCCCCCTGGTAGGTCTTTACATCCCATCTTCCACATCATTAGGTTCCCTTGGTGCGCATAGTTCCATCTGTGCTTAGCTGAATGTTGACCACAGAGCGATCATGCAACACGATTCAATCATTTAAAACCTCAACATCCATCATCTCACGTATGTTCACTCTTGCAGCTCATCCTCCTCAGAACAGTACATCATGATCGACAGACTGGTTTACATGTTGCACTGATCTGTTGCTCTGTTCATGTGCACCGCATATCTCAGCTTGAGGACAACACAGGGAAAGGAACAACAGATCCAGCAGATTTTAATGGGAAAATGTTTTTTGTGTGCTCGTGGTTCTCTGCTGTCAAATATGGTTACTCTTTTGTGGGCGGCAGTAAACATTCCCTTGTTCCTATTCCTGTTTAACCCCCCGTGACTGACTTGAGTGATTGTGGAAATTGGCAGATATTCCCACATTGTACAGAGAAAGAAAATATTGTCATTTCTTGAAAAATTCATTTGACTTCTCAAAACAGTTAATCTAAGTTCAGGCTTTTTATTTACTATAAGTAAACTGATACTGTGGGTTAGTTTATCTGTTTTTCTACCCCTTGGGTGTGTTTTTTTGTCTGGGAAATACTATATACAAGCCAGAGTGACCCTGACCTTTATTTTATGTACAGTACATAGCTGCATTCCCCTGACAAGGCTGAATTTTTTACTGTATTGGTGGTTAGAGTTACAGGATGACACAGCATGATTTTCATGGTCAAGAACAGCTGCCAACAGTTGTCTTATTACCTCGCCTTTGTGCTCTGCAGGTACACTCCCTGCAGAAACATGCTTGGATACAGCATGTTCCCTTTCATGTTGCTGTGCTTGGTCAGCCTTAACACAAAGCTGCTGTTGGTCCTGTAAGTTTTCATCAGTTGTATGTCTGCTTGTGTAACTTTGATTCAGTCAGGCAGGCAGCAAAAAAGGAAAAAAAAGAAAACCTGGTGGTGCAATGGTGGAATGGAAAAAGTTAAGAAGACGTACAGGGACAGTGATTTTATTAAACTAACAATCCAGACTCGCATTTCAGGCAAAAAGAGATGAGCTACAGTACAAAACAGTTAAGTCAACACGATTAAGTCTATCAAAAGTCCTTTTTCTAAAGTATTCCAGACATCTGCCATAAAAAAAGTCCTAGCCACACAAGATATTGATCTTAAATAGTAAATTTAGACACTCCACAGCTTCATCTGATCACTGAAACAAAAGGCTTTGAGAAACTTTCAATAGATGCTCAAATTTAGCTTTCATGCATACATATTTTGCTGTGAAATTAATTTGTCTAGGACCTCAGCATCTAAAAACCCTAATGTAACATATGATGATTCAGATTTAAATTTACTCTGTTGATCTCTCCAGTAGTCCAGTATTCAGAAAAGGTCAGTACAATCCTATTAGTCCTGAGCAATCTCAAATATTGTCACCCTATTAAAATAATGGCATTTAGCCAATAAAGTAATTTTTTTTTTTTTTTTTTTACAAAAATGAGTTTTTGGCCTAAATCATCTCTTGATAATGCTGGCCATCTCTGGTAAAATCACCTAAATCCTTAGTTGAAAGGATCATGGCATGGCATCAGGCCAAAAACTCATTTTGATCAAAAATTGACTTCGGCCATTATTTTAGTAGGTTGATGATATGATGAGGACTAGAACAAAGCACAGACAGTAAAAAGCCTTTCATTTGCCATTACTGGAGATCTCCCAGTTTACTGTTTCTTACAAACCACCAAACTGTGTTAAATACTTGATTCTGATTGGTCAATGCACCTTGACGATCACTCATTCTGAATAGCAAAGGCAGACTTTCAGGTTATTGATAAAATTATGACTTTGTTTCACCTCCCATCAGATCTTTTAGGTTAATGAGTGTGTTCGTCGTAGCCACAGGACAGTGAGGTGATTATGGATTAACGTTAGACCGCGAGCTGCAGCGAGCCTGAAGCCTGTTTAGTTTTCTGCAGAGCTGTTCCCTAGGAGAAGAGAGACCTCCATCAGCAGAGTAAGTTCACTGCCGCACCAAGCATCTTTTTAAGGACGCTTGCAATGTTCTTTAAGTGTTACCTGCATTTGGCCTGCCACATAGCAGCCTGTACTGTTAAGCAAGGTGCTTGTGTTTTTACTCCAGCCAACCAATCATAGGCATGGAGATGGACCAGTTACCAAGGTAACCAGAAAAATAAATGCTTTTTAGTCGATCATCACAGAGACAGATGCTCATTTTTGTGTTGGTTTGCCTGTTTCTTGCTGCTGAGTGTTGTGTTAGTCACTGTTTGACTTCTTTTGTGAGCAATCATTTATCTGCAACAAGTGTGCATGGGTGAAAGTTACCCCCGCCTACATTCATCTTTTTTATAGGGTGGTTGTCAACTGGTGCATGTTGGTAAGAAATCATTGATACAAGGTAAGGGGCCACAACTAGCCAGTCATGAGCTAGCATATTATGAGCCTCACAAAGCTGTTCAGCCTGTTTGATGAGAAAGAAGAAAAAAGACCCGTGGACAATTTTTTGTATCACCACATCAAACAAAACACAGAGAATCATTTCTGGTGAAGGAGTTCCTTGTGGAAACAAGATGACCCAAATGAGAAGACATCTGATGAAGAAGCACTCTGCATTGTCTGCCCAGGTAAATCAATAACATAAACTGATTTGATCATATGAATGTAAGTGAAGTCTCTAAATTTAGTGTAAAAAAACCCAGATCATTTTCTGGGACAAATCTTCTACTATCATTTTACATTTATGTGACATTTTTAGATGAGGCAGCACAATTTGACAGACGCTGGTTCGCGTTTAGCATGATTCCTTAACCAATCCTTTGAGCCCAGTTGCTTTATCGTAGATATTTATCTTCTCCTTCTAAACGATTTATGATTTTTAAAACCAGTGTAGATGGTTAGATGATGTTCATCTTTAGAGCCTACACAGAAGTATTTTTCACTGCTCTATAAAATCAGGAATCTGCAAAGAGAAGCATTGTGTTGAGTTTAGAAGTAGATCTCAGAAAAGTAAAAGGTCTGTGTTGTAAGATAATCAAGAGTTATCCTTGTGTGATATACTGTATGTGACTGCTGGATGGTGCTCTGACAAAAAAATAGCTGAACTGACACTGCTGTCTGACTGGGTTTTAACACAAAAACCACTGAGTTTGAAAAACATTGTGGTTTTGTCTGCTAGAGACATATAAGGGTAAATATGTATGTGTCTTAACAGCTGACGCTCAGACACTAAGCCACATGCTCAGTGTCTGAGTGTCAGCTGTTAAGTGGGACAAATTTCATGAAACTTTGTCAGTTGGCAGTGGAAATAACTGATTTATGTCTTTCAGATTCCAGAGACTGAACACGTACAACAGAAAACATGCAGAGGCAGCAGACAACCATTCAAAATATACTGTACTTGGGATCAAAGTGCCATCTAGATGGGAAAGATCAGATGACCAAAAAGAACCCTCTCCATGTGGATAAGTCATCCTGGTCTGCAAGCTCAGGCAACGGGGGACATTGATATTATCAAAATGATGGAGGTGGTGGACTACACCATAAAGAGCACATATTGCTCCGCCTAGAACAGACCTCATAACCATATACTGCCAGGTCTGTTAACGCTTGTGTTGACCATTCCACTGAAATGTGGGGAATGCCACATTTGATGATAAGATCATTGCAGTCATTAAGGTTTATGGGAGCAACATGGTTGCTGCATTTAAACCACAAGAGGAAGAGGAGATGATGGTGGTGAGAGAAAGCATTTGAATTAGGACAAAATGAGGTAAGACCACGATTGAGTTATTTAATGTCAAATAATATTATTGTGACTAAAATACATGGTCAACTCCAAACACACAAACCTTTTACATCATAAACGTTGGATTCTTTTGTCCCCATACTGTAATACAATATTCTTGAAGTAATTAACTGGTCTTTTTTTAATTTACTTTTTGTAGCATATGGATTAAAACATATCGGCCCTCATTTATCAATCGTGTAGAACCCAGGATTCATCGTTCAATAGGACACACGTGAGATTTATGAAAGGGCTCGTATCTGACCAATTGCTGCATACGATTGATCAGGTCTTGATAGATGCGGCGGCTGAAATCGATCGTCATTAACAGGTCATGCCCTGGTTCAGAAGCCTCGCCCACCGAGGTCAAATATGAAGGAGGAAAAATATTAGAAAGATGCGAAACTTTTCCAAGCTGAAAGTGGATATCCTCATGTCTGTGGTGGAAACTAAGAAGGACGTGCTCTTTGGAAGCAGCAAAACTGGTACAAACTGGCTTAAAAGCAGTCCAGAAAAACCCTGTCTGGAGACGGTGGCGGTGAACAGCGTTGCCGCAGATTAGCGGACACCGGCTGAAGTTTGAATAAATCATTGGTCACCAAGTTGTCCATGATGATAAATTAATATCTCATGCATACCTCATATTCTATTGTTGCCATAACAAAGTCTATGTTGCTCCTGTTATTGAAAGTATTTAGTTTTAATTTGTTGCTGCTTTATAATGTAGAGCAGACTGGAGATTCCAACTGAGGCTTAACAAAATAATTATTAACGTCATAGACTGTATATAGAATAGATGTCGTCTGCCTCCCCGCTGTGTGAAGCCACTGCGAGAACAGCACCCTCTGGTGACGGGCTGCAGTATAGGTCATAAATAACATCATTTTTGACTGTATTTATAGCTAAATAGATGACAAGAACACCATTTCCCCCAGCCTGTATAACACCTGCGCCCCGTAATAATTTTTAGATATGTATCTTTCTTGGGTAAAATAATTACGTATTGTCCTTTTTAGTTTGGGAGTTTCTAGATTTCCATTGAAAAAGTAATCAAATTATCTAAATGTCATTTCTCTGTCTATTTCTCAGCTATAACAGACACTTTGCTTTATTCCCACATTGCAGTAGGTTGTTAGCGGGATCCAGAGAAGTCTATGTGACACGTCTCCTGGACAAAGTGGAGGTAGTTGTCGAACTGATTCACTTCAGTTTCAAAAGAGAAACTTTGCCAGCTCAGTGGACTCCCTCTTATTAAAGACTATACGACAAGATGAGCCAGCACTCTCAACCAGATGATTTCCTCTGCGGGGAAAGATATGGGGGCCGATGGGATGGTTTGGATTGTCTCCTGCCAAGTGGATATGTCAAGAAGACTGCAGTCCTGGAACTCCTGCTGCCCTTTTGCTGAGAATACAAAACACTTCAAAGTGACACAGTGTTCCTGTCTTTGATTGTCCCTGCTCCTCTGACTTTATCCCTCACCTGTTCTCTCCCAGAAATCAGCACACAGTGGCCTGTGTGGACTGACAGATGAAATGAAAGTTAACCTTGAAGAGCACTTCAGCTGCTTTCTTTGTCCTCGTGCAGCAAAGTTCCCCCCTCTTGCAGTTGCTGGAGATATTCTCATTGAAAACACAGATAATGGGATCCAAGAAGTTTTGACCGAAGCAGAAAAAAGGGTCTTCAGTGTAATCACATCCACACCACAAAGAGATTTGAATAACCGGTAAAGGATAAAGGATGTTGAGGAAATGTCCTCTTCAGAGCACCTGTAATTTAGGTTTTCATCCATCAAGCACAAGGGACAGCAAATAAGAGTTGACAATCTCTATAGCATGTCCTGTGCCACTCACAACAGTGTTGTGTCGTTCGCAAATGATTTTTCGCAGCTGCCATAGCATGCAGAATTGCCGGACGAGCAGCTGGCGAGCAAGGGACCAACGCCTGAATCACTTGGTGAATGCATCACTCAGTAAACTACACTCTCAGGAATCATTTTCGTATGAGTGATTCACTATCATGGCGACCGTTGTTCCCCGTTGTTTTAACAGATTTAGTTCCCAATTAACCAAACTTAAAACGTTAGGCTAGCAGTAATGAGAAGAGAGTGAGACTTACCAGCTGTAGAAAGCTCTTTACAGGAGCGTCGGCGGGAGATAGGGGTGTATTGTGTTTAAATGTACCTCGGAGAAAACAAACTTTTTTTGTTTTGATAAATTGCCACCACATCAACGTGCATGCAGTAGGACACGGCATGCAACAAGTAGCGTATAAAACCCTCAGTTTGAGAAAATGCGTGACTGTCTAATCCTATCATTGCGGCGATTCGCCAATGTTCAATCCTTCACTGAATGTACTGTTCGGTATACGTTCAGTGAACGAATCGCTCACTGAACCCAGTTTACCAAGTAGACCATATATATACAGTACAGGCCAAAAGTTTGGACACACCTTCTCATTCAATGCATTTTCTTTGTTTTCATTACTATTTAAATTGTAGATTCTCAAAACTATGAATGAACACATGTGGAATCATGTGCTTAAGAAAAAAGTGTGAAATAACTGAAAACATGTTTTATATTTTAGATTTCTCAAAGTAGCCACCCTTTGCTTTTTTGATAGCGCTGCAAACTTTAGCTGTTCTCTCAATGAGCTTTATGAGGTAGTCACCTGAAATGGTTTTTACTTTACAGGAGTGCCTGAAGTAACCCTGACAAGGTACTTCTGTCATCAAGACCAAAGGATGGCTATTTTAAAGAAACTAGAATATAAAACATGTTTTCGGTTATTTCACACTTTTTTTATAAGTACAAAATTCCACATGTGTTCATTCATAGTTTTGATGCCTTCAGTGATAATCTACAATGTAAATATTCATATAAAAAAATAAAGAAAAGACATTGAATGAGAAGGTGTGTCCAAACTTTTGGCCTGTACTGTATATAGTTGAACTGTTTAGCTGTGTTCAGGAAGTCGGAGTCACAGGCTCCTCCTGCCAAGTGCTGAATGATTCTGTGATTCAGTGAATGAATCTTTTGAACGAATCTTTTTAGTGAACTGATTCTAGTGATTCAGTACATCTAAAAGAACTCACAAAAGCACTCTGCTTTTGGAGCACCTGTTAAAGGCAGTTGAGAAAGGGCAGCACGTGTCCAATGACCATAAAAATGTCTAATTGATTGATATGAAAGGAGCAGTTATGACAGATAGACACTCCAAAGAGCTAAGAAAAAAAAAGTCAATTTCCTCCTCTGGGTTATATTGCTGTACAATGGGCCATTAAGAGGCGTGTGATAAAATCTTGGCAGAGCATAAAACTTTAAATATGCATGGTGCGAATTGATGTAGCGTGCTTATGAGTGAAAATTGTGTTATTAACGTTGAAAATTAGATGTAAGTAGAATAAGCTTCAAAAGGCAGTCATTGGCCCCATTTGCTGAGGAGTTGTGCAAACATCCAGGTGTCTATTTCTAATCGGAGGGACATGTGGGATGAGTCAGCCCTCTCCTCTGCTATCTCAAACTTGGCTCTGTGAGACATTCCCAGTATTAACCAGAGGGTACCGAGGAAGCTGTCAGGAGATGTTAGGGTCTGATCACTCACTACAGACAAGAATTTAGACCCAGTGGGAAACAGATGAGCAAAGAGACACAGTGGCGGATGATGGAGAGCCTAAGTGTTCCTGGCAGGTTAATATCTCCATTAGTAAGCCATAGATCGATCACCAGTGGAAATAATAGGTTTACAGAAAAAAAATCTGTGTATTTGTGTCCTGTAGGTGAAAAGAAAATTTGATCACTTTACTTTTGCAGGCAAATTAAAAATTTCAGGCTATTTTTAACTCACTTTTCCTGCCCCTGAACTAAATCTACATGTGTACACACAGTGAGCATATTTAAAGAAAATTCCCATATTTGATCCAAACTAATAGATCCATGTGAGCTTTGAAAATTCAGCTGATTTCTGGTGTGAATTGGATGTGATTAAGTTTTGGTTGATATAATAAAAATAGCACCATCATTTCCTTGAACTAATCATACAAAATAGACCCAGTAGTGAAATGGTGTTGACACCAAGCATTGGGTTTGTACTTTGATAACCAAAGTAATCCAATTTTAATGGCAGGTGTCAGCCTGGGGAGTTTACCTCAATAATTACAGTATACAGCACAAGCTAATGCTATTATTTAGTATTGCATTCATGCCTTGGGAACAAATAGGCACAGTCCAGTGGCATTACACGTGTTTGCTAAATGTCAGTGACGGCATTGATGGCAGATGATTTTGAAACACAATGCACATTTACTGATGAACATTTTTTAATTGGCAGGGCCAGTGCCTCTTCCTCTGAATCATACCGTGACGACTTAAGCAAAGGGTCTGGTTGTACAATCGTGGTTGTCAGATGAGCCATTGCTCTGTTCTATCAGTCGGCCTCCTCTTAATCTCCTTCAGATGAGTTAAGGTGATAACTTCCTAATTTGCAGTTACCCCACTGGTATCATAAACTGTATTGTGTTACATCGTGATGGTGGGATCTCACAGTATGAGAACTGACATTTCTACATCTGTTGGACATATATCTGGAATTTCTGCCCTGCAAGCATAAGGTCCATTGGGTGTATTATGTAAATGGTCAGGAGCAGCATACATTTAGATTTGATGTGGATAAAGTTCCTGAAATCTCATGAATAGCCTGAAGCTTTGTCCCTGATCTACACTACTGAAAGCTTGTCAGCATTGATTTCATGGTTATCAGTTAAATATGAATTACAGATGTACAGTCTTTTTTCTGGGATGCGGTATTTTACATCTAAAACACTGTTGCAGGGGGTCGTTTGTTTGTTTGTTTAGCCTCTGCTCTTCCTGTGGACCGAGTGGTCGGCCATTGTGCACAGTGGCATCAATCAACAAGAGTCTCCTGGGTAATCCTGACCTCGTCTAAGGAGGAAAAAATGTAACAAGTGTACTTTGGATTTGTACTTTGAACCATTTGGAATAAATGCAGGAAGTTTTTGTACACATAGCTTGGCTTGTCTGCCACATGGGTGATGTGGCTCCATGTACAGCGTCCTCATTCTCTCAGTAAGTTTGCCTAGACAACCTGATCCTATTCAGTTGTCTGAAGAACTCTTTGAATCTCAAATGAATGTTTTAATTTTCCCCTTCCATTATGTTAGTTGGGAACAGTAGCTTTGCATGATTTGTAGCTCAAAATACTTCTTATTTATTAAGTTATATCTTTACAGAAATTTCAGCCACAATAACACGTTTCATTATTAGCTGCTGCCATGTTAAATTACAGTCTTTATCACATCCTCATTAGGTTCTTATTACACTTGATGAAAGTATTTATCACACCTGAGAAAAGCCTTCAGTGCATCATTTTCAAGTTCTATACAAAGCCCTTGGAAAAGCCTCATAATTTTTTTTATTACACCTCTATTACACCTTTTATAAATCTTTAATGACACCCTTTGTAAGACCATTTTTACACCCTTTATGAAGTCTTTATCATACCCTAGATAAAACATAAACAACACCCCTTATTTAATCTTTATTACACTCTTTGTGTAGACTTTAGCATTTCCTACATAAGACCTTCATAACACCCTTTATAAAGCCTTTATTGCACCTTTTTGAAGGCTTAACAACATCTATAAAGTCTTTGTAATACCATTTTAAAAGCCCCCATAATCACCCTTTATAACGGCCATTAAAGAGCAGAATTAAAACTGGTACAAGATGTTGTCGCACATTTTTTGTCTCCGTATTGCCACATACAGTATATTACTACTTTGAAAAAAAACAACCTTAAAGTTTTTTTACATTCCTCCTGGTGAAAACTTTATTACACCTTTTACTTAACCTTCATAACACCCCTTAATGTCACCCTATACCAAGCCGTAACTAAGCCTTTATCACACGAATAACTCAGCCTTATTACACTATTGATTCATACTGGATTTTGCACTCTTAATGAAGCCTTTATTTCACTCATAATTAAGGTTTTATTAAACCATTATAACCCCTTTTATTAATCCTTCATTACACTCTTGATTAAATCTAATTAAAGGCATTCCAAGATTTTCTTTTGGCATTTTTGTCTCAAGACTCTGTTAATTTCTAACAACTCTAACCTAATTTCTAACGTTTGCAGATGTTCCTGTGATACCCTCACCAGTAAAGGCAGCTTGTTAACTTCTGATAGTTCGTTGAAGTAGTTTGCAAGGCCTAAGAAGCTCAAAATTTGAAAAGGTATGCTGCAGGGGTCAAGCTTAAAAACAGTACACTTTGTCAGAAAGTTAAAATGTGTTTATATAAGTATCGTGCTCTGATTGCAGACAGATATATCTTACACTGTTTGTTTGACTATCCCATGCTTTATGCGCCCCACTTCCCAACATTAAAAGCATAGCTCAGTCCTCCTTCATGTTCAATTTTCCACAGCTGCAGTAAACCAACTCAAGCACTCAAAGTAAGTTTTTTTCATTATGCATACAGTGATTGCCTCTGAAGCCTTTGAAAGCCACTTGGATGTTTTCCTATAGGCCTTACTGGTCATGGTTGTGATCACATATCATGTCAGGGCCCATTCTTGGGCAAAAACTCAATACGCGACTGAGAGGACCAGCTCAGCCTGATGGGGGATAAGAAATAATGAGGATCTGAAGTATCAAATTACAGCTAAATAACCATACAGTGGTAATCCTTTCAAACAGTTTGTCCTACTCAGCTTGTAAATATTTAGAATCTGTCACATGAAACTGGAGGCAAAAACTGTGACAGAGTTTTCCCTTTACTCCTCAGATCCTTAATGTGAGTCAAAAATGTAAACTCCTTCGGTGGAAACAGCCACAAACACTTTCTAGATTTACCCCAGAAAAGACTTAATCTGACTCAAAGCTCCTGAGATGTTGTTTGTAGCTGGTTTGGCAGGTAACACACTGAGTCAGTTCCATTGTTGTGAGTTATCTACACTTTTTGACGGCAAGGACAAACTGTCTTGTGGAAAGGAAAAATTCTCATTTGTCTTTCTGGTTTCATTGTCAGAATTATTATTTTTTTACTAAAGTTGTCTGGATTGATCCTCAGAGGTGCAAAAATGTATCTTTTCACCCCAAATGGACAAATTGTTTGTATATGCAAAATTTAAAGGCTGTTTCACAACCTGTCTTATCAGTGGTGTTCTCTGAAAGTAACAGTGGAGATAAAATTTGATTGATTTCTCTGAAAGTATTTCACCCAAATGTGGTAATGATTAGCCCTAGAGCTTGGGGTGGTGCTGCTCGGGGTCAAATTTTGTTTTCTCAAATCTGAGGCAGAACTGGAAAAGCTGATTAAATTTGTTTACTTACTGAAATGACCAGGGATCTGCTGGGAAGAGACTGAAAAACACGATAGAAGAACTATATATATCTTTCCTTTTTTTTTTTTTTAGTGGAAGGAGTGGATGTTAGCTCGGGGGGTTATGTAAATGAAAGGTTTTGGATTTTCTGTGATGCAGGTTGGGAGGAAAGCATCCTGTCAGTTTGTTTGTGAAAAGTTGTATTACACAAAAATGTTCATTAAAAAACTCAACCCAACATTGACAAAGATAAAACCAGGGTAATTTACTTCAATATCTTAAACATGAATGTCAGGTTTTGTCATAAAACAGTCCTAGTGGCAAATACAAAGATAGTTGCAGCTAGCAGGTGAATTAGCGAACAAATCTGTACTTTTTAATAGTTTGCAATCACAGGAGACACACAGTGTGACACTATTACTCAACAGAGAAGTGTAGAACTGTCTTCACTAGTCTTTCTCTGTCTTCCTTATCAGTGAATACCTTTTATGTTCTTGCATAACAACGCAGAGACCATCATCAAGGTTGACAAGCGATGTTAACAAGCATAGATTCCCGTGTTAGCTGTGCTGCATTCATGCTCTCTAATTTCGTCAGATAAATCTTTTGTAGACCAGTTCTTCTCTGCCAATGCCAAACAGCTTATTTTGCTGCTGCTACTGACTGTTATTTGTACCCCCGGGTGCTGACAATCAGTTGCCTGATTGACACCCGATCTGATTACCTGGTCTGGATAGGGCTCATGCGATAGGGCAGCTTTATACTGGTGTTACAGAAAACCAAGTTGCACTGCTGTCTGCAATACGTGCACTGGAGTCTGACCATGTGGAGGAGCCCTATGTTAAGCGATTCTGCTGATTCTGCCTAGCAGCAGGATCATGGGCTCAAAGTATGGGGAGACGTGGAAAATGCTATGCTGATTGGAGAACCAATAGAGTAACATTTTTTGGGGTGAGGCAGTGTGATGGTGTGAGGTTTTATCTCTCTCTCTCTTGAAAAGCAAGGCTTGTCATCATGAAGTAGTTTTAATGAAGAGAGATGTTGAGATTCTGCCATCAGTGGCAATCTCGTATCTCAACAGTCATGAAGTGAAGTCTATCCTCTAAGATGACTCAGTTTACGCCCACAGAACAGGGTTCAGCAGACATCACCTGCATGGGAATGCTGTTCATGCCAGAGTGAATGGGATGCCATCCCAGAGCAGTGTATGACGATTTTGTGTCACATGGACTTACTGAGTTAGAAGTGCGTAAAAGACACTCAGTCTGACCCAAAAAACTCTAAATTAACTTTCTGCTACTCCGTGACTCCACCCCTGCATAGTCATGTCCTCTTTTTGGGAAGTCAGAATGTGGTCACCCTATACATGCACCTTAAGTTACTGTTTCTTAAACAAATAAATTTTTAATTTTCTAATATGTCCTGTTTTTTCAAGCTTTAATGATTTAATCCACCAAACAACAGTATATCTTAAAAACTTACAAATCATCCCTCAAAATATTCTTCCTGATTTTCTTATTTGCTTTCGTAGCTCATGTATTAGCATAACTAGCAAAGTTTTAGCCTGTTTCATAACCGTCTGTTTGTCTAGTGATTCTCCTTTCTGCACCTTCCCCTTTCCTTAAGTCCATATAGTCACAATGATTGGCTGTTTTTCAGTAAGTCATCTTCTTTTCAAGGTTTCTTTAAGGTTTTTTTTCCTGCTTCTGTTGCCAAATGTTTCCAAGTTTCCAATTTTTTTTGCACTCTGCCATGAAGAAAAGAGAACTTTTCAATTTAGCCCTGCAACATTACAGTCTGCCCAGCAATCCAAATGTGTGTAATTAAATAGAAAATATATCCACCATAACACAGAATACAAAGTGATTGTGGGGGCTGGTATCCTCCTGAAGTCTCTCCAATCAGTATCCAAACTTTGATTTCTTCTGTTTGTTACTATTTTATTGCGTTAAAGCCTGTAACAAGCTCTCATTTTGTCTTTCTTGTATGATGCAATGTTAAGACTCAGGGAGAAAATCAAGGGTTGATGAGGAAAAACTGTAACTTAATCATGTGGACGTTTGTTCAGAACATCTTTTGCTCATACTTGATTTGTAGACAAGAAAAACAAATGTTTCTGCCTTTATGATGGCAGACAATGACAAACAAACGAGCCATCAATTGAATTACCTTTTATTTTAATTAGGTATTATTATGCCTATATCATTACCACCATATCTTTTCATCTGTACTCGAGATGAGACAGCATAGTCAGCATCCACAGGACAAGATTTGTGCTCACTTAAGCCGTAATGTATTGAAAGAGGGATAGCTAATGCTGGAACAGGATGTCTGGCCTGAGGCATTAGGCTAGCAGGCCACATTAGGAACTCTTTATATAACTTTATTGTTATTAAATGTTTGACAAACACTGGTTGACAAATTGTCATCGGGAATAGAAGATGAAAAAAGTTGATACCACTATTTTTCTGTTTTAAATATGACGCTCATTTGCAGATATTAAGCTTGAGACTGGTGCTCTTTGGTACTTCTGTTCGTGTTTTCCTTCTGGATAAAAACTGAAGTCACATTTGTTCCTTTGAATGACTAGTTGCAACCAGGTAAAACATTTATTAATCATTCTTAACTTGCCAAATAAGAGAAAACTAAACTAAACTCTGCCAAAGGTAACACCTGCTGTTAACCAGCACCGCAACGACAACTGATTTATGCATTGCATTGGGTTGGTTTGATGTGAAGTGGTGGCCAAGAAACAGCCATCTGTATGCCTTCACAGCCAACTCAATGTCACTGCTGATGGGTGTTTGCCAGTTAGCTCCAGTTGGTCCATTAGCCTTGTTGAAGAATGGCTGCAAACCAACGACTGCACAGCCTCAGTGACATTCACAAGTCCTCATATCATTCCTTTTGAAGTCCTACACCAACCTGTTTAGTCCATTGCCTCACCTCCATCCTCGTTTCCAGGGACAGGGTTGGCTCCAGTTAGATGGGCTGTCTTGTGGCCTCAGAGACCAGGGGGCAGGTGTTGTTATTTCTCTCTATGTAAATCGGCTAAGAAGGACATCAAAGAACCTGGAGTTAAAACTTGATGCCTTGGGGGGGGGGGGGATATACTTCCAGTTGTCCTGCCAGGTGACACTCTGCTGCATTGCCTGTTTCCATTTTATCCTGGGAACCTGCTGTTGCAGAACAATTGTCCTGCTTACTTGTTATTCCTCCACATAAGTGCCCCATAAGCTTGCACCTATCCTCCCTGCTGGCTGTGTTATATTGGGGGTGATGTTGTACTCCTTTACACAGTCGTGTGCTGTTCCACATCCTCAAAAGGATCTTATTCTTTGGCAAAGATTCTGCCTTTCAAACAACCCTCTCTCGTTACAGTAATCCCTATACCTGACTGGCGGCATTTCCACTACCTGATATCTGATGTTATTTTATTTTAACAGATTTAATAATTTTATATTGCATTTTTAAATTGTTTTTATACTTCTTTTTTCAATTCAAATATATTTCCTTGCATCTGTAAAGCACTTTGAATTGCCTTGTGCATGAATGGTGCTATACAAATAAACTTACCATGCCTCCTTAGTGAGCCTTGATTTAGTGTGAAAGATTTTTTTATGTCTGTGCAACTTTGAGTTTATGTTTCTCTTGCTTTACATTTCAGATAAAACATACATGAGTATATATCCGCCTTCTTATCTTGGCAGGAAGGTGAATATTTGTGTTCATTAGATGTTACATGGCTTCTTCGATCACGAAAGATAAATATTCTTACCTGCTGCTAAATTCACCCTGCACTTAGTCTAACATTTCTCTTTGCCCAAAAAATTGGATGATTTTAACTCACCGAGACAGATGCTGAGATAAAACTGCCTCTGAGTTGTGAGGGATACACATGGGCAGAGTTATGTTCACCACATGTAACAGATCTAGAGATTTCACTGAAGATTAAACACTCACTCCTAAAATGGAAGCTGTAAATTCAATTTTCCTGTTAAAATTTAATCAGCCTAAAATGTCAAGGAGCTTGCCATTGATCACTCAGAATCTTATTTTAGCAGATATTTGACCAAAAGAAAAATCCTTCCTCTGAATTACCATCGGAGAACAGATCTAGGAATCAAATATGAAAGTACATCTGTGTATTTCAGGAGAAAACGTTTCCAGCAGATTTCTGTCTGTATGCAGGACATAGTTATTTAAAATACATTCATGACACATGGACTAAACGGTTATTATTACTTTTGAACAGCTCATATTTGTTTTATCTTTGAAGGTTTTAAAAAAAGCATGCTTTACACACATTTTGTTAGAAAATAAAGGACTATCGTTTTAGATTAGATTTGATTATATTAGATTGGAGTTGGGTTCAGATCAACTTTTCAAACCACAGGTATGCCTTACATTTATTCAACACACATAGAATATTTCCATTTAAAGTCATAATGCAACCTCAAAAATATATTTTTTTGGCACTAAAAAGTTGAGTTGTTGAGTGTTGGAACAGGCAGATATAAAATATGAAGTGTTGTCATAAATGCAGGTTAAAAGCTGCACATGGGAAATGTAACAGAGTATCTGGGATCAAAATGTTAAGAAAACACACATGTTGTGATAACAGACACTTTTCTTGCATGTATGCTTATCAACCCACAGCTGTCATCACGTTCAAAGAAAGATACGAGTGATTTATTTTCCACAGCTTTTACATGCACTTGGTCTGGGTCAACAAAACACCCACTCTTCCCATTTTGGTTATGGTCTGACTCTGAGGAAAACATGAAAAAGTATTATGGGGCAAGGTAAAATTAGACTGACATGCATCAAAGCACTGATAAAAAAAGAGGAACATTGCAAGTGATGCAGTTTTAGGAACAGGATGTCGAATCAGGTTTTGCAAAACTTTTTACAAAGTCTACACACTGTTGTGTAGACACTAGGGTTTCTTTAGGGGTGAGTTTGGGGCTGCAATGTCCAAAAGGGAGGTGTAATTGTACTGAACAGTGTTATTCTGATTCAACAAGTATGCTTTCTTAAACAAATACTTGTGAAAGTTGTGGGCTAGGAGGAATCAAAGGTTTAACAAGGACGAATTGAAAATAATCACCCTTGCTTTGCTTGCATACCAGTTTCTGGTCAGTTAGACAAAATAATATGATTTTCATTATTGTGGGACCAAAATACTGGTCTTAAGTTGTAAAGATCTAGGACCCACCCACCTCTAAAACCAGGCTGTAGCTTTGCTTAATGGCAACTGCTGTAGTGCTACAAAACTTAACTACCTGTATGAAAAAAGCATGGATAGCAGATGACTCTGTGCAGCAGTCATCCACTCCACTTCTTGTGTTTAACTATGTTAGATGAATTGTGCTCAACTGTTTTTTTAAAGGTTTTTTTTTTCTTACCTTTGGACTTATCAGTCAGGGTCTTAAATCTAATGCATCTATTCTAACGTCAGGCTGCTGCTGTCTGGATTAAATGTGCAGGCAGGGGGGCTGTCAACAAGAAGTTGCAGTAGTCAATGTATGATATTACAAGAACCTGTACCATGAGCAGTGTGGTAGAATGTTAATTTTGGTGTGTTAGACAGGCTGGTTTGTCATTAGCCAAGCAATTATGGTCATATGAACCTTGACAGAGCTTCCCATTAATTTTGTATTTGTATTTGTTTATTTAGCACAGATTAAAAACAGTGCAGGGAGGGAACGAAGCCGATAGTCTTATACAAAGTTCCACTCCAGTCAGGACAGAGAAAACATAAGGTGCAGACAACTAAGTACATAGACAGGTTACACATGTACAATGATTAGGGAAAGGTCAAACAAGTTGCCATAAATGGAACACAGACAAATCAGCAAACAGTGATAAAGACAATAAAGTATTCATAAAAAGGAAAGAAACATGATCATAACAAATAGTGATGTATTTAAGACATAATTAGTTGAGATTTTAATGATATTTTAAAGGAGTTAAAGGATGATATTGATTTCAGAGATGCATCAAGATTATAATCATGGCATCCAAGTTGCAAGCAGACTTAGCGGGCACGTTCTGTTTAATCAAGCTGCATTTCGATCTGTGGTTGTATAGGAGAACTGTCTGTATTACCAAGAGGCTCATCAGTTTTACCATCTAATGGAAATGACAAGAAGAGCTGTAAATTTTAGAGCTGTAGGAGAAACCATGGTAGTGAATTAATGAACCAAGCGAGGTGATGAATACTGAGGTAAAGAAGAGAACCAAGTTTTGACCTTTGAGGCACTCCTGTTGACAAGCCATGCAGTTTGGACACTCGTACCCTCTATGATATGCTGTAAGATTTCCCTGTGATAGAACATAAACCACTTTAGGGGCCGATTTAGAGACACTAAGATCAGAAAGTGTAGGGAGGGAGATTTGGTTCAAAGTCAGCTAATGGATCCAGCAGCAATAGAACTGGGACCAGACCAGCAGTTCTAGCCAGCTGCAGTGATTATTGACAGAAGTGAACTTTCAGCAGAGTGACCCTGCTGAGAGTCAAGCGTTTTTGGATCAAATAGGTCATTTCTGTACAGGAATTTAGAGACCTGATCAAAGAGTGCACAGTCAAGAATTTTGACAGTAAAGACAGAAGTGAAACTGATTTGTAGTTTTCAACCTTGGCTGAGTTGAAAGAGGGTTTTTCTGAGCAGTCAGGTAACCTGCACTTGCTTGAATCAACTAAATGTGGGCAAAATAATGTGGAAGAGACTTGAAGGTATTGGGTCGAGTGGACAGATAGAGGGCTAAGTGTCATGCACCAGAGTTTTAATAAAAGGAAGCACAGATTTTTGGAAGCACAGATCTTGCTTTGTCAGTATGTGGTAGTATGTTATCTTCACGGTCTTCAGATTGAAACAGAATGAGGCGTTTGATGATTGAGCGACAAAGAGAGAATGGAGTAAATTTAGACTGTTCACTGACTTAAATGACTGACCCTTGCCCTTTTTTCATCTTGGCTGACTTCAGTGAGTTTATGACGGCTTGGATGCCTTCGGGGCACAGTGTCTCTCTCAACAGAGAGTGAGGACAACTCACGATGAGGATTTGAAACATGTTGATGTAATCCTGATATTCACAGGCATTCAAGCAACTAGTACTTACATACAGCGCTCAAGTTTGTTCAAAATTGATGTGTTGCCACCATAGCAACTTTAAGAGCTTATTTTGCAAAGACATTTTGTTTTCAAGCTTTTGGCATGGCTTCAGGGATGTCAGGGCAAGTCTTTTGTTGACGCACAACTTTAGTCCAGACTGAAAAACTCGACAGCCACTGGATGGATTAAGATAAATTTTTGTCCAGTGCCTTGAGAATGTCTGTTGCGTAGAGATTAACACCTCAAAGACACTTTGGTAGATAGCTTTGGTGTATAAACAGTATTTGTGGACCAAAGGATTTCGAACTGACTGTCTGAAATTCCCGGTCGGCTCAGTTGATGCCTCTCAGAGCTCCATTACAAAAGGGAAATCCTCCTGCTCTTTAACATTCACCGCCTGCAGATTTCTTATGAATGTAGCCTCCATACTTTTTTAATTTTACATGCTCCCAGTCTGATCAGTAAACACAATATCTTATTTCATTGGTACAAAACACAGATATGACTGAAACCAAGTGAAATGCCAAGAAATGTTGCAGTAATTTACTTTAGACAATATGACAAAATGGGCCACTTCACTGTATGAATCAGGTTTAACTTAAAACATAATGAAATGCACTCACTGTGGAGCTTCAGAGGCCACATGTTTTCTTTTTCTTGTACAAGGCACAGTGTATGAAAAAGAAACAGTTACCTCTCATATTTGTATTTGTTAGTTTTTGTTCTTTTTAAATATGAAACTGTCATGCTGCCAGTGTGGGAAAATGTACATTTTAACATGAACAAGTACATTGAGTAAGAAGGACTGTGGTTGGTAAACAACAGTTTTCACCGTTTTAAGAACAGTTATCCACCAAAAACCACCCTTAGCAGTAATAATATATTCACCTGTGTATTGAAAGTTGTAACCATTACTTTTGCTAGAGTTTTTAAAATGAAAAAAAAAGGAAAGCTTGAAAGAAGATAAACTTTCCTGAAATCTGTTCTATTCTGAGATTTCACTCATGTGATGTGGAGTTCAAGGTGTAAGCTGCTCAAGGCCATCTCTGTGCGATCTTAAACTCTTCCCTATGTCGATTATGTAATATACATTCCCACATTTCATAGAGCAGAATACACCGCTCCATATGTCTCTACAACTCCAGTACTTTTTATCCTGGCTCACACCTTCATCACATCTTATGCAGGCTCATTCCCTTCTGATGTAACTTCTTGGACATAATGTACACTCTGTCCACACTGTTGTTATTCTCACCATGATTTTGGTCTATTTGTGTTTAATGGGATGCAACTTTTTCAGATATTTACGTATCCCTTGAACTTTTTGAAGTTTACGAAATGTTTGTGTGTGAGTAAAACTTTTATTTATAATGGTATTAATTTGCCTCTGTGTCACCCTGAGTGTCTTTATTTCCTACTTTGATGATTTAAAAATACTTATTTTGAAAGGGCACTCAAGGTTCTTCTGCGAGAAAAATTATGATCATAGATGGAACAAACTAAGATAATAATAATGAAATAAAATATATACTTGCACCTGAGATCTCTTATTCTCTTTGTTACCTACAGAGCAGGTGTGGAGATACTACTCAAAACACATGTGCCAGGACAATAGAAGCAGAAGAACTTTATCGATCCCTGAAGGGAAATTCAATTGTCTGTAGTCTCACGAGTCAACTAGTAATTAGTGCAGTCCTATAATATCCTTTGTCAGCCTACCCATGTAATGTCAACATGTTAAAAATACTGACAGTAAATCCTCAACTGCAAAATCTCCATCTTCCTCTTTTCAGGTACAGATGTAAAAGACGTAATGATGTCAATGAAAGGAAAGAAAAAAGCAATGCTTAGGCACAATATTAATACTCTTGAACATAAAACCAGAGAAAATCAGCATTAAAAACAAAAGGCTTTCCGATCCAATCCAATCTGCTTTATTTATACAGCACAATTAAAAAAACATTGAAGTTTACCAAAGTGCTGCACAGTAAAATTAAAAGAAAAAAAAAAAGATAAATTAAAAAAACATCAAGAGGAAATAAATAAAAGCAGGTAAAAAACATTTAGAATGAAAATAAATGAAATAAAATCACAAAAGCATAAAAAAAGTGATGATAAAATGACTATAAAAGACATAAAACGACAGAGATCGCACAACTCTAATGCTGAACTAAAAGCCAAGGAATGAAAATGAGTGTGTACTGTTCATAAAAATGGACCAGCAAGTATCCACAAGACTGGAAGCCATACGATCCAGAGCTCCCCCTGGTGAATGGCTGCATTATAGGTCATAAACCCCGCCTCCCTAGTGTAAACAGACACATCTCTTTCAAATATGGTTCATGCCATGATAGCAAATGTGATGTCATGATTGACGGCTCTGTTGATAACTGCAGGCTATTGCAGCAATGTGCTCCATATTAGTCATTGAACTTTCCGTAACAGTGAGTGTCTGCTTCGAATCAATTCAAGAATCAGTTCTGTACTGACCTGAGGGATCTTAAACATTTTGTTGGTAAGTGTGGAGAGAATGTGGGTTTGTGTTGAGGGTGTGATGCCAGTCTCATGCCCCTACCAGCCAGGTTGCTTCTACCTGTGCCCGGGTTTCACCAGCCTGATTTTGTGCACCCATGGAGTGGATCTTTTGGTTTTAAGCTTACAATATGCAGAACTAAATCATTGTGAACCCTAGTCTAGTTAAAATTAAGGTGTTGCTTGAGCATCAGGTAAGGCATGAAAATATTTACATTCCAGTGTTTATGAATGACACAAGGGCGAATGCAGTGTCCCTTAAATCAAGTTTGACAAGGCTAAACCTCTAAATGTTTTTACTCAGTGGGAGTATAACCCCATGTCAAGTCTAATTGACCCTAAATATACAAAACAGGTTTTATGATCACATCTGTGCGTAAGGTTAAACAGCACAGGAAACTACAGTTTTAACAAACTATCCAAACATCTTCTGATGCTCTGAAGGACCTCTCTACTGCACCTTACCTGGTAGAGAAATGAAGGTGCCCTTATTTGACAGACTCACATCAGAGTTACACTGCTACAAAAAGGACCAAAAGGTAGCATGCAAGCCTGATGTTTGCATACATGTCAGTGATTTTCTGTTGATTGAGCTCAGCTGCAGATGTTACGGTGCTGCTTGTATGCTATCCTCTTAGTGAAATGCCAAGGGGCCAATGGTACACACTGTTGTCTTATGGATTCCCTGTGGACTTTGGCTCTTATCTCTGTTACTTGAAATTGTGTCCATATGTTAGAGAGGCTGCTGAAATGTTCACTTTAAAGCAACAAGAGATTACAGTTTTCTTAATGGTGGAAAAATTTTAGTTCAAGTGTCAGAAGCACAGACTTTCTCTTTCTATCATCTGTTAAAACAATTAAATTCAGTTTAACTGTTCAGCGCACAGGCTGTTGGAGTGAGTGAATTTAGTTTTGACATTATTATAACTTGAATTCACTCATAAATCTGTGTTTGTGCTTGCAAAGGCCAACTTTTGCGTATGAACATTCAGTCTTTCTTATGAAATGATTTATTTTGGGTGGCTTGCACATTGTGGCGTTTTCCCCATAGAAGACAGGTCAGATTGAATATGAGATATTTTTTTGTTGTAACTAATAAGATTTACTATCTTCAACAAACACTTTTGTTCCCATTGGAGGTTTGGGCCAAGGATGAGGTTACCTCTTTCCACAAACTGTAATTTTTTTCCAAAACATTTCCACTTAAATTAAAATCTTATTTTCTAGGAAATGATGTTTTTAAGAATACAATCAGACTGCAGGCAAAAGTGGCACACAACCGATTTATTTGCTCATTCTTGATCCGATTTGCGACTGTTCAAACAGCATAAATCCGTCCAAATCTAAATCATATGTGGTCCTAAATCAAATACAGGTCCAACCACTGTCTTGATAGCCAGGGCAGAATGGATGCGACTCTGACATCATTCTAAATAGTCACCACAGTAATGCACTAGCGGGACAGACAGAATTCAAGGTCACTTGCACTCAAAAGCTGTCAATAAGAATCTGAATCTCTTTGCCCTCTGCCCTCTCCTCACTGTTATCTGTTCATAAATTTGCCTGCTTTTGCTCCACATAAATTTTGGAATTAAATTTTGAATTGCTATTGGCAAATATATTTTTTTCCATTATCTCAGACATGTAATCTTTTTTCACGTACCATTTCTAAGAAACTGAAGACATAATGAACATCATTCCACTACTATTGCCATGTCCAAGACCGAGACCACACTGCAATCTGGGACAGGTCACATTTCAAAAGTAATGTGGACATCCCAAAATATAAAAAATTAAATTAAATGAATAAAAAATTTTAAAAGTGTTTTTTGAGAAATGATCCTGAATTGTGCAGTAAGGTTTAAAGGTAATACATCGTCATATACTTTTAACTCACACATGCAGCAGTGCACATCTACAATTAATATTGTCACAAACCTTGTTAGCAGTTTTGAAAAGCCATGTTGCAGATGAAACAAGCTAAAAAACAAGCTAACAAGTGACACCACTTTGAAACCTTACAGTATATAGAAATAAGTGAACTTGATTTACAGGAAAATTTTGAAAATTCCATAACTCAGAAATCATTAATTGTAGTATCTAGTTATACATTTTCAGTTGCACTGATTTTCTGGGATACTTTAAGAGCCCGATATGTAACAATGACCTAAAATGGCATAAAAACAATGCAATAAAGCCCAAAATGTAATAATTTGTCAATAATGTAACAAAAATGTTGAGCTGTAAATATAATTAAAGAATGTAACAAAAACCAAAATGTAATAATTTACCCAAAATGTAACAATTTGCCACATTTTTGGCCAAAAGTTATTACGTTTTGGATTCAGCATCTTGTTACATTATTGACCAGTTACTACATTGAAATTCTAATGAAAAAATTTTACTACACTTTTTAAAATTAGTTTTATTACACTTCAATTACATTTCGGGTCATTGTTACATATTGGGCTTGAACAAGTCTAATTATATTGTGTTAACTATGGTTCTTGTTTAACCACACTAGAAAATGTATCAGTTGCCTATGACAGAAAGTGTTTGCAGTTCACAAGCTTATTCTGAAATGTAAAAAAAAAGATTCACCAGAGAGAAGTGGTTAGCATCTGTAAAACAACCTTTAAACATGTCAGACATACAACAGACACATTTAAGTGAAAGAAGATCATATTCTGGAGACAGTGTTTGTTTTGGTTGGCAATGTTCTCACAAACCGTGTGTTAGTCACGCTAACATGATTTAGTTCTGCATGTGATTTCTGACCCCTTCCACCACTTCACACATGCTTCAGGTTAGGAACAGGAGAGTGACTGCTGGTTTATACCTGTGTGAATGCACACAAACCACAAGGCAGCTGTACCAACACACTGGTGTCTTATCCTTGTGTTGGGCTGACCCTCGTGTGCTCAGGAATCCACGCAGCGGGGTGCCTTAAAACTTACATCACCAAGTCAAGGGACTGTCACAACATGCCAAATATATTTCAAAATGAACTGATTGAGTATGAGGATGCATAGCCTACAGGCATCAAGAATGGCTGAATCAGTGTCAGAGGGAGTTTATGTGTGGTCACTGGATATGTGCCGCTTTTACCAGTTTCTCTCTGAACCCTTCACTGGGATACTCATCTGTTTTTTGTCAAGGTGTTTGTGTAAAGCAAAATATTTAAAACACATTTTCCACTTCTCTATCTGTTTTCACCCTGATGGTGCCCACATGTTATTTCAGGAGTGTATTACAAAAAAACAACAAGAGAATGTTAGGTATGTTGTGATTTGAAAATAAGGTTCACTTTTTAATCATAATTTTAATAAGAATCATTTAGGTGGTGAAAATATTTCTTAACAATCAATGGGTATGTGCAATTTTGTCATGACACTCTGACAGGACTCTTACCAACAAAATAGGACCTTCGGGCGTTTGACATCAAGTTAGACTTCTTTTTCTGTTCAGATTTAGCCGTTTTAGCTAACCCACATCAGTGCTTTCCATTCATTGTAAACACAAAGGACAGAGTGTAAAGAAGAATTACTGAGCCGACTGACAAGGCACAGGCCAAGGGGTTAAAGGGGTCAGGGGGACCTTAAGACCAGAGCATCTGCTCAAAGTGCCTGCTAATATTTCATTTCAGTAAGTCAATGAATCAATGCAAAGTGACAACATCAGGTTGCAAAACCAGAATAAAGACATTGAAAACAACCACATAGAAATAACAAAACTACAGGGAGATACATACTATAAAAAAAACTAAAAATTAATGCTTAACCACAGAGGCAAATAATAGAAAAAAAACAGGGAGATGCACTGTGTTGGTGTTGAGAGGGGGGATGGACCCTCTATCTGTATTTGCCCATCTCAAAGGATGTAGCCATGAATTTCTCTGCTGAGCTATTAGTGACTCATAGATGTAATTAAACAAACAAACTTACGCAAAGAAAGCTCTGCTCTGGGAACACCAGTGAGTCAGCTGAAAGCGTCTTCAGTGTGGGAAAATTATGACCGTTGTGTGACCCAATCATGCCCACATGTTTTCAGATGAGAAAGAAGCTTTACCAGCCTGTTAATGTGGACAGTATTTAAGTGGAAAAAAAAAAAAAAAACTCAGCGCTTGGTTTTTATATTATCTTACAGTTGGAGTAGGAGGTAGTAAGTCATATATATATATATATATATATATATATATATATGTATAAAGCCCAAGTGTAATATTTGACCAGTTGGCTGCAGTTTGAGAAAGATGCTTTACTAAGGTCGCTTTCACACCTGACCAAGCGGACTTGGTTTGTTTGGGGAGCTGAAAGTTGCAACATTTATCACTTGTTTCGGTTCTGCTTTCACACTATGATTTCTAAAGCGCACCAAACTTTGCGAGCAGCATCACGTGGTTGAAAGGGGCCCTCGTCGATTGGACAAAGTAGGAGGGGTATGTAACCTCATGGATTACAAACAGGGGTGGACTAGCCGTCTTGTATCGTGCTTCATCACATTATTTTATGGAACGCTGCAACGTTAGTGAGCGCAACTGTTCCTATAATGCTATCGTAGCTTGTCAGAGATTGATCCTGTTATTTTTCTAACTTTGACGATCTAACGTGACGACATACGAGCTCAGAGTTTAAGGACTGTGACTGTTGGCAGTTGTGACTTGATTTTGTTTAAATACGCTAAATTGTGAATTTATGGTTTATTGTTGTTCAGACAATTGAGCTAAGCTAGCTAGCAACTGCTAATGTCAGCGGTTGCTATGGCAACAAGGTATGCTGTGCTTCCTCTACCCAAGATGCACTGCATATAGCGTCATTATGTACATTTGGTCCGGTGAGCTTTCACACTGCATACGAACCGAACCAGGGTTCACTTGCAAGCGAAACCAAGACACGTTTTCAGACGGACCAGAGTTCGCTTGTTTGGTCCGCACCAGAGTTCGGATGAGCTTTCACACCTCCCCAAACGAAGCAGACTATCCGAGGAAACGAACTGTGGTCCGTTTAAAGCGGACCAAACAGCTCTGGTGTGAAAGCGACCTTAATGTAGTTTTATACAGACCATACAGATGCTTACGTTGGTGCATTTTGGTCTCTGCTGTTTGGATCCGCTAGTTGCTGATTTAATTTGACTACTGCTTTATGTTCATTATAAGGTACTAAAGCAAGAAGCATCCAACAATATTGAAAAATTCCGCAGATTTGGAGTGCAAAAAAACTGCAGTTCACTGAGGCTTTACTTGAGGTTGGCTTCAGATGATACCAAGGGATAAACTTAAGTTTAAGCAGTTTTAAAAAGCCTGGTTCAAAATATGTTTGGGCTAAAAAGTTCATTTATTTATTTGTGGACACTGTTCTGATTTGAAGTTAAGAGTTTTAAATTCACTTGTATGATAAGGGCCATGACTAAGTTGACAGCCAGGTGGGCTTGTTGTAGTCAAGCACCAACTTCTGTTCTTGAAAAATGGAGCTGTGATGTGTAAGTGCTAAAAACTTCAGTTCCCAAGTGCCCACTCGTGACTGGCTGCAGAAGCACTAGAAACTACGCTCACACTGAATCAAAAAAGCCCTCTTTTAGAGCAAAACTAAACACATTTACAACTTAGCTCAAAAAGCAGCTTTGTATCACAAAGTGTTTTAAAGTTATTCAGGATAAGAGATCAACGAATCAGAGGATTTTATGACTTGACTGACAAGCAGCCGCACTGTGCATGAAGTCTACAGAGAGAGCAGCTGAAACAAAGCATTTTAGATGTAGGCTAAAATAATAGTATTTCAGTTCACCAGTACGAGAAAGACAAGGCTTATTTTTAATCTGAAAACCATGTAACACTTTTAAAGAGGTATCAGAAAGGAAATGTAGAGTGAAAAAAATACATGATACCCCCTTTTTAAAGGGATATTCTGTGCAGCAGAGTTTCGCAGCTTAAGGAGGAACATTTATGATCTTTACTTCACAGAAATGCAATCAGACCAAGATGCTAAGGCAGAAGAACTACCGCGTCTGCAGTGCAAAATGATATTTATGACGATTATTACTTCATGGAAATGATCTGCTTCACTCGGTGATCGACTCGTCAGGGCTCCCCCATGAACAAGCAGCTGCTGGAAGAGAGTGGGTGAGTTGTCTTTGGTCTCTTTGCTAAAGAAATCAGGCAAAGCTAAAAAGATGTTTGGTGGCTAGTACTATGGCTAGGACCCTATATGTACTGATGATGGAGTTAGGTGCTGTTCTGAGCATTATTTGTGGCTATAGAGTGGCTTTTTGGTTGAGGTTTGCACGTGGAGTGACAGACCGCCATGTATTGCTATCGTGCAGTCGTTACTAAAGTTGGTATAACTAGAGAAGCAAGCAGTCGGCAACATTCATCTCTCGAGGGGGTGTCTAACTTGACCCTAACTTAATTTTACATTGGTATGTCTCTTTGAGGTAAATTCTCTCTGATGTTATGACTGAAACCTTTTGAAACACATTCACAGAACATATCACAATTTGTTGATGATCATACTATTACGTTTTTTTTTTGTGCTGTTTCACTTTAGGTATGTGCACAACAGCGAAGAGAGCCAATCCTCTATAAGGTTTGCCAGCTGCTGCAGTATAGAATCAGAGTTCATAACAACTTAATGCAATGCTCAGTATGTGTTCCTCAAAACAGGAATTAATTGGCCTGCGGTGCATGATACCATTCAATAATGTATTACATAAGAGTTTGACACCTTATATTGCTTTACATGTAAGCAGCTGATAGGTCAGTGATGTCCACAAATGCTCTAGAGTGAATGATAAACACTGCCCAGCCATTTGGCTTTGAGCCAGCCTGAGGCCAAAACAAACGAAGTTTCTGCTCGGGGCCTTGCAGTCACTTATAGATGAGTATGACCATCCACAAGGACATGATTCAGTTTAGTATTTCTATGTGAACTTAGCTAGGACAAGTGGTGACAGCTCACACGTAGGCACCATTCAATATTGAGCTAAATAAAAATATGTCTGTCAATAGCAACACAGTCTTGACGTGGGTGTTGGTGCTGTTCTGGAGTGAAAGTTGTTCCATGTATTTTGTCCTAGTTATTTCGCTCTGTCTCCTTCTCTCTCTGCACACCTGCCCCGGAACTGCAATCAACACACCTGCCTGCCATCAAGCTATCACCACCTCCTACAAGAACCCTGTGCTGCCAGATTGTTGTGCAGAACTTGATAAGTCTACGGTCCTCTGTGTGCCGTCCAGGTATATTTCGGTTTTCTGCTCACCTGATTTGCATTCATGCTTGTTTTGCCTGCTTCCCCCTCGTCTCATACCTGTTCTCCCTCCGGTCTGCCAGCCTGTCTCACCACTTCACCACATCCACCTGCCAGCCACCTTTCGCCTGGGTTACTTTCCATCTCTCCAGCTCACCCCCAGCTCTCTTCACTACACCTCCTGCCAGAATTTCTAATTAACAGCACTTTTACTTTTATGTCAGGCTATTTTTGCCAGTACTCTTATTATTAATTTAAGCAAATACCCAAATCTTGTCTGACAGCAAGTTCTAGGTTCATATAGCGAAAATACAAGGTGTAGCCGCACATTGTCAAATTTACTCGAACTCACTGATGGTTGGATTATCCCTTCAAAGAACTAAGACATTAAATAAGGTATTCAATTATTCAACATGATGAAAATCAAGTCTCTTTTGGGCAATTTTTCAGTTATACCATTTGGATCTATGGCAAAGGATCATCATTCAAGCGTAGCATCTACTGAATGACAAATTGCTTTGGTCCATTTAATAATTTCTTTAATGTTTAGATAGTTGCATGTAGCCTCTCTTTACCGTCAGCTTAGTTTATGAGTGCTTTACATCAAGGCTGTCAGTCTCTGCAGCTGTAGCAGGAAAAAACACAGATTTATGTTGTGATATTTTATTCTGTAAGAACCAGTCATCTGCCAGCATGACTGCTCAGATTGCATCTATCACTCAAACACAACAAGACATCTTTCATGAGGCCTATTTGGCTGAACGGCTGAACAATAATGCAGCACCTGCAAGTCTTCAACTGTCTGTGTCACATAAATCAAAAAGAGCAAACGTTTTTTTTTTTTTTTTTAACCCTCCATGTGATGTCCGCCTATTCATCGTACTCTTGAGGACAATGAATCATTTTCTCCACGAGCAGAACAAAACATCCTGCTTTTTAATGGCTGGACAAAAAAGACACGTAGTCGAGTGACGAACAGGCTGATGTGTTAAGGATGTTGTATGGTGAGCTGTGTAAACAGATTGGAACTGCAATAGGGTGAGAAGGACTGCAATAAACAGGAAATGGATAACAGATTTTTAGATAGTTTTTAAAAAATTTGAGCTACATCCATACTTTAAGTCAACTGTGTAGCTGTTCTTTTTCTCTTCTTTTTTTTTACTGAAGAGTGAAGAAATCTGTGACATTTTGTGCTCTTTAAATGAAGTAATATTAAAATCATCCCCCATATGTTTACCAATTTAACATGCCAGTGAAAACTGACATTTATTGACCATAGATTCAATAAAGCAGAGGTGAAATATGCTCGACTGTTTTCTGCAGAAAAAGTGAGATAGAGCTGTATCTGGCAGTGGTATGCTCTTCTAAGTAACATTTACTATCAAAGAAAATAACCGACTGTTGCTATGGAGTGTTGACCAATCAGAACAAAGTAATTGACTTGGCTTAAATAACATAAACTGATAGGATACCAATGTTAGTTATGAGGCTTTTGGCAACATATTAAGACAAAATAATGTTTCTATTTTGAGAACAAGCAGGTCAGATTATTCAGCAAACAGAAAATATGACGGACCCTAAATTTGATATTGGTAAATACACAGAGAAGCATATTGTATATATAGTTTATATATTTTATATCTTTAAACAAACAAACAAAAAACAGCCACTACTTTGCATCAGTCTGAACAACTATTTGAGATGCTTTCTCTAAAGTAAAACTGCAGTATTTGTTGCTTCAATAACTTGTATTTACCTATAAAACACATTTTAAGACAATTTTGAGTTTACTGCAGGAATCCTTTGTCCATGTCTTCCTGGGAGACATGTTGGGATTTAATGACAGCCCTAGGGAGAGAGTTATTTTTGATAGCTGTTTGTCACGGTTGTGCGAGGATGTAAACAAGAGTTAAAGCACAGAAATCAGCACACTGCACCCTGTCTATTGTGCATCCAGAGTGAATGACTCACCGCTTCACCATGCATTTTTACCTGTAAATATCCCTTCATTAGTCTATACATTATCTTTGCAGCACAACACCAGCTGCAAGTATAATTTACTGAATCAAGGCATACCTTTACTACTAAGGAGCAGCTTTTCATATGACTGTCTTGTGAAAACAAATTAGCCTAAATTCTAAATTCTTCTAAATTGAAGTCAAATAAGAGACCAGCTCAAACAATGTCGATGCTAATAGGTTTGACTCACTGCCTAATACAAGATAGCAACATCCAGACGTTGTTAGGAGATATTTGATTTACAGAGTACAACACAAAGCCAAAACCCGAAGTCAGGGTACAGGAACAAAGAGGGAAGGAAAGAGAGAGAGAGGCAGAGAGAGAGAGAGAGGGAGAGAGTTATAAGAGCAGTCTGCTCAAACTCAACCCAGACAGCTTCCTCCTGAGGAAATTAGAGGAAGGGAGGGAAGGAGTCACCGGTCTTGGTCAGAAACAGAGATCGAGTGATGAGGACTTTGGTGCTCCGGACGCAATGTAAGGTAAGCTTTCTGAGGAAAAAAAAAACACTTAATCCACTTATTAGATGTGACATAATTCAACATATTAAATGTATACACAAATGTACAAAACACCTCTGAATTGCGTTTCTCTGCAGACATGACAGTTGACTTTTGGATTATTATTAAACCTGACGGCGATTTAAGGAAGACCTGGTAGAATATTAAGAATCCACAAAACTGCACCCGAGCTGTATCAGCATTGTGATGTGACCACTGGCTGCGCCGAAGTGGCGCTTTTACGCACGATGGAGGAGCTTTTACGCGTGCAGAGTACTTGGGCGCAGAATGTTTCCTGGATTAATTCAAGTCGTGGAAATGACAGTAACCTGGGAAACAGCACGGTGAACCCTTTGAAACGAAATGAAGAGGTGGCCAAAGTTGAAGTGACCGTCCTGGTCCTGGTGCTGCTGCTCGCTTTAACCGGCAACCTGTGCGTCCTGTGGGCTATCCACGCTACCAAGCACAGCCAGTCTCGGATGTATTACTTCATGAAGCATCTTAGCATCGCAGACCTCGTGGTCGCAATCTTCCAGGTGTTGCCTCAACTCATTTGGGATATCACTTTTCGCTTCTATGGGCCGGATTTCCTCTGCAGGCTGGTTAAATATCTCCAGGTCGTGGGGATGTTCGCGTCTACCTACATGCTCGTCTTAATGTCCATCGACAGGTGTTTGGCGATCTGCCACCCACTCCGTTCCGTGCACAAGAGAAAGGACCGCAGCTGTGTGATCGCGTCCTGGATGCTCAGCCTGATATTCAGCACTCCTCAAGCGTACATATTCTCCCTAAAAGAGGTCGGACACGGCGTGTATGACTGCTGGGGAGACTTTGTGCAGCCGTGGGGTGCCAAAGCATACATCACGTGGATGAGTCTTAGCATTTACATTATCCCTGTGGCAATTTTAAGCATATGCTATGGCTTGATATGTTTTAAAATATGGCAAAACTTCAATTTAAAAACCAGAAGGGATCACTTCCTGGCTCTTACACCCAGGCCCTCCAAAGGCGCCCATCCTCTCACTCGTGTGAGCAGCGTTAGGCTCATTTCAAAGGCGAAGATCCGCACCGTGAAAATGACTTTTGTGGTGGTCCTCGCATACATTGTGTGTTGGACTCCCTTCTTCTTTGTCCAGTTGTGGTCTGCGTGGGATCCTGCAGCACCAAGAGAAGGTAAAAAAAAAAAAAACACAGAAAACAAAAAAAAATCTCATTTTCTATGAAGCCAAGTGGATTTATTTTTAGAAGATTTTCAAGATATTATGTGTTGCAACTTCTTAGAGGTTCAAGATTAGAGCATCACTTCATGTCCAAGATCTCTAACCACTGTATATTTATGCATCAAGTGTCCCATACACACAAAGATCATTCTTCTTCTGCACTAAGTATCTCTGGGAATGCCAAAGCAATCCCCTTCACTTCCAAAGCAACACAATGGTGTTTAACTCCAGACTTCCCCTGAGCCCACACAGATGAATGGGAGTGTCATACGCAGAGCTTATCAGCTCAGAGAAAGTCACTTGTAGAGTAAATGTACCAAGACATCAAAGCATTTCTATCTCTGTTCCCAGTGGTGGTTTACATAATTTTCATGTTACTGCGTAGTTTGTTCAGATTTACCCCACGTATCCTCTGAGTTTGTATGACAGAAGGACAAGAGCAGGGGAGCAGCTCCTTAACCTCTGAGTGTTATTATGAAGCTAAATTACTGCCCGGCACTCAGAGATGCAGAGATATCTCACTGTAAGTAGGCCAGACGTAAGCATGAAAATTGTCTTCCTGTTTTTAACTTCTTGGAGCAGTTTGGCACAAAATTAGGAAAACAAACACATTACAGGCAAAAATGCAAGCCTGCTTACAAATCCACAAGTGTGTGTCGTAACAGGGAGGCCCTGATATTGCTTGGATGGATGGACTCATCCATTTGGGCTGTTTATTATTACCTGTCATGATCATCATTGTTTGTGTTTTTTCAGTATTCTGGTTTGTAAAGCATGCAAAACCATAATTCAGATCCCATATATGGAAATAATTTATTTTTGGTTTGTATTCATTATGAAACCATAGAAATATTCTGTTTTAATTATAACTGTCCTATACTAAACACATATCTACAAAATATTGACATTCATAAGCACTGAAAACAGCCCATTTTTAAAGCTTTATTAGTGATTATTTCAATTAAAGACTTATGAGACTCCTCTGAACCTTATTATTCTTTTTTCTTTCTTTCTTTCTTTCTTTCTTTCTTTCTTTCTTTCTTTCTTTCTTTCTTTCTTTCTTTCTTTCTTTCTTTCTTTCTTTCTTTCTTTCTGACTGACAATCAATTTGACAATATCATGGCAAATCACATCATTTCTTATTCATTGGTTGGAAGGGAACCGGAAGAAGATACATCTTATATCGCCTGCCCCTCACTCAATGTCTAATTACTGTAATAATCTGTCAGTGAGCAACATTCAGTTCATGACTGCTACAATAGGTCTTTGCTAGGTAGTGACACTATGTCAGCGTGTTCACTGTATAAGTGATTGAGTAGAATGATTTTTTTCGCTTTAAATTAATTGCTGTTGGGGACAATTGTTTGGCTGCTTTATACCTTTGAGAGAAAAAGGAGAAAGAAGGTAGGAAAACTCGTTATCTTGTGTGTTTTCACGTATGATTTGGAGAAGTTGCACAAAGACATCCTGGTAAATGAACAATAAATCAGTGGCTCATCTTCATTTCAAAGAAAACTTATTAGAGAAGAGCCTCTGTCCAAATCCAGGAGTGGAAGTCGAGATAATTAAAAATTTACCGACACTGCTTATCTTTCTCACTTTTTTCATTCTCTTTGAAGTAATGTCTGATTCCATGTGGGAGAGATTTTTTTTGATGGAAAACAAAGAATTTTCCAGAGTCTGAACTTTAGTTACATCATCACTCTTTACAAGCTGCGTGCATCCACTGATAGTGCAGAGGAATTTAACTTTGTGCACTCCTGCTATGTTCGTCCAACTATGATAACCCCTTCAAAATGCAGCATTATCACATCCCCACTTCTGACTTCACCACCTCTCTCTCTTTCCATTTTCCCGGAAAGCTTCAGAAAATCTGTACATCATGGTTTGACATAAAAGCAGTCGACAACCGTGTTTTTCATAGATCTGTGGCAGGACAAAAAAGTAGTGAATGTACTGTGATGTCCGAATGATTTGCACCAGGGAAATGCATGACGGTTTGAATGCACGCTGTGGTGTTCTCCCTGAAGATGACTGTGCACACCATAGCAGAACTATTGAGAGGATGTTTGACTTATCTGTTGAACATGTGGCGTAAATTTTTACGGGCTCTTTGGTCGACACAGCACACCTCTCACAACACAGTGAAGGACTATAGAGAGTCAGAGCACCGTGAACGGAGCGGGTCAGCATTTTCATTTTCATCGCTCTAAATCTTTCTCACCCCATTAAGGATTAGAAAAAAGTGGATCCTGGAGGTCTTCCACTTTCCACTCTTACAGTGACGTGCTTCTTCAAAGTGCTGTGCAGCCCTTACGATTGGAAATTTAATCACTGGAATGAAAGCGAAATAAGGTTTATTCTTCCATTCAGGACAGCTTCTTTTAATTGAAGTCGTATATCATGTTCATGTCAAGCAACTCTAAGTCCTATTTGTCTTTCATCCATCAACCTTCCTGTCGTATTTCGGCTCTAATCCCAGATGTTTTGGGGTTGTGTGAAGTGCTTTAGATTGTCAGTTCATATATTTTTCTTTAAGTGATGAGTAATATGAGTGCAGCTGGCTCAAACAGGGCCTGACATGTAAAGTAGGCATGAGATGGAAAATTCCAGCCTATCCAGAGGTGGTTTGGTGTGTCAAAGTCTGACATTTGTCAATACAGCATTTAGCCTAGATCTTTATTTAACCTGCAGCAATGCTAAAGAGATAGTCATCTATCATACTTAGTTTGCCGACGAGCACCCATAGACTGTCTATACTATGGACAACTTGGTTCCGCCTTCCGCCAGTATACGGATTTGAAACCGAAAAGCTCTCGGTAATTCAGTTTTTTTCTCGACTTCCTGAAACCAACTTTGCGCAGTAGCGTTGTACGCATTCGGCGGGAGAGTCACCGAAAGTCACTGTGTTGATGCTCGGCTCAAACAGCGTACTCCCCGGGTAAGCTACGCAATCCTCGTACACCTATAGGCTGTATCAAGTGTCAATCACAGAAAACATGAACCCCCCAATAACTTTTAACAATGGAGCTCTACAGAAAAAAGCGGACTTGAGGGCAAACTAGTCTTACGAACTCCATGTCAGCCCGTCACCAGAGGGTGCTGTTCTCGCGGTGTCTCTACCCAGCAGAGAGGCAGACGGCGTCTTTTCTATATACAGTCTTTGCAAGCACCTAAACAAAGTGCAGCAGATCACAGTGCTTTCTTGTCTGCACCACATTCAACTGACATTTTAAGGTTTATTATTAATGAACATTAATGAAATGTCAGCTCGATGATGGTTCGAGGATGTCATCAGAGTCGTTAGAAAATATCCCCTGAGAACCATCAGCATCTGTTCATGGTAACCCCTCCAACACTGAATGAGAACTGCAGTCATGAACACTGTCTATGATAAATGTATGCAGCTCACGCAACAATACCCTTTGGTTCATAAATTATGGCTTTGAAGCCTCCAGGTCATAAGCTGGAAGTGATCAAATTTGCCTCTCATTTTGGACAATTGTGAAGATATATGTGGACATTATAATTGACAGGGCACTCTGGTTGTCAGTCACAAGAGGAAACTGGGATCTAAGCCATTGTATTCATCTAAATTTCCTGTCAAAGTATTTCATCACACTTATGTGAGTCACATTCCCCAAAGGAAGCCCGGAGATAAGAGGATAGGACCACAAGAAGAGATATAATTACAGGAGGGAGATTTATTTAATTTCCATTTTGAGATTAAAATTTTGATATTAAAGTCGAAATTTTAAAAAGTCAAAATTTTGACTTCATGTCGACTTTAATCACGAAATTTCGACTTTAATCTCAAGATTTTAATTTTTAATCTCTAAATTTCGACTTTATTGACATTGTTGGAGCCATTCTCAGTTTAGTTTATATTTTGGTGAAATGTCGCCCCCTTTGGCCACCTGAGAAATGGCACCATGATTTTTCTATTAATCAAGCATCAGCTGTGCGTGGCTCGAGACCAGTAGTAGAGAAACAGATTCTCAACCGCGAGGCACCGCACCTACACATACACAGCGCGTATTTTTGAACGAATGAAAGAAAGACTGTACAGAATTATTTTCAGCTTTATTGAACCCTTATTCAGCGCGTGTTTGTTTTGAAACCTTTTTGTTGAAGTTGTCTGGAGCCTGTTTTGTTTCACTTGTTTGCCCCCGTTTTGTTTGAAAATTTGTTGGACATAGATGGGGAAATTTGCCCTATAGACATTATTTCAAGTTTTTAATCTTTTTTAATTTTGACTTAAATCTCCTTCCTGTAATTATTTTTTTTCTCTTCATGTGGCCCTAATCCTCTTTTGTGAAAATAAAACCTGAATTGCTTGTTATGAATCAAGTATTGGCCAAGATAGAAAGAAGGTTTTTCTTGCAAAGGTTCTCCAGATACACAAGAGCACATGTCAGGTTCTAAAGATGCCTCCAAATGTGGGACTGAGGCTGTTAACTGTCAGGAAATTACTGATATAAGAAAGAAATGTGAGAAGTAGACTTGTCAGGTTCTTCACAATTGAGTTTCCTCTTGCAGTGACTGCAGCTGCTCCTCCAAAGATGCAAGGGAGGTTTTTTCTCGCATTTTAGAGCCTCTTGGCTGGTCAGTAACTGAATACATAAACATAAAAACGTCTCAGTGTTTTCCAATGCTTTCATCCTTTGGAGGAGAGGATGTCAGTAATTTTTTCTAACAACCAAAATAACACTTTAGAACATTTTTCTGAGACATACTGGGAGTGCAGAGCAGAGGAGAGAGAGTCTGCATCTTCTCTGTGGGCTTATCTTTGACAGAACTCTCAGGAGAGCTCATCCATATAGGAGAGTACAAACTGACGTCAGGCTGGAGTCCAGAAACCATCCATTCAGATAACCTGAAATCTCATTTTACAGAACTTTGTTGTGGATAGACATCCAACATTGTAACACTAAGTATGTATAAAGGCATAGATCGGCGTAAGATGTCTTCTTTAAGTGTCCCCAAGAAAAAGAGTCCACTTTTTTAACTGAGTGGTTACATCCACCTCTTCTGTTGTCTAAAATCCAGACCTACTATACATCACCATCTCCTCAACTATGATGTGGTCAGTAGCTATAAACACTTTAAAGTCCCACTACTTAAAGTGTTCTCAGTGGTCTTTAAATTGTGATTATGAAGTTTTTAGCCAAAATCACATTACCTGTGTCATTGTCAGGAGCTTTTCTTCTGCAGAGCTCCAGTAGCTCATTAGCAATTTGCCTCTGAGTCACTGGCAGAGACAGCGCTGCTCTGCACACTCGTCTTCATGTTAGCTTGTAGCCTAACGTTGCCGGTGTAGTAGAAGCGGCAGGTAACATGGGAGCTATTCAGTTCTTGGACACTAATTTCTTTAGGGAGACGATGAAAGCTAACATCATAATTAGCTTTCTTACAGGCATTGCAATCCACTACATGCACACGCTTGTTCCGTGATTCTCCTCTATATGCAGAGTGTGGCCTGCATAGTGGGGCTCCAGGGGTGGAGCTTGGATTGGTTATGTATGAAATCTCAGTTTCTGAACCTGCTGTTTGGGTCTGTGAGAGATTCACAGCAATTTGAATGAAAAAAATACTCAGAAAAGCAATTTTGCATTTAGTTTTCTCATGATATGTCCTGTAGCGCCAGAAAAATGCCATATGAAGATATAAAAAACAAGAAAAACATGATTTTCATCAGAGTGGGTCTTGAAAGTGCAGGCCCAAAGATCGGACAAAACACATGCACACTTAGTTCTGAATTACAGAATCGTACCGGAATAGAGTAAAATCCTGGTACTTGAAAAAAAACCCAGCCACCATCCAATTACTGCTTCTTGTAACTGCGTATCTACATCCAGGGTAGGAGGGGTGGAGTAGATCCCACTTTTGAAGATCAAAGCTTACAATTTCCCAGGTTTTACTCCTTGTTAAGAAATCCCATGAAAGAAAAAAGCAACATTTCAGATCTTTATTTTGTCCCCATGTGTCACCCAGGGTAGATGAGGATCATTGATTTGATTTCTTGATAAAACATGAAGGTTTATGTAAACACAAAATTACTCATCATATGCCAATATTCCTCATCATGCGTTTTCTTTGTATCTCTTCTTAGACATGGCTTTCATCATCGCCATGTTACTGGCCAGCCTCAACAGCTGCTGTAACCCGTGGATTTACCTGTTCTTCGCCGGTCACCTGTTCAACGACCTGACACAGTGCTTCTTCTGCTGCTGCCGTCAGTACCTGACTGCCTCCTCCTGCAGCTGTGATCAGCAGTGCAGGCACAAGAGCAACTGCTCCACATTTGTCATCAAGAGCACAGGCAGCCAGAGGAGCCTCTCGCACACATCCAGCACTGGGGGACCAGGACATTGAAGAGCCAGCTGAAAACCATCCAGGCTTCCTGTAGTACAATAATCTGGCAACTGTGGGGGGGGGTCCTGCATTTCCTCTGCAGAGGACATGGCACCGCTTTTGGAATTGAACTGACAAGAAAACAAATTGTAAATCTTTGTACATAAAATAAACATCACACTGTCTCAATACGAAGGCAGAGAAAATGATATTTTTGTAAAAAAATCTGAACAAAGAAGTGATGTGAATTGAAATATGAATATCTCAAGTTTTTTTTTCCCCTTTTTGACTCTTTGACTCTCTACGCCAGATTTCTACAATAGATAGATAGATAGATAGATAGATAGATAGATATGTGTTTTTCTTGAATTGTGCATTTGAAGATTATATCAGTTGTAAATTTGTACATACAACCATTACGATTTTTCTAGCTGTTTTTTTCTTCTTGTGTTTTCTCTGAAATAAGTAGTTGCATTTTAATGTTTGGGACAAGAGATGATCTCAACAACAACAACAAAATATAACTCAGTATTGTATTAAGTATTAAGGGTGTTCTTTTTAAGCACGGGCATAAACGTTGAATGTAATTATCCAGAAAAATCAGGTTTAAGAGGTAAAAATATCATTTTATTGTGAAAAATGTCGCCAATAAAATGAGTGTAACAGCTCTATTGAACCATCTAAGCACAACTTTTTGAAAAGCATTTTATAATATTTTTTTTAAAATGCTGATTTGCTTTCATCTTTTTAAGTTTTCAGGGTAATATCCACCGTTGAGAATTGGCTCCCTCCAAATATGCGGATTGTTTTAACACATCAAAAACTTGAACATTGTGCAAAATCTACAGAGACTGCATTTCGAACACGTAGGCTGGTTTCAATGATTGCAGCAGACTTTCCTTTCCTGCTTATCAAACAGTGTTTGTACTTTGTGATGTGATTTGAAATTCACTTTGTGAATAGTTTCCACTGCTCCTCATGTGTGTGTGTGTCTTCGTGTTGTTATTTTTATCCACTCCATTTCTTCTCCGAGTTGTTGTGTTTTTGTGTAATAAGTGTTTATCAAAGACAGATGACACATTAAGTTAAGGCATGTTTACCCCGCAGGGTTCAAAGTGGAATAATGGCTCCCTCCTGTGGCTGAATCTGTTATCTCAACTCGTGTTATTGTTCTGCTCTGGTTCCTGTATGATTTAAGGCTACAGGCCAACCGGTTATACTCAACATATGGAGAATTTCACTGTCAACATCACATATATGCATTGGCTAAGTGTGTGTATTTTTAAACTGTCTTTGCTTTATACGGCCTGGCTAACTGTCAAACAAAACGCTGCGGTACAGAGAGCAGGTTTATCGAGAAAGAGACTCACACTCATGTACACTGTTCAGTAAGTGTCACTACAAGAACACACAATTCTCAAGTTATTAAATTTGTCATAGCACATGGGAAAACAAGAGACTTTGTTGATCTTCAAACCTCATGTCCTGTCCTTTGACAAGTTCATTTAATAGGATTTAGTTTTGTTTTTATAATGACTTCTCCTCGCCATTTTGAGGCACTGGCATGTGAGGAGTCAACATCCCTCAGTGCCAATTACGCCAGTATTGTGGGACACGGAGCTTCTCCTCTTACTAAATCATCTCCCACATGAAGTCACCATTTGTGAGTACCATGTTTTGTTTCTAAGATATTTTCTAAAAAGTCTTCAAATAAAAATCACAAACGGTATTCTCTGATTGGAGGGATGGATTGAAGCAAACATAAAGATACAAGAGGAGCCAAGAGTTGCAGGTTGGTGTCTGTGGTTGTGGTAGTCGAAGCCTCAGAGGGGCGGTGGTAGTTAATAAACTAAAACGCCACTCACTGTTATTCCAATCCAGACAGCTGCCAGCCATGACAACCTTACAGCGATTAAAGAGACAGAAGGCTCTGCTCCATACACCACATCAAGAGACGCACACAAGCAATTTCAGTTCTGTCACACAACCATGAAAACACTCATCGGGACTTTCAGCCATTTATCGTTTATTATTTTTCAACCACATCCACCAAATAACAAGAAAGCTAAAACTCAAATGTTTTCTGTACAAACTTTATTAAATCTGAATCAAGTTGTGCTTCAAACTCGAAACAGAGACTCTCAAACTCTATATAGCGGTGGAATAAAAGGAGGATTTAAATCTCAGTTTTACTCTTCATTGAATCTTCAGTGGAGGATTAATGAGTTACATGATGCCTCATTAAAACTCGGTGGTTTCTCTGCCATTGTCTGTTTCTCCCTGGATTCTCACTGGACGTTACTTTCTTAAACAGGATAATTGCTTTTAGAGCTGATCTGACATTAGAGAGAAATATTCAAGTCCATTACATTAAATGTACTTTCTCCTAACAAAAGTTGTCTCACAAAATTAAATTCCCTAAAGTCTGAACCGGAGCCTTCTATGATTTAACTTTAATTTAATACTGCTCAAGCCTAGACTTACGACGGCAGTGATAAAGCGCAATGATTGAAGAAGCCTGGAGTATTTTGCCATGAAAACTATCCAACCAACAAGTTATTTTCATAAAAAATGATGAGACAAACAAAAATTCTTTAAAACAGACAAAACAAAATACTGCTGAGTGTCTGAAAATCTTCTTTGTGCCTTAAGAAAGCGGTCACTTTCATTGTTTTCATTTTTAAGTCCCCTAACAGTCTCTATTTTCTCACACTGATCCCATTAATTAAGAAATCTGATCTCTTTGGTCATCACAAAGTGATAAAATTTTAAGTAAGAGTTTTTGTCCGAGTCCAAACTGGAAGTTTTATAGATAAAAACATTTTATTCTGTATCAAAAATGAAAAAGTCATGGTCTACCTGTGAAACATCAGGGCACATAAATAAACCATCTCAGTCTTGATGTGAAAAGTGTCTCATTCTTTGGCCAGGTGAACACTGAAGCCTCCGCAGCATCTTCCAGCGCTCTTGAAGAAAGGCTGCAAAATGATGCTCAGCACGATATTCCACAGACTCTGCAGCCAGCGTGTGCCGATAGAGAGACACTGAATACAAGGACTGACCATCCTGTCATTGAAAGAAAGGTATTCATTACAAACACAGCAGCTATGAGAGAAATGTGCAGTCAATCTTAGCATTCCCTGTGGACAAAGAGAGGGTCTGTTATTCTGTTCTGTTATAAATAATTATAAAGAATTTAGAAAGTCCTTTTACAGATGATCTGCTTTTCTTCTGTGGCCCTTTATAGAGGTTTATGTATTAATTTCTGCTATTTTTATGAATGTTAGGATCTTGTTTAGTATTAATGTTGTCTCCTCAGATGTGTAAGTTACCGATGGCTCATACATGCGCTTATGCATCCTCCTATTGTCATGGATGGTCTCTTTTGAGCTGTGGTGGTCCTTCTCCTCATTATAGCAGAGGATACAGCGTCCATGATTTCCAAAAAGGATTCCAAAACAGATTCTTTTTGTTTTGCACTTCACCTCAGTCCATAAGATACGTTACTGGTGTTTCTGGGTCATATTTACATACAGTTTTAACCTAAATTTGTAGATGTAGTGAGAAACTATGTTCACAGAAATGTAGTAGACATGACTCTGTAGTGATTTCCACTACAGAGGAAAACACATCATGGTTGAGTCATGTTTGTTTCTGATGCACTGTCTCCCAAGGGCCCCCAAATGACCACCAGTATTGGCTTCAAGCTTTTGTTTTGAGATCTCTCAAGATTATCAAGTTGAAGACTGCTGTCAAATGAAAAAATGCCCAATTAAGTGTTTGCAAACTCAAAGGAAACAGGAAACAGGAAATAACCTGTTTTAGAGACCACCCTTTTGTCCATTTTGACCACCAGAATTAAGATGGTGGTGTAACATTTGAGAAGTCCTTGAGAAGATGTGATTTCATGATTGATTTTTAACCTGACTGCTTGTGAATATTTTATTATTTTTCTGCTGTACATTTCCCTAATCTCTCAAACCAACAAGGTGTCAAAAAACTTACCAAATGTGGAGGCAGCTGAGGATGGCAAAGAGCAGGCCAGAAACGATAGAGACCGGAATGGCCAGAAGCACTGTAACAATCCTGTAGATCCAAACCCTGGACACCTCAAACAGAGCATTACTCCAGATCCATACTCTATCTCCACTGCGTACAGATGCCGGTTCAGCAATCACATCCTCAAACGTCACCTGCGGACACAAAAAAACGATCCTGTTGAGCATAGATCAAATCCACTGGAGGGCAGTGCATTCAGCCATGCAGTTTTTTGTTCTGCATGCCAGTTATTTTATGTTTTTTTCATAGTCCACTGCAGAAGAATGCAATACCTTAAGGCAGTCATTGATTCCACGAGGGTCTCTGACATTTATCAGAGGCTTAGTGTCACTGATTTCCACAAGGGTAGAGGTGTGTATGTTTTCGTCTTCTTCCACTGGAGGAGGGGCCTTCCACAGTGTCTGAGGTTCATCTCCGTTATCATATTCATCAGGGTCGCTGGAGTCTCCCAAATCAATCTCTACCTCCTCTGAATCTTCTTCTTTCCTCCAGGTGTCCATCCCAACATGTGAAGAAAACACAATAGAGAACAAAGTAGACTGTCACTTCCTTCTGCAGCGTAGACTACGCCTGCTGAGCGGACCCCTCAGCTGGCTGTGCACCCAGGTTATATTGGGAACGTTACAGTGCCCTGTGTGGTATTTGCAGATGGTCTCGGAAGTGAAGATCATTTTCATGCAGTGGGTTAAAAATACTGTCAGCATGGAGACAACTCTGTATACACTGAAACAACCTTCACAGAGACACATACACTGACAACATTTGTAAAAGCTGAAGGAAGAGATGGAATGGACAATTATTGTACTCTCTTATCCATGAGAATTTAGGTCTCTCCTTGCTCATGAAGTCTTGGCACAATTGTTAGGAAAACTTGATAATTTTTGCTAGAACAACTTGGCATCAGCTGAAGGGACGAGTGAGCTTTTTGTACCCTTATCTAGTTGCCTGATGTTGACCCATGTTAAGAAGGAAGTGTGCTCAAAGCTAAAACAGGCTGAAAGTTTGGAGATCCTGTGCGAATGTGTGAATTCTATCCAGGGTATGATGGTGTTTCTCTGACATGGAGTGTATTATCATCATTTGAAGATACATCCCAGATTTGTCATACCATGATCATTTTAAGAGACAACAATCTCTAAGAGTCTTCTAACTGGCTCTTTGGGCTGAGGACCCAACCCATCTGTTGAAGACTGCTGTCATCTGTTGGCTCAGTCCAGCCTGCACTTGTACCAGATCATTAAATGTCAATTTTTAAGTTTTTCATCATACCATACCTGTGTATGTTCAACAGTAGTTTCTTCAAGGCAAAAAACATGAATTAGATATGCTTGCATTTATCGCCTTACTTTGATCAAAGTACACCAGTGATGATAAACATGTCACATTATATGACAAACAAGTGCAGGATAAGTAGGCCCACTTTATTGCGAATAGAAAACACCTTTTAAACTATCAAAATTAGTTCACATCAGTGTGGAAGGCTGCCTTCCTCTTAAAGGGATATTCTGGTGTAAATTTAAGTTATGGTCAAACACAAGCTGATTTCATTTCCATGAAGTAATAATCATAAATTTTCCGCTGCACTTGGTGATCGACCCGTCAGGGCTCCCCCACAAACAAGCAGGATTCAAATCCAAACCAGGGACTTTTCATGTGAGCAAGGAAAAACATGCTGTCCTCAGTGATAGTTAAAACCATGGTTTTAAACTTCCATTGTCAAAAAAATAGAAGGAATCACTGACGGGCTAACCTACGGGCTAACCTAGGGCAAAGTGGTCAGTGAAAGGATCCTGGGTTCAAGACCAGGACAGAGGTACAAATTGTTAACCTAGAAAGAAATCCTGTACTCACTTCCTTGCTAACCAGTGGTTTTGAATGTTATCAAATAAAAGTATAAAGCACCTTCAAAAGCACGGCTTCTGGAAAGGAGTGGTGGAGGCTGCAGGTTCACCTGAAGGGTCATAGGTTCAAATCCTAGACTGAGGTATTTTATAAGAGGATTCCTATGAGACATAGGAATGAAAATACTGTTCCCATTTCAGTGTTAAGATGTGATTTTAAAGCTTTTCAGCTAGAAAACAAAAGTAGAAAACACCTTATTATCACTGATGTTGTGTGGTGGTCAGGGCCTCTTCAACACAGGATTAGAAATGGTTAGAAACACTGGACGGAGTTATTTCATGGTACTTGTAAGCCAATAAATAAACCTTTATGCTCAATAAGAGAACTGCTAATTATTAGCTGAGTGTCTGCTTCAGATGTCAAAGATCTTCAAGTCAGATTGAACTTGGGTACCACCTTCAGAAAATGATACCTGATCTTAGGCAGGTGATGGTTTAGGGCACCAGCCTAGAGAAAAAAAACACCTGCTATCTGGGCATATTAAGGCTTTTTTAGGGTATCAATAAATGCATTTTAACAGAAATATCGTCTGACTTTGGGACTGATTTTGTTTTTATTCAGTGTTTTCTCATAAACAAAGCCAAATAAAATACGTTATCAAAATAAGCACAAATATTTAGAACTTTACTTTTTGCCAAAAATGCAGCCAATCTGTATTTCAGCAGACATTTATCTACAAGAACATAAAACAGTCCTCAGCTGTGTGTGTGTGTGTGTGTGTGTGTGTGTGTGTGTGTGTGTGTGTGTGCGTGCGTGCGTGCGTGTGTGTGTGTGTGTGTGTGTGTGTGTGTGTTTGGTTTACTCAGTTGGTATTGTCTGATCTGCTGGTTTAGGTCTGGCAGTTTAATTTCCCTCTGTTTTCATTTGAATATTTTCCAGTACAGTCATGCATGCTGACCTCTCCCAAGACCCCATAAATGTTATAATTTGGCATATTTATCATTTGTTTGGTTAAACGTTTTTTTCGTTCCCATAAAAAGCCTGGTATTTGGATTTTAACTTGAACTTTTGTTGTGCACTGGTTGCTTGAACCATGACAGGCACATAAATTGAATTAGGAGTGTCAAAGTAAGTTAACACAGACTCTTTGCTTTCACAAACCCCAGTCTCCAGAATGAGAGTCTTGAATTTTTGGATCCACTCTGACCTCATCTGTAGGTGGTCTCACTTCTTATACTGCAGCAGCAGACCCCCTTTCCTGTCACTGTTGTTATTTTTACATCCACTAGAGGTCTCTGCTAAACAACTTAATCCGTATAGAATAAAACTGGTCATAAAAGCTGAACAGACCTTCTACGCTATATTGCAGAATACTGGCCATTGTTCTATGATGCTGTTTATCCCTTAACGGTTTCTACTTAGAAAAATACTATAAAATCAACATTTTTTTTCTTAAACTTGCAGGATGTGGTTTTATTAGGGTGCTAAAACAACAGACAAACACAGTGCAATACAGCGTAACGTGAGTGTGGTTTCTCTTTGGGTTTATACACCCAAAAGATATAAGATAACACCAGCAGTTCTTTGGGGTTGGTGTCCTGGTAATGGGATGTTTTTTTTTTGTTTTTTGTTTTTTTGCCTGTCATTCTCTGAGAATAGAAAGAGAATAAACTATGACAAAATATGATTGAATAACATCAACAGTGGGGATGCTGAATTAGTATAACATCTGTAAGGTTTTGTAATTAGTAGTGAGTAGTCTGTTTTAAACCAACTGTGGTAATGAAACAAAACTTTATTATCAAAATAGGTTGTATTTTGGTTGTATCAGGTGTCAGTCATAGAAAACATGAACCCCCTAATAACTTTTAAAAATGGAGCTGCACAGAAAGAAGAGGACTTGAGCACAAACCAGTCTTACAGTAACTACATGTTAACATCGCAAGCAGGGGGGAGAAAAATGTATATTCTGTGCAATAAATTTATAAAGTTTGTCCACAGATCCATAGGGATTGCTGGAGGAGGCATGATTTTTGACCTATACTGCAGTCCGTCACTAGAGGGTTCTGTTCTCAGAGTGGCTTCACCCAGAGAGGAGGCAGACTGTCCATTCTATATACAGTCTATGATTTCAACACAAAAACTAAAGGGAGGACCCATGTGCAGACTTCAAAAAAAAAAAAAAAAAAAAAAAAGAAAAGTTTATTTAATAAAAAAATAACTTGAAACAACAAAAGAACTTACTTCAAAAATGTCCTACTGAAAAAACCAAAGGAAAAAAACAGGAGTAAAAGTCCTGAACAAACAAAAGGCACTGGGAATAATCATAAACACCTACACTGGCATCAACATACAATGAACTAACAGAGAGGGAGGGCTACACAAGGACTAAAGATTGATTGATTGATTGATTGATTGATTGATTGATTGATTGATTGATTGATTGATTGAAGTTTATTTTGAACATATAAAAAATAACAAAAAAGTAAAGAACACAACAACAAATGATAAAAAGTTATCCATGTTCAAAAGGGAGTGGGAAGAAGTCGAAACTTATCTCGTCCCACCCCTTCTCCTACACTAATGATTTACATATATATCATAATGTTATCTAATAATGGTAATCATAATGATAATAATAGCAATAAAAATAATCCCCATAATAAAAATGACAAAACAACAACATAACAATAATGATAATAGTACCTATGATTGTACAATGTTCACGTATGTATGCACCTAGAGAGGATTACAAGCAACAAGAGACAGGTGAGTCACTAAGACACAGGTGCAGACGATCACTGAGGAGGGAAAACAAAGGAAGTAAAACACAAGAAGAAGGGACTACAAAATGAACCAAAAAACACTCAAAACTAACCACAAGACCAAACAGAGAAAGGCACAACAGGAATGTAAAACACAGGGGAACAGGGACAATAGGAACAAATACACAGAAAATAACAAAACCAGGAAAAAACTAAATACACAAGAATTAATCATGACTCCTCCTTTGAGCGGAAATAAATGGCATACTTGACCCTTTACATTTTTTGTACCATTTCACTCTGTGTCTTACATAAACCTGCGAGTTATTCGGCCATGACGGTGCGTCACTGCCTCTATTTGCTCTTGCGGTCGTCGTCAGCATCAATCATGGAAAACAACAGGGGGTTAGAGTGCTCGTTATCACAAAATCTTTGTGGGGTGAAGATAGCGCGAAGAGCATCATCAGGTCGCTGCTCTCTGTCTGGAGTACAGTATGTTTCGCAACATGCTTTTAAGAAAAACCCTTCACTTTTGTCAACCTTTGGACCCATTAAACTGTCCGTCCTCACCGCTATTAATAGGTCAGCTATGAACCCGACGAGTGACGCCTTATCAGTCTTTTCACAGCTACTTACCAAACCTTCATCACTAGGCCATGTCACACGATTTCTGTTATCATCTTCGGCAAATAATGATGCAGTCTGGACTTCTCTTACAATACTGAAGACAGGCGAAATAAAACCTATAAATAAACACCAAACTCTCACTTGCATACTGCCCATCTGCAAAACTCAAATACCCATGAATGTAGGTACTATAGATTTCAAGAGTTGCAACCAAAGAAGAGAGAAGAAGAAATTAAAAAAAATAAATAACCGTTGTTGGTACAGCACTATAGAGACTGCAAAGTAAATAATAAAGAGTATATCTATCTAGAGTTCAATGTTATCGAGCTGCTGTCTCAAAAGTCTTCATGGTAATGAGCGTTTTAGGCTCCCTGTTATGAACAGAGAGAGAGCACAGTGTTGATGACAAAGACTTTCCTGTGTCAGTGCTGGTGACGACGGTATGCTAATGGACTGCACACCTCGCCAGATGGGGTTTGTTTGTGTCTAAAGACGCACAGGTGAGGTCAGCAGAGAGAGAGAGAGAGAGAGAGAGAGAGAGAATAAGGTGAAGACGAGGAGGAGAAACGCTGGCTGCTGTGTACCCTGCTGTTCTCATGATTATGATTTTTATAGACTTTTAAGATTAGTGAGTTGATGGTTGTTATAAATGATTCAATTGATCTGTCATCATCTAAATAAGATTGTGTATCATAACTTTAAGTCACCACAACTTCATCTTTTGTCTGTGACCCTTAATTTTTAACATCATCCTGATACCGTAAACGGATGTTTTGCATATTTTGTAAAGTTACATTTTGATCATTATTTAACAGGTGCTGCATGGCATGCCAAGGAGGTGACACCTGCTGTCTGACTACTCACACACTGTGACGTTGTAAACCATTGTCATATCAGTGAGTGAGGGAAATATCTTTACCTCCAGGCCGGGTTCGTGCCCTCTGTTCCTGACAGCAGCAGCTTATCTGGGGCATGAGGGATGCAGACAGTGTCTTAGCTCAGCACCTATCACTCCAGCTGTTTTCAGTACAATAGGTCAGGACTGATTATTTGTCATGCCTGGTTGATAGTAGCTATAATCACCAGATCAAAGCCCCTAATCTTAAACCACATCAGAAAGGTATTTTTTAAACTAGCATTGAATACAAATCCACCTCCATCCTGTTGCAGTTAGAAGGATTTCGGGTATCCAAAAAAAGAAATCTTCTATAAACTGATAAATTGATAAAGCTGTCTGCTCAGAGGGGATGAGATTTTCTATCCACATCCACGGACAAGTTTTTTCATCAGTTTGGGAGTTTTTTTATTTTTTACAATAGAACATGCAGTATATCTTTAGAAATTGGGTGATAAATCAATCAATTAATTGGTCAGTCATTACTTTATCATTTCCTTGAAGTAATAATCATCATATTTATTATTTTGCACTGCAGACACGGTCGTTCTTCTGCCTCAGCGTCTCGGTCTGATTGCATTTCCATGAAGTAATGATCATAAATGTTCTTCCTTGAGCTGAATCACCCCGCAGCAGTGCGCAATGGACTTGCCCGAGGTCTCCCTACAAACAAGCGGCTGCTGGTGGAGAGTGGGTGAGTTGTGTTTAGTCTCTTTGCTACAGAAACCAGACAAAGCTAAAAAGATGTTTAATGGCTAGTACTATGGCTGGGACCCTGTATGTACTGTTGATGAAGTTAGGTGCTGTTCTGAGCATTATTTGTGGCTATAGAGTGGCGTTTTGGTTGAGGTGTGCACGTGGATCCACAGACAGCTGTGTATTGCTATCGTGTGGTTGTTACTAAAGTTGGTATAACTAGAGAAGCAAGCTGTCGGCAACATTCATCTCTCGAAGGGTTGTCTAACTAGATGTTACGGTGTGTTTGACCCTAACTTAATTTTACACCGGATATGCCTTTAATGGATGATCACAGGAAGTGCAAAAATTTAATCATTCTTCATTGATTTATTTCTCGAAAGCCTGTTACATGCTCACCTTTGCACACGCTGGCTCAGACCTGCGTGTGAGGTTTTGCTGGGCGGCTGTCATGTATACAAATAAAAAAGACTTTTACACTCTTACTCAAACGGACCACCATTTCTCTCCCTTTGATTTTTGGGGAGTTATTCTCTTATTATTACTTTTCTGTGCAACAACAGGCAACCACATCAGGTTTAAAGACAGCAGACGCTGCAGCTCACAGAGGACTAGCCTGATTTTTTATTAAATGTAAATCCACACTCAGCTAGATGTGATTCCTCATTTTCATTGGAGAGCATGCTTGTGTTTGATCTGAATGCATAAGCTTTGTACAGTCCATGCACTTGTACTGGTCCTTGATTTAATAGAAGCTGCCCCTGAGGATAGAGGTCTTTCACATTATTTAGCAATTAAAGCAGACCACTCATGCTTGAATATTCGTTCGACTGAATCACACTCACAACCAGCTCTTTGAACTGTACTTTTATAACCTAATAGTCCTGTTTTTCATTTTATCATATTACATAATAAGTATAACATCCAGAAGATCGGTCGATTTAATGCTAAGCTCAATTCGATGAGCGAAGAGTGGGAGAAAACCTTGACTGATGTATGTTATACATTTAAATTATGCTGTTTTTCTGATTAAATTTAATGATGGAAATCAATATGATGGTAAGCATGAGATGATCTCTGAATCCAAAGGAAGTTGTTGAGAATCAATGGAGAATAAAAGAGCAGGATTAAACTACTTTACACTTCTCCCTAAAGCCAGGGCCCATAAACAAACAGCTTTATTAGGCCTGTTGCAGACTGGGATATGTATAAACGCCTCAATATTGTCATCATTAGTTAAGGTTTTAGTTTCAATGCATGTGTGTGTCTGCACACAGTTTTTTCACAGTTGTCACTCCACCTCTTATTATTTTCCTCCTGACTATCTTTCAGTGACAGGCAGCAAAACTGCAAACTGGCAGCAAAGCTAAGGGTTATTTCCTCTTATAAATCTGTTTACAAGTTGGTGCACATGTAGCTCAGCAAGCTCCAGTCTTCGTTTGTCTCCATTCGAAAAATACTGATGACTTACCAATTTCAACAAGAACATCCTGAGCTGATATCGGTGGACATGATTTATCATGTAGGTGCATTGAAATATAAAGTCAATGTTGATGTTGATGCAGTAGAAAAAGAGGATATTTAAATCAATTTCTTCAGCTGTTATGAAATTGCATTTTCTCCTTATATAAGCATGTGGTAACTGGACTCAGTCTTTGTAAGGTTTTTCAGAAATGGACATACGGACAACACAGAGGTCAGGTAATAGAGCTGAACAAAATGTCTCAATGTCAAACAGAGCAGGTGCTCACACACTGTGTTAATGCTGTAGATCATCCGTCAAAGCGTCCTTTGTGATCTCTCTGATATTCAAAAGTGCCCTGCTGACACGCTTATTTAAGCAATACGTGGATTGATAGACGGAGAGCTTAGGGCTACCTCGACAGATCATGTGATGGACTTTAAATGGTTACAGGACAGTTTTTGACCCCATTGCCCCCTTAGTGTTAGAGATTAACAAATAGACTAAATGGACAGTAGAAAAACGGCACAGTAAGTCACCAAATGCGGGGGGGTATTGATGAAAACACTCTGCGGTGAAATGGTCATGACAATTGTACAGCCTCGCTTATATAATCAGTGTGCTCTGCAAATGTACAGGTTTCACTCTGGAAATGTACAGAAGGATTAAATGCTCGCTTATTACGATAAAGGTTAAAAGTAAGCAGAATTTATTTGTACATTAAAGCTCCAGTAAGGAGTTTTTGACATCAATGAAATAGAAGGAAATTCACATTGGTGTATTTTTATGATTTAAAAAAGAATTCAAGACCATCGGGGAAAAGTTGTATTATTTTTAATCACAATTTTTAATACCTGAAACCAGCGTGAGAGGGTAGATATCAGTCGAGCTGCTTTTTTACAGTTTCCACATATAACATTCACCACAAATGATACATCTGACTGTTAAAAGTCAGTAGGCAGTAATGAAAGAAAATAGAGGACAAGATAAGCAAAGACTGCTTTGTCCACGGGGGGCACCAAGATTAACAGGGACCATAAAGTTCCCCACACGAGCTTTAATGCAATTAAAAAAACAATTCATTTTATGAACAAAAAGTCTCTGATAACAATGAATAAATAAATGCTGAAAAATAAATAAATACAACAACAACAAAGACAAAATACAAATAATCAATAGTTCACAGAAATATGAACTTTGATGAGGGAATGCTTGATCACTTTCCATTTTATCAAATTCTCATTACTCTGAGGCAGTTTTTAAGTGTCACAGATAATTATTCATTTGTATTTCAAGTTTATATAGAAAAGCATTGATAGCCAAAAAAAAAAAAAAAAGTAACTTTGCTGTGAAATAAACTTCATCTTTGTTAGTTTTGCTTGAGGAGCAGGAGGGAATAGAAGTCTTCTGTAATGAGTCTTCTTGCTGATTTGTCAATTTGCATTTTCAAGACTGTGGTGCATTTATGAAAGGGGCTACAAAGACTAGATTTAACTGGTCGATAAATGACACTGTTATTCAATTGGAATTCATATTGAAGACAGATCCACGGTTAACTCCATTGGATCAGGTGTAACTTAGATCTTTTACAGTCCTGCTTATGTTGTGGCACAGCGGTGAGGTATGACTAGTTGAACTCCTCAGGGATCTGTCCTGGTATTCTGAAACCAGTGAGTCCGCTTTGATCCAGAGTGCTTCTTGGACTGGGTGTGGCAAAGCTCGCCCGTGTTTCCATGGTACAGCTGGTCCTGTGGAGGAACTGCAGGAAGTTCTCATGGCCTGAGCCGTCATGGCTTGAGACCGGCAGCTCCACAGGCCGGGCCGAGTAACAGCGCCTCAGTTTACACAGCTCCTCTCTGATCTGTCTGTTAAGAAGCCCATAAAAAAACGGGTTTATAGCAAAAGAGGAATACGCCAGCCAAGTAACCGCTTGCTCCAGACCCACAGGGATCCTGAGGGTTGCATTTAACGTCAGGTGAAGGTGGAAGGCAAAGTAAGGCAGCCAGCAGATCAGAAACTGTCCGACTATGACCACCAGCGTGAGAGCAGCTTTGCCCCCACCAAAATGTCGCTCACGTGTAGTCCTGAGGGGTGCACTGTGGGTTGTGATGATAGTAATCTGGCTGTTTATGGAGTCAGAGCGATGCTTTGGTTGATTATTTGTCCATAAAGGAAGAGGTCCGTGCTGACGGGCGGCTACGCGAGCCACCTTGTACACATTACAGTAAACTACGAGGATAACAACAGCAGGCAAGCAGAAACAGGTGACACCGAAGAACACAGAAAAGATTTGTCTGTGGCCGCTGTGGCTCCAATGCAAGGAGCAGTGTGCAGCATTGATGGAGCCCAGACTCCTGTATGAAGGCCAACCAAACACTGTGGACAACCCTAGTACAGCAGAGGCCACCCACACCATCACTATCACAGCCACAGTCAGCTTTAACGTCATCTTGACCTCATAGCGCATCGGGTAAACAATGTAGTAGTACCGCTCCACACTGATGGCTGTGATGGTAAAAATGGAGGCAGCGATGAGAATCACATTGAGAAAAACATAGATCTGACATTCCAGGACTGTGAACATCACACCGGCAAAGTAGGGAGAACCGGACATGATCCCGAGAGGCATGAGCAGGATGGCACACAGAAGGTCCACAGCACACAGGTGGCACACAAAGGCAAACTTCCTGAGGTGTGGAGCTTTGATCACAACGACCAGAATGGCAGTGTTGGCTAGAAGTGCCAGAATGTTCAGAGTCACCATGAAAAATATCCCTGTCAGGTCCTTGAAGTGGGTCTGTGGGCTGGGAAGGGTGCCCAACTGCCTGCTGGGAGCTGACGGCAGCGGGATCCAAATAGTTCTGCTGTCATTGTGCTCAGGGGTGGGAGGTGAACTGATATCCTCCATGATTCATTGTACAGGTTTCAAAATTAATATCTGTGGTCCATACTCCCCTGCTGTTCTGAAACTGGACCAGAATCCTTTTGGCACCGTTGGAATCCTCTTCATGCCTGTGTTGAAGAAAATTAATATCCATTAAAAGTGTGTGTGCAACATTCACGATAAAAAAGTTCAATCCTACTGAGCATTTTTTTGTCTAAAAGAGGTCTAATAGACGTCTAAATGTAGCCTAGACGACTGGTCTAAAATCAGGCTACCACAGGTCTAAAAATTAGGGTTTTTTAGACGTCTAAATTTAGACCAAGTTTAGACTAACAGAGGTCTAACTGTATATTGCTCAACAGCTATCATAATTATTTTGGTTAAGGAGATCAGTTATACAACTCACAGTGTCTTTTTGAAATAAATAGTTATTTAATAATGGGTTAAAGTGCAACGTCTAAATTTTGTCTAAAAATATACAGAATCTAGACGGTTGAAATCGGGTCTAACAAAAAAACTAGATGTCTAATAGCCGTCTATTGTTCAGTGGGGAGTATTATTAGCACATGTGTAACTGATGTCAAAGCACATTGAAAAAAAAAAAAATTAAATACTTGCAACCTAAACACTTTTTAAAGAAATGCAAACTTATTATTACTATACTTATTACTATAAATTATGAAATAGATTGAAATTCCATAAGAGAAATTTACCTTCTCTTCCATGCTCTCAGCATTTTTTCCTGAACTCATTTTCTTTTCATCTTTACTCTCCCTGTGATCTTCCTTCATCACTAATACAGGCAGCAGCACAAGCTTTGAACCCATGACCTTCACACTTTGAGACAGCAGCCATAACCACCACACCACTTTTTTCACAGGTCTTACTTGTTTGAGGTTTATCTAATTTCTTCTTTTTCATCCTGGTTGTTCAAAAGATTTGGCTCAGCTCCACAATAAAAAAGGCCCAGGCCTGGATTCAAACCTAAAACCTTTTCTCTGTGGGATGCTATGCTAACCAACACTTATGTGCCCCCTGAAAGGACGTATGCACCCTCCAGTTCATCTTTATTCTGACTGACTGTCCAGCAGGAGTAAACTAGACCAGTCCAGCTCCATGGAAGAAGGCCCCAGCTGGGATTCAAACCAATAACCACCCTGCTGTGAGGCAACAGTGCTAATCAAACCTTTGCGACACTGAACATTGCGTAGTAGTTAACATATTTTACCCTCTATATCAATCTTGTAGTTCAAGTGGGAGAAAGATGGAACACATAAGCTCCACACCAAAAGGCCTAATCAAGGAATTGAACCCTGCAACCTCTTACCATGAGGCAGAAGTACAAAACATAACACCAACGCCAAGTCATGGTCAACACCCTACTGCAAGCAAACTACAATACTGAAGCTTCATTTAGGAAAGTCCTGACTTGAATTTGAACCCTCAACCCTTCTGCAAAGAGGTGGCAGAACTAACCACCTCATTGACAAACCATCTATCCTTTAACATGGTAGGTCAAATCCCTTATACTCCAAAGAGGAAGGCTCTAGTTTGGATCTTAACCCTGACAGCAGTGCAAACCACTACACTAACACAACCTTGCTGAGTTCACTTGTTGCATCAAGTCCACAAAACACAAGTAGAGTGGATGAGAAAACTCTCATTCATCCTAAAACCCTGCAAGTTTGACTGCTGGCCCAAGAAGGAAATGTGAGAGAGAGTGAGAGGTGACATAAGGGAGAGAGGCTGTAGGGGTTGTAGGATGAAAGTGAGTCCAAACCGTTCACTTTATGACTATGGCAGCTGTTTATAGGGCATGGTGCTCCAACTGCTTGGCCAACAGTGTTCGAATCTTTACACTGTCTATCTTCTGTTTGTTGTTAAGTAGGACTTGAATGATTGCATAATTCATCCCTGATCATATAATTAGTTGGTATCTTCTTAAAGCCCTGAGAGGTTGAATAATATTCATACTTTGTCACTGCATACATGAGTAATTGTGAAGATACATTAATAAATCCCTATTTTATACATGCAAATTTGATGTACATGTCAATATCAACATACATACATTCTTCAGTCGCTTCTCAATATATATCCTACCATACATATACAGTAGAAATAATAGAAATGTATCTACATTTGCTCATGTTGAAAGGGTTACTTTTTGTATGTAAGTGAAGGAGAGACATGATCAATAGGAATAATTCATGGAGGACAGCCTGTCTTTCCTCCATCCATCCCCATCCTTTTGAAATAGAAGATAATGAGAGCGCTTGTTGCGGCCCAGCTGCAGAGGACTGGCTACATTGATTAATATGGGTTCAGTGTCACCCCGCATGACACACCATCAAAGGTAACTTCCTTCCATGGCCATAGATCAGTGTATAACTTCTTATATAAATAACCAGAGATTGTCAGGAATATATGACTGTAGAGGAGGCAATGTCCTAAATACATGTGCGCTCTGCTGATGCTCCCCGCTGCTCTAATCTTCTCTGGTGGAGAGCTATTGACATGCCACATTTGTTCTGAGATTTATCTCCAGGAAGGACTAGAAGTACATGTACATTTTTAATGCATATTATATAAGTGTGTCCTCATTTTCATCCTGGTCCTGATACAGCTCAGCATATACTAAATCCACGTTTTTACCTCTGAGGGAGATGATCCTTTTCAGATACTTTCCTGTTTATTTACTCCTCTTAAAGCCTTTTTTGACTTTGACTTCACACAGTAGATGTTTCTTTGCTCTAATTCTTCTTTTTTCCAGTTTTTATATGAGAAATCACCATTAAATGTTATAATTCTGTATTATAATGAGGATTATAGAATCACACAGCTTTTTTAATCCCTCAGAAAGCTGCTGTAAAAAGTATTTATGTGGTACAGGGAAACCCCATAATCCCACCATTGTGATGCCATTCTTAATTATGTTAATACCCAATTTAAATGCAATCTGCAAAATAATCTGTAATTGCCATGTATTTTAATTCAAATTAAAACGTAATATCAATGATTCAAAATCTAGGACAAATTAACATTTTAAAGTGACTATTTTCAGGACAAAATAACTACATTTATCTGAATAGATGACGTTTCAGTTACATAACACTGAGACACTGAAAATAACCAGAGAGCAGCACTACAGGATACTATTAGAAACAATTACATAAAGCACTATAAAATGGACAATTACAATTAGAGCATGAGACGAGAGGAGGCATGAAAATTCACATTGAACTTCAAATGTGACTTTTTCTTCTGATCAAAAACAGCTATAATCTGTTCTTGGTGTCTAGCGCTACTGGTCGAGTATTTTCTAACGTCTCAAGGCCCTGAACTCAATGACAAACACTTGATTTTAACTTTATGTCTAAAGATGACAAAATTTAAAGAGACAGGGAAATGCGATACTTGATGAATCAAAGTCATTACGCTGACTTTAAATACTGTTGACCCAAACTTCTAGTTAAAGGCGTGTAATCTGAGATGAAGCAAAATCACTAGAAAACCCACTAAATGTGTATAAATAAACTCCAACAATTAACAAAGCTATTTCTCCTAAAATGACTTTCTTACCAAACTTCATTTAGTTGCATGTCCTCCAGAAAGTTTGGGAAAAGTCGAGTTCCTCCAAACCATGGTGATGATTCCTTCAAAAGCATCAAAGTCTGAGTTCAGGTGGAGTTTCCAAATACATTACAGCAAATTATCAACCTTAAAAGAGATCTGTCAGGAGCTGTAAAAATCTGGGAGGAGGTCTCCAGGAGGAGCTGGTACTGACTGATAAAGAGAGAGGTGATGAGTGTATGTCCACTGAGACACCACAGCTGGCAGAGTGAAAGGAGATGGGGAGGAGCCAGTGAGTAGTTTATACAAATCAAATCTTTCAAGAGAGGATGACTCCATCAAACTACCACCCACTGACATAAAGCATGTCCCACACACATATGCACACACACTGTTTTATTGTAAGTATGTGGCACAGACTGTCACACAGTGTCTGATTTGCCTCTGTCTCTACACACGCTCCTTTATCCTGCTTTTCAGAGGAAAAACAGATGCTAAAGATTAGATTTTTTGAAGCTTACTCTGGAGTTTACACAAATAATTGACCTATTTTTTCTTATTTTATTTAGAAGTGAAACTAACCTTCATTACACAGCAGATATGTAATGAAGCACGTCAGACAAGAGACAAGGCTCAGTGCTGACATCTGTTGGTTGCTTGTGAAAAGGAAAAGGAATATTCACTGTACTCCACTGTCTTGGAGGATAAGCTAAGATACAAGTAATAAATGAGTTCCAAAAGTTTATTGGCTCTTACACAGTTAAATACAAACAGAGATGTGACATAATTATTATTGTAACAGGAAGATTGATTATCACTCACAGTATATTTTGTAACCGCAGAAATACTACTCTAAAGACACAGTATCATGGTGTTATGCAAAAGTAGTCATCAACTACGCCCCTAAAACTCGAAACACACTAAAGGCCTTCAGCTCTAAAATTTAACCCAGAGTGAATATTTAACAAACTAGACACCTACTACCTCAAACTAGATAAGACACTTGGTTGAATATATCACTCATGGTTACACGTGACATTAAATAGTGCATTTTGAAGTACTGGCCACTATTTTTTTTCCTAACAGACAAACTGACAATGACAGCTGTCAAAATAAAAATGGAGAATTTATCAAAAAGTGTGAAAAAAAGTACTAGCTTCTAGCACTAGGTTTAAAAACTGGAACAATGATTCGTGGATGAATAAAAAAAAGGCAACCTGTCATTGTCAGAGAAAACGTGGTGACCAGCAGATGAAGGCAGACTCAAAAAGGCTATAACTGAGAACCACTTCTCATGGCTCCGTTTTCAGGCAGGAGTGAAGTGTCTTGGCAAAGGCTTTGATCATTAACAGCTTTGTGCTCTACTTTGCCCAAACCCAGTCTCTTCTTCAACAGTTTGTCCTCATTGTTCAACTTTGTGCGGATTGCGGTTTTGATTTGGCTGCCGTCTACACCGAACTTGACCGCCACATGATCTAAAGAGAAAAAATGACAATAAAACTCAATCTTCATGATCAAATTAATACACAAGATAACCTGCAGAGAAGGTCTGGGTAGTTTGTTGTTAGTCTCACCGATTATACTCCTGAGGATCTCTGGTGGAAGCTGAGGCTTGTGGCTGTCTTCTCCAGTGAAGGTGTTCCTGCGGCCCTGCAGAGAGTGTGTGGCCAACGTCTCTCTATCGAAAAGTATCATCAGTAACGCTGACGTGTACTTCTTGTAGTCTCCGATCTCTGCAATGCGCTCATACAGATTTTTTGGCACTCGTAGGTTCTCAGCAAGATACAGGAAGTTATGATCATCCTGAGGGCAAAAAAACAAAATGTTTCACTTTCAGCTTTGACATCAACACTTCTATAAAAGTAATTGCTGGACCGAAAACAGACAAACTTATTTTCCTGCAATAACAGAAAATAATCAAGAAAGTTCTGAAACTTTTGCTCGTATAGGATGACCCGGGGTTTATGAGCACTGACCTCGGGAATGTTATGAACTGCTGTCATCTCTACCTCAGGCTCAGCCAGGAAAGACATAGTTTCATCCTGAGAGTTTGGTGGTGCGACTGCAGCCTCGCCTCCTTGGAGGACGTGATCCAGAGTGACTCGAAGTTCATGCGCCGTGTGCCTCATCTGCATCATGAGAGTGTTCATCTCTGGAAAAAATCCAAAATACAAGCAGGTACACTTGGTTATTGTAGTTTTTAAATGGTGTGTATACAGAATAATTCCAGGGCATTGTCTGAATTTTAGTACAACCCCTTTTTACTTTTGAAAACTCAAATTTTCTGTCTACTTTTAAGTAAATCCATACATTGTACAGATTTTAAACTCTAATTCAAAAAGTAAAATCCCTTTATATGTAATTTGGAGCTACTTTTTCAGCTGGCCTCTTTCTTTCTTTTAAATGTGTTCTTCAAAAGTGTCTTTAAAAAAGGGTTTAGTTCTTAATGTGAGAAATTAGGGAATGCTCATGCTCAAGGAAAGCACGAAAAAATGTTTTCCATCATGACTGAAACTTAATTCTTAAAATATGTGACGTGGCATGCTTCTCTGTGTAAACCAGGATTTTAGTGCCTCATCAGTTGACATGATGCCCACTGACTTTAAGACTCACAAAAACTCTAATTTTTACTAATGATATCATCATGATATATATTGATATCAACTGATATCATATCAAAAATCATTGTTATAAACTTTTTCTCATATCGCCCAGCCCTACCTCCAACTCAGAGCCGGCCCAATGCATAAGCGAATTAGGCGCCTGCTTAGGGCCCCGTGGCCAATAGGGGGCCCCCAAGAGAAATAAAAATAATAATAATAATAATAATAATAATTTTTATTTTTTGCATGTATGAGTGATGCTTTCTGTATGATCAAACATATATTCAGTTGTTATATTTTATTCAGTTGTTGTATTTTGTATTTGAAGAATAAACTATAGTGTGATATTGGCATCAGATATTGGCCATTGAGGTCTGATATCAGTCAACCGCTAATTTTTGTACACATAAGTTATATACATTCAATAGGGGGCCCCCAAGAGAAACAAGAAATATATATATATATATATATATTTTTTTTTTTTGCATGTATGAGTGATGCCTTCTGTATGATCAAATATATATTATTGTAAAAACAAAATAAAGTATAAACATTTTAGTGCTGCTGCTGATGTAGGCCAATGACTCTTACTGCCGATATGTCAAAGTTCCGCTACCAGTATGTGCCGTCTGTGCCACAAGAAAATGTCGCAAAAAAGGAGATATCCTTCAGGAGCAGAGAAAAGAAAGAGGAAGAAGAGAAAAAATGCCAAAATAAAGGTATGTTTGCATGTCATGAAATGTTAATCGAAGAGATTTGTGAACAATCAATATTATTGGCATAAATGGAGGGCCCCAAAAACAAATTATGCTTAGGGCCCCATTGAGGTTTGGGCTGGCTCTGCTCCAACTGTACAAAAGTGAAAGGACACCTACTTTCTCTTTAAAACAATGACTCACCAATATCTGTAAATCTGTGTGGCGTTGGCTGTTCTTTTTTTTTTAGCAGACTAATAAATAAAATCACGGGCCTTTATTCCCACCCACCTTTCAGCTCCCTCAGCTCTCTCTCAGCCAAAATCCTACATCTGCGCTCGTACTTGAGTTGTGCCTGCAGTTGTTCTATTTTCATGAGGAGGCTGATAGTGTCTGTCCTGATGCCTGGACTTGCAAGATTCTCTTCATCAAAATCGATGTTTTCATGCTGCAAAATAAGAAAAAACAAAATTAAAACAAATTTCCATCTACAACTTTATTTTTTATGCTTCAACATCAACTGTTCCCACCTCGTTATTGGGGAAAGGTGAGTAGCTGGATTCCTCTGCCATCCTGTACTTGTCCTCCACTGACTCACAGCCGAACCCCTGCGCGTCTGGCCCGATCTTGATCATCTTGATCTGGGGTTGTGTTAGAGGCGCTCCTGCGTCTCTTTTAGGTGGCATGGAGGTTGGAAATAAATCTGCGAAGAGCCAAGATCTCAGTTGATACATCATGCATTTCTTTCTCTGTGCAAGGTGGAAGAAAACTTTTCCACCCGCTTGGTTCACCTTCAATTCACACATGCGAGAGAAGAATAGAAACTTTGTTCAGGTTGCATCCCCCCTCCCCCTGCCTCTCTAACCCCTCCTGTCAGCCTCAGCTGGACCCTGTATTGTGATAAAAACCTGTTTTTTTAAACACTGTGTCAAAATCCCATCAAATGTAATTCCACGCTGTTCACGGGAGGCTCACCTGGATGTTCAGTCCGATTGCAGGAGTATACTGCAACCACAGTCACTGAGGACACAGACAGCCAAGTAAATGAAAATACTGCGTAGTAGAGGAAGTAGTAGTACTACTGCAGTAGTACAGTAAATAGATCCTCATACAGTTATAGCTCATTTTTAAGATCCGTGCAAAACGTTTCCGGTTCAATATTTGTGAAATACCGCTCCTGTAATTCTCATTGACTCTGTGGAGAAGTCATGAGAATAAGATACCTGTATTTTGAAAAATATTTTTTTACAATAACGTCCGGAACAAATATGCGAAAACTTATTCCCCGAGGGAAGTATTTTGCCCCAGTACAGTTTCCTGCGCACAAAATTTAACATTTCAACCAGTGAGGAGACAGAATTTTAGGGGGAGGCGGGACAAGTAAGTGCTCATGTGGAAATCACCCAATCAGCGTCCGCGCTCTGAACGTGTCCACATGTGCTGGGTTTGGTTGCAGTGAATCCATGTGGGTACAGTGTTGACTTGTTGGTAGAGTTAGCTCCATATACTGCTGTCATTTAAGGCGAAACGTTTATTTTAATGTATCACAATGTCTTCGTCTTTCTTTATTAAGAAGAAAGGAAACCCTAAAACAACGAAAAAGGGGCAAAATACATCGGGAACGAAACGAAAGGTGAGTTAGCCGGTTAGCTTCTGTTAGCTCTTAAAATCATGTGAAGCACCATATCAATGTTTGTAAGCTATCACACACCTTCTGATCTAAAATCTTCTTCTTTCTGTTGTATCAGGGTGATGTGGACTCGCGAGGAAAGAGCAAAATTCCAGCAAAGAAATCATCAAAACATAATGAGGAGATTTCCAGTGACTCTGAGCCTGAGAGGTTGATCTCTACACTCTTATTTAAAGATTTCAGTCTGAATTTAAAAATGAAATCATGATTATTAATATAATTTTGTATCTTGATCTGCAGCCCCGCAGTCCCCAGGAAGAGGCAGTCTAAAGAAGAGCCTGAATATGAGGAAACACCTCAGGAGAAGAAGCTGAGGTTAGCTAAACTTTACCTCGAGCAGCTGAAGGAAGAAGGTAGGCTCACATGTGTGTGTGTTATATGTGTGCTTACGTGTGCTTACATGCTATATATATGTTTATATATTTATTCTTACCAGTAACTTGTATGCCCATGTTTACACACATTTTGATCTGATCTCATCAGAGGAGAAGAAAGCTGAAGATGACTCCTTTGAGACTGACCTCATTGCTGGCAGACTTCAAGAAGAAGTGGTAAGAGAGTCCTCTGCATCTTTTTTCTGACACGATCATCAAAAATAAGTGAATTTTTAACAAATGAAGTAAAGTTGCAGCATGATCACCTGTCAGTTCATATTTAGCAGCTTTAACTCTGTTGTCTTCTGTGTCTAAAATATTCACAAGGTTGTGCGGTTTACATTTATTTATTATCCTACCACACATACCTCCTTCAGTAGAATATGGTGATTTATGCAGCCCCGATATAATCTCTAAACTCTAAAATAAATAGCATCTCTGTCAGAAGCATTCTTGAAACTTCACCTCCTGCCATTCCGTATGAAATTGAAGATATCACTGATTTTCGAAAGTTTTAAGAGGATGGCGATAGATAGCACAGTTTCATATCTCTAAATTTTATTCTGTTAGTGGTTTGACATCTACTACACTTATTTTTTGCCATGAACCTTTTCAGAAATGGCAACCTTTTAAAATAGTTTTGTACTCTGTTTCAACTGTGAGGCAGATGATCAGGAACATTTCATAAGCAATGATAGCACTGAACTATTTTCAGTTGATTTTGGGAGGTCACATGATTTTTGGTGTGATGAATCTGGGAGTTAAAACATCTTGCTGGTGTGTACTGTGTGAAAGATTGTAGATTTTAATATTCTGATTTGAATAGATCATATAATATGAATATGTATTGAGTAAATAAGACTCATGTACATATCTTTTTTAACTTTTAAGTTTCTTTATCCTTTAATTTCTTTTTCTATCTGTGTTTATGCTGCTGTTATTAGGCATTTCCTTCTGTGGGACTATAAATGAATATTGTATCTTATCTTGAATTATTTTGAATATAAACATTTTTTGGTGAAAAAACAGGCCTATATTCCCTCTTTGTGAAAACGACAGTTCTTTTTTACTTTCATGTGTGAATCTCCACATGTTGGTCCATGTTGTTCATGTTGTCTTGTTTGTAATTTTCAGCTTGAACAACAAGGAAAGCTCCAACGACTTATTGCCCAGGATGTAAGTGATTTTTTTTGTCATCTTTTCCCTCTTGCTTCATGATTTAGAGAAAGGTTTTTAAAAAAACTGACATTGATTGGATTTTCATTCTGTCTTTCAGCTCATGCCACCAGATGCTTCAGAAATCCGACTGCTAAGAGGACACAAACTTCCAATCACCTGTCTGGTTATCTCCTCCGATGACAAGTACATCTTTTCTGCTGCCAAAGACTGCTCCATCATCAAATGTTAGTATACGAGTAAATCTTCAAAATGTATTAAAATTTTTCATGGTGAATTTGTATAAAAATGAAGAGTGTCCTGTCTTGTTGCTTAGATTTATGGTCTTGATTTATCATTCTCAGCTAAGTGGAGATTTTTTTCTTTTTCCAGGGGATGTTGAAAGTGGAAAGAAACTCCATACAATCCACGGTGGTAGGAAGGGTACAGAGGATCAGCATGTGGGACATACGGCACATATCCTGTGCATGGCCATTTCATCAGATGGAAAGTACTTGGTCAGTAATTCTGTTTCAGTGTAGCATGCATTTAACAGTTTATACTGTAAAGCAGCTGTTGTTGTTCATGTTTGTCCCTCTTTCTTTACATTTGTTTAGGCCACTGGAGACATGAACAAACTGATCCTGATCTGGGAGGCAGAAACATGTAAACATCTTTATAAATTCACAGGACACAAAGGCCCAGTGTCGGTTGGTATCCTCCTTTTTCTGAAAAACCTCCAAGATATCAAAGTTGTGCATTTTCTCCATGTCCATCACACCACATGTCATATCCTCCTCAGGGTCTCTCGTTCAGGAAAGGAACTCATGATCTGTACAGCGCCTCTCATGATCGCTCCGTCAAAGTGTGGAATGTGGACGAGAACGCCTACGTGGAAACTCTGTGGGTGACTGATTAGATTATAATTCATGAATCTATCAAACACATTCATTCATCTGAACTGTGTGACCTCCGTTGTGATTGTGGCTGGCTGTAGATTCGGGCATCAGGACGCCATCACAGGACTGGATAGTCTGAGCCGTGAGCGCTGCGTAACAGCAGGAGGGAGGGACCGCACCGTGAGGGTGTGGAAGATAGCAGAGGAATCTCAGCTGGTGTTTCACGGTCACGAGTGAGTTTCTCTTTCATCTGTTGTTCCTCTGATGCTCTTTGCACCATTGAGTCCAGATCTGATGTGTCAGATGAACAAGAAACATACTGGCGCAAAGTAACAGACCGAAAGACACATAAAAAAACATTCTTTTTTTAAAAAAAACTTTTTAGGTAAAGTTCGTAACAGTGAGTTATTAAGATTAAGTAACTTTGTGCCATTGTCAACTTGACACCTTGAAACTGCTCTGTGCTTCCTGAGGGAGGGGTCTCCTGATCTAAGTCAGAATCAGAATCAGAAGGGGTTTTATTGCCATTGTTGATGAACAGGATTCACAGACTAGGAATTTTTTACAGCATGGTGGTGCAACAATAAACGGAGAATAATATATAAAATACTAGAATAAAAACTAATAAGAGCATGCAGGAAATATATAAAGTATTAAAGTATAAAAGGCTATGTACAACTACACTACAGAACAACAGTGCGGTAGGAGTAGTGCAATTAAAAAACCAAGGTACATTAAACTAAGTGACCAGTGATAAAGTGACAGAGTTAAAGTGACTGAGTTATGAAGTGTTCATGAGGGGAAGAAACTGTTCTTATGGCGGGGGGGTTCTGGTCCAAATGGACTGTAGCCTCCTGCCCGAGGGGAGTGTCTCAAATAGTCCATAGAGTAAGTGTCTTAACTCTAGAATTTTGCAGAGGTTGACAGATGTTGTTTAAGTGTAAAGTAAGTCAGTAAATTTTATTTCTATAGCACTTTTCATAGATGAAATCACAAAGTGCTTTACAATAAGGATAAAATGCAATAGGATGCAGAGAAACAAAATACATATTATGACACAGATACAAATACTTCACAGAGGCCCCACAGCGTCAACATCAGCTAAAAGCCTGTCTAAAAAGACACTTTCAGTAGACTCTGTGCTGCGTTAGGTAAATGGTAGTGCATTCCAGAGGTGAGGGGCACTGGCCTGGAAAGAGCGGTCACCTCGTGTTTTAAAACGGGTGCGAGGGACCATCAAGAGTTTGTGGTCTGATGACCTTAAGGAACGTGAGGTGGAATAGGGTCTCAGTAACTCAGTGATGGATGAGGGAGCTTGATCATGGAGGGCTCTAAAAGCAAGAACTTAAATCTTAAAATGAATCCTAAAAGTAACTGGTCACCAGTGGAGGGAATATAAAATTGGGGGCAATGACCAGAGTTTCAGTTTTGGCAGAGTTCAGTTGAAGAAGGTTGTCATTTAGCCGTTGTTTGATGGCAGTCAAACAGGCCGTTAAGTTGTCTAACTTATGTAGCTCGGTCTGCTGGTAGGAGCAGTATAGCTGAACATCATCAGCATATAGGTGAGAAGAGACATCACAGAACTCACTGATAAGCTGTCCAAGAGGGGTCATGTAAAGCACAAACGGTCCCCTTTTAGCTCTGACTTCACATCCAAACACATCTCTGCTTATACAGAAGGCCACCATCAAAAAATCGTCTCTCTTCCTCTTTTTCGTTGTTCCTCTGCCAACAAGATTCGCTTACTGCCACCGCTCATTAAATTATAAATAAAACACAAGGCTCTGATTTCACTGGTCTGGGTGCAAATTTCTGTGTGACAGCTTGTTAGTGTCAGGTTTTTATCATTGAGCTTTTGCACATGCAGATGTTCTTGTGATTTTGGCGTAGTCATCTGATGTTGGCCACATTTAAAAGACGAGCGAGCAGGCGAGTACTTTAGAGCTCGTGGTGTTCAGAAAGCTTGTTAGCCAAAGTCAGCAAGATTTATGACATACTTTGTAAGCAGAAAACCAGCTGAAATCTAGAATCAGTTCATTTAGAGCGAGAGTTTTACCCACAAAAACAAAACTCTGAATCTGCAACATCAACAATTCTGATTTCATTAACAAAGGGAGAGATTTCAAACAGTGAATTTCAGGTAAGCTGTAGTCTGTGCAGTAGTGTGACTGACAGGTGTGTTTGCTGCTGGCAACAGCACGCTCAGCTGAACCCAACAGCTGGTAGCACAGCGTGCCATCTAGAAATGTTGAACAGGAAGTAAAAATAAAGTTTTAATAAAGAATTTCTGTCAAATTTAATTCCGTTTCAGTGCTCATGAACATATGAACAGAGAGACAGCTCTCACCACGAGTGACTTTGTCTCTGTTTGGTTTCTCTGCAGGGGTTCCATAGACTGTGTCCAGCTAATAAACGAGGAGCACATGATCACAGGAGCCGATGATGGGTGAGATATTTACAGCTTCCTCACTCAGTCAAGTCCTGAACCAGATTCACAGATTCTCTAAACTGTCTATCTTTTTTTTTTTCTTCGCCCTCTCTTAATAATCGGGACCACCTCAGCTCTGTGTCTCTCTGGAGCGTCAACAAGAAGAAGCCTCTCAGCACGGCGAAGCAGGCTCACGGTTGCCATGGCGATGCGGGGCTGGAGCAGCCTCACTGGGTTGCTTCAGTGGCGGCGCTTCAGAACTCGGATACTGTTGCCTCAGGTGCCTCTGGCTGTGAGAGTCCTCCTTACCAGCTTTCTCATAACACACACACACATACGGACAGACACACACAGACACACAGACACACACAGACACCGGGCAAGACGAATAATTTCCACATTTTCTTTTATGTGACCTCATTTATTGATAAACTGAAAAACTTGGCCCTGCTTAAGCGCTCTGCGTACCCAAAGTAGTCACTGCAGTGTGTGTTTTCAGCTGTATGTGTTAATATAAAGTTTGTCTGTTCCTTCTGTTCAGGTTCACACAACTCACAGGTGCAGCTGTGGAAGTGTGGTCAGAATTATCGGAGGCTGGAGCCTTTATTCAACATACCAGTGGTGAGCTTTAATTCTTCCCTCTCTTGAAAAGGTCACAGTACTATCAAACATGTTTTCAGCTAATTATAAAGATGTTAAAGACAATAAATCTTGTCTCATTCCACCCCCTCCTCCACTCTCTCTCTCCCAGCCCGGCTTCATTAACAGTCTCAAGTTCTCCAGCTCTGGTCAGTTTTTGGTGGCAGGAGTCGGACAGGAGCACAGGTAACTGAACTAATGATCATGTTTCCATAGGAACTGTCAGGAGGCATCATTCTTAACCAAAGGGAATTGTCAGTGCAGGTTTATTTGCACTGAAGAAAGTGTCCACTAGATGGCAGCGTTCTCACTTGTTCTGAGCTTTAGTAATCAGCCCTTTAAATGACACCAGTTGATTGAAATAGACTGAAAATACATTTACAGATGGGTAACACTTTATTTGACGCCTATCTCTATAACACATAAATATATGTATAATGGGTTATAATCATGTTAAAGCACTGTATAACCAGTTATAAACACTCATAAATGATCATAATGCTTTATATTAATAATCATAACACATTATAAAGCATTTTATCATGACTTACAAGGTCAGGTATTATAATGTGTTTTAACTGTTAACAACTTACTGACAATTCTCACATAGATAATGCATTATACATATATTTATATGTTATAATTTGCTTATAAACTTGTATAAATATCATTATAATCACTCATATATTATCATAAGGCTTTTTAACAATAAGCATAACACATTATAACACCTGACCTTGTAAGTCATGATAAACTGCTATGTAATGTGTTATGATTATTGCTATAAAGTATTATGATCATTTATGAGGGTTTATAACTATAGTTATACAGTCCTATAACGTGATAATAACACATTATAAATATATTTATAATGCGTTATTTAGATCAGCGTCAAGTAAAGTATTACTGAAAGATGTTTTTATGTTCATTTTTGAGAAAATTTTCTTAACTGTTTGAAAAAAAATATATTACTAGAATACAAAAACCCCAAATGTGCCTATGGAAAATGAGCAGCAGCTGAAAAGTGTGGTAATGTTAAACCATATCTGTCACTGGAAAAAGCGCAGTGCTCTCTATAACCAGGCCCTCTGCTAGCAGACCAACACCACCAACAACAATAAAAGTGCAATACTACACCCCTAACTAGTTCTTAATCATGTGCAATATCAGTATCATCATCACATCCATACATGTTTTTTATTGGCACTGATCTTTCTTTCTCTTTTATGTTTTTTCATACTTGTCTTTAATACTGTTCTTCAGTTGCTCTGCTCTTTCTTTCTTTTTTTACTGTAGTTCCTTACCTTATTATTTTTTTTTTTTGTACCTGTTATAAATGCATATAAAGGCCTTAATTCCTCAATGAGGGATGAATAAAGGAAAAAAAATCTACAGAACCAAATCAGTAGACCTCACAGTAAATATCTGATTTGGTTACTACATTACAACACCTTTCATAGTTTAGTTTGACAAGGATATCCAGCTGTGGGTTCAATCTGGGTTTATACAGCGTGAGCTCTCATCTAATCTCTGAAGTTAATAAAATCACTCTGATAACCGTCATAGCTGACAATCTGATCACAACCCAAAGTTTGCCGCGCCTCAAGCCATTTTCAGGTTCTCCTGTAACAGCCGGCCCCATCAGACCGGACTGAGGAGACTCAGGAACTTAACAGTCCATTACTACTTTGATATCCAATCAGAGTTTCCAGTTTTTATACACTTTTTATGTGTAACATGAATGGTTTCAGTGTTTCATTTGACTGTGAAATCAAGTGTTCGAGGTGTTTATAGGAGAGTTGAAGCCCAAAGTTTTGGTCAGATATGAGCACTGGAGCTGGTGGATCAGTTTAAAACACAATGATATCATACGCTGTCTAAAGTGAGTGAGATTATGAACAAGCTTTCATCTCTTCCTCCTCTCTGTTTTGGATTTGTCTCTGAGTTCTAACAGCATGACTGTTTTTATCCCTTGCCTCTGATCTCGTGTTTGTTGTTTTTTCTGCAGGTTAGGTCGATGGTGGCGACTCAAAGAAGCCAAAAACGGGATCTATCTTATTCCTCTGAAAAGGAAATCACCAAATCCACAGGAAACCACAGTGGATGAATAGTGGACTGCTCAGTGTCTTTAATTTTTGTAAATTTTAGGTTTAAAAATGGATTTATGTATCATGTTTCTGTTCATTTTCTTTTATATGAAAAGAATGTGAAAATATTTTCAAATGGAGAAAAATCCAATGTTTTGTTTATAAAGGAGTTCACAGCAAATCTTTGTTCTGTTTTTTCAAGTTCTTGTCTGAGAAGTGCCTCTAATACTTTGGTTAAGAGTCTGCAGTGTGTCCATGTTGGACTACGTATGGATTTTCACATTACTGAGGCTTTTGAAGGAGCCTGTACATCAGGTCCAAGCTGACAAAGACCCAAGATCAGAAGATCTGAAGTTTTGTTTGTAACTTTGTAGCTCACTGTGAATTTTTCTGAAAGTTTCTCTCAAAGTAAAATATTAATTTCCGTGAGTCCTGTGGTTCGAAAAGCTTTTGTTTGATTTAAAAGTGTCCACTTGAAGATGACAGCCAAAATATTACAGTTTTTATAGCAGAATGAAACAGATTTGGGAAATGGATTTAACCTAACTTCTTTATTCATGACAACCATAACTGGAGTTGTTTTTTTTAATAGAATCTTGACTGATATTTTTAGTGCTGTTATGTCTGATAAATAATTAGGGGCTGACCGACTTACAGGTACTGAAGCTATTTGCCAGTTGGCTGAGTAATAGCCTCTACTCCACCTATCACTGATTTTGAGCCAAGAGAGCATGAGTCGGCATAGCAGATGTGATGACTGCCATCTTTGGGCTTCGTAATACTCTTAGAAAATCAATGTGGGATGTCACTGGGATTAGGTTTTATACAGTCTACAATTGAACCCTGGTCTTCCCTTCAGCAAGGGTAATATTGTCCTGTAACCTTCCCGCCTATCCTCCAGATCCTTGAGTCAGATTTTTGTAGTTATGTACGTCACTTTTGAAGATCATCAGTGGCTTCTTCAACCACAAAAATGTAGCTGTGTTTCTAGAGGATCTGCAGAATTTTTAAAATCAAGCAACATATCACTGGCATCACCATTAAAAAGAGATTGAATAAACTGTAGGAGATTTAAAAAGCTCAATATAGTTACCCATCAAACATGAGACTTAATGTACCCTCAGTACTTTGGTGTCCTTCAATTATGTCAACACAGTCGCAGAGAAAAGTTGCTTTCATGTAATTATCTTCCATCAGAAGTGAAAATTGTCGTATAAATGTGACAAATGTGAATGTTTTTGGCACTTTCTTCTCAGCAGGTGTCCTCTGGTTTTGGCAGATCTGTCCCTTTGACCATCATAATGTGTTCAATTACTTCATAGAATGGTTATCTGATGGTTTGTCCATTAACGTTTGAAAATAAAACAATTTGTGGCAATTTTCAACATTCCGGCTATTGCATTTCCTTTCATAATTAAAGCACCTCTAAGGAGCTTTGAAACTGTAGCACCCTCCTGTGGACAAGGTGACGCCTCTACTTTACATAAGAAGTGTTTGCTGATAAAATGTTTTCCTCCTGGTGTCTTTAAGATGTCATTCATATTAGCTGGGAAAAAAGTTTGTTTCACTATACCACATTCTAGTCAAGAGGCTTTGCTCATTTTTTTAGGCGGATTGTGCATTTGCAATTACAAGCCGAGGTCTATGAGATCTAGATAATCTAATATATTGGCCTAGCTAATTAATTTAGCTTTCCCTATGTCCTGTATAGCAACATACAGGTCATTGTTCATGAATAACAATTATGTTATTTACCTGAATTATGCACTCTTGTATTCTTGGATGCAGCTAGGTGTGAAGATCTTCTGCACTCTGATTTATGGCATTTATGGCACATTTTTAGTTAGGCGAACTTTATATGGCGCCATCTGGTGTTCAGAATGTATAGTGAATGTGAACAACTTGATGCTTAAATCCTAAACAAAAATGGAGTAAGAGCTCTTTACATAACACAACACACTTCTTTTTTCATTTTTTTAAAAATCTGCCTATATTGTCCAGTACTTTATTAAGGGTGTACAGGTACCAGGTGTCTTGATGCTCTATTTTACACATCATTTTGGAGGTTTATTAATCAGTGAACAAATTAAAATCAGTTTCACCCTCTAAAATGGACAAAACAAAACAAAAAAAACTATTATCACTAATATTCTTCTTATGACACAAGGATGTATTCATTTTTTAATAGAAAAATAACTTTTTTGTTCTATATGGATATTTCCAATATCTGTGTTGCGCTCCAAGACTAAAAAGCTTTAGTATGTCCTAAGAAAGCCTCATACAAAATTAGGCGTTTGTATCCACAAGTGCACAATCCTTTCGCTAAGCCACTGGACGACTGTTTGTTACTAGCGATTGAAGGCACTAAAAGTAACTATATAGAAATTATAACTCATGTGATGATAGACTTGTTTGTTTTTTGTGAGTCCCATGGAGGATTAATTCAAGACAATGTCATGACCAGCCAAAAAAGTAAAAATCATGTTGTCTGAAAAGCTTCAAATAGAGTCAGCAACATTAAGTGTAAACCCAAACACGTTGGTATTTAATCTTTTAATAATAAAAAACATTTTATTTACATAAATTACAGAAAAGCACATATTGTTATACCATTAAACACATGTCCCCTATTTTGTCTAGTTGTCTACTTTTCATCACGTTCACTATGATCAGTAACATATTTTCTCAAACAGAAGGGCTAAATTTTATTTCATAGCAATCTTTAAGTCATTGTCTACAACATTTGGATATAATCACAACACTGTAAGGACAAGATAAGAACAGCTGTTTGCTTTGTTTAACACTATTGCTTCACAAGCACCCATTTGACAACAAGACTCTTTAGGACAAGGCACGGTGCATTTAATCACATCTATCTGTAAACCAAGGAGATCACAGCATATTAAATCTATACAAAAAAGGGGCTTTACAATTGATACATACTGCTCGCTGTGGGAACATCAATTAGCTTTCACAGTTAGAGTTAGCCTCGCTGCTGTCAGTCAGTCTACACAGAGTTATCTCTCTGCAGCATGTTGGATGGCACCGGGGCTCCGCCACACACAGCCCTGTTTCATGGAGGGATGACTGATGATGGGGGACGGTCTCTTGTGTTTCCAGAGAAAACCGCCTTCACAAAGAGGATGTTGTCGAGTCCACCACCTCGCGGCCATTACAAACTGCTGGCACGTAGTTGGAGGCTGATCCTTGGAGAGTAAACACAGCAAAGTTAGCCAGGCTAGAAGTTTTTCACTGCTGGAAAACACCTCTGTTAAGTCGAGATAATAAAACCCAGAGGTTTAAGGACATGGAAGGCACAGGTCTGTTTTTTTGTTTGTTTTTGTCTCTTAAAGCTGCAAAAAAATTAATTTACATCTAAAATAGCAACAACTGGGATTTTAATTGTTCTTTTATTCTGTTTTATTGCTAGGTCATGTTTAACACTTCATTCTGATTGGTCATAACCCTGTAATAGGAATGGGAATCGAGAACCAGCTCCAAATGGTTTGATCCATCGACATCATTTACATTTTATCTTAACGATTCCCTTTACGATTCCTTTCTTGCGGGTGCCTTGAAAAACGACAGTCTACGCGAACAAGAACAGAGACTTTAAGGAAAAAAACTTTGCGGACGGTTCAAAGAAACGATCAAAAGCGTGGCTGCATTTTACAAAGAAAGACGACAAAAGCGCGACTTGCAATATTTGTTGAACACTGATATCATGCAAAGGTGGAAACACGACCAACATGCTAAAGCATTTGTCAACGGGACACGGCTTAAAATATAAAGAGTCACAGATGCTCTCTGCTGGTCGTCAGCCGCTGCTGCACCGTCTCAGCGTGCAACACCTCAACACCTTTACAACTTAAACAGTTCAGTGAAATGTTAATTTGTGAAGTGAGGAGGCTGATTAAAACTCTTTGTCATATTTGGGGACTGTTCAATGAGATCAAATATATTGTATAAATTCATCGCTTTTACATCAATCTTTTGTGCTCACGATTGTGTTTTTATTTTGCAGCCAAGTCATAAGTGGAATAATATATGGTGACCTGCTGGTTTTGTAAATTAGAGTCATTTCACTCTCACTCCATCAAGTGTCTAATTAACTTCGCAGCCTGCTCACTTTATATTGTCTCTTACATAAGGTTTGTGTGCATAATTCAGCCACTTCTGTATATTATTGTGTTATTCTATCTGTTAAATGACAAGGCCCCTATAAAAAAAAGAATAAAATAATACTAATAAAAGGACATACTGTACTGGCAGAGACAACAAATATCTCTGTACTTCCTCGACAATTTTATTTTCTGATGGCTGAACTGCCCTGAGTCTGGGTGAGAAAAAATAACAGTAAAAAGATAATTAATCCTGAAAAGGCTCATTTGGATTAAAACCTGTTTTTGTTGGTTTTCTCAGCTTTTATGGCTCTAAAAAGAGATTTAAACTGACACACTATGTAAACTTTGCATATGTGTGTGTAATTTTTGAAGTTTGTGCCGTGAATTAGTTCATTAAGAAGCTTTAGATAAGACTTACTGGCATGAAAGGAAACTTAATGACTGGATTTAATTGTATGGCCACTGTGATGCAAAAACAGAGGACAGAAAGTGCCAACATATACAGTATTTTGTCTTTTTTTTTCTGGCATCGTTTTTAATCTAATAATTATAATGATAGTAATAATAATAATAATAATAATAATAATAATAATAATAACACAGTTTCACATTTGGGAATACTGTACAGTATTTAACAAAGTTTGAAACAGTACAATTATTTTTGTTACACCTCTTATATTCATGTTTACAAGCAGCATAGATTGAAAAAGAAGTAAATGTTCAGTAATCTAAGTATAGATTTGGAGAACAGTTTCCTGTAACTACATGAATTCATGTGTGTTGTTCATCTTTGAAAATGAATGATAGTTTGTAAAGAAAACAGGTGTGCTGTATCTTTGTACCTTTGGAGTAGCTTGAGCTGGGGGCAGAGGCTGAAGCAGACACCGTGGCACTGAAGCGGTTGGCTGTGACTCTGAGTGAGGCCACGTTTTTCTGGGGTTGAAACAAGATGATGTGGATCTTGGGGGCGAAAAGACAGCCGAGAACCACGGAGCCACTCAGACTGACAGAGATGCACATGGTGGTGGTCTGCACCTGTGAGGGGCAGGGAGAGTGGGTGGCTGATGAAAAGGAGAGCTGCCTGCATTTATATCTTTCCTTTTGTCTTCAAAAGGACTAATGAAGTTTGTTCAAAGACCACCTGGCTTCTCTGCTCTCAAACATACACTGAACACACACACAAACCTTCATACACACACCTGTTAGCTCAGGACAGCCTTTGATCCAGTCAGTTCACCCACATCTTTATTCATTTCATCCTTTAATTTAACCCAAAATCTTAAACTTAACAAGTGAAATTCCTTTTTGACACCAGCTTGTGTTTCAGACCAGTCTGTTTTTGAAAATCCCTCTGAAATCTCTTCCTTTTTATCATACCATTGTCTTTCAGCCCACACAACGCCTCATCTCCTCCTTCTCCCACCTCCTCTTGATGAACATAGGGGGCAAAAACACCTCTCCTTTCCTACAATTTCCCATATATCATCAGTTTATTGTATTATGAATAAATACATATGCTTTTCCATCTCTGTATACCCCTGAAAGGTGTTTTTACGACGGAGTATTAGGGCCACATTAAGAAACAAAAAACTAGGACTTTGAGATTAAAGTCGTTAACTTACGACTAACTTAAAATAAGGTCATAATTAACGAGAATAAAGTCTTATTATAATAATTACTTACAAGACTAAAGTCCTAATAAAATCATTATGATACTTATGACAATGTGGTGCTGATGTGCCAAAAAATTAAGTATCTCCTTGTTTGAGAAACCTTTATTGAATTAGATTTTCACAAAATGCTCCATGGCTATCATTTTAACAGCTGTATTACGACTTAATTCTCGTAAGTAATGATTTTATTACAACTTTATTCTCGTAAATTAACAACTTTAATCTCGATACTCTGTCATATCTTTTCCTAACTACAAAACTCAGTAAGTTCTTAATTTAACATGAAGAAAATCGATTGAGTTTCATCTCTCCAAGCTTAGATCATCAACCACATTCGTTATTTTTTGAGCAATAATGAATGGTGATGAAAACATCAGAGTGTTATTATTGTATTTAGTCACTTTAAAACTAATCAACTCTCCTGGACTTTTCCAGAAACCCTACCCACTGAGCATTTTTTTTTTGTCTAAAAGAGGTTTAATAGACATCTAAATGTAACCTAGACAACTGGTCTAAAATCAGGCTACCACAGGTTTAACGTTTTTTTTAGGCTAAATCTAAATCTGTGCTTTATCTATCCTACACTGTATATTGCTCAACGGCAATCATAATTATTTTGGTTAAGTACTTAGAGATCGATTATGAAATTCACAGTTGCTTTTTGAAATAAATAGTTAATAAATAATGGGTTAAAGTGCAACGTCTAAATTCCGTCTAAAACATACAGAATCTAGACGGTTGAAATTAGGTCTAAAAAAACCTAGAACTACAAAACTAGATGTCTAATACCCATGTATTGCTCAGTGGGTACCCAACAGTCTCTAGAAACAAAAACATCACCTGAAGTCCAAAGGGTTTATCAGTCAATGCAAGTATTTCTATTTCCATTTTGAATAATTTATGTGTGTGTTAAGTTTTCAATTATGCATGTTAGTAATTCTAATGCTGTATCTGTATGTGCATAAGAAGGAGGGTGAGAAAAGCAGGAGGAAGAAGAAGAATGTGGAATAAGCACAGCTAGCTCTCCAGGAGAGCCCCGGCTCTGTTAGTCATATTTCAGCTGCTAATGTGAGCTGACTGCTGGGGTCATCTTTCTGAGCACCACCTCTTCCCACCCCACTGGTCACCCCTGCAGCCCAGAAACTTCTATTTGCAGAACCACAGCGTGAAGTGATATCCCTCCCTTCTAAACATACCACACAACAACAACAAGGCTGCAGATATATGAGGAGTCCTCACACATCCAGGCTTAAACCTAAAGAAAGAAGTGGTTGAAACTACTACAATGGCTGGTGGTAATATTACATCACTTGTCTTTGTCTACGACTGCTGATAATTTTCAGCCATAAAAATGTCTTTCGAACATTTATTTCTAGTAAACTGTGCAAATACTCGTGCAGAAACCACAGGAGATGATGCAATTTTTTGTAAACAGTGCAGGATTTCTTTCCTAAAATGGACAGAGGAAAACCACTTATATTATTTTATTACTTGATGTCATCCCGGTGCTTTATTTCATATCTGATTGGAATTATTTCTCGAACCTAATATATTTCTGAACAGTTGGGGTTATTTATTATCACACACCTGCGTTAGATACTTGATTCTGATTGGTTGAACCCCCTCTAACAACCATGAATAAAACTCAATAACAAAAGCAGCTCCAGGGTTGTGTTTGTATCAAAAACATTATATTCGGATGATGTTATTAATGATGAAATGATCATTGTATCATAACCCTCCCCCTGTGTTAGCTTTTACTACACACCCACTATGTTAACGGGTCGGTTTTGACCCGTGTCTTAAATCAGCTGCAAATTACACTAAAAACAATTATTTATCATCCAATTTGGTTCTCATCTCTAGGTTACCTTGTTAGGCTTCATTATCCATGAAAATATTGCTTATAATAGTTTTTGTAGTACTTTCTTTGTCAGTATATAGCTCACAAAGACATCTATACTGAACTGATCTCACATGTCTGGACATTTTTTGTACAGGGAAAAACATGGCAAAATGAGAATTTCCTAAATCTCACATGATTGGAAGAGGATCTGACAGTCAGTGTGGTGCCTGACAGTTCACATATTATTATTAGATGTTAATCTAACCGGGTCAACAGTGACCCTAACACAACAAGTGCTATCATTTTAATAAGAGCGTTTTATAATGAAGTCAATTTAATTTTTGTTGTCTTTATTTCATTGAAATAGAGGTTCCTGACAAAGTCGAAAAGTCTCATATTTGTAGTTCTTTAAAGCATTTAAAAAGGAGGAGGAAGGACAAACAACCTCATCCCTGGATGGTTTGAAGTCCTCAAATAATGACAGCCGTCAGCCACAGTTATGATCGCAGCTTTGCATCAAGGTCTTTCTCCCCTTGGATGGAATTCTGATTCGCATTATCACCTGTTCACCAAACTGCACACTATTCCGTTCATGTTTTAATTCAACATTTCTTTGATAAATCATGCCAATTCAGAGGACTTGGATGAATATGTAAAATTGGTTAGTTTAAGGTACAAAAGCAGACTTTTCTCTCCCTGGTAATAATGTGGATTTTTATAAAATAGGGATAAAATCAAATAGAGAAGAGATCTGAAATTACCTACAATGAAAGGTGTTTGAAAGATTAAAATATCTTTAAAGGTCTGTGGAATTTTGACTTCTTTATTATTCTCTGAGCAACAAGGCAAGCCTCTCATTAGAATATTTCTGTGCTGTCCAATTCCTAATTTAAAATGTGGCGACTGAACCCACAGCCATTATTATTGGTGTCACATGGAACCAAATTATCAAGGTCTCTGTTGCAGTGCCAGGCCTCTCATTCTTTCAATTAGTGTGAGTGCTGCCTCTCCAGCATGAAGCCTTATTTTCAACAGTGTTCAGCTGGCTTCATTTCTTCCTTTGATTCATCTTTGGGTGCCAGAAAGAGTGTTTACGACGGACATGAGAAGCCCTGGATACCTCATGATGATACAAAGCTTGTGTGATCCTGGACCTCCCCTCTATCTGTCTGCACAACTAAGACCTTGTTGCATAGCCCAACCGAACACTGTGGCAGTACCCTTGAGTCCTCAGGGAACAGCACTCATAACTTACACGGTCCGTCAGCTTTGTGCCTGTTTTTTTTTTTTTTTTTTGTCTCATCTGTCACACTCTCAGCTACACTGAGAAATACATGAATCTAACCTTGCAGCTATATGTTAACAAATGGGAAAAATGAAAAATTCATACTCTTATTTCTGGCCTGTTTGGAAATATATGCAGATCCACTTCATTAATTCACGGTCTTATTTTAAGTACAGGGTTAATGTAAATAAGTGCAAAGGCTAAAGGCTGCAAAACTTTGCCCATTTGTGACAACTCTGCAGAAGGAATGTCAAAGGTCTCCTATTATGGCATTTTTCATCAAGTTTGAATCAGTCCCAGAGGTCCCACAATAGTAAATTTGAAGTTTTTGGTCTAAAAAAACCAGTTGATTTGTGGATATCAGCCCGTCTGTACTCCCCTCTTTTTGAGCGCCTCTGAGAACGTGCTGATTCTGCACCTGTACCTTTAAATGATAATGAGCTGTGTGTAACCACGCCCCTCTCTGGAAGGGGCTGCCGCTTTTGCTCCGATACTATGCGCTGGGATGTTTACAGCCTGTGCGGTGTGATGGCTTGTAGGAGTGCTGTGGTTTAGCCTAGTCTGACGCAGAGGGAAAGGCTCCTGAAGAAAGTCAAACTCTACGGCTGCAACTGGATGTTTCTGAATTGTTGGTTACAAATATTATGCGTCTTTATGTTTGTGTTTTTACTCAGTGTGTTATGTTACACTGCTACGTGTGTTAGCTCCTCTGATGCCTATGACCATTTCTGAATGGTTGGTTACAAATATGTGTCTTTTTACTTTGTTAGTGTGTTATGTTACATTGTTAGGTGGGTTAGCTTATCTGACGGCTTAGTCTCCGCTGTCTCGTTGTTACTTTGAGCTCTTTTGGTGAATACCCAGTATTTTGAAAAGCGGAATATTATAGTTATCTCTCATGACTAAAGCTGTTTGGCGTCCGTCCGTAATGTCCCCCGCTTCCGACAAAATGATAGGATAGGATGAACGAAATGCTCCATCCTTCCCTGTTTCCGTATTCTAGGAGGAAGTTTATGCGGTTATGTCGTCAGAACCGCTTTTCCATTCGCCAGTTTGCGCTCATGTTTTTAGAAAGGAGGGGAAAGCAAGAGAGGGAGAGAATGACATTTTTTCATGTTGGGGGGTGGGGGGTTGTCGGTGGGATGCAGATTATTGGTCGAAAATCACCCAAAAGTGGATTTTTCTTAATCAGGGACCTTTAAATTTCATCTTGCTATTAAGAAGGAAGTGCCCTTGAAGAAGCCATCACTCCGTGCTGCTTACAATAATTTTTACTATAGCCTTTAATACCACTTTGCACATCACTATGAAAGAATAGTGAAGATTACATCAATCACGGCTTTTGTGTCTTATAATGAACCCTTGAATAAATCTAAAGAGCTCATCTTCTCCAGCTCAAATATGTCATTAATGCTGTGATTCAATGAATCAGTATGACTGTCATTAATTATTTGCATCTATTTACTCCAACCTGATCTGTCTGTTGTCTTTGTTCTCGCCTTGAAAGATCCTTCAACCCACATGAAAAGAAAGCCTTCTCTTTCAAGGGTTTGGGCACCAGTGATCAAATAGAATCTTAAAGTGACACCTTCTTCTCCAGGAGTGCTGAATACACTGGGGATAGTCATTTATAGACTCTGTTTATGTTACTCTACAACAGTTGGCTTTAAAAAATCTCTGGGAACATTTGTCATTGATATGCAGTTGACTTTATAGAATTATTTCTTGGTAGTTACCCTGTAGTCGCTGGCAGTGACGTAGAAGATCGGTTGAAAAGCCAGCCAGATGATGCAGGTGGTGTACATGGTGAACCCGATGAACTTGGCCTCGTTGAAGTTTTCCGGGCATTTCCTCGTCTTGAAGGCGTAGATGGTGCAGAGGAGGATGAGGACGCAGTTGTAGGTGAGGGACATGAGCATGCTGGAATCCTTGCTGTTGCACTTGAGGGTGACCACATCTCTCCTCTCTGGGCTCACCTCCTTCCGAACCCCAGGCACCTCCACCAGCAGCCAGATTACAGCCACCAGGAGTTGGCAAGAGATGAGAGCGCCACAAATTGCTACCTGAGAGGCAGGGCTGATGAAGCGTGGCCGCTGGGCTCCATCCTTCACACCGCTGAAGATTCGAGCAATTCGGTTGGTCTTGGTTAGAAGAGCTGAGTAGCACACTGCAAATGAGGTGCCCAAGCCGAGTCGCCGTAGGGTGCAAACAGCAGTGGAGGGTTTGGCGATGTAGATGAAGGTCATAAGGTAGCACATCAGCACGCCCAACAGGAGGATGTAGGAGAGTTCCCGTCCACTTGCTTTGACCACGGGTGTCTCGTTGTTCTTGAAGAATACGCAAATGACTGACAGAGTACACAGGATACCGAGGCAGGAGATGGTGACAGGTCCAATGGCCCAAGCGTCCTCCCAGCGGATGTATTCTTCAGGGAGATCATAACATCCTGTCAAGTTCGCCAGAGGCCACTGACCAAAGCTGCAGTCAGCACAGGTGAACTCATCCTGCAGGTACTGATAGGGCTGACAGGGGATACAAATCCAACAGCACACATCTCCAGGCTGCATACTCTTCACCTCATTCTTCCTGCAGGGGTCGCTGCACTGCGAGGTAGGGGGTCCTTGACCTCGCCAGGGTACCAGGGTAGTGTTCAAGGTCAGGGTCTGGTCCCAGTAGCCAACTTTCCTGTAGATGAACTTCCCATCTTCTTGGTGGTAATGAAAGATGTTGTAGCGACTAATGCTGTCACCGAAGGAGTCAAAGCGCACAATGTTGTCAGTGTCTGCAGGTCTGAATGGAGCTGGTAAGAAGCAGAGGTACAGCAATGTTTACTCGATGTAGCTACAATGAATCATAAAGCTTTTAGATATTGATTTTTTTTAGACAAAGATGATAAAACACGATTAAAGAAAACAAAGAGACCTTTTATACTTTATGTCTGAACTCCATGATATGGATTCTTGATTTAAAGGATCTAACTGAGCCCCTAAAGGAGATCTTTTGGTAACACTTTACTTGACGCCTATCTCTGTAACGTATAATAAATGTACGTAAAATGTGTTATAATCACATGATAGCACTGTATAACTATAGTTATAAACACTCATAAATGATTATAATGCTTTAAATCAATAATTAAGACACATTATAAGGATTTTATCATGACTTACAAGGTCAGGTAAATCATAACACATCGTAAATATATGTATAATGCATTATCTATGAGGGCATTGTCAGTGAGTTGTTAACAGTTATAACACATTATAATACCTGAACTTGTAAGTCATGATAAAATGCTTTATAATAAGTTATGATTGTTGCTATAAAGCATAATGATCATTTATGAGTGTTTATAACTACAGTTGTACAGTGCTATAATGTGATTATAATGCATTATACACATATTTATAATGCGTTATAGAGATAGGTGTGCAGATGTATGATTTGTCATAAAATTAGTTTATTATTCTGTGCTATTCTCTTGAGAGGGGAAATCAATTGTTATCACAAGTGTTGACTTGACATGAGCACACAAGTTGTAATCTTGTTGGAACCATTTAATTGTCCTTCCAAGTTATTATTCAATCAATCAATCAATCAATCAAATTTTATTTATATAGCGCCAATTCACAACAGTCGTCATCTCAAGACGCTTTTCAAGGAACAAGAGCAGGTCTAGACCACGCTCAGTGTTTGATGATCAAGAACCAACCTGAGATGGGTTTTGGCCCATCTCATCTAACATGAGTAACAGTGGCTAGAAAGAACTTCCTTTTAACAGACAGATAGAGGAAGTTTGTACCCCGTGCAAACGAGCTGTTTTCTCATGTGAACAAGTTATCATGCAGAAATAAGATGATCGTGGTTTGCATACAAATGATCTTCTTGAGTGATTTTTTTATCTTGTAGAAACACAATATTTATCTCGAGCAAGCATGTTATGGTTCTCTTGGGTACTCATGTTGTCAAGTCCCATAAGGAGGGGATAGAATACCACTTATGGTTCCGTTTTAAATACTAGCACTTATGCAAATCGACATTTAAAATTAGAACCCTGACATATATTCATTTTAATGCCGTTAATACTGAACACTGGGGAATCCTGACATTTAAGCTCATCTAAACGTGTCATTGTTCATTCATTCAGCCTGTATCCAGTATATTTAGAAGCGTGTGTTCTGAATATGTTCTGCCTCAGCTCATCCTCCAAAGCTAATCAACAAATTATTTTTGCTAATTGAATATTCTCAAAGCACCGTTCAGGGCTCTGCAGGAAATCATCAGAAGTCCTAATACGGCACTGTGCTTATTTTCACTTTATCAAATCAATTAAACAATTCGTTTCACATGGAAAAGGTTCATGAAGCATTCTTGTCAGTGTAAATGCTTTCTCAATATTTGCTTTTAACTGTGTGTACCTTCAAACTTGGTCTTCAAGATGAACTCTTTGTAGAATCTCTTTCCATTTCCTGGTTTCATGGCGTCACACACCTTTGATGTGTTGGAGCACACAGCTTGCCTCATGTTATGCAGAGCGTATGCCATGGCGTAGACGGCATTCACCACAAACATGATCTTTGACTCCTGCTCAAAAGTTCCATCTCGCAGGCTGTGTTCACTGCAGCCGGGTTCCTGCAGGCTACAAGCAAACCGGTGCTCCCAGAACTCTTTGAACCAAGGGTTCCTCATGTTGGTGTATGGGTTCAGTTTGGTGAAGTAGTCTTCAAACGCTCTGATTGGGTAGGAAGCCAGCTCGATGGTGAAAGCACGGTCCGCCGCAGCCTCGCTCCCTCTCACCACACTCTCCTGCGCTCCCCAGCCATCACTGGCCACCCAGGTGAAGGTGACGTTCATACGAGTAGCGGCCACCAACAGCTCACGGGCGTCTTCACTGCGGGTGAACAGGATGACCACTTTGGCATTGGACTTCTGCTGCAGAGAGCGGATCACGTTGTCATAACCCTGGCGGTTCATGGAGCGGCTTACCTTGGCTGAAGTGGCGATGCAGATTTGGCGAGTACGGGCCTCCTGCTGGAAAGCGTCTATGCCAGTCTCACCGTAGTCACCCTCTGATGCTACAGTCGACACGTAGGTCCAGTTGAAGTAGCGCAGGATCTCTGCCATGGCCTTAGCCTGGTAAAAGTCTGGGGGCACAGTGCGAGCAAAGTAGTCATATCGGCTCTTGTCGCTGAGCTTTGAGCTGGTGGAGGCATAGCTGATCTGAGGGATCTGAAACAATCGCAGAAGGTTGGCCACCTGGAAGAGAGAAAGGAATCAAATAAGGAGGTCGATTTTGGAAAAAATGTTAGCTATACGCTGCTGTCCTCACATTCAAGAGAGAGAGAAAAAAATACATTTTATTCAGCTTTGTGTATTAAGGATATCTTTACAAATGACTCCTTCAGTCTCTGTTTCAATCATCATGAACTTCTAGACTGAGCAGATCAGACAAGTCAGAAAACAAAACAAGACATTTAATCTACTGCTCAGGTAGTCCTTGAGCCAAGAACCAAAATTTCACATATCGGTACCACCTGGGTGGGCAAATTCTAGTTGTGATTTTTTTATTGCTATACATCCCTACAATAAGTTTTTATATGATAGAACTTGGTAACTGGTAGCTTTATTGTAGTTATCACTCATTGAAGTAATAGAGTGCAGCTGTTCAAAAATGAAAAATCGCCTTCCTTCAAAATTAGCTTTCTTTCATTTTAACCTCTCATTTAGGTGTGTTTGAACTATTGGCTAGCCATAGAGACTTGTAATAACCCCCTAAGTAGTATTTCAAGTAATTTATCTAATACAGGTGTGTATATACAGTATAAGCTTCAATTAGCCAATTGTCAGGTCTAAATCAAGGTCTAAATTAAGGATATTTTTTTACTTAGAACTAGAGGTAAAGTAAATGCAGACTAATAGCATTATAATAACACAACTTTAATATGACACTGACATATTTTAAATGCAGGAACTCATTATACAATCATCCTGGCTGGTGCAGGGCAAGAAGACATTAGCAACAAAATAAGATCTACTGATGTATACACTCTATACAATCATCTGAGAAAAACTCCAATTCCTATTCAAAGTCCTATTCTTTCCATAAGAAACAGTGACAGCAAATATGACTGTCAAGTTTTGGCTTAGTACATAATACTGTCACTGAGTCACAGTGGGTCTGTTAACATAGCTCCCTTTGGTCATCATTTATTAATCAACACCAGTAATCGACATCAGTATCTGTATCTTCTTCTACATCTGAATCTGCCGGTGTGCAAGGGGCTCTTCCTCACTGTATTGGTTGGCACAAGTTTGTAATTTGCACAGGTTTGTGCACTTCAGCCCATTGCTGAGACAGGTGCAGTCTGGTGGTTTGCATGTCCTCACACACTTGCAGGATAGCAACTGCAAGACCGCATCTGGTGCTGGGGAACCACACATCCACTGTTTTCTAGCTGCCCTTCGTCATTTATGGTCCACCCATGGTCCTTGGGGCTTGGTACAGATGGCTTGGTATGAAGAGACCGTCTCCAGATAGCAGCCTGGTAGTTGGCACGAATCGGGTGCATTAATACGCAATCCTGACATGGTGGAAGCTGGCTGGACTCAACTTTAGCCAAGGTCCTGCATGAAGGTGGTGATAGTGAAAGGATTGATGTTGTCTTTGACGTTTACAAGGACATGTCAATCAAAAAATTCAGAAAGACTAAACAGAGGTGCAGACATGGGGATCCAGTTCAGAAACATTGTTTCTGTCCACAATATTCAGCAGTGGAGGAAACTTCTCTGCAGCCCTGCCAATAAAGCCAGTCTCATCAAGTTCTTGGTGGAGGAATGGAGTTTTTCTCAGATGATTGTAAAGAGTGTATACATCAGTAGATCTTATTTTGTTGCTAATGTCTTCTTGCCCTGCACCAGCCAGGATGATTGTATATTGAGTTCCTGCATTGAAAATATGTCAGTGTCATATTAAGGTTGTGTTATCATAATGCTATTAGTCTGCATTTACTTTACTTCTTCGGTCTTGCAGTTACTATCCTGCAAGTGTGTGAGGACATGCAAACCACCAGACTGCACCTGTCTCAGCAATGGGCTGAAGTGCACAAACCTGTGCAAATTACAAACTTGTGCCAACCAATACAGTGAGGAAGAGCCCCTTGCACACCAGCAGATTCAGATGTAGAAGAAGATACAGATACTGATGTCGATTACTGATGTTGATTAATAAATGGTGACCAAAGGGAGCTATGTTAACAGACCCACTGTGTCTCAGTGACAGTACTATGTACTAAGCCAAAACTCATATTTGCTGTCACTGTTCCTTATGGAAAGAATAGGACTTTGAATAGGAATTGGAGTTTTCTCAGATGATTGTATAGAGTGTATACATCAGTAGATCTTATTTTGTTGCTAATGTCTTCTTGCCCTGCACCAGCCAGGATGACTGTATAATGAGTTCCTGCATTTAAAATATGTCAGTGTCATATTAAAGTTGTGTTATTATAATGCTATTAGTCTGCATTTACTTTACTTCTACTTCTAAGTAAAAAAATATCCTTAATTTAGACCTTGATTTAGACCTGACAATTGGCTAATTGAAGCTTATATATACACACCTGTATTAGATAAATTACTTGGAATACTACTTAGGGGGTTATTACAAGTCTCTATGGCTAGCCAATAGTTCAAACACACCTAAATGAGAGGTTAAAATGAAAGAAAGCTAATTTTGAAGGAAGGTGATTTTTCGTTTTTGAACAGCTGCACTCTATTACTTCAATGAGTGATAACTACAATAAAGCTACCAGTTACCAAGGTCTATCATATAAAAACTTATTGTAGGGATGTATAGCAATAAAAAAATCACCACCCAGGTGGTACCGATATGTGAAATTTTGGTTCTTGGCTCAAGTACTATGATACCTGAAAGTACTGCTCCACCATCAAATTGGGCCACTCCCACTTCATCAACTCATTTAATTAGACACAGGTTTGATTCATTTATAGAAAAGAGCAGTGTGACCCAAAAAGAGTGTGACTTTTAATGTGCTTTTGACTTTCTGTGTTGCTTTTGGAGTTAACAAAAATTCGCCTATTGAGGAAAATAACAAAATGAGAAAAAATATAAAAAGCTACCCCTATGAAAAGTCTATCATATTTTAATTTACTTATATTGACCCTAAAAACAAATTAATATATGTAAGGTTTTGCCCACCCAAGTGGTACCGACATCTGGTCTGGCTCAAGGACTAAGGTGAACTGCGAATTTTTGTAGTAACTGCCTGAGGGTGTGTGACCTCTAGAGGTCAGTACTACATTATTCATCAATATTTCATACACCCCTTTAAACCACCATTAATTAAAGCCAGAGTATTACTGTTGTAGATTAAGAACAATTCGCAAGTTTAAGCTCAAAAATAATCATTATCATTTTTTGATTCTTACTGCTTTTTAATTTATAAATATTCATATAGTCTGGAGGCAAAGTAATGCCTTCATAACCTGGCTCTACATTTCTAAAACTGAAATATCAGGAGTGAGTGTCCTTCAGCAACTATGAAGATTTAGATAATAAGAAAATTCAACACCACGACAAAAACAAAGCAAAAGAACTGCACAGCCAATTCCTTATGACTGATATTAACCTCCCACAAATATGGTTTATGTAATGATCAACATAATAAAGCTTCAAACAGTAAATCCAAGTTTTAAAAAAAGGACGAAGGAGTTTGAGTTTAACATACATGTGCAATGTTAGCTGAGAAGTCTATTATGACCCCAAAGCTATGCAATGCTCAATAATGGTGACAGAGCTGCACATAACTAGATGCTAAACACCTGCTTCCAAAAACAAAATTATCAACAGTCTAAAATAAAAGTGTGCGGCAAAAGATCTCAACTATGGATCACACCTAACTTCTTCAAGAGGTCAAAAATGAGCTGAAAGACGTTAGGGTTTGTGATTGCTTTGGGGAAATAAGACATATTTTTAACATATATCCAAGTAAAGTCAAGGGTGAAATAAAATCTTCTTAAGGCTTGGTTGAAGGTGTAATAAAAGGATAGTTAAGGCCCAGTAAACTGTGTAAGAAAGGGCTTGGTTGAGTGCAGATAAAGGCTCAGTTTAGGCTGAGTTCAGGATTAGTCGAAGATGTAATTTATTCATAATTAAAGGTGTGGAAAATGCATAGTTCAGGCTTAGTTATGGGTGTAAAAAAGCTTTGGTAAATCTTAGTTAGGACTTAGTTCTGGGTAAAAAAAAACAGTTTTAGCTTTAGTGATGTGCAATAAAGCTTTGGTAAAGGCTTTTTAAGGGCAATAAATGCTTTGTATGTTAAGGGTTTTGGTTTAAGGGGCTTAGTTTAGGCCTGGATAATGTTATAATGTCTTTATTAAGACACAGTTAAGGGTGCTGTCAAGGCGTAACCAAGGCTTATTAAGACATAGACAAGGGTGAAATAAGGGTGTTATTAAGGTTTAGTTTAAGAGCACATCTTTTGTTTAGTGTGCTCCAGATCTGAAGAGTGGAAAGATGGGCAGTGAAAACAGCAACACTTAAATCATCATTTCATTTTTACAAATCCTTTCACAGATGGAGCCAGACAGTAACAGTTCCAGAGTTATGTTAATACAAAAATTTTAAAGTCTTGCTGCCAAAGAATGGCCTTACACATGGTGCGATGCCCACCGACCAAAAAAAGAAAACAATAATTTCCTTGAGGAGATGACAGTTTGTGGTACTGTGTCCAACATGAGTGATAAATAATGTTTGAAAACTCAGTGAGGCGTCCATGTTGGACACAATCCTGCTGAAATGACTGTGTCAGAGTCATGAATCCAAAGCAATTATTTCCCCAGGCGGTATAACAGAGCTAAATATGTCAGAGCTGACAAAAACGTGTCACTCTGAAGGTTCCTCATGAGACGCAGTGGTGATTAGTGAATTCCCATGAGCCTCAAGATGACTGGCCAGCCTCCTCCCTCAAGCGTCGTTGTATGACCGCAGGCTTCCCAAACAATGGTGTCCCTATGAATATAATTGGAAACTTTCACACTTCTCGTGCTATTAAAAGACGCAAAGAAAGACGACTATATTTCTGCTCACTCATTCCAGTCCACAGAGCGAGCTGTCGTGTCTGTTTTATCTTTAATTTCAGGTGCTGAATTCTGTATTTGCAAAACAGACTCTTTGTGCTCTGCAAGGCGAGAACATTTTACTTAAGAATCCATTTTAAACCTTGCTGGCAGCATTTGCAATTTGAAAGCCACGCTGTCAGTTTGATCTGTCTCCTTGGAAAAAAAACTGTTCTGAGAGTTCCTTGACCTCACATCTACTGCCTCCACTGGGTCAATTTATGTCCAATTTTCATCCACAGCTCAGCTTCTGCAGTGTGTCCCTGAATGTTTTTAATTTTCGTTGACTTTCAGGCATTTGAATTTCACCATCATCTGAAAAGCCAGTTTGGTCTGGTGGTTAAGTGGTGCGTAGGGTGACCATACGTCCTCTTTTACCCGGACATGTCCTCTCTTTGGGGGGCTGTACGGCCCTGTCCAGGGGAGTTTATAAAATCCTTCAAATGTCCGGGTTTTGTATAGAAGTTTTCAGTTAGTGTCGCATGGACTTACTGAGTTAGAAGCGTGTAAAAACACTCAATTTACTATGCGCGACTCCATGACTCCACCCGGTGTAGTTGTGTCCTCTTTTTGGGGATTCAGAATATGGTTACCCTAGTGGTGCCCCCCATGAACAGATGATGTGGTGGGTTCGATTTCAACCTGCAGCCCCTTTCCCTTTCAGGTCCACATCAATAAAGATAATAAAACTCCTTTAACTGACCAGTAATTCACAATTTTAGGCCCACTATTGTGCTCAGTGCATTTATCCATAGTAATTAAACACAAAGTTGATAGCCTGGTAATTGCTTATTTGTTTCTTCTTTTCTTTAAACTACCATTTAAGCGTTTTACTGATTTATTGATCGTCTATTCATTGCTATACAGCCTCAGTGTACGTGGAGCATTTTTAAACACAACTTAATGGACTGACACAAACAGATAAGACTACTTGGCAATGCATTTGAGATGCTAACACACTCTGTTTTGCCACAGCAATTACCTACATTACCTGGATCCACGCACAACTGTGTGCATAACCTCCTTTGAATAAAACACCCCAAAGACAAGAGTGAGCGTAAATGCAGGAGAAGTACAAGCTCTTAAGGGGATGATGGAGCACATATGATACGTTCAGACAAGTGTGCTTCAGCCAGCGTTAGTCCTCTCTACTGTACTAAACAGGTCAGAGATCTCTTAACATTACCCATAGAGAGGTGATTTCTCTTGGGAGGGCTCAGTTAGATCCCTAAGTAAACTGATTCATGTAGGTTCCCCGATATATAAACACTATTTTGTATGCAGGAGGCTAACATATGAGCTGCCACACAGGCAGGCAGTCAGTCACACTTGCATGGTAATAAGGTGGTTTCCTATTGCAGTGTTTCAGAAAAGCAGTTGGCCTTCATCAATAGATTCTGGGAGAAGCTTGACAGCCTACCTTTCAGGGCGGCACTGGAGTGTATGACAGTAACCGTCTGTTTGTCCTCATGTGGTGTTTCTTTTTGCTCTCTCCATCCAGTCGGATAAGAACAAAACAACAGAGCTGGCTGTGACTCCCACGGTAAATAAGCTTTCATCGCACAGAGAATTTTTGAACTCCAAACTTTGAGTTTAATTTCTTGATTTAATCCCTCCGCTGTTGCAGACTTCACCTTAATCACAACTCGTACAGACACATAGCTGTGGACTTACATCCCCATAGTAAAGGTGTAGCTTTTTTTTCGCTTGTTTGAATTTAACTGCAGTAATTTGAGGGACCAATTAGCACCTCTTCATGGTCCACTGGCTTGAAATTTAAAAGTGGTTCCAAAATGTGATAAAGGTTGGACCTGAGTATGTAAAAAAGAAAACACCTGACTGAAGCATTTGCACACCAAAGCCTCCCTGAATGTAGCAGTCTGATAAGCTTTTAGAGTCCATTTTTGTATTTATTTTAAATTTTAAATATTTTTATTTTTCTGATTACTATTTCTAATGTTCAGACCATATGGTTCATTGCACAAGGTTTGGCAAAATGCAAAGGACTGTATTATTTACAAGTAAATTCATGAGTCCACTACTACAACAGCGTATTTGTATCTTAAGGTGGTTCTGGCACTGCATTAGACAGTCAGGCGACCATTTTTGCTTATTAGTTCAGGATCTATAATTTTCCATCATTTACTTTATCAAACAAAAGTTTTGCGTGTGGTGTTATTTTTTTACCCCACCTTTCTGACTAAGGTGAGAAAGAAATCCTGACAGCTACAGTGACAATGGTGATCCCTGAGACCAGTGGAGGGTCCTTAGTAAATAAACTCACCATCGATGAACAAGGAGGTCAAGATGACAAATACTTGAAAAATCATAGAGAAATGTGCTCTGCGCCTGAAGGACTGATGTCTCCATGCAGAGTCAGCAGCCTTTGTGAAAGATCTAGTTGTCAAAGGTTATCCTGAAAAGAAATCTGAAGAGGAACTGGAACAGGGTCACGGCAAGGTCTGGTACATACCACACCATGGCGTTTACCACCCAAACAAAGAGAAAATCAGAGATGTCCTGGATTGTGGAGCAAGTTTTATCTCATAATGCTCAGCTTCTACTGAGACCAGACTTGAGTGGTTAATTAGTTTGGGGTTGTAACCAGATTTGGAAAAGAATTGGGGGTTATTATGGTAGATATTGAGTCTCCTGCAGGGACCTTGTGAGGGTCCCTGCAGGAGACGCAATTTTTTTTCAATTAATATTCTGAAGCATTTTTTGCCTTAATTAGAAAGAGCAGTTGAAGAGTGACAGAAAATATGGAGAATAGAGAGTGGGGAAGGACATGTGCAAAAAGGTGGTGGCTGAGAATCGAGCTAACAACCGCTGCAACAAGAACAAGAGCCTTTTCATGCGGGGGTACTTTAGACTACAAGTGCTTTCATGATGCTGAATATTGAAGTTTAATGGGGGTTTAAAACAAGATCTCATCATCTTTGAATGACTGTACATTTCTTCAGGGCGCTTTCTCCTCCCTGCTTGGCCCATTTTCCTCTAAGGAAACAGGATAATAAAGGACAGTTCAGTCAGGAAGTGGTGTTCATTGCCTCTACGTTGATGACTGGTGTTTATGGCTTCTTTAGGTTGAAGAAGTGTCCCTCTAACAAGAGACCTCATTCACATGGTGGTTTCATCTTTAAGGATGAATTAGCTACAAGCATTCAGTAATGGCTGCAATATAAGACAGCAGCAGAGCTGAGGATCTAAAAAAACAGAGTCTGGATCGGAATCATGTCCATGAGTTTAAGATCTTCATCAAGGACAGACCTCGACTTCTCTCTGCTGTTAGCTCCATCTATGTTTTTCTTAAATTCTTGAACCCTGCTGTATTTTCTGCCAAGAGGATCTTCAGGGATCTGTGCAGGAGAGCGCTCGGTTGGGACGACATGACACCTGAGTTGTTTGCAAAGTGTGATGTTTGGAGGGCTTTACTCCCGTGAAATGTTTTACACTGTAGGATTTTGAAGATGCTTGGTTTAATGTATCACTCAGTGTATTGTATTATCGTTCTGGAGACAGTGTCAGATGAATTTCAAGTGAGAAACATCAAAGTTAAATCCCTGCTCGTTGTCATTTTTACATTAAATTTATGTATTTCTGATTTTGATTGTAACCTCTTCATAATAAATTACACATGACTTCTTCTTTTATGTATTTCTTTTATACTTTTTCTTAAAAAGTGCTTTAGTATGTGCAAATTTTCATCTCTCTTGCCTAACATCACTGGTATAAGGCCAACTACATTCAAAATTTTGTTGAATGAATGTCAGGATTCTGATGTTTTGAATATTTCTCATCAAAGAGGAGCTTTCTGCTCACCTTGAATTTTACTCTTTTACATGTTTGAGCACATTTTGTACAGAGTAGTTCAACAGTTAAAATGAACATCCTAAATGAGTCAATACCAGTGTGTTCATCAAGGAGGAGGTCGCAGTTTTAAACATTTCCACTATGAATATAAAAGTGTTTGTGAGGAAAATGATCAGAACCTGATTTTTTCTTTGAAATGAAGTATTTTGGAGTATCTTTTAAACATGTCTTGTAACAAAGGATGCCTTTCGTAGATCCCATAGTCTTCACATTAATACTATTTTTTCCACCTTCTCTCCATGAAACGATAAAAGCAAAAGCGTTACATGATAAATAACCCATGATCAATACTTAACAGGTGAGCTTTAGGGCTACAGTTTGCAGAGTTCATGGTTAGATGATCACCTTACTTCATGTCGAAGTATAATCAGGTAAGACGCTTAAACTGAAAATACACAATAATATGTCAAGAAAGGTCGAATGCTGAGCTTGGCCTATAACATATACAGTCAAAGCTTGGGTATCTATCTTAGAGAGGCATTTATTATTGTTTTAGTCCATCTTTTGGAATAAAATCCCTTTTGGATTAATGCCTCGTACAGTATATTGGCTTTGAGATGCATCATTAGGGTATACAGTATTCAGATTCCAGGCCAGTTTGACTCCTGAAGGGCAGAAGCTTTGGGGGAAGATATGAGACAGCTGGAACCCGGGCAGCCTCTTACTCATGGGTCTGTCATGATTTTTTTTTAACATGAAAAGTCCATCTGTGTGTCCCCGAGGTCCCTGTCATGCTGAGCCCTACAGTGGATACAGTAGATGGCATGCAGAGTGAGACTTCAGGATGTACAGTTCACCAGCACTGCTACTTACTGACGGTCCTGAATATGATGTATAATGGATTTCATGCGCATTGCAGATAACTTTAATAATTACTATCTGAGTTCTGCGAGTAAATGAGATATTTGTTATTTACATCGAAACCCTGCATGTAAAAATAAATTTTCAGAGTGAATCATAGGGGAACCTTCCATTAGAGTTTATTTATTTATTATCATCATTATTATCATTATTAAATTAGATTAGACAAGATTTGATTACATTAAATTAGATATTCCTTTATTCATCCCTCAGTGAGGAAATTAAAATTGTCAACAGCAGCAGTACACACAACATACACATTCACACCGGGTACAAAAACAGATAAATAAGATTTTACTACAAGTATATGTCTGCTACAGTCTAGAGTGAGATATCAGGTACAAAGTATCTGGTATTTGATACTAAGTATTGTAGTGCAGATCAGGTATCTGGTATAAGGTATTGTGTATCAGGTATTGGGTATCAGTACTGATTATTATTTAATGTTTTTATTGATATGGTATGAGAGCGATACCTGGTATCCAGGGTGATAAAAAACTGTGAACATGTCATTACACGCAAAGAAATTACATGAACTATAACTAAGAAGTAGGATGTTTATTTTATCCATAAATCTGGTATCAAGAAAAAAGGTTGACTGCTTCCCGAAGTTCAATGCCTAGGAATCGTATTTTTGTAATTGTAATAATACTTCACTCAGTGTAGTATTTTCAAAATGTTATCGAGCACAAACACGGTGAAAACAGGGAAGCCAAAATTATCCTGGCCAAGCTCGAGTAAGGTCAAGTTTCTGAAGTCTAGTTTAGTTTGTAAGAATGACAAATCATTTCCCTCAAACATAGTAAAATATGAGGAGGAAACTGCGCCAAGCCTATCAGACCGACACACCAGGGTGAACTGAGTGGCTTCGCAACATCACAAATGTGTTTTCTAAAACTACCACCCAAAAGATTTCTCTTGTGCACATCCACACAGATCAACTTGGTTTTCTATCAGTCCATTTGAGGCCGACCAAAACACAGAGGTTAAAGTTCTTCCCCAGTGTGATTACTGTGCCTTACTCCATTCAGGGCTGATTCTTCTAATTGAAAATCTGCATATTTTTGGTGGGTTACATCTCCCATACATTTCCTCATTTGCATTTGTTTTTGCAAAAAGATCTCTGAACACAAAGGTTCATCCTGATTTTTTTTGTTTGTACTAACTTCCAGTAAAGAAAACATATAGCTAGATCTGCACAAACGGTTCAATTGTCTGTGTTGTTCTATGATATTTCTGTTGGATCAGCAAGCCATCTGTTCTTCAGCTGAGTGGGATTATTTCAGATTTGAAGCATCTTGGTTGGATCCCTGCGACCCCACAGCCCAGAATTATACCACCACTGACTAAAAGGAATATGGAAATGCATATTTTGCTAAATTTCACTTAAATGATGAGGGCTGCTTATATTTCCTGTAAAAATGCAGTTTATATTCAGCTCTATACTTATTGTACAGCACTTTAGTTTCCTGGCAGCTCAAATGTGGTTTCAAATTTCCAAGAAGTAGAGTATGAGAAAGAAAAACTTGGCCCAAACAGATTAAATCTACCGCTTATAAAAAAATATCTTGAAAGAGAGTTAAAGCAATATGCTGAAGTATTTAGCATTTTTAAAGAACTATTTAAAGAGTTATTTTCAAATAAAATTCTAGTGGTTTAAGAACTTGCAAACCTACCTTTTTTAACCATTAGACTTTTTTAATCAGCTCATCCTTAAGTGTTAGATGTGGTTTCAACCAAGACTGGGGAAGTTATCTCTGGGTTTTCCTGAGAAAAGTTCATAAACAAGGCAAGGGACATAGGTTCACGTGGCCTTGACCTCTGACCTTTGACAACCAAAACACAATTAAGTCATTTTGAGTCAAAGTGGGACAGTTACTATAAGGCAATCTTTAAGTACTGTGTTTTTAAGAATATGAAACTGCAGGGTACCCCCCACACCCAAGTTAGCAATCTGCACCAACACCAACAACACTGCATTAACAGCAAACTATTAACTATGGTTTGAAAGATTGAGATGTTTTATGGCATGTTTTGAGTTTAAGACCCATCTGACTTTTAAAAGCTGATGTTTTACAAAAACTATAATCAGTGATGAGTCAGCTATTAAACAATTATTAGCTGCAGTTCTATTGAGAAAGTACTAAACGTGTGATTTGGTGGTCTTTATCCCTGCTTTAGATCTGAGTGAGGCATTGCTGTAAATAAAACCTGTGTTATAAACAGCCAAAAACTCTTTATAAAAGCTTTAACCAAACTTCAGTATTCTCTTAGACTGAACCAATGTACTCAGAGTGATAAGATCATAACACATGACATTAGGGCTGGCGATTAACCGAAAACTAACCGATACTGAAATTTACAACAATAACCAATGTCATTTTGCCGTATCGGTATATTCGGTGTCAAATGAATGAATAAATAAAAGTTGGTTTTGGATGTGTGTAGGTAGGCTATGGTCTCATGTTCCTTTAAGACGCTGTCCTATGTCGTAGACGAGACTCCGCCCCATTCAGTCTGTGATAAAGAGGAAAAGACAGGTGAGGAGATGGAGGACGGTTCAAAAGTTGTAGCAGCGGCTGAAGTTGATGAAGTTAATGTGGGAGGGGGTGAGCAGCTTGTGGAGCAGTTATCCTCCATTTATCATTATTGAAGTGAACTGCTCAGTGTATCGTGACATTGATTTGAGGCCATATCGCCCTTCCCTACATGTCATTTACCTATAGGGTCTCATTCCCTTTTTTTCCACGAATGGGTGGCACATCAGACATCAGACTACAGTCTGATAACAGTCACTTGAATAAAGATGCCTTAATTTTACCACAATTCAAACAAAGATGACAAAAACAGTTCAGTAAAATGTAAATGTAATTTCCAAGACATGAAGCTGACAGGATAGGAGATCAGGAGTGGACCTCATTTAAATATATATGGAGAAGAATGTACCATACAATAATAATAATATCTGAATTTGATTCGATCTAATCTTACGTGTTGTTAAGCGAGGGTTTAAAGGTCAGGGTTTTTATATGACAAACTTCTTCACAAGGAAACTCAAGAACCCACACGCAGAAATACACAGAGACCCACATCAAAGGCCTGAGCTAATGTTAGATATACAGAACAGCTAACGCACATGTTTGCAGCTATATTTCAAACATACACACACACACACACTCCATGTGTTCTCGTTGGCAGGCAAGAGCTGAGACTTAATATTAGCTGCAGAAAGAAATGTGTGCTGGTCTGCTTGCATGTGTTTTTTTCAGCTGAAGACAGTTCCTCACATTAAACTTACAGCTATTATTTACTCCCACCAGCAAAACAATGCTCACCAAGAGGAGAGACCTTTTGAACTACTCCACAAGTACAAGAACGAACGCATCTGTGAGAAGTGTTCGACATCATCTGCTCAGCTTTAAGCGGTGAGAAAGTCCCTTCACATGTGAAACATCATGAAGAAGTTCGGTATTTTCCTCTTGTTATTGTTGTGGGTGTGCTGCGCTTAAATAAATAAATAACTTGAGCAGATTGAGAGCACAGCGCTGTAATTTATTCCTGAGATACCGTGTGAAAAAAAAACAAAAAAAAAACAACTCAAAGATAGACAAGATGAGGGGAAGTGTGTCTGGAAATCAATAGGTGAACCATATTATTGATCATGCGGGTTCCCGACTCTAACCACCTTTCCAGTCATTACATGTTCCCCTTCACTCTGAATGACATTCTGATGTGCTAATTAAGGAGCGGAGCTGTTTCCTCAGAATGTGCAAAAAACTTCAGGCTCAAAAATAACAGCGTGTTAAGAAGAAGACAAGAGGGGAGAGTTAGGGTGAGTAAGGGAGGGTGTGGGGTCTGTTCAGCTACAATATCACAAGATAAACAAGATTCTTTTTGAAGTGAACTCCAAAGCTGTTTTTTTTTTTTTCCCACTTGAAGCCTTCAAAGATGACAGAAACACAATAAAGATAGAGCCGTCTCTGGTTGCTCGGCAGGACACAACAACAGATTTAATAAAGCACGGCAAACCAACAATATTACACATCAATAAACTGTATACAGGACAGATATGAATTCTTATAACCCCAAATTACTGAGGACTGTCCCAGGAGCTGCACTGATATGATGGTTTGTGTAATCGTCTCATAGGCTTAAAGTGGGCGTTTTATTCTTTTCGTGATACTCTATTACAGAAGCTGGGAGTCCTGTGCAGAGTTTTCCAGTACCTGTGCTTATTTTTGGTCCTGCAAAGTTTTAATTTTTAAACATTCGTAAAACACCCGATCCTACAACTCTTATTTAAGTCTCCATTTTCAACTAACATATATGCACCCACTGAGCAATAAACGGCTATTAGACATCTAGTTATTTTTCAGACCTAATTTCAACCGTTTAGATTCTGTATATTTTTAGACGGATTTTAGATGTTGCACTTTAACCCATTATTCCATAACTATTTATTTCAAAAAGCAACTGTAAATTACATAACTGATCTCTCAGTACTTAACCAAAATAATTGTGTACAGTGTAGTATAGATATAGCCCAGATTTAGATTTAGTCTAAACTTGGTCTAAATTTAGACATCTAAAAAACTTTCGTTTTTAGACCTGTGGTAGCCTGATTTTAGACCACTCATTAGGCTACATTTAGACGTCTATTAGACCTCTTTTAGACCAAAAAATGCTCAGTGGGCATGGTGGTGCACAGTGCAGTAACTTGATGGATCATTTAAATCTCGAAACACGCCGACAGAATCGATCAGAAACTCGGCTGACTGATGAAATGTGTCTCATACACATCCTACTGTCATTCGACATTTGTAGACAGAGTAATTCAGGGTGTAACAGCAGTCCTTGTATGATAAACAAGAATAATAACATTGATTATGAGGACCCAGCTTAGATTCTTTTTTAGTTACTCAGGCTTGGACCAGAACTTGCACACTGTTGACTAGGGTGACCATATTCTGAATCCCCAAAAAGAGCACATGACTACGAGTCACTGAGTCGTGCGTAGTTAATTTTGAGAGTTTTTCGGGTCAGATTGAGTGTCTTTTACGTGCTTCTAACTCAGTAAGTCCACGCAACACAAACTCAATACTTCCATACAAAACCCTGGATATTTGAAGGATTTTATAAACTTCCCCGGACAGCCCTCTAAAAAGAGGACATGTCCAGGTAAAAGAGGACATATGGTCACCCTACGGTTGACTCAGGACTCAACTTGAAAAATATTGAAAGAAAGAGGAAAACCTCACAGAAGACAGGCAATTTGACTGTGAACTAAGGAACATGGCTGAAGATACTCAGAGCAGCAAGACTAACTGATTGTACATTTGGAGAAATCATCCTCAGAGGGCAACCCTTTAATTTCATACTTTACATTAGAGTCATTTCTTCCTAAATAACTGAATTAATACTCGAGTAAAGAGTTTTTGAACTTGTGCTTCCTCTGTTCTATTTCGAGGATAACACATCCATGAGAAGTACAATCTGCAATGAAAACAGCTCAACAGTTGCTGCTGCCATACGCTGTGTCTCATTTACAGGAGAAAGGCTGCTGAATTATCCTGCCAGGGTTTAGAGCGGATGTGTGAATCATTTCAAGATGTACCACAGTTTGTGTGTGGATTTGTTCCTAAAGTCATTAGCCTGAAACCCATAATGAAGACAGAAGTTGTGAACATGCCTCTGAGAAACTTTCGGCTTCTCGTTGTGCAACTGAGAAAAACGTCATTTGAGTTATTTTACTTCTGCGGGAAAACTGTGGGAATAGTTTGGTATGATTCCTTTGTTCTTTCATCATGTATCCATGTGGGTAAAACCAAGTTAGATTCATAAGTGTAAAAACGTGGAGGCCGCTAGGACTGAGTCATCTCTCATGGTTGGTTCTATACAGCTAACAGCCCAGATGGCAGGAAATTCAGCAGTAAGGAGACATAAAAAGGATAACCAGGATGAGAAAGAAGATGATGAAAGCCTCTAAAATATCGCTGGGCTAATTATGAAAGAATCCTTTTGAGGCTGAGGAGAAACTGGCTCCTCTCCCACTGCCTTTCCCATATCTCTTCCTTGGCCAATGTCACAAGCAGCCTCAGCCTCCTCTCCAAAAAACAGGTGGACACGTCCCCTCTGCCAGCCAATGGAGATGCACCCCACAGTTGGGAAAACAGAGTTTCCCGGGACTGTCCCTGGCACTTCTCCTCCACAGTTTTCTAACCCTCTTCATCACCACATAGTGTTTCTCAGGGATAAATAGGGGCTGTGTAAATCAGTGACCTCCCCTCAAAAAAAAAACCACCATGGATTTGCTTGTGCTCTCACGGCCTGATTCATTAAAGCAGCCAGGCTCTGACTGAAAGCGCCAACAAAGAGACTGTTGAGTGTAGTGACAGTCGAGGTATGTATTCAAATTCATACAAAGCACTCTAAAGCAACAAGTTTTGAATCTCCATGACTGTGTGGTCTCTCATTCCCGGAGAGAAACACACACAAACTGCTTTTTCTTTGCAGCTGTCAAAGCATCACAAACAACAAGAGCAGAAAATCCATATTATCCCCTCCTTTCTGGGTGAAGAAGCCTATTGTGTAATGGGGGCTTGAACATAATACCAGCCAGGGGGGAAGTGGACACCCTCAGTCCAGCCTGTTTGTTTGTCTCTTTAACTCACACCCACTTCAGTTTCATTAAGTTAAGTATTCAGACTTTCAGATCCCTGGCACAATTAGAGAAGTCGGGTTGAATTCAGGGGTTGTTTCTGCTCAGATTAACAGAAATATGACTGACGAAAAGTCTGAAGCTACAACGTTTGGATATCAGTGTGCTGAAACATGTAAAAAGAAGTCCACACATCCATGTCTATACGTTTCCCATGAGTAGACTCTTGATAAATGTTACATCTTTGTATAACGACAAGTTTAAAATCAAGGGAATATTTGCTTACTTGTTTTATGTGTTTGTTGTTTGATTATGAGAGCTGACAATATGAATAGGCTACCGCTCTCCTACATGCTAGCTAAAGCCAGCAACTTGTTAGCTCAGCTTGTTAGCTCAGCTCGTTTGCCAGTCTTTGACAACCCATCCCAAAATATAACAGTGGTTTGATCTGTTTGTTTGATTGTTTGTTTTTCCCAATAGCTTTTGTGAGGATCATACAATGGAGATAAAATGAATGAGACGCATTTAACCAGGCTAGATATCACTTCTAGTTTTGTTATAAGCCATGCTAACCTTAACCTGAATGTACAGCTAATGTGTAGAGTTTGCTAAGAGTGACTACTCACTGGTTTGTGTTCAAGTCCTCTTTTTTCAGATGTCCCCGAATTTGATCACCTGTCCCTGGCTCAAGCTATTGCCGGAAATGTCCCTGATTTAAGCGTTTCATGAATGAGAACAAAAATGTTGCGTGTAGACTAGAACAACGGTGATTAGGAAGCGCGGGTAGGCATGTTTCGCACAGTCCCTAACAGCAGTTTTCACTGGGGCGTGCACTGGTACTAAGTAGTACCGAGATGTTGTCTGTGATTACGCAGCCTATGCCTCCACCCTTCACCCCCCACACACATACACACACTTGATACGACTTATGGGCGTACAAAGATTGCGTAGCTCACCCGGGGTAGGGTTAGGGTTAGCCGAGCGTCATCACAGCGACTCTCAGCAACTCTCCTGCCAAATGTGTTCAATTCTACTGCGCAAGTCATTTCAAATAATGACGGAAGGTGAAGCGAGGTTGTCTATAGTATATGGTTCATAGTTTTTCAACTTTATTTGTAATGCAACCCATCCAGGGTTGAAGTGGTCTTTGCTGACAACCTAAATTTGTTTTGTTTTTTGATTGCCTTACTGAAATCAGCAGAATTACATCTGTACTATCAATCCTGATGGTAATCTTTCTTATCCAGTGTCTAAAAATGTGAAAATGCATTCAACAACTGCACATATCCAGCAACCATACCGATGCCTCCAAATGCCATCTCCAAGCAGCTATATTATACTGCTGAGGCTGCATCAACATATATTCTGCATACTCATTAGCACTCACAGGCATCAGCAGTTTCAGGTGTAATGTAAAATATTCATGTATGGTTAGTCGATGCTATGTGTGAAAATTAACCACTGAATATGTGCAACTGTTGCTCGGAGCATGTGTTTTTATCAGCTTTGAACCGCGAGGATTGTTTTTCCACGTAAAATCTTAGAACGAGATGAACAGCTTGAAAACATTGTGTTGCCAAAATATAAAAAAAGTTATGTGGACAAAAAGAATTTTTATGCAGGTATCCAAAGGGGTTTTTTATTTAATAAAGTTAAGAATAAAATTGGTTGTCCTATTTGTCTAGGTACATTTTTAAGGAATTAACTCGCAGCAGAAACAACAAGTCAGTCTGAAGTACCGGTAAGTCTGCTGGAGATAATGAGCAGGGGATTGTGGCCTGTGGCAAAAGAAGCTAATTATAAAAATGTTTTTTCAACATACTGTAGGTGTGGAGAACATGAAAGCAGACACAGTTTTTAATTGAGATCATTAATGGGAAAAATATCAGTGCCGTATTTAATAGAAAGTGGAATAACACTGTTGGTTTTGCAGGATCTGTCGGATCAGTGTCGCTGTTGGATTTTTTCAGGTCACATGCTGTCGGTACAAGCACAAAATACACAATAGCTGGAGTAAGTGAATGCATTATCATAAAGCAGTTATCATCCCATAACTAAATTCCTTAGAGGCAAATTGCTTACCAAAAATTATCTGTATTTGCATAAAGTCTCTGCTACAAATAAAAAAGCCAAGGCTCAGCCAGTGTGAGTGTGTGGATGTGTGTGATGAAATGATTAGTGTGACCAAATTAAACCTACAAACAGTCCCACTAACATGGAAATTACAGTGTAAGAGGCCAACCTGAATTAATTACTCATAACCTTTTCATCTGTGTTTTGAAGATCCGCTTCCTTCGCCAGGCAGAAATGAAGTCGCTGACAACATGATGAATGTCTTTGTGAGCGTTCAAACAGATTCATCCCAGATGGTTTCTTATTCCAACCAGAGAAAATTCTCTCTGCTGACTGAGTCCCTCAGCTCAGTCACAGTCACAAGAGATGCAAGGTATTTCTGATAATTATGTGTACTCGTGAGTGCACAGGGAATACAGGGGTTTTTAATTGAAAGATTGAGATCGTGGGTAAATATGGCACCTTAACTCAAATCAAAAACAAAATCAGTACTATGGAACTATCAGTATTGGATGTTACTTCTACTGTAACTGACACATGAGGCTCTGGGTTGTCAATAAATACTGTTACTGACAAAAACTGTATTCCAAAGGAAGGAGGATACTCATATTTGGCTGAGAATAAGCATACAGTAATATCCTGTAACTAACTGGTTCATAGTGGGAGGTGGTAGTGATTGTTTACACCACCCATAAAGCTAAGGTCAAAGAAGAAGAAGCAGCAGCAGCAGCAGAGGAAGAACCAGCTCGAGGCTGTGCAGAGACATCCTCATCTGTATCTTTATCTGTTCAACCAAAAAATGATCTGCATCTGTATTCTGGTAGAAAACTGAAAGTGGATGTGGCTTGTACCGGACATGCACATTTATCACAGTGTTTAGATTCTACTAATGTGGAAATAATGTCAGAGGAGATGCCGGATGAAAGCTAGGTACACCAGCTGCACCCCAAAAAAAAGTTTCCTCTCAAGGTTTTTATTTATTGATTTATTTATTTTGGGGGTGACACCAAAAATAGGGTGTTTTTTATTTATGTAGTAGTTTGTCTTTTGACCAATCAGACCTAAAATTTACATGCAGAAGCAAAGAAGACAGTCAGTTTTGTTCTTTTATATGTTTTTCTGTCACCATTGTTGACAAGGATAAAACATAACTTTGAACATCGAAAGAGATGGATGATGACATACAAGTAAGTCGACTCTGTTTATGATGCAATGTGTAACTCCACTCTTGTCACGTCTTTCCTTATTCGATAGTGTTGTTGTTTTAGTCTTGCTGTTCTACTTTGGCACATGCTTGGGAAAGATTAGAGATAAAGACCTTATAACTAATCCACTACAGATATTAAAGACCCACTCCAATGAAAATCATGTTTTTCCTGTTTTTTATATGTTCATGTCATTTTTTTTTATGCTACAGGACAAATCATGAGAAAACTAAATGCGAAATTGCTTTTCTGAGTATTTCTTTATTCAAATCACTGTGAATCTCTGACAGACCCAAACAGCAGGTTCAGAAACAGTGAGATTTTGTACGTGACCAATCCAAGCTCCGCCCCCGGAGCCCCGCTATGCAGGCCACACTCTGCATATAGAGGAGAAATACAGAGGACGATTGCAGAACAAGCGTGTGCGTTAGCAGATTGCAATGCTTGTAAGAAAGCTTATTATGAAATTAGCTTTCATCATGTCCCTAAAGACATTAGTGTCCAAGAGCTGAATATCTCTTATGTTACCTGCCACTTCAACTACACCGGCAATGTTAGGCTCCAAGCTAACGTGAAGAGGAGTGTGCAGAGCAGCGCTGTCTCCGCCTACGACTCAGAGGCTAATTGCTAATGGGCTACCGGAGCTCTTCAGAAGCTCTTGAAAATGACACAGGTAATGCGATTTTTTTGTAAGGACTTCATAATCATAATTTAAAGACCACTGACAACACCTAACGAGTAAAAAAAAACAACCAGAGAGGGACTTTTAGGGAGATGATAGGCTGAGAAATCTCTGAGTCATTCGAACAATGTTTTCAACTTTTATCTGTAATGTTTGATAAATTTAAGATCTAAAATTAGCCTCAGTCATTGATTATATATTATTTTTTTCTCTCTAAAAACATTTAGACTGGAGTCATGCTGGAAAATGTGGTGGTCTTTCCTTTCTGCACACGTTCTTGTTGATTATAAACTATGGTGGCTAACAATGCTGGCCAAATACACCTCATAAGAACTCCTCACAACAGGTGTGCTTGAAGCCTGTCGGGGGCTTTAAGTAAGATGTAATCAGTCATTAGAGCCCCTTGCAAGTCTAGCAGTCATATGATGTGATAAAAGCATAATGCAGCGGTTTTCTGGGTTTGTGTGTGTGTTTGTGTTTGTTTTTGCTGTTTGCAGCTCATTTTTTTGTTTTTCATTGTAGACCTTTGTATGTGTTTTTGAATTTGCATATTTTCTGAATTTGTTTCTGGTTTCACCTGGAGAAAATCTCCTGAGCCCTTGTTGTGTGTCTGGCCTTGTCAGCCTCCGTTGGCTCTTTTCTGAATACAAATGCGACCAAAACAACAAATTTCACAGGGGAAAAAAAAAGAGTCTACTTGTTTACCTGAATGGAAACATCACTGTAGGATCCCCCGATGACTCCAGAGATGGCAAGTGGAACTTCATTCTGAATGGGTCTGGAGCCATCTGGGCAGATGAAGCCTGGATCATGCACCTTGGTGAGTGAGGCCCTGACAAAATCTAGAGACTGCTCTAGAGCGTACATGTCCTTGGAGCAGGTGTCCAGGATGTGGGCCCCCAGCTGGAGTCCGGGGAGGATGCGATCACTGGAATTAATTTCATCAAGTGCCAGCAGCATGGCTTCCAGTCTCTGGATCCCTCTCTCCTCATTGATCTTACCACAATCCTCTGTCCCCTCACCTTTGTGGTGCACTGGGAAAAGGCCTCCAATCACCAAGTCTCCGTCCAGGATGATCTCACGTTTGGCTGCAGGTGGTAATCTTGAGATGCTGGGCAGGACTCCTAACATGAGAAGCTCCAGCAGGAGCATGTGGAGAGGCCAGTAATGGGCATAAACGGTCAACGACCGGGGGCAGAGCACTACGCTCAACATGGCGGGACAGGAGAGGGGGGGGCTTGGCTGGTTAAAGTAGAGAGGAGCGGAGGTTCACAGGGTCTGCAGGCAGATCACTTTCAGTTCTTCACAGGGTGGATGCAGCATGTTTGACATTTCCTGGGAGAATAAAAAGACACAGTAACAATGCAGTTAATGTCATGAAAGGCCAATTGTAGCATCTTTCAAACTGACTAACTCTTGAGTCCGTCAATTAAAGGGATATTGCGGCATAAAATTAAGTTATGGTCAAACACACCGTAACACCGTTGAGAGATGAATGTTGCCGACTGCTTGCTTCTCTAGTTTTACCAACTTTAGTAACGACCACATGATAGCAATACAGAGAGCCACGCACTCAACGCTACTCTATAGCCACAAATAATGCTCAGAACAGCACCTAACTTCATCAACAGTACATATAGGTGCCAAGCCACAGCGCTAGCCACCAAACATCTTTTTGGCTTTGCCTGATTTCTTTAGCAAAGAGACTAAACACAACTCACCTACTCTCCTCCAGCAGCCACTTGTTTGTATGGAGACCTCGGGCAAGTCCATCACCAACTGCAGCGGGGTGATGCAGCTCAAGTAAGAACATTTATGATCATTTCTTCATGGAAATGCAATCAGACCGAGACACTAAGGCAGAAGAAGTACCGCTTCTGCAGAGCAAAATGATTAATATGATGATTATTACTTCAAGGAAACGATAAAGTAATGATCATAAATGTTCTTCCTTGAGCTGCGTCACCCTGCTGCAGTCGTGATGGACTCGCCCAAGGTCTCCGTACAAACATGCGGCTAATACTTGTTGTTGTGGTGTGTTTGACCCTAACTTTATTTTACACTATCACTATATTCATGTATCAAGTCATCTAATCTTTTTTTTTTAAATACGTGGATCAATACAAACATGCTGCCATGCATCTTTTGTGTCTATGCTCCCATCGCATCTTAACATTTACATATCAGAGAATTAATTCATAATTTTATTGATGCATCTTTTTCACTTTTTTTTCATTATATATACTCATGGGTTGATTTAATCACATGTCAATGTATCTTTTGCCACATATAAATAAAAGTATTCATGGTACATATCCTGAAATCTGGCTATATATGTTTAATGCTTCTTTGTAATGAAGTGTCAGGGTAACGTAATCCCCATGTAAGTATTTTTAGTGCATCATTCATGTAATAATGTGTCAGTGTATCTCTGGATCTCTTCATCAGTCTGTCATAAATTGATTCATTAAGTCATAATAACAATGTATTGATGCATCTATGTGTAAATAAGTTTATGTCTCGGTGTATCTCTGCGCTTATGTATCATTAACTTCATATCAATACATTTATGTGACACTATAAATATGGTGAAAAGTATCTATGGGCAGACGAAAGTAATCAAACTAATGATTATTTACTCACAGCTGAGTGATAATACAACCAATAATTGGGTCTTTAAATGTGTATTTTTGACAACCATTCATTTCCATTATTGCATCTTACATTTTCCTCTCATTCCCAGAGTCAATCAAAGATATATAATGGTAACAACACTCTTAAAATACCTCTTAATGCCTCGGTGAAATAGTTTCATATCTTGCTCAGTTCAAATCTTTCTCTGGCAAGGCTTTATTTATGCTTCTTTCATCGATTTTTGCCCAAACTGTTCTTTTTCCCTTCTCGCAATGCAATTTATAAAAATGTTACACAAACTAATACTTTTATTGGACAGTCCAGACCTGAGTGTGCTCTGTGAAGAGACTTAGATGGAGCTACACATCTTTTGAGTTATTTTTTTGAAGCGCAACAGAAAAAAGATTACTTCAGGCAGGCTCCCCCTGAGTTCTAGTGTGAAATTTAGTTTTATCTCAAAGACAAAGTCAGGATTACAGCAGAGTGACCACCTCTAACCTTAACAGATACTTAGGGTACCTTCTGAGTAAAGTTTAATTTTCAAGCTTACAACTTAGATATCACATAGTCTAAATAGTGGCTCTCCTGAATGGATGGGGTTGCTATGGAAACATGGTTGGATAGAAAAAAAAAAAAGAGGGTCGGACTGCAGTGAAGTGGGCAGTGAGACATGTATGCTAATAAGGATTCCTGCCGTGTGGAGGTTATGGGTTTCAGGCTCACCAGGAGTTGTTATGATGTCTGATTAGAGAGGAGGGCAGGTTCAATCACAGACCTCACAGAGATAGAGAGGGAAACCAATCCTGTTTCTTTCAAATACACTTATTCATCACATTCATCAAACACTCACAAACACACAGGTCCAACTCACAGATTGATATTCAGTTATGTGGACTTGTAATGACTTTGCGACTCCTAGCTGGTATCCATGTTTTTTTTTCATAAAAATATATCTGCTGTTTCACTAAAAATGTTGGAAACTCGGAGGGATGTGCAAATGTTCTGTGTGTGGATTGTTAAAATTCAGGTTCAGAGGAGTCACACTGGTACACACACACAGAGCTCTGCTGTAGTTTGGACAACTGGATAAGCAGCTGCCCCCCCCCCCCCCCTCTACGTAAACGAGCAGTAGACAGCTAATTACCACTGACTTCTACTTACCACTAAGTGTTGTCACTGATATAACAGCATTAGATTACGACGTGTTACTTTTAAACCCTTTAAAGCTTTCGATTCCTTCATGGTAATATTATTCAGAGTGAGTGTTGACTGGTTCCTGCGCTCATAGAGGCAGAACAGAGGTTACAAAAACACCAGCTGAAGCAGCTACACCCACGCGAGTTTATCCGGTGTGTGTCTCTGTCGGTGTGTGCGTGCTTGTGTAAAGGCGTGCTTCTTGAGAGACATCTGAAGAATATCCTGGGACATCTCAGGAGCAGTGAAAGACACAAACACCGAAGAGGAAAAAGTTAATGAATGCTGACTATCCAGCCGGATAAATATTGCATCAGGTTGTGGGAGGGAAACCTTATGGTCCGTTTATAAAGATGTAAAGTAAAATATGTCTATAAACAGCTGTTTGTATGTTGTTCTTGCATTCAGCACAGTAAATGCAAGAAAAAGGATAAACGCTGATGAACAAAAGCAGGTTGACAAAGTTTTCTCATTGGAATTTCACCTTTATGACAACTTTTCATTCTATTTGTATTTCCTACAAATAAACAGGAAATCACAAAGGGAAACGTGTGACTTATTTTTATTGCTCTGTGTATTTTTGCACTGTCTAAGATCTCAGATGTGTGAAAGCACAGTCTGATCTTGTACGTGAGCTCAACTTGCACAAAAACAGGTTAAGAGAACTTACAAATGCATTTTTAACACTTCATAAAAATGTTCCCGACTGCATACAAAACAGTTTTTCAATAACAGATAACAATCAGGTTTATCACTGACGGCAGACAGGCTGTCGCACGTTTCAAAAGCTGGGGTGACTGAGTGCCTGTCACAGACTCAGGCAGTCTCAGGGTCAAGTGCGTTTTTTCAGAAAGGGCACCAGCTGCATATAGTGAACAGACGATTTTCTAGCGTATAGTAAGGCTGTGTCAAAACCCACCAGTTATCGCCTTACAATGATATATGCCTCTGGGAACGATAGGCAATTTCTCTCCATAAATGGCCCACAGCCAAGACTCCCATTTTTGTGCTTTGAATTGTTTACAATCCAATTCGCAACTTAAGAAGCAACTGTGTGTTCAGGATTAAAAAATGAGTAAAAACGGCCTCCTCAGATGTGCCTGAAAGTGAACACCATCGTCTGTAGAGATCATCTATACCGGCAGAGTCTATAACACAAACAGTAACCCAAACACTTGCCATATAACATCTGGGGATTGGGAGTACAGTAGGTCGTCTGTATCATGTTTTATTTTCCTTTTTTCAGAGCCTTTCATTACATATGTTGCATTATCAGAGCACACTAGAGTGCACTTCCTTTTCATTTGGAAGTGCACTTTACAAAGTTTAATCAATCATATGGGCATCCCTTTTTTTTTTCTGTTTCTAACTTTGGGAACGTTAGAAATAGACGGTGTTAAGGGGTTGGTGGTGGTGGGTGAGCATTTGACATTTTTGCTCCAGCATTTTACAGTAGGGTTCCTGCAGCAGATAGTCGTGCATGGTGGATTTTAAAGGGTTCGAAATCTGAAAGAAACTGAAAATTCTTTAAAATCGGACCGAAAGGAAAACACAAAAGTTATTTCCCCTTTTGATAACAATATAACATTAAAAATTTAATGTCTATTTGTTACTTTATGTTGCAAGGTTACTTGTTGAAAAACCACGTGAGGGGATGTGCTAGAAAAGCTTCCCCACATCTGACCTTTTCTTTGAATCAAGGTGGAAAAGTCACTGAGGAGTGAACATAAAAAGTCTAATTGCTCCCACGTGCTGTCTGCAAAAGCAGATGGGGGCTTTCTGGTTGCAACGACGGCGTTGCAGTGTGGATTAATGGTCCAATAAGGAACAGCCAATTAGGCAAGCCATATAGGTCAGAGAGAGGCTGGGGGTCCAGAGGAGCATTTCGAAACCTTTAAGAAGTGCAAATAGAGGCTGGGTTTGTCATCAGATACAGCAGGAATGAAAATAAAAGTATGTGTAAACATTCTTATCAGCTCGCCTGAGTGTCAAATCATAGACTCTGATTAGTTGAGAAGTAGCTCCTCTCATCCTCGGATCACATCATTAGAAGTACCTTGATGTAGAAATGACTGTCACGCTCACACTCAGCCGGATGCCCCCATATGTCTGAGCACAATATTCCCTCCGAAAGGTGAGTTCAAAAAAAAGTAAAGGCAGTAAGCTTTTCTCAGTTGTGAACCAGCTACTAAAGAAATGCTCACGCCTAGGACAGCATTTCATCAGCACAAGCAAACACAAGCTTTAGGAAGATCTTTCCTCGTGGGGGATGTATGACTCACTGCACAGTGGCTTACAGCGATGACGCTGACTGGCATGTTCGGCTGTAGTACTACATATGCAAGTATGAGTGTATGGAGAAATGTGCTATTCATGACCATGGAATAGGGTGTAGAAATAAGAGACGAGCCATCTGTTCGTACACCGATGATACACAGCTAATAAAAAAATCAGTGAGGTGTTTTTAAAACTGTATAATTTCGATGCAAACACCTTGGCTTGTTCGGTTTTCCTTTTTGTTAATACATGACATTAAATTTTAGACTCTATTCCATCAGCCACGACTCATTAGTCTGTGTAATACCAGCCCAAGTGCAGCACTCTTCCCATGAGAGTAATCTAAAATATTGCTTTCTTTTGTTTACATGACTGACATGGCAGGAAGATAATTCATAGCGGAGAATTGCTTATTTAAATATGTATTCATTCATGTGACCACATTATGATAATTTTGCATAATCCACAGGCAAAATGTTCAGTTAATGTTATCTTTGTAGTAATTTATCACAGCCATAACAACAGGCTGTCACATTTTCTTCAATGAGAAGACACAGGGATATCAAATATTAAGGTGGCTGTCTTGTCTGGTTAAATTGGCAAAAAAATGAATGAAGAGAGCTAGAGTTTGACATTAAAGTGGTGTATGGTATTCAGAAAAGTAAGCAAAATTAATTACAAACAGGTTGTTCACGCACTCAACACAACTGCGCCAACCTGGCGCCTCAGGTAAGAACGATAACAAGCCACCTGGACAATCTAACTTCATGATTTTTCTCATATCGTTAGAAGGATTCGGAGCACCTGTCCAAAAAAGGATGTGTTATATTTACTGCTAATAAAGTGTAAGTACAGAAAAAGTCTACTAATGATCCCTATCACTCTACCATCTCCAGTCAGGGCACAGTTAATTCCTCCACCTGGACGTGTCAGCTGAAGGAATTAGGAAGCCTCTGTGGTGGAAAGCAGCCAGCTGAGTGTGAATTTGAACGCAGATCAAGTGCATAATTTTATCAGAAAATAGCAGCGGGGAATCTGGTCGTTGGGCTGTTAAACTCTGAAAACAACAGAGGACTTTTTGAAATGATCACACACTTGCAGAGACAAAGTCAATCTGAGAGAGACAAAGTGCACGAGGATGAGAACACGTCTTTGAAGACTGAACGATGGAGAGTATCTAATAATAACATGTTAACAACACCCATGGAGACATGGTGGAGGTAGACCAATTTATCACTGTCAGCCACTTTTCTTCCAGAGAAATCCTCCTGCTACATACAGCCCATCCTCCTACTGACAGAAAATTAATGTCCATTTTTTCATTACAGCCAACATATTCCAACAAAGAGAACTCTCAGATGGGTGTTGTAAGCTGAAAGAAGTCCAATTACTTTCACAGTAGGGTGCTATTCCATTGTTTTTTGGCTGTGACTGAAAACAAAAGCAGTGATTGGCTTGAGTCTGATATTAGATTATGTAATTTCTAGTTAGGGATTATTGTGACTGCTGCTCGAGATTCATTTGGGTCAAGTGGGGAACAACTTCACACATTTGGTCACTTTTGCGTAAAGTATGGGCATTGTTTGGCAAGTTTGGAGGCACCATTAGAGATTTCATTACAATAAAGAAAGAAAGTGCCTAAAGGATAAATCTAGTGCCAGTGAAGTTGAGGTTGCAATACAGCCAATCAATCAAGACAAGCAGGTAACGTGAGAAAAACCCACATTTGCGTAAAAATCGACATGCAAAGTGAATATTTCTTACCTCTTTGAAGCTCAAGACGTCTCTCCTCTGATGTATCTGCAGGTCTTTTTTTTCCCCCCCCACGAACCCTGCGACGACCACGCTGCAGATCTTCACGTGACAAGCCTCGTCCAGATGTGGTTCACTTTGAGCATGTTTGCCAGGCAGCGGTTTGCCTCTGTCCTTGGTTCTGAAGTCCTGCTCGCATTTGGCAAGTGTGCCAAACTCTCTCCTCTGTGCTCTCCAACTCGTGCCTGCGGTTGTGAAACAGTGGGTAGCTTAAAAAAAAAGCCCACAGACCGGTGTGATAATAGAACCTACCGCCCAGTAGTAGTGCTTAGATGTCCACAACTAGCGAGAGCAATGATCTCCGATAAGGATTCTCCTCCTCCTGTGTGACAATATCGCCTGCATCGAGAGGCGCTCAATCTACGTTAAACTGGAACCGGACGTATTTTTATGTATTAAATCTCCTATTTATAGCAAAGGTTCGTTGAAAAGTTCGTGAAATTAACTTGAGGAAAGAAGATCTGTTGATAAATCCCCCCGGTGGAGCGTGGAATTGCGCGCTTGCAGCCTCTTCTGAGCAGCTCCACAGCTCTAATGAAGGTTGCGCCCGCACCTCTCATAAAACCTGACAAAGCGTCTGTTTGAGAGAGTTACAGCGCAGATACAGAGGGGGGAACTCGAAATAACACTAGCTATCTGTGCGAAAGCGGAGAGAAATCTCGTGTTAAGCAGCTTTAAAACGTTATAAATGTGTGCATTAAACTCAATTTCCGTCTCCAGCGTCTCGTTATTCGTCTTTTTTGTGAGTCACTCAATGACATTTCCTGTGGAGCTGAGTTGAGAGGTGCAATCTAACTTTTGATAATAGCTAAACTTCCAGATAAGGGAATTTAAAAATGCTTAAAAGACTACAAGATTAGGGGAGAGTGGGGTAAGATGAGCCATTTTTCATATTTAGGATCACTACATCAAGACAATCAGTTTTGTCTCTAAATAGTGTATCTGCAAACCAACAGAATGAGTGTAAACATAACTGTCTTAATAATATAGCATACCAAAAAAGTGGTCTCATATGGTCAACTTACCCTGTGTATGGAGTAAGTTGAGCCGTATCCCTACTACCCCCCACTCTCCACCCCAGCCCTTCCTCAACTTCTCTCTCCCTAAATAACAGTCACTTCTTCACATTCACGTGCATTTTTATCTATTACACGCTATTCAACTGGTACAACAACTCTTCCGGGACAGCAGTAGCTCAGGAGGTAGAGAAGTTGTCCAATAACTGGAAGGTTGGTGGTTCGATTACCCCTCATCCCAAGTCTGACCATTGTGTCCTTGGGCAAGACACTTAACCCACCTTGCTCCCAGTGTGTGTCCTCCACTGGTGTATGATTGTGAGTGTTGTGTGGTGGATGTCGGAGTCACGCGTCCGTCAGTCTGCCCCAGGGCAGCTGTGATACTGATAATTTACCACCATCAAGGTGTGACTGTGTGAGCGAATGAATGATGTAATCAATGTAAAGCTCTTTGAGGGGCTCTGAGAAAGCGCTATATGAAATCTGATGCATTATATTATTATTATTATTATTATTACTTTCATTGCATATAACTGCTAAAAAGCTGTTTTGTAAAAAGACATTTTAACATGAGAATACCTTTAAGTGATTCAGAACATTCACAGCTGTATTTTTGAAAACATAAAGTAACACATTTCAACAATGTGAACTGAAACTCTGATCCTCTCATCAGACTCCTTTACTTTCTCAGTTGAACCACTGGCTCAACTTACTCCTGAACTACTTTTATGACTTTATTAGTCCTCTAAGCTAACCCTTTAATGCCTTTTGTATCATATTTGATACAAGCTTTTGTATACTTCTATCAAATCAATATGATCAACAAATTACAAAAAAAACACCTAATTACAGTCTGATAAATGATTAAAATGTCCTCTTGTAGTTTCTAAAAACATCTAATGTATCAAACATAAATACATTTTTAAATTTTAAGGGCATTTGAATTTTTTTATGGTTTCAGGCATTAAAGGGCTAAAATGGTGGACTTTTATATTAGGTTTTTGACCTCATGTTGTAGCTCACAGATACCACAATTGATGTATAAAACAAATTTAAAATGATCTTTTTTGGTCTGAACACAATTCTAATAAAACTAATGACAGACTAAATTCACTTTCAAGAGTGAAAAATGTTGTTTTTTTTTTGTAAATTAATGTCTAACCCCTTCACCCATGTGCATCTAACCTTCACAGACTCCATGAATTGATGCCCATCTCCTAAATATTTGGTCACATGATCAATTTCTTTTACCATTTCCAATCAACAGGGGGTGGCTCAACTTACCCCACTCTCCCCTGCAGCATTTTTCCTGCGACGAGAATAGAGAAATGAACATCAGCTTTTCCCTTTTTTTAGTTCCTCCTATGAAGGCTGGCCAGCTCCTCATTCACCTCCATCTCATTAAAACTGAATCACACTCCAGATGAGAGGCTCGGCACTTCACAAAGTAAAGAGGCACAGTTTGTTAGTTTTTTTTCTAAAAGGGTGACAATGGCCCAGAGATACACAAAACGGCATACAGACACACAACAGACAAAAGCAGAAGAGTTCATATAATTTAAAAGCCCTTCAGTCATATGGGGCAGAACAGAGGCACTCGAGCCCGAGGTTGAATTAGTTTTTTAGACAAATGTGTCATACAAACATGAGCCTTTTGACATTTAGGGTGATGAACATGCAAAGTAAACCCTTTCTGCTTTGAATTTTGCACATCCACTACTTAAAATGTGCATCAACTAGTGTGAAGGCTAAGATTATCTCTACAGCCCGCAGCTCTGCTACAGATCCCTCTAAGGAATCACAGTTCCATGCAACAAACAGTGCTTTTTTTCTAATCCACAACAATATTACATCAGCAACATTCCTGTTGCATAATTAGCGAGGAGAGCAGAAAAGGTCTGCTGCACCAGTTTGTTGTCGTGTCCAACTCAGAGACCAGACTGCGCTGTGAAAACCCAAACAAATAAATCCAAAGTGCAAAAGTTCATTTCATATTCGAAATCTCCCCTCACCTATTTCTGTCACTTTTACAAGTTAAAGCGGCGGCATCACATCACCTTACAGCATCTCCTCACCTCGCTCTCCTCACCCACACACACAACACATCTCACTGTTTTCTAATGTTTCATTTCCGTACTAACAATAGCTACTTTGCAGTAAGAGGATGGGGGGAAAAGGAAAACTTTTTCTGAGCACTGTGGCAATTAAAATGACGAACGGGTCCTGCTTGTTGCATAATTCCCCCAGCTAACACAAAGGGACCAATTTTCTCTTGGAATAGAATTGTAGTTTACATTACAATGGTGGAGGGCATGTGGGTGGAATGCAGAGTTTAGATAGGAACCTGCCAATTAATGTCAAGTGAAATTATAGGGCACAGAATAAAAAGGGTTTCTAGCCAGTGGTCAGCAAGCATCTGTGTGACAGCTGCTCTCTTTGTGGCGTTCTCATCATTGGATGGCGGTGATAACGACAAAACAATCAGATAAAATTCAATTTTTCAGCTTTTTTAGTCTGCCGTACAAAAATTCACAAGTGCAGAGACGTGTTACAAGAAGGCAACTGACTTCAGAGGTGAAGCAAACAAACTTTATATCTCGTCACAATCTCAGCTGAGTCGCCTGTTTGACGGGGTTAGATTTCCTGTAAAATATCTGATAAGCTATCAGGAAACTTGAGCTGAGTTCGGATGAATTAACCATCAAAGAGTCAGCGCAATCAAATGGTAGAGAGAATATCTCTCACTGCAAGACTATTGTGAGATGTAGCAATCAAACAGCAGTCATAAAATACACATCTATCTTTGAAAGTGAAGTGGACTCAAAAGTTTTCTTCAAAATAGTTAAATTATGCCAACTGTGCTTCCAAAAATGATTTGAACTCTTTGTGCTTTCAACAAGAAAAACATCCTTTTTAAGACTCTTATTTTCATGTGTTGAAGTCTGTTGATATTCCTCAACGATATGGGAAATCTAAACCAAATGCTTTGAGGCTTGGCAAATTATTCCATCTTACAGTGTTCGACCTGCTAATGCATCTTTTTTATTGCAGTATGCATGGATTTAAATCTTATTTGTCACTTTTAAACTTTTGAAACTAGCCTAAATTGTTGACTGAAACAATGGTCTTGAGCTGAGAGGGAAAGAGAAACTTTAAGTGATAACTGGGGGAAGTTGCCCTTTAAAGCTTTTCTGAGGAACCTGTAGATTTGGCACCCCCTGTGGACAAAGTAGTATGTCTTCCCTCTTGGCTTTGATATACATTGGTAAAGCCCTGCTTACTGTATACTGTCGCCTGACTCCGTTCGCAGATGGTGCGCACACCTCGGCAGCTCACAGGCGTTTATGCTATGCGCTTTCTCGGTTGCAATATTCGCAGCAAAGACAGGAGGCGGTAGAGAAAAAATACAATAGGAAGTAGCAAAAAACAGAAGAAGAAGTAGGTTTTTCCACCTTTTATGGCAGACATTCGGATCGTTGATAGCCATGACATCTGCTACCTCCCTCCATGAATTCTGTGCCATTTGGTGGTCTTTGTAACTCCTCAAGGAGTATCAGTAACTGCTGATAAGACCGCACCAGCCCCGCCAGTCTTCCCTCAAACTCATCCATTTTTAACTGAGAGACACTTGCGCGGCGTGTGCCAAATTTCAAAATCCTGGAGGATCACAAGGTGCGCATTTACATCATATGTGGTGCACGAGCCTCACACATTTGTGATTGCGTCGAGCATAAACTCGGCTTAACTGGTATTTTTTCTCAAACAACATCTTGCCTTGACATTTTTTTTAGTCTAATGTAAAATTCACCAAAAATCATTGCTGTGGAAAATTTAAACAGTCTTTAATTTGACCCACTGGTGTCACAAACACATAAAAAATGTGTATATTAGGGCTGTCAGTGTTAATCACAGTGTAATTATGATCTTAAATTGACATATTTTAATCAAGTGTAACGGCAGCCCATCAGGATGTGAAACATACCACCATTGCAGCACTTTTGAACGACACAGCTCACTGAAATGACAAAAACAAAAAGTCCTTAACAGCTCAGTTGACGAGTGAAAAGCAATATGCACTTTGTGTCAAACAAAATTACTAAGTGCTAAGTCATTAAGTGCTTTAAGTCTGAGCTACAGCCAACACGCTAAGCACACAGGCGCTGCTAACCAGGCTGATGTCAGCAGGCAACCAGGTTACAAAAGCAGGCCGATCACTAGAGTGTGTGAATCTCCACAGATCTGTGAATGAAGCTAAAGAGAAATCAGAGAGAAATGTGGGGAACAGTCTGTACATGTACTCCTGCATATTTCTGAACACATAACAGCGTTGTTCTTCAAGATAGAATACAAAAAAAGTCTGTATTTCACAGAATAAACACTTGAAAGATGTTTCACCTTTGAGTGATATTTAGACCACAGTACTGTAGCAATAATACAACTAAGTTTCAAGATCATTTTGTATATTTTATTGCATTAATTTCATTCTAAAACCAAAACATTGGCTATAATTGATCTGCATTTTTGGTATTTTAATGGAAAATTGTGAAAAATGATTTTTAGCGGGTTTTTTTTTTCAGCGGTTTGACAGCACTAAAATATTTAGAAATAATCAGTCTCACTCCCCATGGTCTTAAAGAAATGCCAGGATTAATTCAATTCTTATAAATAACTAAATAGAATCTCCTAATGAGAGCTTTAACTGTCCACAGATGTAATACTACAACCCCACAGCATACAAGGCATGAGTGAGACCTCACTGTGCCACCAAGGTCATAAACATTTTACACTATTGATACCACATTTAAGTCTAAACAGATTCCTAATGCTCATTATGCATGCACAGTAAATTGACACGGAGTCAGCAAGTTCTTCACATGGTGCGTGTGAGAAGAGAGGAAAACAACCACTGCTCTCAGCGAGGTTTTATAATTATACACACAGAAAACATCTCAGGCCTTCGTCCTCACTCTTACAGCTCATCCATCTGCTTTAACTTTATCCTGTGGGAGTTTAACCCCATCTCAGAGATAATCGACACTTTGATTAAAAATGGAAAAACCCACTACAGATCATCCGCTTTGTAGGACATTTGTCAGGTAAAAGCTCAGCAGAGTACCAATTAAGTCTCGGAGACAACTCTAATTGTGGAGTGAATGAATGAGGGATGTGGTCAAAGACTGTGTATTTTTCAAGAACACGAAAAAGCTTAATTGTCAAGACACCTCTCTCTGATGAACATTTAAGCAGCACAAGATCTATGGATGCAATATTTTCTTGCAATATCCTGAAAATATCCAGACATTACCCAGAAGTAGGAAGGCAAATGCCACAATTAATTGGCCTTCCACATTAAGGGTGGGAGAAAAAATCGATACAGCATAGTATCACGATATTTTGTCTGGTGATATATCGTATCGTCTCATTTACCAAGTATTGATTTTTCAAATTAATTGTAATATGAAGTCAAATCTATAATGATAGGAAAATAAATCAACTGTTTGTCCAGTGAGGTTGGCAGAGGCGACATCATAGAGCAGCGGAAAGTTCATACCACAAAGGTTTGCAAGATGCGCTACATGAAACTAAAATACAGCATAAATAAGACAAACATAAATGAAAGACAAATACTAAATTAGCTAAACAGTTGAAAAAATTGTAAAAATCACAACATATTGTATTGCAGTACCCATTGTTTTGCAAAATGTAATAAATGACAATAATATCGTATCGTGGACCAAGTATCGTGATAACATCGTATCGTGGTGCCACTAGTGATTCCCACGTCTGCTCCACATACTTTTTTCTACCCCGTATGAAATCGTCTTTATGTCCAACGAGTTGTTGTGTGAACGCAAGAAGTTTAAAAAAGTCACAAGGATTCAGGAAACTAGCCGTCATGTTCACAGTGCACAGAGGTTTTGCTGAGTAATACTCCCTACAGCTAGCCTGTACATCACATTTATTTTCCTTTATTAATGCGGCAGATACATTAGAAAAACAAGTTGTTGTGAAAGTCATTATAATTCAAAACAGAAATGTCCTCCCCAAAAAGTTCTCCCAAATCGACCAGGGTGCAAATTCACCCACTTATACTGTATTTTACACATCCAGTCTCTTGCTGTGTGTTGCACGTGCAAAACAATAACCCCAGACCTGATTTTTCCCACTTCTTACAATAAAATGGTTTTAGATAACCCTCTAGTCCATACTGATTCCTGATTGAATTGTCACCATGAGGCCTTAGCTGGAAAGCAGACGCAATATTGTGTTGCTAAATGGATGTATTTGCTTTATACTGTTGTTTTTGTACCCATTATCAAAGGATAATGATTATTTCACATAATAGCTGTGATGATGGAGCCACATTTTTTTCAACCTGGATATATTGGATCACTATCAAATGTACTGAGTGGTTTCAAAACAGCTTTAATTTGGACGAAATTTGAGCAGTCTGGGGGTTACATTTTGTAGACTTTCTCGGATGACTAATGCTCTCAGAACTGCCTGTTTATCCAACAATTAAATGTCAAAGCTTTATCACAGTAAAGCCACTTTCATTGTAAATACAAAACAGCAAAAATGAAAGACAGGCTTCAGTATGTTTTTCCACAGGTGGTACACATTTGTGGCAAAGTGAGAATGGTAATCAGGAGGATCTTCAAAATACGCCAAGGTTTTTTAATGGCATAGTGCATACGGCTTTCTCTCACTCTCCAAGCGAGCATGGCCTTCTGTGAAGAGCTCAGAGTGATCTCTTATTTGTTTGAAGATAAAGGATATGGATATGACTGGACATACATTAAAGACTCCGGGTCATCTAGTGGTTTTTCAGGCTGCAGCTGTTGTATTCGTCTCTGAGGGAACAAAAGAAGATGATGAGAAAAGGACAAAAAAAAATTAGCCTGTGTAAAGAGACAGCAGATGGGGGAAAGGTTGAGAAAGAATCTGATGGCTAAACAGAAAATAAATGATCCGGGAGTGAATGTGTGAGGGTAATTAGAGGATGCTCCAGGCCAGATGTGGAGTGACTGTAAATACAGAGCAGAGACGCTGAGCTTTGCTTTCACTAATAGTCAAATGAATATTAATGGTCAGCCCACTTGTCTTGTAATCCTGCCCGTGAGTGATAACGGCAGCACACTTTACTCTCACGATAATCACGCTCCCAGGCTCAGAGGTGGTCGTTCGGAGTGTAGGTAGGAGGTAATTATGCCCTCATTCACACCTTTCTCTTCTGATTTAAACAGAACATTTTATGTACATCAACAAAATAGCTCTGCCAACATAAAAACTTTAAAAATACAAACTTTTACAACTTGCAACAAGGCTCCAAATATTCAGTCGAACAAACAAAAAAAAAAAGTAAAAGATGGATCTGCCAAGAATTTCAGTGCTTTATCTTGGCCTCTACTGTAGACTGCATAAAAGGTAAGGACAATTTATCAAAATGTCACCCTTGTTTATTTTTAAGCCCCAATGAGGAACTTTTGGTTTTTGTCTATTTTGGTGCCAACTGGAGACAAAACAGTCTTCCTTATCTTGTCTTTTAAACTTTTAAGTAGTGACTTTGACAAAAATATCTATTCCTACTGGCTTTTAACAATCAAACATTTCATTTATTGTGGGTATTTTAAAGGGAAATGATTAAAAACAGGGCTGTTAATTGGACTAGTGAGAAACCTCCCAGTGTAACTCAGTGGTACAAAGAAACTTTTAGAGTTTTTCCGATGGAAGTGACAAATTAAAGGGGAATGACGATATTTTTAAGGACACATGGCGACCCCTCATGGGTTACTTGAATAAAGGTCGAAGTGAAACTATTTTGAGAGGAGACAATGGTTTTAAAGGTCCCAGACTGAGCTGACTGGTGATAAGAAATACTTATTAATAAGTACAAGGACACATATTTCTTTATTTGATGATACAATGTTGTGTTGTTGTTTTTTCTTTTTTTCCCCTCATGTTTTATCATTTTCTTGTCAATTTACACTTATTTGAAATCTATTTATTAATTATTGTTCCCTAGATCAGGCCACTGCTTAATGTTGTATGCCTCTATGTAAATTCTGAAAATAAAATAAAATCTGATTATTTAAAAAAACAGGGCTGTTTCTCATTATCCCGCAGACAACTCCCTCACACCAGTTTCAGGCTTTAAAAATTACAACATAAGAACATCAATCATATCGCAGATGGTCTTTGTTTGCTTTTGAATATCATGAAAATTGAAAAGGCATCGATATAGTTTTCAGTCTATTTCATAATTATGAAAAAAAATCCTCATTGGAGATTTAACTTGAAATCTAAAGTTTGGCATTTTGACTGTTGTCAACTTTTGTAGGACTGGAAGGGAATGTATCTAAACAACAAGTTGTTTCCAAGTTGACAAGTAGCCCTAAAGTGTAGTAGCCATTTCGACCAATTTTACTCCAATACATATACAAAAAGGGTGACTTGTTGATTGCTTGTATCTTTCAGTTAAGACCAATAACTTATAATCAAATGAAGATGACTAAGGTGATTATAAAGCTGAAAACTTTTCTCATCTCAGGCTACTTCTCAAACCAGTACAGTCGCCCCCTGCTGTTCAAGTTTCAGTCACTGCATATTTAGCTTTACTTTTAACCCCAAGTAGCTAATTCCCTATTTTTCATCCAGTCTACAGATTGAAATAAATAAATCTACCTGTGAATAAAGGGTTAGGTATCTCTGAAACAAAAAAAATTCCAAGAAACGTCTGGACAGCAAAAATCTTGTCAGCAATACAAGTGGTTATGCATTTTATACAGCAGATTTTGTTATACTCTTCAAACAATGTAATTATACTGCAAACTGTTGGAATCTCAACAAAAATACAAAGCATTTATTGATTTTCAAGTAAAATACTTTGGCTAAAATACTTCACTCAGTCATCTCGTGTCTCTTTGACACATTTCTTCTGTAAAAAAATGTTTCAAGTACCTCAGGCTTCCTGGATGTTTTCTGCTGTTTCAAGTAGATCCTTTCTGTCACTAAAATATAGCAAAATGCAATACCTTCAGGTTAAAATGTGCTACTAAAAGAGTCAAGTAAGTAAGTCTCTATAGAAAAGACTAAATTTTTAAATGGATTGAATCTACAGCTAAATGATCAGTTTGGTGACCAACTTTTAAATTGCTTATTTGTTTACTCCATAGATCTCTTATATTTCTCATATCTTGTGCATTTTCAATATAACAAATGCACAAGAGAGACTAATGGTTGCAAGATGTTTGGACATGTGTGCAGTCGTCATGTGAATATGGTCCTTTGTCTAACCATCTGCCTCAGTCAAAGCTGTATATTAATAATCATCAGCTAAACATAAGCACCATGTACGCCTGGTGATATGTTTCCTAAAATAAACTACAGTACCCAGGTGTTTTGGAGAGTAAATGTTTTTTCGCCTGCTTTAATTGTTTGAAGTTATGACAAACTGCTTTAAATAAGTTTGTAAAAACAGGTTAGCACAATCAGTCTTTTCACAGGTTTTGTTCACAATAACAAATGTGGGCTTATAATCTCAGCCTTCTAATACTTTGATGTTTTCCCCATTTCATTTCTGTCAAGACCTGACTTTGAGACATGCCTCATAAACAGCATGTCCATTTATCTCTAACTTTACTCCTTTTTTCATCTTCAATCCTTTTCTACATCTTCACTGAACTCTTACTCCTCTCCTCCAACAACACCCCACCACTCCTGCGTGGGAGCCTCCAGGCTCTTGTGGTCGGAGTCTTCGTGAAGAGGCTCTTCTTTCTCAGCCGGCTGTCCACCAGTCTGCTCCCAGTCCAGCTCTTTTAGGGAGATCCCCCCTGAGCTTCTCCCTCTGTAGTGTCTCTCCTCTTGATCCTGGAGAGGCACAGAGCGGACCGAAGACCCCGCGAGGGATGTCTCTCTGCTGTCTGAGAGGAGGACCCCACTCCCTGAGCTGTATTCACTGTTGGAGTCGGCACCTAGAGCAGTGAGAGAACAAAAGGAGGGAGTGGACAGATGGTGAGAGGACTTCTATAAACAAACACCACATGAGAAAAGATATGCTGTCCAAAAATACAGAGCAGGGATTCAAGCAAAATCTGCATGAAGCTTTTAGAAGCACACTGTGACTTCAGTCCAGAATAAACACTAGTCCTCCATAAATTGTGCACTTGTTTACACTGAACTCATCTATTATTTAGTCAACATTTGCATGCAGTAAAGATATATCTACAATTACAAATTGCTAGTATCATATTTAATATGCTTTGTAGAGTTTTTTTTAACAAAGTTCAAGGCAGTAAAACAACACTAACAGCTAGCATGCTTGTGCCAATAAAGTATGTGTACAAAATCAATGTTGAGTTCAGTGCATCAGCTTGAAAACAATTTACTCTAAAGAAGTTAAGTTAATAATGAGGATGTGTTGGCTTTTAATGTTTGAGGTATCAGTAAAATAAGAGCTGAATTTGTTTAAAGTTCATAAAACGATGCGGAAAATCAGTATAAACTTAACTTACTAAACTCAGCGCAATTCACTGAATGGGACTCTACCCTTAGAGTTGTTGTATTGATCTTTTGTGCTCCTCAATGAGACTAAATAATAGGGCTGGGACGATATGCTTTTCTCCCGATTTGATTCTTCTACGATTTTTTGGATGCCGATTCGATTTAAATTGCGATTCTACGATATTGTCGATTTTCTCAATTTTTAGTCTGCATTTTTAACATCAGTGAAAAAGTAGAATGATTATGATTGTCGACTGAATATTCCAGGAACTTTAATTCCCCCAAAAATACACATCACATGTAAGTCAGTTTTTGAGATTTATTCTTAAATGTGAAAAAAATATATATAAAAATCTAATTTTGAACATACAAATTTATTTAAAAATTGTAAAACAAAAAATCGCGATACTTATGTGAATTGACTTTTTTCTCCAAACCCAACTCAACAAGGCTCTTCATTTAGCAATCCAGTTTGACGTTACTTCTTTTACAGCTACCAAGCTAATCCTAATTTATGTTACACAGCTTGTTTACTCTGATGCTTTGTTTTAGAGCTGATTAATATCAGGAAAAAAGTTACAGCGACAATTAACAACTATGCTTTGTATTATTTGGATCTTTGAGTCGACTTCCCTCCTAGTTTTACCATCCTGAGTCCAGTCCTCTGGTACTGGCTGTGACATCCTCATGGATAAGTCCCCTTATGTGGGCTCGAAATGTTGAAAAGCAAATGGGAATACCCTGCCATCACACCGAATATGCTTGTGCATTCACCAGGATATCAGACACCCTGTAGACAAAGTGGTACCCTTTCCCTTGAAGTTGTTTTATCTGATAGATGTGTTTTTTGTTAAGTTTCATCTTGCACTTTTGCAAAAAGCAAAATGCACCACTCATGGAGAATCTTTGCTGTGGAAAATGTTAAAAAAGAGGCTGCTGTTGTGCACACTGTACATCACTTCATCTGACATTTACCCCGCAACAGCGTTTAAAAATAACAATAAATAAATGATAAGTCTTATTTCCAGTGGCGTTGTTTGCTTTAGGTCATACAGAGGCAGTAGTATTCATTTCAATCTGTTTAAATCTGGTTCAGTTTAAAAAAAAAACTCATTTCTGGATCTTTAATATCAATTCAATAATCCATATTTTGCAGAAACAGCTTGGATACATCTTGCATATTCATTACTTTTCCCCCTTCATTTGTATGAGACAAAGCTATAGTAATTCTTTCCTGTGGCACATTTTAATTTGTTAATGAACCAGGGGATGAGAAGCAACACCTCATGCTGGGACTTGTGGTAGATACTCAGAATAGTCCCTGAAATGTTGTTAATTAGAAACTCCCTGTAAGCTAAAGGTCTCTGCCCTTTAATTGGACAGTTCATGGAAGCAGCACAGCCTCTCCACTGTCCTCGGTGGTTTTTCAGTCGGCTTCTTGCAGGTAAATAGGATCAATATCACACCTGTGTGAGCTGTTATGCTGACCTTTTTGTCTTTGTGTATCTGGGAGTGTTTTCATGTTCTCAAATCAATACCCCTGCACAATAAGAAAGCCTGTCATTGACTTCAGACCAGGTATTGATGAATACAAATGGCTAAAAATTAACCTTTCATACAAAACAATGAAGAAAGGCCAGAAAGAGGCTAAACATCATATTTCAGGTGGTGAAGACATGAAGACGTGGGTCAATTTATCAGGGGTCACTGAGTTTGGACATTGGATTTTTGCACTTTTGATCAACACTAGCAATTGAAGAAGAAAATGAATGGCCTAAAATTCAGAAGCTTAAAATTTAGCACAATCAATCTTTAAAGTATAGGCTCTTTAACTACAAACAAAACTTTTTTCTTCCTTATTTAGCAAAAAGGAAGTTAGAGGAAGAGATTAAAAGTCACAACTCTGAACTGTGCTGAAGATTCTTCTCACATGAAATGAAAAAAGACCAAAAGTGGAGATGGTGTGAAAATACAGAGAGTGTAGAACATTACTATGAAAAGACTTCATGTGTCACACATCGCCGAATAACTCTGATCTCTGAACTTGTTAGATGAGAGCAGAGATATACAGCATGGCATGAGAAATCACTTCATGTTGACACACGATGTGTGAGTTTGAACAAGACATTTCAAATTAACTGCACACATCTGATCGACTGATTAATGGGAATAAGGCAGCGCTCTATGAAAAGTAGAATCATTGTATACATGGGGGCAAATGAAACACAATAAGCACTAAACACAATGCATACACACACAAAAAAACCCTCATAATTATATTTATGAGTATTTATTTAATATTCACGTAAAACCTAACCAACTTTGAATCCAGCAGAAAGCACTCACGGATTAATTTACAGCCTCCTGGTAAGCATTTGAAGCACGGAGCCAAGTGTAAATCAAACATTAAAAATATGCACACTGAGCTCTCAGACAGCCACCACTTTGCTCTTGTGTTAGTTTTCCTCCGCTAGTGGAATGCCTGAAGCGAGTCTCAAAATTTAATCAGTCAACGGGGAAGAAAAATCCCATTTGGATTCGAAGATACACATTAGGCGTGATATCTTCATTTTTTTCCTCAGTATTTGATTGGAAGGGTTTAGTGGTGCCTCCAGGTGCCGTCTCTGCATGCATGTGAGTGACAGTTGATCCTTTACTAGGATGAAAATAGAGAAAGAACTGTGGCACAATTTGAGCAGGTTAAGATTTATGGTGCTCAAAACTGACAGACTGATTAAGCAGAAACATAATTGTATTATTCCAGCAACAATACCGTCGAATAAAATTTGCTTCCGGCCAAACTTTTAGGTAATTCCCAGAAATCACAGCTGTAAGTTTAGGAGGTTACAAAGACCTGGGTTGCAAAAAGGGACTTGTTGCACAGTTGTTGTGAAACTTGACTTGGTACTTGGATTACCAAAGACTGCCTGCTAACACGACTGTGAATACTGTGACACTCAGGACCCTGATCAGCCTTGCTTGATCTACTAGTTGAGATCCAGATTGGGAAATCCCTACTCAACACGGTAAAAATGATGCTTATTAGTTTCCATATAGAGAGTTAGTGGAGAGAATTGATACCACTTCCGTTAATGATTTGGGGCCTGTATCCATAAACACTATTTTTGCACTATCTTCTATACAAAACCAATGCAGCTCAAGGTTTTCTCTTTTAATTTTATAGTTCAGTCACTATCGGGCACTTCTGCACCTGTCACCGTCACTTCTCCATCACTGACCAATCAAAATCAAGAGAGGGCAGGACCTCTGATGGCGACTCAGGGTGGGAGAACAAATTGATAAATCATAGTATTGTGATATTTTGTCTGGTGATATATCGTATTGCCTCATTTACCAAGTATCTATTTTTCAAATTAATTGCTAATATGAGGTCAAATCTATAATAATGGAAAAATAAAATCAAATTCTGTGTGAATAAGACAAACATAAATGAAAGCCAAATACTAAATTAGCTAAACAGTTGAAAATTTTTTTATAAATGGCAATATATTGTATCGCAATACTCACTGTATCGCAATAATATCGTCTTTTGGCCCAAGTAAGATGACAACATCTTATCGTGGGGTTTACTGGTGATTCCCATCCCTAATGGCAACAGCAGCTTTTCTTTTGTCAACAATGATGGCAGAAGTCAGTCCAGAGGAGGAATTCACCACTTGTTTTTGTACTCTGAAGTTAAGGTTTTGGGCGCTGTCAACATAAGAAATGCTGCTGGTGGACACAGGCCCCTAAAATGAAGCCGAAGTGGGAGCAATAAGTTCAGCTGAGCATAATGGATGAATGAATGAACCGATCAATGGATGGTCAGATGCTTTATTGAGTGGAAATACAGGCTCCAGTGCCTAAAAAGTCAATGCATGACTGTACGGTATGAAAAACATCAGCAGCCATTTATTTTGAGCACCCTAATTGACATGTCTGTTAATTAAATGGTTTCTGCCGACTGGCTTGTTATCTCATGATAAAGACACACATCATGACGTCATTGCACAAGGCTAAGAAATGGACAATACTGCAACTGGACAATATCTCTGTGATGCCATAACTTTTGACTTCTATAGCTTAGTTTTTGTGCAGATTTTTAACAAACAGTTCATATTGTTTGGATGTGATAGCTGCAGAAATGCGAGTTGCCTGATTTCTTTAATTTATTTTCAGTAAACTGACTAGCTCTCCATGCACCAGACTTTTTTTTACTAAGCTAAACTGGTTGCGCTTGACTTGGCATTATACTTTACAGATCATATGCGAGATGGTCACAATATTTTAAATGACTTTTTAAAATAGGACAACATGGTATCTTTTCTTTTTATCAACACCAAAATAAAAAAAATAAAAAACTTTAAAGATTGTAGTTGACTTGCATTCAGGGCAAACGGTGGCACAACTAGCACTTCAGATTTGAATCAAGACCTATTTTGACAGGACATGAGGTCTGACGTGAACTTGCCCCTTAAGAATTCAGAGTAGCTCTGGTGACAAGGCCCCTTGTGTAGCTCTACAGACTGAACCATGTTAGGGTATGACAGGGGGATTTTAGATCACCGTCTGACAGTGAGGAGGGCCGGGGGTTGATCCGGTCACTGAAACAGGGTCCATATGAGAGGTGGTAGATAGGGGCAGATGAAGAAGGGGTACTTGGGGTCTATGGACCAAAGAAGCCTCCAGTGTCCCGAATGCTCCACTGACCTGGCTGAGCTGATTCAAGTGTGACAGGGGCACGGCTACCTGTCACATTATCATTCACAGTCATGGACCTAAATGTCATTCCCACTCTGCGCTGCAGCCAAGTCGCACTGGATCTGTCAGCTCCACTGAATTCAGCTCCATTTTTGAGGCATAGAGATTGTGAAGTTTAAGCTTGTGGTTGAAGGATAAGGAGACATTTGTCCAAAAATGTGGTGGCTGGAGTTTTGTTTGAATTAAACATGAGTAACTTGTACACAACTGAACTAATTAAGAGAACAGATTGCCTTAAGTCAGGACTGAGAGTCCACAAGAATGTTAGTTCACAAGTTATTTATTTTTAACTCAAAATCCAGAGAAGTTTCTAGTCAAAGCTAACACTCTTGAGACATTTTGGACCCATTTTTAAAGACAAGACCTGGTCTGAACAAAAATTAGTGAAATGAGTATGACCTCTTGAAAGTCTGACTGATACACCACATTGTGTTGATGGTGATTGATAAAGCAAGCACAGACCTTCTTACCAAGGAAGCGTATCAGATAATACTGATAACCACTATTTTATGCTGATTTAAAGGGATAGTTTGCTTTTTTTTGAGGTGGAGTTACATGAGCTACCCAACCAAACTAGCAATGGGTTGGTTACTGGCTTCAAGGTAGGTCACTCTAGACTCACACTAGAGCCAAACGGAGTCAACGGAGAACGACCAAATATGCCTGTTTTGTGTAACTTATGGTTGCAAAAACCAGAGCAGTATTGAAACCAGATCACATGATCACATTTCATGAGTAAGATTGAAAAATAATTTGGTTATTTTTTTGTGTGACAGCGTCCTGTATCATAGCTTCATCTCTGCCGTTTTTAACAAACCAAACTGTGTGAAAATTGGGTAAAAATCCAGGGAGTTATGATTAATATAGTTGGGCATTCCTACCCACCTCAATAGAAATAAATGGATTAGGGGCGCATGGGGGACCCATCCAAGATTGTTGCAGGGTCAGTCTATGAGGCATCTACATATATTATGTCTGTGGTGGGACTGATCACCCAATTAACCAGGACAGAGGATACTTGTCATATCTGAGAAGCTCCTTTCTGGGATGGCTTTCTGTGCATAAACATTGAAATAACAGATTCAGGTTATTTGACATTATTCTTGGTGGTAGTAGCGATATCAATTTTCATTTATTTTATTGTAAGTCAAAATACATGTTCGCTAATTTCCAAATATTTTACATGTTTTTTGAAAATAAAATACAATGTGTTCAAGGTAAAAAAAAAAAAGTCCTGAATATGTCAAGGTAACATATTTTAGAGCTGTATCACTATACAGTGATACCATAAAACTGCAATATTTTTACTGAAGGTTATCCCTCTGTTAAACTCTCATACTAGGCAAGACTGAACCCAACTTTGTCATATGAGGTTGTGTAGTTCAGCAATGAGGAAATCAAAAACCACTGCATAAATGGCAACACTAAAATTAATTATGGGCTTTTCAAGTTTTAATACATTTTTTCCAATCATCCGATATAAATATTTCTCTGTCTCTAACCAATCTGTTCAAACATTAAATCCAACTGGTACCACATATCTGACATCATTTGCATTTATCTGTATTTGTTGCTTTTATTGACTAAATGGAAATGAACACTGTGGCCTTGTGTTAAGCTGTGGCAGTCAGATGTTATTAACCTTAAATTTTCTCAAAGGCTAATTTTCATACCCTGTTCAAATAATGAACAGACCTGCTTTATTCAGTATTGACTCTTGAAAAAAAATCATCCACACGGTTTTATTTCTCAGGAGGATAAATTAGTATCAAGTGAAATATTGTGTTAAAGTGCCTGAGCTTGTTTTTACACTGAAATCAAGTTGCTCACAGGGTGTCCGTGAAGCTGTGGAATGTCCCTCAGTGAGTGGCAGCACACATCCACCAGAGGCTGTTGTGTCAGGGCTTTTCATTAACACCTGAGAAGGTGTCAATCACAGTTTACCTCTGTGAGGCGGCTCATAAACAAAACAGCAGTGGAAACAACATCTTAAATCTCCAGGGTCCTACCCCACAGGAAACAACCACGACTGGATGCTGAAACCAACACACAGAGGGCTTAATGTGCTTGGACAAAGTAAGAAAACCCAAATACCTCAAAATCAATTTCCTGAGAGAAATTGTTGTTGGCTTTTTGATGCAGATTGTTGATTTAAAAAAAAAAAGAAAAAACGATAGACCATGTCTCTCCAAAGTGTCAATGTCGAAGAGTCAGATATGTTGCTTAAAGAGATTATTAAAGGAGTAAGTATTCATTCATGTTCATCATTTGGAATTTGACCGATGCCTGTAGTTAGTCCAATGCGGCTCTTGCTCCAAATATGCTGTAAATGGACATGTGCTTATTAAACCATACACTACAACACATGTGAGATATAATACAGTATGACTGTGTTTTGCTCAAAGGTTGATTTGGTATCCCCATATCCTCTCAAAAATGCAGCTGAGGCAGGTCTTGGACCAAATCCCCAAAGTTTCCAAAAGGATATTAATTATATAATACACAGCTAAATAATAAATACTTTTAAAAATGGATGGAAAGGCAGGAATTCCTGTCTGTATCAAACTATAACGTACTGTGCAGAGTTAGTTTTGGACCATAGACTGTATATACTATGGAATTTTTTTTAGTTTGTCCACAGCTCCATAGGGATTGCTGGAGGAGGCGGGATTTATGACCTATACTGCAGCCCGTCACCAGAGGGTGCTGTTTTCAGGGAGGCTTCACCCAGCGAGGAGGCAGACGGCGCCCATTCTACATACAGTCTATGTTTTGGATAGAGCTGTTCCAGCTGTGCTAACTGCTTAGCCTCTTGAAGTGCTGTCTGCAATATTGGCTGCTTGCATTAGTTTTCTTCACACTTTATATTGCATTAACTTGAGCCCTCATGCCCACAAAATATGAAGAAGGAAAATAAGAAAATAGCAAAAGGAAAGAAAAACACCTTTCCAGATTGGTCTGAAGTCTGACACCACATTCAAAATTTCCTGGAAGTAATCTGAATGTCTAAGGATTCAAAAACAGTTCAAACCATATCAAGTTGGTGTTTTTAACAATCCTGACAATAGAGACAAACTTAATTTCTTTTGAAACAGGTCAGGTTTCTGCAGATGATTACATTGGAGCATGCGTGCAAACAACAATCCGAAAATGGCATCGGAAATATGTAAGAGCATCAGAAGTTAAAATGAGTAAAAGAGGCTCTTTCTCAGTGTGTGATCATGCCTAGGTTTCAGGTTTGTAGGGGGAAAGTGCGTAGAACTATAAAACACTTTGCAGAAACCAGGTCAGCTTCATCAAAAGCACCATCAGATAAACTGAAAATGACAACAGAAACCATCAGGAGATCAATACAAGCTTCCCGAAAAGAGAACAGTAACCTTTTCACTGAAAAGGAATCGCTAAATAAAGAATTCAGGACTAATAAGAAAAAAAAGAAGTGTCAAAACACAGCTGCCTTGATTTGGTCTCAGAGGATGAGGGATGATTATCTAAACCACTCCAAAGGAGGGGAAACAAGTTTGAGTGTTACGCAGATGAAAAAATACCAGCAGAAAAAAAAAATGGTGAGTGAAAAAGGTCTTATTTGTACAGGTTAAAGGATAGGGAGGTGTCCATATGTGAACAAACTGGAGAGAGGGTGATGTTGGACAGGATTAAACCGGTAGTGAAATCTGGTGGTTTGTGTTTCGAGACATGGGGATGTTTTGCAAACTGTGGAGCCGGCTACCTGACCCACATGGACTTCACCCTGACCATGAAGTACCACTCTGTCCTTGAAAGGCTTGCGTTTCACTCTTGTTTGTTTACTTCTGCAGGAGCATTCATACTGCAACGTGATTATGACCCCAAACACATCCCATATCTCTGCGAGAACTTCTCAAGGATAAAAAAGACCAAGGTCCTTTTCAGAGATTCAGGTTTGACTTCGATACTTGAGTGGAAGTTTTTTTTTTTTTTAATGAAAAAATAAAACATTTGAATAATAAATAGAAGTTTCCTAACTACTGATAGCAGACGTTACTGTACGTCCACTCAGACACACAGACAGTGGTTCTTTCTCTATCTAGTTAGATGGTTTTGCTGCATGACCGTCATACGTACACATGACAGCGATTTCATTCTGCAATAATGAAAAAGTAGGCAGCTATATCTGGCAGTAAAATATGACCAGAGAACAAAGTACACAACAAAGTAAAGATGCAAACATTTAAAACAATTTGTTTTTATAACCGTGGCTGAGACTGAGAGGCGTCTGCAGAAATGACCTGCTTGTTTTGAGTGACGTTTGCTCTGCGCTTCTTCCGTGTTTAACCCAAACTACACGTTTTATTTTTCTCCTGTTCAAATATTAAAGAGGAAGAGAAAATTAATCAGCTTACTCTGAGCAAAAGCTCAAAACACTCAAATGTGATGGAGTGGGGTCAAAAAGTACAATATTTGACTTTCATATGTAGTGGAGAGTAGGGCTGCCAATTTTGAATATTTTAGTAATTGCGTATTCTACCGAATATTCAATTGATTAACCGAGTAATCGGATAAAACATAATTTTGTTAGTGCAATTATTAGTATACAAGAGAAAATAAGACATTTAACTTTATAATGAACAATAATTTTTTTCCCATTTTTTGACACAAGGAATGCAGAACAAGCGTGTGCGTTAAATAAGATATTGTAAGATACTAGCTTTTATCATGCATGAATGCCCGTCGTTCATTTTCTCTGCTCCGCCAAACCAAAACCGGGCTTACTCCTTCTACCGTGGTGATGTAAGCGCGATGATTGACGTGACAATTTGAGCTTTAAAACGAGTACTTGAGGCAGAGAAAATCCCTCCATCATTTTTTGTAATCGAGGTACTCAAGGAATCGTTTCAGCCCTAGTGGAGTGAGAGAGTTTCCCCAAAATATTCATATAAAGTACAGACACTCAGCAGTTGAAAAACTGATATTGGTTGACCAATAACACATCCTGTACTTCAGTAAATTCACTCCCCTACTGGTGCGTTCCTGGGGGATTTGAAGCCTGGTTGGTTTACCACTCACCTGAGACATCCGAGTCACTGTGCATTTCCTCTTGTTCCGACAGTTTCCTCTCCACACGCCGCAGCTCAGGAACGTAGAAATCTCCCTGTCGAGCCAAGGGGGCCATGAAATGGATGTGTCCCTCTCTGTAGATCTCCAGGAATGGGTGTGCACACAGCCTTCTCTTCTGCAGGAGAGGATAGCGGTGGTGAGAATCAAAAAAAGAGACTCTACTTTACTTTAAAGTCACGTGTAACAAGAAATAACGAAACTCACAATTCTCTTAAAACTAAAAAATGGTCATTAAGCTTTTTTTCAGATCTTGCGCATGTTTTTGAAATTATCCTTGTGAAAAATCATCAGAGTAAATATTCATGTAACTAAATGACATTTATATAACTGAGAGTTTTGCTATGTATGTGTGTGCTTATAGATGCATGCACATATAATGAGAAAAGGAAGTATCACAGCATAGATACAAGCCCAAACACGTCCATAATCTCACAAGTCTGCATCCCGTCAGCTACAGGTGAAAATGATTTGTGTAAACCTCTCTGCTCCACTCCTATACTACCACGACTCTTTCTCTCATCTTCACACCCGGCGAGAAAAACATCTCAGAGCCCAACAGTCTGTCTTTATGACACTCGAAGTTGCGATCCTCCTCTGGTTCCTCCCCTTGTCCTCTACAAATGAGAAGTCTCATATGACAGAGGCCACTCCACTGCTGCAGGCCTCATTAACCTTTCATGCATCATGTTTTGTTATTCCACTCAGGCACAGATATTGTCTGTTTCTCTCACCCCTCCGACACATGCTAAATGTCGAGCAGTACTACCAACACACTGCAGCTGCGGCGCCGTATCTCAGTCTGATCAATTATTCAGATATCGTTTGTTTTAATCACCCAAAGTTTTATTGCTAGTTTTCTATTTTATTACTACCCAAGTGTAGGAGATTCATTCTGGCTTCATGCAATTAAACAGTGAAGTAATAATACAATTCAACAGATGTTGGAAATAACTTGCTGTACACTTTTACATAAAGTACAGGTAACACCATTTTTACATGGTGCAACTGCAAAGGAGTCAAAAAAAGTCATCACTCTGGAGCTTAGCAAAGTATATAATAAATTAAGAGATTTTAAATTCAAAAGAAATGTGATATGAATTCATGAACTAAAAATAAAAGCAGGTAATCATTCTACTAACTCTCTTTCCCAAACACACATCTTTTTTTTTTATGCAATATGGCAGATTTCTGACATCTGTCCAAAAGCAGAATCTGTTCAAACTTTGATTATCTTTGACAGATCCTGGGAGAACAGATTCCTTGACGTTCCGGTTTCAAGCTTAGTGGAAACGGTGACAGGCAAGTGAGTGTTTAGTGGAACACCAGGAACGTCACACATCTGATAACAGGGACTTGTAGACTGAACTGACATGCATAGGATGGATTTTATAACAGACAGCTGACTTCTTTCAAAGTCTCTCACCATCTGTCTCTCAGCCCAATTATGACAGCAGCGAAGCTACTCTCACTGCTTTCTGCAGCAGCATCATTGTCAGTTTCATGATTTCAGCTACATCAATTATTGGTGTATTTTTCCTTTAGAGACATCTGGGCCTTCTCATTGGCTTGCCTTGTGCTGCATATTGATGCACACATGCAGATATACCTTCTTTGTTTCGTGGCTCAGACACTAAATAAAAGATCAAACGTGAAAAGGCAGTAAAGTTCGACGACACTGCCTGCACACCGGCTACATAAATGAGTGCAGCATTCATATTTTATTTGCAAATGTTAAATTTTACTGACTAAAACATGAAACAAAAAAATATATAAATATATATATCAGGCTGGGTGGCAGGAGAAGCTCCAAATACAATACTTTAGACAAGACATGCTCAATAAGAGAACCTTTAACAGAACTTACTAGGGGTGGGAGAAAAAAATCGATACATAGTTCATACATACGATAGTATCGCGATATTTTGTCTGGTGATATATCGAATCATCTCATTTACCAAGTATTGATTTAAATTAATTGATAATACGAAGTTAAATCTATAATAATAGGAAAATAAATCAACTGTTTGTCCAGTGAGGTTGGCAGAGGTGACATCATGGGGCAGGAGAAAATTAGTGCAAAAAATATATATATATAAGGTTTGCAAAATGTGCTACATGAAAATTAAATACAGCGTAAATAAGACAAACATAAAGGAAAGTCAAATGTTAAATTAGCTAAACAGTTGAAAAAGTCATCTTAATCGCAATATATTGTATTGCAATACTCACTTTATTGCAAAATGTTAAAAATCACAATAATATCGTATCGTGGCCCAAGTATTGTGATAATATTGTATCGTGGGGCCACTAGTGATTCCCACCCCTAGTACTTAAGTATTGAGTGAAAAGAGCAAAGGGTAGAATAGCACAGCACTTAGCCCTAAAAACAACAACTGAAATTTCCTGCTTAAAATGTAAAAAAAGCACCTAATAAAGAGAGGAACCATATTTCCTGAGCTGTTTCTAACCTCATTTCACTTGATTTATTGCAAACACTGGACTCTTTGCTAGGGATGCACCGATCAGATATTTGGATCGGATATCGGCTCCGATGTTGACAAATTAACTGGATTGGATATCTGATGAATGACGCTGATCCAGCGTTCTGATCCAGTCTTTTTTTTTTTCTTCAAATTAATTTGTCTTTTAATACATCAAAGTCTTACTTCTTTTTTGCTGTGTTTGCTAATGTCAAGCCGGATGCCTTCACTCACTGGGCAAGGTATACAGTTCATTCATTCAACAGTAGTATTGGATCGATATTGGATATCAGCCGTTACACCCAGCTCAGGTATCGATATTGGATTGGATTGGGAAAAAATGGCTTGGTGCAACTCTACTCTTTGCAAAGGTAAAGAGTAATAGTTCATTAAAGCAAATCTCTGTTTTCTTCATAGCATCCTGTATATAGAGTCAGTAAAGTTTTGAGCTGATGAGCCATGGTAAATTCGCATTCATACTGGCAATCATAACAGCAATTTGAGGTTTGTTGCACAGTGCTTACAGGGTCCAGCCCAGGTCTAATGTCAACAGATCATCATTATTTGCATTGTGGGAAACAGTAGCATTATGAATACAGTGTCTTAGGGTACATCAGGACTTGGAAAACAGCGACATAGACCTGAGCTGTGACAGTTTATGAGGGTGCAGAGTGGAAAAAAAGGGAGCTAACGAGTCCTCCGAAATAGAAAATGATGCATCAGGTTAAAAAAATATTCTGGCTTTCTTAAAAGTAAACAAATCTGAAAGTAGGACACAAACTGCAGCTCAGATGCATATATTTGTGCTCCTGTGACAGTGACAACAGGATCATAAAAACCTACTCTGCTATGCTCTTTGGTCGATCAAAATTTAAAAAATTAGACTATTTAAAAGCTAATTATTCACACGTTCCTCTGTGACAAAGGGGATTTTTACATTTCTCATGATTTTTTAAAAAGCTTTTTAAACAAACGCCCTTTCAGTTTATATTTCTCGACACTCTGACACACCTTTTTGCATATTCATACGTTCACATTTCTTACCGAAACCTATCAGGTGTCGGCTTAAGGCTGAATTAATAATACTTCCATTTGCCTTCAAAACTGACTATTTCGAGGTTTCAGCATAAGCTTTCCATTTCGTTCTTTGCCTCACTAATGAACATCTACTTAAAATTAATTCCACCTCAACAGAACTCCTTGTAAAAACAGAAGGCAGAATCTGCATTAACACATTAAAGTTTCAAATATTCTTTTGATTAATGAAAACCTGAAATTGCTTTTAGGCAGAAAAGTTGAGGGGTGAGTACTTCTGACTTTTTCAGACCACCAGTGATGTCCAGACAAGTGAGTGAAGAATGAAAGAAAGCTAAATGCTAATTAATTCTGAGTGGATTAATATTCAGCGATGGGGTTCACTCTGTGTTTGCGCGCTTTAAACATAACTTGCTGCTTTTATGCCTCATGAGCTGGAAGTTCTCCAGAAAGTTAATAACAAGAAGGCTTTCATTCAGCCCCAACTTTAAATAAAGACCTAACCAAGACGTTTTTTTGGGGGGGAATTTTCATACAAACAAGCTTGAGGACTGCAAGTTTTTTAGTGCCTGAAACCATTGTTATGTATTTGGTTTAAGTACTGATTTGCATGTTAAGTGGATTGTACAAATTATACAGACTCTGACCAGAATATTAGTAAAATAACATCCCTCAGCTGTATCAAAAGACTGTTTTATAAGTGTATGAAAAATATCAGAAAAAAGGCTGACAGTTGAGTTGTGTCTGGACGGTCAGTTTTCATTCCAAGGACATCTGAGTGGGACACGTCAAAGCCGGGGACTCAGCCTGGATCACCAATGAGACAATTTATGCACATTTCTGGATCATTTAAATTGATTTAAAACCCAAAGTGACTCTTAAAACTCATGTAATCAACTAAATGTATATAATTTATAGCCATTTTTTTAATTATCTCTAATCCAGTTACTAAAGATTGACTAGAACAAGCAACTTTGAGATATCAAATCAAAATAATGATAAAAGTCCCACTCCGATCGTTTTTTTTTTTTCTACTACTTTAAGTGTTCTCAGTGGTCTTTATATTGTGATTATGAAGTTTGTGTCACTTTGAAGAGCTTTTCTTTTGCAGAGCTTGAGTAGATCATTAGAAATTCGCCTCTGAGTTGTGAGTGGAGACAGCGCTGCCCTGCACACTTCTCTTCATGTTAGCTTGCAGCCTAACATTGTAGAAGAAGCTGATAACATAGGAGCTCTTCGGACACTAATGCCTTTAGGGACACGATGAAAGTGAATATTATAACTAGCTTTCTTACAAGCATTGAAATCCGCTACCGCACACGCTTGTTTCGCATTGTTCTCTCTTTCTCTCCTAGCCTAGCCTGCATAGCGGGGCTTTGGGGGCGGAGCCTGGATTTGCAATGTAGGAAATCTCACTGAATCTGAACCTGACAACTCTAACCTCCCCTGCACAATGTTGTTTTAAATCTATCATGAGATTGTTCTCTATTTGTCATGTGCAAATGAATAAACTACACTGAACTAAACTAAACTAAACCAAGACAAAACACTCAAATTAACTGATGTCATTCATTTGAATTGGAAAATAAAGACATGGTTAAGAATTGCTAAACATAGTAAGATTTAAAAGCAAAATCATTGAATAATGAAAATATTAATGAACTAAAGAAAATTAATCATCTGACAGCTGACGACTCATTCATTGAGTTATTTCTTAAGCTGGAGAGCACCTTTAGTGCATATGAGGTGCTTACCTCTCACTTAGAGTCACAGCTTCAACCAGTGAGCTCATTTCTGTGTCTCATAGACAGAGGAGCTGGGATAGAGATAATAAGACAAACTGAGAAAGGTAGCCTCGTGTAATTGGGTAGGGGGTTGTGTATGGTCTTCTTATTGTGATTTTCATTCGGTTTTTGCCATACTCCCCTCAGCAGTGAGGTCTTCAGGAGCCCTGGAGATCATGGCAGTGAGTCAGTTATTTGTTAGAGTTTTTTACACCCTCCAATTCTTTTGGATCAAGATATCTGTTGTTTTGTCTCACTGGTATAAAAAAATTATTACAGAGTAGTATTATGAAGAAAATAGAAGTGGGAAATAACAACAGCCAACACAACATGACCTCACCTCTGCTTTGATGCTCAGAAATTAAAAATCAAAAGAGTCAGAACTGGATGTATCTACATTTGTTTTTCTGTTGTAGCGTGCTTTTTAATCACAGGACGTAACCCTGCCAACAATACCTGGGAATGCAGTGTGTGGATCATGAATAATCACTATCTATGTTTTCCAAATGAGAGTCTGAATACTGGAGCGAACAGCGGTAACTCATCTCTGTTTGTTCAGACATACATCAGCCTGCGCCAAAGCTTGATGCTGTTTCAGTTGGAACAATTCAAAGGCACCGTGGAAGCTGAGTTAATGGGTTATAAAAAGCGTAATTATAGAGGTAGCAGTTAGATTCATCTCAATATTATGATACTCTAAAGTATAGCAAAAAAGCATTATGAAGCAACAAAAGGTAAAAAATAAAAGGAGAGTAATTAGCGATGGGAGTTACCAATAATAATGTTTTAACACACTCACAGGTGTGTGCAGATGGTGCTTTCATCACCTCTCCTGCACTTTCTCATGCTAAATGTATTTGTAGCCTCTCAGCGGGGAGTCTCAGGGGAAGTGATAAAGGATGGTCTACATGAGGAGGGGAATGTGCTTCCAGCTTTCTAGCCTGAGGGACAACATCTGCATGGGACCCCTGTGCAAATACATCACATGTGAGCTTAGATAAATAAATGAAAATGTGCCGGGTATTTTTAGAGCCCCACATCCAGATTACTGGTTCTGAAACATGACAGCTACACACGCAGGCTTTAGATGCCTCTATTTCCTGGAAAGACATGAGGGCTCTGTAATAGTGGACATATACTGTACAGCTTTACAGCTCTACAAACAGCAATATTATTTTTGTTTTAAGTTCGCTATGAAAGGGAAAAATAACCGTGCTGAGATAAAACTACCACAGTCACATTAACAGTCGTTAAAAGAAAGATTTTACAGTTCAAGCTTTGTTAACATGACTCCTTTTACAAGCTGACGTTCAATGACTCCCTTGTTCTTCGGTGCTTTCTTGTGTCACTTTATCTAACAAATTGCATACAATAAACTCCAGATAATATGGCTTAGTTGCGTGAAAGCGACAGTGATTTGAAAGACTGATATTGCAATTATACCAGTTTATTACTGTAGGAATGTTAAAAGTGATTTTCATCATAATTTCAGAAACCGTTTGAGTGTTAACTGGTGAAATACTAGGTTTAAATTACATTAAAGGAATGTTATTCAGAGAAAAAAAAGAGGAATACAGATATTCCACTTTTTTTTCCCTTTACTTGAGAGGTCTATGCTTTCAGCATTTTCACAATGAAAAAGCAATCTGTATGAAGGTTTGCTTTCTTCGGGAGAGTGCCTTGGGTCTTTTTTTCTCTCTTTGTGAAAGAGCAACTTTATCACACTTTGAGCCTCAGAGCACTCACGACTCTCTATTTTCTCTCTGGAAGTGTAGGTTGCTGAAAAAATCTATTGTTTGGAAACATCTTGTGCTTTTTTTCAATTTCCCTTTTTGTTCATTGATGTCCATGATACCATATTATGAGATTGATGACAGTATCGCTCACCACCGATAAGGCCAAAAATGGTTGACTAAATTTAACCATTTTTAAATTCACTTTTAGCATGGATGTTCACTCAGAAACAAATATTAAATACAACACAAATGTGAAAACTTTACTTTTGTAGCAGCCCGTTCAGTCAGGACTGAGTTCGTCAAAAGAATTAATTACTTTCATGTCGTAGTTCAATTTGATGGTGTGGCTTGATTCTGAGCGATCCCTGCTCTTGCACAGGCGTATGTGGAATGGCAAAGCCTGCAGCAGCAAAAACCAAAACAGAGCAGAGCAGAGCTGGCATGAGTGACAAGAGCAATGACACTGATTAGATCAGACCCGACATAAATGGAGAGCTGGAGTGGAGGTGGGTAGTAGAGTTGTTACGGATGAAAGCGCAAGAGAAAGCCGTCTGAAGCAGTTTAAATAAGACACCCGTTCTTACATTTGCTGATTGGATGTTACAAGGGTTACCAGTGAAGCTGTCGGCTGACATGGGCTGGCGTTTGGATCAGCTGATGCACTGTCAGCTGAGCTTGACTTCTATGCCCTGTCTGCACTAACACTATACTTGTTTTTTTCTCAAGCATTGTCAATTTTGCATGACTTGACGTTACTGCAGGAATGCAGCAGAGTAGCTGCAGACATCTACGCTAAACTAGAGAGTGATGTGCTGTGTGCGAATGACTTAGCTCTAAAAATCAGTGCATGTGCTTGATCAATACGAGCCACTTGGAAACCAAAGGAGAAGATTCTTGCCCAGCCAAATGGTCTGGATTGCTAAAAGCCTGAATACCAATTACTGGGTTGTTTACCTGAGAAAGAAGAAAGACCCAAACCCTGCCCTCGTATGGCAATATGGGTAGAAGACAACCTGAAGAAAAGTACATGGTTTATGTAGAACTGAAGTTATCTGTGGATCTTGAGCTATATTGTCAGTCTGGATAATAAAAAAAAAGTACATCAGACTTGGATTGCAGAAGATAGCGACACAGAGTCCCACACTGTTATAAAGCAAGCTGCCTTTTAAGACCACTATTCTTCAGGAGAGAGTGGAGTGGACATGGGATCACAGTGTATCTCTCAAGTGGCATGTCAAAGGTTAAGTTCACATTTAGGAGTCATGGGTGGCTTGCAAAGGCAGACCGAAGAAAATCGAAGTCCACACACACACTGAGGAACACCAAGTACAGAAAAAGGACATATATATCCTTTTATATAAAAGTCAATTGAGTAAATGTGATAGGTTTCTCCAAAGATATAACATCATCAATTTTTCCATGTTAATACATATGTGATTTCTTGACAGCAGCTGAGAACAAATAGTTCTTGTGCCAATAAATATACATGTTGTTCTGTAAACAGATACTGTGCAAATACAAGTTGTATCATCAGTACAACATGTGAATAGTCACAGTACATTAGACATCAGTGGCTGCAGGTCCTCCAAGACTCTTTCCTTATATGTCACATATCAGTACAGTCTCATTCCCATCACATATGTGGACTCTCTGTTGACAGACTTTTATTGAACATCCTGCTAAATCTTGTGGATTCTTTTCATCAGAGTGGCTGCCGGAAATCAACTATTTTTTATTCCACAGGGAATAAACTGAGTGTCTCTGTGGGGAAATACTAACAATAAAAGTCTGTTTCATGCAGTCTGTATGAGGTCAAGAGTTTAAAAGATCTATAGACAGTGCAAACAAGCTGAGAAAGGTTATAGTGGTGGCAACTGTTCACACGCTACATACTTTTCCCCTCATAACATTTTTTACAGATTATTGTATTTTTTTTAGTATTTCTCAAAGTCCCACTCCAATTGCTTTTTTATAACTTACGTTAAGTGTTATCAGTAATCTTTCAATTGTGATTTTGAAGTTTTTAGCTAAAATCACGAAATCTATGTCGTTTTCAAGGGCTTTTCTTCTGCAAAGCTCCAGTAGCTCATTAGCAAGTCGCCTCTGAATCATGGGCGGGGCCAGGTAGGACACTAATGTCTTTGGGGGTGGAGCATAGGTTAGTGACATAGAAAATCTCCATGTCAATTACCTGGGTCAGTGAGAGGTTCACACCGATTTGATTGCAGAAATACTCAGAAATGTAAATTTGCACTTAGTTTTCTCATGATATGTCCTCTAGCATCAGAAAAATGCCATATAAACATATAGACAACAAGAAATGCAAGATTTTCATCGGAGTGGATCTTTAAAATACAAGTATTTCTGTACTTCACCTTCTCCTCTGCAATAGTAGCCCAATGATAAAGACAAGCAGAGCAAGTTTCCTTTCATTATGGAGCTAGAAGTGCTCATGAAGAAGAAGACTGCACTCTGCCTCAAAGAAGGGATATTTTACCAGCTTAGAAAGAGCCACACAGGGACGGTTTGACAAGTATAGTGAATACATTTGGGCACCAGAGGATTTGTTCTAGCACAGAGAAAGTGCTGGAACAGTAGAAGGAGAATAACTAAAATCAAGCCTGACACAAATCAAGATTGCACTGTATGCAGAAGATACCAGAGGTGTCTCTGAAGGAGCCATTAACTTGAGAAACACAAAGAAATGAGAAAAGCTTTTCTCAGGTGGTTCTTGATTTATCACGTCTACGCTGTGCTTTCCTGTATCGCTCTCTTTTATCCGTGGAGCTATTTGCTTTAAACTCTCAGACGCAAACGCTGTGCTCTCCTAAAACCTTTAATGATGAGAAGTACAAGGTCTTTGTGGCATAATCTGTAATGCACAATGTCAGAGGCTGAGTGTAATTCCTGTTACACCCAGTTAGAGCTGCAAGTAACAGTTATCTTCAACATCTATTATTTCTTATGTTCGGTTAATTTAACAGTTAATTAAACAATGTAAAATAGATGAAATAACCCCTCATCATCTGTCCTGTTTATTAGCAATAACAGTCCAATACCACAGCACAGAGTACAGCTTAACACTGTAAGTAATGACTGTTTTGTCATTGATCACTTAAAATATTAATGGACCAAAAGGATAATAAACATCACTATTACTTAGCGATTATTATGTAGCTGCCTAGACATAAATAAAACTATAAACCATTGGCCAACAACGGGAATATCTTTTTTTTTCTAATTGTCTGATAATCAGATTTTGTCCATTAAAAACAAGGATAAGAACGGCGTCTGCGTACTTGAACTTTCAGCTTGTGCCAATCATAGAAGGGCATCAACTGAATTTCAGTCTGTTTCACAAATGTCAGAAAACTCCTGATGAGTCTCAACAAGCCTACACAATCTATTGGTGTCTGTTGATCACAGAGCAATGGAAGAAATACAAGAAATACGCAACAGCAGTAGCTGCAGCTAGCATTAGCACCAGAAGAAAGACAAGTACTGTTGTTACCATGTGAGAGAACTGCAGAGGGTTTGGCAGAAGAGTCTAGGCAAACGCGATTCATGACAACATCCCTGAATTGATTGTACTTAATGATCAACCATATGGTGACCATATTCTGAATCCCCACAAAGAGGACACTACTTCGCGGTGTGGAGTCGCGGAGTCACGTGTAGTAGATTTTTGCCATTTTTCGGGTCAGGTTGAGTGTTTTTTTACACGCTTCTAACTCAGTTAGTCCACGTGACACAGAACTCAAAACTTCCATACACAACCCCGGACATTTGAATGAAGCCTCCGCAGGAACAGCACCCTCTGGTGACGAGCTGCAGTATAGGTCATAACTTCTGCCTCCTCTAGCGAAACAGAGGGCACTGTGGACAAGCTTGAGAAGTTAATTACACTCCTGACGAAAGCTACTGTGCAAATGTTGGTTTCAGGAAATGGAGAATATCCCGGAAATACAGAGAGCAGTTTGGCTTCAAATTTGTACGATGATGGGAGTTGGAGTGATGTTGTCCATACTTTATACAGTCTATGTAGTAGACCAAGGATTTTGCTGACCAATAGCATATTTGGAACCCAGGTATACCTTCCCCTGTCATGCCGGATCTGTTTGATTTGGTCTGATCAGTCACATCGGTGGCACAAGGTTTGCGACAGACAGATGGACTTTTGATGTTAGTACAGTGAGTATGCTGAGTTTGACATCCCAGTGGCCGGTTAAGACTTAAACATGAAAAAGACATTATTGCAAGTACACTTCCAATATGGTTTACATAAAGCACCAGTGATCTGTGTACCTTTGAAACCATGCTCAGGTAGTGAAACATAGCAGAAGAGAGGGAACAGGTTGTGCTATGAGATAATGCACACAATATGGCCTGGGCTATGGGGAGTGTGTTGTCAAAAGCATACTGTTAAAACTCATTGATTGCAGGGTGGTGCATCCCCAGAGTTATTGTATGAAAGAGGATTTTCCCCCTGCTAATCATCAAAAACAAGCGACTCCACTTCCTTGTTAACCACTTGGAATCACCGTACAGTCTCCCATCACATCAATACTTTTCTAAGACTGCTCTATCTGAACTCCACAAGAAAGTGTGTGAGCACTTATCATCAGAAGTTAAAGTCGTAACAGCGATGAGGGATTACCTCAGACCTCAAGGTTTGCCGTTTTCCCGATGTCAAGTTAACCAGGGCATGAGTTTCACACTTAACAGTAGAGTGCTTCAAGCTGTACTTCCACTGATCACATACATACACACACCGGTGACCTGGTTTTGACTGCCATCAAGGAAAAGCCTAATCTGTAGTATGCTGTTAACTTTAAAGCATGTGGTTTTGAGACTCAATTCTTGTAACATAAGAAAAGCCATGATCTGCTTTACATTTATAATCAGCCTTTAGACCTAGATAATAACGCCCATATCAGTGATATCAGAAGAAAAAAGGTCAAGAGTTCAGAGGAAAAGGTTTGGACAAGACTGAAAATGTAAATGACAGAAAACTAGCATGATGAGACTGTAACTGTTGAGGTAAATGTCACCATTGGGGGCATTGATTTAGCTAAGTTGGTAAAAGCTAAGTTGGTGGGATCAATCCCTTTTCCCTTAAAGATTTGTCAACCCCAACCCTCTCTCTCCACATTTCCTATCCCTCTCAAGTTTTCTTTTTAAATCAAGGCAAATATCTTTAAATGTCACTGTTGATGTTTCAAAGAGAGATGTCCAACATGCCTTTTTGTGCATCATAGATGTGACGCTATGATAAGTATTTAGCAGGCAGCCCATTTCTTTGAGGCATTAGGGTGAAATGCTCCCGCACTTTGGACTCCAGTTTAGATGTGAGATGTGTAAGAATATGCAGCTTAGCTCCACAACATCAAAACCACGACAATGGAGCAATGACCTTATTAACTGATTAAGACGACTGAATTTGTTGGCATCTAGTTTTGTCCTTACCTTCAAACGGCATCAGACTTTAATAATGTGGACTAAATTAAATACCTTTTGAATGGGACATTTTGAATGGAGAAAATCAGCGCATCCAAATAAAACAGCAGTTTCTTGGGTTTATTTTAAAGTTAATGTCGGAGGTTTGACTGAAATAAAGCTACAGACTCAGAGAATGAATCCAGCGAGAAGGAGCAAAGGAAGATGATTGAGCTGTCAGACCTCATGCTGCATAAATAAAACACAGCGTAAGTAGGGCTGCACAATTTTGGCCAAAAATTAAATCCACATTTTTTTCTCTGAAAACTTGATTTTCTATTTTTATTTTTTATTCAGTAACAACTTCACTAAACTTCACTTTAAAAATAAGTTTTTCTATCATCTGTCAAAACAAAACCACTGAAAACGATGTAGTGCATATGCCAAGCTAGTAAGTGGCGCTATAACGCTGCCAAGGAAATGGCTGGACACACGCAGCCGCCATAAAAGAGTTATGCCGTGTGTGACATAATTGTTTCAAGATATATAGATAGGCATCCACACAGAGATGAAATGGTAGTTGTTTATGGATTTATGCACTCTTGTACACGTTTTCAAAAAGTACCATTTACAGTCACCGGAAACGCTGTTTCCATATGGATGAAATGATGATACGACAAAAAACTTTTGCGTTCACTCCTGGATTCGTTTCCGTGAGGACAAGTTGATACCGCCTTCAGACGGACTTTGCAACAGGGAGTCGTTTGCTCTTCATCTAAAACTGCGAAGCCGTACTTATTCCACATGACTGACTTGATATTACCCCTTTTAGCCAGGAAATTATCACCTTCTCTTGCAAACGCCATGTTTATTATCACTGGTGTGTGACGGAACTGGGGAGCGCTCCCGCAGGAAGGAGGAGCCTATGGTAGCCTGGAGGCACGAGACATGATAGAGAGGAAAATCTATTTGAGGATTTTAATTTTTTTAACATCATCATAATCAAATTATCCGATTACGATTTAAAATCAATTTATTGTGCAGCCCTAGGCATAAGCACTGACTTTCTCTTTTGAATTTCTGGATAACAACAAGCACACCTTATAAGTGCATGAGCGTTGCATACCTGCACTGTAAGAGAAAGTAAAGAGAGATGTAAAGCTGTCACTTGGTAAAAGTAAAGGCACTTTACTGCATAATGCATGCACAGAATGAAACATTCATGACAAGAATCTTGTCCCAACAACAGACTGCAGTAATAATCCAAACCCTAACCATACTATCCAGCACATCCAGATATTTATCACACACAGTGAAATGTTGACTAAAAAAGTATCAATGTGTACATTTATAGTCATTCATAACACATTGTTAGATGAATATCATCCTTGTACCACCATGTAGCATTAAAGTATTACATTGTGGTTGAAATGTGTCACCCCGAGTCCTAATTTTGAGAACAATATTTTCAAACATGTTTCCAAACACAAAGTTTTGGCAATTCTCATAACAACAAAAATCCTTGTACATCCCCAGGTAAGCCTCAATTTGTGTCCACTTGTACTTATGTCAAAAACAAAAAGAAGAAAGTTCAGAGCGAGAGTTAATAACCTTTCTCTACCTCAGAGACAAATTGTCAGTCAGTATAAAACAAAGCCTCTGCTCAATTCATAGAGAAAAGTGTTGTAGTCTGCTGCCCACAGAGAGAGAGTCACAAAAACAAAGTCTCTTTCTGTTTTTATTTATATATTTATTTTTTTTCAGGGGACCACAGCGGACAAATGATAAGTCGGGTGCTGAGATGGACACAAACAACAGCCTCTGCCTCAGTGACGGCTTCTTTTCCCCTGAGGAAGAGAAGACACTGTCAGCGGAGGAGAGGACGGTTGATGGAACAAAGTGGCATTTAAGTGCCCCCAACCATTGTGCCGGATTCAGATAATCTGTGCACAGAGCTGTATTTTGATTTCTTAAGTCATTTATCAACTAAAAACTAACCACTCAAGCTTTGTCACACTGAAAGAGGCCGAAAAATTACAGATCAAAAGTTGAGAGGACGCTAATTGCAATTGCACCAGCTCACTCATCACAGCAGAAGCTACAAGCTAAGATAAGGGAACCGGAGCCAGAAATGCAGATAATTATAAGAGAAGACTTTTCCTGAAACAAAAACAAATTAGAGGCCTTAGCAGCCAAGAAAAACAATCATCTGTTGTCATAATGCAGATTTTAACTGTATACTACAAAACTTTAGTATTAGAAAAGTCTAAGAATTTGCAGTTGGTTTTCTTTTCTTGACAAAACTCATCTTATTTGTACAACCCTTGGAGGGTGTACAAGTTCTTAACTTAGAAGGTGGAAAATCTTGACCTCTAGAGATCTTCAAGACAAGCAAAGGCAGCCAAGGAAGAGTTTGCTGGAAACAAACAAGCAGCCTTTGTAAACTTCTGGTATTAAATACTTAAGGGTTTATTCCTTTAGGGTGACCGCATGATGTCTACTCTAAAGGCTGAACAGAACTCTATTCAGGGAGGTTTTTTCTGCATTTCTGAGCTGGAGAGAGATCTCAAATGCAAGCTTTTACATATGCACAACTTTCCTTTATCATATAAAATACTACCACAAGGTTCAAAGGCTTTAGGCTTTAGTAGTACAGTACACACACTACAGAGTGTGTACAATGTTCCCAGTATTTACATTTTAGATATCTTAATTTACATATTTGTGTGTGTTGGTGGGTAAAGAAATCAAAGATGATACTGCCTGTGCTTGCACAGCTATAACCACCATAAATCTTGTGTCACGGCTAAATGCAACCGCATTCACTCTGTGGAAAAAGTGCTTATAGCAATTTATGAGTATATTATAATCAACTGTTTTCAGCTGAGCTGTCACTCAGGAACTCTGCTAATATTTGCTGAGGCATGTTTGGGGTCAGCTTGCAATCTATATGGGTCAGTAAATATGCAAAAGACATATGAAGCACATTTCCATTGCATAATACTTGCAGTGAGGAAGGCAATGTAACAACGAATAAAAAGCATATTAAAGCTATCTATTTGTTTTTTTCACCAGGAAATATTTGCCACTAAGACAACCTGACTTCAAAAGTAATTTTTAGCCAAGAGCTGGTAACAACAACCCCTTTTTAGTGGCTCAAGAAAACAGACGCCAACGGCAAGACTAAATGACAATTACTTCTTATTCTAAAGGAGGGAAATGGAAAAGGAGCTTGGAATAAAACCATCACCTGATCTTCAAAATCCAAAACTAGGAGCACTTCACTGGCTGTTAACTAATGGGGAGGATACAAATGTTTGCAAATATCATGTTTGTTTTGTGGCTTCAAAAGGACTTTTTAGATTTTACAGATTAGTCGAACTGTGTGTCCTAATGTCAGGTGTTTTTCATTGACTCAATAAAAAAAGTACAAAATCAACTTTTCAGATGAGCACCTCTTTGTTTAGTTTCCAGGCCTGTCCCTTTTGAAATTCCAGTGGGGGTTGTGCAAGTAAACACTGATGTGGCCGAAGTTAAACATCCCATTGACTCAATTTGGTAGATGATTAAAAAAAAGGGCAAAATATTCACAGCAGAGCAAAGTTTCATTATTGCTGACAAAATCGACCTCCTTTTTTACGTCCAGCTCAGAGATTTTGTTGGTTACATGAGTGGAAGCCAATGTGGCACAAATTTGAGCATCCTTGTGACTTAAATTGTTTTAGACTTCTAAATATCTATTGGGGCTGTACTCAACCAAAGACATTCTTGGTCGACCAAAGAAATTCTTGGTCTCCAGTGGGTTGAGCATATCGAAAATGGTGAAAACAAGGGGGGTGTTCTGAGACACACTGTAACCTCATGGGGGTGCTCTGAAAACACCCCCATTAGCACTTGGTTCATTCCTCCTGATTAAATTAACCAAAGACTGTAAATTGACACAGAAAAGAATCGAGTCAAGCAATCAGAATTTTGGTCGACTCAGCACTTATCGACCAATAAGTCGACCAGTCGAATCGGACTTTACAACTCTACTATCTATAGTAAGAAAAGGACCAAAATGTTAGCAGCAGAAGATGATACTAACTAGGTTGTTCTGCATATTTTCATGTAGCCTCAGTCTTACTCCTTTTGTAACTTTATTTCTGGTAGCAGCTACTGTAACCCAAAATTGGTAGCCTAGAGTAAAGATTGGGAACATGTTAAAAAGGTCTGCTCGGCCACAAAGTCATTTTTATTTTTATGCAGCTCTTCAAGGAGTCAAAGAGAAAGCTTTGTAAACTTTGTCAGAGTTTGATGTGTGATGGCAGTACAGTCCCACATGTTAGTAAAAAAGCTAAGAGTGACCTTTGCATCCAGTTTTCGGCTGACTGCAAGCATTTTCTCAAGGCTTGTATGTTTAATTAAATGTGTGAAACAAGTGGCACTGCAATGCCTGCAATCAGCTGCAGCATACAGCATGTAATTCAGGAGATTGTGACATTTGACTGCCTGCTGGAGCCTGTGCCAATGACAGTAATCTGTAGGAAAAAAGAGGATACACTCAACGGGGAATGCAACCCTCACCTCCCCAATAATCTTCCATCCTCTCTTCCCTTTTATGCCACTTCTGTTACAACATTCAGTAACCGCTGCATATTATTGTAATGCAGAATTTGTAATCTTTTGTGCTTTGGCTTTCAATACAGTACAAGAACAGCAGTGTTTCCTCGATGGCAGCACAGTCCTTTCAGACTTTTCTCTAAGAGTCGTATTGCTTCATATGGAGGAGGAGATGGTGGAGCACAGTATCGCTCCAGCCTTTTATAGTCTACATTTCAATTCAACGCCTCAAAAGGAAAGACGCTGTTGAAGGGTCCAAGGGCATAATGAGTGACAGTAGTCGCTGCCAGTATGAACAATCCAAGTGTCACTCAAACAACAACCCTCTTTACACAGACCTATTCAGGCCTGACAAATGAACAAGGGCTGTTTGAAAGTCACTCAGCTGAATAAAGCAGTTAAGTCCTAAGCCTCTTTTTTATCTTACCCAATTTCTTGAGTTAGCTCACTGGGGTCCTAAACCCCTGCACTTGGATAGGTGCCCCCACCATGCTGTCGGACTCATACTTGAATGGTTCAAAATTGCCTATTGGATTGCTTTTTCAGAAAATCCCTCCAGAGGACACTGGAGCAAATTCAATTAATTTGCATATCGCAACGGAAGACAAACCAAATTGTTGGAATATGGTGTGTTTGTGCACAACTGTGTGTTTGTGTGTTCTTTCCTACTTTACAAGGACTGGTTTATATCACAGGTAGACAAAGTGATCAGGTGTTAGAGTTTTGTAAATGCAATATGTAGGCCTAATAGAGCTAAAGACATTGGTAAATTAGCCAATCACAAACATGTCCAGGGTTGATTAAATGATTCAGAGTTTTTAAAGGGTTGTTGTTTTTTATGCAAGGAATTAAATTTTACGAATGCTTCAACTGTCGTCCAAACGTCTCCAAAGACGTGAACATTTTATGATAGGATTCTTGAGAAATTTGGGTTGCAATTATTCCAGAAACTATCTCATAAGATAGTAAAAAATGGGGTTTAAGTATGCGATAATTTTGAGGGACACAAACTTAAAGCTCCTGTGAGGGACTTTCTTTATGTGGTTACTTTGGCGCCCTCTGTGGCCAAAAAAGTAGCCCATTCAGCATGAATGTTATACGGGAAAAGTGGCGAAGGCTGTTTTCCCAGATTACCTCCTCTTTAGACCATAACAGGCATTTAAAATTACAATGTAGAAATTGTCGCTTATTGTCATGGTCTCATTTGCTATTACACATTATAGAGAAGCACCATTTTTCATGTCAGTTTCCTAACCATAATCAAAAACTCCTCACAGAAGCTTTAAGTCTAAAAATACAATAGTTGTTATTAGCAGCCTAATAGTATCAATATGCAGTGCAATATACTAAATTTTTAAATCCAAAGTAACCAATAAGAGGTTTACTGGCACAAAACAATTTGTCCCATATCCCAAAATAACTCCCCTTTTTACTCTGTAATCACACCCCGCTGTCTGATCTCGATTCAGAGCGACAGATCAACAGAAGATAAAGTTTAAATCAGATCAATCATATGTAGATGTGACATTTAACACCAACAGTAGATTCCCAGCTGCTGCAGGATGAAAGTCATGTTTGAGCATGTTTGACAGGCAAACACCACAGAGCCTCTAGTGGGACGAGTGAGCTGGCAGGGTCATGATGCAATATACCAATATTTTTGTACATTATCATGATTACTACTTTTAAAATAACACCTTACACTTAAATCCAGACATCTGAGGTCTTGGTATTAGAATGTTTTGAAATCCTACTTAATCATCCATGTAACTTACGTGGTTTAAATACAGTACTACCTCCATGTTGATGTGTCCTGTGGGTCCTATGACCTAGTCGTATAGGACAGGAACAATAACTGGGTATATAACAGGTGCAATACAAACTTAAAGTGTTATGGCAGACAGATTTCACATGGATATAATGATAGGATGAAAATAGAAAAACAGCTTAAGTTTCCCTGAACTCGATGGAAACAAAACTTTCAGAAGTGACACCATCACAAGTGCAACACCCAACTGGTTTGTGCCAAACAAAGTGCTTATTCTTGGCAAATTATTCCTACTTATTGGGAAAAGTAATGAAGCAAACCACAGCACTCCTTTATGCATGCAAGTCCTCATCCAGCCACTGAGCCATCAAACTATCTGCAGTAGAACAACTGACACTGTTGTTGATCAGACTGTGAATGAGTGTGGAGATCGTATAAAACAGAGGATGGGGATACATCTGCTGAGTAGCAGAGGCTCTGAATACTGTTCCAAATAAGCCATTAGCTAGTGAAACCCTTGATCTTCCTCTACCTCAGAAAAAACTGGGTCATTAAGCGCTGTAAATTCAGGGATTTTGTCGATAAATGGTTTGGCTTTTTGATCTGAGTCTCTGGGAGACTTTCTTCAAATCTAAGATGCTTGCTAACTGAACACTACAGTTCTTCCTGGATGCAGTTGTTGCTGCTTTGTTTGACTATAATGTATTCTACCTGACAAAACTTGCACCTAAATATATTTATTCTTTTATCCCGTCCAGTAAGACCAGAAAGACTTCCATGCTTGTCATCTCAGTAGTCTATAAATCACAATATAAATGCAATACTTGTTTTAGGGCTGGGCAATAAAACGATAACATTATATATTGAAAATTGATTTCCTTCAATATCAATATAAAACATGGTCAATATGCTTTTTGATAGTCGGCATTCTGCCATGTTTTGGTAGACTATACCAATAGCCTATGAAAAGGGGAGTTGCTCCAGGTTGGATTCATACTGAACCAATCATGTGCTGAATTAGAACCAAGTAGCAAACAACTGCGTAGTAGCAGACTGCAGCTACACGCAACCATAGCACTTTAACATGTGAAGCCGACAGCACTGTCCGTGAGAAAAAAAGAAAATGAGTGCTACCCCCGGCAGAAATGCAGATGAAGGCTCAACAGATGACAACATTATCACCAACACTGGCACGAAAACTTTGGTGGTGTGGAGGTATTTTGTTTTTTTGATGCTGGACATGAAGCAGAGTAATGTTCACTCCAAACTATTTCGAGAACATGTTCTTGCAAAGTCAGGGTATACCTCAAATCTTTTTCACCACCTGAAGCAGTGCCACACAGCAGAGCACACGCAATGCAAAAGGTTACAAACCTCAAGTGGAGCAAGGAACCCATGGCGCCTGCGCAGCCAATCATTCAGTCTGCTTTCTCTAGCGCAACGCCTTACGACAAAACGTCAAAGAGACACCAAAACCTCACAAATGCAGTAGCTTATTGAATTGCAAAAAAACATGCCAAAATAAGCACTGTTACATTTCATTTATAATATTGTGATATGTATCAATAGACTGATATGAAAATAATATAGTAATAAACTTTTTCCCATATCCCCCAGCCCTACTTGTTATATAATCAACATTTATTTTTCATTTAACAAAAAAAATCTGTGTAGACATTTTCTTTTATTGCATTTGTATTTCAACAGACACCAACATGTCTCTGTGTATGAGGGGAACTGAGGTTTCAGTGCGTTCAAATGAAGAATATTTGGACAGTGAAACTGAATGGCAAAAAATCAATGAGACGGACATATACTGGCTGTTAATTTTCACAGATTTCTCTTGGGTAGAAGCTCATAGACAATTGCAGTTTTGAAGATGGAAATATAAGACTTTATAAACCTTGACAGTTTGCTGATAAATCATTCCAGCCACATGGCGGGATTCCTGCTCCTCATTAGTATCACGGCTGACACAGACACAAGAAAACTGAATACTTTGGAAAACTCAGTTTTACAGAAAAAGTGTCCTAGGAGATTTTGAATTTAACTTCCTACCAATATGAAGCATTACCCAACAAGAGAAGTTCATGATTTATGAGACTGCCCCTCTTCTTTTCTAAATAAGAACATTTCAAGAAGTTATAAGCCCCTGGAATTGCGCTTACAATCAAACCTGGCTTTTCCTCAAAATATTTTAGCATATTTCACTGACAGGAGACTTTGTCCAGCATATAAATCCAATCACAACCTTTTCTGACCTTTCCAAACGTACGTCACAGTTAGCCAAAAGTCTGCATGTTTAACAGGCCCTGCGGACTAGCATCTGTGCACTGCTTTGCATCACTCTCATGACACAAACAGGAACTGTGAGAGGCATCACCTTATGCCAGAAAAATGAAACTTCCTTCTCCTTTGTGCCGGGGAGGAATTTATGAGCACTTTACCATGTGTGTCAGTTTCTAAAAAAAAGGCCATTTACTATGGAACAAAGAGGAACTTGCTTTATATTCATCCCAGAACCCCTGTGCTGGCAGGAAACTTCAGTGCCCTCAAGCGAACAAATGTTCCATCGTCTGCCTTTCACAAACCTTCAGATCTCTGTGAATGTCAGCAATATTATCCTCCAAACCCCGTCCCTCTTCCAGTCTGAAGGCCCGGCCACAGTGCTTGAATCAAATCTCAAGGTGCCAATGCGTCTGTGATGTAGCCCAGCGCTACAGAGCCAAGGCAGAGAGGAAAAACAGCAGGACCGATCGATGGTCTGACTAGGCAAATATCAGGGCCGGGCCATGGGGCAGCAACTCAAACCTTCTGATGGACAGAAATCATTCTGCCATGGCAAGCCGAGCATGCTTAATGCTGATGAGCCGGTTTGAAAAGGTCTCACCACTTGGGATATTCAAAGTGTCAGCCATCAGCAGCAGGCTTCACTAAAAGAGACCCATTTAGAAAGCCATCTGTGAACATTTGTGCTGCTTCTCTTATAGGCGCCTTATCCTACTTTTAATGTCGTATTCTTTTACCTACCAACCTTAAATAATGGATACATGAAGTATTTTATCATCATAATGTAAATTTGTTGTTTTTATTGAAAACGGGTTAAAACACAAATACTTTAAGCTCCTATGAGGAACTTTCTGTCTCTATAAACTTTGGTAGTCTCTGTGGACAAAGCAGTAAACTTTATATCACTGCGGACTTTGTTTTGTCCTTGAAATAGATTATTGACATAAAAAAAAAATCTCCTGTTAGGTTTTTACAGTGAAATTAATCACTCATTTTAAATGTTTTCTGTGGGAATAGTAACTCAAGTGATTTTTTTAGCCTATCCACCCTCCTCAAAGCAGGTACAGGCGTAAAGATTGACAAAATAGAAATGGTTAACCTTCACTTCAGTAGTCTCACTTGCTTTTGAACGCCATAGAGACACATTACTGCTCATTTCAGTGTGTTTCATAACCTTTTCAAAAAATCCTCACTGGAGCTTTAAGTTGAAGCTCTTAGTTGAGGGAGTAGGTACTTCTAAAGGACCCAACTTCAAATGACGCTTTGCCTTTAACATTCACAACCAAAACCAACTCTATAAGTTCTAAATTTGAATTTTAGTTTGCCACGAAAGACGAGAACAGCCATAGGTTTTTATATTCACTGTTATCTCATGATAGCCACTTATTATCTTGTTATCTCGACAAAACAAATACGGTTTTCTCGTGATAACAAAATAATTAATAATGTGTCCGCTATTGTTAATGTTGCTGTCTGATTCGCGCATGGCAGTTACATATTCCCATGATGAAAGTGTAACACGCATGCACAAAGCGGAGTGCGATGTCAATGTTTTCATCAAAAACCCTGGCTTGGTATTGACAAGGGTGGCTGTGGCGTTTCTGACACATCCCACTCTGAAGGGCGCTTTTACAAGTTAGCATATTTGGATAGCTAAAATGCCATTTCCGTTAACACTAGAAAACAATCTTTATTATGTTGAGATAACGAGATAATACATTGTTATCACAAGATAAAACAAGAAAGAAAGAAAAATCCATGGCTGTTCTTGACTTCTGAAGTTTGCAGTGTACACCACCCGGACAAAATGTAAATATGGCATATATTTATTTAGTGATTTGGAGCTAAGATTTTCAAATGCAGAGTTGTTTCATTCATTTGATAGCTGTTAACATTCTGGATTTTTTCGCATTGAGGTATCAGACCATTTTTAAACGTTACTATGTGAACATTTTCAGCTATAAAAAAAGTTTAGGTGTTTTAAAGAAGGGTTTCAACTGCAAAAAGCCACATAGCTTTAAAGCTATGTGGCTTTTTGCAGTTCATGTAACCTAAATTTGAAATTAAACCATCATTTCATCCCCTGCATCTCAACATGACCACTGGGCTTGGGTTTCAGTTTCTCACTTGCTTCATGCTTCTGGCCAGAATGTGTCGTCCAACGTGAGACACCCCCGATCCAAAACTCCAAAATCAAGTTTCCCTGAGGTCATGGTCCATCTAACCACCAAATTACATTACAATTACCACCTTTTTTAGAAGTATCAAACGGTCTAACAGACAATCTAACACACACTCTGCTTTTTTAAAGAACAGGTCAACAGAGAGATCAGAGACTGTGTGGGATTTTTCAATTACAGCCTGAGGGCCAATGATGGACGAGGACAGAAAGCCTCCCACATGCGACTTAGTGGGCAAAACCAATATAGGTTACCATTATTGACACATTTATACTACATAACCCCGCTTCATAGAGTTGATTCGGTACAGCTAGAAGTAGGAAGTCTAATATTATAGCCTGCGGCGTGCTAAGCTTTCACTGAGGGTTTTGAGTTCACCTCAGTTGAAACTTTTTTAGAATGAGTTTAAACTTTGAGTCATTTGAGGGCTTGTGGTGCAACTGAGTTTTATGCAAGATACACAGGGTTGTTTTCAATATTTTTAGAGTTTGATAACATATATAAGGCTTCAGTTTCTAACTTAGTGAGAAGACAGAATTAAAATTTAATTTAAAAAAGGGCTGCAAAATCACCTCTTAAGGAGTGTTTTAACAGTATGAGATCATTATTGTTTTCTTAAAGTATTAGCAAGTTCTGATACAGTTTATTGTAAGACTTGTGCGTTACTTAAGCAACAATGTCCCTTCAAAACCATCATAAGGCTTTAATTTTTATAATTCACTAGGGCTGGGTATTGGCAGAGACCTAAGGTTACGATACATGTCACAGAATATGGACATGATAGGATGAGATACAATATGCAATAATATGATAAGCATTGCAATTTGAAAGTGGTGCCAAGAATACAACTTGCTGTCTAACAAAGTCAAAACTATTTCAATCAACATTTCAAATCCAACTGATGAGAGCATCAAGTTGTCACGATAACAGATCTTTTTACTTTCATACAATAATAGGGATATTGTCAATAATGCCAGTCTTGATAGCAGGACCACAGAATCTATGTCCTTGGCACCAAAAACTGGAACACTAAATTTCAATAGAAATACTGTTAATATAGACACAATGATGCAATTTTCAAATAACTCTTTTAAAATATGACTCACACTCCAGTTTAAGTGTGTGGTTGTGTTTGTCCCTGCACAGATCCTGCCCTCTGGATTTTCTCAAACATTTCTGCATGTCAGTCAGGGGTGCAAAGCTCACAGACAGACCACAGACCAGAACTAAACAACTGTGGTGATCAGGTGCTGTTCCTCCTATGTTCTTTGTCGGTCTGCAGCAGACACAAGTGCAATGCCAAATGGTTTTAACAAAACATCGATATTTGCCAAAATGTGAATTTTTAACACTCTGTCTATGTTGTTTCTGTGTAAGAGCCAAGAGTCTGGCTGTGTCTTGGCTCATGTTACATGGAGCTACCGGTGCGGTGTTTTATGTTTGAAGCATGTTTCATTGCAAACCAACTGGCTAAAAGTGATGCACACAGCGGAGACGCCGAGCCGGGGGCTGCAGCTGTGCATGAGGTCTTCACAAGGTCTTTTGGAGAGTGATACACAACAGCCACTGCTAAGGACGAGGTGATTGGAACATTATTACCCCATCTTTGGATACAAGGCCGACCAAACCAGAGATTTCCCAGAGTGGCAGGTATCTGCACCCCAGCAAATCCAGTGTCCCCCCAGCATGTGTTTTCTGCTGCCAAACTGATTACAACTGGTTGCACTGACTGACATCCAACAATGTGGACATGTTTGTTTTATCAATACGACCAAGTACATTTAGACAACACAGTAAATTATGTTCAGCAAGTGTAAAAATGAGATTAAAAAAGGATTAGATATGGCTGTTATAGAAACTGCTGTCCAGTTTGGCAATGCTAGATTCTGACCTTTCAGACAGGCTAAGTGCCACTGGAGCAGAGCCAGATTGAAACAGCGTCCAGGCAGATGGTAGAGGCAGCCAGCAAGGACACACAAACAGGCTTCTCCGGCAGAGGCAGAGTGATTGAGACAACCTGTGGTGCTGCCACCTGTTTTTTACCACACAACATAATTAAACCATACCCACAAAACTCTTGACTTAACGCAATGACTCACTTTCCCAGCATTCCTCTAGCAGAAGTCAATGAAACCATTCATCTCAAAGTGCTAAAATCAGTTTAAATCGTACTTTATGTGTCATCTTTGTCTTGCCATGTCTCCATTTCCTTTTCTCACCATAAATTTCACCCTGTTGTACAACCTCCCTACCCTCCAGGGGATGATGGGAGAAAGGCGTAAGGTAGTAAGAAAGAAAAGAAAATTGACGTGCCGAGCTTTCCTCAAACTGCATTTTAACATTGTGCTGCTCTGAAGCACACAGTATGACTCAGACATGAACGTGACCATCATGGGGTTCTGTATCGATCATTTCCTTCCTACTGCTCGAGTCCACCTCAGAGTTAGTGATGATTCATTCTATCACGCACACTCGCACACACATTTCAGGGTTGCACATATCCATTACTGTTTTACTGCAGCTAAAATAAGCACACGGACAGTGTCTCATTTAATTATTTATTTGGTTATTTAATCGGAAAGAGTTTTTTAAATTTTAAAAATGTTCCTTCATGAATGGAGCTGAAATTTGGACAATAGAAGGAAACTACATATATCTTTGAACTGAGCTCTATGTGAGTGTTTTAATGGGCCTTTATGAGCTGACTCAGTGTGTAGTCAAGACTCTATACAGAAACATAGCAGGACCCCCCCTGGGAGAAGTATATGGTGTGTGCTTAGTGCTCAGTGCTGGTGCTGATGTTGCTGGGTCTTTGAAGAGAGAATGTGCTTCTCTCTGATGCCAAGAGCATAACCTTGGTTTTATACCAACATTTTAGATAACACTGTAGTACTGCCATTTTGCAAATACAAACCTTGGCTTAACAGTTTTTTCTACAGTGAATCATGCAAATGTCACTTCCTGTTATTCAACAGTCAGTTACAAGCAGGCAATCTGACTGGACAAGAGTCACTCAGTGAGTGTTGATGTAGATTAAAACAGCACTGATAACTCTTCTACCTGTATTTATGACACGCCTGTGTTAAACGCTCAATTTAAGAGGCCGGTGTTGGAAAAATGTCACAGGCTCTGACAATAACGAGACAGAAAATTTCAGGCGGATGCGAAGCTGACTCACCTCGTTCCAATTACCTTATCGCACTCAACCAGTGGAAACGCTCACTTTAATGTGATTACTCACTGCCCTTATACATTATGGGAAAAGTAACTAAAGGCTGTTTCTTATATCTATAGGGTGCCAGTTTAGCCAAGCATATAGCACACGCCCTATGTGTAGATGCTACCGCCTTGTGGCTGGCCATGACCCTTTGCTGCACGTCATCCCCCACTCTCTACCCTTCAGCTTTCCCACTCAATTAAGCAAAATGTCCTGTAAATAACTTCAAGATCATTTGTTTGTTTGTTTGTTTTTGGTGGGGTTTTTTTGGAGTGACCTGTCAATCACCTGATCTTAACCCCAATTCCTTGCATTGGTTATTGACATTAGTAGCTACAACAAAGAAATTGTCTTATTTGCTTGGTGGATCATTAGAAAGAACCGTTTTTATCACAGTCCATTTTATGACCAGCTAAAAATCCCTCATAGGAGCTTAAAGAAATATATTCACCTCCATGTAAATAATGAATGAAATTAGTCGTTGGACAAACTTCTATGTAACATTCTTCAGATCAAGCGGCAACCTCTAGTGTAGAATAAATCCAGCCAATGCATGAGAACGAAATAAAAAAGCTTGTTCTTTGCACACATGCATCTATTTACATGAATATTGGGGGCTTGGTGAGTTTATACATAGGTGGCCACATTGTACCTGTTTGTCTGGAGGCTTAAGGCCTTCTTCAGCTTCGCCTCTTTGCCGATTGATCATAAGTTAGCTGGAGATATCAATTCCATGATGCTGACCACCATGGTTGGGCTTCAAAAGCCTCTTTGAAAACCATGAAATACATTAAAACTACGTCCATGTTTCAAATAAGGTACTGTTCTGACCGTGTAATATGATTTGCTCCATGAGCAGATGTTGAGTGCAATAACAATGATACATGTATGACTTTACATAAGACGTTCTTAGGACTGGTAATGAACGTTAGCTGGAAGTCTCTGCCTGTGTTAATCAAGCTGGAGCCTCAGAACCATGTATGAGCCAAAGCCTCTGTAGACCCACTCTAAATTCACCTGCTGCTTTGTACATGGAGACATAGCGATGAATTGCATTATCTTATTACCTTCCAGCTGTGCCGGTATTCAGTATGCCAACACTGTCTTTACTCTAATCCAGCTTTTGGTCTAATTATACAGCATGTGTTTCTGAAAGGAGCCAAAGCCTCGGTAGAAAAAACAAAAGGTGTTTGTCATCACTTGTTACAATTTTATAATGCTTGTACACCTGTGATGTAAAAGCAGTAAAACATGTGGTTGAGCTTTTGTTCTGAATCTTTTGTTTTAACTTGTGCAGTTTTATTAAATTTATTTCCCTGAATGAAGCAGGTGTCTTTCATTTCAGGTTTTAAAAAAGGGCTATTTTGGAAATAATCTTTCTCTCAAGTTTAAAACTCCTGTGAGAAACATTGTGTGGTGCTAATTTTGGTGTGCCCTGTGGATAAAGTGGTAACACTTCTGTTCTTGCTGGTTTCATCTAATCCTGATGAAAGTTGTGCTGATTGACAGTAATTCTCTGCCCATTGACTTTTATTTGAATATTTAATGTAGAAACAGTAATGATCGCTGTTTCATTAGCGTACCAACCCTTTCACAGCAAATTACAATAGAAAAAATGTTGATCCTGTCACCAATTATCTCATTTGCGTTTTTACATAACAGAAACTTCATCACTGTTCATTTCGGCCTGTTTCGTAATCAATCCAAAACTCGTCACAGGGGCTTTAAATATATTGCAATTAAACATTCAATCGATTATAAATGGTGCAACAACAGCCAAAAGGGCAATACCTTAATGTAGTCCGCCAGCTTTGGGTAAACTCTTCTTATCATCAGAAGAATAGAGAGGAATGTCCTGTGAGGAAATGAGGTAGTGACCACATGGGTGACTTCAGGGAAGGAGAAGACATTAAAGCCAGAGGTCTCGTAGCTTTTTAAAAGCTCCTCATCTGCCTTGTTCTCTCCTTCACTCAGAATACTGCCCACAGCGTAGCGGCACTGTGGCCCGGGAACCTAAGACCAAAGAAATGAAAGAATACAAATCAACAAACGAGAACACACGCACACAAAAAAGGACTGTTTTGAAAGAGACAAAAGCAGTACACAGATCCATCCCTTTCTACTCATTATAGTTATTCCAAAAAAACATGTTTGTACGGAGCCTCTAATGTGACAACAGCACTCACAGATTATTGCTCCCAATTGTTATCTGGCTCCTACAGAACAAATGATGTTTGCCAGGGTTTATGAGCAGGAAGTGGTGAACAAAATTTCAAGGCTGTACATCATTTTTACACATGCCACAAAAAAGGGGGAAAACTCTGAAATGTCAACTACTTCCAGCAAATCCAGAGTCCCTGTCTCTGGGGACTGGTGAGTCACGAACACTGGTGTTTAATTTAAGGGAAAGATGATCCCCAAAATAATGAGGCGTTAGCCCAAAAAGTTCTCTACTCTGATGTCAAGCAGGTGCCAAATCTAAAGAGAAAATATACTCCTCTATTGGAGTTTAATTGGAGCATTTGGCAACGCAGCAATTATTGCTTCCCTCTCAACTGTGAGAGCCCCAGTGCCCATTAAAAAAAAAAGAAGAAAAGGGAGACACTCCTCACAAATGAATACTCCTGGGACATCCGAGACATTCTCCCCACTGTGCTGAGCAGAGCACCACTGAAGGCTCATGCAATAAACAAGGCAGAATGGTCCAATTTGTTCATAAACCTATCAATGCCACGCTTCAAGCACAGCGAGTGTGTCGGAGAATGACGATTTTCTCCTTCACTTCTCAACACACACAAGTCGGTCATGAGGAGTGAAGGAGAATATGCTTATTTTTCTCACATCAACGCAGTTTAAGTTTTTAACACAAAGAAAATATGCGACTTGTGAATTCTGGAGATTGTTGAGGGAACTCTACATTTTTTATTTTTCAACACAAGGTCAAACAAATGTGCTACACACATAGACCAGGTCTAACATAACACTATAGACAAGTACACACCTACACATATTTTCTTGATAGTAGTAAGGTTGTATTAATATCTGCCTAGTATCAAGAGATTATCATAGCCCGGGTATTATTGTGGATGTAATTCTTGCCTATATGTAGTTAGTCATACTAATATTGATAATGTAAGTCTGAAAGCAGCGTAGCCTGTCACTGATTAGACAATTAACCAAGCCGCAGCCTCTCCCAAGTGAGTATTGGCTGTATATAAAGCTCTAAATCAATATACAGTCAATGATGTATCAATTAGGTGAGGAAAGAGCTGGCAGATAATGAGAAGGTTTGCAGGCAACAACAAGGTTTGGGATGACTCATATTTCTAAAAAAGGAAAATAATAGTTGAAAGGGCAGATGTTGTGTTTTTGCGACTTTTTCTGATCTGCTGTCAGTTTCCTGCTCTGTTCCTCTGGGTAGAGATTCTTCAGTTTTAGTCAAGTTCTGGGAAAATAAATCCTGCGTTCAGGCAACTCGAGACCAGTTGACAAGACTGAGGTAGGCGCATTGTTTTCTCCTGACATTTTCATTTTCTTTAAACGCATAAAAAGAAGAAGCGGGTCCGTCAAAAATGTTCCAGTGGAAGTTTTTGCCTTTTGGACACTTTCTTTCCTCTTGTGAGTTTATATTGTTTTTAAACATGCTTGTTAAAGTGATATTTTTAGGCTAGCCACTCCTTGTTTTTCCTCTAAAGCTTGGATTCTCAGTGGAGATTGAAAGGTGTGTTCAAAAACACCTCACGGAAAAAGAGACGATTGATTATCTCCATCTGCTCATTAAATTTCAACTTAAAGTAGCAACTTTAACTGCAATAAGAAAAAAAACCATCAAAAACACAGTTTTAGGTTTACGGTTATCATTTTTACAAGAAGAATATTAGGGAGAGGTTACACATGGGGATATTTTTGACACTTTGGATGTTTTAGGGGCTCACAGTGGGAAGTCTGAGCCAAGAAGATTTATTAATCATCACAGGGTTCCACGCCGGGAGTCCACAACAAAGAACTGCAGCCAAATGCAGAAGCTTCTGTCCGCACACAATCTTTGTTTTTCCTCTCTGGACTCATCTCGAAGCAAGCGTGCTGTCTTTTGAAGTGTCTCCAACACACTGACAGCTTATCTGAAGCAAAAGAAGCACAACCAAAGGAGCCTTGTCCCTGTGTTTCTGTTGCACGTTAATTGACTTTGGTACGGAGATGGGAAAGAAAGGGAAACTTTCTTCACAAAAATTTAACGTTAGATGAAGTCAGGCTTGCATTTCAGTGTTTAACTGACCTTCTGAGAGGGCACGTGTTGAAGAGATTTTCTACTATTTCATCACTTGCCAAAAAGACAAACTCAGAATTTATGCTGATTTCCTAGCAGGCAACTACGCCCGCAGCTTTCATCATATAATGACCCAAACACAGGTCCCTGAGGGTGGAGGACTTGTGTCATATCGACACAAGTCCACTTGTCATTCAGCTCCTTCCTATGCAAACAATCCTCATCTCAGGGATTCCAACCCCCGACTGCAATCACTTCCTAGCTGCAATATTGGGTTTGACGGAAAACTGCATGATCCATCCTTCTAACCCTCCTTTTCTGTTTGTGGAAAAAGTTGCACGCTGAGGGGGAGAGGAGTAAGGGGTAGAGGGGAGCTGCAGGGTAGAGGTGAAGTGAGCACACTGGGTCAGAAACTCCCCCCTGCCTCTGTGACTGTGAAGAGGCTGCTGATAGAGGAGAGTTTGGAGAGTGGGAGCTGAGATTTTTTTTTCTTCTTTTTTTTTTTTTTTTTTGAAGGAGCAGAAGGAGCAGTTCCAGCCTTGTAACCATAGCAACCATCTCAGCACTAACTTCACTCCTTGTTGAGGTCTTTTGTTTCTCAAGAGGAAGTGATTAAAGGAGGTAAAAGTGAGACAAGTGAGAACAGAGGAAGAGAATAGCCAAGCTGACATTCCTCCTCTGTCAGCTGCACTTTTTGAAAATAGTTCTCACCGCTGATATCAATGGACAGTCTCTCAGCATTTAGACACCAAACACCGGCCCTCCTGTGTGTGAGAGCCCTCTCCAGGGCTCCTGACGAAGGGACTGAATGGCATCCTGAGGTTTGGGGGCTAATGAGCTGAGATCATTACGCCAATTATTTTAACATAGATCAGGACTTGGCTGTGAGTGCGCAGAGGAACCAGGACCCGCTGCTAGCTTAATTGCCGGCTTGGGAAAATAAAAGAGGATGAGCACAACAAAAAGGGTTTTGAAGCAGAGCTGGGAAGTGTCCACCACTGAACTCTGGTTACATTCCATCAGGTCGCTGTGTATTGGGCTTTGGCCAGTTTAACCAGAGCTACTTAAGTCAATACTGCTGAAAACCTGCCCAGAGTTTGGTAGATAATGTAAGCCTCAGATAGATAACTAGCACTGAGACAATGTAATTGCAAAGTTAACTCATTAGGGCTACATCAAAGAGGTAAAAATGAAGATTTCATGAACAAAGTTGTAATTGTAGGAGGAAAAAGTCCCAAGAGGAAAAAAGTTGTAAATTAATGAGAACACAGTCTAGCTATTATGATAATGAAGTTTTGAGAATGTGTGATTACACTTGTAATATTGGGAGATTAAAGTCATAGTATCACAAATATTAAGTTGCAAATTTATGATAACAAAGCAATAAAAGTGTCAGTCAATGATTAGCCTGGTTGTTACTTTGAAGGGAAATATTGGAAGAGCTCCCAGCTGCCCACATCAAAATGGGGAATCATCTTGTCAAGTGATACTTTAATATAGATTTCCAAAAAACTTAGAAATATGATACAATTATTGCGAAGAAGTTCCTCACTTTAATGCAGGCACCTAGTTTTCCTTGCAACGTTACCCTTTATAGTCAAATACAGGCTGACCATAGACCAAAATGACATCTTTATTCTGTTATTAAGAATTTATGCTTTTATAGTTACGACTTTATTCTTGTACAATTACATTTTTACTGTTTTATTTCTTTATTGAAGCCTATAGACTTCACTGGGGCTTTAGAATTGAGTTTCAGAGTGTTTTGTTCCAACATTTCAACAGCAGTAAGTGTCAGCGAAGGGGTGAAAGAATTATCAGGAGAAGGCCAAACTTGATAATAACTGATAATGATAGCTCCACCTGCTAATTATTCACTTAGCTTTAAACTTTCATTCCAGATTACTTTAAACAACCTCTAAAATGCTACCTTTCAGCAACATCCCAACAGTGGATGATTTTTGAAAATGTCAAACTGTTTGGTTTGTTTTGAAACTGTTTATAAAAGGTACTAATTGACCTGTATGATGGTTGCTTCATTGTGTTGTTGAAGTGGATTGTGTTATACTGACTATTGTTTATCTACCCATTTCATTTAAATGGAAGCTGACTAAGTAGCAGAACTAATTAGGGGGTCACAGATATTTGGTCTCAGTGAGTTAAAACTCAGAAAAGCAAAAAGGTCTTTACACCTGAAAAGCTGTCAAAGGATGAGCATTTCATAAAGCATTGCAGATTGATTGTCTATCAGCTGATTGGATATTTATCTAATTGTTCCTGCTCTGTTGTTTTATCTAATTATCACCATACTACATCACACCAGATATCTCAGTGTGATCTAATCTCACTATCTGTCCGTATAGTTAGTGGACAGTTTGCTCTGGGAATATGAGACAGCTGCATGTTTTACTACATTTTATATAGGCTTATGTTTTAGCAGATGCACATTACTAAAGATCATATCCCCTAAGCCCTCTGTTTCCCATCCCTGTAACCTGAACCTTAATGCACTGCATCATACTGTACTGTGTAAACATTTCCAAGAGCTACTTTTTGCTCCATCCCCTCTTTTTTCTGTTTGGACAGAGCCTGTTGTAAAAACAACCCATGCTGGACGCTTTGTTTTAAAATGTGGGAACCAGCACCACAGGATTAGGGAGACCACAGACAGTGTGCAGGATTTAGTATCTTCAAAACATATCCAGCAGATATTATATCCTGCTGCTTATAGACACTGAGATTTGGGGGATGAATGAGTTCACACAGGGAACCATTGGGAATGTAGGAAGACATCTCACAGCATGGTCCAGCTCACTAATTTTGTGTTTTTGCTACACTGGCATGGTGGTAAAGACGCTCATACAAATATGTTTAATACCCAAAGTGTTGCATTATACATTATACAAAGGCATTCTTAGAAAAATTCCGGACTACCTCTCCTCCTTATTGATCTTAAAGGACGGATTACACAACCTGAGATCATTGAGATTTATACAGTTTGTTGTCCCCAGATCCCCAAACTGAAATGGGAAAGAAGGCTTTCAGGTTCTCCGCCCCCTGTGTGGAATAATCTGCAGACTGAATTTAATCTGCAAAACTTGGTGTCTTTGACTGTTTTTAAATCTGCAGTTAAAAGGTTGGAGTACAAACTCTCAGAATGTCTCTGTTTTAACTGGTTTCCTCATATTTTTATTCTGTATTGAGTCTGTGTGACTGTTTGTTGTAACTGTGTTTTGCTGCCATTCTTAGTCAGGTCTCCCTTGCAAATGAGATCCTCAGATCTCAATGGGACAAACCTGGTTAAATAAAGGTTAAATAAAATTATTTTGTGAGTTAATTGTCACTGATGGTTGTAAACGGTGATCACAGTTTAATGCCTTTTGTATCATGTTTGATACATACTCTTATATACTTCTATCAAATCAATATGATCAACAAATTATAAAAAAAAAAAAACACCTGAATACAGTCTGATTAATGATAAAAATGTCGTCTTTCAGTTTATTAGTTTCCATAAACATCTAATGTATCAAACGAGTTAAATATTTGTCAATGTCTTTGGTCTGTGCTGTTTTTAACCTGTCTGCTGCATGCGTCCTGTGTTCTTAATGTTTGTGCATAACGCTTGAAATGCCTCTTTCCAGACTGCAAAACAAATCTACCTACAGGTATCAATAAAGTTACCTTGAACCTTGTTAAATTTTAAGGATATTTTGATTCTTTTGGTTTTCAGTAGTAAGTGAAATAAACATTTCAGCTCCAAAAAAAAGAATTTTCAGGCCATAAAATTGTGGTGTCAGGCATTAAAGGGCTACGTCAGCTGATAAAGACAACCTCAAATGCACACATGTATTGTTTTATGGCATCTGAAATAACAGAAAACACTGCACTCTAGGCTGGATGTACACAAAGTTGCTAAAAGGGAAATATAAACCTTATCAGACAGTGCCAAATTTCACAATATGTGACAATTTGAGAGAAGCCAGAACATTAGATCATTGAACGCAAGGAGTAGAGCCTCATTGTTTGACACTTATTGCTTTTTGTGGATATAAAAGAAAATTAAACTAGACAAAGAAAATGATTTAAACCATCAAATTTTGACTTGTGTTCGGTAATAGTACATCCCTCTCTGTCTACTTCTCTGGTTAAAATAGAATGGCACTACCGCCATCTACTGGTTACTGAACAATCTAGTTCACCTAGAAGACCTTCCTGATCCTTAAATGCTACAAAAAAGCCAAATATATATACATATAATTTTAAAAGGCCAGCTGTGTCAGGATTGTTTTGTAATGATTAAAGGATGGTGTTTGAGTTTACCTTGTTTGGATCATCATAAAATACTCCAATACATGATAGCTTTGGTCCAATTCTGTGAGACTCCTTAAAAAGTTGTCCACAGTTTTTATACGGCCCTTGTGTGAACTTGTAGGCGAATGTGATCTTCTTTATGGGCGGAGAGCCTGTCAACACGACGACGTCTGACAAAAGTCCTGAGTACACAAAGTAACAAGCTAATGTTATTAAACACAACAACAACAACAGGCTAATGACACACAGACTGACCCAGTCTGTCATGCTGACTAACACGACAAGCGGACTAGTGCTTTAGATAGTTTCTTCTGACCACTCGGATAAAGTATTTTCCTGTCCTAGTCAAGCATTATGTCGGGAAACAGTTTAGTTGCTTTCAGGGACCAACTCTTCGTATCTAAAGTTGAGCCATGTAACGTTGAAGCTGCATTGGGGGTTGCACATGCAGAGTACTTCCTGGAAATACCATTTCTGCCGACCGGAAGGGGGGAGGGGGAGAAGTCACAAATGAACTTTTGAACTTTTGAAATGAAAACAGGCCCACGAACAACACATTTTATCGTCTAAATATGTATCAAGTCTAATAATGTAAAGTTTCAAAAGATTCTAGTCACTTCGACGATATATTCACTGACTACTCGGTGCGTAAATCACCTACGTCGTTAAGATGCCTGGTAATGTCATTTTTAAACACCGCTACAGTTACTTCGATCAAAATCAAAGTTGTCGAACAAAAAAAATCAATAATCCATACACCGAAATTGGTATGGTGTTCAAACTTAACACCAAATTACCATCAAGAACCGCTGGTTTAGCTATTGACCATATTTGGGTGATATTTAATATTTAACCACACTGCAGCAGCTACTTCCTTGACATTAGAGTTGAGGATTAAACGGCTAATTTTAGGAAGTTTACGTGCAAACAAACGACAATTCTGAAAGTGCAATATTGAATTCATCTCTTACATATGAAAAAAAAAATCTTTAACAATTCAAAAAAAGTTCAGCATTGAGTATAACATTTATGGCCCGCCCCACAAATTAAAGGAGGGCTGGACTTGTTGACATTGAACCGCCTGAATAGACGTAAACACAGCATATTTTACTGACAACGTCTTGTCCGAGTGGTTCATTTGGAGTTCAAGAAAATGTCTGGGAATATTAGGAGGTTTTACGACCTAACAGCTAAGTTGCTGTCTGGAGAAGCGTTTAGTTTCTCTGCACTGAAGGGGAAAGTTGTTCTCATTGAAAATGTGGCGTCTCTATGAGGAACAACAACCAGGGACTACACTCAGATGAACGAGCTTCACAGTCGGTACTCCGCCAAGGGGCTCGTTGTCCTGGGTGTGCCCTGTAATCAGTTTGGACATCAGGTAGGCCATGTGTGAATATAGGCCTGTGTGTCTGACAGGCTTCTGTAGTTTCCTGCCTGAGGATATTATTCATTTATTTGCAGTGTATGAAATGTTAATGTCATAAGTTATACCTAAGTAAATATTTTAAATCGTAGACTTTATCAAATTGTCTGTGCCTTCAGGCATTGTTTTCTTCCAGAATAGAGTTAAAATCATTGTACAATGTAAGAAATTATGAAACACGTGAAAAAAGCAACATTGCAGGTAACAGTGCAAGGCCTACCTGTAACAATGGAGCTCTGAACCCTACCAAGTTAAACAATAGCCACTTTTCATTTGGGCATTATCCTCGCGGATTAATGATTAAGCATTTACTGGAGGTCATTGAAAGTGGAGCTAAATTTTAGTACTCATTATGCTGATGGACAGTTGTATAACAGAGCCCTGTATTTCAGAATATGATCATAGGTTTTTCAACTAAAATGTGAATCTGCTAAACTGCAGCTGGCATATTAGAAAGACAGTGGAAACACACAAATTCCAATCTTGATTAAGTCTTTTATCTTTTATCTTTTTTCTCTATCTTTTATCTGTCATCTCTTATCTCTTTTACCTCTATCTTATTTCAGCCTTACTGTCTTTTTAGCTTTTGTTATACTTGTACTCTTATCTTAATTAACCTTTTAGGCCTTTTGTTGTTTTATCTCTCACTCATTTCTGTTGCTCTATTTTATCATTACTATTATTATCAGGATTACCTGTTATTATTTTATTATCATTGTTGATATTGCCTTTTATATTCACTATCCTGTTTCCGCTTTCATCCTCCCTTTTAATTGCATTTTCCTTTTTTCTTAACTATTTTGTGTTTTTATTTTGGTCCTCATGGTCTCATTTTATGTTGCATGGTTCTTGCATCATCTGGGTTCCTTATGACCTGAAAATGGCCTTCAATTCCGTTTTAACTGAGCTTTTTGTTTTTATCTGTCCTTTTACATGTGCTCTATGACTACATGTCAAAGCACTTTGTAAACTTCTGTTCTTTTTAAAGTGCTATACAAATAAAGTTATTATTATTATAAGTAAGTAATCAAATGCAAACAATGTACTCATAATACAGTGAAACAGTAGCAGACTACAAAAACAAGCCAAACCAGAACTTTAAGGGATGTAGTTTTGTTGTTTTAGATTAAATGAAAACCTCAGTTGGCTTTGAATCAGTTTTTTATGTCAATGATTCATCATTTAATTGCATATCCATTGTGTAACAACTCTGTCTTTTTATAAACAGGAAAACTGCAAGAATGATGAAATTCTGAAGTCTCTGAAGTATGTCCGTCCTGGAAATGGCTTTGAACCAAATTTCCAGCTCCTTGAGAAAGTCAATGTGAACGGAAAGGATGCCCACCCCTTGTTTGTCTATCTGAAGGATAAGCTTCCATTCCCCTCCGATGAAGCCATGGCTCTGATGACTGATCCAAAATTCATCATGTGGAGTCCTGTCTGTAGGAATGATGTCTCTTGGAACTTTGAGAAGTTCTTGGTCGGTCCTGATGGAGACCCATACAAACGCTACAGCAGAAACTTCCTAACTACTGACATTGAGGCAGATATTAAAGAGCTACTCAAGAGGGTCAAATAAGGCGTTACAAGTCACAGGTGGCTGTAGAGAATGTCAGTTATAACCAAAAAGATAATCAGTAGGCCCTCCATATCAGTTTTTTATCATTTGTTTCCACATTGTAAGTTGTTTGCAACACCCTCAAGTTTGTTATACCTCCTGTGCTACACTTTGGTTGTTCAGCTAATTTACTCAATGAAGGCACTCCTTGAAACCATGTTTTGGGAGAGGGGTTTCTGATGACAATGTAAATGCCAGACTCTACTACTGTGTAAAACTTGAGGCTTATCACAAAACTTACAGATGAAGATAGGAAATAAATGCTGAATGTCATCTAATTGCTAGTGTCATTTTTTGTAAACAACGTGACAATGCTGCTATGTTTCAAACTCCTTCAAAATTATAAGTCATGAGTGGCATGCAGGCTTTTAAACTTATTGAAAATTATGTGAGAGTAAGCCCATTAGCTGACATGTGAAACCTGCATTAACATCTGGCTAAATTCCAGAATAATTAAGTACAGTAACGGCTTACTGACTAAGCTTAACACTATGCATATCCTACATGGGCTATTCAGTGCACTCAAACAGGAATATAACAGCTTTACCACAAAAAATCCACTTCCTGGAAGTTTCTACACATTCTGTTTTTGTTGATTTGATCAGACAGAGGATTACTGTGCTTAAGGTGGTGGTTGTGAAATAGTGTGTCTTTTAAAGGTTGCTTTTGTTCACGTGACACACAAGGGGAGAAAATTCAGATAATATTTCAAGCACTTACAGTTTTAATTGCTTTTAGTGTCAGGGAGTGTTGAATAGAGTAAATGTATTGTTCGAACTTCTTGCTAAAGGTGACAGAGAACGGTTTGTAATCAATAAACTTACATTTATGTACATGGAATTTTGCCCTTAAAATCATAAGATTTGTGATTTATAAATGCTCTTTTCCCTTGTTTTACTTTCCAGAAGGCCAAACAATACATTCCTCCAAAGTAAAACAAAACTTTTATCAATGTTTTCATTTATAAAAGCTTAAAGGTTTTGCCAAAAATTCTTAATATTTCACAAAATAAATGTATGATGGTGTCTGGACATTCGTCACAGATACTACAATTCATATCAATATATTTTTAAAATCTTTCCTTAATATAGTTCTTTGCTGGATAGACATCATCTACAAATTGATTCCAGAATGGTATCACATGTGGTAAAGTGGTAACATCTCTTTGCAACAGAGCTCTTATTGATTTGTTGTTATTACCAAGGTGATTGCAGAAAAATATGTTTTCTGTGTGAGTGCATGCTGGTGATAACAAAAAGGTTTGTTGTAGGCTACATTAAATCTTTGCTGAGATTTAAGCAGCATACAAACTCCAGATGGTATTGCACCAAAAACTTTGCTTTACAAGAATTCTCAACATAAGAACAAATGACCAGGTCATCTGGTCATTATATTTGTTGTGTGTTGTACAGACTAGCCTACTGACATCTATATGTCAGATCATGTATGAGGCAGCAGATTCTGTCAGGTTCAGATGACCTGCAATGGAAATCTTCATTTAAAAAAAACAACTGTTCTTGTTTCATGGCATTCTTAAATTGAGAAGTTGTACATATGTCTTACTCTTAAAATGAGACGAATGATCTTGTTGCTCCGCTGGATTTTATTGTAAAACATTTTTCTACTCTATTTCTGGTTCATTCTATCTCAAAATTAGCTGGAATATCTTTTCAAGAAAAAATTAGCCATTTTCTCTTAAATTTCGATAATTTAAGTGAAACGCCAAACATGCTTGACAAGATTAATATTCTTTTTGTACAAAAAATAAGACCTATTTCCTTAATACAAGGCTGTTTTTCTTTCTTGAAATTCCTTTTTTGCAGTGTATAAAGAGGAACATGATATCCTTGTTATTCCATTTGAAGTAGTTATAAGGAAAAGGGTTTGAGCCACCTGGTTTGGATAAAATGTGGATAGGTATAATGTTCCAAATGGAGGTTGGGTGTCTGAAGAACTGTTTCAACCAATTAATGTATTATGTTAGGTAGAAAAGTCCAAAACATTTTTGTCAACCATTGTTATTGACATAATTCATAATCAGCGCTTCGCTTCCTGGATGGACGCGGGGGGGACTATCCTCGTCTGGGCGCTACACTGAACTGCAGTTCATCCAAAATGGCTGGCCAGGAAGATCCAGTGCAAAGAGAGATTCACCAAGATTGGGCGAATCGAGAGTACATCGAGGTTATAACAAGCAGCATCAAAAAAATCGCTGACTTTCTGAACTCATTCGGTAAGTCCTTTGGGGGGAGTTTCAATAATAAAATCACCTTCTATGGAGATCGGCTGTATAGATGGCTAGATCCGGCTAGCTAGTCGAGCTAACTTCTACTATGTTGCTAGCTTGGATGCTGATTTAAATGGCCACTCCCTGGTAGCGTTTAGCTTTGTCGTTAGCTTTGAGTTTACTGACATTTTCTCATTAAAGCCCCATGCTAGTCTGATGTGGAATTACCATGGATGTTTATACGCTTTTAGCCAATGTTAGCCGCGTGGCAACTGTCAAAACATAACCTTAAACAACAGATGTAATGCAGCATATAGCTGTGAGACTTCAACTGGCCTATTGCTAAAACTGCTCTGCTCGGTTGTCTTTGTAAAAAGCAGCAACAGACAGAATAATTGAAATTTCATCACTACAAATGCTAACCAACATAACATTTGTTACATGTGTTATTGCAGATATGTCATGTCGATCACGTTTGGCCACCCTCAATGAGAAGCTGACCGCTTTGGAGAGGAGGATTGAATACATCGAGGCGAGGGTAAGAAGCTACATTGTGATTTTAACATGTCAAGTTATGTTTGAACACTTACAATTGATTTTAACCATTACATTCTTTTACAGGTGACAAAAGGAGAAACGTTGACTTAAACCACATCATGGACAACAAAGTCATCCCAGTGCTACCTTCCCATCCCTTGTCCTGAATTTTTGAAAGTGTGTGATGGACTCCACCTTCCTTTTTGGGACCCTGTGGACCATTTTTATATTATATTGCTGAATTTTTGTTGTTGTTGTTGTCTCTCTCATTATGCATTTGTTACAGAACATGTGGGTCAGTCCCTGGTATCCCGACTCAAGAATAGTAGGTGTTACTTAACAAAAAAACAACCTTCTGTCAAATTTGTTTCTGAACAAATGCTGGAGCTTGATTATTGAACTGTTATCAGCACAACCTGTTGACCATCCCAGTTGTATACATCAGAGATTTATAAACGGAGAACATTCTTGTGTGCCAAGTTGAACAAAATTTTGTGTAGTCATCTTTGTTAAGCACCTGCTTGTACAGTGTACTGTTGGGTGATGTTTCAAGATTTGAATACTGTAATAAATGATAAACAACGACTTTGTTTCATACATGAGTATTTCTTGGTTAGAAACTAGCTGAATTTACTGGGTATGTCGGGTATACAAGAGAACCCGAACTCTTAGTAACTAAATACTACTTAAATTAGGACACAATAACATGAGTTTGACATCTGTAATTTACTTAAACTGTGTCCAGCAAAACAAAACAGTGCAATTCAGAATAAGAATAAGAAGAACTTTATTAATCCCCAAAGGGAAATTCAATTGTCTGTTGTCTCACTTGACATGTCTCTAAAAGCTATCTACTATTTACACAAGAGTTATAAAGTCTGATGGCTGTCGGTACAAAAGATCTTCTGAATCTTTCTGTCCTGCAGCGAAGAAAGAGGAGCCGTCCACCACCATTGGCCCTTTGGTCCATCAAGTGTTATCCATTGAATGGTTCCCTATATTGTTTGTTTCATCATTTTACCCATTTAGTATTGCAGGTATAGGTGTTTTTGGACTAAACTTGGGAATAATTTCCGGCGCTTTTGACAGTAGATGTCTTAAAACTGGGTAAAATGAACAGAACTGAAATTTGATAACCAAGAGCTTTCCTTGGTGTGGATCCTGTAGCTTTAGGGATTAAACATGTACTGCAATCTAACAAACAATCATTTAACTGATGGCAATGTTTAAAACATAAAAACATCTACATATTACAAATATGGCAATGTGGTTTACCTGCTAACATTTATAACCATAGACTGTATATAGAATATGTAGTATATGCAGCCTATGTTTATTACACTGTATCTACTACAATGGCGTAAATGCAACACGCAGCACATTTTGCCCAGAGCGAAGTCTTGAAGGCAGCCCATATCACCGCGTCATGTTCCGGTAAATAATACATTTTTTTGGAGACGAGAGCTCTGAAAACCACCGAGCTCAGCCAAATCCACTCCCCAAATTGACCTTGTTTTGTGCTGACTAAAACATTACCCATTGGAAACGCCTTTTTGAACAGAGACGCAAATATCGACACCTTCCTGTGAGGTGAAACTCGGCAAAAAAATACTTAATCTCCCAGAATGCACTGGGTTTTCCACCAATGCATTCTGGGACGAAGAAGGTGTCGTTGTAGTCTTCTAAGAAGTCCTTTGGACGTGAGATGAATTTTTTGACCCACATTTTCTCTATTAGCTTTTCGGGAATCATCCAGTGGTAACAACACTGTAAACAAACCAAAGCGGTGAGTTATTTGGCATTAAAATAAAGACACTCGAACGTTTTCAAAGCTGGTGTTAGTTTCGCCAAAACGTTGCGTCTGTTTGTTGAACGTTAGACCGAGTCCATAATGGGGATCCCGAGTTCATTTTATCAGTAGTTCTGATCGTATCAAGGGTTTTGTTTGTGATTTTTCTCTTGAAGTACATCATACAAGATACTCAAAGACGCATATTTAACACAGACTCATGTCCTTGTTGATCTGCAGGGTTCGTGTGTGTTTACCGAGGAGAAATGGGAGCTGATAAACGGTGAGTAACATCAGCGCCATTTATAATTGTAGCCGACAGTGTTTGTTTAGTTGTCGTTCACTTTCTGAGTCAGTCCTCAGAGGGACAAACTGTAAATTAATTTAATGGTTTTCAATATAATATTTACATGTTATTTTACCATGATTATTCCCGTTGGGATACAAAATCTCATTTCCAAGGGAGTCCTGACCACAATACTGCAAATCCTATACCTAAAAATGAAATAAATAACAATAAAAAACTTAAGAGGCAATCTAAACCCTCTGGAGTCTGGGGTATAATTGGCCGTTTTTTAACTACTTTTGATCTTACCTTCATATTTCCCCTTAAAAACAGTTTACCTTGCCTTGCTTGGTATCAGATTTTTCACCTGTGTGAATCTACAGTTATTTCATCATTTTGACACACTGCTTTAACACAGAGGACCTAAATTCACACACAAAACACCAAATCCGAGTGGAAAAAGGTAATATTTTTTTACTGTAAAAATTACAAATGTGTTTAACAAACCATCTGCATAACTTAGACTGCAAATATAAATTGTAAACCTCAAAACAATTATAGACAATTTTAACAAATAACACAGTGATTTACCACTATTTACATATAAATGTAGGCAATGCATCAGGCGTTTTTTGTACAATTATTCACAAATCAATGTATAGTCTCACAAATGTCACATTTTATTTGTGCCACTACAAAAAAACAGTAATGTAAAAAAACCTATGTAGACCCTCCTTCTCCACGTCAGTCCACTTGTAATTTTTCCATAATTCTTTGTTGTTTTTTTTTGCTGCACTTATGTTTGTGTTACTGTAGATTATTCTGACAAAAAAAAGGTCTTTTGGACTGTGGGGGAAAGTGTCTCAACCTGGATTAATCATAACTCTGGTTTTGTTTGGTTTATCAACACAATTTAAAAACTGGTATATTGTTTGAGGTCCTCACTTTCAGGACAAGTTGAAATGGAGACTCAGCAAGGCTTCGTCTTGCAGCTACAGCCTCATATGTCACATGGTCAATCGACTCCAGAGGGTTAAGGGTTTAACTGAGTTCAAGTATCCAAAATAGTCTGATAAAAAAACAAAAGTCTTATTCAGTTACTTTAATTTGGATTGTAGCATTTCATATCTGGTTGGATGTGATAAGTTGACATCAAAATATTTTTTATTTATTTTTAACAAAACACACCTTTTGTTTGTTTTGCAGCATAGAAAATTGGCCTCCATCCACCCCCATTCACTAACTGCTTAATTAGATTTAGAATCTATAATTAAAACTAACAAACAAATCCTCTTGAAATAACTTAGTTCATGTACACCACAGCCATGCCGGTGATCATATGGACACATTGATGCAGACCACACTCACATGTTCTGGTCTTGCCCAAAATTAAGAGTACTGGGAGGAAATGTGGAAAAGTCTGCAAAAAATATTAGGATATCAGATACCCAAAACATTTAAATTATTGTGTTTTGGAAACCTATCAAATGATATAATCCGAAGAAAAGATGAGTACCTGGTTAAAAGTAAAAAGATAATCACCAGATTGTGGTATAAAGCAGAACCACCAGCTGGGGTGCAGTGGGTGCTCACTGTTGAAGAGATATGTGTAATGGAGAAACTCACATATAAATTAAGATTACAGGAAACACAATTTACAGAAAAGTGGGGAAAATGGACTGATTTTAGGAGGACAGAAGAAGACACCACCACTATCACTGGATAATAAAGACATGGATATAAGGAGGATTAATGAATGTGATGAATTGTTGTGCCCTGTCACTGTAAATGTTCAGACTTAAAAACAAAAAATAACTTAGTTCAGCAGATATCCCTGTGTACAACATAGGCGTAGTATTTCAATCATGTCAGTAAGATCATGTATTTACTGAGCAGTTGTCTAATTCTACCTGTCCTTGTCTCTCTGATTAGGATCAGTCGAACAGAACGTAGTGGGAGGTATGGTTCTGAGCAGCCTCGCGATGAATCAGAATGGCGTGAGAGACGAGAGAGGGACCAGGAGCGGGATCACAATATGCGCCGCTGGGGTGAAGACAGGCGTACTGATCGCTTTGAAGGAGATCGACGAGGATCAAGAGACAGTCCGGAGGTAAGTTATTATCTTATTTTTAGTTCTCTTCAAAATAAAAGTTAATTTTTATTTTTGGTGACATCTACCTCTGACTGACATGTTGATCTTTTATTTTGAAAGCAAAGAGAAAGAAAACGTCGTAACAGTGATAGATCTGAAGATGGGTATCACTCTGATGGTGACTATCCAGAGCAGGACTACAGAAGAGAACCTGGAGAAGAGAAGAAAAGCAAGACCATCATGCTCTGGGGTCTTTCGCCTCATGTCACCGAGGATGATGTGAGTTTTCCTTTTAGCTTCGAATTAAATGCCTTCAAAAGATGTTTGTTTTTGCATCATAACCCTGTTTGCTTTTTGTTTTAGATTTGCTTTGCCATTGACCAACTTGAGGGGCCGCAGCCCGTGGATGTCAGGCTGATGAAAAAGAAAACAGGTGAGAACCTGATACATGACGGATCCCAGCCTCCCCCAGTCTTTGACCATAGGGCCAATCTGCTTCCATTCAGACCCATTTTCCCATAGCAGCTAGAGGAGAATTGTATCAAGTAACTTGGATTTTAAATGTTGATTCAAGGCGTATGATTTCAGTGGATTGTGGATCTTTTCAAGGTAAGTATAAGTAGTAATAACAGTTCAAGGAAATCAATTGGCAGACACACTATGTGTTGAAGTGTGGTTGAGTAATTCAGCAGGGTTTTTTTTGCTATGGTAAAACTCCTAAGGAGTGGCCCACTGTGTACCAAACAGGGCCTGGGTCGTGAAGCAGTTTGTGGAAGAGTTTGAATAATATGCCCATGGACTCTTAACTAACACGCCTCCCGTCTATATTTGAATGCTGTCTCTAGGTATAAGCCGTGGTTTCGCCTTCGTGGACTTTTATCACTTGCAAGATGCTACCCGATGGATGGAGACCAATCAGGTTGCTTCACAATCGCCAAGTCTAGTTTTAATCTTGGGGATCTGAAAAAAAAAATAACCCAAAGGCAACCAAAGTGAAATGAATAAGTAGTGTGGCAAACCTCATAGATCTGTAAAAAAAAAAAAAAAAAGAAGAGTTGTATGTTTATGTTCCTGATTTATTTAACCAAGTATGTTGTACAATTAAGAAAAAAGCATCAAAGCTGCATATTGACTGATAATGTGAGATCATCTCCACAAGAAGTTAGGATTAAAGAAAGTAGACACATCTTTACCTTGTTGATAAAGGCATTACCTATGATATTCCAGACTTGCATATATGCCCAGACGTTCCCTTTTAGCCCACCCCTCATTAGAAGTTTGTATCTTCTTTTTTTGTTTCTTTTTAATTGTTTGTTTTGTTCAAACATTCAAAAATGTGTGTTAGGGTCACACTTGTACACTTTGCTCCAGCTCAGACTGGGCACTCGGGTCCCAAACACCTAAAGAACCCTCCATACATCATGCTCACATATACATCATGTGCCTGTCTTGTCTTTAACACAAAGGCTATCTGTTGGGGGTCCCTCTCCCCCCATCTCTCCCTTCCAACACTGCTTGCTCAATTGATGAGATGAATGCCCGCCCCGAACATTTGAGTAATTTTGGTTGTCCTCTTGCAGAAACGTCTGACCATCCAAGGCAAAACTGTGGACATGCACTACAGTCACCCCAGAAACAAGTATGAAGACTGGCTCTGCAACACTGTAAGTGTAACCATCTCTCTTGGTCTCTTGCTCCCACAGAACACCTCACACACACATTCAGGCCTTTAAATGACAATGTTGTAGCCCTGTCAGCATATATTATGGTGCGGTTTAGTTTGATAAGCGGTAAAGGTTGGGTTGTATCTCGGGTAAGTATGGTATGCTGTACCAATATAGAATGCCTGTTTTCTGAGGCAGCTCTGTTCAGGGGTTAAGTAGGTGTGTAATAAAAATGATGTGAACGGTTACTTGCAGTGTGGCCTGTACAATTTCCGGAGGAGGCTGAAGTGCTTCAGGTGTGGAGCAGCCAAAGCTGGTAAGTAGTTAAATCCAACAAGAGGCCACTGAGTGCAGACATCCGGGCTGCTGGGATACAACACAATGTTTTTGTTGTGTTGTTTCACTCTGATGTAGGAAAAGTGCACAGATGGGAAACAGAATGTATTCGTTACTCACTGCTTGATGATACATAACTGAGGAGAAAACACTACACATGATAGAACTCAGGAAATAGGCTGTGATCAAAGCTATCTGATACTACAAACACATTTTTGAGTCAGTGCAGTTTACCTTATTTCCAGTTTCAAGAGGGTTATGTTAATGCACCTCTTACTTTTCTGTTATTCTCTTAACAGAAAGCGAAAACGGCAATAGCTCCGGAGCTTCTGAAACGCAGCCCACTGCAGATTTCTACGGCGACAGTAAGACTTTTGTTTCAGTTTCCTATTAATGTCAAAAATAAAACGACTTGTCAATTACATGGTCTGAATATTTACTTAATTCTTGTCATGTGCAGCGATCATCCTGAGAAATATCGCCCCTCTGACCACCGTGGAAGCCATCATGACAGCTCTGGCACCATACGCTAATCTATCATCCAACAACATCCGCCTCATCAAGGACAAGCAGACAGGCCAGAACAGAGGGTTTGCCTTCGTACAGCTCTCCTCTCCTCTGGTAAAGCTTTCTTCAATATGTGAAGATCTGATCTCAAACACGCTATCATCTGCTCTCTTGATGTCAGTGTCTCACTAAAAACTGAATTAACTCTGTGTTCATAGGAAGCCTCCCAGCTGTTAACCATCTTACAGGGACTGCAGCCGCCCCTTAAACTGGATGGAAAGACTATTGGAGTGGATTATGCCAAGAGTGCCAGAAAGTGAGTATGACAGGCAATAATATCCCTTGGACTAGTGGCACTTAAAATGTGCATAAAAAGAAGATAAAACTTTTCATTTCCAAGTTAAAATTCTAAACACACTGCTTTTTCTCCTCTTGCCTGTTTTAGGGATCTCATTCTCCCTGACGGCAATCGTGTCAGTGCCTTCTCTGTTGCAAGCACAGCCATCGCTGCTGCTCAGTGGTCCTCCAGTCAGGTAGGCCTGTTTTCATACAGTGTACGCTCATTAATCTTCTCTCCAGGCTCATAATCATAATGCTTGATCTCTTTTTGTTTACAGCCACAGCAGAGCTCAGAGGGGATGTCAGAGTACAGCTACCTACAAGAAGGTTACACCCCGATGTCTCAGGTCAGTAGAAGTAAAAAAAAGCTGTGTGAATAAGCTGAAGATCTAAGGATGTGTGGTATTGTCATAGAATACTGTCTTAGTATTTTGGGGGATATTGCCAATAAAAATAATTGATCATATGTGTTAAAAAGGGCTCTTCAAAGGTCTTGTATAGTAGCACCTAACTCTTGTTAACAGGACATTAGAAGATAATGATAGTACAACAGCTGCTCAGCTAAAACTGGGTTTTTGGAATCAGTAATTTCAGACCAAGCTTTAATTAAAGGGTCATTTTACTTTTTGTTTCTGTGACCGAACAAGAAGCTTGATGTGTATCTTTCTCTGAGGGAAGCTGTAGTCAGTAACAATTCTGAGTGCGTGGATCTTAATTCAGTCTTAATTCCCTTTTAGTTCTGCTCAAACTGTTCAAATTTGGAGATTCAGACTTTGGATGGCAAACTCAAAATAGTTAGTTTCACATAATTAAAACAATTCCAATAAAAGCACTATCTCAGACTACATTTATCAAATCATATCTCATCTCTCAGTCCAAAACTTTGCACTGTTGTAACATCTGGAAGCGGTAAACATAAACACATTTCTTTACACAAGATTTTTTTTTCTGGTAAATTTTCCTGTATGAATTTTTTAGCAGAGAAACTAGACAAAAGGCTGGAGCTTTATGGTATCTCATAGTAATGTTTTAAATATTCAGTCAATAATACTGATCACTTTAACTTAGTTGGAACAAATCTGACTTACATTATGATGTTTCGTCACATAAGATCACGTTCAAATAACCTGCTTTTATTCTCTAGGACTATCAGAATTACTACCAGCCAGGAGCTGCAGCAGCAAGCACCTCTCAGGGAAATGGGATTCTAGGAGGTAGGATATGTCTTTTTTTTTTTTTTTTTTTTTTTTTTTAACCTTAATGGTATATTTTATTTTCTCATGGAATGTTAGAAGGAGTAGAGAAGCAAATAGCATTACCTCTTGTATACTGTTTTGCATTTTCACAACAGATAATTACATTACACACAGAAAAAAGCATTTTTTTCTAAATTGATGCATTAGTTTTTGTTTGCAAATTACGGCAGATAAACCTTATTTATTTATTTTTTACATGGAACAGAGCAGTCGCTGACTTTCTGTTGTGTAAAATAAATTTTGATTAGACAAAAATGATATTCTGTGGTTAAGTAAAGAAGGGATTTATTAAGAAGTTTTCAGTACAACACTGAGCAAAACTGAAGAGCATGAATCCTTATTTTAGAGCAATAATATCAGTTAAAGCGACCATTTTCTTTTCTAATTTCAGCTGCTCCGGGTGTGAAGATCCTCCCCACTGCAGCTGGAGTTGTCATCTCACAGGGCGCACAAGTCTACCAACCGCATATAATCGTGCAGCCTGCAGTTCAGGTAACACACTATTTTTTTCCCGTACACTCTCAATCATCAGATATATCCTGCGTCAGTCTGTAAATAACTATTGAATCTGATTGCAGGCTTTGCCACTTGCCCAGCAGTTGGAGGTGAAACCCCACACGGGACATCTGCCAGGCGTTGAAGCCGTGCCGATGCCCGTTGCCACTGTAGCTGCTGCCACGGTTACCACTGCTGGTACACCATCAGCTTCACAACAGACAGCTGACACCGGCGCTGGTATGAGAACATTAGATCCCTTAAAGCCTGTGCTGTTGAAGGGGTTGTGCACAAAGAGGGAATCCTTGGGGTCACTTTTGATGTTTATTTGCTGACAGCGTATCCTGGAGGATCTGGTTCAGCCGGGCTCTTGTCATAACTAAGATTTTACTTCATTCATTAACGGTGTCTGGTTTTATGTTTGACAGTTGTTCCTGATACCTCAAGCTATCAGTATGATGAGACCTCTGGCTATTATTATGATCCTCAGACTGGCCTCTACTACGACCCGAACACTCATGTAAGTGACCTCTGTGTGTGAGAATCCATCATAGGTTTGAGAGTCAAAGGAGTAAGCGTTGTCCAAGCTATGTCCCTTACATGTATTTTTGTGTGTTTGCAGTATTACTACAACTCTCAGACACAGCAGTATCTGTACTGGGACAGCGAGAAGCAGACATATGTCCCCGCTCCGACAGACGCAGCAGCTGGACAAGGTGACAACATGAACAGCAGTGCAGCAGCAAACAGCAAAGAATCCAAAGAAGGCAAAGAGAAGAAGGAAAAGCCCAAAAGCAAGACCGCTCAGCAGGTGCGCTTTTCTACTATATACACAGCAGCAGTTATGTTTATTCCAGATGTAGCCTGCTCTTAAGAAATGTAATAATTCTTTCTCAAAACTGTTCTGTTCTGTATCTTTCCAGATTGCTAAAGACATGGAGCGGTGGGCGAAAACGCTCAACAAGCAGAAGGAGAACTTCAAGAGCAGCTTTCAGCCTATCAGCCAAGAGGAAAGGAAAGAGGCAGCAGCTGCTGATGCTGGTTTCATCCTGTTTGAGAAGAAGGTAAAGATTGAATATTTTACTACATGCAGTATGTGCGGTATGTTTTAACAGCACAGATGAATTGAGCGTATTTATTTATTGTAGCAGGCAGGAGGTTTTGAGAGACTCATGCCTGACATGCTGAGGGCATCCGAGGAGGAGCCAACAACCAGCTCAGCCAACTCCTCAAAGGTGAGTGTTTTCTCCTTTCTTCAGACCTTTTCTCTAGTTTGATAGCGATAATTGTCGAAGCCGTTTTATTTTTTTAGACCATGTGATATGTTCCTGTTTTCTCACCCGCCTTTGTTTATCCATGGTGTGGTTAGCCTGGCCTTGTGGCAGCCTACAGTGGAGACAGTGACCCTGAGGAGGGTGGAGCAGAGTCTGATGGCGGTGAAGGGGGCCAGAACAAGCTGACGGACTGGACCAAGCTGGCCTGCCTGCTGTGTAGAAGACAGTTTCCCAACAAAGAGAGTCTCATTCGACATCAGCAACTCTCCGACCTCCACAAGAAGAATCTGGAGGTTCTGCGCAGATCTAAAATGACTGAAGCAGAGCTGGAAGAGTTGGAGAGAAAAGAGACTGAGGTTAGACTCAAATACAACACACAGAATCACCTGGCTGCTGGTAGTCATATCTTCCACCCTCATAATGTCAAAGATATATATATATATTTTTTCCTTTTCTGTTTCCAGTTGAAATACAGAGACAGGGCAGCAGAGAGGAGAGAAAAGTATGGCATCCCTGAACCTCCTGCTCCCAAAAAGAAGAAATTCAGCCAACCCACACCAGTCATGTAAGATCTTATTTTAGATTTATGAATAAAAAAACTGTTTCGGATTCATTTTTCTTTCATTTTAGTGTCTAAATGTGATGTTAAGGTGTCCACATTGTCCTTTCTGTGCAGAAACTATGAACAGCCGACCAAAGACGGCCTGAACAGTGACAATATTGGAAACAAAATGCTGCAGGCCATGGGATGGAAGGAGGGGAAAGGTCTTGGGCGTAACCAGCAAGGCATCACCACACCAATTGAGGTATTCACAACAATGACCTAGTGGTGTATGCTTAATTATCTCATCATGTACTGATGATTTGGTTTTCTTCCTCAGGCCCAGTTGAGAACAAAAGGAGCTGGACTCGGCACAAAAGGCACCAACTACACCCTCTCTGCCTCAGACACGTACAAAGACGCAGTCCGCAAAGCCATGTTCGCCCGTTTTACTGAATTGGAATGAGTCCTTCTTCACTCTGAAGCTCGAATAGTCTTTCAGTTTGAGGTGTCTTCTATATCTTCATCAAACATGACAAGTGATCAGGCATGGCTGCAATAGAAAGGCTATTCTCGAACAATTCCTCCTCATGTGAAACTTAATTGCCTTTTTTTGCCGCAATGGTACAACAAGACAAAGTTAAAAAAAAAAATCTGCAATGAAGCCAATTAAAAAAAGTGAAAAATGTTATTTATAAATTGTAAATAGGCATAAGGAATTTACTTCTTTATTAATTTCTTTTTTTGTTAATACTCTGTCTCAGCATGTGAAAAAGATTGTACAGTTTATACAAAATGTCCTCTGTTTGTACAGAAAATAAATGACAGAAGTGATAGACGATGGTCTTTATTTCATGAATATGAAAGTTAAGCTGTGCATTCAACGAACGAGGGAATTAAGCAGTTACTCTGCACACAAAGTTAAATATAGATCACTTATTCATGTTATTTCTACTTGAACATTTACATTTCTCTAAAGATAATAAACCTATATCCAAGTTCACCACTGACATTGCAGAAACAAGACACCCCGTATTCTCCAAGTGATCTAAGCTTTTGTGGTTTTATTCTTGAGGTGTTTGTGGTTTGTACACTTCAGAACAGTAGAGCTGATATATACATTGAACTCTTGAGATGCAAATGGTCTATTTATGTCAACTTCATGGGCCATACTAGGACATCAATAACCATGGTAACATAAACAATGAATTCTGAGAAAAATCTCAAATGGTTGCTAGGGAACAGGGATTTTTTTTAATGTCAAGAGTACTTTTCTCACAGGCAAAAACCTCTCTGCTCTCTGGTTGCTTCATTTGTATGTCAGTCCTATGTGCGGTATCTGATTAATTCAGATAGAAAATCTTCTAGAGGCTACAGTTTAATATAAAGAAGTAAAAGTCCATGATAACGTGGTTTTTAATAGAAGTGCTTTGTGACATCTGTTTGGAAATCTATGCAGTATTTCTTTCAGCATATTGTAGTGAGACTCTTCTTCCACCAGAGGACAGAGGTTGGTGACTGCTGTGCTGAGGCGCCCTTCAGCGAAGCACAAATACACCCCAGCTCGAGTAACTTGGCTGTGTACTGTGCAACTTCAATCTTCCTGTAATGGCGTCTCTCGTGCTGTACATCATTACGCATAAGTGAAGGTCCATGCTGTTTAATCTCACATCAACAACACAAATCAAACCTCATCTAGACTTTGAATGGTCTCACCTAGATTCCTCATTTTCCTCTTTTTTTCACATTGAAGCTCTCTGTGTTGCAATGCAGATGTATGATGTACCAGCTTGTTGGAACGGGTAACTAAACTAAGCGCCCTGGCTTTTCTTAATCAACACAGTAAATCAGAGCTACTCCAAAATAAGAAATCAATGAGAGATTAGGATTAAAAGGTGTTTTCTAGTCCACTAGATTAGTTTCTACCATGTGTGGAGTCACATGATTGAGTTCTCTGCTTTAAATATTACTTCACAGTTTTATATTTACAGTATTGGTATGACATAATGAGACTTTTTATTATTCTGGTGTAGTTCCCATTGAGCAATAGACAGCTATTAGACGTCTAGTTTTTTTTTATACCAAATGTCAACCATCTAGATTCTGTGTATTTTTAGACGGAATATAGACTATGCACTATTTATTTCAAAAAGCAACTGTGAGTTGCATAACTGATCTCCAAATACTTAACCAAAATAATTATGACAGCCGTTGAGCAATACACAGTGTAGTTTAGATATAGCCCAGATTTAGACTTTTTTAGACCTGTGGTAGTCTGATTTTAGAGCAGTCATCTAGGCTACATTTGGACGTCTATTAGACCTCTTTGAGACCAAAAAATGCTCAGTGTGTTATTATCAGTATGATGTCTGTTTGATAGCATAAAGGGTTGCAACATGATTTTTGAAAGTGGAAAAACTAAGTATTGTGTTTTTGTTAATCACTTCAAGCAGCTTTACTACTTTTGGGTCTTCAATACAAGAGATGTATTAATTAAGAATGATCTGTGTATGTCCATGTATTTCTTGTGTGTTGTCACAGGGGAAAGATTTTGAAACTGTCCTATAAATCAAAACAGACAACCATTCCTCCCTGTCATTCTGAACTCCTATTACCTGTTTGTAATCTTTAATGGAACATTGTATTGGGGTTTAATCACCCCCACATCTCTCCATTGCAGATCATCATCCCTGATCGGCCTCACAGACCCTGACCCCGACTGTGTGGGGAAGTTGTAGAAAAAGGTTGTTTGTGTTGCTCCTATGTACATACATTTTTTCAAAGAGATCATTGCCCTCTGAGTTCAAGGTCTTCGCTCCTGCATGTTTGTCAGCAGAGAGCTAAAGGGAAACCTCTTATTAACCAGATGCTACTTTTACTTTGAACGCACATATTTAAACAGAACGAACTCAAAATTGATCAGTAAGGCTACACTTATCCATATGTGTAGATTTAAACTCGCACAGGGGTTGTTCGTTCACACAGAAGGCTTGGCGAGTTTGTTTGCCTCTGCGCTGGTTGTCCATATAATATAAACAAAGTGAGTTACACAATGTAATGTAATATCTCACAGGTTATGTCATGGACCTCCTGATGCCTCCTGCTTTGATATTTTCACCTCTTACAGGGAAATGTTCTGAACCTCACGTCCACCTGTGTTACATAAACATACTGCAGCGATACAGCCTGACTCCCGTGGTTTAAGGTGGAAACTCTGGTGTTATATTTCCATCGTGCCTTCGAAGAAACTTCTCTTCAATCAAACATAGTCAGCAGCTTGAGAAATAAGAGCCACAATCTTCTCTCCGTGAATGAGGTTATGTAATAAAGAAACTGTGATACGCACAGAGAACTTAAAGAGTTTGTTTCAGCAAATTGTTTCATACAACCAAATGATTCCTCGGGATGTTATGTATGGCTTATTCGAATATCGCCTCAGTTTGCATTTGAAAGTACAAGAGATTCTTACGGTGCTTCCCCCTCTGTCTTACTCACACGCTGTGTACCTGTTCTTTATCGAGTGTCTGCATGCTGATACCACTAACACCACATCTAGGAGCCCTGCTGTTTATTTCAAAGCAGGTATGTGGTGCTGTGCTGTTTCAAGAGACCCACTTTGTCTCTCAGCGCTTTTCTGTGAAATGTAAAAATATCCCCGGTCCTCAATGACAAATCCTTCTAAAATGATATCCAAAAGTCTTTCTGATTGACGTTAGAGGTGTTTTTGGATAATGCATAAAAAATACCAATATGTTATTTCAAAGCTACGGAAGCCCTAAGTGGACATGGTTTGTTTTTTTATTTTTTTACCCCGTTTTCTCTAGATCTTGAGAAAACAAGGCTTTTTTTTCTCGAGTTCATGGCATTGTCTCACATGCCACAGTTCCCCTGCACAGAAGCACTGGAGCAACAGGCTAATAGTTATGACTATGAATAATTTTGGGGTGATCTGTTCCTGTAAAGTTCAGAGAGTGTGCATCTTACCTTGTGTATTTCATCCTGTAGCAGAAGGCCGACATCGCGGACACCGCACCACGTACAGTGATCGGCCCAATGTTTCTAGTCCACCGCAAAATTAATTTATGATCTCAAGAAAATGGGGGTGAAAATTTTGTCCACATTGACTGTACATGAAGATGGATTACACTAGGGCTGGGAGATATGGCCTCAAATCAATATCTCGATATATTGAGTAGTTCACCTCGATAACGATAAATGGACAATAACTACTCCACAAGCTGCTCACCCCCTCCCACATTAACTCAGTCTCAAGCCGCTACAACTTTTGAACTGTCCTCCATCTCCTCACCTGTCTTTCCCTCTTTGTTAAAGATTGGATAGGATGGAGTCACGTCTCTGACTTAGGACAGCGTCGTGAAGGTACATGAGACCATAGCCTACCTACACACATCCAAAACCAACTTTATTAATTTATTTTTTTGACACCGAATATATTAACGTGGGCAAAATGATGCTGGTTATTGTCATAAATTTCAGTATCTGTAAATTTTACACTTTTCCACCTTTTTGTTGTTGTACAAAAATGACACCACTTCTAATGGGAGCTCACATCTCACCTATTTGAACCAAAAGTATTGCACAGCAGGGATTAGTTCTCAGAGCAGTACTACTGATGCCCCACCTCTCCCACTGATGGAAACATGCATCTAACCCTTTATATAAAACAGAAAAGATCAGTCAGGTTGGAACAGTGTCCACCTAAACGGCTCATTGTGCAAAGCTTACTCTTACATTGATGCCAAGTCCAGCGACTCTTATTTTACAGTGAAGTTTTTTTTAAGGATTCAAAGGAGTTTTATTTGTCATTCTAGTCTACAAGAGAGAAGAATGAAACTTGTACTGAGGTCCTGGTATCAGCCAAAAGAAATGTAAGACATAAGAGATAAAAAGTAAAAATTTAAATATAAACATAAAATAATCGAAATAAAATAAACAATAATATTAACAATAAAATTATGATGATTATATTTACGGCATAAACCCAAATAAATATAATGATACTATTTACAATTTGCCTAATCTAAATACAGTTCACACTTTCTATCAATCTGCTCTGTGAACCTATTTGTTTTTAACTTTTTCTGTGATATATAAAAATATATGTATTTTTTTAATCAAATCCACAAGAACGGCTCAATCGGTACTAGCATTTAAGTCACCGCTGGTTCCTTCCAGTTGTAAAAAAAAAAAAAAATAGAAAATCTATTAATATCAAGGTTTATTTTTGTTGTAAGTGGCCACCATTAGACACACCGAGCCCAGGGGTGTCCCTTACAGATCATCCTGTTAGTGGGGGTGAAACCGAGGATCAAAATTATGTAAACTGTCAAACATTAATAGCCACAAACTTTGATTGATGTGGGCTCTAGAGGTCGCTACATGGGCTGATATCCCAGTGTGGTGGATTTTGAACATCATTGCATGTAAACTACACTGCACCGTTTAGTGATTTGCCAAAGAAGCATATTTTAGATAGTATGGTTTTTTTTTATCCATTCATGCTGATCCAATTAAAGTATCCAAGTGAAATTTGCAGTTTGCTGTGCAGTTTTACTATTAAATTATTACACGGTAGACCTATTTGTCTGCTCAGAAGGCAAAGATGACCTCTTCACCTCCTTATTAAGTGTATTGTCCTCTCATGAGTGGGCAGGCTGAGGCTCTTCACATTCCTAACCCTTAAACAGGTGCCAGATCTCAAGCTGCGCGCTGAGAGCTTCTCAGTCAGATAAAATAGACAGAAAGGCATTTATAAGATCAACCAAAGAGAGATATTACAGCATCACTCTTACACTGCAGGTACAATATGATGTTGTGCGTGACTATGGCACACGATCTTCTACAGCCTGAGTAACATTTCTTATATGGTTATATGCCATTTAGCCAATCAAACTACGGATTTCTTCGCTCCACGTTGTTGCAGCGTCGTGCGCAAAACCAAACAGTGCCACCGATGCGCGAATCCCCACGCAAAATGTAAACCAATATGACTGCCACGGTTTCCTATGTATTCCGTGCGTCTTCCTCACTAACCTGACACCAGTGGTGAAACCTACAGCGAGCAATGCATCCATAGGGGGGGGGTTTGCAAAGGAGGCGGACCTAACGCGACCCCCACAGTTGAGCTTCAGAAGCTTTTACAATGCCGACCATTTCTCTGAAGCGCATTCAGTAGCTCGCTGGGTCACAGAGGGACGGTCCGAATGTGCGTAAAAACCCACGTTTGCAGATACCATATCACGTTTCTCGAGAGGAGAGAGAAAAGACGCACGGAGAAGGAGACTCTCGCCATAGAATTTATTCCTACCCATCAGAGGAATTAACTTGAAAGCTTCGTGAGGAGAACCCTTGGTAAGACTGAGCAAATCTTATATAACAGAAATAAACGAACGTGTTTGGTTCGCAAAGAGAAAGCACGAGATTCTCTTCGCACGTTTGGGCTGGTGGAGTCTTAAACCTTTAGTTTATTGTGAGTTTTTCCTGCCTCGTTGAAATGTGAGGAAGAGTGAAACAGTTACTATGAATATATGTATTGTAGAAGGACATATTGCTTTGTTTCCTATCATTGGGGGGGTTGGTGAAATCAGGAAGAATAGCGTGTTGTGAGCGCGAAGTCTGGATGTCATGACCATGTGCCTCAAGGAGTGGAGTGACAGATTGGTGTCCATCCTTTGTCCGTCAGATCCAGGATGTATGAATCTTACTGGGACAGGATCAGATTCAAAGTTGAAGACTTCTTGCAACAAGTATAAGCCTCAGCTCTACTTAACCAAGTGTGTGACAGCTTTGACTTGTGTGTGGTCAAAGTATTCCGCAGCTGTCTCCCAGTCACAGTGATCTTTACGCACGTAGTTGTTGCTAAATTAAAGGAATCAGTAGTTTATGACTCAAAAGTCTTGCTATTTTTAACATCCCGAGTAAGTGAGTAAATTTCCTGCAGTTTACACCTTTTACATGTTGGTGGTGTCCAAACCACATGGCATCGAGTAAAGGCGAGGACAGTTTCCTTTTCCATCCACCAACTAAACCATTACCGACTGAGACAGAGGCTGTTGGAAATAATTAGTACATAGAGCACAGCATTGGTGGGCCATATTCAGACTGCGTCAAGTGATGAGTAATGTAAACAGTGGTTTTAAGAGTCGGTAGCAGCCCTTTAGAATGCACTTTCCTTTGTTATTTTGGACTAAATTTACCCATGTGGAGGAAGAGCGCCCTGTGTGGGAAGTTAATGCGGCACGTTATCACTCTGCTGGCTGAGCCGACCACATGTGATGTTACGTTTTTATCAGGGAGCGGACAAATACAAGCTTTGGGTGATATAATTGTGAAGGCTCCCTCTCCCCTTTCCCCACATAAGACTACGGAGTTGGTCCATCTGTGCGTGTGTGCATGCAGTTTTCTTTGAGCTGTGTTTATATAATCAATACGTGTGAGTGATTTGAATGCCCTGCTGGGTCTTCTCTCTCAGCCTACCGAGTACCATCTGCTTTTTATGGGAACAATGTGACACTAAAGCCTAAAACATTCAGTAAATAATGCATAAACAAAAGAAGATACTTCAAATATTCAGAAAAGTGTTAAACTGTGAGGACTTTTTCTCTTAGAGTTCTTATTATCTTATCTGACAGAAAACTGTAAAGCTGTGGGTTGTGTCTACTGTATTTGAAGGACTTGTTATGGCTATATTCTTGATTATACAGTAGGATAGCATAGTAATGTCAAGCTGCCATAATACGAGCCCATTAGGGTAATTCTTGAAGATAAGGTTTAGTGTTTGCCCAAAATGGCAAACAAGATGACACATCAACCTCGCTTTACAGTCACAGCTGTTCAATTTTTAGATGGTTTGATACTATGATATTTGTGAAAATTATGTGTCTATCAGCTGTCAGTCAAATTTAGTCGAGGTTTACATCAGCATCTGTTTGCTGACCTACTGTTAGGGGTGTCCCGATACAACTTTTTTACTTTTGATACGATACCGATATTGTAGCCTTCAAAATCGTCCAATACCGATATTGATCCGATATTGGTACAAACTTGTGCATGACAAGTTTTGCACTCAGCTGCAATGTCTTTTTCGGACTTTAACGAAGAATACTGCCACACAACCGACATCACTCCTACTTGCTACTTTGTTTGTACTTTTGCACACATCGCTGCTTGTATCGGAGTGCTAATATTGGAGATTTTAGATGCAGGCTGATATAATCCGATATTGTTTTTTTTTGGCTGATATTGGACCGATATCTAATATCAATATTGTATCAGGACAGCCCTACCCACGGTCAACGATTTACTGCCATCAACCTTGCTAGATGGCACCAGCATCACTATTTATTTGTGTTACCAACAATAGTGTGATTGCTGATATCGGAGGTTTTAGATGCAGGCTGATATAATTCGATATATATATATATATATATATATATATATATATTTTTTTTTTTTTTTGGCTGATATCGGACCGATATCCGATATCAATATTGTATCGGGACAGCCCTACCTACTGTCAACGATTTAACGCCAACAACCTTGCTAGATGACACCAGCATTACTATTATTTGTGTTACCAACAATAGTTAAGTTGTTGGTTGTCTCTGGATCGACTCACTCGATCTGAATGTGTAACCAGCACAGACATGTGTTAACCAGCGAGGAGGGACGATGACTGGTGGTGCTAGCTCTACTAGCATTTACCATATTTGGTAAATAAATTTGACATTGTTTCCCCACCTTTACCGTAATCCTGTGTTAAACCTTGCTGTAGAACTTGTGCTCAACTTTGAGTGTTTTCTTACTGATAGTTTATTTAGTAGGAAAAAACTAAAGGTAGCAAGGTTATAGTTGGCTAACTGGAGTTTAAGACTTGGAGATTTGTAGCCTCTGGACTTCCCGTATCCCTACGCTGCAGGTTCTCTATTTGATGAAAGATGAACGCACTGGTAAATAAAAATCCCTCCATCAGTTAATTGCATAAAATCCTTTTATAAGATGTATTATCAGAACTAGCCCTTTAAAATCCATGTTAGGCTTTTACTCTGCTTTATGCCACAGCTGGTTCATGTTCCCATGGTTCTGATAAAGAACAGGGAAAGAACTTGAAGTTTAGACCTTTTTTTCAAGAGTGCGAGAGTTAAAGAGAACAGTGTTTTTCTCTTTTGTCTGAGAAACCAGTGAGTGTGCACGGTGAGTGTTCCTGTAAAGTGGTGTCAATTGGTGCAAACACGCACCATTGTTGCCCAACCCTGTAAGTAACTCTAAATTGGACAAATTCAGAGACACAAACAGACTGTTCAGGGAGCGTCACTTTGTGTGTTTAGGGTAGTGTGGGTTATGGGTTATGTTTCTGACTTTGTCCCCTCTCTAAACACTAACACCCTACATGGGGATTTCATGATGGGTTCATTGCAGTGAAGAAGGGGTAGATAAGCTCAGCTGCGGTCAGTGAACCCAGCGTGTGCAGAGATCAAACTGGCTGAGAGTTTGGGGAGGAGCTGGACAGGTGCTAGGTGTGCGTATGTGTGCCTGTGTGAAGGTCTGTGTTTTCTTCATGTGGGAAGCAGCCAGCTGTGCTCTTCTATCACCCTGAGGAGACCCGTGAATATCTGTGTTTGAGTCCGCCTAAGTGTTAAGTGTCCAACACGCCATGGTTTATAATTATCTTTGTCATGGAGCTCATAATCTGTGTCTGGACTTAACCGAATCATGTGTTGTTGTCTATTTATATTTAAGTCAATGGAAAGTCCTTCTTTCATAACCTTTGTTTATATTATTTATATACAAGTGAAAGAAATATGTATTTAAAAGAGACTGTGATTGTCCTCACTCAGTGTTTTTTGGCAAACCTTCAAGTATCTCTAAGCTGATTGATCTTAAATATTATGCCTTTATAAAAACTAATGTCGTCTTTTTATTGTAAAGTCCATTTCCAGAGTGTCTTTTATGCTTTTACGGTTTATCTTATGGCGCCTACCATCCGGGGAGTTTATTCCCAGTGGAGCAATCTGTGTCGAAGTGTGCTTTTAAATGAATTTATGCTGCTTTTGAAGTTCCATAGAGAGCTATATGTTCTTATATGGGAAAACTCATGGGAAATAAATTATTACACACACGCATAGAAAATGGAAAAAGAAAAAACACTCTGGCATAAGCGGGTTCCTCATGATCTTAAACTAGTTTAAATTAGTTAATATGTAAAGATCAGTTCAGTCTCAGATAAAGCTAATTTGGCCGTTTACAGGCAACAGAAACAATATATAAACGCAACATTATTATTGCTTACCTTTTATCGCCATATGACAGTTATATTTTCCTTTTTACCTGAAACATATTTATGAAATATGTTTCCACCAAAGACGGTGTAAAAAGATGGATGGTGCAACAGCTCCGTAGCGGCGAAGCCAAACCATTTCAAATATAGTTCCTATATTAGTTCCTATATATATATAGACCTCAGAGCCAGCCTCCTTTATGATTAGATGCAGGGCATGGTTGAGAGAAAAAATACCAGTATGCCTGGGCCGCAATATTTCTTTTTTGTAGGATGGTAGGGGAAAGTCCCGCCTCCTTGGCCTCTGATTGGCTAGAAAAGCTGGAAACGTCATCACATGCTCAAGCCAAACGCGGGCTGTCGGCTCTGTACATCAAACAGAACGTTACAGAACATTATCGCACTTCTGAATCTCCTAACCCTAACCCTCACCCTAACCTGACAGACGATGATGTTTCACAGCCATTAGGACTCACCAATCAGAGCCCAACACTTCTAGCCAATCAGAGGCGAAGGAGGCGGGACCTTCCCCTACCATCCTACAAAAAACAAAAGTTTTGAAAGTGAAATAGAGGCACTTCATCCATATTGATTCATAAACAGAAAAGAAAACATCAGGCCGTGTTTCCTGCTATTCTTGTCTCTCAGCTAGTCACCACTTTAACTTCCTTATTGTTGGTGGCAGCATAATTAATATGAGTTTCTTCACTAAAATTAGCTGTTGGCTGAAACTGAAAGAAATGGTAGCCTGCAGCAGCTGTGATACTGAAACAAACAAGATTAGGCTGGATACCAAAATGAAAGCAGAATGACATACCAAGCATCACTCGGCTGAAACGCTCTGCAGGGTCAGGTAGGAAATCCTTATTGATTCACTGATGCACGCTTTCCATCGTGATCTATGGTGACACTGTGTAACAATAGAACACAACTGCTAGCAACATTGCTCACAGCTACACAAATACTGTAATAACTCACTATTTGGCATTTTAATCCCAGCAATCTGTCACTGACATGGATGTCAATGTCAAAAGTCTTTCAGAACAGAAATCTGAACACATGTGAATGTAGCCTATATTCTGTAACACTTAACAATAACCATAACTTAAAAATGGTAAATAGACCATTTATAAATGGAAAGCAGATAATTTATTAATGTTTGATCATCATTTTTAAATAGCATATAGACCATTAATAAAATGTTAATGACAACTTTAAAAACCTAACCCTAACTTTACAATAACCATCTAAGTAATGTTTATAGGTGGTTTATAAACCACTATTTAAACCCTATATAAACCTTTAATAAATAGTTTGTTAATAATCAATGAAAATTATTAATCATAATTTCATTGCTTGTTAATGGTAAAGTAACTATTAACTTATGTAAATAAACTATCTATTTGCCATTTATAATTGGTTTATATGCTGTTTTTAAAAAATGATTAAACATTAATAAACAATCTATTTACGATTTATATAATATGGTTATTGTGAAGTGTTACCCAATAATCTTATGCAGGAATGGTTTACAGTGAACGTCTTAACAGCAGATGGTAACACACCTTACCACCATTAATATCTCTCAGATGTGGTGTTTTTATTTGTATACATTTGTGTTGATAAGATGCTCATCGTCAACAAATAGAAATACACATGCTGACAAAATAAAAAAAAAATCTGTCATTTAACTGATTTGGGTTTAAATTAACATTATATGAAATGATTTACAAAATGAACACAACTTACAACATCTGTTGTCTTTTCCTGCCGCTGTAGCATCATTGATTCCGTCAATGCAGGAAGTCAGACCTTTAATTTGCTCCAGTGTCTGAGCTGCCTGAATCCCCTGCCTAGAGTGTAATTGCCCTGAAGTCTATACCTCCTGCTGCCAGCTGTTGGTTGCCGGCTGTTTTCCTAGAAAAGCGCCCTGCACCCTGTCAGCGTGTACTCACAACTAATGAGAGCTAACTGATTCCTTATGTAACTTAAAATGGGTGTATTACAAGCATGCAGGTTGGGACTCAGGTTCTTCTTTTGCCCTTCACCTGCAGATTTTTATTACAACCCAGTATAATATCTGTAATAGTCATAATATGGAGATACACATGACAGGCACTTTAAGTACTCCATATGTGCTACTTGATTTCTTCCATGTGCTTTTTTATACAGCACATATTGTAGGTATTTAATAAGAAAGGTTTCCTATTCATATTATGGCTGTTATATCCATTAGCTGTAACATTTCACAGATTTTTTCATTGTGGAAATGTAGACCTCATTGTGTAATCACATAGGCAGGTGTTAGAGGCTACTATAGCTTACAAAAAGTGCTGGACCTCCTATGGCTGAGGCCACCTCTGCAGCACGCATGAAGAAGCTCACGCTCAGGCTAAATTTGATTCTGAGTCATTGTTTTCCAAAATGTGCAATTTTAGTGAAACATTGCTCAATCCCTGATCTGATTGTAGGGTGAAATTAATGATGTATTTTCTCTTGTTATTGTCGGTGTTATTCTGTTTCTGCAGAGTTTGTGTCACTTCACTCGATGCCACATGATGCTGGACTGGAGAGTGTCTATTTAACATTCCCTAATAACAACTGAAATTAGGAGGATAATAATAATTTTCTACTAAATCCTGTAAGTCCGCTTCTATCCTAAATATGTTAAACAGCATATTTAATGAAATCTTGGCTCTCTGTTTGCACTCAACAGTGCTGCCTCCTTTCATGATGCCTTTAACGATTCAGTCTGTGAGTCAGGCGGAGTTGGAAGAATAAGGGGCAGAGGAGAAGTACGGCTTCATTACGAGTTACATTAAGCTGGCTGACATATTTTATTAAAGGCTCTGCTTGCTTTCTTTGTATTAGAAATCACCTGTTTATTTTGTTCCCTCCTCACTATCCTATATTCTTATTTAACCAACGTTGCACCAAGTACTTCTGAATTACCCAGAAAGTGAATATTTTAGTGCAGAATATACCAAAACGGCTCAGCTATAGCCACTGTTTTTTAAAGAAGATACTAAGCACAGTTATTCACATTATAGAGTCAGCGTACAGCCCTGACTGTATTAAAATGAGATTATTATAAACGTGAAAGTTGGTGTTTTTTCTCCTGGTCTGTGACATAGTTTGAGTGTTGTGGTTTCTACCGTACGTAACACTAGTTGGATATACAGAAAGGAGAAGATATAGAAAGCTTATGTCCTTGTTAGTACGTTGTTAGTACTCATTTGGATAAATATATATATTTTTTCGTGTTGTGTATTATTTAGAAGAGCCTCATTTAGGGATTCACCGAGCTTATCACATAAGGAGGATCTCCTTCTACATATTTGTGCCCTCAGACAGTAGAAGCTGACGTTCTCTTGGTTAGACTGTTTGAAATGTTGAAGATGTACACAAGGCTGTCAAATTAAATTGCTGCATATTTTTGTTTTTCTGTCAATATTTAAGATCTAGCCAGAAAAACAAACTGTCAGTCCACTGGGGTTCCTTTTTAATACTTCTTTTTTATGTTAAAGTTTTAAATCCTTCTGTTTGACGCAGTACGTTTACAACTGATCAGAAGTTTTTATGCTTCAGTCTTTGTTGTTAGGGAGTGTTAATCTATACTTCTATTGAAATGTATTTTTTTGTTTTTATTATGAACTGCTTGAAAGGATGTATTTACCCTAATTCATGTCTTACTCAGACAGAGAACATGGATAAATATAGTTTAATAATTAAAAAAATCATAACAGCCTGGACATTTACCAGCAAATTATAAAAATACACTGTGCCCAATCATTAATTGTCATTATATCAGCTGTTAGAAGTTGTTCAGATCATTTCAAATGAGTTCACCAGGAATTTACCAAAAACAAAAGCCGTTCCTCTGGCTCTCTGTGCCGCAGCGTGGAATAATGATTCAGGTGTTGGCCGGTATAGTCGGACACAAGCATGTGTTCCTCTGTCCCCAGCAGGCACGTGGCTGAGATGAGCTGGTGCTGCCAGGCGCTGTTGGCTGAACCTCGTGCTTGTTCCTGATACGCCACCACATGGGCATCTCCTCATCTACATGTGCTCGCCCACTGCCCCCCGCTTTGGTCGTGACCGCTCTTATTCTATGTCCAGCGGGTACAAAGACAGATAGACAGTATTCATCGCCACCGATGCTGTTGTTTTTAAAACAGCAGAAAGTTTTATTGGTACCATTTTTTTGGATATACACTGAGCGGACTAAAAAAAAATCTTATCTCTATTTACTTTTCCACGAGGTCAAACATTTTCAAGTGTCATCTAAGTCCAGTAACTTAAAATCAGACATTTCTCTTGTATGCTTTTTCAGAGCCCATTTATGACATGACAGAACTCGCTTTGGGCAGCGCTACAGCAAAAGGGCCAAAGGTCATCCTCTTGGCGCTCTGGATATGATCAGATTACATTTTCTTGGACTGGCAGAGATCAGTATGCAGCATCAATAAAAATAGAAAGGAGTGATGCAGATGTTATTAAAATTAAAGAAACTCTGTCATGATCTGGCAGCTTTAACCCGATTATCCACAGCCTTTCTAGTTTTTAGCCATTCTCACAAACGTTGAACTAGTCCTTTAAATCAGTCTGATCTACTTTTAAACATTGTACTTGCCTCACATGTGTAACTAGAAAAGCACTCGGAGAGCGCAGACCTCCACCAAGCAGCTCATGTCCCCCCTTATATTGTGATTCACGCCAAAACTTTTACTGTTACGTGTCTTTTATTAACTTTTATTTGTGTTTAAACTGGTATGTTCACTGTTCATAATGTTCCTAAAACAAGAAATGCCGTGAGATGGATTCAAACCCAGGACCTTCGTAGTGTGAGGCGACAGTGCTAACCACTACACCACTGTGCTGCCCATTGGTTATCTTTCAGCATTGAAAATTCCAACAACACCCTTATTTTTGTGTGTTCTGGATCACAGTATCCGGAATTTTGTCTGGATCAGGATCAACCTTTGACACCTCATAAAACTCATTGAGATCCTTTTGTGTAATGTTTTACGAAAGACTCTGGCCATTTTTATAGAGTTAAATGCAAAAATTCCAAAATTTGCCCTCTCACAATGATAAAGAATCCTTCAAAAAATTCCTGGATCCAGAAGGCGATCCGGATCACCACCAAAATTTAATGGGATCCTCCTGGGGCTGAGACGCACCTCTGGTGAAAATTTCAGGTCAATCCGTTAGTAACTTTCTCCGTAAAGTTGCTAACAGACAAACAAACAAACAAACAAACCAACAAACAAACCAACGCTACCGAAAACATAACCTCCTTGGCGGAGGTAAAAAAAATGGCATAGACTTTAGAGCATTGTGATATAAATATGTGATAGTTTTTTTTTTTTTTTTAAATATGACACCAAACAGCTCAAGATCTGTAGACATTACTTCTTTATCAAACCAAACATTGTTTACTAGCAGCATACAGCACATCTACAGTCTCTTTAACAAGCAGTCTTCTTTTCCGTCTTAAGGAACGTGTTTACAGTCTCATCCATTAGTATAACTAATCTCTTCGGCCTGCTATTTTCCCAACACTAGATAAAATTACACAGCAGAAATAGTACCAGCAATGTGTCTCTTTCAAGACTCTCATGATGGCTGCTCTGAGTTTACTAATGGATTTTACACCATGATACTGTAACAGAGCTGGAAGAGAGTAACTAACGCTTTATTTACTTCTGTTTGGATGTGGTTAGTTAGTTATAGTTTCAGTGAAAACTCTTTGGAAAAAACCTTCATTAGTATCAATCATAAGGAACTAAAAGTTTCCATTTGAAGCTCCTGTGAGGAATTTTTTTAGCTTGATATTAAATGACCCGAACTAAACACTGGTGCCTCTACGGTCTATTATAGTAAACAAGACAAACAGGGAAAAGACTGGTTATTCCAGTACATTTGTTTTATATGGCTGTTGGACAAGCTGGTTAATGGCACACTGGGAAAACAGCCACTTTGAGAAGTTTTTCACTCCAAAGATTTAATGAGAGTTTCAGATTAGACATGAAATAGACGGAAAGAGACAAGATTGTTTGTGAGAACATGCAGTTTTCACATCCACACAACTACAGTAGATCAGCTTTGTCCACAAGGGGAACTGAAATGGACACAAAACAAAAGTTCCTCACAGGAGCGTTAAGAAATTTCACTCTAAACCAAATCATAAAGAAACTATCCAGTTACTTCATGAAACATAGTTTTAGGAAACAGAGTTGTATCTTTAGCTGGAGTCATCCTGATATTCTTCTTATATATTTTATCAAATCTTGTGAAATTACTGAAATCAGATGACCGAAGTGTATATATTTCCTAAAGTATAATTTAGTATTATTCCTCGAAGGCCCTGAAGTAAATTTTGCAACCTAGGATTTTGTTTCCGAGCTGAAGGCTAAAAATGACCCTAATTTGCCTTGAAGGCTGCTTCTACCAACTGGAAAACATCCCGATTTAAAGAATGTTCAATTGTTCTTATAGGTGCACAAATAAATTTTAGAAACGCTCAAATAAAAGTTAATGCTGACCTTTTTGAGTTCAGTTTGATTGGCAACAAAAAAGTGTAATATCCACACTCTTGGTTTAAGTCGAAGGTCGTTTTTTTAAAGTCTGTTTCTAGGTTTATGGTGGATATTTATTTTGCTCGACTTTGCTTTTGCTTCTGTCCGGCAGCTATAGCTCGATGCCACTCTTGCAGTCAGATACAGGTCACTGGTGTCACAAAACAAAAACTATAAGACTCAATATCAGTAAATAAAGTGCGATGAAGACAGAAAAAAACTGGTCAAGCTCAGGGAAAATTTAGAAAGACATGAAACTGTTGCACAAGTTTTTTTTTTTTTTTTCTCAGTACCAAAAACAGTCATCATATGGGTGGGGACTTGTAAACATCATGAGACTCCACGATGAGCCTTTGCTGTATTTACTGTAAATGGAGAGGCTACAGGCTGCTGTTTTCTACTCATTCATGAACACCGCCTTCTCTCCGGTAGAGCGGTGTCCCGACAGACACATTCGACAAAATTCTGATGTGTTGGAGAACTTCTTTATGAGAAGCTCCAGACATGCTTGCTAATCACTTTCAATCAAACAATGCAATAAGCTTGAGGTATTTTGTATTTCATGTCAATCTGGGAATGATCATTACTCTAAGCCAAATGTTGTAACGGATATTATTGACACAAGGGGCTCATGCGTTTGAGCTCATTGAGACTAATATTAACTTAGTGCAAATAAAATGACTCACTAGATTATGTAATAGACGGCTTAACCTTCTCTGAGTTTATAAGACTGGGCTCTAGATGGACTTCTCTGAATTTTTCATTATGATTTCATTTAAAATCATTAATTTTCTGCATTAGATGATCATGTTGGTCATCTGTGAAGTGTGTTGTTTTATCCCTCCATGGGATCAATGGCCCCCAGTGTGAATCGCAGTGGGTATGATCCTCTGGCTTGGGAACACAACTGAGTTGCTGTATGTTTGTCACATCGGAAGCGGCTAACAACAGAGCATTGTCTGTCTGAGTGTTCGCTGTGAAATAAGGAGGAGGAGGATTCATTTGTGTCACTAGGGTCACAGGAGGCGATGGTAGGTTATTATTAGATTCTAATTAAATCTTGTGAAAATGATTTTTACAGAAGAATTCTTATCTCAACTGTGAGTTATACTCTTTTCTAACAAAGAAGCCTGCTCTCATCCAGGAAACACAGTGCTGCTGACAATTGTAATTATAGTACTACAGTAATGACTGTTGTGAAAAGCGCTTTCTCTGTAATTTCAGGCCTGTTGTTGTGAGTGATTTATCTTGCTGGTTTTTATTTTTGTCACGAGACAAACTGTGTGAACCTGCAGGTTTGTAACAATAACCAAAAAAAATATTCAAATAGACCTTGACCTTTGACCCCGTTTGCTTTAGTCAGTAGTACTGCCCTTCTGGGAAACAGAAATACTTACCATGTCCCCCAGGACATCAACCTCATCATTAACAGCTGCCTACCAGCCGAATTTAATCAAGAGTGATGGAGGTCAGATCCTTGGTGTTGACGTCACTTTGCCATCAATTTTTGTAAACATTAAAGCATTAGGTTTGATGAAACATGTTACTGGTTATATTAGGGATACTGTAAAAGTGAACAGGTACAAATAAGAATCCCTTCAGGATGAGCAGGATTGGGCTGTTAACTATATGTTATCCCTCCTATGATATGGCTACAAACTGAAGACATAATCAAGTTGACATAAAATTCAGTTTTATCACTAATTTCATTGCTTTGAAAATGATTTGTGCCGCCATAGAAACAGATCTAATCAGCCTCCTTACAGGCGGAAACAGTATTTTTACTGAAGGTACCATGAGACGAGGTAAAGAGGACTTCTGCAGGAACGTTTTTAGCATCTCTATCACCGGTCAGCTCTCCTTTTCAGGGATTGCATGATTTTCTGGACCAACATAAGACAGAAACTGAAATTTTTGCCACCGTGTCAACAGGCAGTGGTGAAATATGCCCAAGCCTTTTCTATGGATGATCAGGTTGCCATTGGTGTTGCTTGGTGATACTTGATGACCTTTTCACTGAGTTTTGACCAATGAGAATCAAGCATTTAACACAGCTGGGTAATAAAACATAAATAGACAGCTACAATGCAAGCTCAACAGAGAGTTCAGTCTGAGAAGTAAAAATAACTCCAACATAAAGAGCTAAGGACAGCTCTAGATCCTGACTGGTCCACCAAAACCTCTGCCGTCTGTTTTTCTAACCTAGTTTTACCAACTTCAAGCTAGTTACATAAAGTGCCAACCATAATAAGGAGCAGACGAACAAAAATGGGCTGTGGGGGGGCCTCGCAGAGTTTTGTACTTCAAACAAACCTGAGCACCTCTCTCTTTTTTTGCACAGATATTCAACAGTCATCTTCACTGAAAACATTCAAGCCAAAGAGATTCTTTTTTATCCTGCAAGATGGAGCCTTCTCAGTCAGAGATGAACATCTTATCCAACGGGAAAAGTCATGACCTTGGAGAGGATGTGCCGGTGAAGACATTCCCAGATGATGATCAGTGAGTATTCCCCTTAACACAAAACTCAGATAGATGTCTTCTCTTTGACACTTAGACACCATTATCAGCAGTTTAACACAGTATGTATTTGTACTCATGTGTTTTTGTCTTTCTATATAACCTGTTTGAAAACCACATCCTTTGTGCTGCTTTAATTAAACTGACTAAAAAGTAAAAGCGCTAGAGCACAGACTTTTAGACCTGTAGATCCTGTGATAAAGCTTTCTAATTAATAATGGTAGGTTAATGGTTGTGGTGTGTGACTAACTGTGATGTTGTTTCTGCATAGTCTGATTTTTTTTTAAATGCATGTTTACCTTGTTTTTTGCTCACTCCAACCTGTGGATCCTTACACAGAAATGGCACTCAAACAGTCAGGTATGTCTGTGGATATATGCATCCAGTATTTTTCCATTTTCACTCTGAAATTAATACATAAAAGAGTGGGCGATTTTCACTAATCTTATAGTCAATGTTTGCATAGTCATTAAGAGTATCAAGGGAGACAATGAATGACGTTTGTAATCTGCCGACTAGATTTGATGATCCTGAAGGAGGACTGGAGCATGAGGAATTTCTGCCCACTGCAGATGGGAAGAAACCCATTCGCTTCACAGATGTAAGTGTTTAAGCCTTTGTCGACATAAAATCATTTCACAGGATATTTTTAGCCTAGAAAGCCACTCTGGGTCCTTTCATTTTAAAAGATATCAAGCATCAAATTGGGTTAAGCTAGCTTTCAGTATTATGACTTTAAGGTTGATAGCAACATTCTGACAAACATTAAAAGCAGATTTCAACAGCAACTCATATGGTACCATTCAAACAATACAGGAGAGTATCATCTGCATAAAGCTTGATATTAGACGGGGCACCAATGGGTCTCTTTCATTGAATTGCATGCCTTCTGTACAGAGGCAATGGTAACCCATGATGCAGACGTGCGGTCCTTTGCCATATGTCATTCCCTGATGTCTCTTCAAGTTTACAACTCTTTCCAATGTCCTACCTTCTAAAACAAGGCATAAAACAGATGAATATTACGAGGGTGACCATATTCTGAATCCCCAAAAAGAGAACAGGACTACAAAGGGGCGGAGTCACAGAGTCACACAAAGTTAATTTTGAGAGTTTTTTGGGTCAGATCAAGTGTCTTTTAAGCGCTTCCATACAAAACCCTGGACATTTGAAGGATTTTATAAACTTCCCCTGACAAGGCCGGACAAGCCTGGACAGCCCCCCAAAAAAGAGGACTTGTCTGGGTAAAAGAGGACATATGGTCACTGTAATGTTACATCCTGTGTCAGTTTAAGTCAGGCTGTAGAGGAGGCTACAGTCTTTGTTGCTCTACTTGTAGGACCTATTCATTGCCCCAACAGTGTTAAGCTTGTGTCATTCTCCACTCTTTCCAGTCTCTCTCAAACAAGTTTACACACACTTAAAGAAAAAAACAAAGGTTGCAATGGTTGCTGGTTCAACTCCCAGCCCCGACCCTTTCCTGGATGTCAGCCTCCATTCTGTACTACTGTACTGTTTTTTCTGAAGCTGTCCCTTTACTAAAAAGGCAAAAATGCCAAAAAAACAAACAAACACAATAAAGAAAGACTGAGGTAACAGCCTGTACTAACTGAAAAAACTAGACTCAATGTTCATTCTAAATAAGATAGGGCCCCAATACTGACTCTTGTGGAACACCTATTTTCAGTGGTAAATCTCACAATATTCTAGAGTACATGACTGAGAGCGAGGATCCAAACTATATTGTAAGATTTTGATACATAGATACATTGGCTGTTAAATTAATGCATTGTATGCTTTTGTTCTTGTCCCCGTAGTTTGAAGGAAAGACCTCTTTTGGCATGTCTGTCTTCAACCTGGGAAATGCAATTATGGGCAGTGGAATCCTGGGACTGGCCTATGCCATGGCCAACACTGGCATACTCCTGTTTTGGTGGGTCAAAAAATACATTAACTAGATTGTTGCCTATTAAAAACAATGTGCTAGAAAGTATCCACTTGTCTATGTGAGTGAAGGACTATGTTTCTGCGTTTGCATTTCTTGTAATTATGCCAAAGAGTTTCTTAAGACCTGGACAGAGAGCTTTTCCGTACAGAACCTGAAAGAGAAAAAAACTGTGCAACCCTATGAAGTTCAGAGACGAAGAGCCAGGAAGTTTCCGGTTACTTTTGAGAGTGATTTAGTATCTGTCATCTCATTTAGTATCTGTCATGACATGTTGTCCCATGGCATGCCCTGCACTGTGGTTGCAGATCCCTGAAAGGCCATAGCCCAGAATAACTGGACTCCCAGACCCTGTCCAAGCATCTGGGTTGCTAATTTAGTTCCCCCTGTTCCTGTCAGGAGTCTGCCACAGGATCATGACCCTAGTTGTTTTGGTCATGCAGTCTCTGTTTGTGTTGCTGCTGTGAGCTAGTAGCAGAACTAGAAAAGTGAGATGGCCAAAAGTCAGCCTTGACCATGAAACAGGAAGTCAGTCAGTACAGAAGATTTGAGGTAAATTCACAAAAGACAGCAGTTCTACTGAATGGCAAGATCCCCATGGTATTTAGGTCAGTGGTGTTTTAACTATATATACTTCGTGACTGCTTTAACATAACTGGATGGTAGCAATATAGCGAGAGATGCATGAAGCATATAGTATATCACTTACATGTATTTCCAAAACAACCCCAAGGAAACGAATAGCTATTACCACAGGATGTACAGTCTGGAGTATTATTATGGCAACCTGTTTAAATCATTAGACTCCCTGGGCTTAAATATCAAAGACCATCAGGTTTAAAATAAGGTTAGTTTAAGACTATTTACATAGTTACCGCGAGGCATATGACCCTCCAGTTAAATGCCGGTACATGGAAATGTGCCAATATACAGCAAATGTATGAGACTCTAATACTGAATACACCTCAGGATAGCTGATGTTTTCTTTTACATTTAACATCAGCATTCAAACAATCCCCATTTGTGAAAGTGTTACTGAAAGTTTGTATCAAACGTTACTTTTTATCCACTAACATGTTTGACTCAGTCAGTACATTTACATGACGCTCAAGAAAAACTAATTAATGCCTTACTCTGATTAAGACGGACAACTGAAGTGCATGTAAACACCTTAGTCCGACTATAATCGGCGTTTGAAAACTCCAAGTAAGACACCCAGATAATCAGATTGGAATTCAATTTTCTCTACCATATAACCAGCGTAGTTGGAGTTTGATTGGACAATGCTTGTGCGCCACGCCCCCATAACCCCGAAACAAAAACAGCGGGGAAGAGGAGTAGCGTGCACCTCATCTGCAGAAAAAGTAGCGCGTATGACAAAAACAAGGCTGTACGATGCTCCATCTTCTTGCTCGAAAATGCCCAGCAGCAGTTGTAGCCACTTCTGACGTCTGGCACGGACCTAGCACAGTGCCAAGAAGACCTATATCGTCCCCTAGTTTTGGGGAGGAGGACACCTTCACATCAATAATTTGCTTTTCTCAGCACTTTTCTCAGCAAGTCCAATTCGGCGGAAAAAAAACGAATCATGAGCTTAGTCCAATTAAGCTGTGCATATAAACGCACTGACTGGTAGTGGAGGCTGCTATACAATCCTGCTCTTTAAAAACATTCAACCAGCGCCAATTATAGAGGACTGGACTATTAGCATTAGTGAAGAGTTGCAGTAGTCAATAGACAATTAAAGATAGGATCATGTGTGTCTGGAAAATAACAATATATACTTATGAAGCATCCTAAAACACTGGGTAGAAATCTTGTCTCTTGAACTTTTTGACATATTAGGTTTTTAGTTTTTCTGTTTGGTCTTTCTTACTGCCGTGACAGCTCTTTGTATCTCCAACTCTACTTCTCCCATTGTAGCTGGTGTTAGGGATTACTGCCTGTAATGTCAGGAGAACCCGTCATCCAGCAGCAGCGATAGAAATAGACATTCTCGGTCCTCGTCAGCATATTTCAGAGAGATACAGAAATAGAGCAGGTATGAAAAGCCTGGAGCCTTCCACCAAGCCTATAGGATCAGGAGAGGGGTATTTCTGTGCAGACAAATGACATCAGATACAAAGCAGCTCTAAAAATAAATAAATAAGTAAAGACCTGTTTGTTGGTTTTGCATTGAATAGAGTCCTCAACTTGGCCTCCGTCCCTCCGCTTATAGGCATGAGTGGAAGAAAAGGTGTCCCTTAGTGTACAGAAATGCTGAGAAAAGGTCTGAGAAAGATGATGGATTCAGGATCAAACTCTCTGACCTATTAGGAATGCTGACCTGGCTTGGTCTGGGATCTTTGCCGGCGTAGGATGACACAAAAAACAAAAAGGTTGTGGGAAATCAACTTTTCATCCATGTGCGTGGGACTATTGATAGCTATCAAAGGAAAACATTTATTAGATTTCGCTATGAAAGATGAATATTTGTTGTATTCCATTGTGCAGCATAAATCACCATTTTGAATGAATGAACAGGAAAAGTGAAGAGTCAGCTGCTTGAGTTACTCCTTGAGTTCCCAGGCCAGAATAAAAATGTTTTCCCCTCTTTTATACATCAGATCAACCAGAATAAATGTGCAGAAAAGTTATGTGGCAACATCTGAGAATATGCACAATACATCATGAGCTAATGCAGCAAAAGTTGACTTTAATGTTGGGGAAATCCAAGGGGAAATAAAATCCTGTAAAATAAGGCTGACATGTATTGAAAAAGGATGTACAGGAATAAGACCTTTCTCTCTGTAATGTGTTGCAGGTTTCTTCTAACTGCTGTTGCAGCCCTGTCTTCTTACTCCATTCATCTGCTGCTCAAATCCTCAGGCATTGTGGGTAAGTACTGTGCTGTTTTTTTTTAAAGAGATTAGCTAAATGTAGTTATAGCATAAGAAATGTCTATGTAGGCTGGAAACTGCAACAGTTCTGCTGCAACGCTGAAGCGACAAAGGCTTCTGGTGATGTTCGACGTTGAAGACATTTTGGTGAAATTAGAAGTCATACCCCCCTCTTTACCGCAATAATACTGCTATCTAAAACCTGAAAATGAGTTATATTCTTGCTGGTTTCAACTATACAGCAATGCTCTTGCAGAATTGTAGTCGGCATGCACATATCGAAGGATTTCTGTCCTTCACTTTTTTAAAGGCTTAGACTGATTGTAACTAAAAAAATGTGAATTCATTGTTAGATGATAACAGAATTTTTTAAAGCTTATTCTAAAAGCTCAGACATACCTACCAGTCACAGATGACCAACATGAATTTTATTTGATTATTTGGGAGAACAATATTGCATAGCTTCGAGGGGGTGTCTCTGGAACATAACTGATGATCGTCATTTTGTCCTAATGTGCTTATAGGGATTCGAGCTTATGAACAGCTGGGGTACAGAGCCTTTGGCACTCCAGGAAAAATGGCTGCTGGTATCGCAATCACCCTGCAGAACATCGGAGGTGAGGAGCCACCGTGACTCAGTGATTAATATGCTTTCAAATATGTCCACTATCAAACTCCCTGCAGCAGAAAACATGAATTATCCTCTGATTACATGGCTAAGAGTTACTGTAGGCCTTACCAAGCCAAACACACATCCATATTCCAGTATCACAGCAGCTGCTCTTGGCTTTAGCTCGGAGTATGAGGATATACTCAGAGATCAGGAAAGCTGTTGGTAAACATCTCTACTCCCTGGTGGTCTCAGCATTGATAAAAAATGCCTCCCACTCACTGGATTACATGTACTTCTGTTTCTGGCCAAGACCTTGTAGATACATATGAGACTACAGTGAATTTGACTCAGTATATGAAGGTGTTTTTAAAGGACCTATCATCATTAAATTGGATCCTTTTAGGCAAATTACTTTTTTCTCGTAAAGTCTAAAATGTTACTGCATCCCTAATGCAAATGAAAAAAAAAAAAAAAGCTTATTTTAAATTCTAGACATATACTGTATTTTCACAGTAAAAAAATGACACATGTATTTGTACTTTTTTAAATTTTAACTTAACTTTATTTATTAATATTTTACATGTATAGAACATGCTGATAAACAATGAAAGTCATGACATACACCCACCCTCACCCTTAGGAGGCAAATGAGAAGATAAACAACAAAAGCTATATAAGAGTACAGCTCACTAATATGTTTTTACTATAAGGTGATTGAGGAAATGTGTATATTAAGAGCCAGAAAATGAGGTGAACAGATAAAGGAGGATAACTATAAATAATAATGAACTGTATAATACTAAGATCAAAAAGAAGAAAAAAAAACAAGAATGAAATAGACAAATAATAAAAATTAAATAAAAATAAACTGATGCTAAGATTTCTGTACCTGAAATCTTTGAACCTGGAGAAAATCAGGTACTCCATGTGTGGATCTACAACAAGACTTGGTCCTCATTTGTTACGCATGTCAGATCTTTAACACTGAATTGAGATGTTGGTATTTTTTTGTTGCTTGATCCTCATACATACAAGATGTCAATTTGGGGATTTGGTGAGAAATCCTGTCACTCATTACCTGGTAATAATGTATTTGTACTTTTAAAATGAAGTTGAGTAGAAGTCATATCATCAGAGCGAGATTTCAGATCAGTACATGACCCCAGCTGCTGCAGCTCTATCGCAAATATGACACGATAAGGTTTCTCTTGACATGGTTTACTGGTGACTGTTTGTTCAGTGAGTGCATGTACTCTCACTGAAGCTCTGTTCGCCACGTATTCAAACATAACTCACTCTCTCTTTCTCTCTTTCTCTCTCTTTTTTCTGTCCCAGCCATGTCCAGCTACTTGTACATTGTCAAATCAGAGTTACCGCTGGTCATCCAAGCTTTCCTGAAGGTTGAGCCCAGCTCTGAGTGAGTACTTTCATTCAAGCACTTTTTTTTTTTTTTTACCATCACATGACTTCTGGCTGCTGTTAGCCAAGAGTTCAGACGTTGTGTGCAGGGGTCAAGGGGGTCTGGCAGGGTATAAGGGCAGGAAATGTTTCCAGTTTGCACCACTCATTGATTCAGTCCGTGTGGAGGGAGTGTGATGAGAAAGCCAGCCTGTAATTGGTGGAGAAACAAGGAGGGGGTAACTATCTGTCAGTTATGTGTACATACATCATAGACCCTGGGCGCTGTCAGGGTGTAGAGGAGAGCGGTGTTGGCGTCAGAGTCACGCCACGGACACGGACACTCTGCAAAAGGACATGCGCAACTGAAGTGGATTCCAGCTGCCTGTTCAGAGCTAAAAACAAACTTGTACTCGAAAAGGACTGCAGCGACAGCAGACACACCTCTTTAACATTACAGACATGGAGGATCACTTTCTTTTTTAGAAATGTGAGGTAGCATTGTGTTAAAACAACCTTTACACAACAATAAGTGATAGTCTGTTTCTGCTTCGTTATTTTCCTTTGACCTTTAAACACCTGAAGGTTGGTCCAAACCCTCTGGAGGTCATTGTCCCTAATCGCTCATCAATGCTTAAAATGGGTAGATCATAACTCAGCTGTGTGTAAATAAAGCAAGGATCAGAGGAATAGCTACGATCTAAGTTCACGTATGCAGCGCTCTCACTCTCGCTCCCTTTATGTCACACGCACACACACTCAACCCACACAAATGACAGCAGCAGGTGGCGTAACTTGGGTGCCAAATTCCGAGGCCGAGCATAAGGACAGGTCAGCTCAGGGCCAGCACTCAGCAAATGACACACACACAACGTTCATTTCCACATGAGGAGCCACATGCTGTACAGATCTGTGGCGTCAGGAGAGCAGAGTGGGGTGGTTGGCGAGTGGTGGGACCTGGGGGGTGTTTTAGTAACGAGTGAGGGCGACCACTCAATGAGAAGGTCAGATAGCGGGGGAATATTTGGACTTCAGACAAGACTTGGACTTAACCATTACGACACAGGGCTAATAAAAGACTTGGAACAGGCTGATATCAGTTTTTAAAAAGTACCGATGTTTGAGATCAAACATTCAGAATGGAAAAAAGATTGATACTTATTATTTAATATGTGATAGGATCTCCAAAATGTGGGAATTAGATTAAGTGCTGATGGCAAATCACTTAAAATGAATGTAAAATGGAGCAATGTATTTGGTCATAGGGGAGACCAGGGTTGGTTGTAACAAAGAGTTGAAACACCATTTCCACCAGTTAGGGATAACAGAGTCGAGTCCATTTTTCGACCAAGTCATTTTTTTCTGTACTTAAACTATTGTAGTTACAATCAGACGACTTATATTGGATTAAAGTGTTTTTCCTTAAGCAAGATATTATAATTTTTTTCTGCCTGTTTTAAAACTACTATACCAGTGCAGCGATCTCAACCCTGGCTGACACGGGTGGGGTTGTGACACATCTGGAAAAACAGTTTAAATCATCTCCTTATAACCACTTCTTTCCACATTGTGAATTGTTTCTTCTTCTAAACAGGCACTGAACATTTGTTCGTTTTTAGTTAATAAATCCATAGTGATGTGTTTTGGGGGATTCAAGTTTGCATTGTCACACTTATTCTAAACGTGTAATGTTATCTAGACTGGTCTTCAATGGACTAAATCAACGAATTAGGGATGGACGATAAATTACCGTTCATGATATATCGCCAGAAAATCCTCCCTGATATATATTTGCCATCTTATGACTATTTCAACTGGTGTTCTCAAGACAAAATGAGTCAAAAATATAGATTGGAATTATAATATTTTTTATCGGGACTTTTATCGTTATTGCCAGAATGGCAAATCTTATTGTGATAATTTTTTAGCCCATATTGCCTATCCCTATAACGAATAAAAATAATTTTTATCATCAATTGATCTAGCTACTATTTTCTAAATTAATGGATTTTTTCCTACCTTTGTTCATCTAAGCCCAAAAAACTTTTATCAATCATCTTCAAGAACAGCAGAACATGGAAATTTTAAATGAGTAGAAAATAATCTGAATATCTTTTTAAATTTTTTTTATTAAGTATTCAAATTGATGCTGTTGCTCCATTGGAATCTTGACATTTACTCATCTTGGTTTAGCGGATATTTGACTTGGACTTGCCCTGAAGCTCCAGGATTCACAGCAGCCACATGAGGAAACTGATCATCTACAAATAACCTACTGACCTAAAGTCCAAAGAGGACATGACCTTTGTTTCGTGTGACTTCCCATGCTTTCAAGGGACTCCTTCCCACACACATACACGACTGCGCGCTCACACATGCAGCCGGTCTCATGGATCTCTATGTGCCTCTGCCTGTGGCAGTGGGACAGACAGCTGATCCCCCCAGCTTGTGTCCCGCTCAGAGGGTTAAGAGTAACAGACTTATCAGCTTAAAAAGGGGTTATACGACACAAAGAACTGTCTATACGTGGATTATATGGCGTATACTCCACAGGATTTGAGAGAAAGTGGGCTAATTGTTTGGAGGTCATTTATCTAAACTCCCTGTTGCTGGTGCTACTGATGTTTGAGATTTCCCCAGATGACATTTGTCTTTCCCAAATGAGAGACAAAAGGAAAGTGTTTATTCCACTTTCCATTAGCTCCATTAGCTAAACTAATGGCTTCTTACTTGAAAGATTTGAACGAGTCTTTCAATCTTAAAAAAAAAAGATATTAACCTAAAACCTTTTTTCCCCTTTTAACTAATTTGTCAGCTTGTAAAGTGTTGAGTTTTTTATTTAGACCAGAAACACAGATACGACCTCCAAATATCTCTCATCATGTCCAAACATGCCCCAAATATAAAAGCCCAGCTGCCTCTTTTTATGTTGTATGAGGGAGTCATGATTTAAGTAGGACATTTACAACAGGTTTGTTTGATGGCAGGACATCTGTGGAGGCCACATTTAGCCGAAGATGATCCAGCAACACGGTCCCCCTTTGAAATGAGGTGGGCTAAGATTGGATGTGTCATTCCATTCTTGCACGTTTTTTTAGCTTTGGCTCAAAAGCGTTTAAGCAGAGATTTTAAAAAAGAAACTATTCAAGTGCGTTTAGAAACGGGGTGAGTAATGGAGAGGAACGGAGGTGGCTACCTTTATTGACTCATGCAGTTCTTGGTTGTTCAGTTTAACAAAGTGTTTCAGTAGAGGGCAACATAAGCAGACATGTTTTTTTTCATCTATATCTTTACTCTATTTTCAAACTCGAGCTTTCAGTCTGCTCAGTTTCTAGGAAAATCTGTCCACTTCGAATATCAACAAATTTCTCTCTGTCTAGCTCTTTCTCTTCCCGCTCTATTTTTGTCTCCTTGTCTCTTCACTGTACGCTGTGTCTGTGTGCCAGTGTTTGAAATATTGAGCTCCCCAAAGTAAACTGGATTTTTCTCTCCAAACAGTCTGTGGTACTTGAATGGAAACTACCTGGTCATCATGGTCTCTCTCAGTATCATCCTGCCCCTGGCTTTGATGAAACAGCTTGGTGAGTACAGCTAATATATGCGTGTGGTTTTCTTCGGCCAAACTAACTGAAACATCCAATAAGATTGTCTACAGAGCCAATAATTACTCAAGCCTATAAATGTTGGTGTAAATCATCTGTAAATACAACATGATCAGAGGTTTTACAGGTGTTCAAATTGCACCACTAAATAGATTTCGAGCTTTCTTTCGCCACAAAAACTCAACAACCTTTTCGAAAACCGAGAAGCTTTTTTACTGCATTTCACCACTGGGTCTGCGCTTCATGAAGGTCTCTTTATTTTTGCAGAAAATGATGAAAATAAGGTCCAAAACAATCACCTTAACTTTCTTTTCAACTCCATGCTATCTTGTCTCTTTCGACACACCATATGTAGCTGCAACAGCATCTTCCTGTTCCCGCTATGATGGAAAATAAAGGCAACACCGCACTTGTAAACGACATTTATCACTTTAAAAAGTCCCAACAGTTCAGTGGACAAGTGAAAAGTAACTAACTGATTTATAATGACTGACTGAACAAAAGCCAACAGAGCTTTTAGTTTTCAGTGTGAGAATCACCACAGATTTGTGGATGAAACCAAATCAAAGAAGTTCACTTCAGTGTTTGCTTGATGGGTGACAACTGACTGTAGGCCAGTCCTCACTGTGGAAGACTCTGATGTTGGAAGTTCTGAAATGACACAGATGTCTTTTTCTATTCTTTGTGTTGCTGCATGAAATTCACCGATACGAAAAAAAGAGAGAAGAAGAAGAGAGTGGATATTGTGTGCAAAAGAATCAGTATGTATGGATGTTTCTAAAATCTTAACAAATGGAGGATCATATTTATGAGGGGCGGGAGAAAAAAATCGATTCACATAAGTATCACAATTTTTTTGTTTTACGATTTTTAAATTGATTTTGATGTTCAAAAATCATTTTTTTTCTTCAAATTTAAGAATAAATCTTAAAAACTGACTTACATGTGGTACATTTTGGGGAAATACGGTTTCTGGAATAGTCAGTCGACAATCATAATCGTACAGCTGTTTCACTGGTGTTAAAAATGTAGACTAAAGATCGAGAAAACCGTCAATATCCTCGAATCGCAACTTAAATCGAATCGGCATCCAAAAAATCAAATCAGGAGAAAAGCATATTGTCCCAGCTCTAATATTTATGATGTAAACAGAAGCTTTTTGTCCTCTAAGGCCACTGTCACCTCATCAATGGGAAGGGTGAGCAAGGGAGCTTTTTAATATAGAATCTGACAACTAGATGCTGCTAAATATTTCCATTTCTACAAACTGTTGATAAATAGAAAATACTGGAATCTGATCAGAAAGGGTTCATTGTGATGAACTCCTGAAATTCTGTAAAAAGTGTGGTTTTACAAACGCTTCTTGTCTCATATTTTGGACGTTTGATGGTATTTTTTTACTCTGACTTTGTACTCAGACCTCTCTCAGCTCTTATGTCTTTCAGTTATAATGAATTATACAGAAGTAATTAGGTCTTTTCAACTGTTTTCACTACATTAATGTCTCATATAGTTACCTAACACATATCTTATGTAAGCCAAATTCTTTTTACCAAACGTTTTAATCTTCTCATTAAGATGATCTTTCCTTTTGACTTGAATCCAAGCTAAATAATGATTTTTTCATGAAGCAGTTACCTCAGAGTGAAGCAATTAGTGTGATTTTTGCCCTTCTCCCGGCAGCGATAACAGCAGGGGGCCAATCAGACATGAGTTTTCCTGACACAGTCACAGCATTGAAACATTTATCACTACACAGGAGAAATCTGACCTTCCTGGTTTCAGGGTTTTTTTCTCAGGACACCTCCCAACTGTGAATTCTTTGGACTTTTGTATAACTGATGGAGCTCTTCCAAATGTATCAAGTCAAAATAACACTAACTCTCTTTTTCTCATTATTTCTAGGTTACCTTGGCTATACCAGCGGATTTTCTCTCAGCTGCATGGTGTTTTTTCTCAGTGCGGTAAGTTAGTCCAGCTCATACTTGTGTTTGCACGTCATTTTAGCACCCACTTTCCCACCTTGGTCCTTTTCCCACCCTAATCTCTATATTTGCAGCGGTATGTGTCCATGTTTGATAAGACTAATATAAGCATACATCAAAGGTCGAGGGGACTTACAGGTTGAGTCACTCTAATCTGGTGTGGAATGTCTTGAGCCTTGCAGTGATCGTTGAGATCCTTTGTTTACTGACTACAGCACATCATCCCCCTCATCACTATATCTCTGCTTCTTTGAATTTATGTCATGTTTTTCATTCTGCAGGTTATCTACAAAAAGTTCCAGATACCCTGCCCATTTGAGGAGTACTCCTCGAACAGCACTGCTGCCCTCCACAGTCTGAATGTCACAAGCCACGGCCACGAGTATAACAACGGCCTGGTCCACGAGGAGGACGACTGCTCCCCACGCATGATCACCATTAACTCACAGGTAGGCAGCTGAAATGGAGACACCTGCTGCTTATCTGGGTTTTCTTAACACATCCTGAAATCATGTCCATGTCTTCTGTACAGACAGCATATACCATCCCCATCCTGGCCTTTGCCTTTGTGTGCCACCCTGAGGTGCTGCCTATCTACACTGAGCTCCGCAAGTGAGTCCCTCCTCTGAAACCTGCATCAAATGTTTGCGTTTCACTGCATATGTTTCCATTCATATTTTTACGTATGCTCTGATTTTAGTCCAACAAAGAAGAAGATGCAGAAAGTGTCAAACCTCTCCATCTTTGTCATGTACACCATGTACTTCCTGGCTGCCCTGTTTGGTTACCTGACCTTCAAAGGTGAGCACAGGTGTCCCTACTGTTAGTATAGTAGCATTGTGGTATTGTCTGCCAGCTTTTAAATGGGCTCTGGCTGTATGTAGGATAGGGGTGTCCTGATACGATATTGATATCTGTCCGATATCAGCAAAAAAACAAATACCGTACCGATATCGGTATGCATCTAAAATCTCTGATATCTGCACTCCGATACAATCAGCCCATTCCAGACTCTGCAAGCTGAGCACACAAAATCACAACAACAGTGTGTACTAAGATACTAACACAGTAGCAAGGAGTAAGAGTGATGTCGGTCTTGTAGCAGTATTTTTGTTTGAGTCCAAAAAATACATTACAGCTGAGTGAAAAACTTGTCATGCACAATTTTGTGCCAATATCGGATCAATATCGGTATCAGTCAAAGTTGAAGGCTACAATATCGGTATCTGAAGTACTTTAGGACGCCCCTAATGTAGAAACCAATTGGAATTATCAACTTGGTAAAACTTTGTAAGACTTAGGGGTGTTTAAAGAAGAGCCCAAAGATAGCAGTGGTCATACTGAAGAGGTCTACTGTATAAAAACATCTATGTTATGTTGCATTGAGGTAGTCTGTGTAGTGATATACTGTATTTATCTTACTGACAAAAAATGAGAGGAAACGATTAGTTCAAGGGAAAATCAAAAAAAGGCTTTTGCCAGTTACTCCTCTCATAATGTTTAAGTTTCGGCTATTAGGCAGTCAAGACTAATTGTTACGAAGTCACAAATTTTCAAGAAATCAGTTCTGAAACAAAGGTCCCAAAGCACCACATTTAATTATCATCCTTGAGTCTATAAATGAAAGACGAAACAACATGCTAATAAAGTTTTATTTACCATTCACATGCACTTTTTATAGCTGGAGAGTTTTTAGAGATTGACAATGTGATGAGTGTGAAGTTGCACTTAGTTGGTCATCTCGTGTCTGCTATCAGTAAACTGAACAACATGCCTGCCTTAGTGAAGCTTCTGAATATGTTGGAGGAATAATTAAAAGACAGAAAATAGTGATTTTATTTTATTTTTTTACAAATGTTAACATCTTTGCTGTCACTTTTCCTCTGTTCCAATATTTTGACCGTTTAACAGTTAAATGCTACTTTCATTGTCAGTATTTTCTTTGTGTAGTAGTTGGTTATTTATTACATAAAGAGTCACAGCTCCCTCCAGTGGTGACAAGATGCAGTTAAGCATTTTAAGGCTGTATCACTGACACTTACAGGATGTCTTTTCTTCATATTATTTCCACAGGCAACGTGGAGCCTGAACTTCTGCACACTTACAGCAGGATCGACCCTTATGATACTCTGATCCTGTGTGTGCGAGTGGCTGTCCTCACAGCTGTAACACTGACTGTCCCCATTGTGTTGTTCCCTGTAAGTCTAAGTCTTTGTTTTTAATCACCAAGTGTGATTTAGTGGTATCACGCCTCTTTACTGAAGCTCCCGTCTGTGCATGTGTGTTTATAGGTACGTAGAGCCATCCAGCAGATGTTATTCCCAACCAAGTCTTTCAACTGGCTGCGTCACACCGCTATTGCTCTTATTCTGCTCACCTTCATCAACATGCTGGTGATATTTGCCCCCAACATCCTGGGCATCTTTGGCATCATCGGTGAGTACACTTTCTTTTAGTTCAGTTGCAGCCGATTGTTTAGACTGATGTTTGAAAATGAGGACAACCCAAATTTAATCAACACCAGCGCACTCTTATATAATCAACATGAGATGATGGGTTACTTATTCAGCCTCTGTTTACAGACTAAATCCTCTTGTTCCCCCAGCAGGGCCCGCTTATCTTTCAGCACTCTTAATTCCGAGCAGCCAAAAACATAAAAAGCAAAACGCCCCAAAAAACGTGACCGGTTCATGTTTGTCGATGACCTGAGTCAATATTATTGCCGTGCTCTGTCCTCAGGTTTGCAGTCAGGTTCAGGTTAGAGATGAAAGCCAAAGACAATGGAAGTTCAAGCAACACCGAGGGCATCTTCAAAGCGACAGACTTGACTTTGACAAACACGTGCAAACACGTGGAGGTCTCTGTGACGGAAATGTAAAGAAACTTCAAACAAAATGAAATGACGCAAGATGTGGAGCTGTTCACAACCGGGCTTTGTTTATTTTAGGGCTGACAGTGAGAGGATTTTAGTTGATCAGAAGGGAAGAGTCCATCTGAGAACTCTTTATCCAAAATGATGAACTCAGACGTAATGTGCAAATGAAGCATAAAGCTGTATGTAAAGCTTTGTGCTTTCTCTTATGGCTGTGCTCATTTTCAATAACTACTGTGCTTATAAAAAGGTTTTTCTAAATAGGAGCGTCAAACACTTTTTCTGAAAGGTCCACTTCATAAAAAAACGTATTCCTCAAGAAAGCATTTAGCAGGTTTTATTTATTTATTATTATTATTTTTTAATCACATTATCTTATTAAAGCTCCTGTGAAGAGCTTTCTGTCTGTGTTGACTTTGGCGCTCCCTATGGGCAAAGTGAAAAGATGTGTTGAAGTGGTTTGAAAGTGGTGTTATTTGACTAAATAATCTCGTCCTTTCCTCTTTTAACAGTGAAACCTATCACTTATCATTAATGTTGGGTGGTATGACGGTATATACAGTGTGACGGTACAAAAGTGTCAACTGGTAGAAATATAGTGATATATTTCAACTTAAAAAGACAACAGAAGGAGATTTCTTTGTCATTTAACAGCATTTTCACAATAAGAGACAAACCCAGCAACAGCATAAGACTTTTCATTTTGTCCACAGGGGGCGCCAAAGTCAACACAGACAGAAAGTTCTTCAATGGGGCTTTTTTAAATCATGTATTCCTTGTAAATGTATTTCGGGTGATATTTTCTTTTGTCAGTTTTTTAAACAAGCTCCATAATAAAGGGGACCATTCAACCATCAGATTTGATGGAGACGAATAAATATCAAAATGTTCAGATGTTTTCATGCTTATGCTGTTTTTAACCCGCCCTTCTCTCTTTCCTTTTTCAGGTGCCACATCGGCTCCTTGCCTCATCTTCATCTTCCCTGCCGTCTTTTATATCCGCATCGTTCCTAAAGAGGATGAACCCATGAACTCTGTCCCTAAGATACTGGTGAGACCATGAAATCCCTTTCTCTCTCAAGTCTTACTATATTATCACAGTAATTCCATAGTCTCATTTACACGTACTTGGTAATAACATTTCACCCCCTTGCTCAGGCTGCGTGTTTTGCCGCTCTGGGCGTCTCCTTCATGGTGATGAGTCTGAGCTTCATCTTCATCGACTGGACTACCGGGGGCGGGCGTGCTGCAGGAGGCCACTAAACGCCGCCACATTGTGCGTGTGTATGTGTGTGTGAGCTTGAGAAAGGCGGGGGAGAGGAAGACGAACTGCTCAATGTAAAGGGAGCATTATCACCTCAATGGGAACACACTACAGGGCTGCTCAGCAAACAGCCTGGGATTTATATCAGTACACAATACACGGAGCAGTATATTGAAATTACACTCTACTGATCAAATTAATTAACTTTTTGACTGGAATGTAACACATATCTGAACAAACTGAATTAACACAGTGCAATGCATTTCTTATGAATAATCAGGACTGAACAGGGTCTTTTTTTTAATTCCCTTGTCTTAGGGAGCAACTACATGATTGTGAAACAGCCCTTCTCTGTTGCTTCCTCTTTATTTACACACAAACAAATGCAGCTGGTACTGTACAGGAGAAAAAAGGCACGAGTGTCTTCGGGCAAAGGGCAAGAGGACATCAGGACATAAAGAGAGAGAGAGTCAAAGTTATTATAAGTTATTTTTGAACAAAACTCTATTATTTTTCAAAAGGACGCACAAAAAAGACGGTCAGGTGTTTTTATTTCTGACCTGTAGCCTCTGAACTGTTCTGGAGGTGTCAGATAAAGACAAAAGTGTTTTACCGCCTTAGGGAGCAGAGGACATTTCACTTTGTGATCTGTCTAGCGCCACAGTTGTTATAAAGTCGTCGAAGCTTTTGTTCCAGATCTGCTAACTTTCTTCTGAAAAACCTGGTGCCTTTTAGCATTTGGAACAGCACATAAACATACAGTTATAGCAGAAAAACAGGAGTGTATATTTATTTAGCTACTATATCTGTATTTTAAATCAGATGGACTATATTTAACTACTGTATATGATGAAGTTAATGATCCAAGGACATTATGTATTATATCACTTCTTATTTTAACTTTCAGTAAATACAAGAAGAAAGGTATAATGACTGATAATATTTGAAGTGCTTCGGTTAATTTTAGCACAAATATGCCAAACTGTGACCATAAATATTAACCAAGTAGAGTTTAAGGTAACCATACCAGTTTCCTTTTATTTTAATGTCATATATATTATGAAAACAAATCCTACTTCAAAGTATCATATTGCAAAATCTAACAAACACTTTTTCACACTTTGATCAAATTTAGTGATCTGTATCTAGATTTTTTTTTTTTTACACCACGTTTGCTCTTAAAACTTTAAAGGAAATAAGATTATTACCACACTCATTCACCTGCAATTTACAACTACAGCTAGGCGGCATTTAGCGATGAAATAAACAACCTACCAGCACATCTAATGCACATTTATTAATACCTCTTTGTTTGTTTAAGAGTCCGACGGTACTGAATATCTTGAAATGTAAGGATAATTAAAATCTCAATAACAGATGTAGTAAAAACCAACAGCTATCTTGTTTAGACACCTCAAACAATATGTTAGAAAAGTTGTTTATTTTTGTTGTTTTGTGTGAACCCATACCCTCCGTGGGTTTGCCTGGCAATGTGCGTGTGTAAACAGAAACCCACTGGTGGGTGTGGCAGTTAATCAAGTTAATTGGATGACTTTGAAGACGTGTAACGCTTTTTAAAATTGTGCTGTAATGTCTCTGCTGTACTGGTTTGTAGTTTTTATGATCTTCAGTCACCCTTATTGACTAATTAGACTGGAAGTTTTGTGTTTGCATGCCATGATGTCACGTCTGTCAGTCGTTTGTATAGTAGTGACCTGCACGGTAACACAGACTTTCATGCTTACACTGTCGTATATAGATGTTATTGTAATATGGTACTTTTGGCATCTTATAGTGAAGTGTATTGAAGTTCAGGCCTGTGCTATAGTTATTATAGTGTTATGTTAGTGTTATAAAACCTTTTGTCAACGATGCAACACGATGCAAACATACGTTACGTTTTGGTTTGTCAGTGAAGACCCATCATGTTAAGCTTCCTTATGGTATGGTGTGGTTAAATACACTTAGTAATTTTTCAGGTGAGGCTTGTGACCCACAATAGCACTGATAACCTACAAGTTATTCTATTTTTTTAAATTACAGGATCGATTTATTTTATGGAAGTATAGATCATGAATAAACACATATTATATCAACTGCAGAAGCTTTCAAGCCTGGAAAAATAAACCCAAATGCTGCTCTTATCCAAAGATGATTTAAAGAAGTAATGTGTATATTACTTTTATCCATTTATTTATGTATTACTCTATGTTTATTTAGCAGTTCTGATTCCTGATTTCTAGGATTAATTTACAAGGAGGAAATATGCATTTACGCCTATCCTTTTCTAGTGATCATTGGGGTTAAATGACAGTTTAGTTTTGGCGTAATTAGTGTATACAGTTTCTCTTCACTTTAAGGGATCATGCCAAAATAACAACTGACTACCTATGAAATGCCTAATGTTTCGAAATGGTTATAAATTATGGCATAATATCTCTAACATGAACATTTGTATTCAGTATGGTATCTTGTTAAAGCTGTTCTGACATAAATCTATGGACATGACTCGATTATAGAAATTTAATACATGCATGAATTTGGTGAATAAGATGTGGCTTTCTATAAATAATGTATATATAAATGTAAACCTTTTATATTTGTGATGCATATTTACAGTAGCTTGTAAAGTGTAAATAGCAGGGACAGTTTTAGTTTGGCAATAAAATAATTGTAGATGTTTTTACATAGTCTCGATTGTCATTATTTCCTCCTGTCTTTTGCCAATCATTTATTCCTGGTTATTGGTTTGAATACTGTTTTTTTTTAACCAATCTAACAGTGATGCTTTATTATTATTATTATTATTATTTCTTTAATGCCTGAAACCACAAATTATGGCCAGAATTTTCTTTTTAAATCTTTTTTATTCTTTTTTTTTTTTTTTTTAGGAGCTGAAATGTTTATTTCACTTACTATTGAAAAACAAACAAACAAAAAAATAAATAAAATGAAAATGTCCTTAAAATGTAACAAATATATTTATCTTGTTTGATACATTGGATGTTTATTGGAAACTGATAAACCACAAGAGGATATTTTTAGCATTTATTGGACTGTATTAACGTGTTTTTTTAGTAATTTGTTGACCATATTGATTTGATAGAAAAATAATAAAGTATGTAACAGATATGATACAAAAAGGCAATAGTTATTATTATTATTATTATTATTATTATTATTATTATTATTATTATTATTATTATCATTTTTTACCATTATTATTTTTACCATAAATATTATAATTACATTATTATATTTTTTCTGATTTTTTTATTTTATTTTATTTATTATCTTTATCATCATCACCATTATTATTATTATTATTATTATTATTATTATTATCATCATAGATCCAATGAAACCAATAAGTGTACTGTGTTATTATATTATATATTTTAGTTTGGCCCTTTAATTTTTCGATATTACTCTTTTTTTTCCAACATGTTACTGTCATTTTAATGGACTGTTTCATCTTCATTTTGCCTGAAGCACTTGAAGAAACATTTCATGTACGAAAGGCGCAATTTAAATATAGATTTTATTTATTATTAATAATGCTTCTCCTATGGCTTCACAGAACACATGTTCCAACAATTTGCAGCCACTAGAGTTGTCCATCTGGGGGCGCTGTGGACCTGTAATATATTCCTAAGAATCTAATAAACGCAACAAAAAGATATTTTAGCCATTTTTACTGCCCATCCTTCTTTTAAAAGACAACCCTGTCCGTGTTGGCTTCACTCAGTCACCCTGGACACATGAAGCCGGTGAGGAACGTTTTACTTTCAGTCTGAGGATAAATCCATGAGAAACGCAGAAGACAGATGCTGGCACAGCGCCCACTGCAGTCTGCACACCACGCTCGGGTAAAAATCACGCCTCACTGGCTCTGCCGTCTAATTGGTTCCGGTGAAGCTGCCCTAAAGAGCTCACCTGCTTTAATTGGACTATCGCGACAAGTCGGTCCAAGTGACGTTGATGAGGCTGGTCGTCCATTACCAATTGTCGTAGGAATATTTTAGGAGAGTAATTGGGCACGAGGTAAGGACTGCAGCAGTGAAAACACGGTGGCGCGCGCTGCTCGACTCAGCAGACTGACAAGACAAGAGTGAGGGTTCAGCGGAGCAGCGAGCTCAGGCATCCCAGCCTGTGGATGATGCAGGACAGAGGGATCGAAGCGCATCTACACATTATGGACCACGCGTAAAAGCATCAGAATCAGCAAAACTAACCAGATGAACTGGGAGAGTCTGCTTCAGCTCTGAGATCCTAATCCAACAAGAGAGCAGGACTTTTTACGCGTGGATAAAAACTCTGGAACCGACCATTTTCCGACAGCATTGAAGCTGTTCTTGATTTTGCACTAGTAGATCGTGCGCCCCTGCGTTTGGAGCCATGGGCTGTACGGTGAGCGCCGAAGATAAGGCGGCTGCGGAGAGGTCAAAGATGATCGACAAAAACCTCCGAGAGGACGGAGAGAAGGCAGCCAGAGAAGTCAAACTGCTCTTGTTAGGTAGGTGGCAGACAAAGTAAAAGAAATACATGTTACTCTCTCAAACCGAAATTTTACCAATCTGCCTAACACTCACGCATAAATATTCTACATATATTTATCTTAGAGGAGAATGAATCCCTTGGACATGAGAGGAAATGAAGTTTAGACATGATCGATCATCAAATCTTAAAAAATCTCTACATTAATCTCCTCTTCTTCTACAAGAGCCAAGTCACTATCAGTCAAAATCAAACAGGCCCTGTCCATACTTGTGTTTCTATTAGTGACAAACAGCCTGTAATTGTGTCATTTATTTCTAATAACAAGTGTCCAGATCCTTGTATCAAAGTCAGATATCATTATTTCAACAGGCTGCACAGCATCTCAGATCTGTGGGCTGGCATAGTGCCCAGAAAGCTTAATTCAATATATCAGACCTGTGGACTTCCACTAAACACTAACACAGTCACACTCCGGCACCAATCTGCTCCACACATCAGTCTGTTGTTTCAGAAAATACATCAGATTCTTGTTCCAATTTGTCTGCTGAAAACAGTGATAAAGTCAGCTTTTTACTGAGTCGATCCCGGAGCTGCAAAAACACACACACACAATCCCTTTCTTCCTCTGCCTCTCACTCATCATGTACACACTGAGAACAAACACACACACCCGCCCACTCAGTGCCACTTTCTCACTTCCCCTCACAACCAATTCAGAGGTATTTGTTTGTCATCATCCTGCTCTAGATTTTTCTCCTCAGTACAACTGAAACTCTAACCAGTAACTTGGTAATATCAAAAGCTATATTCAAAGAAGAGCATCTAGTGTTGAGATGGAAAGATACCAAACTGTTTCTCACACTCACGCATTAATCAGGCGTCATTTGTATGAATTAACATTGATTATGCTCAGAAAAAAAAGAGAGCAAAAGATTCAATAGTTGGAGGTAACAGTGTCTCTGAAATGGACCATCCTCAAGGGGAAAGTTTTATATATCACTGTACAAACAGCGCATAAAACTGGACATCAGAGGATCAATTTTCAAGTTTTAATTAGCAGGAAACCTCTCAGTTCGTTTTCCACTGGGAGGGGGGTTATTAATGGATGTCTACTCCAAGGCCTCTTGACTCAGTTCACACAGCTTCAACCATTCAAGGCTGATCTGACGGGTAATTTTCCTAGAAAGAAAAGCTTCAGTTGCAGCTGTCTGGTCCTCCAGGAGAGAAAATACACCTCTTAGCTTGTTTAATACTCAAGAGAAAGCTGATTCAGGACATCAGCAGCCATCTTGGCTGTTTACAAAATCACCTAAAAAGCACCAAACCCTGTATCAGGTAAAACAGCTGTGACTGGCACAGGTTTGCAAGATTTCTCTCTGAACAGGAGGAGGACTGCACACATCTGCATGCACAAATAAAACATGAGCTGAAGATCAGTCTGGCTCTTGGACTAGCACACGTGTAAATAATGAATTAAATCATGGTTGAAGTCCGTGTCACGCTGTCACAGCTCACTGGGACATGATTAATGTAGTAAAATGTTTTTTTTATTTATTTATTTATTTTAGTAAGGCTGGACAAAGGGTCAGTCATTACACAAAGAATATCTGCTACAAATGTTTCTCTGTTCAAAAGTATAAATACGATTTCTCTCAAACTTGACCTCTGGAAAAACTTGATTTTTAACTCAGCAAAAATTAAAATCCTAAACGGAGAAAAAAAAAGAGGAAAACAGAGATTTGGGCAGCCGACGGCAGATTGTGCGCAGGAAAGAAGGAAGGGATGTTGTTGTTGTTGCTGGTATGCGTGATTCTAGTTGGCTACCCACCAAACATCGGACGTCGAAGAGACGTGCAGATTAAGTCAGTATTGGGTCGGTCCGTTAAAGACAGCATCTAGACGTCAGTGTGACGTGCAAAATAGGTTAGAAATTTCGACGTCCAAATTGGACCATTTTAGACGTCGCTCTGACGTTTAGAATTTCGGCAAAATAGATCCAAGATTTAGACGTCATTATTGGACCTCTTTTAGACGTTGAAATGACGTCCACATTTGTACCTCATCGTTGAAAAATGCGTTCAATAGATGTCATTATGATGTCGCATTGCGCAGTGGGTAATGTGGGCTTGTGCTTCTCGCCACACTGCTACCCACGTTTGATATGCTTTTGACGGCATATATACATGAGTTTGTGTATATATGCCGTTGTGTAACTTTTGTGAAAACGTAGTGATGTGCATGCAGTTTTTTTTTTTTTTTTGTAAATGGAGAGGGTGAAATGTCCGTTTATGAAAATAGCAGGGCACGTGTAAACGAAGTCTTAATGAGTCAACACACTGAGATGAGGAAATTCCTTCCACATGTGAACATCCAATCACTTTCCACTTATGTAGAGGAAGCTGACAGTAGAGGATGGGCACATGACTGCGGTCAGATCCAATGATATAGCACAGAGCAATGTAAGCACGTTCAGCCTGTGGGCACCTCGATAAAAGGTTGAGTGGTGTCATATCAGATCTTGCTTCCTTCTGATGTTACTCCCCTCTTAGAATTGAACACAATCACTGACTGCAGATTTACTGTAGTGTCATGTTAAGTAAAACACTGTTGTCTTCAGCACCCCAGCTCTTTGACTTTAAGGTCGAACTGACAGCACGGAGACACCATCATAATTGTATTTGTTTGGTCTGTTTATGTGAGGAAACAAAATTGCTCTGACAAAGAGAAAACGAACGCTTGATGGTGGGCACTGGAGCAAGAGAAGAGAGCACCGAACGTTGTAATGGGTTTACAGCATTCATCTGAGTGCTTTCCTGTTTTGTTTTTTATCATGAGTTCTGAGAGGAACTAAAAAGCCTGGTTCCTTTTTTTTGCCAACTGTGTGAGCTACCCACAACAATATTGTCACATAACTTCTAGGCTCTTTATCTCGGTTTGTTGAACATGTTACGGAGTAGACTTCAGATGGACAGACAGGATCAAGTAATAAAAGGAAGAACAGGTTGACAAGCTTCTTATTGAGTTGCTTTCACACATAAAAGGACGTAGCATGCCTCTAACTGACTGCACTGATCCTTAGATGCATATTTTATCACACGCAAAACCGAACAGGACAATAACTCTCCCCTGATGTCTCTCTGATTGCACCGTGTTGCACCATCTTGGAGAGTTTTCAGCGTAACCATCTGACTGGGTGGTATGTCTCCATCATCAGAGATTAAACCAGAAACAAAATCTCGTGTTGCATAAATCAGTGATGCAACATCACAGGAAGTGAGGGTCATTAGTGCTTTGCATTCTGTACACACAGACGCAAAGTCATGCATGTATGCAACGATGGGAGATTCAGAGACATCAGGGTTTCTTGGATTAGCTGCTCAAAGGGTGTCAGTTTGGACATACTTGAAACTCTGAGATTTCTGGTGTAGCTTTTGGTCAGCCGCAGAAAACTTCCAACCAAGACTTCCTCTTCAGTATGTTGCAGTGTTCAGCGTGTTCAAATCAAAATTTAAGTGACATTTGCTTTTCCAGATACGCTTGCAAAATAAATGCTACCACTTCTGATGCTGCGTTCCAGTTACCTCGGGAGTCGGATGTCAGAGCTTGGAATGACGTTACACCCGAGTCGACGGCGTTCCAGTTAACAAGTCGGAAAACCAAGATGGACACCTACTGTTAGCCGTTGTTAGCTGTTGTTAGCAGTTGTTCGTTGTTCTTAACGATACCAGTTGTAAACAACGCATAACATGGTATTTTACTGTTACAAACACCGTAGCACCGTGTTCACAGGTAGACGTTGGGCAGTACAACATATACCACTTGTTTAATTTCACAAAAACAAAACAGATGTGGTAATAAATGATCAATTACGAGACCTTTCTCTGTTACTCTTTACTGTTGATGCGCTGCGCTGCCATCTTAAATTATGACGTTGTCGTTAAGTCGAGGTTGGCGAGGATCGTCCGACTTTCCAAATCCGAAATCTGACTTCGGAGGGTGTTCCAGATGAATTTTCGACTTGGAGCTCGGAAATCCCGACTTCCAAGTACAACTTGAATGCAGCATTAGTTTACCCTATCCCCCTGGGGTACCCATCTTTATCTGTTTCTAGTGAGTCTCAGTTTTACTGTAAGTAATATGATTTACAAAGGCTTTACTCTAACTTACTTCGCCTAAAAGATGAAACTGATTTTACTGTGATTTATTCGCACTGAACAGGTTTTAAGTTTGTGTGGAAAATAACAACTAGGATGGATGCAGTAGATGTGTAATGATTATTTTAAAATTTTGTGCATTAGATTAGATTAGATCAGATTAGATTAGATAGAACTTAATTGTTTCTTTTGCGAGGTTCCCACAGGATGGGAGCAGGTCAAATAAAACTATAAAATGCAAATGACCCTTGTAGTACACACAGTTTTTACAGAAAATCAGAAATAGTAGTCGGTTGCACATACAGTCCTTCTATCTTGCATGCAAACCCACAGGGAATTTCACCAGCATTTGCAGCCTGACAGGGGAAACCCAGGGTGAATTAAAGTCCCAAACCTGCACACTACTGCTGCTGCTGCCAAAGTTTTGTAGCTTTCCCCCCTGAATTCTTGTGGCTCAGATCTGTAATTTTAATGATTAAATCAGATCAAATTAAAGTGACTAAAGGATTTTGATCATTCATTGAAGGGCCCAACCTGATCTCAAACAAATCTTTACATACTTATACAGAAATTACCAAGTTGTGAATTTTAAAGAGAGGAACGCTTCAAGGCCTTTATTAGTGCAAGAATATCCATTTCAGACTGAAGTTTTACTTTATTGGAAGCGATGCAACAATATTCATACTTGCAAAGAAGCTGAAAGTATGTTAAGACAATAAATTATTCAGACAGAGCATGTTTTATGATGTTTTGTTTGCTGTTATCTGCCACATTAGTCATATCGCACAGTTTCAGGAGGAAACTTTGAATTTCACAAGTGAAAGCATCCTTAAAAGTAAGCTGCGCCTCTGTCTGAGTCACTTATTTTATTATCTCGCTTTTTTCATTCAAAAGTGTTAACTGAGGATATGCTTTTATTTTTTTGTAAACTTAAATCTTTGAACCACCCTTAAATAAGCCTCAACCGTAGCTTATCTCCGACTCCCGCCCGAGGCAGACGCGATAATAATAGTGCCGCACAGACGTGACTCACTGCACATGACAGAGAGGAGGACTGAGGGTGAGACTGTCCATCCAGAGATGACACCCACAAACTGAAACAATATACTTATGTTGTGTTAGTCATGTCTCCGCTGAAAACCACTAAACTCTGAGTAAGTGCTGGTTTATCTATCTGCTGATTCAGCGAATAATGGAACCTCGCTGTTGTCACTGTGAGGATGCAAGCTGTTTCTTTGGTTTAGATTTTGTTTCTCCACAGATATTGTAACCGACTGTTTTTAAGCGAGCACTTCTGGGTGATTAAAGTGAACAATGAATCACCTGATAAAGACTATCTTTGTTGCAGCTTAAAAGAGTGACCTTTATTTTCTTAATGAGGCAGCTTGGCTCAGGGTCAGGGAAGACTAATGTGCAGGTGCAAGAGGCACATCTGTGAGGCTTTGTGTGTATCAGCGCGTCTGCCAATTAAATACTCTCTAATCTTTATTTCGGGATGTTCAGTTTTTGTTCTAGTTGTTTTCTTTCTTTGCAGAAGTGAGAGTTATTTCTGAAGATAGTGTGTTGAGATAAAAGGCTGGAGGAGACATTGTTAAAAGGAGGTGTACAAAAGGACTGTGCAGTAAATGAGCGCAAATCAAACTCTGAAAGCAGCATGAAAACATGATGCATATAAGGCAATTAACTTGGAGTTGAAGTGGAGGCATGTTAAATATTCATGCTCTTCACAGATTTAATGTCACTCTGTGGTTGTTCACACTAATGTTTTCATGTTATTTATGACTTAGTTTGTGTTTCACACCACCGCTGCATTTTGCTTCATCAAAACATCAAATTTTAATCACATTCAGGGCTTTTTTTTTTTTTTTTTCAAACTCTAAATCCTGGATTTCTGTTCAGACTTAGACTGTAAATATGATGGCATTGTCAAGTGGATAAACTACCTGTTAACAGTAGACATGTCTATTCAGTATATAGAAGGGGCTTCCTGTTACAATATTGATATCGGATATTGGTCCAATATCAGCAAAAAAACAAATATCGGATCATGTCTCTCGCATCTAAAATCTCCGATACAAGCAGCCCATTCCAGACTCCGCACCGGCACCTCTATCTAGCAGCGCCCTGATCCAGCAAGCTGAGCCCAAGTAATCACAACAACAGTGTGTACTAAGGTACGAACAAAGTAGCAAGGAGTAGGAGCGATGTCGGCCTTGTCCAAACAAGATGTTGCAGCTGAGTGCAAAACTTGTCATGCACATTTTTGTGCCAATATTGGATCAATATTGGTATAAGCCTATATTGAAGGCTACAATATCTGTATTATATCGGAAGTAAAAAAGTTGTATTGGGACACCCCAAGTATATAGAGGGCAGGGAATAATCATAAACATTTTAATTATTGTGGTTCAACCAAGCAACAACCTTTGATGTTAAAATATTGAGCTGATGTGGAGGTACAATAAAACTGCAGTTCCTTGAGTGTCCACTTGAGGCTGGAACCAAAAGCTCAAAGGACCTTAAGTACCCAAATTTACATCAGGGATAAAACTGTTCATACCCTGGTATTTTTAAAAAAGCTTCAAGTTTTGTATAATTTGGTACAATTACAATTACAGACAGGTGGGCGCACAATATTAACCAGGTAGCAAAAAGCTCGCCTTAACTCGGCCTCTTTACCTTTCGACAGAACTTATGTCCATGTTTCATACGCTCTGACTGTGGCTGCACAAATTTAAAGACCTATTTCATGTTGGTTATCATTTCATAAACCCTACAATCAAGGTTTGACTTATATTTAATTTCCGGGCCGATGCTGATATTACAATACGAGTATAACTAGTATTTGAACAGATAAGCATTTACAGTAAAAATAAAAAGCTTTCCATCAGAATGTAGAAGTTGAAAACTATCAGATGAGATGGAGTGAAAACAGACCCAGAGGAAAAGACACACCTGAAGTAGAGCCAATTGACAAAATGAATCACTGAGTTATCCGAGGAATGCTATATCTCAGCCGTGATAGTTGATCAGGTTGGACTATCACTGAACACCCTATAGTGCTTCAGATTAGTCAAGTGTTTCTCATTGAGTGTGAAATCTTTAATATCCTGTAATTGAAAGTCTGTCGTTCCTGTGACTGATTTTCAAATATTGCTTTTGGGGGATTCTTCAGCCGGTTCCACGCTCTCTATCTGTTCATAGTTTATCATTTACAGTGAAGTATGAGCCGAAATGAATTTAAAAAAAAACCTGCAGGGATTAATGTGATTTTATACGAAGTTATACAAATTTTCTGCATATTTTCTTGCTGCCAGGGGAAAAAATGTATCTGCTCACTTTGCGATACCTGCAGTTGTTATCCAGCAGTTTCTCGCAGCCTTTGAAGTTTTAATTAACTCGGATTTTCTAACAGCACACAAATATATATATATGCACAATAACAGTCCACTCTCAATCTCCTGCTCCTCCGTGCTGGGCAGATGACCAACCCGATCCTCTCCCATCTTTCATTTTCCCATCACATTTCCATTACCAGCTCCATTTATAATTTAGTATATTTTTTCTCTTTCTATCCTCCTCCCTTCATTCCTCATTTCTTATAGAAGGTAAAGAGAGAAAGCATTGAAGGCTTGTTACATCCGATACTCATCAAGATATTACCTGTAAAATTTGTACTTAAACTTAACTAAACTGCGATTGTTTATCACCAATCAGGAATTCCTACCAGCAACAGCATAGATGTGGATTTTCCAGATGTGTTAACTCACAGCAGATCAATGTGAATCATTACATAAACTGTGAGAATGTGAGGATGTTTGTGATTAAGTAATGTCAGGGGTATTTGGAGCCACATTTGAATCTCTCAACGGAAAATCAGATATCTCTCAAAAGTAGCTTCGTGCAAAGAGGTGTTTTAAAGTTTGTGTCCTGATGAACACATTTGTCATTAAATGTACAGGCAATTGTGAGATCTTTAAATGATGTATTGCTAATGATCCAAAAACAGACAGAAAGGTCTTTACAAATACTTGCAAAAATGGAAATGGTTACATAGGGTAAACATACGTCCTCTTTTACTCGGACATGTCCTGCCTGTCCAGGGGGAGTTTAAAATATCCTTCAAATGTCCAGGGTTTTGTATGTAAGTTTTGAGTTTGTGTAGCATGTACCAACTAAGTGAGAACTTAAGCTCGTAAAAAACACTCGACCCAACCCAAAATCCCTCAAAATTTTGCGTGCGACTCCGTCTTGCATAGTCGTGTCCTCTTTTGGGGGATTCAGAATACAGTCACCCTCAGTTACAGAGGAAAAAAAAATCTGAATCAGGAGGTTGAACCTGGAATTTTCAACCTGAAGGAGAAGCCTCAGCAACTCTGACACTGTACTAGCTTTAACCTGAGGTCTAGTTTTAGACATTGAGCACAGACATTTTACCAAGACATTACTCCTTACTATAAAAAAAGAAAAGAGATGTGCAGCAGGAATTTAAACAACATGATGAAACAGGATCAGATTTCAGCACACTCTGGAAACAGGCACAAGTCAATAATTGCAGACATTTGAAAGGCCCTTTAAAGTCAGGGAGATTGCTCAAAATGTCACTGCAATCAGAATCATCTTTTAACCTTTCCCCAGATATTACTGTGTTCCTCATTACCCAGATTTAATCAGTGGAACAATAAAAAACTCCTGCAGATAGAAACACAAATGTCCCCTCGTGTCTTTGGGTTGTTAATGCCTCCTTGATTGGTCACCAGACAGGTCCTTGTAGGGCTGAGCGATATGGCCTCAAATCAATATCATGATATATTGAGCAGTTCACCTCGATAACAATAAATGGATGATAACTACTCCACAAGCTCTACTTTGGCCCCCGCTCCAGCAGCTACAACTTTTGAACCGTCATCCATCTCCTCACCTTTCTTTCCCTCTTTGTTTCGGACTGGATGGGGTGGAGTCACGTCTGTGACATAGGACATGAGACCATAGCCTACCTGCACACATCCAAAACTAACTTTTATTTATTACTTTTTTGGACACCAAATATACCGATATGGGCAAAATGACGTTGGTTATTGTCATAAATTTCAGTATCGGTAAATTTACATCACATACTGGTGACTTAGCTGGTTTATTATGGATTTCTATCATGTCACACACTCCTAACTATGCTAAATGACATGATTATGGTTTGACCAGTAATAGATAAAACCCCCATATTCTGCTGAAAGTGTACAAACAGATAAAATGGTACGGATGGAGAACGATTTGTGAACACAGTGTGTGCAGTGAAAGCATCATTTAGCAGCAGTAGAAAAAAAACACAGGTGGAGCTCATTTAGAAAACGAGGCGTCATTCCATTAAGTATTCTGGTCATGAATGTCATCAGCAGCACCTGTGATTTTCCTGGTGGACAGAAATATTTCAGGTCTGTTAATGAAGATCAAAAGTCCAATTAAAAAGGCAAATCAGGAGCAGGGACAGAGAAGCTTCCATTTGTGCTAATCGGGCTTTGTTTGGTTAAAACAATGTCGTAAAAACTGAGAAAATAGTCTGAACAGTTAAGGCAACAGATAATTTGTTGGCTCATTGTTGCTGGGTACAGATATTTTGACCTGAGCAAGAGGCAGAAGATCTTCATAATGCACCCTAAATTAAGGCTTGAGTATTTTTAGTTTTTAGTAAAGGTGCAAACATTAGTTGTTGATCAATAAGTGTTTTTTCAGTGTTGAAGAGCAGAAAATATTCCGAGTTCTGCTGCCTCACCTTAAAACACCTGCAGTTTGAAGAGATACTCGATGTTTTAGACTTCTAAAGACTTGGCAGCTCTCTACCTTTCTCTCTTGACATGTTTTGAGGAGCAGTTAGCTTACACCACCTACATTACCTGCTGCTGAAGTGTTTGAAAATCCACCCCTCGGAGTATATCTACAGGCTAGTCTTTCTGGTCTAAATATGGCTCTGCAGATGCCACACACTTTTCAGTATATACCTGATTGGCCCTGATACAAAGTGTCAAGTCGAAGCTCCTTGTTCTAACATTGAAAATCTCACATATCGATTCCGGTGCAACTTGATTCCTGGCAAAGCTCTGGACTTCCCTCCACACACATATTCAGACCATCATAAAATATACAATAGTTTAACCACTTCAATATCGCAGCCTGTACCGACCAGTAAAACACCAGTATGTTGGACTGCAAGTCATATCCATGTTTGCAGGTTAAGTAAAGTAAATTTAACGCCAGTTTTCACGTCATGATTCAAATCACAGACAGAAAGTAATGAGTTAAATGAAAAAAGTTTACACTCTAGCAGCTTATATCGTTGCTATGTGATTACTGTAAATTTAAGTGAGAGTATTTTTATGGTAAACCTCTCAGACAGAGTACCGTTATGGCTCTAGTGAGTGTATTGAATTTGTTGAATGAAGTTAAAACAGTCATAAAGGCTCAGCGATTCTGGCTCACAAAGATAAACCATTCTGGTCTCCCTTCCACTCTGCCTGGTTGCCATGGTTATTTTCCTACTGAGTGTATCCTTAATGCATGTTTTATACTCTCCATTCTTCATGGATAGCAGTCAATGAAATGGTTCCAGTGATCATATTTTTACCGTGGTGTTCGAACAAAACAAAAAGGTTAACACAGATGTGGTAACAGATGGGTTTAAATTGCCACTGAGAAGTTGGCCTCTATTAAACAGGCTCATGATGTTTTCAGTGGATGGACCGTCTCTCCCACTCCCTCTGATAAAAAAAGAGCACTTTTACAAAATGTCTATCAAAACAAAAAGGCTTCAGTACTCAAAATTCAGACTCTCAAAGGAGCAACAGGTTATACCAACAAATCCTCGTACCTTTGGTAAATTTGAGAGAGTTTAAAATATTTAGCACCTCCTGACCTTGAATGCTTTTTACCGTCACAGGGTTGCACCTACACCTCAGATAATGTCCCGATATTTTAGAGATTATTGAAGTAAAGCCATGTCAGTTAATGACGCCTGGTATTTCACAGTGTTAATTTGATAGAAAGGCATGTTCTACCTACCGAAGAGGATTGGGGCCGCAAGACGAGAAAAAAATTAATAACAGAAGAGAGATTTTTTTTAATTTCCATTTCAAGATTAATGTTGTAATTTCAAGATTAAAGTTGAAATTTAAAAAAGTCAAAATGCTGTATGGCTTAAATTTGTCGTAGCCATCCATGTGCCAGAGCGCATTGGGTCTTCGGCTTCGGTAATTCCTGCACCTCAGACTCTGGGCTCGTGTGTGCTCCACGCCCTCAGGATCAATCAGCTTGATCAGTTGTCTTATTGTATCATGCGATACAACATAGTCTCCCTGTATAGCACGCAGGTGTAACCATCGATAAACCTGCATCTGCATTATAATCTTCGGCATAGTCTTTTTAGAGTCCAAATATTTAAGACCACACTGTGTTTGTGTGCTAAAAGAGCAAGGAGTTCCTTATCACTGAATCCAACTCTAAAGTAAAGATTTACAAACTCCTCTGCAGAAGACATGTAGTCGAGTGATAATGCTGTTGATTCATTATCATTTATCTCAACATTATGACTTTATTCCTGAAATTTCATCTTTATTTGCGTCGACTTTAATCTCATAATTTTGACTTTTATCTCGAAATTTCAACTTCAATCTCAAAATTCGACTTTGACATGATTTCAAGTTTTAATCTCAAAATTTCGACTTTAATCTCATTCCTATAATTATTATTTTTTATCTTCATGTGGCCCTAAGCTGGAAAAAGCTATTAAAAACTGTTTGATGCCTAACACTTTATGAGTCAAGAAAATTGGTTGCAAACTTGTTTTTATCCTCAACTGCATGTGCGGTCATCAGCAAATATTTGACGTGAAAGACAGCAGCTTTGGTTCCTGTTCAAAGATAAGCAGTTATTTTAACAGGAAAGAGCAAACTCGCCCTTTTTGGCCCTTTACTGTACATTTAGCTTGGCACACTTAATTATACTTTGAATTATACTTTTATTTATCATACCATCTCACTAAAGGTATTGCAGTTCATTTTTCATACAGCTTAATAGTAACACATATCCCATGATTCACATTGTATTGATAATTCATATGGATAACAGCGTTGCAGGGCCTGACTGCTCTCATCTCAGCAGCTCAACAGTCCATTAAATTGCTTATTGATCTCCAACATCACCACATGCAGTCAGATGAAATTTATACACACGAGAGGTCCAGCTTCCTAGATTAATGGAGAGGTCAAGTGAGTAGATACTGTAATAAAGTAGTAGCCTGAATGGTGACTTCCTTGAGTAAATCAGTTAGTTTATGAACATGTTCATTTCCTGCTCCACTAGTGCACCCGAGGGAGACAGATGCTATCGATTCATTAGTGCTCTCATTTTTCAAGAAAGTCTAGCAGAAGAACCTCCATGGTAGCCCCTATTGCAGGTAAGACATCATGTGAAGGTGATGAAGGACCATTTAGGGCACCTTTCACCTACACTGCATGTCATTTTACTGCTGAGTAAGCAACCACACAAAATTGATTTCAATAGAAAAACTTCTGTGAGCTAGATTATACAAAGCAGTGAGTTGTTTTTTTAATTAAAATCAAAAAATATATAGAATAGATGTATAATATATAATATAATAGTGCATTTAAAAGTTTATATACTGTTTTACTTTTTTCATCATTGTCGTAGTTTGGGGAGTTGCGAGCATTCGTGATTTTGGACTAATGCTGCGTCCGAGTTACCTCGGAAGTCAGATGTCTGAGCTGGGAACAATGTCACACCCGGGTTACTAGCGTTTCAGTTACCAAGTCAGAAAAAAGCAAAATTGGAGGCGGAAACAAGATGGTTAAATCTATGAAAGTTAATTTAGCACTTGCCTTGTCCTTGCTTATATTCAGACGAGGCAAGCGCTAATATAACTTTCGTAGATTTAGCCATCTTGTTTCCGCCTCCAATTTTGCTTTCTTTCGACTTGCACTGGTAACTCTGATGTGACATCATTCCCAGCTCGGACTTCTGACTTCCGAGGTAACTTGAACGCACCAATAGTGCATAAGCTTGGCTAACTGTTCCCCAATGTCTCTTGTCATTGCGCTGAACTAAGTTAAGCTAACCACTGTTGATACTAGCTTCATATTTACAGCACAGGCATGTGGTGAATATCTTTTTAGACAAACTCTAGGCAAGACTGAAAGTAAAATTACTCAGAAACTGATTTAGTGAACTGATGTGTTATCAGCACAAGTTGACAGTTAACCGTAGTCAGTAGCTATAACTGTTGACTGTTTTTCAGTTTTGTTCAAACTGTGAAAAAACTTGTTGTCAATGAGTTTGAGTTTGGGCACTAAGTTTGGTAATGTTACCATGGCAGCTCATCCACACATTAACAGTTTATTTCACTGTAGCTCAGCAAGCTCAAACCATGTTATATCAAAGTGTGGTCATGTGTACCAGGTGGAGGTGGCCCAATATCCCATCCTGCTCCCAGAACATGAGCCATCAGGTCAGCAGTACTGAAACACCTGAACACCTCAGGGCCACATGGGAATTACATCGGAAATTATGTTACTTGGTGTGGGTCATGCACTGTGTGCACAGCTTTTATTTCCACAATAGAAAATACATTCATGCACAAATACCTGCAGGGTTTGGAATATTGAACTATTTTTGTATGCAAGATTTTACTTTTTTTTTTACAGTCCTCGATCAAGGAATAGAAAAGGCCATGCATACATTTGTAGGCTATTTTGTATGCGTTAGCTCATCCAAACCATCTAATTGCAGAATTCCCAGGTAGCTTGAGCCCAAATAAACACAGACACCAGATCTCTCTTTACTTTGAGCTTAATTCAAGTAAATAACAGGTAAAAAAGCCCCAATCCTACCCTAGCAATCTGGTGTGCAAACAGAATACAGACTGGGGTCCCTGTAGCACAGCAGTAACTGCCCAACACTTCTGATGTCTCATCTGTTTTCTGGATGCATAGAGTAGAAGCTGACATGACGGTACGCAGAAACATAGGGAGGTGAGAGAACGAGCAGAATGACGGCAGAGCAAACACCAGCTGTTAGAACTGGATTTGTGAGGGATGGTTTTTCAGGCACAGAGGATGGATTAAGGCAGATATGAGAGTAATATTTAAACAGCATGACTACAATATAGACTGCATTCTTATCCGAACATCTGTTTTCTTGTATTGGGTAGTTTGACTTTTGTCTTTTGATTATTTATATTTGTAATTTTGAAGGTGTTATGAAATATTAGCAAGGAGGAGCTCAAGTCTATGAAATTTAAGCACTGAATGAAGTGATATTTATCAGAACTTGAAGCTACTGAGACACTGGAATTTGTGCGCTTCGATATGTCACTGTGCGTATATGTATATTATTCATATCCAACTAAAAACATAGACTTGTAAAAGGAAGTTTGCTTATGGTATTGGCAGGAAAAAATGAAAGAATTCCTCCATTGTTGCTTTGAGCTGAAGTCAAAGAACTTGGATTTCCCAGCCACAACCCTAACAACAACATTTTTCTTTCAGATTGTCTGCACACTTCTGCGCCGCACAGTGAGCTATTCAGTCAAATGTCAACAGGCATTTCAAGCGTTGTTATCTCTGATCAATATGCATTCACCAGATTAGAGTTATCCATCAGGACTCTTGCACAGCTGAATGCATATTGATTTCGCTCCAAGTGATCTCGGTGATTGGTGTCTGTTCTGTGTGGGATCTGATTCTTCCGACAATCTGTGACATACAGTAAAGTGCGCAGTCAGAGCTGTCCTGAGTGGTTTGTGTGTTCACTTATCAGTCAACAGTTAAACTCTAAATGGGTGAAAAAATGGGAGACTCTACAGTTTACAGTATATCAGCGTATTTACCTCAGCTCTTCAGGGGTTCCACTCTTATTGATTGTTATGTATTACTGATCACATTTTTTTACTTTGTCAAATATGAGAAGGCTACTTGAAATCTACCAATACAAAAAACTGAGTCACTCAAAAATTAAACTTTAAGGTCAGATTTAAAAGATTTTAAATGCTATTAATGAAGTTCTTTACAGGAAGAAAGAAAGAGATGATTTTGAACACCCTGCAGAAACCGTGGACAGTCGCCACACTCATGGCATTAATACACCATGTTGGTTTTCACTGCCTGAAGTAATAACAAGAGGCCTGTTATGAAAGCAAAATAATACTTTACTACTCCTTTGAGCCAAGGATGAGGATAATGACGGGCTCAAACATGTGCAAAGCAATATGTAGGACATTGAAGGGTAAATGTCTGAAGTCACCTGATATCTCTAAAAGTCAAATACTCATGCAGGGGCAGAGAAATTTTGCACTAAGCAGTTTATCACCAACTATTAAAACCAAAAGTTGGTTTCAAAGCTAAAATCCTGTTGCTAAAACTTTGATCAGGAGGTTCTTCATTAAACAAACACATTCCTGTAAGGGCTAATGTGAGAAAGTGTTCATGGGAATCAGAATCCTGACAGGATAAGTCCCTGACCCCTGATTTCCACCACATCCAAAACGGCTAGGAAAAGGCTGTATCCGCCGATCGCAGCTGATTGTTTCCATTCATGTCAATGTGTCAATTTCCGACGGCTTCTTTCCGTTCCGCTGCGGATCGGCGGACTCCACAGCTGATCGCAAGAGTTCTATTTTTTACTTACGCAGCAGCATGCCGCATGAATTCTGCACAGATTAATCCGTGCTGGAAAGGAAGTCGTGCTCAGACACAAAATAAAACATCCGTCTTCTTTTCAAAATAAAACACTCGCGTTTCAGACGGATCATATTTCACACCACTTCAAATCAGGGGGGTTCACACATTCAGAAAAGCAAGCCCAAATAAGCAACTACTAGTTAAAAACAAGCCCTAAAAAAGTTTTACAAGTGACTTCTGAGAGAAACAGTCCTAAAGTCGTTCATAATAACGGACTTGGCAACTATAAGGCACGTATATTTTGCCGATGTTTAAACTTGTCTCTGTTCAATGCAGATCTAGGATGTACGCATGTGCATCCAAACGGAAATAAAACAACGGCTAGGTTTTCAAAATAAAAGCAACACACTTGTATAGCATGTTGATGATTTCATTGACGGACCTCACGAAGGGCCGGGCAGGGACATCCAAAGGGCCGGATGTGGCCCTCAGGGCGTAAGATGCCCAGGTCTGCGATAGTGCGATGAAGTTGGTATAACTGGAGAAGTAAGCAGTCTCTCAAGGGGGTGTCTAATTCGGTGTTACCGTGTGTTTGAGCATAACTCAAATTTACGCCGGAATATCCCTTTAATTTCCACAAGTCTACAGAAAGTGCCAGTTCAGCTGGCAGTCCAGTAACATTGAGACATATCCCATGTTTTGCAACATCACTGGTTGCATTTCTGCTCCATAATTTTTCACTGTCTTCCATTCTTAGGAAATACTGTCTGAAAATTAGTTAGTTCAGCCCGGAGGCACACATTTCCTAAGCTTGAAATACGATAAGATTTTACTTGCAGTTCCAGCGCTGAATAGTGTGGCAGATTTAAAATCGAGATGATTAGTTTCCTTTTTGTGCAGCCAAGGAAGTAAAGCTGCTCCATTTTGGTACGAGCTGAAGATGTGAATCAGAAGGAAAAAAAAGAATTAACCTCATTAAACTGGCTGAGGAAAAATCCAGCTTTTCTTTCTTCTTTATTTCTGAGGGGGAGAGTTCTATATTTATGATTTCTGTCTAATCAGTATGAAAAACACCCACTAATTGTTTAATGTGATGCAGAAAGACGTCTTTGCTGGAAATAGCAAAGCATTACCTCCAGTTTTATATCCCTGTGACACAGCAAGTTACCAAACACCCAGCACTTGACATCAACACTTGCTTGTGATGTCAAGACGACTTAGGTCATCGGCTTTTCACAGGAGATACAATCAAGCATCCCTGGGGTAGCAATGACATTTCTTTGAAAGCATCTCTCCTCTGTGGGAGAGAAACTGATTGGGGAAAAAAAAGTGTCATCTTTTGGCACGACGAAGGGTGACGATTGCAAAGAAGGATGAGTTGCAGATGGTGAACTGCTTCTATATATATTGGTATTCAAAGCAGGATGGTTGATAATAGTGCTGAAGGATAAACTGACAGATTTGAAAGTAAAAGGGTCTCTTCTTCTGTTTTAGATAGTGATGGAGAGTGCCTCTGCTGCACCCTCATTAAAAGCTCCTCTCCAGGCAGCAGATTGATTGTGTTGCACGTCTGCATGTTGTTGCGCAGTCATTCTTACGTCTGCTGCTCTAAACGTGTTTTTGTTGATTTTTTTTCTGCACCAGGATTACCTTCTCTTCAGTCTTGATGCTCCCTTTTCCCTCATACTGCATCAGACACGAGCCTCTAAGGCCTACACCTGTTCCTGTTTCTCCAGCTTTGCTTTTATTCCTGCATGTTGTAGCTGCAGAGTCAAAAAAAAAAGCTTAATACCTTTTGCTACTTTGGGTGTCTCACTCATAACGTTCTGCTTTATCTGCTGCATCGATTTGTTTTGTTTTAACACCTAAAGCTTCAAGAGGCTTTGTGAGCAATTTGGAGTATAGATCTGTGTCGTATATATTAGCATCCAGGTCACATCAGTGTGTTGTGTGCAGTGCATGGAACACTGGATTACACGCTATTAGCACTGGCTGTGTTTTCAGAGAGCAGAAAAGCATACGACTCTGCAGAGGGAAGCAGAGAAGCTCCATGGCTCCATGTGAGGCAGATGACCTACTTTTCCACTCTAGGCGATAAAATACTGTATCCAGCCATGTAAAATTCCTCCATCACTTTTCCACTCCGCATGAGAAAAAGGTTAAGAAAAGAGGGAGCTTACCTGGCTGGTCCAAGCACACTGGTTCTGTGAGCCATTTGAACCTGCACATATTCCAGTAAGCTAATCTAGTTTTTGTTCACTCTGCCGAAGCTGCGGAGGAGCTGCATGAAATAATTTAAAGACTGGCACCATCAGCCGGTCGATAAACAGAGGATGGAGAGAGGTTTGATTTCAGGCTGTTTGAAAAAGAGAGGAGGCAGTTAATAAAAGTGTGCTGACAGAGGGCAATGTACCAGAACCGAGCATGTCAGGGGGAAACAAATGACTCCACTTAAGTGTTCTGGATTAATTTGTTCCCTCCTCCACAGATAAACATGCACAGAGGCTGAGTTCGATTAATGTGGGACTTCTGATGAAGCCATCATCTGGAAAAATCGTCTTTTCAACAAGTTGCAATAAACGAAAAAATTTTTCCCAATATAATAGCTTTTTTTGTGCTATAATGGACATTAAGTCAGCACATGGCCGACATGATAGATAGTCTTGAATTTGTAAATCTGAAACATTTAGTGCCGTTTTTGCTCTGTTTGGATCACAACCACCAAGTAGAAGATATGACTCTTTGATACAGGCTTACACACATTAGTTGAAAAGGTCCTCTGGTTTACATTTGGTGCTTTTATAGTGTGGCCCAGTGAGCATTTTTCCCTTCAATACAAGCTGAAAAAAAAACGACCAGTGCTGAAAAAATGTTGAATTAGGGTGACCATATTCTGAATCCCCAAAAAGAGGACACGACTACGCGAGGGCAGGGTCACGGAGTCGCATGTAGTAAATTTTGAGAATTTTTGGGGTCGGGTTAAGTGTTTTTTACGCGCTTCTGACTCAGTAAGTCCACGCAACAAAAATTTACAAGGCAAGGCCAGACAGCCCCCGAAAAAGAGGACATGTCCGGGTAAAAGAGGACGTATAGTCACCCTATTGAAATCTAGTTCAAAACTCAAGGTCTATTGGCTCCTGTCACAAGAACTGTCATGATTTCACACAGACGATAACATTTTTCATCTCATCTAAAATACAGTATTTTGTAGCTACAAGAATTGTTTTACAGTCATCAACATAAAATGTCAGACAAGACTCAGATTTTAACCCTATGTACTGTAAGTCCAACAATCTTGACTGCCAAACACAGACAGAGTTACCAGCTCATGTGCTTTTATCCCTTATCCTGAAGGCTGTCCCTTAGAAAACTACTTCCCGGCAGTGTCGTGATATTTATTTCCATTCTCTTTCACCCCTATGGCAGCCATACTTTAGCTGGTTTGGATTTCCAAACTTCAAAACTACAGAGTGACATGCAACAACTTTGGCTTTAGTAACTACAAACACGAGTGGAGTAGCTTTAAACAAGGAGCCTCAAAAAATAAAACTTATTTTACCTAAAAATACTGCTAATATACTGCTATTAAGTTGTGGTCAAGAGACAAACTCTGAGCAGCTGCTGCAGCAGGACAGATTCTGTGTCTTTCAGTGATGAACTGCAGTTATGTTGCCAATAGAGTTGGTCAGCCAGGGCAACCACACAGATATTTCTTTATTCAAATACAATATGAGTCACTTTTATACGAGCTCCAAATGTAGCTAGGTCTGGTTTGCAGAAATCGCATGCTGTGTGGGTGTTTTACTTTCCAGACTTAGTCTGATACAATCTGAATACAATAGGCGCATCAGAAATATCACAGCAGGCAGTCTGAACAAGGCTTCCCTTAACAAAGAGAATTGTGTTTAAATGTACTTCAAGTATACTGTTTTTAAACTAAGTATGCTTTCAGTTTACTTTTTATGCACTTTCAGAGATATACCGATCAAAATTTATGTTAACTATACTTGGCTTGTACTAAGAATTATACTGAAGTCTAAATATATTTAACCCACACAAAAACTTTTAATCAAGATATATTGAAGTATGTCTTTGTGCCTTGGGTTTAAATATACTTGGTCAGTGAATACTTCCATGTATCTTTTTAAGAGTATACTCTTTTGGGTTGATCACCTAAAAATGTCTATTTAATGGGTTTTGTTAACTACAAAGCAGTAGAAGGATCTGGGAACTTTTTTTCATATATGGTGCACAAAAATGCTTTTACACAAGGACTGAACGATATCCTGTTTCAGCATCACAATTGTGCATGAACAATAGCCACATTGATGCGACCTGAAAGATGTCATGCTGTCACTGCTTTCTCTTTGTCCAAGATTAATCTACAAAGAACACCTATCTAAAATCACTCTACTGCAGTCCAACAATCCAACACACAGAGAAACTGACTGTGTCACATCACTGTAGAATGTAAACATGCATGCAAGATGCGACTCTTCTACCATCACAGATGCAGGAGAGGATAGTCCGCTTTAATTTAATTAAGACAATAATCAGGGGGCTTGCAATGCATTTACATTATTTTTTTTAATTGACAATTTATGGTTTATAAAAAAAAAAACCTTCGATTTTGTATTTTCACAAAAATTTCACTGATTTTAATAGGGTTGGGAATCACTAGTGACCCCACGATATGATACTTTCACGATACTTGGGCCATGATACAATATTATTGCGATTTTAACATTTTGAAATACAGAACATTTTTCAACTGTTTATCTAGTTTTTTTGCATTTGGCTTTTCTTTATGTTTGTCTTATTCACGCTGTATTTTATTTTCATGTTGCATGTCTTGCAATCCTTATATACATTTGTTGCACTAACTTTTTCCTGCTCTATGATATCACTTCTGCCAACGTCACTGGACAAATAGTTGATTTTATCATAGATTTGACCTCATATTTGAAGTCAAAACACTTATTTGAAAAATCGATACCTGGTAAATGAGACGATACGATATATCACCAGACAAAATATCGCGATACTATGCTGTATCCATTTTTCTCCCACCCCTAGTTTTTAAGCACTTAAAATACAAGCACTCTATCATTTATTTGATTTAAATTCCTGTTTTTTTTTTCATAAACTACTAGTGCACACACAAAAAAGTCTGGTTGTGGTTGTAATTTTAGGTTAAGCTATTGTGTTTCTTTGTCAGGAAGTAATCTGACCAACACTGACTCACATTTCCACGCTGAGTGATTGTCCTGCCGTACCCTCACACAAAACCATCGTCTGGAGAGAAACCACCGCACTTACAAACATATTTACTCATTTTTAACGTCACGTCTGCTGGTGTCAGTCAGCCCCGTCATCGCACTGGGACAGGCTGTAAATAGCAACCACATCATTGTTGTGTTTTCTGCTCAGTGTCATCAGTACCCAGAGGAGGTTAACCTTTAGATGGCTGTAAGAGCTTGCTGGAAGTGTGCATTCGTGACACCGGCGGGTGGGGGCAGCGAGCCAGGATGACAGAGAAGGAAGAATCGTGTCACAGTGAGTCATCCTCCCGTGGTAGTGGCTCAGACAATAGAGAGTCTGTGATGCTGCCATATGATGAGTGTGTTACATGTTTCTGCAGATGAAATGCAACAGCGGAGGGATGTGTGGCGCAAAAGACGTGAAAAAAGAATCTTCGAAGTGATTAAAGACCTTCAAAATCAGACATATTTGTGACATAGAAAATGAAGATGAATATGGTTTTAAAAGAGGATGAATATGGCTAATTTTTAACTATAATTTTAACACAGTTAAAGGTGGGGTAGGCAGGATCTGAGTTGGTGCCAGTTTTTGGGAGAAATCTTGAGTGTAAACACTCAGCTCCTCCTCTCCCCTCTATCTCTGCTCCAGCAAGCCCCGCCCACAAACAGACGCTCGTCCTCACTTGTATCCTTTCAATTAACTTTGGATATAATGCAGATAAATTCTTCAGATAATTACAAATGGAGCCCAGTCAATGTGAAAATAAAAATCATTGGTGCTACTGTAGATGCCAACAGACTACCAGCAAACACAATGTTTGCAGGACTTCTACAACTAGCATAGAGTGATAGCATAAAGGACCCGAGGTCAACAGTTGAGCGGCGCTACAACACGCAGCAGGTCCCGTTTGACAAGAAACACTTATGTTACAGACACTTGGCTTACTTTGTTAAAGTGGTTTACCTGTCCAGCAGAAAGGTTACAGGGTCACCAAGATCCCGAAGCGTCCCCCATCGTTTAATCATTGATGTTGACCCCGGCTTTTTAGCTCTTGTCCGGTCTACCTCCTTTTTAAGCGCCCGTCATGTTGTGGACAAAGGAAGATTCAGACAATTTTCTGTACTTTCTGGTTGCTTTCTACTCTACGATAGCACGCTACCTTTGTTTGGGCTTGTGAACGTTATTCAAGGTCGTGGAGCGTGCCTCACAACATGAGGGAGCAGCGTCTGCCTCACAACCAATCAGGATGGGGGAGGCGGGGAATGGCTTCGTTTACAGTCAGAAAGAGCAGGCCACTCAAAAAATTTGAAATGTTGACTACACAGACATAAGAGAACACAGCAATATTATTAAATTACAAAATGTCATCAATAACTAATAGCTATTGACTGATATTAAAAGCTTTTTTGTATCTACACCACAAAAAAGGATCTTCTTTAGCAGAATCCTGCCTACTCTACCTTTTAATGTTGGTCATGTAGTAGATCCATTATTGATGTTTTCTCAACTCAACTCAACTCAACTTTATTTGTAGAGCACTTTAAAACAACCACAGCTGTACAAAGTGCTGTACATAACAGGACAAAAACAGCAAGATAAAAAACAATCAAGAAACAATTAAAACAATGGATAAAATAAAAGCAGAATTAATAATAAAATATAGCTTCAATGTTTTTAAAAACTAATTTAAAAACATAGAAACAAATAACTAAAAACAAACCATAGAACATTAAAACAGGAGCCGAGTCTCATGCAGGGTTAAAAGCCAATGAATAAAAATGGGTTTTAAGACGAGTTTTAAAAATGGACAGTGTGGGGGCTTGTCTAATTTGGAGGGGTAGCTCGTTCCATAAAATTGGGGCAGCAACAGAAAAAGATCTATCCCCTCTGAGCTTCCGTTTGGACCTCGGTACCTCCAGGAGCAGCTGATCAGCTGACCTGAGGCACCGAGCTGGGGTGTAGGGGTGGAGAAGCTCAGAGAGGTAAGATGGAGCCAGACTATTTAAAGATTTAAAAACAAATAAAAGAATCTTAAAATGAACTCTAAAATGCACAGGTAACCAGAGGAGGGAGGCCAGGATGGGAGTCATGTGCTCCCTCTTACGTACGCCAGTTAAGAGCCGGGCGGCTGCGTTTTGAACTAACTGGAGACGTGAGAGGGAGGACTGGCTGACTCCAAAATAAAGTGCGTTACAGTAATCCAGCCGAGATGTAACAAAGGCATGGATTACTGTTTCAAAGTGCGTACGTGAAAGAAAAGGCTTTGCCTTCGCCAGCTGCCTAATATGATAAAAACTGGATTTCACTACGGAGCTAATTTGCCTGTCGAATTTAAAATCACTGTCCATCTTAAAACCCAAATTTGAGACGGTTGGCTTTAAATAATCTGCTAAAATACCCAAGTTTACAGGAGGGGTTTCACAAGGGCCACTGGGACCAAAGACCATCACTTCCGTTTTTTTTTCATTGAAGTTTAAGAAATTCAAAGCCATCCAGGCTTTGATGTCTTCAAGACATGCCAGAAGTGGAGTGAGGGAGAAAGCATTTTGACTAAATACATACAGCAACTATATCAATCAAAACACTGATTGATAATCACACTGACTGGCTGGTTAATATCATGCCAGTAATTTCCAAAAAGTCTAGTTTTGATGTGATTGGAAGCTTAAAATGGTGTATAATGTTGTGTTTGACAGCTCTGTTGACATCTTCTGCCGAGCAGTGTGTTCAGGATTAGCTGAGTCGAGGAGAAAAGGCAAAAGAAAATCTAACAGATGCTAACAGGAGTCATTTAAACTTTTCATAACCCGGAGTATCTGCTCCGAATCAACTGTAAAAGCTGTGACACTGCAGTCTGGAGCAACCTGAGGGATTTTGTAGTTTTAGCATTAATATTTTGGATTTCTAGACTGATGTTTTTTTTTTTGCTGCATTTTTGCTTTTATTGGACAAGACAGCTGAAAAGTAACAGGGAGTAGAGATTGGAGTTGACAGGCTAGGAAGTAAAACCAGCAACCACTTTAATGAGGACTATAGCCTCTGTACGCCCAGTTAGACTGCAAGGCCAACAGCAACCTCAGTTTTGACATTTATTTTGATGTATGTTGTGGAGAGGGCAGTAGCACAGTCTGGCTCCACCGGAGTAAGATATCAGTACCTGTCATGGAGGGGTATTTAATCTTCTCCTCTCAACAACGGGAGACTCATTATCCAGTTAGTCGATGGTACAAACATTTATAACTCTAAGGAAGTGTATCTTAATAGCTTGTCCTGTGACACTTTCAATGGCTGTTCTGGTGAAATGTATTCACAGTCTTTGCAGTCTCCCCTTCATATCTTAAGTGATCCTTGAACTTCTCTAACATTTTAATGAATCCTGGTCATTAAATCTGCCTAATCGAAACTTTCTTTAAATCCGAAGTGATAAAACGTCAGCAAAGGTATTGAATTAGAGTTTCAGGCTTGGTACTTGTTAAACATCAGCATGTTGGTATCCTCATTGTGACCATGTCAGAATGCTGATGATAGCATTTAGTTCTGCCTCACAAAGGTTTAACAGGGCTTGCATGGCTGTGGAATAAACCGCCCAAGGATATCTGAGGCAATTTGGCTTCACACTGCTGCTGATGCAGCACTCTCACTTCTTGTGTGGAATACATGTGAGTGTCTGGGGTGGAGGTGGGGGGTGGAAGGGGCGATAAATGTGGTAAAAATGAGAATATCCCAGTGGGACAATAATTGAAGGAGAGGCGCCTGGAGACAACACCTGTGTTTGAAATGCTAACTGTTTTATAGAGCAGACTGTGATAGGGCACCTTGTTCTCTGCAGGGTCTTTTCTTTTCTTAGAGGGGTGGGGAGGCGTGGGTGTTACATGCAAAACTACTTAAGAAACCACAGTTTCTTTTTACTGCGGGTGAAAATTACATAGACGTTGGCTTAAAGGGATATTCCGGCGTAAAATTACATTGGGGTCAAACACACCGTAACACCGAGTTAGACACCCCGTCGAGAGATGAATGTTGCCGCGGTTTGCTTCTCTAGTTATACCAACTTTAGTAACGATCGCAGGATAGCAATACAGAGAGTCACGTGCTCAACCAAAAAGCCACTCTATAGCCACAAATAATGCTCAGAACAGCACCAAACTTCATTAACAGTACATATAGGGTCCCAGCCATAGTACTAGCCACCAAACATCTTTTTAACTTTGTCTAATTTCTTTAGCAAAGAGACTAAACACAACTCACCCACTCTCTTCCAGCAGCCGCTTGTTTGTAGCGAAACCTCGGACCAGTGCATCGATTGCAGCGGAGTTTCGCAGCTCAAGGAAGAACATTTGTGATCATTACTTTATGAAAATGCAATCAGACCGAGACGCTAAGATAGAAGAACTACAGCGTCTGCAATGGAAAATGATAAATATGGTGATTATTACTTCAAGGAAATGATAAAGTAATGATCATAATGTTCTTCCTTGAGCTGCGTCACCCCGCTGCAGTTAATGGACTCGCCCAAGGTCTCACTACAAACAAGCGGCTGCTGGAAGAGAGTAGGTGAGTTGTGTTTAGTCTCTTTGCTAAAGAAATTAGACAAAGTTAAAAAGATGTTTGGTGGCTAGTACTATGGCTGGGACCCTAAATGTACTGTTGATGAAGTTAGGTGCTGTTCTGAGCATTATTTGTGGCTATAGAGTGGCGTTTTGGTTGAGCGCGTGGCTCTCTGTATTGCTATCCTGCGGTCATTACTAAAGTTGGTATAACTAGAGAAGCAAGCGGTCTGCAACATTCATCTCTCGATGGGTTTTCCAACTGGGTGTTACGGTGTGTTTGACCCTAACTTAATTTTATGCTGGAATATCCCTTTAAAGATTTATGGTGGTTGCTGATTGACAGTGAAGCTGCTGATAGGTCTCCCTACATTTCTGTGTCTTTCGATTTTAACAGGGGGTCACATTTTGGATCCTGAAGTGGTTTTGGTTCTATACTAAGAGGAGGTTCTTGGGAAGTAATCTTTAACTGGGTCAGTTAGTGGGAATATTTGCAGGAGCAGGCTGCACTGTGATGGGGGTGCACACAGGATAGCAGACCTTAATATTGCTCCCATATTCAGATTGGGATTCAGATTATCAGATCCCTCAAATCTTTAATCGGATCGATAAATTTTGCCCATGTAAACATGGCTAGTGTTGTCAGTACTTTAAAATACTGTCTGGATCTTGATTGATATGGGATTTTAATACAGACACCAAACCAGAGTAGACAAACTCGCAGCAGATATCATGAATAACTGAGCAGTGCACCAATATAAGAGCACAAAAGTTTTAAAAAGTTTGATTTCTTGAACACAAAATAAGGTAACTGATGACAGCATTGATTATGATATTGAGGATCAATGATGAGTCTCTGTAAATAGCATAACAGAAATTATGGTCCATACTATGTGCTTTTGTAAAAAATAAAGGAATACGTTGAGAAGCTCATTGCATTCTGAAACTTGATAAGACAGATGTTGCTCAAGACAAAAGCTTCTGTCAGTTGAAATTGTAACTTTGTAAATTAGTTTTTGTGAACATTTTTAAAAATGTTTTAATCATTTCAAGCCAAGTCTTGTGTAGACTAGCTGTGATCAACCGCAGACGGTACTAAGCTCACTGAGTCAGAGTGATCCCTTCAGTACAACAGCACATGAAAGCATTCTAAATCATCCCAAGCATCGTTGTTTATCTTGTATGATCCTTAAAAAAGTATTATTATAAGCACCCTCTAACATCTAACCTGACACCACTTCATTTGTAGACCTATATTTATCTCATATCTGTCAACAACACCAATCACAGTTTGTAGTGCTAAATCTTCATGGGTGTCACTCTGTCTTACTGTGAGCAGAATCATATTCTGGTGAAAAGACAGGCAGGATGATCAGAGGAAACAAGCAGTTTTCTTGTTCCGCAGAAGTGAAAAGTCCAAAAAACAGAAAGTCGAAAAATACATAGTGGAAAAAAGTATAAAAGTATCTTTCACACCTGACTTCTTGTGGTCTGTGTTTGACCTACAGGCTTTAATTTTGAGAAAGAGGCCAAGGAAGGCCAAGTAATAAACTGTCTGAGAATAGCTGCATACCACAGGGAGGAGGTAAAAACTTCTCTGGTGTGGCTCACAGGGCATCTATCTCATTTGGACCAGCAATCTTTACTTTCCTTACCTTTCCTATAGGTTCAAAAACAGCTTATAGCAGCGATGATGATTCACAATTTAAAATAAAACAAGCTGGAGGACAATACAAGGGTAAGCTCGAAGCAAGAAAGCACTATGACTAAAACGCACTTGCAAAACAGGTGCAGAAGAGTGACGAATTAGAAGACTGAGGGGGAGGATGACGGTACAGAGGAACAGAGGATATGTGAGAGAACAAAGCATAGAGGTCACTGCTTGAGGGAAAAAATAGTGGGATGTAGACTAACAAGAGTGACAGTGGGATTCATGAATATTCAAAACAGTTTATCTGCAGGTGACAATACAGAGTTCAGCAACCCACAAGCAATTTAAAAGGGGAGGTTTATCATTTAGGGAGCGTGTGCCGGGATGAGTAATATCCAAGTGCAAGCTTTAGTAAACAACAGATAATTACTTGTTTTGTCCCAGATTTCTGTGTGGTTTGCTTAACTATGTGCTAATGAAAACATGGTTCAGACATGGTTTAACCCTTTTAAGCCTGTAATATTAACAGTCCGCCTGGTCATTATTCTCTTTTTTTAGCTGTAAATGTGTCAAAAAGTGTCTTTTGTGTGAAATCTTTTGCCCCTTTTTTCAAGATAAGTTAAACTTTCAAAATCTCTCAAGTATTTTACATTTTTAACATGTTATATATAGTTAAACTGTGTGAAATAACAACAAAAATAAAAAAACGGAACAGATTTTTTTAGAAAGTTTTGTATTTGTGAACACTTAACTAACCAGATCATGACGTGCGTATTCATGCACCAAACTTTATTCAGATTAGAAGCATTTGGACATGCGCAGAGATGTCTAATTTCACTAAAACAACCGCAGAAGAAGAGTTGAATTAACCCCTGTGCTGTCAACAAACCAACAAACGCGGTAGTGGCTCACTACATCCAATTCAGGATTCTCCCCCCCTGTTAAATGTTGTCACTAGATGGCGCCCTTGTTTACTTGTTTTACTGCTCTGTCAAAGGTTGAACTGTGTGTGCAGATGTGACATCATTACGCTGTAGCTATGTATGCCATGTTATGTTATTGGAGGAGCACACACGGCACCTGCGGTTGTGTTTTTGCCAGAGTGTAAATAATGAAACCTCCTGGCCTCAGTAAATAAGCCAAAGGCTAAAGAGTGAGGACCGAGTCAGGTAAGAGAGTCATGTGAGAATAAGTGTTTCCACGGACGCATTTTGGAATACCGATCGGCTCAAACCCCCCCTCTCGTTTGGAATACGATTTCTTTCTGATTGGGCTGAACTGGATCAGGATTTTCCGATCGACCCGTTTACATGGCGCTTTATAATTCCGATCGGTCCTTTATTCCGATTATTTGTGCCCATGTAAATGCAGCTTCTGACAGGAGTGCAATCGCATTAGAGAGTTTCACTGAGTCGGTCCAGTGTGGTGCCATTATTTGTTTGATGATGTCCAACTTCAACCTCTAAATAGCACGTTAATTACTTTTCAGATTAATGACAAAGTAGGTTAAATGTCAGGGAACGATTCTCAAGAAGTTTTTCTTCAGATCTTTGTGTCTTTTAACCTTTTGTCCAAACGTCAAGGATGTCCTGTTTCAAAGTTTAATATATTAAACAGAAAAACGAGCTAAAATCATCAGCAACCGGTCGTTTTGAATGTCTAATACGTATCTTAATAACACAGGCTGTAATTCTGGGGTCCGTTTTCTGTTTCAGTTAATTTACAAGTCCAGGATTGTAGCACAGATTTATCTTGCTGGCCTTCTTCTGTGAGATTATCCTTGGATACTTGTTTGTTTGCCAGGGTCATGATATCTCATCAGTCCATGAATGGAGACTCTGTGTCCTCAGCGGTTCCTATCTGAGATTGTGTCCAAATTGTTAATGTGGTTAGAGGGGCCTGTGGGAGAACAGCTTCAGAAAGATGCTTCTTTTTACTTAAGTAAATGTATATGTGGTCTTTTTTTTACAAATGGTGTCATACTTTAATGAATTCTTATGTCAACTGAAAACTAGTTCAAGAAAATGACGGTTAGTTTGAGTTGAAGAAGCAGAAAGTGTGGATTGTATCGTCCGCTTATTTTAGCCCCTATTTTAGGTTGGTTGTAACGACATGAAAAGAGAGCAAGCTTGTCTTTTCTGCCAGCACAGCAAACAGAGAGGTCTTTGTCGACTCTCATCAGCCCAATTTGCAGGGCTTTATGCAAGGTGGATGAAAATACTCTGCAGATATACCTGCAAAGGCGTAACTAAAAGTTCAAGCTGTTGGAGGTTGTCTGATGAGTGTCGGGAAGTTTTTGAAATCAGTCAGTCGTTTTATTGGCAAATACAACTGTGTTGATATCCTGCACAGCGGCAATTGATTAATCCTGTTCAGCGGCTCTTTATCCCCTGAAGATTAATGCTGTTTTGGCTGTTAGCAATGTCTGCGCCTGAATTAAACATGAGGCAGCAGCTCAGTAGCATCCTGACAGGATAAATTCATCCTCTTCATGTTTGTAACTATGAATTATTTGATAAGTAACACTGTTTACTTGAATAACAGTGATGCTCAATAAAGCATTATGACACAAAGGCTGCTGTATCCTGCTGGTGTGTTAAAAGGATTAATAGATGCGAGACTTGAGCTGTAATATTTCATTAAAAGAGATCAATACTTGAAGATGCTTTGGCCTGTCATGGCTTAGCTCCTTCTGCACCGGTACATGGTTTTCTGAGCTTTTTAACTAATGTGATACTTCATTCACCTTCGCTTCCTAGCTAACTTTAAAAAGCATGCATTAAGAGCAAACAGGATGTTACAAAGCGACAATAATCTTAGTAATTCCTCGTGAACTAAGGGGAATTTTCTACACGCTGATGCTTATAATAATAATAATAATAATAATAATGATAATAATAATAATAATAATAATAATGCTGTTGTTCAAAATCAATAATATAATCTGACATCGACACACCGCTGTCTCTCATAATCTTGTCAAAGTTTGAGTAAACTTCATAGATTAGGTCTTTTTCTTCCTTAAGAGACCAGTTGTCGAGTTTTGCAAGCGGCGTGACCATACCAAAGTCTTTATTCAAGTCTTCTACCGGTATTTCCATGGCCATCTCCCACGCTCTCCCCGACAATGCCAAAACAACAGCAAGTGCTTGTTTCTTCTTCTCCAACTCTGTAACTCTGGTCCAAATAGCGACTTCATTCTTCCAGCTTTCATACAACTTCCCTTCGTCAAAGCTCGGCGGGACTCTGTAGTTGCTAGCCATTCTCTGCTACCATGTTAAACTAAAATGAAAATGATTTCAGCAACACTTTTGCTTCAGTCTGCCAAAAGCACACAGTAACTACAACAGCTTCCGTAATAAACCGTATATATATATATATATATATATATATATCTATCAGCCTACATTCGCTACTTCCTCTTTAGGGTTTTTCACAATAAGAGTACCCAACAGAACATAATAATCGTGACTTAACAGGATATTCACAGCTGCCCTTGGGCAGACTGACAGAAACGTGGCTGCCAGTTTACGCCTACGGCCTCTCTGACCACCACGACACAACACTCACAATCATATACCAGTGGAGGACACACACTTGGAGCAAGGTGGGTTAAGTGTCTTGACAAGGGCACAATAGACAGACTCGGGATAGGGGGGAAACGAACCGTTAACTTTCCAGTTGTTGGTCATCTGCTCTACCTCCTGAGCTACTGTTAGGAATGAAACTTGACTGTATGTCATTAAATGTGCTTTGTCACAACATATGACTCAGCTTTCCGTTAAGTGGTTCACTATTTGTTACCTTTCCAGTTGCTCAGTCCGGTTAATTTATCTATTTTTTAATGGATAAACAGTGTAAAAATATCAGCAAACCCAAATCTCAACTATACCTCAAAGAACGACTTAAAATTACATGATTTAAATCTGCATCGGTTTTGTACTGCAGATTCACAGCTTGAGTTATCCTCCTCCGAGATGACCTGATACTGAACTGCCAGTATTTTTTCAAGCATTCCCCCGAAACAACAGGACAACACTGCCTTATTCCCTGAAATAACTGTGGTGTGAGGAATGAGGGTGTGCTCTTCTTTTTCGCTGCTGTTAACAAGTGTCACCCTCCCTTTGGGTGTGAAATATTAATGGATGAGTTTAATTTTGGAGTCAGGAAGGTGACCTTCATGTGTGTGTCCACAGAGGGAAGGATATTCCACTTTCCTCGGTCCATCTTATCCCAGGATATCTTTTTATAAGCTCCTATAAATCGGATACTGCATCTTAATAATTCATACTTGTCAGTCTAAGAAGTCTAAAAGATAAGATTTAAAAAGTCCTGTGATAAAAATATTCTGTTCCTAGAGATTGGAGGGCAAATGAACAGAGGCAGAGAGCTGAAAGTAGATTAGAGTTCCTACTTTGGGATTCTGGGATTCACTTGAACAAAAAAATCGAATCCAACCAAAACAATTTCAAAAAATAACCTTGAAAAATTGAGCAAAACAAAATCTAGTATTATGACGAGGGTGGGATGTTATTGTAAACTTAAAAATCTCATCCAGCTACCTCTTTTAGTCTGTCCAGCATTAAACCATGACTGACAGTGAACACAGCCCCTCACTCTGCTCTTACTCCCTCTGCCCCGTGTTTCCCTCCTTCTCAAAAAAGTGCCTGAAATGTGTGAAGATGATGAGAGTGGACAGCAAGAGTGGTTGAACACTGCTGGTCTCTCTTGATTCGTCAGCCCGGGGCGTTGTTGATGTTTGATGGCAGGAATGGTCAGGTGGTGTTACAGCCCAGAAAATCAAGGCATGGTCCTGACAAGACCAGAGGAGGCCACAGACTAAATCAGTGCTGCAAAATAACAATGGCTCTAACCACGGCTCGTACTTTATTATATCAGTTACAAACCAGAAAAACCAAATCAGCCAAATCAGCTGTTTGTCTGACCTTTAAAATGTGTCTCAGGATTTGTATTCTTCCCTTTTACTCCTTGTAGCCTCTGCGATGGTTTGTCTGCAGACTTTAAAACAGTCTGAAAGGAATACTGATTTCTTGTATCACCTATACAAACAAACAAAACCACCAGGAAGAACAAGAGTATTTCTACACTGTGACTTTGATGCTTGTAACCAATGACAGAGGGCAGGTATCAAACCCAACGACTGACTGCGAGCTGCAGAAAAAGTATATGGACAGGACGTGATGCATTAATAATCAGGGTAAGGGTTAAGGCTGTGATGCCTCAAGAAAGCTAGATGTGTTTTTGACGTTAAGGAAAACAGCAAAAAGAGAAAAAAAATCACTAGCACATGTAAAAGACAGGAACAGAAACAAGATAATAGGTAGCATCTCATCCACAGGGACATGCAAAATCCAAAAAAGTTCCTCAAAGGGTCTTGAAACTTGAGGATATGAAAAAAAGGATTTAGATCTTTAATTTTATCCAGATTTACTAAATGAGGTCTTCTCTCTCACTATTTAGGCCTCAAGGTCATCTTGATTTTACAGTTAACAAACCATCACAGTAGCTTCAATGCAATGACTATGGTTTTTCCCTATTCGCTCTGTCAAAGGGACGATTAGGAGTTCTCATGTTGATTCTGGTGGTGGACTCTTGTGGTGAAGACGGCATTTTTCATTGGCACCATCACCCACTATCATGAATTTGTGGTTCTTGAAAAGCTATGCATTTGTTATGTATGCATATAACTGACGACAGAGTTTATTTTGAATACTAATATCTTTGTTGAAGAAAATGACAGAGAGATAAGGTGTCAATTTGTAGGTTTGTACAATTATTAACAGTGGAATAACAACAACAGAGCTAAGTAAACTATGATTTATTATTGTTAGCTGACTAATATTAACTAGATGTACAGGTTTGATGCCATCCGTCGTTGCCCGGTTGTCAAGATGTGAGCTATCGGGTAACATTTTTTTGTAGGTCTTGAATAGGAAATGTACTACGGTGGCCCTGAGGTGCAAAACACAACGGCAAATCAGAAAACAACGACATTAACTATTGTGTTTTCTCTTTTTGTGTTGTTTTTTCTGTTTTATGTTTTGTTTTCTTATTTGCCGTTGTGTTTTCTCTTTCGCTGTTGTGTTTTCTGATTTGCCGTTGTGTTTTGCACCTCAGGGCCACTGTAGAAATTGGGATAAAAGTCAGAATAAATATATCTTTTCTGTTAAAAGCAAAGATCACACTCAGAGTTCTCAGATAAATAAAAATGCTTAAATGCAACTTGCTATCAAATATCTTAAAGTATGTTGTTAAAAGCTTTGCTTTTTTTTTTTTTGGTAAGTATTTCAGCCATTGAGCAAATAAATGAATTGAAAACCCTGAAAGCATTTTCTTTTTCATGCATCCCTCTATCAGAACAAAAAAATGAAACAGGATGAACTTGTACATATCTGTACATCATGTCCTAAGAAAAGGAAACATAAATAAACCAGACAACCCAGAGGACAACATTTGATGTTTGTCACCAGTGCGTCACTGATGATTTCAAAGATTAAATGGCATCCAAAAAATAAAAAGCCACTGTGGTTTTTACTCGCACACACTCAAACACACAAAGAGAGGATGAGGTACTTAATTCGTCTATAACTTTAATCTTTTTATGTTCCCACAGGTGCTGGAGAGTCAGGGAAGAGCACCATTGTTAAGCAGATGAAGTAAGTTTTCTCAATACATCCCTTCTTTTCAAAAGTTTTATTTATTTATAATAATTATAGTTATTATTTTTACAATAATTATCGCTTGATTTATAAGAGGAGTGGTTCAGTTTTAAATCCTGACGCCTCACAGCGAGCTGATTAATCAGAAGAACTGCAAACAAGTGTTTATTTACCTCCAACAAATACAAAGTTTGGCTGCATCACTTAGTGTATTAACCCATTATTTTAATTTAATGGCCGTCACATGGGGACAGTTTCTGCTCATGCTACAAGAGAGAAGAGGAGTGAGAGAGGATATTTGTAATGCATGTGCACGGATTAAAACACAACACAACACACACACAATCTATCCAGATCACACAAATAGCACCCTAAATGACTTAATTATTCACATTCCTCTGGGCAAGCAAGGAATTGAATTAATATTTTATGAAACTGGAGGAGAAACAGTCTGCCTCCTTTTGAAGCCAGGTTATTAACACCTACAGGCATATAGAGAAAAAAGACTTGGAGACAGAAACACACATATTATGTAATGATATAAACCAACATATCCAGTGTAAGCCCAGCTTTATGGCAAAGAAGGTGGCAAAACGTAAATGCTTTGTCCAGATAGTATCGAACTACAGAAGCTATTTCTTTGTTAATTGGTTATTGTTGGTTATCGTTTGCATCAGCACACTGTTGGAAGCAGTTTTACTTCAGAATTAATGGGAGGGTCACTCAGTTTGCTGTCTGTGCACTTCCCTCTGCAGCCTGATGAAGTCTGGAGGATTTCATCTCAGGAAGGGACTGCAGACTTTTGCATGCACAGATATTTTCGTAGCTTGCAGGTTCATAAAGAGAGGTAAATTCAGGATACTGCATCACCAGGATGCTGCAGAGTTGGAGTATTCCAGTCTGTGTGTAGAAACTGCACTGCTGCACCTCATCCTACACAACATCTGACATGATATTTGTGATGATCATGGACAGAAAAAAAGACTCTGGGCTTACAGTAGTGTTGCCTGTTTCTTTTCTATTAATGGCTTTTTCTATTAAGTCACACAGATAAAACTGGAAAACTAGTTAGTTGTTGGTTAGTAAAATAAGTCTGGTGCTGCAAAGCTCTTATGAAAATGATTTTGCTGTGTTTTTTAAAAAATGTGAACCAACCTTGTAAATGCATTTCAAGGATCCTTCTGGGCCCTTCTGAGTCATCTCTCTTTGCAGTAAAAATGGATGCCTCTTGCTCATATGGCAACACTGCATCTATATTTTGTTCAGGTGGGGGGGCACGCCTGCTCTGAAATTAATCTGTGCATATTTCTGGGTTTCTCAGGATCATTCATGAAGACGGCTACTCAGAAGATGAGTGTAAGCAGTACCGAGCTGTGGTTTACAGTAACACCATCCAGTCTATTATGGCTATAGTTAAAGCCATGGCCAGTCTGAAGATAGACTACAGCAACACAGCAAGAGTGGTAAGTGACAAGCGCACAAACACTTTCTACTTTTTTAATGTATGACATTTCTGTATGTTATTTTCATCTATATGGATTATTTCTATTCTTTCCTTTGAACCCTAATCTTAAACTTCCAGGAACTTTTAACTAGATTTGAAAAAATCTCTTGTTTCTGCTGATGTCTCCCTGTTACCTGCAACAGCGACTGAGCCCATCTGTGTAAAGAGGAGCTATTTCTTAAATAGTGAAAACAGGGAAAACAGGAGCTAGTGGTCGGGTCGGGACCACGAACAAAATGATTTACGGCACTCAGACCAGAGACAACACACATTTTTTCTCTTGCATTTATCTAAGTTTCCTCAAACTGCTCACAAAAAAAGTTTGTTCCTGGAGCCCTGATGTGTGAGCCAGATAATGACAAACACTACCACTTTTGTCCATAGTGGCCGCCAAAAGTTTTTTACAATTTACCAGGTGATCCAACCTCCTCACTCACTTGCCTCCAGGCGAGCTGCTTTTTATTCCGGTTTTGGTCATTAAAAGAAAAGGTATCATATAATCCGGGGCACCCAGAAACCGACAAGATCAGTTTTTCCTCCATTTTAGATACCAGTTAACAACCATCCATTTTCATACGTCGACCAGCAACCTTCGTGCTGATTAGTTATCGCAATGTGAATATCCGCTCAATTTGAGACATTTTCAGCTACTGCCCAATTCGTATTATTCTCGCCGCCAGAGTAGTAGGAGCAGCTAAACGCGTCTTTGCATTGACTTAACATGTAATTCATTCACGCGAATGATTTTACCCGTGCTTAATGTGTGGAGACAGTAAGAGTCAGGTCTACCTGTAGAGGAGCATATCACTATATACGTGGTGGATTTGAGCCCCTTTGGCTTAATAACACTGGACTGCTGAATACACACGGCTGTACTCTGTCATCTGTTTAATATCTTAGAAGTACTTTTCACTTTGTTTCTGTCTCGAAGTTATTGGGAGGAAAAGTCTTAACAAAACATTTTACTCCCTCAATTACTGAGTTCGGGTATAAGCCATTTCCCTAAGATTTCCCTGTGATGCCTCGGAAAGCCGGTTTGTTTTTCATACCATTTTTTTTTCCCCTTTTCATCCTATAACCCGTTTCATATGTTTCTAATGTGGGTGTGATTTCAAACATTCACCTGTTCACAGCAGCCACTTTTTCAGTGAGAAACTTCTGGTTGATACTCAAACAGTGTGATAGCTCTCAGATCTGTCTTTGTAACCTGCAGGGAAAAAAGTCCTCATCCTGGAGACTTCACCTCCTCCATCTTTGATCTGCTCTCTTCTCAAAGTTGTGATAGAAAGAAGAAGAGCGGCTGAAAGTGTGGCGAATAGATGCAGCAGCAGCAGACAGGCCTTTGAGGCTGCTTAGGGAATTGGATTTATTGAAAAAGTGCTGGCAGGTCACATTTTAGAAGCAAACTCATTATTCCTGGTGATTTTTGTCACTTCATCATCAGGGCTCCTATTCATTCATTTGTGTTTGATGGTTATCACTTGAACAGGAAAGAGCTTACAGAGTTTATTTCTTTAATCATTTTAAAAGTGTGATCTGTCCCTAAAAGGTCTTAGTTTGTCGAGTGTTGTGGATAGTGTATGGGCCTTTTTATCTATATTATTTTGGGGATTTTGTTTTGTTACTTTCACAATTACCACAAGGGGCACTTCACACAGGTGAATGGGCAGGTAGATGCTACAAAAGGGGCACAGGTGAAGCAGTGATCTGGGGAAGGTGAAGAGCACGGGTTTTTAACGCTGATCTCTGACACCACTATCACCCTCATCACACACATCACCATCTGTCTTTTTTTGTTTGTTTTTTATTAAAATCAATAAATGGCAAAAAGAAAACTCAACAACAACTTGGATTGGACATTAGATTGTACTACAAGGGTGTCAAAAACACCTCACTCCCGCACCCAGACGGTGACTAAAATTCAGGTCAGCATAGTCGCTACAAATAGTTTTGTAGTTGCTGCAAAGTCTGATGCAAAAGCCGTATTTGGCAAATGAGCTTGAAGAGCTCACTACCCACATTTATGACAAGAAGATCAGTTTGTAGGGGGGCATGTCGAGTAAGGGGGTTAGAATCACCTGGCAACTCAAATACCAAACCTGACAACACCCTTACTATTCCTTGTAGTCGAGTTAGGACAGATATTTTGTTCTGATGACAGTGCACATGGTGGGAAACCAACTGTGTACCCATTTTATTGTTACTAAAGCACAAAGATAATTATTATAATCTCACATTATCCCTCAGATTGAGCCGTCCGTGTCGCTTGGCCATGATACTAAAATCAAATCAGCTTTCCCAGTGCCACTTACTGACGTTGTTTAAAAAAAAAAGGGGAAAAAAAGTGTCATTTTCACACATGCCTCCTCACCCAGAGTATTTTACTAAATATGAGTAAAGCCACCTGTCACAGGGTTCTTACTCAAACAATCAAAATATAGTGGAAAACACACGCATAGTTGGAAAAATATGGTAATTGGGATATTAATTTAGTTGGCTTACCAGAGTGCAGTGCAAAAATATAAGAGCAAAAAAATGGTCAGAATACTTTCTACAAAATGTACAAGGCCAAAAAGAAAATACCAACACGGCAGGAGCCTCACTACAACTCAAGATTTTTACTCAAGGAAAAAAATTCAGGAACACAGCAGCACAACAAAAGTCAGTTTGGCAGTTAGCTTCCATGCAACAAACTCCAGACTCAAATAGAAGCCTAGGCTGCCTTCTTTTAAATCCCCCTAGCCCCTCCTAGTGAGCGATATTAATTATATAAGCTTGGGGGGAAAAAAAACATTTTTCACATTCAAACCATTGTAACCCCTTCAGAAGTTTTTACGATTTTAAATAATTTTTCACACAAATCAATAGAGCATTAATTTTTAGGGATTCATGGAAAACAAGGGAATTATTTTTTCTTGCCCCGTTGACCACTTTGACCCACCATACACACATATGTACAACAGGGAAATCACTCTATGCTCTGTTTTCTCATTTGAAAACCTGAGTTGCACGATGACGTGAATGGACGCCCAGCAGGTAAGTGGAGGGATGAATGTCCATGTGAAAGTACAGTATGTTTAAGTTAACCGATAGAGCTCCAAGTGTGCAACCTTGGTAACTCTATCCAACAGAGAATGGAGGAGGAAAAGCAGCGCTGTTTCGTAGGTAAGTAGCGATGCTGGCAGGGAGGGAAATGTTTGGCATTCCCCCTCAACTTGAGTACTGACTATACCATAATATGAGGAGTGTTTGTCTTTGTATTCTCATTGGAGCAGTTTCATACAAGTGAAAACATACAATTCAAAATGGTTGTATTTCTGTTAGAATTAGTATTGGCACATGTCAGGGATATGTCCTAAAACCAGTGCATGTCATTAGAGTAAATGGTGCAGCCCTATTAAACACATTGGCCTGATTAACTGAACTTATTAAAATCTTATACAGAAACTCATGGACGTATAGCCTCACCCTGCACACACAGACTCACATTTATTACAAGCCAGCGCTTCAGGCAGAGATCCTGTCTGCTGTACCCTGTGAACAGCTATCAGCCCACAATGAGCTGCCAGTGAACTCTTAACAACGGCTGAGCTCATTTCTGTGGAGGAGTGATTGTCAGAGTGAAGCTGGGGTGTATGGACTTTAAATGAAGTTGTAATAGAAGGATCGAGGACTCTAGCTGTGGTCATTAGAGCATGACGCATTAGACTTTTTTTTTCTCCCCCTATTGCCAGATCTGTTAAATGGCTGTATGTACGTGACAGTACTCTCGCACACTCCCACACTAGCAATTAGTGTGGCAGCCAGTGTGTCCACACTTGCACTCAGCAGCAGCACTGTAAAAATGCTCACTCACACACACTCATACTTTCTGTGCAGGTGTGTTTGCATGCATCTGAACCTGCATGCAAACAAAAATGTGCTAAAAGAGATATACCAATGTAAAATTAATTTAGGATCAAACACACCATAACACTGAGTTAGACACCCCCTCAAGAGGTCAATATTGCTAACCACTTGCTTCTCTAGTTTTACCAACTTTAGTAACGACCGCATGATAGCAATACACAGCGGTCTGAGGAGCCATAAACAAACCTCAACCAAAAAGCCACTCTATAGCCACAAATAATGCTCAGAACAGCACCTAACTTCATCAACAGAACATATAGGGTCCCAGCCACAGCATTAGCCATCAAACATCCTTATAGCTTTGCCTAATTTCTTTAGCAAAGAGACTAAACACAACTAACCTACTCTCTTCCAGCAGCCGCTTGTTTGTAGCGAGACCTCAGGCAAGTCCAGCTACAACTACAGCGGGGTGGTGCAGCTCAAGGAAGAACATTTATGATCATTTCTTTAAAAGAATAAGAATAGGAAGAATTTTATTGATCCCCAAAGGGAAATTCAATTGTCTGTTGTCTCACGTAATATGTCTATTAAATTTATCTATTATTTACATTATTTACTAAGTCATTCTGTCCTGCAGTGAAGAGAGAGGTATCCTCTATTTATCATTTCCTTGAAGTAATAATCATCATATTTATCATTTTACACTGCAGACGCTGTAGTTCTTCTGCCTTAGTGTCTCGGTCTGATTGCATTTCCATGAAGAAATGATCATAAATGTTCTTCCTTGAGCTGCGTCACCCTACAGCAGTCTGTAATGGACTGGCCCGAGGTCTCTTTACAAACAAGCGGCTGCTGGAAGAGAGTAGGTGAGTTATGTTTAGTCTCTTTGCTAAAGACATCAGGCAAAGCTAAAAAGATGTTTGGTGGCTAGCACTATGGCTAGGAGCCTATATGTACTGTTGATGAAGTTAGGTGCTGTTCTGAGCATTATTTGTGGCTATAGAGTGGCTTTTTGGTTGAGGTGTGCGCGTGGATCTATAGACTGCTGTATATTGCTATCGTGCGGTCGTTACTAAAGTTGGTAAAACTAGAGAAGCAGGCAGTCGGCAACATTCATCTCTCAAGGGGGTGTCTAACTCAGTGTTACGGTGTGTTTGACCGTACATTAATTTTACACTGGAATATCCCTTTAAGAACTAAAACTGTCATGGTCCAAGCTTTTGTGATTTAGTTTAGTTGAGGGAGCGAGACGAGTTTCAACTGGGAGATGAACCACATTTGCAGAAAGTGATTGCTGCATAAATCACATGCAGTTTAATTAAAAAGAAGCATCACCTTTGTTTGTGGTTTTTAATCAACAGTCATAGTCACCGCAGCCAAGTACCAGACAAATGAAAAAGTTACCATTTCAGGAAACATGAAGAGAAATCTAAATCCAAATTGGGAAGCAAACACAAAACCCAGCAAACGGAAATGAAAGTGAAGGATGTATTGTGCTTGCCAAAAAAAAGGGGGGTAAACAAACCTCAAACATTCAAAGAAAACTCATTAGATATGCATTAAAACACAGCTACCGGCAAAAGAAGTGCGGTTGTTAGCTTTTAAAAAGCAGCAAGAGACAAAAATGCACCGCTCATCAAATGAGTTGGATACACTCAATCTTCTTCTTTTTTAATTTAAACAGCGACTGCATTCGTGCATAGTCAGAATCCTTGTAGGCAGAATAATAGCCCTTTTATCAACCAGATATCGATGGCAACCTTAGCTGTGCTGACACAAACAAATGATCTGAAAAGCTCAGGGATCAATAACTGTTAGATACGCCATGACTTTGACTAAAGAAACACTTTGAAGAAAGCATAAGGAGAAGATTGTCTGGTTTTTGGAAAATACTTGCTTTGTTTCTGTAACTGAGACATCCAATACCCAAGGTTTATAAATACATATTTGTGAACTCCAGCTCTTTATAAGTCAAAATGGAGCAGTTTATTGGCTAAACATGGGATCACAGGTGAATGAGTCTGCAGGTAAACTGTCAAATTCTAGCAGAGCCAGCGCCACCAGATTTCATTCCTCCTCACACGTTAACTTCCACATGTTTGTATCGATTACACATATCTCCAGCCAAGTGGTTACCTGCCAGTTTAATCAAACACAGCCTACACAAAACTTGATCTGGATAAAATCACAGCCCAACTCCGCCATGGTACCCAGCGCCATCTGTTATCTCTGTGCTTTTTTATGCCTGGGTTTAAGAGCACGACGGCGTTATGAGGGTGGCTGTCGCCTGGAGCTACAATCCTAACTAGTGGCAGGTGGCTGATCTAGAGCTGAGACACAACATTTAATGAGTTTTTCAGCCTTTACAATAATAAAAATGTCAATAATTAAACTACCTAGTAAATCTGGTGACCGGGTTTGTTCATCTGAGACTAAGATGATCCGAAAACAGATCTGTTAACAGATTACGATGTTATTTTGTTATTTTAGTCAATTTTAATGCATACTTTGGCTCTAATCCTAACCCATTTTGCCCTGTGTCACTGTTGCCCCCTGCAGGACGATGCTCAGCAGCTCTTCGCCTTGGCTGCTGCTGCAGAGGAGCAGGGCATCCTCCCTGACGACCTGGCCAACGTGATCAGGCGGCTGTGGGCTGACAGCGGCATACAGAACTGTTTTGCACGGTCGCGAGAGTACCAACTCAATGACTCTGCAGCATAGTGAGTGGAAATATACCGTACTGTATATGTGTGTGTCTAACACTGTGTCATCCCTCTTATAAACAAATCCTCCCTTTTATGCTCAAGTAGCTTTATTTCAACAGATTAGATTCATTACTTTTAACATTCTTGTCACTTTTGTCTTACTGAAACTGCTACTTTTATGCATTATTTTGAGATATTACCCTCACATTCCCATTTTTACCTTAGTATCAATCAGTATGCAATCTATCCCTGCATACATTGGACTCGCTGCTATAAATGTTCATGTGGTATTTTAGGAAACAACCCAACCGCTGATTAAATATGCTTTCTTTTCTTATACTGCATACCAGTTTGCCTTCTGAAATTACCAATTGTTTTGCTAATTTAATTCTGCATTATTATTGTATGAGGTTATAAAACAGATGAAGAAAGTCACAGTAAGGAAAGTTTTGGCGATGATGTTAGTTTTATAGTTTTCTGATTCATTTAATGTCATCACATAAAGGTCTGTTTAATATTCCTTTTATTATCGACGCTGTTCTTTGGCTGATGTGATGAATCTAATGGCGCAGTGCTTCCAGCCTCTCTTATTCCTGCTGCAGTGAGAAACCTGTCTCTGACTTCACCGGGGAGCAATAGGAGACTGGAAGGATGGTCCAATAACTTCCGTTTAGTGATTCTTTCTACCTCTCTGGGTTTTATTGTCAGATATTGTAACCTGATAAGCTGAGCGCAGAACGGTTTGTCTTGAGGGGGGGAAAAGGTGAGGCTCGGAAAATTGTGTTTACTTCAAGGAAATTTAGTCTCCAAGTAAAGTTTTAGACTAGCTTGTTGTGATAATAAAACCCCCTGGAGTGATCCGTTTGTTTTTGTTGTGCTCATTCATTCGGTGGAAGTGGCTTATTGAACATTCAGAACAGTCAGAAACGCTGCTTTGCCTTGATTTGTCTGTGATCTCATTTGGAAATATTTTGTTCTTGCCAGAAAAATGTTGGTTTAATCATTTTTATGTTTCCACTCGGGAAGGGGTTGTCTCATTAATTTTTATTACCCTGTGGTTGTGACACACATGAATCCTGACATTTGAACAGATAAAATGTTTGATGTAAACTGTATCTCTGTGTCAGTGAAGCATACAGTGTGTTGTTTGGCCACTAAGGCTCCCAGCAGGCTTTGGTGGTGATGTAATGCTTGTTTATGTGGGTCAGGTTGTGTTAAACATGTTGAAGACGGTTTCACAGTCCCCTGCTGACCAACGGTCTGTCAGAAAACAGAGAAACGGCAACAAATTAGAAGGATAGGGAGAGGACTATACATAGATAACTGCAGTGAAACACCACAGCTGTGAAAGACAAAGAGAGACACTCTGTTGTCTTTATTCTTTCATGTTAGAGTGAATATGCTTTAGTGTAATGCAAAGACCTATAGTCATGTTCCTCTGAGCCTGTATGCACATCTGAACCCTGCTCTTGCTTTCTAGTCATGATTATAACTCTCTATGCAACACAATGCCTGGTATGACACCGACAACAGTATCCTGATTCAGCCATTCATAGTTATACAAGGATTAGGGGCATGTGAGGTTAAGCTCAGTTTTCAGGGGCAGTATGAAAATAACCATAATTTATCATTTGTATCCCTAAAATGCAATAATAATGCATCAGATTCTTATAGCGCTTTATCAGAGACCCTGTAAAGCACTTTACAGTCACACCCTGGTGGTGGTAAACTACCCTAGTAGTCATGACTGCCCCGGGACAGACTGACCGAAACATGGCTGCCAGTTTGCACGTATGGCCTCTCTGACCACCACCACACAACACTCACATTCATACACCAGTGGAGGACACACACTGGGAGCAAAGTGGGTTAAATGTCTTGCCCAATGACACAACGGACAGACCAGGGATAGGGGAGAATCGAACCAACAACCTTCCAGTTATTGGACAACTGCTCTATCTCCTGAGCTACTGCCGCCCCATGTCGTGAAAGTCTATGTAGCTCTTTATGTTTCATTGGATATTGCTTATGATATTAACAAAAACAACTTATTGAGAAAATACAACTCTCATTCATTAACTCAAACTTATTGATTTAAGTAGATATGATACAAAAACACAACAGAACCAAGAGCAAATACTTTTTTTTGTGCTGGTTTCTTAGCTGTTGTTAGCTGATTAGCTGATGTTCGACCTCTGATTTCTGAAGCTCTCTTGCTAAACCACCTTCATGCTAGTGAGGCTAACACTCATCTTACAGTTAAATCTTGCGAGGCTGATTTCAAGGCTGGTGGTGTTTGTGGTTTGTCTCCTGGCACTGTTTGTTCACTCAGTTTTTAACTTCAGCCCGACAGGAAGCTAAGCTAGTTTAGCTTGCTATCAAAGTTGGTCAAAAATACTAGAGATGAGCTGATTGTGAAAATTAGAGCTAATACCAAAACTGATGTTTTAAATATACATTTGGGTGATGCTAATAGCCAGTACCAATGTTTTTTTACATTACTTCTTCAAATTTTGATATCAAATTTTTGGGAGTCTGGTTTTTTTAGTGATTTGATCGTTGCGAGTCCCTCCTTTACAGTCCATCTTGTAATGTCTCTGGGACATGATACGAACTGCATGTCACCGACCTTTTCAGAAACATGTTTCATCATTAAAATAAACCAGCAATACCCCCACCAGGGGATTTTTTAGTGTGCAATAAAAAAAATTCGCTAAACAAGCAATAAGGGGTTTTAGCCTTTAAGATTTACACTGACAGCGGCTACTGACATCTGTGCGTGACACATTATTTGCTGATACCTGTCAAAAGAGCAGATGCTGTATGTGCTGAAACAGATGTTAAACTGATGCATCGGTGCACCCCAAGAAAATATTGACTGTATTACCCAATTTTAATAACCTAGCTCCATTAACTCATTTATTCATTTATTTGTGAATATTTCTATACCTCTAGATGAGCTAGGACACCACAGGACATAACTGTCTTAGATATCTGTTTACAGATTTTACTTTTAAATAAATAAATCTCCATTATCGTAAAGATTAGATGCATGTTATTGAAACACCCTGGGCTTACTTAAACAAAACAATTTCTAAAACATTATTGCATGAAAACAAAACATGCTAAAAAGACAAAAACTGTTATTAATGTTACGTTGCCATAAAAGCCCTTCCAGTAATGACAGATTATACTACTGTGTCTATTAGCAATCCCTGAATCGTCCCACACTGATAATTTAAAGCAGCCATTTCCCATCATGATTTATTATGTAACACAGGATATGTGCAGAATTGATATCAGGCTTTTATAATCGACTGTTATCATCCAGATCTAAAGCAAATACCAAAAAGCACAACATGGAAAGGCATAACAGAAAAATACACAGCCATATGAACACCAGCGCCGGTGGATATCAAGCTGAGAATGATAAACAAAATCCAGCAAAACAACCACAGATGGTGCAGGTTGGGACAACAAATGTTATTTAGAGTTGAGAGGCAACAAATAAACAGCAAAAAAAAAATACATCTGTCGAGAGCTGAAGGTGGGCAAGGAGTATAGCAGAGGCATAAACAAAATCAGCCATCCAGATGTAGTAGATTATGATTCTACCGAGGGTAAATCAATGAGGGACAGCAGCCAGCTGTGTCCTGTATGTGTCTAACACTCCCTGAATGAGTTGAAACAAAAGGTCCCTGCTGCAGGTAAACAACAGCGTCAATGAGCAAAACAACAAAGATGATATTCAATCTGCTCCTCAGCCAGATCCAAGGCTGCAGTAATCCTCTATGAAGAATCTATCAATGCAGAAACAGTCCAGACAAGGCACATTCAAATCAAAGACGCCTGAGATGATATTGAGATTTATCTTAAGATTTACAAATCAACCAGGAAGACTTGTAGGTTACAAAGCAAAGTGGTGTTAGCTAGCAGATGTAGCAAACAAGTGAAGAGTGTAGCCTGGAAAAAAAGACATTTGAACCCAATCGTGATCAGGAAAACAGCTTCAAGTAGAAAACTAAGCTTCTAGCCAGAACTGCAATGAAGGGCAGTAACTGATGAAGCGGGTAATATTGATTAAAGGAGAGCAGCATGTTTCTTGGAACAGCAGGGAACAACAGCAAATCATTTCCTTAACAAACAATTCCAGGCAGCCATGATGGGAAGCTCAGCACAAACACGGGGAAACAAAACATACACAGGACACAAGACCAAAAACCAAGCTGCGATGGTTGAACAAGCGCAATACTAAATTTATTTCCAATACAGAAACACAGAAAGGCCTACCTTGAATGAGAAGTCCCAAAGGTGAGCAAAGACAGTCAGCAGGCCTCACACAGGTGGAGGGAAAGAAATCACATGGACAGGAAGTGAAGATTTAAAAATGAGGAAAGGGAAGTTACACAAAATAAAACAGGAAAACAGGAAAATTCTTCCAACAGTGGTTAGTTAGCTTCTAGAAAATGAGCTTCACAAAAATTATTTAACAATGTAAAAGTGGTTGCTCCTTAAAGGTAAGCTGATGAGAAATATCGTCTTAATCTGTCTGTTTGTGATGCCTGGACATTGTTGTAAAATCAAAACAAAAAAACAGCTCTTAAGGGTTTAATTTTAGCCTGAATGTGCTAACTACCAGACACAGTTATGAGACAAAGCGAGTGAGGTGTTGGAGTCTGAACTTTGTAATGAATTTGGTTGAAGTGTGTAGTGTAATCCCTTAAAAAGCACTCAAGCAGCCAGTTTAATGCTATTATTAAAAACTTTACTACTGAGTGAGTCACTCCACTAAAAGTTCTGCTGGAGTTCATTACAGTTCAAAGCAGAGTTGAGTTCATGCACACTGTTTTGTCTGATATTAATGCATCACAAGAACATCAGAGACCTTGCTGTATTGTCAGTTTTTGTGTGGGTTTAAAGCCTGTGTTTTTCTCTCTTTTTGCACTCTTCAATCTCTCTCTCTCTCTCCTTCTTTCTCCCTCTTCTTTTCAAGTTACCTGAACGACCTGGAGAGGATAGCTAAAGCCGATTATATACCCACCCAGCAGGATGTGCTGCGAACCCGTGTCAAGACCACCGGCATCGTGGAGACTCACTTCACCTTCAAGGAACTGCACTTCAAGTAAGAGCGGAAAACTCTGGTCTGATTGCAATGTTTGTGGATTTAAGACATCTTAGACACACTTTAAAAAAAAAACTTTAAAAGTTGCCCTTATTTTACAACAAGCTCTTTTGTAATCAAAGGAAACTCTCACTTTGCAACTCAGACTCAGCGGGAGTGTGTACTTGACATTAAAGGAGCTGAGTGTTAATAAGAGCTCACAGCGTTCACATATCTCACATGCTTGCTTGGAGTGTTATTGATTGATACATAACAAACTGCCACTTGTCACACAAGCAATGCAAAGCAACATGACACATCACCAGTGCTGTGTGAAGTATAATGACCCAAGTGCTTTTAAAGGGATATTCCGGTGAAAAATTTAGTTAGGGTGAAACAAACAGGAACACCGAGTTAGACACCCCCTCAAGAGATGAATGTTGCCGACCGCTTGCTTCTCTAGTTATACCAACTTTAGTAACAACCACTAATTGTTGCCTAATTTCTTTAGCAAAGAGACTAAACACAACTTACCTACTCTCTTCCAGCAGCAGTTTGTTTGTAGTGAGACCTCAGGCCAGTCCATTACGGACTGTTGCGGGGTGACACAGCTCAAGGAAGAACATTTATGATCATTTCTTCATGGAAATGCAATCAGACTGAGATGTTAAACAAACCTCAACCAAAACACCACTCTATAGCCACAAATAATGCTCAGAACAGCATCTAACTTCATCAACAGTACATATAGGGTCCCAGCCACAGCACTAGCCATCAAACATCTTTTTAGCTTTGCCTGATTTCTTTAGCAAAGAGACTAAACACAACTCACCTACTCTCTTCCAGCAGCCGCTTGTTTGTAGCGAGACCTCAGGCCAGTCTATTATGGACTGCTGTGGGGTGACGCAGCTCAAGGAAGAACATTTATGATCATTTTTTCATGGAAATGCAATCAAACCGAGACGCTAAGGCGGGAGAACTACCGTGCCTGCAGTGCAAAATGATTAATATGGTGATTATTACTCCAATAAAATGATAAAGAAATGATCATAAATGTTCTTCCTTAAGCTGTGTCACCCCGCTGTAGTCTGTAATGGACTGGTCTGAGGTCTCGGTACAAACGAGCGGCTGCTGGAAGAGAGTAGGTTAGTTGTGTTTAGTCGCTTTGCTAAAGAAATTAGACAAAGTTAAAACGATGTTTAGTAGCTAGTACTATGGCTACAACCGCATATGTACTGTTGATGAAGTTAGGTGCTGTTCTGAGCATTATTTGTGGCTATAGAGTGGCTTTTTGGTTGAGGTTTGTTTATGGCTCCTCAGACCGCTGTGTATTGCTATTGTGCCGTCGTTACTAAAGTTAGTATAACCAGAGAAGCAAGCGGTCGGCAACATTCATTTCTTGAGGAGGTGTCTAACTCTGTGTTACGGTGTGTTTGACCCTAAATTAATTGTACGCAGGAATATCCCTTTAAGAGCTGGAGCATAAAGACAAAAGACATTGAAAACATGTTTGTCTTCACAGCTGTTAAGTCAAAAGAAGCCTCTGTCTTTATCAGCAGTGACATCTCTGTCTCAGCCTCCTCTTCCTGAATTGAAATGTATAATTCAGCCTCTCAGAAGAGCAAAATTACAGCAACAATTAGATGCTCAATTATCATAATTGTACTGAGAGCAAAGTAAATGAGGTAAAGCCTGCCCACCTCACTCTCACTCAGAATCAGAATCAGGGCTTTAATATGCTGCTAGTGTTGAAGTACATTCTCCATAGCAGAGTGTTGGAAGTCTTACATAAAGTATGCGCAGACCAAGCCCAGGCACTCATGTGTGGGATAGTAATGGATGTATGGAAATATCTCTGAATAGTGGATCATAAGAGGCAAAAGGATGAATTTCAACACTTGGTGGTACATTTATCTCTGGTTTACCACAGCAGAACTGAATCCTTGATAGAAAGGCATTTAATTTATAAGAAATGCTGAACGAAAAATGGAAGCAGTAGATTCTCACAGCTCAATAAATAAGAAAAGATATCTTCTCATTTTTGCAGATCTTAGCCTTTCATATGCCTTGAGACGGGCCTTGAGTCGTATGTAAATGAATGAGATACTATGGCAGCCACATGGCTCTGGTGTGACCTGTTTCCAGACAAACTCGCTGATATTTGCCCTCTGCCACAGCCTCAATATTTGCCCTGAATAATAAATGGAGGCGATCGATGAGAAGAAACTCACGTTTTTGTAATCCTGCCTTGCCTACCATACAAAGCACAAGAGTAAGAGAAGTTTAAGTGCTTCATGGTACAGGAAAATGTGGGATTTGAGCATAGCTTAATTCTGCTCGGTCGATGCGGAACCTCTCGGGTGTCGTTTGGTTCTTACATACTGCATTTCAAGGCGGGATATTTATGCCTCAGGTGGGCCTCGTCTGCAGTGTGTAATGCACAAAGGGGTAATGCTGGAGCAAAGTTATACCATCTCTAATCCACCCTTAAGACGTTGGCTGAGCAGGATGACAGTGGTAATAAGTAGAGTTTGTGTATCTGAGTTTATGGCACTCTTACTGTGTGTATACAAGTCATGCGTCTCTCACTCCTGCAGCACTGTAATATCTAATGTAAGCACAAGGATGTAGCGATGGTGAAAAACCTCGTTCTAGCACTGCTGCAGGATTGTAACATAAGAGGCTATTGTCTTTATCAGTGAAACCTGGTGGCTGCCCTGGATGGAGTGGACTTAAGATGCTTCAGCTGTCTGCAGGGTTTTGCTCGCTTTTTAAATCTCTAATAGCTTTGATCACAGTGCTCAGCCTTCCTGTTAGCTGCTGCTCTGCTCTCCTCTGAATACACACTCACCCTGCTGCCTTCTATCAGATTTCTGACAGACTCCTCTCCACCTCCTCACCACTTTTACTCTCAAAAGAGCCTCATGCAAACTTAATGTACACCCAAGGATGAGATATCACCTCAACTCTACCCTTCCTTCCTCTCGTCTCAACCTTCATTTTTCCTGAAGCACTCTCCTCGATGCCTTTTCCCTTGACAGCTTCACCTTACTGTCTTTCACCGAGACCATCCTCCACCACTCTGTCACACTGATACACAATGTCTTTTACCTCCTCGCAGGATGTTTGATGTTGGAGGACAGCGCTCAGAGAGGAAGAAGTGGATCCACTGCTTCGAAGGAGTCACGGCTATTATTTTCTGTGTTGCGCTGAGTGCTTATGACCTGGTGCTGGCCGAGGATGAAGAAATGGTGAGGAAAAAAATCGGTGTCTTTGCAATTTATCTTCATCAGCATGGTCAATATTATTAAACTCACTACATTAATTAGCTGTTAGGCTCATTTCCCTGTAAGAAAACTTGAGATTGTAGGACATTTAACATCCCTTTATTATAAGTTCACAATAGCGAGAGCCAGCCGGTGAAATTGGCCGGACAGAGTCTGAAGATTAATTCACTCTTGAACCAGCTGAGTGTAATTTTGTAAATGAAGACACAAGTTTCTTGAACCGTTTGACCCCAATTTCTTCAACATCTTATGATTTAAACTCAAGTGCTCTAGAGAGACTTGGCTACTCTGGAGAGTCTCTTCATCCTCATATTTTAAATATTGAACAATATCTCCCCCTGGTGGCAGCCGGGGTGCATTGGTATACATAATGCAGTGACTAAATCTAGATTTTTAGTTGAATTTGTTTTAATCTTTTAATCTTCATTATGTGATTTTACCCCATTTTAGTCCTTGAGTTATTATTATGTGTTTTATTGCCTCTTTATGAATTTACTTTCTGTTATTGTTTGATTTTAAGACTATTTTATTTATTTAACTTTTAACGCTTTATCACCTTTATTATATTTTATCATAGTTTTATCGCTTTAGTCCTAAATCCAGTGTTGAAGTTGTAGAGTCCTCACCTGATCTTTTGTGTATGCATCTGTGTGTCTGTGAGCGTGTGAGTGCTGTGTGAGTTGAATGGGGGTTGTTATTTGTATTTTTATTTATTTTATTTCATTGTTTTTAATATCCTGCTTAAATGGTCAACACTTTGTGCTTCATTCTATGTATAAAAAGTGCTTTAAATAATAATGTTTGATTGATTGATTTCCCTGTAGAACCGAATGCATGAGAGCATGAAGCTGTTTGACTCCATTTGCAACAACAAGTGGTTCACCGAGACCTCCATCATCCTCTTCCTCAACAAGAAGGATCTGTTTGAGGAGAAGATCACCCGCAGCCCCCTCACCATCTGCTTCCCAGAATACACAGGTACACAGTGAGCTATCAAACTGAATACTTACGAACGATAAAAGAGGTTGTAGCGACAGAGTGACTCACTCATAAGTTTTCTTAAAACTTTTACTTCCCAGGAGCGAACAAATTCGATGAAGCAGCAAGCTACATACAGACAAAGTTTGAGGACCTGAACAAGAAGAAGGACACAAAGGAGATCTACACACACTTCACCTGCGCTACCGACACCAAGAACGTGCAGTTTGTGTTCGACGCTGTCACTGATGTCATTATCAAGAATAACCTGAAAGACTGTGGTCTATTCTAAAGGTAGGATGGATTACAGGGATATCAGCATAGTGTGAATGTTATCAGGCAGCCTTAGGGGAAAATGACGAGTTAATTAATCACTGAAGTGGAAATCCTTTCAAAGCCAAAACACTGAGAATTATCTGACATACTTTTGTAAATGCCTTTGATTCTTCAAGTGCAGATCGTGTTGAAAATAGGAAATTTAAGGGTCAGGATGAACACTGTAACAATCTTGTCTGACTTCGTTTGGCCACGAAAGGAAATAAGAGCTAAGCAGGCAAAGAATGAATGTTTATTGTTCTGAAAAAGAGAAAATGTATTTGTCCTTCAATACTTAAAAGATTTGTGAGGAGTTCTAGTTAAGGTAATTTACAGTACAAAGCAGGAATAGTTTTTGGTTTGACATTTCCAGGACTAAGACACTTGATGAGTGACAAGACTTTACAAAAGAAAAACCCACAATGCTCACACACGTCCAGGACAAAATAAACCAGAAGGGAGGCACTGTTCTGTCCACAGGGGGCGCCAAAGTTAATCCAAACCAGATGTTCCTCTGTTGATGCTGGTTGCACAAACCTTTAAAGTGCTTGATGTGGGCTCTCAGATCAGATCCTCACAAACATTTACAGACAGAAACCATTTTTTTTTAAAGTGGCCAGTCGATTTACTTTTTCCTGTTTTCATATTCACATTTACAAAAATCAGTTTGGAAGGAGACTGTTGAGAACTGTTACATTATACATTAAGTGTTCATATTTGCATACTATGACCAGACAATGGTCTCATAATTTTTAGACTTATTTTGTAAATCAAAACCTCTAAATTTTAAATGCACTTGTAGAGGTGTTTACAGCTTCTTTTCATGGTCTTTCTTCTGTTGTTGCAGGACGATGCCTGATGCACACAGACTGCATGAGAGACTGCAACAGCCATGTGATGATTACTGCTTTTCATAATGAAAACCATAACAGACTTGACTCCTGAAGGGGGAAACCTAAAAGAACTTCAACTATCACTGATTTGCAACCATCACATTCTCTGCCGATTGTGTTGTTTGTTTTCTTTTCTATGTTCTTACTGCAGTGAACAGGGCTTCTCATGATATCTACACCGACCACGTTTAGATAGATATTTGATCAAGGACCCCCTTTACTGGACAAAGAATCTCTTTGTAACGTGTATTATAGATAGTAACCAGCTGATTTAAGTGGAAGATGAGTGTTTGAAAGGCTGGAATTACTTCAAAAATAAGCCATTATCTTGTTATGCCATATTATAAATGAAAAATTAAAGCTACATTTGGCAATTTCTTAAACTGAAAAAGGATCAATTTGAAAGCAACTTGTTTAAAGTGTTTTTTGTAACCAAATTTTTATTCAAATTGTAGTTTAAGTTTCTTTTTCGGTTTGTTTTCCATTTTAATTTTGAAATTTAAAAGACAATACAGTATGTTAAAAAAAAAACCCTTTTGATAAAAAAAAACACTCTTATGTTGAGTTAGAATTTGGCATCCTCTGAACCTTTGGACTGCACAGAGCTTATTTTTTTTAAGAAAAACAACCGTGCATGAAGAACAAAGCTGGATGTAAGGAAAACGTTCTTTTGTACAATGTTTACACAGAATCAATATTCACACTTGTACTATAGTGCATCGTTCTGCATGACTACTGCTCCTAGATTAGCTCGCACCCCCACAAACTGAACAACATTCCTGAACTTCTGAAAAGAAATGAAACAGAAACGGTTATGTGTCACTTTAAAAAAAAAAAAAATATCTGCAAGTTTTTTAAGTGGTTTAGTCTGTTCCTAACTGGGATTGTTCTGTACTCTTTGTTTCATTCTGAGTCTTTTTACATATGTTTGTGCCTTGATATCTGTTTACACTTGTTCTTTAGACTCATACTATCTTCATAGTGTGAATTAGGGCTATTTCTACTCCACCTCGGTTCACATCACCCATGAATTCAGACACGCCAAACACAGAGACATATGGATGGGACCTGTTCAATGATAAAATGAGATAAATGTCATTCACTTGTTATATGTAAATAAAAGTTTCTCACCTTATATTTTGTTGTATCATATGATGTGTCAAGAAAAAAAAGCATGGAAAATGTAGAATTATGTTCTGTTGATTTTTTTTTATAGAAATAGCCACAAAAAGAGAAAATATACAAAATATTTTAAGGGGGGAAAGTATTTGCAGAGTAAGATTATAAGATTCAGAGCTCAGAAAATTGCATTTTTTCAGTGCAATATTCAGAATTACTGATATGTGTTTACTTCCTCATGACTCCATCTGTTTTGGGGATGTCACTGGTGAAAACTAGTACACAATTTATCACTAAATGTTTCTCTGACGCACGTTTGAACACTTCCTCATGATGCCACCTTTTACTGCTTTCCATGATACAATAACTTATTTTCTTTTAGCCACACTGGGTTTCCTCTTTACATGTAACAGGTACAGTGCAACATGTCACAGTTAAGATATTTATAAGATCAAACCTGTGGTTCTCAACTTTACCAAGTATAAAGGAACAGTCTTGTTGTCTCTCTGTGGTGTTAGTGCAGACGTCTATGAAGCAGGTCAGAATGAGTTTTATGAGGCAGTAAGGAATGAGACTCTGTTTTAGTGATCTCAGCCACACGGGTAAAAAAAACAAACTTTATATTTGAGCCCTAGATTAACAACTGAACTACTAAGTCTCCTACTTCACTGTTTATTGGTAGATAAATACAAGGCAACAAAAACTCTCTGAAATATGTGGTTATTTTTTTTTCTTTTTTCATACATGTATATTGTTGATAGGATCACCTGTCATCGCAGCGAGCATTTAATCAATCAATCAATCAAACTTTATTTTAAAGCACTTTTAGGATATTAAAAACAATGAAATAAAATAAATTCAAATGCAAATACCAAACCCTTCCAACCCCCATTCAACACATACAGCACTCACACACACAGATGCATACACTAAAGATCAGGTGAGGACTCTTCATCTTGCCACAGATGACTGTAGAAACGCTATCTTGAGTAAAAAAAAGTGAGGAAACACTGGATCTAGGACACAATTAAGTATAATAAAGGTGATAAAGCGTTAAAAGTTAATTGATTTAAACAGTCTTAAAATCAAATAATAACAGGAAGTAAATTAAAAAGAGAGGTAATAAAACACAGAATAGTTACTCTGGGACTAAAATAGGGTAAAATCACATAATGCAGATTAAAAGATTAAAACAAAATTCAACTAAAAGCCAGACAAGAAAGGTACTGCCCTTTTTGTATTTTTAGTCCATCTTTATGCTCTGCTCAATTTGGATTTTGGTTGGAGGACTTTAGTTTGTGTTTGTGGACTTTAACTCCTGTAAAGTACCTGAGCACACACACACACACACCTCCCATCACTTCAACTACCTGCCTGCATTACAATACAGTGTTGTCACCACCATCCACAGAGGAGGGGTGTGGAGGTCCACTCGTGAATGGTTTCCTCATCTGCAAATCAAAAGAAAACTTCGGCCAAGCTTCATTTGCATGTCTAGGAGGCTATTAAATAAAGAAAGGTGAATGAGCCTTATGCAAAGGTTTGTATTCAGAGACAACAGAGAGATCAGATAGGAGGTGCTGTTTACAGTGATCCACAAGGTGGCGATGTGTAGATTTCACTGAAGCAGCACATGCATGAAGGACCGTTCAGTCACAGCAGTTGTCTAGGAGCAACTTTTACAGATGATTAATATAATCTACTCCACTGTCCCAAACTTTTCAGATTTATAGTATATGTTGTAGAAAGTATGAGATTAAACCGGATTAAAAATGTAGCCCTTCAGAGAGCTCAGTATTTTGAGTCACATTAAATCAGGTTTAGTTAGTTGTTTTCAACATTATTTTACTATTTTGTGTTGTATATAGTGTACATACTTGTATGTTGTAAAATTATCTCTTTATTGTTACTTATTTTATCTATTATTGATCTCCTCTTTCTACTTAATTTTTCACTGGAGTTACTGTAACAAAAAGCAATTTACCCTTGGAGATTATAAAAGTATTTCTAATTCTGATTTAAACGAATAAATGCTTTGTTCGACACATTTATTTTACATTTAAATTTACACAGAAAAAAAAATGGACAAAAATCAGAGAGAGACCTCAAAGTGAAAAACTTGAATTTTGTGCACTAACTAAACTAACTAACAAACTAAATTTTGTGGTAACTTTGTCATAGAGAGAAAAAAATGTAAAAGAAACACTTGTGAAACAAATATGACCTGTAGATTATCTATATACAGCCTTAATAGTGTAATTTAATCCTGTTATAGCAGCCTTTGACACTGTAATTGCGCAGAGAGGGTGGGCTCTTGTGCCAGACGACTTCCTATTGGCTGGTTGTGTGATACTGTGCGCTGATTGGCTGTAAGGAAAACCTCAGCCTCGTCAAAGACCGGTGACAGACCCACATACGGCTCAGAGGGGATAATACTCACCATCCCTGAGCAACACATGGTAACCTGTGGACTTTTACTTGAGCTTGGATTAATTCAGAAACGGATTTAAAAGTAAGTGTGGTAACTGTTTGAAAATATGTGTCAAATTAAATATAACTGTAATAAGTTTATAGTTTTCACAATGTAATGTTTGTGTTTTTGTTCATTTCAGGAAGAGTGTCAGGACTTTCTGCAAACCTTTACTTTCAAGCTATGGTAAGTTATTTTTTTCTGAACACAACCACGTGTATTTTGAGTTTCGTATTTGCATCAAACTGGTGAAAATGTGCGTAAAGTCGTCAGAAAACTACCTAATATACAAAGTAATGGACAAGACGTTTCCTCCAGTGGCTCTTCTTCAGATTATTCCCCTTTTTTTTAAATCAATTTACAGTCAATAGTTGGTCGTTAAATTCCCCAAAGTCCAAATCGATTCAAACCAAACTGCTGTTGTTAAAAAGAAATGCATAAAATGAGGTGAATCTCCTGGTTGTGTGGAGGCAGCCGAGGAGAACAGAGTTGAAGGAGGTGCAGACTGACCACAGAGTCCCACTGGAGGCTCCTCTGTGTTGGATAGAAGTCTCTCCCCTGGGGGCCAAATGGTCCAGCACCCACAGCTGTGATAACATCGTGGCTTTGTGCTGTCCTCTGTTTTAAGTCAAACACTGACGGAACACAAGAGGCAAGGAAAACCAAATATTGAAAGAGGTTAATTAGATAACAAAGTTAACAGAAGCAAAAAGTTTCGCTTTTTTATTTTTAAAGGTCATGTCTGTTCACAAAGGTTTATTGTGAAGTGTTCTAGCTGCTGTAAATAACTAAAATTGATCTGGTTTAAGTGAATCTGAAGGCTGGGACTCATTATGATTCATAATTAACACATGATTTGTGTGTAATTCCAAAATGCTGCCATCATTTCCTGCTTCATAAAAGCCCGTCCAACATCCTGAGAGTTTGGGGAGTTCAGAGAGGAAAAGCACCTCTCTTACTCCTCCATGATTCAGCTCCACTTTGTTCAAACTTCCCCTCTGGCTTCAGAAAGCAGCAGGGATAGTTTTTATCAGAATGAGATGTGCATCCTGTTAGGAGAGTGACCAACTTCTTTTTTAGATTTTCTGGGATTCCACTGCATGGGATGGTCTGCATAAAGCTGCTCTGAGGTTTGTCAGGAATGCTGCGCTTATGTTGGTCTGAGAGCAAAATGATCTCAGCTGGTAAAAATCTTATTGGCCGGGTTCTAGGAATAACTCAGGGCGCTTCTAGACCAAAAAGGACTGCTCTATATACGAGTCAACCAAACACTTCTAGTTAGACTGTTGTTCCTTAAAGCGAGTTAGACACTCCCTCGAGAGATGAATGTTGCCGACTGTTTGCTTCTCTAGTTATACCAACTTTAGTAACGACCGCACAATAGCAATACACAGCGGTCTGAGGAGCCATAAACAAACCTCAACCAAAACGCCACTCTATAGCCACAAATAATGCTCAGAACAGCCTCTAACTTCATCAACAGGACATACAGGGTTCCAGCCATAGTACTAGCCACCAAACATCTTTTTAACTTTGCCTGATTTCTTTAACAAAGAGACTAAACACAACTCACCTACTCTCTTCCAGCAGCCGCTTGTTTGTAGCGAGACCCGGGAAAGTCTATTACGAACTACAAAGGGGTGACACAGCTCAAGGAAGAACATTTATGATCATTTCTTCATGGAAATGCAATCAGACTGAGACACTAAGGCAGAAGAACTACCGCGTCTGCAGTGCAAAATGATTAATATGATGATTATTACTTCAAGGAAATGAAGAAAAAATTATCATAAATGTTCTTCCTTGAGCTGCGCCACCCCGTTGTAGTCCGTAATGGACTTGCCTGAGGTCTCGCTACAAACAAGCGGCTGCTGGAAGAGAGTAGGAGAGTTGTGTTTAGTCTTTTTGCTAAAGAAATCAGGCAAACTTAAAAAGATGTTTGGTGGCTAGAACTATGGCTCGGACCCAACATGTACTGTTGATGAAGTTAGGTGCTGTTCTGAGCATTATTTGTGGCTATAGAGTGGCGTTTTGGTTTCGCACATTGGTGTGTTTGACCCTAAATTAATTTTACGCTGGAATATCCCTTTAACAGAGCGCACCACTGACTCTTTGTGTTTTTCTTTTCTTTGTGTAGCTGTGTTTAGGAGACTCTGCAGACTATCTCCGGGACCATATGCAGTGCATGATGAGATCCCTGCAGGACCTAAAGCAGATAAACAAGCCCAGGCCTCTGAGTGAACCGTGCGTCCGCTCCTTTGCTGTCACACGACACTGCAAACAAAGGGCACAACAAGAGCGGCTCTCCCGTCTACGAGCTTCTGATGCCAGTGAAGCCAGCACATACGACTCCGCCTGCTGCCTGGCCAGTCCTTTGGAGGAAGAGGATGAGGAGGATGAAGAGCAGCAACAGGAGCATGAGCGGTTAACACAAGGCTCCCCCAGCAGTGAGAAGAGTCTGGACTTGGACTCGGGTTACTCTGAGGCCTCATGGCACGATGAAGGTGTGGTGCTGAGGAGGACGAGAAATGTACGGGTCTCTTCTTCCGCGTGTCTCCGCACAAACAGAGGACCGTCCGGGAGAATCAGACCCAAATCCACCTCGGACGCTTGCCTGGAGCGCTGGACCTCATTTGAGGCAAGTGATCCAGAGGATTGGACCACGTCTCTGCTGAGCCGCAGCAGGAACAGACAGCCACTGGTTCTAGGGGACAATAGCTTTGCAGACCTCATCAAGAACTGGATGGACTTACCTGAGTGTCCAGAGCCGTCAGAACTGAGGCCCAGTGCGGGACGGCGGCTGGCTAAAGACATTTTGGTGAACATGCGGCGCAGACTGGCGGGGATGTCTAAAGGTGTGGAGGTCAAGATGAGGTCCACAGACCCCTCAGGAGTCAGCAGGGCTGCTGAGGCCTCTAAACGGATGTCCTGCCCTGTGGGAGTCCAGACTCTCAAGCCGTTCTTTCATCAGTCCCACACAGGCCTTCACCAACTGGACACAGACTTCTACCAGTTCACCGCTCTGATGAAGACCGGCAGCAGACAGCCAATCATATGCAACGACATCATTGGATACATTTAATGAGACTGTCACAGCAGACTGGGATCTAAACACTTAATATTTTATAAAGATGGTTCTATTTTTGTTACTGGTTTTGGTTAAAATGTTGATAAATCTGTAATAAAAAAGATGTTTGATTTATTGTAAGTGTTGCTTAATATTAAAAAGAACCTAAATAATGCAGCTTTTATTGTAACATTCTTGACTTCGTAATTATCAATGAGGCAGATGAGTTAAACAAATGTGTCTGTGGAGGTCACCACAAACACATTATAAAGGTTGAATTATGATTGTCACAATAACTCAATACGACTCTAAATACCTTTCAGCAAATCCAGAAACAGGCGAAATGGTGAATTTCCGTCACACTACAATGAAGCTATCTGTCTAGCTAATCAACCACATCAGTAATTATGGTTAATCATGGCATTTAGGTTTAATTTGGAAAACAGAATAATTTTTTTTATACATACCTTCTCCTGCACAGTTTGTTTAATTACACATATAAGCTTGGGAGACCAAAACCATTTTGTATCAGATAGTTAACATATTTAATCCTGCTGTTAACATTGGTTTAATTTGGGTCCTAATGAGGTTTCAGCGGTGGAACAGTGGTGTAGTGGTTAGCACCGTCATCTCACAGCAAGAAGGTCCTGGGTTTGAATCTGGGTCAGGGCGTTTCTGTGTGGAGTTTGCGTGTTCTCCCTGGTTTCCTCCCACACTCTAAAAACATGCAGAAGTGGGTTTAGGTTAATTGGTCACTTTCAACTTGCCCGTAGGTGTGATGTGGATGGTTGTTCGTCTCTATATGTCAGCCTTGTGATAAACTGGTGACTTGTCCAGGGTGTCCCAAGATTCTGGATTCTGCCCCAGGGATAAGCGGTGTAAAAAATGGATGGATAGATGGGGTCTCAGCTTTTAGGGGCAGCCCCATAAAAATACACTAAGAATTACAGATGTTTGCATTCAGCATTATCTTAAGAGAATGCGTCTGACGTGAAAACCACTGTTTTTAATTTAAAGTGTAGTTTTGTTTTACATTTTTAATGGGACATCCCTTTATCAAAGGAAATCACGTGGCAAAATGTGAAACGAGAAAAAATGATCAATATCTCATCCCAATAATCTGCAAAATTGGAGCAGTGAACAAAAACTTTCTAACATGATTTTACCTGATCAAAGATTTACAAAACTGTAAGGGAACCAGACTTTGAGTGAATAACACAGAGACATCATGAGGCCAGACTGATTCACATTTATTGATTTTTTGAAATGAATTAAATCACATAGTTTAAAGCATGGTAGCTATATACTATGATAAGCTACCAGGGATGTTTCATGATAACAGGATTGTTTACTAGTTCACCTTTTTATAAACCAACACCATTCCATTTGAAGGCTACAGACAAGAACATACACAAGAAGCCGTTTGAGGTCCATTTCTTTACTAGAACCAGCTCTAATAACAAATAACCCTGCATCATCAAAGCACAATACTTCCCGTGCCAACTTCTTGTTCTGACTTCACCACACCACACCTCCACAACTATGAGCCCAATCTGATCGAAATTAAACCCTAAAAGCAGTCCAGGTTTGACCCAGCAGCTCCTTGGCATCTGGTCCACAAGTTTTTGGCAAACATCTCCACAACCTCTGACCTGAGCCTCCTTCAAAACACGCCTTGCATCTGGTTTAAACCAAAAATAAACAAAAACAATTTCATGTTAAACTTTCTGCTTGTAATAGAGAGGAAATAGCCGGTTAAAACGCTTGATGTTTTGCCATTTAATAAAAAAGAAATAGGAAATTAATGATCATTAATGTTCTTTTAGCTGTATTTCTGGGAGCTTGGCCAGAGGATGAGGACATGTTTACATCTCTGAGCTAAAATCTAAAAGTTTATCACATAAATCAGTGCAAGGTTTGTGCAAACTATAATGAGAGACACAGGACAGACACTTGAATAACTACGTTTGATTTAGCACAACAATACAGCAATTTTCCCTGATTGGATGTCAGAGGAAAGTAAAACTTTCCTTTCACATAAAAACAGCCTCATGTGTTATGAGGATTTTAGTGGAAACTTCATGTTACTGATTTCACGGTAGCAGATATCTGATAGTCAGGTAGTCAGAATCAGAGTCAGAGTCCTCTTCTTCGGCGAACGAGGGGATCAGCTCCAGCATCTTCTTGTGAGGAGGGATTTCTTTCTTGGTCCCCTGCTTCACCAAGTCAGACACACTGAAAATAAGAGATGTTACAGCTGATTAATCTATTTACCAAAACACACAGATTAGCAGTCACAACTTGTTTTAACAAGAATTTGCAGGATCTTTGCTTTTCATTATGTCATCTTGTTTCTCAAGGATATAATTAAAGACAAAATAAATGTTTCTTCCTGCAAAATCACTGTCAACAACTGCTATTTCTTTTGTTATTTTTCACTATTAACTATTCCTATAAAAAGACCAACACCAGAGATAGGGTTAGGGTTCAACCCAACAAGTATTGTCTGTGTATCTGAAGCTTTCCATGGATTATCCTTTTGTTTGTTCCTCTAATATTTTAAGCAACAGCAAAAACAACATCCTGCTTCCAGAAATAGCAACTTGAGCAGCAACTGTATGAATATGCAGCAGAAAATAGTCTACTGCAACTTCATTGTTTACTCCTGTATAGAGGAGAGTGGGTCAGTTGAGCCAAAGGGTAAGTTGAGCCAGCCCCTGTTGCTTGTAAATGGTAAAAGAAATTGATCATGTGACCAAATATTTAGGAGATGGACATCAATTCATGGAGTCTGTGAAGGTTAGAAGCACATGGGTGAAGGAGTTAGACATTTATCTCCCAAAAAACATTTTTCACTCTTGAAAGTGAATTTACTCTGTCATAAGTTTTATTAGAATTGTGTTCAGACCAAAAAAAGATAATTTTATTCATCAATTGTGGTATCTATAAGCTACAACATGAGGTCAAAAACCTAACATAAAAGTCCACCATTTTAGATTAGAGGACTAATAAAGTCATAATAGTAGTTCTGGGGTAAGTTGACCGTAGGAGACCACTTTTTTGGCATGCTGTATTATCAAGACAGTTATGTTTACACTCATTCTGTTGGTTTGCAGGGATGAACAACATCCTGAAATATATGCAGATTCACTAGTTAGAGCCAAAATTATGATTGCCTCAATGTATCTGTGATCTGAAATATGAGAAATGGCTCATCTTAACACACTCTCCCCTATGTGGTTGGTTTGAAAACTATAAAACCCAGCAGAGTCCCAGCACATGTTCCAACAACCAGAGCAGCTGTGATTTATTTTTAAGGATTCCAACTTGAAGGAGGGACAACAGAGACGGCGGAATAATCTTGAGCGCCTGGATGATTTGGGATTTTTTTTAGAAGAGAAATGTTGCAAAAATAAAACAGAAATGTGTTAAACCAGCTGTAAAATCGAAAGCTATTTGATTTAAATGTCATCCTAGCTCCATGTTCCCACTTCACTGATCCAAAACAGGAAGGCTGAGGCAGGACTACAGCACAGGAAGCGACTGTTAGAGCGGGCATTTATCATGTTCAGCCTGCTGTCCTCATGCCCCTGTCCCCCTGTAGCTTAATCTCACCACAACACCAGCTCCCGAGAGACTATAGGGTCAAAAACAGGGGGGGGTATGTACACAGTTTGTTCAGTACAAGCACGACAATCTCAGACTGTGATTAGAGCAATCAGTAGTTAGAATGTATGAGCTACTTTCTTGGTGAATTATTGACTTTAAACTCTCAAGATTCAACCTGATTAACCATGTTTTCTCTCACCTCCTGAAATTAAAACACCCCGCAGGGTTTATATTCTGTTGTGACTCCTCATAAACTGATGGGCAGAGTTCACAGCATGATATATCTGACTCATTTCAAACACCCCGAGGCGTAGAAACTCGGTTTAATGTGCTGTTGCGGCCCTGAACAGGCCTGAACAACGTGGCCTCTCTGAAAACAGAGAGAGAAGTTCATACTAATTTAACTGTTTGACTCCCGTCCACAGCAAACACAGGGACATTTGAGGAGGTGCTGTCTCAATCGTCGGGGTCCGGTGATGCATGTGAGTGTGTCAACAGGCCCTCTCCACACACGGGCTGAGAGGAAACACCTCATCCTGCCATTAGCTTTAAACAAACAAAGGGAGGCTGCACTTTGTGATTGTTTATGTGAGCAAGGTTGCATGCAATGTGTTGCGATGCAGTTTGTGTTCACTCAACATACCTCAGCTCCAGTCTGTCTTCTTGCCCACTGTACAGGATGGCTGTTCCGTAGTAAAGGCTATTCACTGTCAAGCCACTTTGTTCCTGAAAAAAGACAAAAAAATCAAATTTAATATACAGTGACTTGTAAACAACAGGAAAATTGTGTTAAATGCATGCATTGTATGTTTGCTTTAGAGGTAATTTCTGATTTGAGGTGTGCCAGTGACCCGTGGTCTTAAACACATTCAGCAGCTCAGGAAGCCCGTCATTCTCTACAAACAAAGCAGGGGGAACCCAGGCAGTCAAAGGTTAAACAAAATCTGGTGTGAATAAAATGACTTGCCAATTTCTCTCCCATTTTCTCCTTTAGAAAAAAAAAAACACTTGAGCTGAATACAAAGCCAAACTTTTGTTCGGGGCAGGAAGACATTTACAAAAATTTAAATAAAAAACGGGAAGCGAATCATGTGCTCACATGCGCTGCTTCCAGTTGACCTATATTATATTATAATGTACTTAAAAACATGAGATGAGTCAATGGCAAACTTCCTAATTGAGAATCCCATCGTATCGTATCCTATCACGTGTGTCATATCATATCATAGTGCAGTATCATATCATATCATATCATATCATATCATATCATATAGTACTGTATCTTGCTGTATTGCACTGATATGGACTGCTGCTGACTTGTTTTATTCCCTGTCTTTTGGCCATTTTACTTAAGTGTATTTCTAAACTTCTTTTAGTGAGTTTACCCTTGAAAGTGCAAGTCTGTCAGTCAACAAGTCTAGTTTTCATGAAGGTTTGTACATTTGGCAGAGGCAGAAAAGCAAATATTTGACTGTACTGAAGTTACTGTAAGAGAGTAGCTTTTTGAATTGTTTGATATTTTCAAGTAGATTTTGAAATGAGTCATTTCAGTATTACGAAATTATGTTCTTTGGCAAGTATTGCGCTTCACAGCATATTCAGTAGCATTAGCTGCTAAGTAAAGAAAAAAATGAAGAGCAATAGACGGTCTTTTTACCAACAGCTTTACAGCCAGCTGACTGGCTGACCTCTTTGACCTGAGTAGTCAAACTGAAACACTTCAGCTCAAATCACAGAAAGAAAACTGTAAATGTATCCGCAGGTTCAGCCTTCCTACTTTACTAACTCATAAGGAAAACATAGTTTTTTACAAATTAACCGGTGGGACTCTGAGTTGTAGTTATGTGAAGACACCAGTGGGATTTTATCAGTATTTATTCTGTGCAACAAAACGAAAAGAGAAACCACCTTAAATTTATCACAGCCCTGCAGCCTGCCTCCACTCCTCTCCCCCAGGGATCACAATCAGAAAGTGGAGAAGTTAAGACTCAAATATAAAGGAAAAGAAACTAACGAAGAAAAAACCAACAGGAAGAGGGAGGCTGCACCTAAAAATACATTAATTTCACAAAAAAAAGTTCTGTAATCAAACATAAAAACACACAGGTATAATTTTGGTAATTATATTTAAAAAATAACATACATTTAACCCTGTTACATTTGCTGCAACAGTAAGGGAGACAGCAACCTACAACCTGATTTTTAGTCACCATTTAGCCGTCCTACACCCATGGTACTTCAAATACAGAAGGACTGTCTCAGTGCAGTAAAGGAGAAAGATGCTACAAAAACAATAGATAACTTCAACCTAAATTGGTGAAACTCTTATAAATTCACTTCACACATTTCTGGTCTTCTGTTAGTTTTACATTGAACTTTTTTGAGTAGATCCACAGGCTGGTATTTTGACATCTTGAGTCAAATTTCATTTAAGTAACCTTAGTTTCATTTGAGCAGAATATCTTAGCAGTCCTTCAATCCCTGCATATTTGCAAATCAGTTTCATCTCTCTTGGCCTAAAGTTCGATTTGAGAACTGATTCAATCTAATGTCTACCTGCAAAAAATGAAGCAACCACAAGCAGCTGGCTGACTGAACTCAGCACAACAACTTCAGATAGTGAAAAAACACTGTTTAAAAACAACAAATTGTAAAGATGAAGTTGCATCAGTTACCGGGTTGCAAACAGTTACTGCAAAAGTACATAATAGGAGATATGAGTCATTCAGACGATTTCACAAACAACTTCATTTGCCAGCTCTTTTACTCATCTTGAAGCGAAACCGTTTAAATGAGCACTTAGCTGAACTGTTTGTTTGGTTTTTTTGAATTGCAGTGCAAACAAACCAACCATAATTACAGAGGTGAATGAGTATGAATTGTTGAAAAAAAATTCAATCATTGTGCAAAAACTGGATTACAGTCAACAGCAACACCCTGACCTTCCTCCAGGATTTAAGACCAGATTCCCAAAGTTGTGAATGGAAGGTGTAAAGTGGCCAATCATGCAAACAATGGGCATTGTGTGTACTGGAGGGAGGTGAAAAGGTTTAGAGAGAAAAAAAAACATGCATAAATTTTGCACTCAGTGGCACTGGGTGTGAGAAAGTGTGTGCTTCCTTTCTGAGGGAATGAGGGGGGACATACCTTGATATACCGGAGCAGATCTCCCAGGGTCATTTCCTGCTGACCGCCAAGTCTGCCCTCGACCAGGAAGTCATCCCACAGAGTGTATTTCTTTCCTGCGATCTGCGGATAGACACGACACACAAGCCAACACATAAATACACCCACAGAAACGGGCAGTTGATGGATGAAGTACTTCTTGCTGTGAAAATGTCTGGGCCCCATAACAAGAGCCCAGGATACTCACAGACAGAGGGCCTTCATTTTTCATCACTGTGTTATAGAGCAGCTGAGAACAATCGTCAGTCCTCTGAAAGTTGCAGTAAAGACCTCAACAAGTTGCACTGAGGTCAAGAAGCTGCTTCCTCTTACATAAGGGAGAAGATCTCTTGCTTTTCTCAAGTTTTCATCTACTTTAGTGCAGCTGCGACAGCCCAGTGTGGGTAAGACTAAACTACAAGGTTGAAATGTGGCGGACTAATCTATGTGATCAGAAAAACGCTGCTTCAGGCAGTGAAATAACAACCTGGGAATTTTTCCAACACTTCAAGTAGAGACAATCTGGGCAATGGGGTGGTTTTTTTCCCCTCAGTTTGGTGTAGTGTGACCTGAACCAAGACAGTTCCTGGTTCAAATCTCACAGGGTACTTTTCTCTGTTCTGCACATACATGCATGGGTTCAACACGGGTACTCCAGCTTCCTCCCACAGTCCACAGACATGCTCATTAGCTGAACTGGCAACTCCAAATCAGCCAAAGTAAGTGTGTCTGGTTGTCTGTCTCTGAGTATCAAACCTGTGATAGACTGGTGACCTAACCAGGGTGAAACCCACCTTTCTCCTAATGGCAGCCCTGGGGTCAGCTGTAACTACCTCACACAACCCTGAACAGTACAATCAGTAAGGCTAGATTGATTTCTTTTAAACCAAAAGGACACATTTAAAATTCTTAGTTTTGAAAGGTCTTCACATGAGCTTTAGAAAAAACATATATTGACCAAATACTTCTTAAAAAAACACTTTGTACAGTTTGTAACAGTCCTGTATTTTCCAAAATCTGTGGTCAGACTTTAACACCTCACTATCACATAGTCATTTTAAACCTCCAGGCTGCAAAGGACAATGTTCCCATCCATGAACAATAAAGCAGCATCTTTATTTTTTGCACTTCTGCATCCAGTTGCACTGTTTACTATGCCTTTGTAAAGCTGCACTACACTACTGCCTTATGGTCATGTTTATATAGTATAAGGTGTCTATCTATCTATCTATCTATCTATCTATCTATCTATCTATCTATCTATCTATCTATCTATCTATCTATCTATCTATCTATCTATCTATCTATCTATCCATCCATCCATCCATCCATCCATCCATCCATCCATCCATCCATCCATCCATCCATCCATCCATCCATCCATCCATGTCTCAAATTTGCAGGTAAATGCTCTGGCATTGGCTTCCCTGCTTGCACGCAGACTCATACTTTTTAACCGGAAATCAAATTCAGCTCCTTCATTTCTACAATGGTTTAGGGATGTTCTGTCTTTTTTACCTTTAGAGAAACTGAAATAGAAAGTATGAAAAGCCCACAGAAACTTCACCCTTACCTGGTGCCCCTTTATAGAATTTTTAGAAGGTTTTCCTTTTCAATGATCATCTGAAGTTGTATTGGATAGTTAGAACCACTTTATAACATGCTCAAAACAATAATTCTTTGAAGAAGTCACTGTCTGACTATTTTTGTATTTTTCAGTTTAATTAATTTTTTGTTTAAGAGCCTTGGGGGAGGGGGTCTATGTTTGGAAGTTGTATGTGTGTCAATGGAAAACTGTAAAATAAAGAAAAGAAAACATTGTGAAAAAAAGGTGAGTCAAAAAAGTTTTTTGGTGTGTTCGTCTTTCCTCAAAATCACCTATCGGATCTACACTGTTGTTGTCAGAATTACGACACGGTTTTGAGCAAAGCAGACACTTATGGGACTATCACAAAGATTGTCAAAATAATGAATGAATTATACAAAGCGACCATTTTACACCATATGTCATGTATGTATAAACCATTAAATTGTCTGTAAACTGTTTAAGGGGGAAAGGGTGGGACATCCAGATGATTTAATACAACTTTGCAAACTTCAAAGTCTGCCATCTCTGCTATCACTGAACAATTATCACATGAATCTAAACAAATTCACTCTCAACAGGACTCAAAAAAAAAACATGACCCGACCTGATGTGGGTCAGGATTCCTCACATGCAGAAAAAAATGTCAAAATATGTCACACGGTCAGACGGCCCTGCTCGCACAGGCGCTGTCTGCTGAGAAACGCAGTGAAGAACAAAACTTGGCTCGAGATGCGAATACCAAGACTCCAGCTAAACCTGGGTCCAATTATCTCTGCTCCAGCAGCCAAGGGGAACTTTTCAACTGGTGCTCAAAACTCCCACCACTCACAGAGTTTGGGGTTATGAAGACACACTGGAGGCAACCTTCTCCTCCCGCCTGACGGGAGTCTTGGTGCTCTGTCTGGTTTTGGGTCAAGAGACAGTTTGTCTGCAAAATGCAAATCTTACCGCTGATCGCTGGAAGTGAATTATCAGTGCTGAAAACTAAGCCTTAAATGTTCACACAATGACAAAGCATATTCTCAATAACCTTGTAAATGTATTGTTTCTTGTGAAATAACTTTTGTCGTTGAGTGTTTCCATGCTATAACTTCCCCTGAGTGCTTTTGTGTTTAGATGCCTATTTTACACAATGCATAGCCAACACATGGGCTATTTTTACTCCCTTCCCCTCCCTTCCTCTCTCTCATATCTGTCGCACAGCTCAAGTAGGAACCTGATGCAGATCGACTATCCAATCAGTCTGTGTGTAGAGTGACGTCAGCTTTTCAACACTATACAACACTATAGCAGGAGGGGGGGTTAAAGCAGGAACGGTGGAACCAAAGTGTCTGCTGGAAACAATTACTAAATGTTCCCACAAGCACAACTACAGTATCGGTTTTGTTGTGGCACAATTAAAGGCACTTAAATGGCTGATAAAACAGTTTTATCTTTGGAAGGAGATGAAATATGAAGCAGAGACTTATTGTTTGAGAAAGATTACAAGAAAAATCATTTTTTATGGTATGGAAGCATATTGCATTAACTTACAGAAAGAGATGATTCTATCTATCTGACTTAAAGAATGGAGTGTCTCTCAGTGTCTCAAACCCAAAAGAAAGTAAAACTTGATTAAACTAACATGTTTGCTTCCAATAAATCGAGCAGAGGAGGATGAAAGCATCTGTTTTTGAATGATCATGACCCAGAGAATAGGAAAAACAATAAGTCTGTCAAACAAAACAAACAAAAAAGACAGTCTAAAAAACAGAAAAGAAAAAAATATTTAAAAAAAAAAACAGAAAAGAAAAAAATATTAAAAAAAAAACAGAAAAGAAAAAAAGGTCAGAAAAACAGAAAAGAAAAGAAAAAAAATAGTCTGAAAAACACAAAAGACAAAAAAAATAAAAATAAAAAAAATCTGAAAAATAGAAAAAAAAATCAGTCCGCAGAACAGAACATAAAGAAAGAAATGACCCTGAAAAACAGAGCTTTTTGTTGTTGTTTTTTGGGTGCAATACCCTTCTGTCCTCTGGCATATATAAAATAAACAAGCTTTGGTTTTACCACTTTTGAGTTACGTAAGATGGGGAGCTGTCATACTGAATATAAGAATGGGTCATGATGTTGGAACATTTGAATGTATTTTATCACCAATAAAACAAATAGTTAATGTGAATATTTTCTTTACTCTTTTATTTTTTCAACTTAAACCAGTGCCTTGGTGTGATTGGGAACAGGCACAAGACAGTGGCTTGTAAATTCAAAAATCAGTCAATTCAAGATATCTGTAGAGGAGTGACGCACTCTGGTCTAAGTCCCTGTGCTCTACGCCAACACTTATGGTACTGCTCTGCACCAATCAAAGTGCTTGGTTTGAACTAGCTGTATTAACTTCAATGTCACATAAGTAGGCGGTATCAAATTTGGGTCAGGCTATCTTTGGGTTAGAAGGTAGAATTCCTGTCTGCTGGGGTCACCTGTTATGTTGACGACAAATCCCTGCCAGATGGTACTTTGAGGCCAATCACAGCTGCACAAAATCAGGGCTGCACTAGCAGAGATGTAATGCTGCGGCTTTTTTAGTGGGCTCATGGAAAATACATTAAAAGTAAGTAACTACACGTCTGGAAGTAGACATAAAAAATGAGCCATGGAGTGATAAAGAAACATAAGAGTCCCCCACTTGGCAGTTAGTAAAATCTCATGAAAGCCTCAATTACTCTTATTATATTACTACATGTGTGCTGTGTTCAAGTAGTCATATCTCACTGGAATCTGCAGATCCAAAGGTCTGTTTGGACATAAAGCAGATCTGGCAGTCAGGATTCTGGGTGGTTCAGCTCTTAACTTCAGAGGACGAGGGTGAAACAAACGACCACTCCACGGCTCGATCAGGACAAAGCCACAGCAGCGGACATGTAAGTTTAAACTGTGCCGTGATGTTGGAGGACGGCCAAATTTCTAATCTGCTCCACAAACTCAGTTCTGTTTTTTTTCAGCTTCCCTCCAAAACATGACACAGCTGGTCTTTACAAAAACAATAAAAGGACACTGGTATTAACTGGTTCTCATTTCTCTACATTAGTCATAGTTTCACTGATGCAGCACACCACTTTATACATAAACAACCCTTTCCATTTTGCATTCACATCATCTTTTCATGAAATATGACAGAAATAACTTCAACAATTAAGTGTTGAGCAGTTTCCCCTTGTAGTTTTCTCACAGTCCTGTCCTGATATATAACTCCACATTAGTGCTTAGTACTAGTGCTAAGAATAACCACCAGCTTGCATCGTCACACCCTTCAGTGGCCTATTAAAAATGTGCTTCCCTAACATCTTAATAGAGCAGTCCAAACATCAAGCTGCTTCCCTTTGTTTACAGGAAACCTGGTGAGCTCTTCCTGAAAACACGAGATCTGGACCGAAACAGCTTCCAGGAAAACATCATAATTAATATCATCTTAAAAAAGCGCCACATATCAATCATTTCAGATACAGGTTAAGAGGAGGAGGTCAGACAGGGTTTAAGTTAGGGTGACCGTATTCTGAATCCCCAAAAAGATGACACTACTACACAGGGCGGAGTCACGCATAGTAAATTTTGAGAGTTTTTCAGGTCGAGTGTTTTTTATGCACTTCTAACTCAGTTAGTCTATGCTACACAAACTCAAAATTTCCATACAAAACCCCAGACATTTGAAGGATTTTATAAACTCTGGACAGGCCAGTCAGCCCCCTCAAAAAAGAGAGAACAAATGGCTGAAATGCTTCCGTCAATCAAGTCAGCAGCACCCTGAATTGTACAGGTATAATTCTTTAACCTTAATATCAGTTTGACAGATGAATTAAGGAAAATTCAACCCAGTACAGCGAATGCAAATTAAAAGGTGAGGATGTGATAACAAGTCCTGGGCTGTTGGAGCAAGCCTCAAGTGGACACCTGAGGAAGTGCAATTTATTTCACTTCCACATTGGCTTAATTTTGAGCACTGGATGTTGCTGCGCTGACGCTGACCTAAAGTAGGTCAGTGTCACTGACACTGTCACTAAAGTAGTAGTAGTAGTAGTAGGGCCATGATGATGAGGTGCTGCTTTGGCTGAGCAGTTGGATCGTACACCCTTTCAACGTAGGCTACAGCCTTATAAGTAGGCAGCCTGGGTTCACAAACAACTAGGGTAATACCAAGGACTTTGGGCCCCACAATTTAAAAACTATTTAACATTTAAAGGGTCAAATACACCATAACACCGCTTGCTTCTCTAGTCATACCAACTTAAGTAACGACCGCATGAAAGCAATTCACAGCGGTCTACGTCTCCACACCCAAACCTAAACCAAAACGCCACTCTATAGCCACAAATAATGCTCAGAACAGCACCTAACTTCATCAACAGTACATATAGGTTCCTAGCCATAGTACTAGCCACCAAACATCTTTTTAGCTTTGCCTGATCTAAACATAACTCACCTACTCTCTTCCAGCAGCCATTTGTTTGGATTGAGACTTCGGACGAGTCCATTAAAGACTGTAGCTCAAGGAAGAACATTTATTAGCGTTCTCTCTGTTGACATTCTCATCTTTTGAGAGGGTGTCTAACTCGGTGTTATGGTGTGTTTGACCCTAACTTAATTTTACGCCGGAATATCCCTTTAACGCTAATGTTACACTATGGTTTGGAGCCTGTCAGTTATGGGAAATCATCCCAAACCCAATCACCCCATCCCCACTTCTCTTGACAGTTTTCTCCTCCATACATTGTCCCATCCTCTGCATAAAGGCATCGAAAAGGAACTTCCTTCAACCATTAGTGTGGACAATTTTCTAACTTTTACAGAATTACATGATTGAAGGTAAGAAGAACTTAGAATATCTAGATTTTTTTTCATTGAGTCACAAAGGATTCGGAGGATTACTGACATAAAGAAAACTCATCAAAGTCAGGACTCAGAAGTAAAAACTCAGCAAAGAGCAGAAGGAAAAATATATCATTTATCCCTTGGGCGTTGGCTGCCAAATTCTGATACTTTCGATCACATTCAAGATCCAGCTCTAAGTACAGATGTTAGCGTTCTGATCGCTGTGCTCTGGATCCCGGAGAAGTAAGAGGCTCTACAGAGTGGTAGGCTCCACAGGACTTGAAACACAATAAAGTCTCTTGTGATAACAAGTGGTAGTGATTGATGGACCCAAAAATAGACGCCTGCGACTGCAGATATACTTGAGGACGTGGGAATGTAGTTCAACTGGAGGAAGTTCAGCCAAATGAACCTGATAAGGTGCAAGTATGAATAGAAGTCAGATTGTGACCCCCTTCAGGAACACGAGCATGCTGGTCATGTTGCACAGGTCACTGCATGCCAAGTTTAACCATGATTTAAGTTTTCAATCTTGCCCTTTGGGACAATCACGTATTTTTGGAGCCAGGAAGCTGAGATCAATCGGCAAAGCTTGATAAGTCTGCCACAAGAAACGGCACAGCCGAGGCACACTCCAGCCTCAGCATCAATTTCTGGCCAGACTCCCAACAGTGGAAACATTTTTACAACCCAGTGTGGCTGGAGGCCTGATTCTTCAAAGGCAACACTTTTCCTTCAGAGGGCTTCAAAGAGAGCTTTACAGGAGGCAGATGGGGGAACTGTGCGGTCTTTTAAGAGTATATTTTTATCTTAATCTCTTTAGGCTGTCTTTACTTTGACTCTGTGGAAAATCTGCTTACTTTTCCAACATGTCCTTGAGATTCAAACTTTATGGCAATACTAGATGAATGTGCCGTGTTTATAGAGCATTGTCTCTTTTTTCAGCACTTAAACTACTAAAAATGATCCCAATATTAGAATTTTATGGTCATTCAAAAATAACACAACTCTAGACATCACATTTGAATGCTGCAATACTTTTTTTCTAAGATTGCTCTGCATATTTTCCAGGAATAAATGATCCTTTTAACTTAATATACCATCTGTCAAGCAATACTTTCTTGCAATGCAGCATACAGTGCTCAGCATAAATGAATACACCCCTTCAGAGTTGTCAGAAAACCTTTAGTTTCCTTTCAAAATCAACATTTTCTATGCCAGACTACGCAACAAAATACTCCCCCATATGTAGGCCATTGATTGCAAACAAGATTTTTTAAGTTGCATACAAAAAAGTATGTTTTTCAATTTAAAATCAGGATGCAAAAATATGTACACACCAATCGACGTTCTTGAAGCAAAGCTAAATTTTGGTGACCAGATCACCCTTATTTTCATCTTATGGTAAATAAAATAATAAGTTAAACTAAGCTTTGTCCAAACTTTGGAAATTGTACTTTTGCTCATCTAGATATTGGCTAATACATTACTTTTAACAGGGGGTGTACTGACTTATCTTGGGCACTGTATACTTTTTCCCCCTTTTCACCTAAATGCATGGTGTCTGTTAGTGTGGAAATCTAATTCTTGTTCATTTAAAGGTAAAGCTGCTTGTTTGAATTTTGTTTAATAATGACACCAGAAGCTTTCTTTTCTATCATTTTCTATCCTAGATAGTTTTGGACAGTTGTATTCACAAAGGCATTACATAAAAGTATTGCATAACAAAGGCTACACCCTCCTTTAAAACTGAATCCAGGAAGTTTCAGAACATTGTTGGAAACATAAGAGGACAATCAATTCCCGCTTCACTCATCTGGTATTAAAGTGCTTTCCTTTACAGCACATAGCCAAGGTTGATGGCACTGATGCTGCCAATAACATCACATTGAAATGTTTGCTTTTTGATGGGTGACACTGCAACATTAGGGCGTCAATTCTGTGATTATTACTTATCTACACAATGAGAAGTTGGACCTGCCAGTTTGATCAATGATTGGGATTTGTTGGCTGAATTTTGATGCAGTATAACAGAAATGCCTCCTCTGCTGTCCCGCATCAATCTCAGTACTTTACTCCAAAAGCTTCCTCTTGTGACTGTAAATGTGTCATCGTGGTGCAATCATGACTAAGTCATGCAGACAGGTTAAGGGAACATCATCTTTGACTGAGATCTGATGGAGCTAACCTTAAGAGCCATAAAACTACAGTTTGTCTGCAGGGACGTGTTTGCTTGTGTTTTCCTGAATAGTCTTTTTTTTTTTTAAACAAAAGGACAATAGCACTGTGATGTAAAGTGTGCCTTTTGTCTGAGCGGGAGTGTCATCTGCTACCTGATCACTATTGATCATCACTCTCTTTGGACCACAGCAGAGAAACAGATGGCTCGGACCTCCAACTGCTAATGTCAATAACTTCCTTACAATCCAGATAATTGCCATTATACCCGCCTTACATTCAGCCCAAAGACACAAAAAATAAAATATGTGTTAAAGATTCCTTATATTTCAAATTGCATGTTTTGACGGATTGCTTCTGGTTAAGTGGTGCAGCGTGGGGGGAGGAGACTAAGGTGCAGCTCAGCAGCCTGTAGACACTTCTCAGCAGAGTGCCGAGTTTGACACACAGACTAAAAGCAGGCTGTTCCTTTTGAAAGACTTCCATTGACGTGTAAAACAGCAAACACAGCCTCAATGTGATTGTCTTTAAAATAAGAAGATAACGGCACTTCACCTGACTGAAAATGACCCAGGGCGGGAGGGAGGACCGAGTCAATAAAATGCTCCTCTTACAAATGGGACACTGACATGCTGGAGCCTGCGCAGACACCCACACAGCAGAGGTGCAGTTACAACAATCACTTATAAAAGAAACGCTTTGAAGGCATTCATATAAAAATGGGTCTCTGCGAGAGAGGATTAATGCTACAGGAAGAGAATAAAATAATTACAGGAGAAAGGTTTTTTTAAATTCCATTTTTAAATTTATGTCAAAATTTCAAGATTAAAGTTGAAATTTTAAAAAGTCAAAATGAAAAAATTGAAATTTTGACATTGAAGTTGAAATTTCCAGATTACAAATAATCAAAATTACATGAATAAACTCAAAATTTCGACTTTAATCTTGAAATTTTAATTTTTAATCTAAAAATTCCGACTTCATTGATATAATTTTGATTTCTTTAATCTCTAAATTTTGACTTGAATCTCTCCTTCCTGTAATTAATTTTTATCTCTTTATGTGGTCCTAATCCTCTTTCATGGGTCTCTGTGCCATTTTTTTCTAAATCTAAGCATTTTTTCTGTCTGTAATTCACTGGTTCTCTTTCTGTGCCAGGTTCCTGAATATCTGAAAACTCAAAAAAGGTCTTTACGATCTTGTATTAAGTGCACTTTCATGTCTTCAGTTAGAATACTTCCTGTGTAAAACAACAGAAAACATATAATTCTTGTGCAGTTTTCAATCTTACTGCTGCAATGGCTCACACTGTTCATTCCTGTCTACAGTGCAGAACTCGGACACAGCCTTAGTCCCTGCAAATTTGTCAGCCATCACTCAGTTAAAAAAAACATCCAGCACTGAGCATAAAACATGTTGAGTGTTGTTCCATCCAACATTGTAGTATTGATTAAATGATTAAATAACCAAAGGTCGTGCTCTTTAGTTATTTGTATCGTAATGCTGTGTATCGATCATTGGAGCAATTTATTGACATCTGCGGATCAATGTGATGTCCTAACCTTGTCAGCTGTTCACAATCTTTAAGCTTATCTGGCGTCAGACACAGACACAGCAGACATGCATTTATTTTCTCAATAACAAAACTGCAGTTACCATGATCCAGCAGAAGATATGCTCCTTATTTAAAGGCATGTTATCACTTAATGAACTGTTCAACTTCATTATCAGCCACTTAGCTCCTAACTGAAATATCACTGATGGATGGCGTGGACGTTCATACTCAGTGTGACTTGTGATCCGTTTGTTCCTTAATGATAAACGCTGACTTGGATTTCAGCTGTGGATCTTAACATGACTAAGCAGCCACCCAGCCTTGCCAAACAGGGTGCCAGTTCCTGTCCAAACTATTACAAAGAAAATGAAGACAAAACTATTATTCGTTTAAGGATAAAAGACGAGATTGACACCCATCAGGAGTTTTTATTAACCCTACAGTTTCTGCCTGTGAATAAACACAAACTCTTCTTTTTTATGATTCCCTATAAAGACCAGTTAAAGGTTATTTTGAGTCTGTTTCCAATCACATAAACCAGGACATGTGTATGTTGTTACCCAGTACATCATGTGCACAGCATACATGATTAGCCAGAACAGTTGACAGTCACAGCGAGCAGACAGACTGTCCTGCTGCGTCTCTCAGAGCAGAGGACACAATTCACACCACCTGTGACATTCTCATCGTATACAGAGTACCAAGCATGCAGGTTTTGTGTTAAAGTATGAGGTAACAGCTTCTATGTGAAAAGAGAAAAATGAATGACGGAGTGACTCAAGAATTCAGAGTTAATGGCTTCATTTGTGAACCCATAACATCAGGACCAGACTAGAAAATTACATCTAATGTCCATAATGAGGAACCTGTAGACCTTCTCCTGCCAGCATGGGACGATAATGAGAGAATAATGAAGCAGGAAGGTGGAGACCTGTAATAACTCCCATATACTGAGAGGAGATCCAAGAGACCTGAAGAAAAACAAGGAAAAACCTGGGACTAAGGAGAGGACAGAGAAGACTACACTGCTGTCATATGATGGTAATGTTTCATAATTTCATAAAGCCCCATCAGGTCAGAATAACCTGCCTCTTTCTTTACATTCTATTACTTTTTCTTATTGCTTTAAAAAGTCACTATACTCCCATCTCAAAACAAATTGCTCATGTTTCTGATTTTTTTTCTTTACTTTTTTTTTTTGCATTTTTGTTCACATTATTTATCCTTGTTAATATGTTTTGTATGTTGGTTGGGGTTGGGGGGACTAGGGTGAGAAAGATGTCTGTATTTGTTATATGTTATGTAAGGTGTCATTACGTCCTCTTTTACCCGGACATGTTCTCGTTTTGGAGAGGCTGTCTGGGTTTGTACGTCTTTGTTCGGGAAAGTTTATGAAGTCCTTCAAATGTCTGCGGTTTTGTACGTAAGTTTCAATTTTGTGTCACATGGACTTACTGAGTTAAAAGCGCGTAAAAGACACTTGATCCAACCCGAAAAACTCTTTAAAAAATAACTTCATGTGACTCTGTGACTCCGCCTCTGCGTAGTCGTGTCCTCTTTTTAGGAAGTCAGAATATGGTCAGCCTAATGTTATGTATGTTTATGTATTGTAATGTGTCCTGAGTTCTATGTATATGTTTGTTTAGGGACCCCCTTGAAAATGAGATACAACATCTCAAAAGGCCATCCTTTAATAAATTCAAATTCAGATTCAGAGATGACTCTTGTAAATGGTTACATAAGGATAATCATTTCTAGGTTTATTAGCTCTAAAACAAACACTTCTGACTGAATTACTTCCCACGATCTCTGAGTTCAACTTTTCATATGAGCATTTACTGCCATTTTCTTAGGTCTGACGTCAATAATAAGCAATCGCACTGACATTTATTATCATTGATGACACAAATGAGAAGTTAAGGATCTCAGAGGAACTAAATAACAGCAGTGATGGAACAATGCGATGAAAAACAACAGACAACATCTGAAACAGAAGGTCAACCAACCTACACGACAACATCACCGACAAAAAAAACCTGGAAAACAACAGAAGGCACAAGGCGTCTGTGTTGATCACAGATTACTCATTATCCCATGAGCACTATTCATGTCTGGGGCTTGAGTTACAAACCGAACAATGCAGCTCCATGCCAGAGCTCCCAGAGGAGCTCAGAGGGCTGAGGATCATGTTTAACCCTTTTTTTCTTTACCGGCACAGTCTGAGGAGGCAGATTGAACCACATGTGAGGTAAATCTCCCCTTTTGTTGTCTTATTTCTCTTCTTAAGCAAGTCCCTGCTTTTTGTATGACAGGCCTTTAATTAGAGAAAAGCACCTCACAAATGAAGGAACGGCAAGTTTTAGTTAAATTCTTAAATATCAGACGCCCCTCCTGGATTGAAGTAGAAATTATTATTTGCTTCATGATTTTCTGATAGACATTAACATGCAAAAATAATCAAGACAGCTTGTTCTGCTCACCAAATTGTGAATGGCAGATATTAAAAACAGACAGTGCAACGAATGGACACAAAATCCCCTCTCTCCTCCACCAAGATCACGTAGCTCTCGCTGGGAAATCTGGTTTCAATACACAGTTTCCTGTGAAGGCAGGAAATAGCCGTCATTTCTGCAGGCAATTAACAAAGAAGCAGTGTGAGCATCGACCTTGGAGTGGCTTTCCACAAATCAGGAGCCCGCTAATTCAATTAGAGACCAAAAGGGCATGCTGGGGAACAGGGGCACCGAGGGAGCGTGAAAGGGCACGCAGTTAGGACCGGGGTGTGGAGGATGTGTGCAAAGACACGGAAGAGGGAGTAGCTGTGTGGCACACAGACAGCAAGCTGCCTAACAGACAAGTAAAGACAGCATAGAGTGGTACAGAGAGAGTCAGGCAGGCTGCTGGAGGGGGTGAAGATGGAGCTATTAAAAAACCCAGCTGCAACATGTCCTCTCTCTGTTGTGGCCTCAAGGATCCTCTCTGAGTATGACTGAGGCTGCAGCTTAAATGCAGCTGCAGAAGCAGGACATTCATTAATCTTTACAGCCCTTGAAATATCCTTTAATGTCTCCTGAGGTTATCTTTTCTACTTTAACAAGGCCTGCTCTATCTGCACTGTCTGTGACTTAAGATGATGTTAGTCCTACTTTCTCCATAACTAGTAAAGAGGGTGTGTGTGAAGCATAGACTGTAAAATCTTAAGAAGTCTGATTTGGTTTCAGGGAGTCGCAGTCAGGGTTCCTACATAGATGGAATTTCCATACTTTTTCATACCGAACTTTTTAGAATTATTTTTTTCTGGAATTACCTACTTTTCTATTTTAGAAACAATATATTAGAACTATGGTTATAGTCTGTAAACATAAACATTTTTACATACTTTATCTTTCATTTTCGATACTTTTTAAAGGGATATTCTGGTGTAAAAATAAGTTAAGGTCAAACACACTGTAACATCGAGTTAGACACCCCCTTGAGAGATGAATGTTATGTTGTTAATTATAACTTTATCATTTTCTTGAAGTAATAATCGTCATAATAATCATTTTGGACTGCAGACGCAGTAGTTCTTCTACCTTAGTGTCTCGGTTTGATTACTTTTCAATGAAGAAATGATCATAAATGTTCTTCCTTGAGCTGCGAAACTCCGCTGCACTCGGTGATCGACTCACCCAAGGTCTTTGTACAAATAAGCGGCTGCTGGAAGAGAGTGGGTGAGTTGTGTTTAGTCTCTTTGCTTAAGAAATTAGGCAAAGTTTAAAAGATTTTTGGTGGCTAGTGCTATGGCTGGGACCCTATATGTACTGTTGATGAAGTTAGGTGCTGTTCTGAGCATTATTTGTGGCTATAGAGTGGCTTTTTGGTTGATGTGTGCGCGTGGAGACGTAGACCGCTGTGTATTGCTATCGTGGTTGTTACAAAAGTTGGTATAACAAGAGAAGCAAGCAGTCTGCAACATTCATCTCTCGAGCAGTGTTGTTTTTGGCAGGCATTTTAGATTTAGTTTTAGTCTTAGTCATTTTGACGAAATGCTTCTTCGTTTTAGTCCCATTTTAGTAATTTCTATCCTTGATAGTTTTCGTCTAGTTTTAGTCCGACGAAAACTCAAAAGGTTTTAGTCTAGTTTTAGTCGACAAAAAGGTGCCTTTTAAGGTTCGTGGTGTTCTGTCCCGACAGTTTGAAGCCGCAGCATGAGGAAGCTGTGGCTCCACAACTGTCGTCTGTCTCGTCTCCCCGTCCCCGTACAAGACATTGTGTTTCATTGTCACTTGGACTGTATCTGAAGTAGGACCAAAAATCATCCCTCTTTTTTCAGCCACCGGGTACCGCTGCTGTGCCTCCCGCCACGGTGTGTGTGGGTGCGCGCCTCGTCCACCTGCCGCTCTGTGTATGTGTATGAGTATGTGCGTGCAGCTGTGCGCGAGCGAGGCGTTTGGTGCGTGTGTGATGGGGGCGTGACTGTTAGGACAAAAAAAAGCATGTTTTGAAACTTTGTTCGTCCACCTAATAACAATTTAGTCTCGTCTCGTTCTCATCTGACGAAAATGAATACAATTTTCGTCACATTTTAGTCTTTACAGAGCTTTGGTGACGTTCGTCTTAGTCTCATTTTCGTCAAGGCCTGACGAAAACAACACTGCTCTCGAGGGAGACTTGATGTTACAGTGTGTTTGACCCTAACTTATTTTTACGCCAGAATATCACTTTAAGACCTGGAACTTGATCAATTACTGTCCATACTTTGGTTGGAACCCTGAACAGTTTTGGAAAATTTTTCTAGCTAACAAGTTTGCTGCTCAGTTGTGAGAGATATTCGTCTTTCTCTCTTTTGGTCACTTAGTGGGAGTAGAACAATCGACACTTGACATCACCACCTGGTAAAGTTGGTTGTCTGATTTATTTAAAGATAAGCGTACTTTCTGAGTGTCATTGGATTGTTGTTTATACATCAAGCTACAAGTGAACTCAAAGTCTACATGTGACAATGTGCAAGCATCAGCGGATACTTCTTTTTTTTTAAACATCTGAACTATGACAAGCAACTTTTCATGATGGGTACAGATTTTCAAACATGTCTTTAACCTGTTTCAGATGTACATATCTCTGAACTCGCTCCTCCTGTTATGGTCTGTGCCTCTGCTCTAAAACCGCAGAACAATAACACAAGAACCGTAGTGTTGAGCAGACAAGGCCAGCCCTCTGTTTACATATTTCTGCCTCCATACAGAGAATAGCAACAGCAGGGGGGAAAGCCAGGGGGACTTCCTATTTTGGGAAACAGCTGCTTTAAAGCAACAATTTCTGGAAAAGGATGAATATTAAGAGAGGGAGCAGTAAATGACAGTCGTTTGAGAGATAGTGGGTAGAGTGCTACACAGCCATGTCTTTAGAAACTCTAAACAACTTTGTCTTATCATCTGAGGATCACAAATCCAGAGCTGTGATAACACCGATTTACATTCCTGTCCCTAATCTGATTGGGCAGAGAAACACGAACTTTAACAAGCATCACTTTAGACACTGGAGAAAGCTTTCAGTGCAACCAGTGAGATTTGAGTGTTGTTACTTGATATTAATGAACTGAGACTGATCTCATGAAGGGAGGCATTGCAAAAGTAAGCTGAGCTCCTAATACTGCATGTCTGATCAGTGATATTTAACAGCTGCACGTCTGCATTCGCTTCAAAAGCCGTGTAATAAAACCGTCTTTAATGTTGGACAGATTAGGAAGATAAGAGAGAATTAACAGGTCTGCTGTTTTTATATCTGCTGTTTCAAAATCACAGGCTTTAACATCCACATATTTAAGAAAGAAGAGAAGTTGTGGTCTTTTACTGAGAGCAGGAGAGCTATCAAGAACAATAAATGATGCTAGAGGAGATTGTTTTTTTTTTTTAATTAAATGCAGAACATTAACACTTTCTGTTTCCAGGAAAAAGGATTAGGGCCACAAGAAGAGAAAAAAAAATTAAAGGAGGGAGATTTTTTTTAAATTTCCATTTCGGGATTCAAGTCGAAATTTAAAAAGTCTAAATGGAAAAAATCAAAATTTTCACATTAAAGTCGAAATTTCAAGATAAAAAAACTTCAAAATTACATGAATACAACGGACATGTCAACTTTAATCTCAAAATTTAAAATTTTTAAACCTCGAAACACCGACATTGTTTACGACATTTCAACATTTTGTAATCTCGAAATTTTGACTTTAATCTCGAAATTTCAATCTTTCATTTCGAAATTTCGACTTTATTGACATTATTTGGATTTTTTAATGTCAAAGTTTCATCTTTAATCTCAAAATTTTGACCTGAATCTTGTAATTTCGATATTAATCTCTTCCTGCACTTATCTTTTTCACTCTTCATGTGGCCCTAATCGTCTTCCGTATTACTTGAATACAGACATATAGTTGAAAATTCTCCAATCTGCCTGATCTTATGCTATTTTATCCTTAGTTCTGGCTTGTCTTTTTGAATGGCCATCCCGAATGATTTATACTGACTATATTTTCACAAAAAAGGAGAAAAAAAACTTTAAAAAATCACATCTCACAACAACAATGAAGATTTGGCTGCAAACCATCTCTATCTCACCTCTCCTATGAGTATGAGTGTTATAGCACACATGTTCAGTGTTACTGGTGCTCACTGGTATTCAGTTTTCCAGGATTTTGTCCCTAACCCTTAAATTCCTGACCCTGAACCTCAGAGCCTTTTCCATGGGTTGTGTGATATCTCTGCTCTTGAGCTGATCTTAAAAGCTGATACTCCACAACTTCATGTCCTGCTGGAAAAGCCAGGGTCTGGAAAAGATTGCATCAACCCATCTCCATCTGACTTTAATCATTCAAAACTTTAATAATATTCACCCTCTGGCTTGGATGACGTTACACACTTCATCCTACGTCTTCTGCTGCTGTGGTAAATTTTGTGTTACAGCCAGAGACATTTAGAGGACAGATGAAAAGACAAACAGCGAATGTACACACTTTCACTGAGATCGTAGGCAACAACTGTGGGAACATCGCAGTCTTTGTGTTTAAGGATGAGGGCATGCGAGGAACTCCAGATCTGCGCAGAAACTCACAGCTGCCTCTGTCATCACAGCAGCCTTAAATGCAGCTGCAGCATTTCTGTAACCAAAGCTGAAACCAGGCCTACACTGTCTCACCGCTCCCTGTCAGAGCACCCTCACGTCCCAGAGGACACAGTTACCCCACTTGACGACCTCTAGTGACCCCTGTCTGTCAGGGGCTCGATGCTCTGAGGGAGAACGCTGGTGAGGGCAGCTCTAATATCAGAGAGACGCTGAGTACTCTGGCGTTAAAGGAGACAGTCAAATTTCCACTGTGTATCCTCACAACTTTGACCTAAAATGTGACCCGCAGCGCTGCTTTGCTTTCCAGTCTGGCTCGTAGCCACTTTGTGTTTTTGTTTTTAAGCTTGGCTGATACAGCATAAAGAACTCAGTATGACCCCACAAACCCAGTAACCTCAAACGTTTGACTGGACCTGATCCTTAAAGGAGTCTGTCTTAAGAGAATAAGCTCCTGTCCTTTTTTTTTCTTTAAATTACAGTCTCTTTGAGTTCACTTTACTTGTGCAAACACAGAGGCAGACGTGGGTGTGTTTGTGCTCTACCTGCAGTGAAGGGCCCGGAGGATTACACTGAGCTATGGCTAAAGACTGGGCTTATATACTTGAGATTGACAGTTAGCAATGGTCTCTAACCCTGAGAGCACTCATTCATGACTTAATGCTCTCCAGCCAAAGAGGAAGGACATTCATTTCCATAGAAACATACAGATTTACCCCCAAAGTAGACAGACTCTAATAATAAATGTATATACAGTAAGAGTCTGTCGGGCTGTATAAAGAGCATCACTCAGGTCCTGAATGTGGGTGTGGGTGCACAAAGCTGTTACTCACTTGGAAGCGTCGGGGTGGGCTCGGCTGGGACATCACGAAGTACTCAACAGCCAGGGTGAAGTAAGCTGTGCGGTAAGAACTGATCTTCTGGTGACCCTGCACCAGTTTGTACAACTCCAGGCACATCAGGCCCGCCACTGCGGCTGTAGTGGTAGCTATGGCCGGGATGATCCTTCCAGCGATGAGCTTACTCTGTAGAGAAGACGGAGGAGAGTTCACTCAGTTCATGTTAAAAAAACATACAGCAAGTTGTTTACATCCACATTAAGACTCAAGATGTCCTGACCTGAAATAATATCCTGGTAACACTTTGCTTGATGCCTATCTCTATAATGCATTATAAATATATGTATAATGCATAATAATCATTATAATCACGTTATAGCACTGTTTAACTATAGTTATAAACACTCATAAATGATCATAATGTTTTATAGTAATAATCATAACACTTTATAAAGCATTTTATCATGACTTACAAGGTCAGGTATGATAATGTGTTATGCTCATTTTGAAAAAGCCTTATGATAATTATTGAGTGTTTATAATGATAGTTATACAAGTTTATAAGCAAGTTATAACATATAAATATATGTGTAATGCATTATCTATGTGGGCATTGTCAATGAGATGATAACAGTTATAACACATTGTAATACCTGAACTTGTAAGTCATGATAAAATGCTTTATAATGTATTATGATTATTACTATAAAACATTATGATCATTTATGAGTGTTTATAACTATAGTTATACAATGCTATAACGTGATTGTAACACATTATACATATATTTATAATGCGATGTAGAGATAGGTGTCAAGTAAAGTGTTACCAATACCCTTAAGGGGTTTGTGGTTCCCTTAAAGCTTTAGTGAGCAGCTGTCAGCTGGTTATAAAATTGGGTCAAATTCATTATTAATTATTTTGTTATGTTGGAAATACTGAGCCTTTAAAACGCTTATTTTCTATGACAACAAGAGCAGCAAGTTCATTTGAATTCTGATGTTTTACATATGAAAAGTATGAAGGTCTAACATTACAAAGCATATCTGACGAATTAGGGCTGTCCCGATATCGACATCGGATTTTGGTCCAATATCAGTAAAAAATTGAATATTGGATTATATCGGCCTAAATTTTAAATCTCCGCTATCAGCACTCTGATACAAGTAGTCCATTTCAGACTCCACTCCGACACCTCTATCTAGCAGCACCCAGATTGTGCATGCAGAGCCCACGTGATCACAACAACAGTGTGTACTGAGGTACTAACAAAGTAGCAAGGAGTAGGGGTGATGTCGACCTTGTGGCAGTATTTTTTGTTTGAGTCCGAAAAGACATTGCAGCTGAGTGAAAAACTTGTCATGCACAATTTTGTGCCAATATCAGATCAACATCGGTATCAGTCAATATTGAAGGCTACAATATTGGTATCGTATCGGAAGCAAAAGAATTGTATCGAGACACCCCTATGACAAATCCTTTATTATCGTACTGGCACTGATAACTCATTAAGCCTTTATGCATTTTGAAGTAAAGACCTGATAGACTAACTCACTGGTGAAAACTAGTGAGAAAAGTAAGTCCTTTGCCCAAACAAGATTAAACCTGTTGAAATCCATGTGTGATTACACAAAGGTGACCCTCTATTGTCTCCCCTCACTCAGCAGCACCCACCCTCCCCCTCCTCCATCTGTCTTGGCTGTGTGTATAGTGGCTGCAGCGGCGTGACTCAGGTGTCACCTCCCAGGCGACAGGTAAAGTGCTGTGATTAGTTCTGCCCCGGGAACAAAAGGAGAGGAGGCTGCTTCTGTGGCTTTGGGGCAGGTGTGTGCAGCACCAACTAAAAACATGACCCCGAGGGAGAGGGGAGCAGCGTGCAGGATTTTCAGCCTTTTTTCTAATCTTTACCGCCTCTTACTGCAGCCTCATCCCTCGTATTTACCTCACCGTTTCAGGCATCCAATCAAATGATACACACAGTTAATAAAAGCAAACCTTGTGCCGATCAGCTGCAGGGATGTTGTAGTTCTCTGCTCTGAGGTTGGAGGCAGCAACAATGTAGTCAATGTGGAAGTTTGTGTCATCATCCTGTGCCAAACAGATTAAAAAACAACTGTGTGGGTCAATTTTGAAACAAATGCTTCAATCTTATAAAAAAAAGCAATATGAGTGCCAAATATGAGTATCCATGTGACCGCTTTGAGCTTTAAATCCTTTATTTCTACATCTCTTAGATCATTCTTAATCATGGCTGTGTCATCCCGGGAAATCTGATTTCTGTTGTGATCAGCGCAGCCGCTGAGGTCATGCTTCTACCAGCGCGGCTCTACAAAGGCTAGCCAGGCGACTGTCACTCAGTGATGCCTTCAGGTGAAATGAGGAAGCTCCTGGCGAGCAACCCGATGCACCTAAAACCCTCCTACACACATTCCATCTACCCTCAGTCTGACCCGTGCGCGCAGGGATGGAAATAAAGAGGAGGGGGTGCACGGTGGTTTGGGGATGTCATTCTTTTTGGAGATGATATTTGATACTCACCTGAGTTACCTCATACTCTGTCATTACTGCGTCTACTAAATCACCGAGTGCTTCACCATCCAGGCTAAAAATTCCTCTTGCACTCACCTCTGCAGCTACAGCAACTGCGTGTTGTCTGGACTGTGTTTAGCTCTTTGTTAAGCCTGGAGTGCGGCGCGCCTGAAGTCAAGTATCTGTCTCTCTGACAAATCTATTAGCTTCTGCATTTTTGTAATCACGTCAGCGTCAAAGGTTTGAACAGAGTCTGCTTTCACCTTCACACTCATTAAAATACAGAAAAGACTAATGAGGAGACAAGAATTTTGATGACCCCCGCTCCTTTAACAAGGTTTCTGAGGAAATCACAGACTTCACTTGAGGGTCAAAGGTCAACAGGTAAATTAAAAGACTCATTAGAAAGACATATTTTTCTATTTTAATTAACAGAGGAGAATTCAAAATGTATATCTTAGGAAATTCATCCATAATTACTCATGATTTTGATGATGATGGAAGTATGTGACGGAGAGGTATCGCAGGTCATTCCTTCCTGCAGCTGTTAGACTCCACAACAGAAACCTCAGTGTGCAATAAATCATATTATTCTGTATATTCTGTGCACATAAGACTCCTGTACATATCTTTTTTAACTCTATCCTTTAATTTTCTCTTTTTGTATCTGAACTATGCTGCTGTAAATTTGGCATTCCCTCCTATGGGACTAAGTATCATCTTCTCTTTTCTTTTCTTCTCTCCTCTCCTCTTATCTTTAAGGAATTTTACATTTGCTTACTGTTGCTACTGACTTCGCCAAAACATGATGTCTCTTAGTTCAGCTTAAAATACAGTATCATTGTTGATTTGATCCGTCTTTCAAATTTGGGTTGAACAAACTGCAGTCAATTAAACAAAATGGAAATCGACTTATAACTTAACCAAAAAGTGCTTTTATTCCAAATTAAGGCCGACACATAGTCTTATTTATTAGAATCATTGTTTTTCTGGAGTATTCTGAGTAATGGTTTGAAATGAATCATGATTTATAAATAGCCTGAATAACAACTACAAAAACTTCAAAAATAACAGTTGTGAGGGGAGTTATTTCCCAGTACGCCCAGTCCTGCTCCTTTGTTTTTTTTTTGTTTTTTTTGTCTCACGAAAGACAGCATTCATTTAGACACAGGGGATCCCAGCTCAACATAAGGCTGCCTCTGTATCACTCTAAAGAAAAGCTCAGTTAATCTCCCTTGTTTATGTCAAGGAGACTTAATAAAGTGATGAGGATAAGGATGGGCGATATGGGCTAAAAAAAATTTCACAATAAGTTTTGCCGTTCTGGCAATAATGATAAAAGTCTCAATTAAAAATATTATAATTCCAATCTATATTTCTGATTCATTTTGTCTTGAGAACACCAGCTGGAGTAGATAAGATACTTAACCACAAGTTTAAGTGGTAGGTTATTGAGAAGATTAATGACATCACAGTCTCAAATGTGAAAACATTTTCAACATTTGTGGAAAACTCTTGTTGCACAGAGTGAACAACAGCAGATCCACTGTCTGATATCAGGCACACCTGACTGCACTCTTCTAACCCCCAATCTTGAATGAATTCCCTCATGTGGAGCCTCGTTCAGTCAGAGCTGCTCAGAAACGTCTTCTTCATCACCTTCAACCATGTTTGTTTGTTATTCTGCTCTGTGTGGGCTAAGACTACGAGTCCATCACTCACACTTACGTCATCAACTTGCATTTATCGTATTTATCATGACATGGCAAATATTTATCATTGAGGAATTTTCTGATGATATATCATGAATGATAATTTATCGCCCATCCCTAGATGAGGACCAACTTTTAGTGGCCAACTGGTATATCATAAGCATCTCCAACTCTTTTTTGATATACATTTTGTGGAGAATATCTATTTTGTGGACATTGATTGTAGCATTTAGTTTTTGCTTTTCGTTAACTCCCCAGAAGGACAGACTTATGCTTCCTTATCCTTAACCAGAGGCACCCAGATCACAACCACATGTTGAACCTGGTTTGCTGCACTGGAAAAAAATAGTTTTTAAAAATTAAGTGTTGCAAAACTGTAACAGTGACTTGATGTGAAATAGATGCTGAGAACTCAATGTGCTCCTACTACAAAACCCTTAGTGTTGTATGTCCAGGTTTGGTAAATTCACTGTTTTTTTTCACAAACCTGTTCCACATGAGCTGGCTGACTCTTTTTGCCCTTTTTTTTTCAAATATAAGTTCAAGTCCAAAGATGCTTCGGCTGGTAAGACAGAATTAAAGTGGGATCTGTTCAATGAATGCTGTCTGTGGTGTGTCACAGACGTGGGTCACTGAGGACCCAGAAAAAAAAGGCATTTTGTGAAAGCATCCACAGATCTGAGTGAAGCCTCCTGCTAACACTCAGCCGCCGCTCTGTCTGTGGTTTCTGCAGAGGAGTCACTCACAGTCCTGCCCTACCTTCTCAAAGTCCATGGGGAACATCTGCATGGCTGACTTTTTCAGAGTCGATGAGGCCAACTTCCCCTTCAAATCCTCCAGTCGAGCTTTTTCTGGGACAAGGACAAAGAGAGTAAAGAAAAGCAAGCCAGGCAGAATTTAAAGTCACAACTTCGAAGGGAAAATAACTCACCGGCATCATCACAATCCTTTACTTTGTCCTCCTCCATCTCTTTGTCGGTGAGATGAATCTTCACAGCAGATTTAGGAGTGAACGATGGGACTGAGACTTTCTCCACAATGTCTCTGATGGACTTGGAGTCTCTTGTTCCCTCGACTCCATAGATCTGACCGTACAGGTTAGCTGCTGATATGATGTAATCCATGTGTGTGGGCTAAACGACGGAGTTGGATAGAACAATTACTAACAAACCTTTATCGTTTTATCTTAACAGTCAATAGAAAACAGTGTCTTTAGGAATATAAATGGATGTTGTAAAAAGAAAAATAAGTCCAAATAACACTCAGAAGCTGGGATCAATACAAAACGCTAACAGTGAGTGAACTCCATGAAGCGTAGAGTTAAAATACATCTCCAAATCTTGACTCCTCACTGCCATGGTCGCCTATTTTTAGCCTTAGACCAATTTTAATGAGCCTGTTAAAATCAGCCTGAATTTTACAACTGCTAACAGATGTGGTGAGCAGATTTTTATCCTCCTCTCATTGTCTGTCTGCAGGTTAAGAGACTTTCACGGCTCAGATAAGAATCCTGCGCACGGTCAAAGAGAGGAAGAGCCGCTGATAGAGCAGATAAGAAGGAATGTGAGGGGGTCATCACCAAACACCGTGGCATTTTTCTGTCATTCCTGTGTGCACTGTTTCAGGATTACAACTGAATCAAGCAGGGAACCAGACACAACTCACACAGTCAGGGTCAAAGGTCAGCGGATGAGGGCATCTCTTAGAACCGGACCAGAAAGGTAGACCAGTAGGAGTCACCTACAGAGAAGACAAAGGAAATATAATAAGTGTACAAGACAGTATCAGTGTTTTATTGATAAAAGACACTCAGCCTCTTGGTTTCAGTGACACAGCAGGATGTATACAACCCTCTCAGACACAGTTACTCTAATACTGTTATCAGTTGTGTGCTGACAACACAATTTGTGTGTCTGATAAAGGAACAAAGGGGCTGAGAGCTTTGATGTTGCCAAATGGTCCACATTGCTGGGAAAGGGAGAGTTTCCCACTGCTGGCGCCGCTTTTCACTGCAGGGGTGATTTTGTTAAAGTAGCCAAAAGGCAGCAACGATGGTTTCTCTTTCAGAGTTAGGATTCTACGAAAGAGGATGAGGGCCACAGGAAGAAAAGGAAATAATTACAGGAGGGAGATTTTTTTTAATTTCCATTTCGAGATTAAAGTTGAAATTTTAAAAAGTTGAAATTTCAATTTAATTCATGACTACTTTAATCTCAAAATGTTGACATCATTCATGACATTTTGGCATTTTGTAATCTTTAAATTTGACTTTAATTTAGAAATTTAATTTTTAATCTCAAAATTTCGACTTCATCGACATAATCTGAGTTTTTTTATGTTGAAATGTCAACTTGAATCTCAGAATGTTAATTTTTTTGCAATCCTGAAATTTCAACATTATCACAACAATTCGCCATTTTGTAATCTCAAAGTTTTGGCTTCAATCTTGATCTTTCAGTTTTAAATCTCGAACTTTGTTGACATAATTTTGATTTTTTATGTCAACGTTGTAACTTTAATCTCCTTCCTGTAATTATTTTTTCCTCTTGATGTCGCTCTTATCCTCTTTCGTAGGATTCAGATGGAAAATTGGCAGCAGTATTGCTTATTTCTTTTAAGATTAGTTTAAGAAAAGAAAAAAAAGTGTTCTAATAAAATCTTCAGATTAGAAAAATAACCTTTTCGTGTTTTTATTTTTTTGTCGGACTGCAAGACATCTCTTCTGGTACTGTCCAGTCTAACTTTAAGTTGTGTCTAAGTTTAAGCCTACATACAGAAGCACACACACAAGCACACACTATGTGGAGTCTCACACCCAGCAGAGGAGGCAGCATTTACATCAAATATGCAGTTATCTGTCATTCTGGCGTAACCATAATTCCCCATGTGGTTTGTGACCGTTAACTGACTTTGGCTGCCTTATCAAAGTTCCCCAAATGTTTGTGGTTGAAAGTGACTTACAGAGTGGACACAAACAAAACACTTATGTTCAAGAAAGAGAAGTGTGGAAAGAAAAAGGAGAAGAAAAGGGTAACAGCTGTAAAAGAGTTATGAGGCTAAACAAACATGTTATGTCACTGTATGAATTGGTTTCAACTGAGTCTCATGAGATTTTTTCATTTGATGATAATTTTCAAAAAACATGTTTTTCCTGAGAATTGTTCAGAGAATGACCTGCTTTACCATAACGGTTCCTTGTGAGGGGAATTTCTCCAACCATTCAGGGACTTTAATGAGGAAAGAACAACCAGTTGACGGACTGGGGCCGGGGTTAATGAGGGTCTGTTTAGGTTGATACTGATCCGTGCCACCCCCCCACAGGTGTGACAGCAACATGTGACATCATTGTGTCTGCATGCTTCACCAGATTACAAACCCTCAGAGCTGCTCCGAGGTCTTCATCAGTGATAACTACCACCAGATCAGATTTCAAACATGACTAATAGTGGTCTCTGAGCCCAAGGGGAGATGTGGTGTATTACTCCATGATGTGAAAAGTGAAAATTAAACACTCACTGACAGTCCTTTTGTGCCCAATACCCCACTGCAGCGTTTAATTTATTGGTATGCGATGATTTCACATACACAACAGTGCCCCCCTGAGCATAAGAGAAACACTACACCCTTTCTTCCCAGGTTATACGGAGAGTTTTCTCTCTAGGGTGATTTTACCTGATCAGCAGGAAAACAGTGCAGAAGCTGGCAGATGTCATTGTTAAAAAGAGTCTCCCATCTGCAGCGCGCCCAGCTGACACAGTCCTCCCAGCTAGCTGGACGTTGTCCTCCAGCCTTCATGCCACTCAGGCTGCTCCAGACCCCACCAAGGACCTCCAGGGCTTCTGCATCTCCATGGCCAAGAGTTCTCTCTACAAATCCATCATCTCTGCAGGAAACATTAAAACAGTTATAAACACTGTAAACATGGTGGCACAGCAGGTTATTTCTCATTTGATAATTTCAAAATAAAAGCTCTGAAACTGTCTTTTTTCTGCTGCTGCAGTTAAACTGAAGTTTAAAAGGAGAAAAGCTCAAGTCCCCTGAAACTACATTAAGACTCAAAAACATTTTTTTCAGATTAGGGTGTAGTTTTGTTGGTGATTCAAGGGGAATTCCTCCAACACTTGGCTGTGGACTCATCAGAAAGAGTCAAACGGGAAGTGTTTAGTAAGCCTGGAGGGTGCTGGTCAGTGCAACTCCATATCAAATGCCTCAACTGCTATTGCACCATTATCTTCCACCAGCTCACCACGTACAGCCTTGCACAATTAAAAAAAGTAGAGCTGACTCCTCTATGTGCAGTTTCACCCAAACAGAGGCATTTTGAGTCACAGTAACTGCACAGGTGAGCGGATAACATAACAAATCATGACTCTTTCTTTCCGTACTTAGATCAAGATTAAAATGACCCAGACTTTGGAGTGCTGGTGAAAAAAGATGTTACAAAACACAAAAAATGATGCCCTCTTCTAAATTCTGTATCACTGTGCAATGTAAGAAGCTGTGCGGCGGGATTTTTTCTCTGAAAGTAACAACAAAGAGTGTGATTACTTTAGAATACAGGGGGGGATTATGTGAAATTCAAACAAAACAAACGGAGAGGCATCTGAAAACACGGCTGGATTAGGAGGGCTCCGAGGCTCAAAGAGCAGACGCAGTTAAAGGCCTGAGGGCTCAAATCTGATCCGTCACTGACACTCTGTTACATGAAAATTAGTTCAAAACTTTGTTGCAAATTCAGCGTTTTCAGCCACATTATGTAGTTTGAGGAGTTTAAGATAAAACAGAGCAGATTAGAAAACAGTTTAAACCTACATGAAGTCAATAATGAGATTTTATAGTGCCATTCCCACTGGATTAATCTGATTACTTTATCCAATTCAGATGATGTTACTGCGTCTCTGGAACATTGAACTTCTATTTGGAGTAAACAGACCTGCTGTGAATACTTAGAGAGCCTTGGCAAAAGAGAGACCGTTTATGTCATTTTACAAGGGTTCACCACTAAAAGCCGACCACATGTTTTCCTGTTTTTAAAACTAAATAATGAGCTCAAGCCACTTTTGCAGGTTTTCTGGAATGCTTTGGAAGCGAGCAGAGCGCTCTGTAAAACGAGAAAATACTGCTCATTAAGTGCCAGAGGACGAAGGGAATTTCTCATGTTTGGCAACTGGCAACACTTCTGGTTAGAGGTGATAAATCACAAGGTGACGTCATATCTTACCTCAGGAACAGATTCACGTTTTCTGGTGTTTGATTAAAAAGTCCTTCGAACTGGTCTCTCGCCCACTGAAAGAAGCGTAAGACTCAGTTAGTGCGAAGAAAACTCACTCTGGTGCATCTTTGTATACAAACAGTGAAACAGTGACTCTCCAGCCTTTAAATTGTTTTTTAAAAGACCAGGAAAACTCAATTTAATTTGTTTTCTTTGTTGTGGGCTTAGAAGTGTCACAGAGGCGTGGATTTTGATCATAATTACCAAGAATTTTCATCAGATAATCATTGTCTCTGGAGGATAAATGTTAATTTCTGTCCACATTGAAAAGTAGTAAACATGACAGAGTCTATGAACATTTTCATTTGCCCCACAATTCATCTCAGCTTCATCTCAAGGTCTAACTCTGCATGACGCTCAGGTTTCTGTAGTTTTGTGTCCTAATCGAGAACAGCACCCTCTGCTGAATAACATGTAGTTATTGTTAGACTGGTTTGTGCTCAAGTCCTCTTTTTTCTGTGAAGCTCCGTTTTTAAAAGTTATTAGGGGGTTCATGTTTTCTATGATTGTCACTTGATACAGCCTATTGGCATTCAGGGATTGCGTAGCTCAACCGGGGGATACGCTGTCTGAGCCGAGCGTCATCACAGCAACTCTCGGCGACTGTCCTGCCGAATGCTTATGATGCTACTGCGCAATGCTGGTTTCGGAAAATGAAGCAAAATCCTGGAAATACCAGGAGCTTCTTTGCTTCAAATCTGTATACAGACGTGAGGCGGAAGCAAGTTGTCCATAGCATAAACAGTCTATGGTCCTATTATGTAGATACTGTCCATGTTCTGCAGCAGTTAGTGTTGCATCCAACCCCGTGCATCTGTGAATTTGATGGTACTTTTGTGTCCTAATTCACTGGTTAAGGAGATGCAAACACTGTACAAACTGAGTTAGACCTTGAGTGGTTGTTTTTAAAGCTTATTTAGGTCAATCTATGTGTGTATTTCTACAATGAGTTATGTTAGGCTTCAATATACCTGCAGGGTGTGCTCAATGCGATGAGGGAAGTTCTTCAGAGTGCACAGCGGGATCGATTCACCAGAGTTAGAGGTAGCCGGCCCATAAGACTCTGTCAAATGAGGCACCACCACCAGAGTGTGACCCTGAGTTCCCATGGTCCCTCCCTCCAGTAGCGGTTTAAGGTGCTGAACGCAGCGTTTGTCTAAATAGACCCCTAATTATAAAAAAAAGGTTTCACATTAAAAAAATACACTTTTACTGCTTTGGTATGATCACTGTGTTAATGATGAATAGAGTTAAAGGTTCCTCACTGGCTTCTACGTTATCAAGGGCTGCAGCCACTCCATCGAGACTCGTGAAGAAGTTGTAATCGTAAACTCCTTCACTGTCGGGGTCGAGACGATTCTGATGGGCGGTGATTTGAATCTGAGGATTCATCTCTTTCACAGCTTTGGCCGCAACTTCTGATTTTGGTTTCTGTTCAAGGAAATAGTTAAGAAATTGATTAGTCTCAGAGATGAGTGAGCGCCAAATCAGACAAAAAAACATGACGGCAACTAAAGATTAGAGGAGAACTACAGCAAATCAATCAACAGATTTTAATCTTACAACAAAACTTTAAATAATTTATATTTTATGTTAGCTGTTCCTCTGCTACTCTATTACATAACAATCAGCACATGCCTCCACAAAATTTGGAGAAGTTATAAACATACTGCACCCAGTTATGTTGCATAATATGTTTAGACAGTGGTAGGAGATCAACAGCCTGATATAAACCCGTAGTAAACTACAAAACAGCCGTCCACGGACGAACATGGCTGCTGTGTGTAATCTGAGCTAGCCACCTCAAACTGTCACAATACCCCCTCACCCCCACATGTCCCATTAGTGACGCCCTCTGACCCCTCCACTTAACCTGGGTAAACAAGAGCCAGTGAGCTCTGACGGCAGGTGAGTGAAGAGGCACTGATACACCACCACACAGTGTGTTCTCTCACCCCAACATCCTGAGACCTGAACAGGAACTGTCGGTTCAAGTTGGATCTTTCTATGAAGTCCATGTCCGTCACAGTGATGCGTCCTTCTTCACCTGCACCCAGCCCCATGAGGGCGAAGTTTTTGAGGAGCTCACATCCAATAGCACCGGCTCCGACCTCCAAAAGGGACAAGAGAGAGTGCGTCAAAGGACTGAGTGTGTGTTTGTAAAGCAACAAATCAGACATTGTTCATCTATTGTTCCGTCTTGTTTCACATCCTTACAATTTGCATGTTTTTTTTAACAGTGAGAAAAGAAACACAACCCTAAACTGTGTCTCACACTATCAGCCAGTAAACAACAGTAAAAATAACACTTTCAGGAGGAAACAGAGAAAGGCCTTGGCGCTGCAAGAACAGCCCCTGGACACCAAGAGGTCAACACTGGCAGGAAATGCCGCCTGAATCACAGCCGCTTCCTGCATGTGCCATCACCAACACCAGACAAGATCAAAAGCAAACACAGAGACTCAGCCTCTGCTTTCCAGTGCAGAGTGTGAGTGTGCCCCCTAGTGGACAAACATCAACCCTGCCCTCACCAGGAAGTATTTCTGCCTCGCGAGCTTCTCCTGGAATGCTGGCCCAAATACAGCGATCTGTCCGCTGTACCTTGAACCTTCCTGTGTGAGAGGAAAGACAATTGTTCAGGTTGCATTAAAAGCCTGGTTGACTGGTGCTGGCTTAACATACGTGTCTTAAGAAAACCCTGAACTTACTGCTGAAGAGAAGCACTCAGATAGTTGGTCTTCTTCTTCTTCAGGGAGGCACTCCAGGGCATCAAAATAAAACCACTGCCTGAGAGGCATAAATTTCCCGCTACATGCCTGCAGGAGCATCAGAAAGTGAGCAGAGAAATGCAGCCAGGAGTATATATATCTTCACCACCACTGCATGGAAAATCATGTGTAATACAAAGGGGAGAGTGGGGTAAGTTGAGCCATTTTTCATGTTTCGGATCACTACATCAAGGCGATCATAGTTTTGTCTCTAACTAGTGTATCTGTATATATTTCAAGATGTTGTGCAACAGAATGAGTGTAAACATAACTGTCTTGATAATATAGCACGCCAAAAAAAGTGGTCTCTTATGGTCAACTTACCAGGTTTATGGGGTAAGGTGATCCGTATTATACGCTATTCAACTTGTGCAATATACATATTTTTAATTATTATTGTAAATAACTGCTAAAAAGCTGTTTTGTAAAAAAAACATTTTAACATGAAAATGTCTTTAAGTGATTCAGAACATTCACAGCTGTAGTTTAGAAAAGAAGAAGTAAAACATTTCAACAATCTGAACTAAAACTCTGATCCTCTCATCAGACTTCTTTAGGCCACTGACTCAACTTACCCCAGAACTACTATGATGACTTTATTAGTCCGCTAAGCTAAAATGGTGGACTTTTATGTTATGTTTTTGACCTCATGTTGTAGCTCATAGATATCACTAATGATGTATTAAACAAATTTTAAATATTTGTTTTGGTCTGAACACAATTCTAATAAAACTTATGACGGACTAAATTCACTTTCAAGAGTGAAAAATGTTGTTTTTGGAAATAAATGTCTAACCCCTTCACTCATGTGCTTCTAACTTTCACAGACTCCATGAATTGATGCCAATCTCCTAAATATTTGGTCAATTTCTTTTACCATTTCCAGGCAACAGGAGGTGCCTCAACTTACCCTTTTAACTCAACTTACCCCCGTCAACAATGGATGTGCTAAAAGTGGATTTCGACCTCACCTTGATAACTTCTTGAGCTGCTATACCTCCAATGAAAGCATTGACAGGAGCCAGGTCCCCCTGTGCTGTCTGGGAAAGTTTTCTCACAGCAGCTTCATCCAGCTCCTCTACCTGTGCCACTGAATTCAGCTCCTTCACTTCTACAAGCAGGGCATCTGCATCCGACTGTATGGAAAGAACTTAGCCTGGTAAACCGTATCTATAATCAAGCCAGTCTTATTAACTTGTTGCTGGTGTTTACCGCTTTCTTTTCTGCAGTATCACATGGTCTGTTTTGTTAAATTTATTGATAATAAGTTGGAATCTTCTCACCTGAGACTGAGGATACGGGAGTCTCTGTTCTTTCTTCACAAAGTTATGGAGGGCTTGGAAGGCCAAGTGCAGGGTATTGTGCCTCCATATTTTCCCAAAATCATTCATGACCAGCAGCTGAAGGTCCGACAGTGCTTCACTCAGAGGTTTCTGTAAGTTTTGTTGTAGTTACTTTGTCTACAAGGGGAAGCATTTTTCAGAAAAGTAAGAAAACACAAAAGTGGATCTTGATACTTACAAAATTGAGCGTGCAAGGCTGTTTGACCTCCGTCACTACTCCACTCCGCACATATTCAGAAAAGCCTGAAGTGTCGCTGATGCTGAAGGAGTACAGGTCTGATGACAGAGATAAAGAGTCACATACAGACGGATAAAAGATAAATAAATATTAAAAGGGTGGTCATTACGATATGATGAAAGATTAAAAAAACAAAGAAGTGCTGACACTAACCTCGCTTTTTGATCTCCACAGGGGCGATGCTGTTGAGCTCCGTCATGCCTTGGACTTCAGAGAATATAACTTGAGTGCCATCTGACAACCCGTGCTTCTTGTCATCTGTGCAGATCACCACACCTGGATTTCCCTGGAAAAAAAGTCATGCTTGTAATATTTAGATTTAAAGGGAATATTCCAGTAACATATTTTAAGTGATCCTGTTTTAGAAAATGTTTAAAAGACATTAAGATTAGGGAATTATCTCAATTTAAGCCATTCGGGTCAGAGCAGTTTTTTTATTTACATTTCAACACGGTATATTCCCTACAAATTTGTCTTAGTTTCACAATCCAAACATGTGCAGATTAGAATATTTGTCTGTTGGTGTGAATTATTCCCACCATCACTCTTAGCAGGATGAGGTTTTTGGCTGAAATTGTGGCGCTTTTAAGTTTTTATTGACATGAAACAAATTAAAGATTTTACCTTTGAGATACTTTCTATCATTGCTGATTTAGGCGCCTCTCCATTCTGGTCCAAGACGACGAACTCCTCCCCAAAGTCACAAAACAACTGGCTGCAAACAAATATTACAATTTCAGTGTCACTTCTTTATCACTCGCCTCTTTATCCCATGTGAACATTTTTTATTTGCACTTACCCACAGAGGCCTTTCGTGTCTGCAACGATGAACTTGATTCCATGTTTGTGGCAAAGCTCACCAAAACGCACCTGATCCTCCAGTGAGGAGTCAGTTAAGACCACCACCTGAAGAAAGACAGTCCCTCTCAATATTTTTTTATATCTATTTTTCTGTTTGAGCCTGCAGAGTACAGTATGCCTTTATGCATCACCACGCTCTATGGCTAAGTACCTGGAATTGCTGGAGAAGGTCTTCATCTAGAGGTCCAGTGTGAGCAGACACAAGCACATGTGAGTTTAAGTCTGACAGCTGTTGAAGGGAACATTCTGCAAGGTTCTGACCCAGATGGGACTCCTTCAGGAAAAACTGGTCAAAATAAAAGAAAATATGAGTAAACAATCTTAGATCAAGGTTGAGCTGATGCTTTTACTGAAGCCTTAAACAGCATTGGGCAGCTTTCTACAGGAAATATATAGGTTATGTTAGCTGTTATGTAACTATCAATGATCTTAAAAATCTCATAGGGAGAGTGGGGTAAGATGAGCCATTTTACATATTTCGGATCACTACATCAAGGCGATCATAGTTTTGTCTCTAACTAATGAATCTGCATATATTTCATGATGTTGTGCAACAGAATGAGTGTAAACATAACTGTCTTGATAATATAGCATGCCAAAAAAAAAAGTGGTCTCCTATGGTCAACTTACCCCATACACAGGGTAAGTTGACCATAGGAGTGGGGTAAGTTGAGCCGTATCCCTACAAATCCCTACATATCCCTGGCTTGACTTACCCCAGAACTGCTATGATGACTTTATTAGTCCTCGAATCTAAAATGGTGGACTGGTGGATAGCTCATAGATACCACAATTGACGTATAAAACAAATTTAAAATGATCTTTTTTGGTCTGAACACAATTCTAATAAAATTTATGACAGACTAAATTCACTTTCAAGAGTAAAAAATGTTTGTTTTTTGTAAATAAATGTCTAACCCCTTCACTCATGTGCTTCTAACCTTCACAGACTCCATGAATTGACGCCCATCCCCTAAATATTTGGTCACATGATCAATTTCTTTCACTATTTCCAAGCAACAGGAGGTGGCTAAACATACCCTGTGACTCAAATTACAGTTTAATCAGATTCTCACCTGAGACTTGACAGATTTCCTTGTAAATCTTTTCAAGGCAACAGTTAAAGAGCATTTAAGCAAGTGTTTGATGCATGTCAGCAGAAAAGTGAAAGTAAAATGGCTTTCATTGCAAAATTAGGACAGTGACAAACAAATTCAAGTCAAACCTATCTGAACTTTTAGCACTGAAGCGTTTTAAGCATTATCTTATCACTATCACAATATCAGCCAAATGTGACCTTTAAAAGCAAGCAACACACTGAGTAGATTTAACACCATTTCCAGCTAGCCGGCTACTGCTGAAAGCTGTTGGCTTGAACCCTTGTCTTGTGACTTACCGAAAATACCTGCAGGTTAATAGATATACTAGATGTCAGCCCTTGTGAACATACTCATTTTTGCACCTTAGAACAGGTGTAGTACCTGAGATGAAAGGTCAGACCACACAGCCTCGCCTTCGTCCTGAACGGTGACAGATTTCACTCCGGCTAGAATCACATTTTTTGCTATTTCAACCCCCAGACCACGCATGCCCGCGATGAGGACCCGAGCTGTGGCCATCCGGTGCATGGCCTCGTGACCCAGGACATACCTGTGCAGGTAAAACAGCAAGTGAATGTCTTGGTTAGACGTCTGGCACAGGTAAGCTGATACGTTTTTAGTGGAAAAGTAGTACTTACAGCTGCCTGGAGTAAAAGCCTTCATCGATTTCACCGGTTTCTGACATGTTTCAAACAGGATTTAAAAGACTCACTTCAAGTCTGAGATGAGCAGGTTGAATGCAGGGGACAGCTGAGACCATAAAAGAACCTGTCAGACCAATGAAGGGATGACAAGGCATCAGATGGTTATACAGGGAAAGGAAGTATTTCACTTTCGTTTTGGGGGAATCTTTGAAAAGTTGGTGCCTGGCATGTGCCAAGTCATGTTTTATCTGCAGACCACTAGAGGGCGACACAGAACTGTTGAAACCATAGATACAGTCTATGGTTGAAACTATTTTAAGGTTTCATCAGATGAATTATCAACATTTAGGGCTGTTTACATTTTTTTTTTTTCAAGATAGAGAGGATATATAGAGGTAGATTTAAGTAAGTAATAGTTCTTTTTATTGTGTGACATGATATATTATAATTGATCAATTCTAACTGATCCTAAAATGGAAATACTACTAATAGATAATTGATATGTAGAGTATAATGCAAAAGGTTGCATAGATATAATATAATATAATATAATATATTGTGACGTGATATAACGTGACATGATATGATATATGATGATATGATACAATTTATTATAATGTGATATGGTTTAATATGATATCATGTGACGTGACGTGATATATATAATGTGATATTATGAGTTGAATTGAATGTGATGACAGTATGATAAATTATAAAAATTCAATCCTATAATTAGTGTAATATGTGGAAAGATGTACAGGAATACAATACAACATGAAGTGTACAATGTTATTGCACTACCTGTTTATTGTAGTAGGATTGTTGAAGCTTTTATTAGGTGTCGATCCGATTAATTATCAACATTTAGGGCTGTTTACATTTTTTTTCAAGATAGAGAGGATATAAAGAGGAAGATTTAAGTGAGTAATAGTTCTTTTTTTTTTCATTGTAGAAATAGGTTTTAAAAAGGTTTTAATGTTCCACCAGGTTGCCAAAGCTCTGATTTATGGAACCCCTTTCCAGCTTCCCATTATGAAAAGTCTCTTATCATATCTTTAAGTCCCAACCCGCATAATGTACGCTACTTCACTTATCATAACTCTACTTAAATTCTAGTGCTGTGGAAAGATAACTATTCAGATTTTGGCACCGGCAAAGTGTTTGCACAATCACTTAAGTAAGGGGAGGTTTCTCCAGGGTTTTATTAGTGGGCGAGCAGGAATTAAGACGTCACTCTTCTCATGTTACTCTTAGGGTGTTTTTTTTTATTATTATATTTTTTTTTCAGTGGAAATGGAAACTTTTTCTGTCTAAAAGCTACCTTTGGAGAAGACACAGAGACTCATGTGACAAGTCTGATCAAGGGTTTTAATCTGAAGAGGATCATTTTAAAGAAGCAAAGTGTTTGATTGAGTAGTTTTAAAAGCCAAATGTTATGTGATGACCTTTAAAAATCTCCACAGAGGGAAAAACAATGATACACCCTTGTATTCTTGCTTCATGTGTGGGTCATTCTTTTCAGTGTGGTGAAGGAAACACCACGCACAAAAAAACCCACCCAAAAGATTGTAAAGCGTGCGTAGAAGTGACCATGAGTGATTCAGGATTAGTGTCAAGTAGCGACAGTAAGAGAAATGTTGAGCTCACTGGCCTGTGAGACAACAAGTCCTGGAGAGATATCTCTTCTATGACTCAGAGTCTTGATGATGTTTGAAGACCTGCTTTATTTCATTAAAACAGAATGAAAACAAACTGTTTCTTGAAACATATCATCACTGTAGTCTCAATTTTTAGTCTCATAGTCTGCCACTTAACGAAGACCCAGAAGGGTGTTTTGAAAATGATCCATTTCCAGCTGAACGGACCGGGATTTAGAGGTCTGACGCAGAACACTCACGAGTTTGAACGCAACCAAAATTCACAACAGCCAGAGTTTGTGGTTTAATGTGACAAGTGGAATGTGTTTGCACAATCAGTTAAGTAAGGGGAGGTCAGGTCATAATGAAACCACAGAATGACAATAAAGCCTTCCTCTTTTTTTACTTTATGAGTTTACAAACTAATAGTCTATATTGAAACAAAGAGTGACTTAAAATGTGTAACACTATTGCTTTTTATTATATTTTAAAACAACTTTTTATTGTTGTTTTATGTTTTTATGCACAGTACATTGTGTCAGCTTTGGTTGTATTTAAAGTGCTCTATAAATAAAGTTGAGTTGAGTTAAGAGCACAAGAATAAGCCAGTGATTTACACAAGTCCTTGTTTGGTTGTTTGTTTTCAAATTTAGGTTATTTTTTGGACTTCCTGGTTAAATACAGGTTACCTGTATTTAACCAGGAAGTCTCATTGAGATTTAAAATCTCTTCATGCAGAGTCACAAACACATGAAACCTTTCACATAGAACACAATCATCTAAAACATATGTTCATAGGAAGTCTGCCTTGTATGGAGAAAATATAAATACCAGGTGCATGGCCCAGCCTTAGAGTGCAGCAGCCATGTTTGTTTGGCTCCTGTCCCATAAGTTGGACATTCAGTGAGTTACAGGGACAGATGCAAACTGAAGGACGGGCTGTTATGTCCCAAACTCTGACACTTCGTTTAATCAGTCACTCATTATACGAGCACTCAGTGAGTGAGTGAGCTTAATACAAAATGATTTTTTATTTAGCAATGCATCTTTTTGCTCTTGCAGTAGAGGAGAGTGGGGTAAGATGAGCCATTTTTCATATTTTAGATCACTACATCAAGGCAATCATAGTTTTGTTTCTAACTAGTGTATCTGTATACATTTCAAGATGTTGTTCATCCCTGCAAACCAACAGAATGAGTGTAAACATAACTGTCTTGATAATATGGCATGCCAAAAAAAGTGGTCTCCTATGGTCAACTTACCCCGTGTATGAGGTCAATTCTTAATTTCCTGAAACCAACATTGTGCAGTAGTGTTGTGTGCATTCGGCGGGAGAGTCGCTGTGGTGACGCTCAGCTCAAACAGCGTATCCCCCGGGTGAGCTACGCAATCCCTGAACGCCTATAGGCTGTATCAGGTGTCAATCAAAGAAAACACGAACCCCCTAATAACTTTTATAAACAGAGCTTCACAGAAAAAAATGGACCTGAGCACAAACCAGTCTTACTGTAACTACATTTTAACATCGCAAGTAGGGGGGAGAAAAATTTATATTCTGTGTAATAAATTTCTAAAGTTTGTCCACAGCTCCATAGGGATTGCTGGAGGAGGCGGGATTTATGACCTATACTGCAACCCGTCAACAGAGGGTGCTGTTCTCAGAGTGGCTTCACCCAGCGAGGAGGCAGACTGTCCATTCTTTATACAGTCTATGGTCTAACCCCTTTACCCATGTGCTTCTAACCTTCACAGACTCCATGAATTGATGCCCATCTCCTAATTTGGTCACATGATCAATTTCTTTGACCGTTTCCAAGCAACAGGGGGTGCCTCAACTTGCCCTTTTAACTTAACTTACCCCACTCTCCCCTATCCATCCAAACCTCGGCCTGTGATTACTGAACTTTGGATTTAATGGTAGATGTTTAACTTCTGGATCAGTCGTCCAAAATGACCTGTTTTTGTCACTTTTAATGAAGATGAAGAACCTAATTTTTAATTGTCTGGTTTAAATGCTTGAACCTGGTTATATAATCTCTCCTGAATTTCACTGCTGTGTGCATGTTAAAGGTCATACTGCTGACTTGACTTGAGGTAATCTGTGTGGAGAATGAACACATTCTTGTCATAGCTTCCCTTCTGGAGCCGCATATATTTGAAGAGTAATTTCATTCCTCATCTGAAAGAAATGCATTTTTGGCACAAATCCACCAAAGGCGTAGACAGGATAATCTTTTTTCAACATGAGAAAGTGTTTCCTATAAATTTATCACACAGGTCAAAGTGGAAAAGAGTTGGATTCGGGGTATGATATGATATGATGACTCTCGGAGAGGACACGAGGAGGATATTTTTGACATGGACAGATTTCGCAACTTTTTTTTATACTTCCTTGTTGCGGGCGAGGCTTGACAGGAGAAGAGACTTGGAGAACAGAAGAGTGAAGTGTGTCAGGATGCGATAGGAGTTTCCGTTAAACACCTTCAAAAAAATCTTACTTATTTCCTGCGGAGATACAGTTTTATGAAAATAGACATAAAACGTCGTTTTTTTTTTTTTTTACCAAGAAAGGAACAAAATATGTTTACAAATACAGTTAAACAAGAAATTTTGAGCTGGTCCATAAGTTGCAAACTACGAAGAAATTTTAAAAAAAATATACTAGCCATGTTGATCGTGCTGGTCATCTTTTTTATTAAAGGGAAAATATTGAGAGACATAATGAAAATTCTTTGAACCTTGATGTAAGATTAGAAGTATAGAAGAAGTATAGCCTAGTAAATAGTTATATTGTACCACAAGTTTTTTAATTAAAGAATTACATTAAATACTTTTTTGTATGGTCATGTTTGACTCTTAAATCTTGTTTTCTGAGATTAATTCAAGGTGATATGAATTTTAACTGGTTCTGAAATAGAAATACTACTCAAAGATAAGTTATATGTACTGTATAATTTATAAGGTGACATGGATATAATATGATATAATATAATATAATATAATATGATATGATATAATATTAAATTTAATATCATATATCTTATAATGCAAGTTATTGTGATGTAATATAACATGACTTGATATGGCATGGCTATGTGACATGATGTGATGTATGATATGTTATGATATAATACAATTCATTACAAAATGATATGATTTTATATGATATCATTGTGAGTGATATGACATGGCAATGTTAAATGACATGATATGTGATAAGATATGACATGAATCAATATGATATACATTACAATAAAGCATTTATATGCAGTTCTATAATTGCTGTAGTATGTGGAAAAATGTACAGGAATAAAACACATCATGAAGTGTACAATGTTATTGCACTACCTGTGTAATGTAATTAATATAATGTAAATTATTGTATTAAATTCTATGCAAGTATTGTAAAGCATGAACTATGAAGCAGCTTTATGGTTACCATAATTGATTTTTTTTTACTTTCTAACTCCAATATCATTACAACTCCAGTTGTTAATAACGCTTTCTGTCGTGGCTGACGAACTTTTATTTTGAAATCCAATGCAACATCCGGTTTGATGTGTAAACTGTGTGATTTGGCAAAGACTGGATGTGTTTGAGTCTGTGTAAACTCTGCGCCACTGAGACCACGGTGCTGTCAGGTGAGTGGCCCATTCCGCTGCAGGTCAGTGAGAGAAATTTCACGAACACGGGGACTTAAAGTCAATCAACTTAAAAACAAAACTTATGTTGAGGCTGTTGAACGAAACACGACGACATCACCCAGCTTCTTAATGCCAGGTAAGAGACTTCAACCTTTTTTTTTTCACCTTTTTTTAATCGAGGGATCTATAGAGCTCTCCATGTTAATAAATAACTGAGCACTCTTTAAATTAAATGCTCCTTTTGCCTCGTCAGTACGTTTTGCTTAGTTTTTGTTATTATTATGAACACAAATGAAATTATTTTCTTCTTAATGTTTATTTCCACGTTTTAAGGCAGTTTTCTCACTCCGAACTTTATTAATAGTTGACTGTAGTATAGTTGTATTGTTGACCTATGAAACTATGAGTTTAAATAAGTAAGTTACCCAATAATAATTTTGATAATCATACTAAAATTGGCCTCAGTTATCGTCCTGTTTTCTCTGAATGACTCTGAAGGTCTGGACATTTCCACAGTTACTCCACACGCTGCAGCAAGTCATGTCTTGCCCAGTGTCGATGTTATCTTGACTCCACCAACTTATTTTTTTCTTCCATGAGCTTTATTAGACATATTAGACTCAAGCGTGACTTGTATGCCAATCATAGATGTTCAAAATTGAAGATACTTCTCGGAAAAAGCCACTTTTTTGTAACCAAAGTCGGAGAAGAACCAGCAACTTCTTTCTCCTTCCTCTGCTACTCATACTGTTTCTCTGTTTAAACAAGCTTGCGTGTTTATATTATCCACCTCCACTTCTAAAGCAGTACATTTCTGTTGAGTGTGAGAATCACATATAACTTTCCTCCCTCTGCCTGTTTAATTTCAGCACTCCTCTTCTTGTTTCCCCCCTCTTAGATCTCCACCTACTTCACCAGAATGTTCCCTTTGAGGAAAGTGTCTTATAGGTAGCACTCAATCACTCTTGGACTGTGGCGTGGAGATGGTCACTTGGGCCGCCTTGCTGACGGTATGCATATGGATACAAACACAGACTGCCTCAGGACAGCACAAATGTCCTTCTACCTCTCGCACACAGGTGGATTACTCTGTAAAATACCCCCTCCCCTACTTCCAGACAGACAAACCCATTCAAAACATAGCAGTTAACACGATCCCCGACCAGCCCGAGGTTTATGTTGCAAGCCAAAATGTAATCGAGGGAGTTAATTTTACTTTGGGGAAAATATGGGAGGTGAAGACTGGACCTGTTGGCAGTGCTGACTGTGAAACCTGTCAGGCGTGTGACATAGAAACAGAACCTGAAGCTCCAGTGGATACAGACAATGAGGTTCTGATTATGGATTTTGCTGTTTACCCTTTTCCGTACTTGTACACTTGTGGGAGTACCCTACATGGGATCTGTCATTTCATGGAGATTGACTCATCAAAACCAGTGCCCAAGTGTTTATATAAAAGAGGAAACAACTCTCCAACCTTCTGTCCAGACTGTGTGGCCAGCCCACTTGGCACCACAGTGACTATAGTGGAACAGGCATTCATATCGCTCTTCTTCGTAGCAGCCTCTGTCAACAGTGAGGTGGCACAGAGGTATCCCAGGAGGTCGATATCAGCCATGAGGCAGTTTTCTACTGAGGATGGATTTGAGGTGGTCAGCAAGGGCCTGACGGTGCTTCCCAGTTTGCAAGACTCCTACAAGATTGAATACATCTACAGCTTCTCCTCCAAGGACTACGTCTACTTCCTGTCTCTGCAGCGAGAAAACCCATCGAGAAGCAACTCTGCTTTTCAGACTCGTCTAGGTCGACTTCCAGTTGCAACACCAGAGGTGTGGATGTACAGAGAGGTGGTCTTGGAGTGCAAGTACGATCCAAAGCGCAGGAGAAGACGGAGAGACGTGTCAAAGGACATCGTGTACAATGGGTTACAGGCGGCACACTTAGGGAAAGCAGCGAAAAAGTTGGCTGATGAGCTGAGGGTGAGCGAAACCGAAGATATTCTGTACGGGGTTTTCGCGGAGATGAACGAGAGCGGTGAACCTCAGAGGAGCTCGGCCTTGTGTGCCTTCCCTTTGACTAGAGTGGACCACGTCATTGATGTGGGCGTGGAGGCCTGCTGCAAGTCAGGGCCAGAGCAGCTGTCCAGAGGTCTCTGTCACTTCCAGCCGTGTGAGAGCTGCCCACATGAGGTGAGTAACTCTTTTTTTAAATGGTAGAGGAACTGGGCAAAGGTCTCTTTGCACCCAGACAGGAAGTGACCTGTCCAGACAAACATTGTGTAATGGAGTACATGAGATTGGTTTATCATTAAGGGTCCATTTTAGATTGGCTTGAGCAGTGGGGGAAACTCAGAAGAAGAGGAAAACAGAAACACTCTTTTAGGGAAAAAAGGGTTAAAGAGGACTTGACTCAACTGGATTTTTCATAGTGAAAATGTTTTTGAAGCGTCAAACTTTCTTCAGGACTTGCACAGATTTGTCTTTTCCTTTAAAATCACTGTTCTTCATCACACACTACACTCTCTACCTCTCTGCAAGAGATAGTACCTTTGAGACTGCTCAAAGAACACAAATCCAGACTCCTTACATATTGTTCACCTTTGGCAACTCTGCCAAAGGGGTGTGTAAGTGTGTGTATGTGTGATTGTGTGTGAGAGAGAGAGAGAGATGAGAGAACTGGGAGGGGTGGATGAGTCAGTTGTGTGACCTGAACGTTGCCACACCATCTTTATGCTCTGTTAAGTTTCAGCCGAAGAGAACTGAGTATTTACAGCACTGAGGTTTGATATGGAAACTTCAATCAGAGATTTTTCCCTCTTTTTCGTTTTCCAATCATTATCAAACACTTCAGCCTCTGGTTGTGATGAGAAACTTGGTCAGATAGCTGAAAAAAAAAAACACTCGAGTTCACTTTGAAAACAACCTAATTGAGAGGAGCATTCAGCTTTGGCACTCTGCAAAATAATAAAGGTGTGGTCTTGTTTCCCTTCATGGAGTTCAAACTGCGTCCTTTGAGCCCTCACAGCCGTGTGCACACCTCCAGGAATGTGTGCCAAGAAACACAGTTATAAATCCTGCCGATAAAAAGGTGGAATTCGAAGGGGAGGGACAGCGTTGGACAGTGCCTGGCTTTTTACGCTTTTGTGTTTGTGCAGAAAAGAGGAAGAGTACTCAATAGATGCTGGGAAGCGGAGAGAATAACAAATCTGCTTTATGAATTAACAGTGATTAGAGCTGCCATAAAACAGCCTTAAAGTTAATGAAGTTTGGTTAATGCATTTTGAAACTGGGTTTATTTTGAGATAATCCTGAAATGCATGTGAGTTCAAAGATCAAAAGAAGAGAGAATAAGGCATAGAAATAGTGGCGAGCACAAAGGGACATGCTGAGGCAGGTCGGCTAAATTGCCCTGGGAATGTTTACAAGGAAAGTTTACCGTATGTTAAACTTTTTCTTCTCTGAATAATTACACTTTATTAACAGAAGGGACTCATCCACACACATCTGTCAGCTTCTATAAGATGTGTGAGTTAAGTGTGGAAAGTCCGTTTTTTCAGTGGTTGACAGTCACTGCCATAAAAAAGAAAAAACAGTTACTAACTCAACATGCAAAGCTGAAGTCACTGCTGTTTTATGACCTCACAGCTTGTTACTTTGACTCCAAGCAAAGCTGAACCACTTCCTCCCTTTGAAGAGTGAATTAAGACCGTCTCTCTTCGCTCATTTCCCCTCCAGCACAAGTACATGCATGTTGTTTATGAGTGTGGAGATGCACAGAGGCCGAAGCTTCTGGTCTTCTATGCAAATGTTGTCGCCGCTCCTGCCTAACACGCTTGTTTTGTTCGTTTTTCTTTCCTCCAGAGTTCTGAAGGTAACGTCACATGCACCGCCAAACCCACTCTGGTGTCAAAACCGTACAACAGACTGGACTTCTTCAACAGGCAGATGAGCGACGTCCTTTTCACTTCTGTCCTGGTCACGACTATCGGGGATCAGACCATTGGTCACATTGGTACTTCAGATGGACAGATACTGCAGGTAGAAAAATGCCTGAGGATAAAAAAAGTAGAATCCAAGTACTGATGAAACAAAAGTATCTCAAGTTTTGTTCGGTACTTATAAGTAGGGGTGTCTTGATACAACTTTTTCACCTCCTATACGTTTCAAATATTGTAGGCTTCAATATTGGCTGATACTGATATTGATCTGATATTAGCACAAACTTGTGCAAGACAAGTTTTGCACTCAGCTGCAACGTCTTTGACTCCAGAACGACTTTGATGAAAAATACTGCCACAGGGCCGACATAACTCCTACTCCTTTGTACTTTGTTAGTACCGCAGTCTAACCTGTCGTTGTGATCACGTGGGCTGTACTTGCTGGATCAAAGCGCTGATAGATAGAGGTGCTGAAGCGGAGTCTGGAATGGACTGCTTATATCTGAGATTTTAGATGCAGGCTGATATAATCTGATATTCAATTTTTGCTGATATCAGCCAATATCCAATATCAATGTCATATCGGGACATCCCAACTTATGAGCCTTGCATGATTTGTGCATGTTAACTGACAAAAAAATGATGTGCAAGTGTCTCCTGAAGAGTATTTCCCACATTACCTCTTTGCTTTGTCGTTTCTAGGTGATTCTCAGTATGAACACACCGATTGTTTTTGCCAACTATTCCCTCGATGGATCGGCAGTGTCTCGGACCGCAGCTGTGTACTCAGAAGATTCGCTTCTCTTCGTAGTTGGGAATAAGGTAAAATAGGAGGAATAGAATCTAGATATTTCCTACCTTGTAAACTTAAAGGTGCAGGGTATAGAAATGGGAATACCTAGATTTTACATTAAAACACATTTCTATTCCCCCCAGCTTTTGTTGGTAAAACTCCAATCTGAGCCAAATATCAGGCAATAGCATACCCTTGTTTTTTACACCTCTCTTATTGACTGTTTTGTCTTTTTCCAGATGTTCAAGGTGCCCTCTGCAGGACCAGGGTGTGCACATTTTACAACATGCTCCAAATGTTTGACGGCTCCGCTCTTCATGAACTGTGGCTGGTGTTCGGGAACTTGCTTGAGGCAGCATGAGTGTTCCTCACAGTGGAACAAAAACTCTTGTGCACCTGTTATAACAGAGGTAGATCTTCTGGTGATAAGCCACTGAATGAAGTTAACCAATCATGATCACTGAGTTGCATTGATTGTATTTTGATGCTGTATTTTGATCGCTTTCACCTTTTTTTTCGGTGCAGTTTTTCCCTAAAACTGCTCCTGCTGGCGGTGAGACGGAGGTGACACTGGTGGTTGGGAGTTTCTGTCTCCTTGGCCTTTAGCAGTCGCCAGTAGTGACACCCACATTATCTCAGTGAGCAATGGGACCTTCTGCACTGTCCTTCCTGAGAGGAGCAGCAGTAAAAAGTGAGTGGCAGATTCAATAATAAATTCTGGTTTATCAAAACTTGTCCTCCAGCATCAGACCCTTCACTCCTATTACTATTTTTCAGACCTGTCCCCTTTTTTAGTTGTAGCATTTATAAATAAGATATTTCACTCAGATTTTTTATTTTGTCTGACAGATGTAGCTGAGAAGTCTCTAAATCAAGTTTCGTATTTCCCTCATACCAATCATTAGGATTATATAAAATATAATTTTCAGCTAGTTTCCTTTTTTATTACTCTGATTTATTTTTCACTCCAAAGAGCAGGAAATCCAAAACTATGGCTTTACCAGCATCCTGAAATCATTCAGGCGAGACAGTACGTGGCAGCTGACAGTCAAACAGAGGGTGTCTACAAACATACTTTCTGCATACATCACCTTTAACAAAAGTTAGTGGATATATTGGGATTGATTGGTTGAGCAACATGTTCAGGAATTCAAAATCCAACAAAGCTGTACAAACAGGCCTCTAAAGGAAAAGTGTACCTGCATGAGATGTGCTCAAGCAGACCCAAAGTCACAAGACCTTCAAGTAAACATATGATAGAAATTTATCTAAAAGAAACAGTGTTGTCAGACTTCTTTGTATCATTAAGTTTTAATATTAAGAGAAACTCATAGACTGTATATAGAATGGCCGCCGTCTGCCTCCTTGCAGGGTAAAGCCAGTGAAAACAGCACCCTCTGGTGACGGGCTGCAGTATAGGTCATAAATCCTGCCTCCTCCAACAATCCCTATGGAGCTGTGGACAAACTTTAGAAATTAATTGCACAGAATATACATTTTTCTCACCCCTAATTGCGATGTTGACATGGAGTTACTTTAAGACTGGTTTGAGCTCAAGTCCTCTTTTTTCTGTACAGCTCCATTTTTAAAAGTTATTATGATTGACACTTGATACAGCCTATGAACGTATGAAGATTGTGCAGCAGATACACTGTTTGAGCCGAGTGTCATCACAGCGACTCTAGCGCCGAATGCGTACAATGCTACAGCGTAATGTCGATTTCAGGAAGTGGAGAAAAAACCCTGAAATACTGAGAGCTTTTCGGCTTCAAATCCGTATACAGGCGGGAGGCGTAACCAAGTTGTCCATAGTATAAACAGTCTATGGAGAAATTTAAACGATCTGAGTCTGCAATCAGACTAATGTGATGTAAATGCACTTATGCCTTACTGTCATGGTTATAGCATTTAGATTTTGTTTTAACATCTCTTCATTTGCTAATGTTCTCTTCTGTCAGACAAAACCCTACCCCAGAGGAAAGCTTCATCTATTCCTTATTGTGTCTTTAATACAGACTGGTGTGCAGGACTAAAGAGATCAGTCCAAACAACAACCTCACCATCACTCTGTACGTGCAGGAGAGAGAGGGGCAGAGCAGATACTCCATCGATGGTACCGCGGAAATGTCTGGTTTCTCTGTTGTGGTGAGAGAGAGCTCACGGTTTAAGCAATTTAAACCAATCAAGTATATTTTTGGTAACATTCTATATAACTATATATTGCTATATGTGTATATTTTACTTTGATGTCATCAGGAGCCAAGCATAACAGAGATCCGGCCTGACTTTGGACCCGTGTTTGGAGGAACAACGGTTACACTGACAGGCAGATACCTCGACTCTGGCATCAAGAGAGAAGTCTTCTTCGCTGACAAAAAGTGCAACATTCAAAAGTAAGAGACTCAGCCGACTTTTTTGACTGTTTTTTAGAACATGACAGGTAAAAATATTCAATGACTTCAAAATTGTACTGTGTTGTTAGATATTTTAAAATTGTCCACATTCAGTGATCTTGACAGCTACTCTTTTCAGTGTCTCTACAGGTAATGGGGGTTTATCTTCAATCGTCTGCACCACAGCCTCTGCAGCAGGTGTGGGGACTGTACCTGTAAAAGTTATCATCGACAAATTCGAGGTGGAAACCACCAAGACATTCCTCTACAAGGAAAACCCTGTCATAACCAAAGTGGATCCTCTCTGCAGTTTCCAAGGGTACGACACAACCACCGAGCTACGTCAATTTCTAAAATACCTATCATACCTATTATATTAGTTAATACTTTTATTGGAAACTTCCCTTTTCTATGCAGTGGCTCTAAGATGGTGGTACAAGGTCAGAATCTTGATTCTGCACATAAAACTGTGATCCAGTACACTTCAAAATCATCCCATGTCCAGCCTTATCAACGTGTAAGTTTACTCTGATTGCTTCTTATGTGTGAAATTTATAAGATTTATAAGTATAAATGATCTACTTAAATAAGATCAATTATTTAAAAGGGCGAAGTAAGATAAATGCAAAAAGAGAGATTGAGAATGGTCGGCTTGTGCTTCATCTCCAGTTGAAAGTTGCTTTTTTATTACACCAGACTATCAAACCAGTTTTGATTTCAAACAATATTTCCCCTCAGGTCTGCAGCGGTACAAAGAATGCAACACATATGGTGTGCTGGGCCCCTGCTTTTCCTGAGGAAATGCCTGAAGATAAGTCAGAGACAGGAGAGATTTCTATTCACATGGATGGAAAGAGGATTTTCTTGAGGAAACGCTTCGACTATCACCCCAATGTCAAAGTTATTCCATTTGAAAATGATGATCATTTATTACCTCTAAAACCAGGAGAAACAGAGGTTTCACTCCATGTACGTTTACACAGTGACAGTCCTTTACACCCACTGTATTTATGTAACTAAGATGTTAAATTAACATCAAATTAAAACTTGTACAATGCTAATATGAATAGCTGTGCTATCCTCACCATTAGTTAAAGGGATATTCTGGCCTAAATTTCAGTTAGGGTCAAACACACCGTAACACTGAGTTAAACACCCCCTCGAGAGATGAATGTTGCCGACCGCTTGCTTATCTAGTTATACAAACTTTAGTAATGACCGCATGATAGCAATACAGAGAGCCACGCGCTCAACAAAAAAGCCACTCTATAGCCATAAATAATGCTCAGAACAGCACCTAACTTCATCAATAGTACATATAGGGTCCCAGCTGTAGTACTAGCCACCAAACATCTTTTTAACTTTGCCTAATTTCTTTAGCAGAGAGACTAAACACAACTCATCCACTCTTCTCCAGCAGCCTCTTGTTTGTTGATTAAGCCCTGACGAGTCGATCACCGAGTGCAGTGGAGTTTCGTAGCCCAAGGAAGAACATTTATGATTTTTACTTCTTGGAAATGTAATCAGACCGAGACACTAAGGCAGAAGAACTACCGTGTCTGCAGTGCAAAATTATTAATATGATAATTATCATGGAAATGATCCGCTGCACTCCTTGATACTTGATTTGTCAGGGCTCCCCCACAAACAGGCGGCTGCTGGAAGAGAGTGAGTGAGTTGTGTTTAGTCTCTTTGCTACAGAAACCAGGCAAAGCTAAAAAGATGTTTGATGGCTAGTACTATGACTGGGACCCTATATGTTCTGTTGATGAAGTTAGGTGCTGTTCTGAGCATTATTTGTGGCTATAGAGTGGCGTTTTTTTTTGCATGCGGAAATGTAGACCGCTGTTTATTGCTATCGTGCGGTCATTGCTGATGTTGGTATAACTAGAGAAACAAGCAGTCGGCAACATTCATCTCTCGAGGAGGTGTCTAACTCGGTGTAACGGTGTGTTTGACCATAACTTAAATTTACCCCAGAATATCCCTTTAAGTAAAAAAGGTACCCAACTTACAAATTTCCTTTCTGTCTTGCATATTTTACAGCATAGTAAACTCAATACAGTGAGCACATGCATGAAAATCATTATGACCATTGGTGGCGTGAACTGCAATGCCCAGGTTCTTCTCAATGAACTGACCTGCAGGGTTCCCAAAGGGCTTGTTATTCCCAGTGAAGGACTGCCTGTCAAGGTGAGAGAGACTGTTTCAAAATCACCAATATTAACAAACACCACTTAGGAAAACTGATGCAGAGTAAAACAAGCTGTACCATCTGCTCCACTCCTGTAGGTGTCTGTGAATGGGGAAGTTTACGACGTGGGTACAGTGGTAAACAGTGACACCAGCCAGACCAGTGTGATCATTGGAATAGTTCTTGGCATCCTGGCTGCTTTGGTAGCAGGTGCTGGGCTCGCACTAGTGGTGATGATTAATCTGAGGAAGAAAAAGAGAGGTAAGAAATAGCTGTGATTTACAACTTCTACAGGAACGTTGCAAATACTAGTTTGATTTTTTCAATGTTATAACACATTTTCCTCTGTTTACTCTTTGCTTTTTTCCCACTCAGTCATCTGTGTTTTGTGATAATATATTTTTCATTTTCAGCTGAAATAGAGAATCGTTTATCAACAATGCTCTCTGTGAACCGCTCAAACAACAGCCAAAACTCCTCTCCAACAGGTGACTATAGGCGAGGTGAGACACCTGAATTTATGTACTATTGAATCTCTTTTAAAGCTATGTCTCCTGTAGCCAGTTATTTTTCTCTTTATCTTCCCTTTACTTCATCCTTTCACTTCACATGGATCCTATAAATTATTATGTTGCTGCTCGGCCCGACCCTGTGCATGTTTTTTCTTATTTCAGACATGTAACTGGTCAAGATCACTATGTACTGTATATACGATTATAATGCATGGAATAATAAAAGTGTAGAATTTGTATGCAAATTTATATAATAATAAAACAACATCAACAGAGAAATATCCACGTTATCTAATTCTGGGCATCTGCCATTGAAACAATGATAATGGTCGACTGCTGCTTAAACATTAAGTGAGTTTCTCCTGGTTTGTTCCAGTTGATCTGACCCATCAAACTTCAGGTTCAGGAATGGCTTTCCAAGGGTTGCTGTACGCTGCCAGCTATGATCATTTGTCCATCCCTCTGATGCCACGGGACAACGTCTCCATGGTCAGTCTGAGTTCTGATCTTCTCGAAGAAGTCAAAGACGTCCTGATCCCTGCTGACATGCTCAGGATAGAGGACAGTCAGATTATCGGCAAAGGTGAATTTAGTGCATTTTTAGACATTTTTGTTTGACTTTGGTTTTTCTCATCAAGTATTAAAGAAAAAGCACATTTCCCTCTCATTCATGCAGGTCATTTTGGAACAGTTTATCACGGGTACCTAATAGACAGCAATAAGCAAGAGACCCACTGTGCCGTCAAATCATTAAACAGTATGTGAATCCTCATTTCACTGTTTAAATCATCACTGTATTCTATATGTACATGTTCACAGTATATGTTGTGCTGACAGGGATCACAGATTTGGGGGAGGTGGACCAGTTTCTCAGAGAGGGCATCATCATGAAAGGTTTTCACCATCCAAACATACTGTCCCTGCTGGGCATCATGCTTCCTAAAGAGGGGCTCCCTCTAGTGGTGCTTCCTTATATGAAGCATGGGGATGTACGGCATTTCATCCGCTCTGAGAAGAGGGTAAAGTACACAACAAATCTAAGACCCGTAGATCATAAATATTTGCATTGTTGAGTTTTTTTTAACTACTTCAGATCATCGGCTTCGTAGGGGTTAAGCTCTGTTAAATATCCTCCCCAGAACCCGACTGTGAAAGACCTGGTTGGCTTTGGACTCCAGGTGGCTAAGGGTATGGACTATTTAGCCCAGAAGAAGTTTGTCCACAGAGACCTGGCTGCACGTAACTGCATGTGAGTGTGAATAATTAAATATAATAATAATAATAATAATAATAATAATAATAATAATAATAATAATAATAAGCTTAATACTACCACCTCCAATTTGAGCACTGACATCAGTAGAAAAGCTTTGTAAATCCATGTGATGTCCTTTTAACTTTCTTTTCTTATGCTGCTTTTGCTGTTCATGGATGTCTTCAAGACTGATTTAAAATATGAAGCATGGCGCATTGTTTTACTTTCTTAAAAGTATTAGTGGTTCTTAACTGGTCTCACTCTGGGACCCACATTTTCCCATGGTCCTTAAGTCATCACCCACTTGTCTCGAATTCAAACCAAGCAAATTTATTTTTTTAATAAAAAAAACCTTTAAAGGCTCAAATCTTTAACATAAATACACCCATTTTATTGAGTAAAGTGCATTTCAGAGCACATGAACTGAGGACGACAACTACAATGTGGTAAAACGCACAGAAAGCTTCCTCTTGTTTGGAGCAAGCTGCTGTCAGACACTTCTGTGAAGTCCACAGCTTCTGGGGTCGTCTCTGAAAAAACTCCACTGCCTTGTCTTTATATGCGGGATGTTTTGTTTCCAATTGGCACTACAGTTTGGATAGTTTCATGCTCTCACTTGCAAGCACCTCGCTACATATTACACATTGGGGTTTGTGTCCCTTATTATCCTTGATGAACAAAAATCCACATTTCAAATAGCCTGGGTCGTATTTAGGCTTTGCCATCTTACCTCCTCCTCGCAACACAAACTGAGCGTCGAGTTAATGGTTGTTACCTTGGCTACCAAGCCTATGACATGTCAAACATCAGTTGGCATTTAATATTTATTTTTTTGACAAGCTGTACGCGACCCATCCAGAACGTGTCCGCGCCCCACTTTTGGGGCGGGACCCACCAGTTGAGAACCACTGCTGTAGATGACTCCAGGATTTATTGTAGCATGGCTTGATAAGAAGTTCTGTCGTTTCAGGCTGGATGAAACCTTCACCGTGAAGGTTGCTGACTTTGGGATGGCGAGGGACGTCTATGACAAAGAGTACTACAGCATTCAGGATCATAAACGGGCGAAGCTGCCGGTGAAGTGGATGGCTATAGAAAGTCTTCAAACACAAAAGTTCACTACAAAGTCTGATGTGGTGAGTATATGTTCACCTGCATGCTAAATTCAGGCTTGTTACTCCTGCTATGCATGTATCTACAAAACTTATTTCTATGTTTCCTAGTGGTCCTATGGCATCTTAATGTGGGAGCTGCTGACCAGAGGTGCGAGCCCGTATCCAAATGTGGACCCTTATGACATTACACACTACTTGTTGAAGGGACGCCGGCTTCCTCAGCCTCAGTTTTGTCCTGACACTCTGTAAGATTCACACACAATCACAAAACAATTTTGTTAACCCTTTAGGAGACTTCAGTGTCTTCATCTTCCTCTTTCCCGTTTCTCCATCCTACAGTTACTCTATCATGCTGACATGTTGGGACCCAGAGCCTGAATTCAGACCGAGCTTTAGCAGCCTGATGTCAGAAGTACATCACATCCTGTCCTGTCTGGAAGGAGAGCACTACATCAGTCTGAAAGTGAACTACGTCAACTTAGACCAGCCGAGGCCGTACCCATCCCTGACCGAATCTGCAGATGAGGCTGAGGCCTCGGACTCTGAGACAGACAATCATTCTGCCAGCTGAGGGTTTTAAGACCGATCTGAAGTTGGACAAAACAAACAAAAAGCCCCGACTTAGCCTGGATCTATTTATACATTTCAGAGAACGCAGATGCACGAGATGCTGACTTTTATGACACTGTAGAGGCTGCAAACACTTAAGTGGAATGGAGACAAAATCAAGCTGGAAGTCCTCCGTTCTTCTTCTTCTCTTAATTTTTTTACATTTTCTGTACTCCTGATTCTTGGTGGATCGCAGGGAGCTGGAACCATTCCTTGCAGGGAGCTGACAGAGATGGCGTCACCCACTTTCATGTTGCAGGCACAAGGTTTGAACCCAGAACCCTTTCGCTGTGGGGAAACAGCGCCCATCAATAACCGCTGAAAGTGTTTATTTATGCCATGAGAGAGATAGCGTGTTGAGAAAGTGAGTGAGTGTTTGTGTGTTCCAACATCTGAAGCACACGTGCATGTGACAAATTGAATGTAATATGTGCTTTTTGTTCTCATATTTGTTCAATAAGATGTAGGGTTACATGAGACTATATTGCTGTTATATAAGTTTATGTCTCTAGGCCATTATATAAGACTCTTGGATAAAAGGTCTATAAATGCTGATGCTGATATGTGCTCAGGGTCGACAGTTTTTTCACGTTTTTCTTGCTTTTTCGGGATATCGTCTCTCCAGTCAGAATGTTCCCTCGACATGAGTGGCTGTGGACTCGTCATACTGGTTACAGAATCACTTGGTTGACTCTGGTTTTAAAGTACAGACACTCAGAAGCTCGGCAGCCAGTGGATTCATTTTGTTTGGATATTCACAGTCTCACTGAAACAAGTGGAGTTCCTCTCTCGGTCACTAGAGGGCGACTAATGTCCTTTTCTAGCATCTGCTGCTGCAATGATGCTCTGCACGACAGCAGCCAGCTTTCCACAAAGGTGTTATGCAAACAACACACCTAGAATTATCAGAACAAACTACGTCAGTGTGTCTTTGTGTTCATGCAACCTAGTTTGCATCAAGTCTGTGTTTTTCTGCATTATGATCTCCATGACCGAGTTAACCCGAGGATGCTAGGATTGATGTGCTGTTTTTTTTCCCCCCTAACTTTTAAAACTGACAAGAATATTTCAAAATGACCAACAGGCTTTCTACCTTTTACACCTTTTTTCTTGCTCCATGTTCCTTTCTCTCTCAGAAGACAGCCAAATGTCATATTTCCTTTCTCTATATTGCACTGAAAGTTTTGTAAAAACGATAATTGATTGTTAATACTTGTTGTTGAAGAGTGTTTAACAACTACAGTCGCCTGTTTTCGAATTAAAACTACTTGAAGAGTGGTCTTTCGTAGTATTTTTGTGGGGTGTGTTGCTGTACATATGCAGATCACTACAGCAAGCAATAGCACAGTTTTTGATGAAAGCGAATCACCAAAGAAAAAAAGATGCTGAATGCAATGACACTGGTCTGAGGTAGGGCAGCTCATGTTCTCTACCAGATGGAAGAACAAAAAAACCAAGTATAACTTTACAGGTCTGATAATCAACCCAAATAAAACGTCATGCCTCTGCCAAATCTGTGTACCTGTGTCTGTAATACTCTAAATCAGTTATGGATCCATAAAGAGTTTTTGGTAAAACTTTACTTGACGCCTATCTCTTTAACGCATTATAAATATATGTATAATGGGTTATAATCATGTTACAGCACTGTAGAACTATAGTTATAAACACTCATAAATGATCATAATGCTTTATAGCAATAATCATAACACATTATAAAGCATTTTATCATGAATTACAAAGTCAGGTATTATAATGTGTTATAACTGTTATCAACTTACTGACAATGCCCACATAGATAATGCATGGTACATATATTTATGATGTGTTATAATTAACTTATAAACTTGTAGAACTATCATTATAAACACTCATAAATTACCATAATGCTTTATAACAATAAGCATAACACATCATAACACCTGACCTTGTAAGTCATGATTAAATGTGTTATAATGTGTTATGATTATTGCTATAAAGTATGATGATCATTTATGAGTGTTTATAACTATAGTTATACAGTACTATAACATGATTATAACAAATTATACATATATTTATAATGCATTATATAGACAGACATCAAATAAAGTGTTACTGAGATTTTTTTGTTCCTTTGCCTTCTGATCCTGAAAATGTGGCAGTAATAATGACGAGCTCTGGATGTGTGCCGATAGAGGTTTAGGATTTGAAAATGAGGCGTTCTCTTTAATTATTTTCCCTATGAGACAATCATCCTATTGGAGTTTTTCCTTCATTTGAATTATTCAGGAGCGAGTACAGTGTGTAATGCGCTTCAGTGATCCAGTAATAAAACAGGTTTATTCCATAAGGTTTTGTATTTTTATCCTAAATGATGAAGAGCTCAGAGGAATGAGAAGGAAAGAGATGAAGGTAAGGATAGAAAAAAAACAGCTGCATATGAACCCACAGTGAGGGAAAGACACACTTTGTACCTATACCTCAGCTTCCAGACGATTGAGGTTGCTCTTTTTAGTGCCATCAAAGTTCCTACCTTTCGTCAATAACCAAAAGTCTTTAAACAAAGTGACGGATTTATTCTCTTAACTCTGTTTGATGAAAATTTGCAGTATTTTTATGTGGTTGACTTGTCTGTGTGGCTTCTGAGACTATGTGAGTCTGTTACTGTTCAAAAAAGACTTTGGCACCGGATGAAGACACAAGGATTGAAGTCCAAACTGTGAAATTAAAGTAAAAAACTGGCATCTGCTAAACTGTGTTGAAAAATAACATGGTGGCAGTAGAGGGTTCTGGGACCAATGTTAAAATGAATTGTTTGGACTGTGTTGAAAAAGCCGCTGGCAGCTTTCTTCGCTGTTAAATGTTTCACTTCAGCTTCTTTTTTGGTGGGACTTTGACTCACTCCAAGTCACGGCCACACATCCATTAAATAATCAATCCTCAATCTATGAAAAATGTCAAGTAAACAGAGTGCATGGTGGTATAGATTTTGAAAGTACTTCTTCATTTTTAGCCATAAAAGACTTAAACTCAATGAGTTGCCACTCTGTTTTCTGTCTTCATGCCACTTCGAAATATGTCATCGCCCGTATAAGAGCCACCCTGGAGACCGAAGTCTAGGTATGCCCCTGCTTGGTAGGCACACATTAACAAGGACAAAACAGAGACGGACTCTTCTTGACCTGGTAAAGGTTAAGCTCTGAGATACAGGATACTACACTTCCCATAATGCAGCATCAAAGCACCTTTCATTTGATTCTGATTGTGTATTTTCCTTCGCTGATACACTTCCAACTAAGCAATAGACGACAATTAGACGTCTAGTTTTTTTTAAGACCTTATTTTAACTGTCTAGATTTTGTATATTTTTAACTGTGAGTTGCATAACTGATCTCCAAGTACTTAACCACAATAACCAAAATAAATATAATAGCCGTTGAGCAATATACAGTTAGACCTCTGTTAGCTGGCTAGCCTAAACTTGGACTAAATTTAGACAACTAAAAAACTTTCATTTGTAGACCTGTAGTAGCCTGATTTTAGACCAGTCATCTAGGCTACATTTAGACGTCTATTAGACCTCTTTTAGATCCAAAAATGTTCAGTGGGTTCAAATGTGTGACAAACATTGAATTTTTGCATTCTCTTGAATCATTTTCCTACATATGCTGAACATTGATGTAAGACTCCGTTTCTAAAGATATGCTTCACAGTGCTCATGTATGATCCTGCCTGATTCTAGACATGGTTGTTTATTGTTGAATAACAGTTTTAAAGTCTTAAATCGGTGACACTTTACAATAAGGTACACATAAATTACTGTAGTTCATGAGGAACTAATCAAGAACTAATGAGGAGCTAATGAGTAGTTACTGAGGAACTGAGGTACAAAGACTTAGGGTGTAGTTATTGAGGAACTAAAAATTAACTATTAGTTAATGGTCAGTTCTTCAGGAACTCCTGACCAAATTTCAAAGGAGTAGTTAATGAGAAACTAATAATGAACTCATGGAGAGGATGTGCCAGGTTGTCTGGGACAGGATGCATGGCCATGATGACGTGATGATTGAGTACTTATAAATTAGTCCTTATGATGTCTTACTTTACTTTAAGGTACACAAAAAAAGGTAGGTAATGATTAAGTAATAGTTCGTTCCTCAATGACTAATTTTTTCCTCGTTAGTTTCTTTTTAGGTTCCTCATTTGCTCCTTAGTAACTATTCATTAGTTCTTCACTAACAACTCCTCTGATATTTGATCAGAGGTGACTGAAACTCTGACCATTAATACTTGATCTTGATACTTGTTACTTGATCGTTATTTCCTCACTAACTACTTCTCTGAAACTTAATCAGGGGTTACTGAGGAACTGATCATTAACTAATATCATTACTTCCTCAGTAACTACTTTAATTTTGTGTGTCTTAGTTCCTTAGTAACTACTCATTAGTTCCTCATTAGCTCATCATTACTTCTTCAGTAACTATTGTATATTTGTGTAACTTATTGTAAAGTGTTACCCTTAAATCATATTTGGGTTCAGTTTCTCACTTGACTCTAGACTAAGGCATTCTTGCTTATCCTTTTAATGGCCTTTAAAATGCTTGTATGAACAATACTCAAAAGCAAAACAGTACAAAAGATACATGTGTTTGACTTTGAATAATATTAGGGCAGGAATGTGATCAAAACATCGATTCCAGATCGTGCAGAAAACATCACAAGGGTTAGTTTCTGAGAATTTAAAACACTCGTTCTGCAGACATCACACCCTTGTTTTCACAGGCTGAATTCTCTTCAGGCGATGTTCAGTCTTTAAAATTAAAATTCATCTTCAAAGAAATCTGTGTCTGAAAGCACAGCTGAATAACTGGTGGTGATTGAACGATTTGTCTTTGAATAAGCTTACAGTTACACTGACACACACAAACATGCAGCTCTCCATCCAAACCCAGCAGCAGTGAGGAAAAATATCTGCACCGAACAAGCAGAGAGCAGATCCCCAAAGTGTCTTGTCTAAAATTCCTTTTGTTGCTTCAAGAGTATATATTTATAAATATTTTACACTTTTATTTCACACTGCCCTGCTTTTCAAGCAGGGTTTGGTTGGAATCTGTGAAACTGCAAATATCATACAGCAGCTGTTGTGTGATCCATGACAAACTGGTCAAGGGAAAAGAAAATGTGGCTGTCTACTTCCTGTCGGGGCTCATGCAAATTTGTTCTCCACAGATTAACCAGGAACATGGGAAAAAAAAAAGTCTGATCAGGACAGCCAATTAGCACTCTCAGTGGAGCTGCCAAAACCATCAACATGTCCATATTTGTCTGGGATTTATCTGCTTGCCTCGACGGAAATGATCCAGTCATTTAGAGAGATTTGGCATTGATGATCGTATGTGACATCAGATGTTCTGCACTGCAGCACTTGATATAAAACAGCTCAAGGAATAGGAAAAATAAACTTGTGTGATTCACAGGAGCTGAGCCTTTTCTTGCAGGTGTTTTGAACTGGGCTGGGTAGCTACGCAGTCACTGTCTGAAAATTTTCAGCATTGCTCAAGGTCTCTTCGTTTTTCAAGGCGTTGGTGAGAGATAGTCTGCAGAGAAAGACTGTGGAAGAAGATATGAGAACGCAGGAAAAGAGGGCATACTTGAGTAATCACAAATGAGTTGTTGGCTCCCTGGTTTTCTGTTTGCGTTTTTGTAAAGAACGAATCTAGTTTGTGCCTGTCTAAAACACTAAGATGAAGGTCTTGTTAGAAAAAATACACATTTAAAGAGACTTAAATCACTCGCTGGAAGAAAACCAAACCAGTATCATGACTCTGACTTTGTTTACCCTTTTAAACCATCGAATTTTGCCATCGTTTTTCTACGTACTAGACTGATTCCTCGCCGCTCAAACGTCTAACATCCTCTGCAAAATATATTGCAAGTGGATTTGTAGCATTTCTCCCACTTTTGTTCTCTGAATTGAATCTGCTATCCTTGAGCTTGTGTACCGTCAGTACCTACCTGAATAGCGAGGCAATCTTCATCCCTCTCCCTTGCTCTTCTGCATTGTTCCATGCATTCAGAGGGAGGATGAGGAGCTGGGAGGTCACAGATGGAGAGAAGTGTTATATGTGTGTTCCTGTTGCCGCTCTAAGTGAATGTCTCCACAGATGGGATTATATTGAAAGGCAAAGACAAATTTGCAGAGCGATGAAAGCGCTTCAGAGGCACAAGGCCATGCCCGGCTCATCGCTAACTGTACTTGTTAAGAGTTTTTCATCATCTATCTTGTTATCAGTGCGCCAGGATGTTTTGTAGCTTCAAATTCACACTGTATTTCTGCAAAAATCTCTGCACACTCGAAACTGAATATGTTCCATGTGATGACTGTGATACTCATGACCACATGTGAACACCTTCAGACTATTATATGATATAAAGTCACCCTCCCACACTATGTCATCACCACTGTTATTCGCATCCTGGCTGTTAGGTAGCATTAAACTGTATTTGAATGACCGGAAATTTCTCCACCATACAGGGGCATGTCCAGAGTGCCTACCAGGGTGGAAAATGCCCTTTTAAAAGCCCCCCTCCCCCCCCTTAAAATCCAGTATCCACCCCAGTACAGACTGAAAATACCAAACCATGATTTTAAACCTTTAAAACAGATAAAATCAGTAGTTAAAATCTGTTTTTATCATCTGAGGCTTTTATCTAAAATTAAACCTGTTGTATCTTTTAATGATTTTGAGTGTTTGAGTCATCAATCAATCAATAACTTTATTTGTCCCCCAATGGGACAATTGGTTGTGCAACAAAGGGGCATAAAAAACACTTAATCAAATCACAATAATCAAAATCAACATGACTAGAAAAACATAAGATCGAAAATACAATTAATCAAAACACCACAAACAGCTACCTTTTCTTCCATGAATTGAGAAGGGAGATGGCAGAAGGTATGAAGGAATGTTTATCTGTTAGTTTTAGCAAGAGGAACTCTGATCAATGAACTAGATGGAAGAAACTGAAACTGATCATGTAGAGGATGGAACAGTCAGACAGGATGGATTTTGCTTTCTTGTGCAGCTGTTTGTTATACAGATCCTGTAAAGTTCCCTGAACAGAGCCAGTTATTTTATCTCAACCCATTTGGACTACTGTAATGCACTTTACACTGGTATTAACCACACCTCCCTTGACCGCTTACAGTTGGTCCAAAACACAGCTGCTCGTCTTTTAACAGGAACTCATTAGCTTTGGTACTTTGGTAACCTTGTTGTTTTTAAAATACATATGCTACATAAATAAAGATGGATTGGATTGGATTGGATGATTTGTGATGTGGCTTGACAGAAAAATTAGTACAGTTGAACAAACCGCTCCTAGCATACTTTGGATTTAAATGTAGTACATTTTCTTTTGTTACTTTAAATTGTTGAAAATACTTCAAATATCTGTTTTTATTAGACAGGTGAGTTGAAGCGGAATCAGTCCGACAAAAAAATTCTGTCCAACACACAACCTATAAAGTGTTTTGTTGGCAGCCCTTTAATGCTTCAAAATGGGACTATAGATAAACATTTATTTTATTAATTTGAACAATTTATATGTTCTGCGTGAAAGTTTTACATCAAGATACATCAACAGTGGCAGCTGGTAAGAATAATTAGTTGGGTGTCACAGTTGTAGGAAGAACACACGGCCCGGACAATTCATACCCAAACAAAAAAGGATGAGATTAAAGCTCCTCTGAGGAGTTTTATTTGTAAACAAGACCATCAGTGACAAGATTGACAACTTTCATAAATAACTTTTTCTCACTGAAACCAGTGCGAGAGGGTAGGTATCAGCCAAACTGCTGAAAAACAGCCCTGTTTTTACATTTTTTATTGTCTTCAGTCATCGTCTGCAATGATTTGATGTAGAAGTGAAACAGCCTAAAGCTGTAAAGGACATTACTCGCACGGCATCCAGTTAGCCAAACCACTGAACCTAAACGGTAAAGATTAAATGAAGTCCCCATCCATCTCATTGTCAGTAATTTTGAGTGTTTTGAGTTACTTTATTTTGTTATTTATTTTCTTGCTATTCTAAACAACAAGTACTTATTAAAACACCAGAAAAACTCTTTTATGTCTGTTATGCTTTCAATGTTACGACGTGGTCACGAAAAATGCGCCCTTCTGAAAAGGGCCCGCTGTTTCTTCAGATCTTTTGACTCCCTGAAGAGGGCTTGGTGCAGAAACATGTAGGAGTTTGTTTTGAAGTCTACGTGATTGAGCAGAGAAAATAAGGGCATTCTGATTGTTTTAAAAAAAGAGTGCCTGGAGTTCTCTTGTGATTTATAACAGTATGTAACCAATTCAAACAGACAGTTTTTGGGTCTTAGTTGTGCTCCTTTCTTTGAAATTCACTGGTATTTCATGTTTCATAGATAAAATGTAAACTACAGCAAACAACTTCATCTTCTGAGGGATCATTGTGTTGAATAAGTCTGAATTGAATGATTTTGTTCACACAGTCTACCATCTCTGCCCATTCACTTTGGTTGTTAATGAATGCCTTCATAAAACTCTTATTTTGGGCAACAAGATCAGCTCCAGGTGAGTCATACTCATGGCACACTCATGGTTTTGCCATGCTATCAAGCTGTCAAGATGGGTCTGTTAAATAAGACAGTTTTTGGCTTTTACTGTCTGCAAGGGAGCCATTCAGACTATGCATTAGCAAACACATGCAGCCTACTAAGCTGACCCAACGTTAGAAAGATGACTAAACCAGACTGAGTTCATTATTGTTGACCACCTTGATTTAATACCTAAAAACCTTGCTGACTGTTAAATGACTGACGACTACGACATCGCAAACCTCCCCAGTTTTTGATTTTTATGCAGTAGCTCTTGTCTTCCTCTCCTCGTGTTTGTACCAGATCTATTGATATCTCTCTTGGTGTAGACATTATGCACAGGACATACATCAGCCAAGAATATGCTCCAGTGTTTTTTTTGTTGTCCTTTTTAATAAAAATAACAAGCTTGAATATCGTCTTTCCATATTCTTTGGCAGTACCCACAGGGAAAGTCTTTTAACTCAGCCCATAGTAACCATTACCATTGAACAATTTCAGACAAAAAAGTCTGACTATTGCTTCGCATAAAAGAAAAAAAACTGTGTAAGTTGGCTGCCTCTTCTTCTCTTACAAGCTCATGCTAAACAACAGCTGGTTGATGCAAAATGTCTCACCATTTGTCTCTGGCCCATTTTTTCATGGGAATATAGCCATATTAGTTAAAAAATTTCAGTTTATCACAGTGGTTTAAATGTAACCAGTGAATAAATAGTATTTTCATGGTAAAGTGTTTAGGATTTGATTGCACCGACTAGTGAGACTAAATGGCTGCAACGAATGCCAAAGTTATGAAAGGGCATTGCTTAGGCTGTCTGTTCTGGGCAACTGTAGAAAAATGGAGATTTAATATAGTGGGTTTTTTGTAAGGGAGCTATCGTCTTCTCTAAGTGTTGAATGACTTTTTCTATTCATGTTATTCGCCAAGAGTCGAACCACAGCCAGCTTCAGTAAGACCCATAGCCTCTACATTGGGTACACGTCTAGACCTCTACACCAAGGTTTAGGAACCTCTTCTATAAAAGAAGAAATCTTTACCTGCTCCTCTCCCTCCCCACAAACAACTGTTTGAACAAAAAAACATACTTGTAAGCCTTGTAAGACTATTGGTGGACATAAAAGATTAAAAAAAAAACATGAGTTACCATCTAAATGCACAAGTCTAGGGTTATACCATTAAGTTGTTAAAGGACTATGTTTAGGCCTGCATCGTGCTCTCTCTTGTCACCTGACCCTTCAAAGCTTGTTTAAATTGCAAGTGATATTCACCCATTCACATCACATTCACACACTGATGGCAGAGGCTGCTACGTCTAGAACTAATTGGTTTTCAACTAATCCCACTCTCACACTACAGGGCTCATAAACAAGGCAGGAACGGT